GGCATTGGATGCCTCTGGCATTGGATGCCTCTGGCATTGGATGCCTCTGGCATTGGATGCCTCTGGCATTGGATGCCTCTGGCATTGGATGCCTCCGTCGATCAAAGCAATACGTCGATGTGGTCACAAGCAGGCACCTCCAAGGTTATTTCCGCTCAAACCTCAGAAAGGGTGTGACTCTCGGCGCTATATCCTTGATATCCTTGCGACAATGTGACGACAACGTCCAGATCCCGTGATGCCAGCTTGACGCGGATGTCTGCTCCTACGGCTGTTTCCCCCTACCTTCCCAGTTATCGATGATGTCGACTAGGGTGTCCGTCGCCTTATCCATCATCTGCTTCACTTCGTCTGACAGCTCTTCGCCATCATGTCCCTGCCCCTGGATATGTTGCTTGACCCTCTCCATCGCCTGCTTCAGACGCTGATACTCCTCGTTATTCTTGAGCCTTGGCGGTGTTGTGGGCACAATGGGCGCGAACGGGGATGCCTGTGTATACGCCTTGAGTCGAGAGTCAGTCAGACACATCTCGATTCCGATAAGGGAGGGCAGACATACCTCAGTTCTGCTTGGAGTGAAGACGCTCGATGCCTGGTTGGTGGCATTGGTATTGGCGTTACTGACGCATACAATGTCTTTGATATATGCAACGCCCGCCTTCACCATCTTGGTCATGGGGTTGTCCTTCGGCTCGCACTCGGGTACATCGTCGATGTATCGCTGGGGGATGAGCTGTTGCAATTCCTCGCGGGCCCCATGCTCAGCATCGCGACGGAGCTGCGAATACCTCGCTGGGTTCGAAGACATCTTGGTTGAACTCAGTATGATGGGAGAGAGCAGTTCAACGAATTTCGCGGTCCACTGGAGGTCGCGCTTGAGGCGTGACCGGCTGAGATCCAAGACTGGAATGTGTCGGTTTCTCATCTTGTCCGATTGCGGGTGGCTTCATAATGAAATATTTCTGAGATCTTCAGCAGATCTGACAAGGCAGTTGCTGCTGACCTTGCAGTCCTTCACGCATTCAATTCATCTGGAGTCGCGGTCACTGGACCCAACACCCTTTGTCAGGAGGCAGCGCAAATACTCGTGATCAGGCCTTGTCTTCACAGCCTGTGAGCTTGTGTTGAGCAATGGAGTCACATGCTCATCGCTCGGTTCTTTCATCCCCTTGATGTTCATCAGCTCTCCTTGTCTTGAAAATGGTCGTGTCTTCACTGAGCTTAGGGCAGGAAGATTGTTATTCGGGAAGTATTGCGTCGCTAATGCGCTGGATTGGTACGCACAGAGAGTCTCCATCACGACAGTCTCGTAAGTGAAAGAGGGGCTTGGTCATTGAAGACGAGGAGACTGGATAGGACTTTGCACAACGATTTATATATTCGTGAATTTGAGTTTGGTACACGACGTTCCTGTACAGGTGCTGTTGCCTCTGTCCATGCACACAGTTTGCGATGCTTGCAGAAGCTCTCAACACACAGTCACGACAAAGTCACGTCTTCCATATTAGCTGGCATGTCCAAATAGGAAACCGCAATGGCTGGGTGCGAGCTTGATTGTTTAGTAGAGGTTATTGATTGCTGTTGGTAGAAACCCTCAGCTCAGTCCCCTCGTCCATTTAAGCGATGCATGACCAGTTGAAGACATATGCCGACACGTTCTTGGCTTACTGTAGTCGTGATATGCACTGGCAGGCATCTCTCTCTACTCCTGCTTGATCCGGCGCCTTTTCCGGTCATCCCCCGGTCCCTGAATCTATGGGATATCTGGTTGGTTCGTTCCGAGAATCAGGCTATTATCATCGACACATGTCTACGGAGTATACCATACAAGGAACAATTTAGCGGTCCGCCCGGGCGTTCTCCCACAGGGACGCGTGGTCCTTGAAACGCAACACCGAATGGCATCCATGAGCCCTTCCCGGGCTAGGGCAGCCTATCGAGGAAAAGGACCCCGGGTTCCAGACTTCTCCGCTGGTGCAGGGTGGTGGGTTTATGGTGTTTCAGGGATCAGTCGCCTGTGATGGCCTAACCCGGCAGTGCGGCGAGCGTGCGCTCCACCACACGCTACTTGACTTCTTCAACGTGCTCTCTCTCAATGATCTCCACTGTTCCCTTTTTGTCATCCGCGCCCGCGGCATCCTCCTCGCCAGGATTGGTCTCCATCTTCTGCAGGATATCGTTCTTGACAGCATGCTCGCCGTCGAATATGACCGACACTTCTTCGAGTGTGATTTTGCTGGTTTCCGGATATGTGAAGTATACGACCACGATGGCGATGATGATGATAATGTTGATGATCAGGTAGTATTTCCAGCCGATATTCTTGAGGGCGACGGGGTTCTAGCGAGAAATGTTAGGAACTGAAGAATATTTTTGCAAGGGCAGGGACTTGCCAGGTAGTTAAAGCCTGTGATAGTCGCTTGCACGAGCAAGTTCTGCGTGCAGATGAGTTTCGGTCGGATGTCGTAGCTCATGACTTCGACAGTATATCCCGTCAAGATTCCGTTCCATGTTGTGGCGTAAAATCTGGGATAATTGGTTAGCTCGTGGCCCTTGTTGACAGAAGTATCACGATAACCCTTTCCACATTGGAATGGTGGGGCAGGGACAAGGATGACTCACGCGTTGAAGATGAAGATGAACGCAATCACAGCGGGGCCGGCATTCTTGACTCCCTCGGAAACGTACAACGCACTGCAGATTGTCCATGGCAAGAAACCGCAAAAGAGCATGCCGCTGAGGGATGTCAAGAGCATCGGCCGGCGACCAAACTTGTCGATCACGTAGGCACCCCAGAAGGCCCATCCCATGTTCCTGCGACTGTTAGTGGTCACTCGTGCAAGGCCGTGGGGACGGTTGGCACTCACCACATCGTAAGACATCCATTGATGATTGATTGATGTCGTGGATTGGTGATGCCTATGCCACTCAAAATCAACACCAGGTAGTACCCGATGATAGTCTGACCAGTAGCTTGGCTGAGGATGGAGCAAGTAACCACAATCCACGTGCGATGGCGATTACCAGGGGTACGGACAAGGTCAAGCCAACTTCTGCTACCGTGCTCCTTCTCGTACGCGAGGGTATGGACGATCTCGTTGTACTCGAAGGTCGCAAGGGGATCGGCTTCGTTGCCGCCGCAGTGCCAGTCGACGAGGGTCTTGAATGCTTCTTCATTTCGGCCTTTGGAGCACAGCCACCTCGGAGATTCTGGGACGAACCATGTAAGCGAAACCGAGATCAGGGATGGGAACATCTGGATCAGGGACACGCTGCGCCAGCTCCAGTCGCTTTTGATTGAGAGCGTTCCGAGCGTGATCCAAGCTGCCAGGGTGGCGCCGAAGTAGTACAAAGTGTTGAGCAGTGTCGATAGCTGGGCTCGATGGGTAGGGTGTGCCAGCTCAGAGACAAGCATTGGGGCAGCCGTATACTCGAAGCTCAGTCCCAGGCCGATAATACAACGGGAAACTGCAAACATAGCTATCCCCTGAGCGAAGGACTGCAGGAACACGCCGATAATGATGATGACCGCCCCGGATATAATAATCAGCCTGCGGCCGACCTTCTCGACAAGCCACCACAAGAAGAACTGTGATATGACGCCGCCGAGTCCCTGAGTGCCATTGAAGATGCCGAGCTGAGCACCTGTCGGATGATGAAAGTAGGATTGCTTGTCGGTCGTCAGCATCGTGGAGCTAAACTTTCCCTGGAGAACTCACCCAATATGTCAAGGTCTGCATTCCATTCATGATCGAGCCGTCAAGTCCGTTCGTGGCCTGCACAATGAGAACCACACAGAGCCATCCATATAATCTTCTTAGGTGTTTGTACTTGTACCATGGCTTGTCTAGCAGCTTTTGGACGTTTATGGTGGTGTCTCCTCGCTTCGTCCCGACGTGAATATGGTTCTCTTGTGGTGCCATCCTGCTCCTCTAGGAGACTGGTTTGCGTGATCGCGATACTACCTGGACCTGAAGGCAGAATCTGTGCTCGGGAGAAGAACGGCTTTCCTTTTGTACAGTTGGAACGTCCGAACCCTTGAACAGACCGACTCTCCGCATTCTCAACTACCGAGTCTGGCGTGTCCCCACCAACTCCATGGGAGTATTTCCCCCCTGCGTGGTCGCAGACGCTTGTGCAAAATATTTAGCCTAAAGCACTTGTCCCTCATGCTTGTAAGGGTTTGAAGCGATGCTCAGATGCTCGTAGCCTTTGATGTGAAGACGGTCCGGCAGTGCAGATGACTTCCGCACGGAGATGCACGGAGATGGCCCGATGGAAGAACAGTCGAACTCGTGGCGTTGGCAGCTATTGAAGTCCGGCAAAGTCTGGGTAAAAGGTAAGCGACTGGCACTGGTTGAATAATATGCTTCCAAGAAAAGATGGCTTCCGTAAGAAGACCGGGTAGTTGCATTCGCCGTCTGCAGCCGTCAATGGATCGGTACTTTTGACTGTATCAAAGACTTGGATAAAGAGAAGCATTTGCAGCCGAAGCTGGTGCTTCTCCAAACTCAAACTGGGGATCCGGGGAAAACGCGGCATGGTTCACCAGAAAGCCAACCTCCACAAAATCCGTCCCCACACGGAAACGGGCGGTCATCCTTCGGCAGGTAAGCCCTAGCGGCCACTGAAATACCATTGCCTAGTATTTTGAGCTGTGGAGGCATCGGGAAGCCAAGCGTGAATGTCAAAGCCTCAATTTAGCCTGAAGCTGGTGAGAGCGTACTTGTTATCAGCTGTCGATAGCGTCAACGGTGCTAGTCCTCTCTGGATCATTGCATTCTTTCACGGCCAATCAAGGAGGCGACAGGTCGCTTGAGTGCGATGCTGTTGCGAGTCGCTAAAGGAGTTGCCAAATGATCCCTCCCTGTAACCATGCAGCTGGACTTTGCGTAGCACAAGCGATGCCCACGTGGCAATTGGAACGGTTTGTTTGTATGGTGCTTTCACGCTCTGTGCTTTCGTGGGTGGAAAAGTAGACCTTCTTGCTAAGGTGTCTCCTGCCACCGCTTTTGCCGTGGCATGTGTGTATTGCTGGGCTATGATCCATCGAGAAGAGGAGCGGCAGGCTGGCAGAAGCGGCCCCAGCTACAATTGGCGAACTCCGCTCACTGACTGGCCACGTTCTCTGACTTGCTTACCACGCCAGGAGAGTGCCGAGGACGTGGAAGTCGACTCATGCCGTGTCGCATATGCAGGCTTGTGTATGCGAAGTGCTGCTGTCCAGCCAACATGTCTGGTTTCTCAAAGTGATAGTGTCTCTGCGCAAAACGTGAGGTTGAACAAGCTGGGGGGAAGATTGACGTACTCATGCAGACGTGTCAATTTGACCTCATCGTGTGAGGGCATTGATCGGTTGTCCCTGGCGAGCACATTCGAACCGGTCCCCTGCTCTAAGACGTGCCTGGCTTGGGTACACAATGCCTAGCAGGTCCATGATCTTCAGGATTGATTGTTCCAGATGTTCGGTGGATTTTCACTTGCTTTGTCCGTCAATATGCCACCACGAATCGCGCCCTCAGTGAGAGTGGGGCTCATCCTCAAGCCTCAGAATGGTCCATGAGCGTGAGAGATTCGTTGCGATTAGTTAGGACTTCTGCTGGCCAGGAGAATGCCAGTGGGTGTCTTAGACCTGGGGTTCAGCTACGCCGAGCTGTTATGTCACAAGATATGGCCTTTCCCTCACAAGCGTCGGAGACGTCTCCGGCATTGGGGTCTCGGTGCGCTCCAAAGCGAGTAGCAGCCAAGGACTCATAATGTCACAACTGACGCGCAGTCTCAAAGAATTCATTCGATACGGTAGAGAGTAAATAACGACTTAGCGTTGCTGGCGACAATAATCCCCCCCTTTCCAGAGAAATAGCAGAATGAGTGAACCTCTCGTCGTCAGGGGTGAGAGCAAAGCGCTCATGAAGGAGGACGGACCTGTGTTACTGCATCGCTGGCCATTTTCCATGGGTGTTGAGGAGCCAGTTGATTCTGTCATAGTAGGAGAAGTACGTGGTGCGTGCCTCGGTGCGTAGTGGAAGTGAACGAGGCTAAGGCGGCGTTCGGGACCCTGATTTGAAGCTGACAAGGCTGAACTTGATTGGCCAAGCCACCTTGACCTGCAACGCGGCGCAGGAGAAACGATCTCGACATACTCCGTACTAGGTAGAAATTATCCCTTATTCGCGGTGGCTTCACGGTCACACCGTTGCGACAGAGGCTTACTCGATACCTCGTCCGTGATCTTGCCATCCGATTCCGCCCCGTCTCAGCCCACGAAGTTTCCATCAAGATGGATTTCGAAAGCCTGAAAAGCCAGGTCAGCAACCTGACCCTCTACGACATCAAGGCCGGGGTCCGAAAGGTCCAGAATGGTATGTGTATGCATCACGCGTTGTATGTGACGCTGACATTTATATGAAGCCGTGATGAATCTGACCGAGATGGAGGCCAAGGTACGTCCGTACCCCTTGAATACTTCAAACCACCATTTCCTCATCATGCGAGCAGGTGCGAGAAGCCACGAACGGCGATCCATGGGGAGCGTCGGCAACCCTCATGCAGGAGATTGCCCAAGGCACACATAACTAGTCGGTCTCCGTTCTTGCCAGCACATTGCCTGTCTGACTGTGCCAGCCAACAACTCAACGAGATTATGCCCATGATCTACAAACGATTTACAGACAAAACCGCGGAGGAATGGAGACAGATTTACAAGGTGCGACTATCCTGTCATGTGCTGAATCTCTTCGGCTCATACACAACAGGCTCTGCAACTGCTCGAGTTCCTCTGCAAGAACGGCTCAGAGCGAGTTATCGACGATGCGCGATCACACCTCTCCCTCCTTCGGATGCTTCGACAATTCCACTACATCGATCAGAATGGCAAGGATCAGGGAATCAACGTGCGGAATAGATCTGCTGAGTTGGTCAAGCTATTGAGCGATGTTGATACTATTCGTGCAGAAAGGAAGAAGGCACGCACCAACAAAAACAAATACGGTGGTGTCGAGGGGGGGATGGGCATGAGTGGTGGTTTCTCCAGCGGTAGCCGATATGGTGGCTTCGGTAGCGAGACTGGTGGTTTCGGGGGTTATCAGGGCGAAGTCTATGGAGATGGGGGTGGCTTTGGCGGCAGAGAAACCGATTACTCTGGCACACAGCGGCGCGGTGACCAATTTGAGGAGTATGATGAGGGTGAGGATGTCGAACCCACGAGGCCCAGCAGAGCAAATACAACCACACGGCCAGCAGCACCAACAACGGCCAAGCGAGATCCCCCTAAACCAAAAGAGCCGGAGCAAGATCTTTTTGATCTGATTGACGAACCTTCAACCACCCCCGCCGCTACATCGACCGGGCTGGCAAATCTTAGCAGTGCTACGAACGACGACGACGACTTCGACGACTTTCAGTCTGCGACGAGTCCCGCAGCTCAGCCGACAGCCAACACCCTGGCAAGTCTAGTGCCACCACCAACCACTTCCACTACGACATCGGCAACACAGTTTGCTGCTCCAAAACCTGTCGCCCCTGGCCAGGCGGCAGGTCTCAGCAACATCTTCACGACCGCCTCTCCTGCTCCATCGGCCTCTTCCTCGATAATTTCACCATCGACATCGACCTTCTCTCCGCCACCTGTGCAGAAGCTTTCCCAGCCAGCTCAACCTGCCGCCTACAGGCCGACGGGTCCCAACTATTTCACCTCCGTACCTGCTTCGTCCGGTGCTCAAACCACCTTCTCGGCTACCGCTTCAACTTCGCTGAGCGGTGGCGCGACACCTTCTTATACGTCTTCACCCTCAATGGCGGCATTGGGTAAACCGGCCTCGAAACCGGCTTCGAGCACTTCCGGCGATGCTTTTGGCAGCCTGTGGAGCACTGCCAGTAACAAGGCCGGGGTCAAGAGTACAGCTTCTTCGCAGAAGGGACCAGATCTCGCGAGCATGGCCAAAGCGAAGAGTCAGGCTGGCATTTGGGGAGCCGCCTCAACGGCGACCTCGACTCCACGACCGAGAGCAACAGCACCAACACCCACAGCTGCATCGAGTCAGGGAAAGCCACTGGGAAATGGGCTGGATGACTTGCTTGGATGAATTGGTGATATTGGTGCTGATGGCAACGAAGTCGATGTCGCTTGTGCTGGGGACGCAAAAAATGTCCGTGGCCCCTCAGAGCCCTCTGTTGCGTAGATTTTTCTGAGTTTTCGGAGGTCAGCTCCGCTATTGCGCTCTCGCGACAGTGGGAGCGGCCCCTGACATGCCTCAATGGTGGCCTCGAATAGGATGCCATCTATTTGCAAGGTCCATGAGATCTAAAGGCAGGCAATGCGAGCCAGATCCGCCAGCAAGATTGCCGGGTTTCAAGCGTGTGTTAGTCGTCTAGTTTGCGACACAAGGGAATTGTTTTCCTCACAAGGCTCACAACATCTGCATCGGTTGCGCTGGTCCTGCCGCTGTTTGAAGACGCAGAACGTGGCCTTGACATTTGCGTAATAGGCAACCTCAGGGCTGCCACTCTTGCCCACAATATCGTGTATAAGGAGCGTACTGCCCCAGACTCAACCTTGCATTTCCTCATTACCTACTATCTGCTGGTATTCTTAGAACATCCTCCCTGGACTGGTGGGACCCTAAGTGCCTCAGATACGGGTCTACTCCGTACATTCAGGCCAGGTTGTCCGCTTTGGGCAACATTACTCGAAGTTTTTTTGGAGCTTGAGTTCTCCAGACCGTTGTCCCTCCGTCATTGTGCATTGGCGGCACAGCTTGGTCGATCGCCCCTGTTGCAATCGATTGCTCGTGGCCTCTTGTCACCAATCATCGCGAGGGATGAATGGTGGGGTGAAGATGCTATCGTCCCCCCAGAGTCGCAGAAAGCAATCTAGCAGTTCGCCTTCGCCCACCCATTTGGTAATGTAAGTGGCTGCGCGTTCTTCACTCCATCATCTTTATTACCCTGCTCTCCCGCTCTTCATCTATCCCAAACTCTCCTTCGTCAATGCTAACATGACCGAAAGACCTCCTCACAAGCGCTCCAAAAGCGCCAGAGTGCTCAACCTCCTCCGTAGCGACAACCTCCCAAAAGAGAGCGGTTCAGATACTGATCAGTCGCCGGTTACTACAACTACCTCCACCACTGGGCCTTTCTCCGCCAACTCACCCTTGACTCCAGTCGACGGTCCTAGATTGAGTCCATTGTCGCCCAGTGTCACCAGAACTTCACAGGTGGCCATGGACTCGAGTGAATTTTCCCGGGACTCGAACACATCACATCCAGTACAGGCAGTCCCGTCGGGCATTTCTGCTGATCAGTCCGCGTCCATCGAAGATTCCGTTCGCACCTTTCGCGTGTTCGAGGTGCTTCGCGGGAAGGACCCTGCGGCCATCGCCAAGGCGATCAAAGAGTCCATACCCTCATCTACCAACCCTTACCCCATCCCCGGCACCACGATACTTCATCTGGCTATACAATGCGCCGAACCGTCAGTGGTGGAACAGGTGCTAAGAGAAGGGCAAGGCCTGGATGTAAATGCGCAGGACAAAGAAGGAAACACGGCTCTGCATCTGGCTGCACAGCTTGGTCGAACGCCGATTGTACGAGACCTGCTTGAGGTGCCTGATGTCAATGATGCCATCTCCAACAGGCAGGGAAAGCTGCCCATTGATCTAGCTCGAACACCAGAAATCTTCCAACAGCTGCAACTGGCGCGTTCGTTATTCCTCGAAGAGAAGATCAAGGAGATACACGCAGCTTTGGCGCACAACGACTACAAAAAGTTCGAAGCCATCCTGGTCGAACCCCGGGTGGAAGGAACTCTCGATGTTAATGCCCTCGAGCTACCTACAGAGCCGGCTACTGTTCAAAGTGGAGGCACACTCCTCCATGAGGCTGCACGCAAGAAAGACATCCAGCTGGCACAGCTTTTACTGCTGCATGGCGCAGACCCATTCCGCAGGGATCGCAAAGGAAGACTTCCACAACATGTGACACAAGATGATAGAACGAAGGCCATCCTGAAGAAGTCCCCGGCGGCTGCTGCAGCACAGCGTGGAATCCAGGAGAAGGCCATTCTCGGAAACAACCCCTCTCAGTCCAGAGTTGGGGCAGGTCCCGGTGACACGAGTAAAGACGCTCGAGAAATGAAAGGTTATCTTAAAAAGTGGACCAACTACACGAGCGGGTATAAGTTGCGTTGGTTCGTTCTCGAAGAAGGCGTCCTCAGCTACTACAAGCACCAAGATGACGCGGGTTCCGCCTGTCGGGGTGCCATCAACATGCGAATCGCGAAGCTTCATATGGACCCACAGGACAAGACCAGGTTCGAGATTCATGGGAAGTCGTCGGTCAAGTACCATTTGAAGGCCAATCATGTCGTGGAAGCCAAGCGCTGGTTTTGGGCCCTCAATAATGCCATTCAGTTCACCAAAGACGAGGCAAAGGAGGATGAGAAACGGCGTACACTTGACCTGGAGAGCCTCCGCCATGTCAGAGGCGAGCCCTCGGATCAACTCAGCGCAACGAGCAGCAAACCGAAACAATCTGCACAATCACTCGGTGTGGGAGGCGCGTCATCCAAGATCAGCTTTCGCTCCGATGCCGATGGCGGATCAGCTTACGACTCTTATGACGCGAGCCTTCATGGCGACGAGCTTCAGAGAGTTCCGACTACTGCTGTAACAGATATACCGGCTGAAGAAGACGGGGATGGCGACGACGCTAGTAGCGGCGAGGTCCACCACCCCGGAAGTAAAGATGCATTCAATATCACCGCGCAATCCGCCAAGCTACAGCTTGACCTCATCGCACGGGTCTCTGATGCTTTGACCGCTCGTCAGTCCTCTGAACCTACCACGCCTCTGTCTGACCCAGATGTAACTCAGGCGCTTCTCACCTATCAAACAGCAGTGAACAGCTTGAACGGGCTGGTGGCAGATCTGTTGAAGATTGCTCGGGACCGGGACGCATATTGGCAATATCGCCTTGATAGAGATGCAGATGCTCGGCGAATGTGGGAGGAAAGTATGGCAAAGATCGCTTATGAACACGAAGACCTGAAGAAATCGATTGCTGAATCAGAGGACAAGCGCAAGCGGACAAAACGTGCCTTGAAGGAAGTCCTCGAGGGCCAATCAGTACCTGCCAGTCGTTCGGGCTCCATGCTTCAGCCAGAGTCGCCAGAACGTATCCAGTTCGCAGAAGCAGTCGATGATCAAGTGCATTTTCGACCAGAAGCCAGTAATCAAGCAAGATCACGGCGGAAGTCCGTCACCAGAGATGGCAATAGGAGAAAATCCATCATTGCGCAGTACACCGATCTCTCGGATTCAGAGTCTGGGGATGATGAAGAGTTTTTCGACGCCATCGACGAAGGCAAGGTCGAGGTTGTCGAGCCGCCACTTCTCAGCCCGCCACCCGTCCAGATACCGACAAGTGAGGAGCAGCAAAAGGAACCGTTTGGCGATGAACGAGCTCTGAAGCAAATGGAAATCGAGCCGTCATATGCAGGCTATGGAGAGGGTATCCGGAAGAAATTGAAGATGGACGCCGATAATAGGCCCAAGATTTCACTTTGGGGCATTCTCAAGTCTATGATAGGCAAAGACATGACCAAGATGACTTTGCCGGTGTCATTCAACGAGCCGACCTCGCTCTTACAACGCGTGGCGGAAGACATGGAATATGCGGATCTCCTTGACATTGCGGCAGATCGTCCCGACGCCACCGAGCGTTTGGTCTACGTTGCTGCATTCGCCGCGTCGGAATATGCCAGCACGATCGGTCGTGTTGCGAAACCTTTCAATCCTCTGTTGGGCGAGACATACGAATATGTTCGTCCAGACAAAGGATATCGATTCTTCATTGAACAAGTAAGCCATCATCCGCCGATTGGGGCCGCCTATGCCGAGTCTGCGCGCTGGGACTACTGGGGTGAATCAGCCGTGAAATCCAAATTTTACGGCAAGTCGTTTGATATAAATCCTTTGGGCACCTGGTTCTTACGATTACGCCCCTCCAATGGCGGCCCTCCGGAACTGTATACCTGGAAGAAAGTCACGAGTTCTGTGGTCGGCATTATCACTGGCAACCCTACCGTCGACAACTATGGCACGATGGAGATCAAGAATTGGACTAGCGGTGAAGTTTGCGTGCTCGAGTTTAAACAGCGAGGTTGGAAGGCTAGTTCGGCCTACCAAGTGTTTGGCAAAGTGATGGGCGTGGATGGAGTCACGAAATGGAGCATTGGCGGTCGATGGAATGACAAGATTTACGCCCGTGTCACGGAGGGATTCGAGGATGAAGCCGTGGGAGAAGGCAGAGTGCATAGCTCTGGAAAGGGAAGCCAAGATAAACAACAGGCCTTCTTAGTCTGGGAAGCACACCAACGTCCGCAGGGCATCCCATTCAACCTGACGCCCTTCGTTGTGACGTTGAACGATGTCAACGACACACTGCGTTCTCACCTTCCCCCAACCGACACGCGACTACGTCCAGACCAGCGCGCCATGGAGGATGGTGCGTATGACTTCGCTGCGACAGAGAAGAACCGCGTGGAGGAGAAGCAGCGGGCGGCGCGCAGGAAGCGAGAAGCAGCAGGCGAAGAGTGGAAGCCCAAGTGGTTCGAGAAGAAAGTCGAGCCCACCACGGGAGAAAGCTATTGGGAAACTAATGGATTGTACTGGACAAAGAGGGCTGAGAAAGATTGGAATGTCTGCGACGATATCTTCTAGGTGAAGAGCCCCGAGGATTCTTCTCCCCAGGAAGTGGACCCAAGTCGCAGGATAATTGACAGAGGCAAGGAAACCGAGGGCTAGGGGGGACGCGAACGCAATTTGGGATTGGCAGACGCTGAGCGCGAGCCAGGGAAAAAGCAGGCGGAAGATACGATCATCGACTGAGATGAAGTCGCCGATACAGTATACCTTATGAAGCTAGATGACTCGCTACCTTCTCGCCTAGTAGCCTCGTGATGTGGCCACGTTTTCTGCCCTTTCGACCTGCAGAGCATCTTGCCACTGGCCATGCTTATACGAACCCGAAGAGCCCCTCCAATGAGCCGCCTTGGTGGCGTCTGCGTCAGTCGCTCCCTATGCAGCATTTGTTTCTCTGTTGATTAGGCATCCTAAGTCTGCCAGGATGGAGATCGAATTGAGACAATGGTCTCTCTCGTCTATTGGCCAGCCATAGCTACGGCCCCCAGCGCGTATGGTCATTTCTACAGCTGCTTTGGGCAGGTACTTCCCCTTCGAAACCCCTTAGTATCCATCAAGTCGACCACTTCCGTGAGTATATAGGCGGGATCGTGCCGGCCCGTCCACCGACGGTCGCAACCTTCTTCAGCTCTATCTTCCCGCTCATCATCATGGTTGCTGAGCCCGACTTGCTGGCAATCAAGAAGGAGCTGGCGAACGACAGCAGAGATGTCGCCGATTTGTGGAATGACGCTCTCCGGAAATACAAGGGCATTGTTGGGGAGGATCTGCTACCCAAGTTTGCCAGCGTCGACGCCATGGTTCAATTCGGCACCATTGAGATGGAAAACTTCCACCAGTTCCGGCACAATCAGAAGAAGGTCGACAAGCTTCGCAGCCTCTTCATGGCAAATCTGGCCTACATCCAGAAAGGTGCGGAACAGTTGATTGCTGCTGCCACTCCAGCGTTCCCGCCGGCAGCGGCGATCGGAACAGCTCTTACATATATGCTCAGTGTTTGTGCTTGCCATGTTCCATCTCAGCAACCTTTCTTCCTGACATCGATGACAGGCATGCAAGCAAGTCTCTGCAGACTACGACGTGGTCACGGCATTCTTTGAAGACATAAATACGTTTCTCCAACGGATCACGATTCTTGAATCACGGTTACCAAGGTATCCCGCCTACCGCAACTGCCTGATGGATGTGTTCACTTCGGTGCTGGAGATGTGCGGCTTTGCCACCAAGTACATTGAGCTGGGTCGATTCAGTCAGCGTCCTGATGTCCCAGCGAACAATTTGTGTTAGTGTCTGACTTGTCACCTCCGCGCAGAGAAATGGATCTTGAACATGGTACGCGGCGAGGATGGGGAGTTGGGAGGCGCCCGAAAGAAGATGGACACATCTCTTTCTCGCCTCCAGTCTGCTACCGAGTACGCCATCCTCGGCAACACCGAAGAATTGCGGCGCATGAACTCGGACCTCCAGCAAAACCAGGACATGCAGACCAAGATGATGGAAGACCAGACTCGGATGCTTGAGGACGTGATGCGGAGTCAGGATTCCGTTCTTTGCGACCTTCAAAATATCCAGAAGCTTCTGGTCAAGTTTGAAGAGCGACGACGAGAGGATACGCCCAAACAGCGAGTTGCGACTAAGGCGTCTGGCCAGAACAAGCAGCCGCCCACATCGAATCAGGTCCGCAGCTTCTTCGAGGATTCGCTAAACCCAGCCCACGAATACCACAATATCAAGGAATCCTTCATTGCTGATACGTGCACTTGGATCTTCGAAGAGCCGCTGTGGCAGAGCTGGCTCACCCGGGAGCAAGGCAAGGACAGTCCGCGGATGATCGCATTGCTAGGGTCAGCTGGTTCGGGCAAGAGTCATCTTGCGGTGAATATCCACGACCAGCTTGTTAACGTCGCAGAAAAAGACACCACGACGAATACCTGCGTTGCCCATTTCTACTTCCGGGAGTCAACTAAAGACCTCAACGAGGTGTACAAAGCAGTCAACTGGACCGTCATGCAAATCGCAGAACAGAATGCTGTACTCTGCGAGAAGATCTGTGTCGAGCTACAGCGAGATGATCTCGAAATAGATCGCTGGAATTGGAAAGATGTCTGGAGCAAGCTGGTTCAACCCTGCTTCACTCCACCCATGAAAGCTCGTCTTTGTGTCGTATGGGACGGCTTGGACGAGCTTCCGGAGATGGAGCAGCAGAATTTAACCGATCTCTTCACATTGATGAAATACACGGCTAACCTGAACGTTATGTTCGTTTGCACCAGCAGGGAAATGCTAAAAGACCTCCTTAGCAAGGCTGGTGCCCATTTCATTGAGGTGACCAAGGAAAAGCAGCTCCCTGATCTCAAGGCCCTGATTTGGCAGCATCTGAACAACGATAGTGGGCTTCGCAAGTTCAGCAAGTACATGAAGCAGAGGATCTCGAGCACGCTGGAGGACAAGGCTGATGGTAAGCGTTTTCGGGCTACAAGGAGCTTGCACTGACAGTCGGAGGGATGCTGTACGCCGAACATCTACTCCGCCAGTTCAGCATCTTCGGCAGAGAACCTCTTGTTCTCAAAGCACTGGAAGAGCATATGCCAGAAGGCTTGGAGGGCTTTACCTTAACATGGTCGCCGACCTGCAACACCATACTCCAGCGGATGAACTCCACGCCATGAAGACTCTGTTGTGCTGGTTGGCTTATTCGTACCGTCCGTTGACCCTAGCCGAGTGCCTGTCCATTCTGGAAATCACATCTGAAACCTCGTTCGACCTGGAGCGAGAACTCCAAGGCAGACAGCTGGCAAGATTCCTTCGACTGGGAGACCTCGAAGAACGTATGACCGGCAGTGCAGCTGAAGATATCAAACTAAGCCTCCAAACCCAGAACAAGTCGGACGCTCCGTTCAACGACGGAGACTTGCCCTTGAAGTTCCAGGAACGCTCCATGGCAGGTTTCTTCCGTGGCGGAGAGACGGGGCTAAGAACCCTTGGCAAGGACGGGCATTGCGAGATATTCATCGTCTGCTCCGACATCCTTTGTGGCCGGATGCCCAACGCTCATGCAGCCCTCCGTCAGTATGCCGCTATAAACGCGATGGTCCATCTTAGCTGGGTATCATTGAAAGATCACACGGAGCATGACAGGATCCGAGCCTTGAACGCATTAGGAAACCTGATGAGCAATGAGTCCCATGCTGCTACGACCTTGGAGGCTCTCGGCGTGGACTACGAAGAGATCAACGAAGGTTTCGCAAGTGGTGTCCTGATGTTCAACATGGCTTATGCGGCGAAAATGGCGGTCGCACTCCCTGGTAAAGTGAGCTCGAGCACCTCGAAATGGGCGGCTAGTGTGGCCGCAGATGTTCGTGTTGCATTCGATCCTCTCGCGAGAGGACATGTTGCGAACTGGTTCCAGGCCAAGGATGCAAAGGCCGCCCTCCTCTCGTTCGCTTTCGCGCACAGCGCCATCGCCATGGTACGTATAAAATTTCCTCATATTGCAGTGAGCATGGTGTTTCATGAGACGATCCGACTTCGACTTTGATATCACACGTGGCCCTTCCGATCTTGGCGAAGTGGTCTTCGATTATGGCCATCCTACAACACACCGATATGGTCAATCCTGTCTTTCTCAATGGTCACGCTCTTCAACCGCACCTGGAAAGTGTGCGCGTCGGCTAGATATGCTCTACAACATCATTTTGTATCTCATGTGCCCGAGATTGAACACCACCACCATTTGAAGCCATACAAGTGAATCCATCATATTTTCTAAGCCGGAATGGCTTCTGCTATACGCTTGCATCTTCCCATCAAACCCGCCTGATCGACGGAGCTTCTAACCGCGTGAGCTGGATCATTTGTAACTCGAATTTACTGACTGGAATTTATACTTTGAAGAAGCGCACCGTCGATGCCAGCCAGACAGGCAACTCCGAAACGGACAGCCACGACGACAAAAACGCTGACGAGGAGCAGCCCGACTATACAACCAAGCAGATTCTCGCTGTCTTCAACTGCTTCGATGACATCCCAAAGGACGCCAACGCTTACCTTGTCGTGGCCATGGTACTTGAGGAATCCGACGACCATGCCTCAGCACTTACCTATGGCCTTCGCGCATTGGAAATGTGCGTGGATCCCGTTCTGCGCTTCCGGATACTCGATCTGCTAGCCACAATCTACCTCCATAAGAAGTAAAAGCCAATTGCTTACGAGACCATACGCAAGGCTTTTGCCAATCCTCCATCGTTACAGCCAAAGCTCCTTCGTGCTGGGCTTGTCACTCGCGCGAAAGCCGAAGTTGCGGTCGGTAAGAAGGACGAGGCAATTGCGTCGTACGAAGAAGCTCGCCTGGCGGATCCGGAAGAGCCATTACCAGGCTTCAACCTCAAGTCTGCGTTCAACGCGTGTTTGTCGAAGAAGGACGACGCCATGCTCGTGGAGCTTGTGAAGAACTGGAAGCCCATGGAGCGTCTTGCTTGGATGACTTGGGATCTCGACCGGGTTGGAAATGACGACCACGACGAGCTCCGAAGAGCCGCCACCCGAGCAGGGCAACAAGAGTACCTGTACCAAGCGTACGACGAGGTACTCAAGTTGCTCGACACCGTGGCTGCGGCTGCTCCGATTCGCTACCATCTCGCAATCACACACTGGGAAGTAGGATTAGATATCGAGGCAGCAAAAGCCTTGATCAACGAAACCCTGGACACGAGTTCGGACGGATATCGTTTCGCCCTTACCAACGAGGATCCAGCCTACACACTAGTTTGCGCCGTCCTCTTCATGTCCGAACTGATTTATGAGCAGTATCGCACAACTTCCGACCCATCGGTCAAAGCTCAACTGTACGCCGAGATCCAGAGCCTCACCAAGAGACCGCTCGCACAGTCGGTTACATCCCTCAAATCCGAGCTAACACACCATCCCCTCACAATCGCGCGAATGTCACGTAAGATGGCCACGGCTCGAGAGTTCCAAGATATCATGGAGCACTCTTTCAACGTCTGCTATGACGCTCTGACCGACAATGTGGGATGGAATGACTTTCGAAATCTTAACGAGCTTGCCGCCGTCATTTCCAGCCTAGAGGGACTCGAGAAGGAGGCACAGATTCTGTTTTCAGCTCAATTTTCCAAGCTGGACCCATCGGTCAAAGAGAACGGCGAGGAGTCAGAAGCAGACGACGAGGAAGAAGAAGACCCCGACGAAAGTGAGGACGATAGTGTTAATGACGGTAGCGACCATGACGACCATGACAATGACGACTATCCGCTCCCAACCGACGAAGGCGACCTTGCCGGCGCCTGGGTCGAGTGCAGCGGAGAGTGCATGCCGGCCCAGATGTGGCGCGCGTGGAAAGGGCGCCCAATGTACTTTTGCACAATATGCTGGAACGTATTTCTGTGCGAAGACTGCTACCACAAGCGGCAAGGATACAATCAACAAGGAGGAGACACGGCATGTAGGGAAAAGGTCGGCACCGTATATTGTGGGACGAACCACAGCTATATCACGCCAATCCCAGGCTGGAAAGGCATCAAGGATGGCGTGATGAACATCCAAGGTCAGAATGGCGAGGAGACCACAAGTGTGAAGTTCAGGGATTGGTTGGAGGAGTTGAAAACCGTCAAGTGGAAACAGGCTTGGGAGCGGTTCTGGTTGAAGGAGGAATGATACAGCTGGCCTCAAGATGTTTGGTTTGGGAACTCCTGTGCCTATCAAATGTTAAACAAGGGCTTTACGCGGGAAGCTACACATCGCAACCCAGTGAACCATTCCAGTGCATTGGGCCGGACCAGTTTACAAGGTAGGAAAGCAAACGAGGAGCAAAACCGTAGAACAATGTGGATTCTTTCACGACAAAAACTCATCTGCTTCGAACTTTGGCCTAGCATCCCCCAGAAGACCAGCCTTTGTCTTCTGCAGAGCAAAAGAACTTCTGCCGGTCTCTGCGCCAGTCCAATCTATCAAATTGCCGGCACAGCGAGAGACAAGGATTTGTGTGGAGATGCGAACTTGATCATCGGTCGACTTTAAGAGTCTGGAGCATATACGGATCAATATGCAGCCCAGCCTTCTCAGACAACCGTGGATGTACGCGTGCATTTTCTGGCGAAAGGCCGCATATTTGGGGAAAGACTGTCTCTAAGCCTTGGTTCAACATCTAAAATGATAGTTGCAGCAAAAACAGCGTTGCCGGCGCGTATGAGCAATGCGTCGGGGTTCAAGACAAATGTATATAGTTGTGGTTCAATTTGTGTGTGGATGTGCAGAAGAAGCGAATGCAGGCGTACCCGAGGCGGGCCCAAAGGTTCGGTCATCCAGATAAAAGATAGAGAGAAGAGCCCAGGTGGAGATGATCAACTTTTCATTTGCTTGCTACTTGACTTTTGATGGTCGTGGCTCGCACCAGCAAAGCACGCTTCCGCTCTTGTGAATGCATCTGTTCATGTCTGTGATTGTGTGCATGATCCGTACTCTCTGAAACATGTTGCCTCCTTCCGGCCAGCAGTCTATGATGGTTGACTGTGCACTTTTGTATTTGACGAACCGCTGGTGCGAAGTCTCATCGTCGCTCGTGTCTATTTGGAAGCTCCGCAGTCGACGATGGTTGGCTTGACCTTGTGCTTGACTTGGCCGGAGCCAGAACCAGTTGCCTCGAGTTTCTTGACGATGTCCAGGCTCTGAGTATCAGCGACCTCGCCAAAGACAACGTGCTTGCCATCCAGCCAAGAGGTGACGACGGTGGTGATGAAGAATTGGGAGCCGTTGCTAGAGGATGGAGGTCAGTATCAACAAAGCACAGTTTGCAGACCGTAATGTCTCAAACTCACGTATTGGGTCCAGCGTTGGCCATGGACAGGATACCAGGTTTGGTGTGAGCTCTCTTGAAGTTCTCGTCTGCGAACTTTTCGCCATAGATTGACTTGCCACCAGTGCCCTAGTGGATCTGTCAGCGTGTGCTCTGGACCAAGCTCTTTTGCGTTGAGTGTTGACGGACATTACCACGGGTGAAGTCACCACCTTGCAACATGAATTGAGGGATGATGCGGTGGAAAGACGAGCCCTTGTAGCCGAAGCCCTTCTCACCGGTGCAGAGAGCACGGAAGTTTTCGGCAGTTTTGGGGACTACATCATCGTAGAGATTGAAGTTGATGCGGCCGCGGTGAGCTGTAGATGAGAGCAAGCATTAGCCGCGGAGCCATGAGCCGGAGGGGTGACAGGAACGCCGATGATGAGGAGAGGACGGATCAGAAGTGCTAATTGTGAAGAGCACGGTGTAGGGAGAAGTAACATACGAGGAGGTGGAGCTTGACCAGCGCGTTCGGCATCAGCTCGTTGCTTGTCAAGGGCCGCGTCGGACCACTCGACCTCAAACCAAGCAGTCATACCCATGGCTGCGGACGATGAAGAGAATTGTCGTGTTGGGAATGAGAGACGGTGGGTGAGTTTTGGATGAGGACGACTTGAAAGAAAGATCGAGGGCGGGGTGGATTGAAATCTGAGAAAAGACCTCAGCGCACAGGCAGGAGGGGCAGACATTTCACGGAGTAATGAGGGGTGGACGATCTGCAAGTGAATTCCAGTTGGTACCGGCTGCAAGGTGGGATGCAGTGAAGGCGCAGGCAAGGGTCTTGGGTGGTGGAGTGGCGGTCCGTTGGATTGAGCTGCACGTGATGTGTCGGTGAAGATAGCTGAAAAGATTTCATCAGCCCGATTCACCCAGCAGGGCATCAATGTCGTAGGTGTCTCCTGTCTGATAATGCCCAGAACTGTGAGGATAGTAGACTTACTGACTGTTTCTATCCAAGATAAAAGCCCAATACTCCGTACAGTCGCTGAGTTGATACCTAGAATTTGATTTCGAAGCTGTCCAATGATGCTAGACACAAGCTGCAATGATGACCAGATCACTTTCCAATCCGCACAGCCGGCAACCCGATGTCCACCTTAGGAATGTCGGAGTACTAATACACAAGTAAATGTACAATGGGAAAGGTCGGAAATACAAGTCCAGTTAGAGATCAGACTGAGGAGAGCTGATGAGAAAGGGACAGTTGGCCCAGCAAACTGGAAGTATGGCAGGTCCCCGGCCAATCAAATGTCGTGCTAAGGATGGAAAGGGGTTGACTGGCCGAACACTGAAGCAACACGTAGCCACGTCCGACATTCATGAGGTGCTTACGATCAATTATATCGATACGTTCGTACAGTATATGCCGCTCGAATGCGGCTCTGTAGCTAATAGGCCGTTGAATCTCTATCGTATTGGGTCGGTATGATGGTTCAACTGAAATCATCGTCGGCGCCTCTTCCCGGGCCAGCTTCAATGGCCATCACCCTCGACACCAACTCCTTGGTCTCTCGTGCAATTCGGAACGCAAGAGGAGGTAGCTGCTGCAAATTCTCCTTTTCAGGCGTCAATTCTTTGCTGACCTGCGACATCTGCTCCCGGCAGTTTTGCAGGATTGTCACAATAGGCCCTGACTTCTCCCTCAGTGTCGTTTGGTATGAGGAGGGCTCATTGCCCGTTCTGTCCACGGAATTGATAATGTCCTCAATCGTGCTGGAGATGGTGGTCATGTGCAGTTGAATGGTGGGCATGGCATCGTTGTTCCGAACAGAATCGACCAAGGAAGTGATAGACTTGACGAGCCCATCAGTTCGATCTTCGAGATACATCTGCGCATTGTTAGCGTCAAGTCTCCTGCACCTTCGCGCTGGACCCACCTTGAGATCCTCGAGGTCGGCCTCCTCCTGGCTGCTTGCATAGCCTCCTTTAATTCCTAAGCCGGCACCGGCGACAAGGTTGGAATCATGGCGCAGGTGTGAATTTGAACCGCTTCGGTTGGGTGCATTTCTGCTGGCGGACGGCGTGCTGAGAGCACTGTAGATGCTCTCAATTTCGCTCCGCCTTCTCAAGGTCTCGGCAATATTGAAATATCCATTGCTCTGCAGAGACTCCAAGTTGGGCTCATCGTCATGTCCCAATTCCCCAGCAGGTGTAGGGCGTATCTTCACGGAGTGAAGCAAATCAACTACAGCGGCCGTCAAATGCGAGGCCGCTGCGTCCAGAAGACTGACAGGCGACAGTCCACTTGCAGAAGCAAAATTCTTGGACGCAGTGATGAGATTGTTTGCTGTTGCCGACACCTTACTCTTGAGCTTGCTCCTCCGTTTGCTTGCCTCATCGTCCTTTGCTGCCGATGAGCCTGACTCGATGTCAGATGTAATTCCGCGTACTGCCACTACCACTATTTTCATGTGATCAAGCACTGCGGCAGGGTTATCGGACCTCGCAATCTGGAGCAGCTCGTCGATGGCCATCTGGAATTTCGTGACGTTGACGTCCCTGACCAGTCCGTCACGGTCTTGAAGAGCCACGGCGTGCTTACTGGCGTCGGTACGGGGAATGTCAAGGCCCAGAGAGCTTGCGCGCACGTTCCTAACTTGCGCCTTGGCTCTGACATACCGACTTTTCCAGTTCTTGACTTCGTCTTCCAGCTTCTGCACTTCTGCTTGCAACTTTTCCTCCTTTTCGAAATTGCCTCCACCAGATTCCGTCAAGGTCCTCATTTCCTCTAGGTATGCCTGACCTTGTCGGCTCACTTCGTTGGTCAGCTGTTGCTGTTGTGCCAGCTGTTCCTCCAGAACCCCATGATCCTGTTCGAGTTTGAGGTACTTCGTCTTCCAGAGAACGTTCTCCCCACTGTAGTGTGGCTGCTCAGCTCTCAGCTTCTCGATCTCGTCCTGGAGCGACTTATTCAAGTTTTCTGCTTCCTCCAACTTCTTCTCTAGATCCTGTTTTGTTATGACCCATTCTTCGCCCTTAATCTTCAGTTGATTAAGTTCCGCATCCTTGAGTTCCAGGTTGGACTCCAGTCTGGAGACCTTGTCCTGGAGCTCAGTCAATGCTGGCAGGCTGGGTTTCGTGGAATTCGTGCTTACGCCACTCTGCGATGTGGCAGCCGTATCTCTATCGCTCCTGGGGCTGGCAAAAGAGCTTTCGAGGGCAAAAGCATCGCTGGACCTGTCATATTTTGAATCTCCCTGGGAATCGTCTTCGTCCTCGACCATCGTACTTTTGTTGGGGGTGATTGTGTTGCTCTGAAACTGCTTGGGCATCGGTCTTCCAAGGTCCGCAAGCGTAGGAGGATTCTCAATAGGCGGAAGACTGGACACTGATTCTTGCCTTTGAGAGTAGCCTTGTGCGCCTGAGCCGCCAAAAGTCTGGGCTCGGGAAGGGAGCCCGAAGCCGTTTGGTTGTGGAGGACCATCTCTTGATGGCGGAGCCGGACCTCTAGATTGAGAGCGCGAACTATCCCTCCTACCGCCATCAGGCCGCTGGAATTGTGGAAATCTGCGCTCCAACTCGCAAAAGACGTCCGTCGACAGATCGCGGAACCGGGGCGTCTGCAGAGAGGAGAGCTTTTGTCTGGCCTGATTCCGCTTCTCGTGAAAGTCTGGTCGTGGTTGTAAGAAAGGAGGCACGTTCTGTTGACGGGGCGGGCGACCTGGGAGAGGTGCCAAGGCCTGCCTTCTTTGCAACTCGTCAAAAACATCGGTACTCAGTTCATGGAATTGAACAGGCGACAATCGCAAGAGCTTATCCCGAGCCTTGTTAGGACGAGGAGGAGCCTGAGAAGCGCCCTTGAGAAACCCTTTTAGGACGGTATAGTGTTGAAATAATTCCGCCTCCATCCGCCTGTATTTTCTGCTTTGCTCGTCCGATAACGTGCCATCACTCGAGCGGGAATTGGCAATCGATGCAGTGCGCGAAGAACCCCTAGACCCCGACTCGGAAGGGCGCCGTTGTCCCATGGGATCGAGCTGGGGAGGTGTAAAGTTCATGCCGCTGCCATTGGGAGGGCGCGCGTAAGGGCCGGGTGGTCTCGCGGGACCGAATTCATCCCCGGGCACGTTAAGAGGTTGAGGTTGGTATCCACCATCGTTCCGCGACAGTTGATTGTAATTGTTGACGCCAGACCATTCGCTGGCGGTTGAGACAGGGGACAACTCAGGTGCTCGAGGGAGGGAGGATAAGGCCGCCTGCATATTGTAGACGCATCGACTGCGACAGTCAAGGTTCGGACAAAGGAGAAGCTGCGTAGCCTTTGCTACAGTCTCTTCGCTTGTGTGGGAAAGAGGTATGTGAGGCACGAAATGTAACAAGGTCGGTAGCGGTGCAACGGGTCAAAGAGCGGACGAGGGTGGCTGGATTCGACGCTCTCTGAGATGCTGTATCCTCCGAAGGTCAGCCCGGACTGTCCAGCAGACGGCAATGGGTGTAAACGAGCGTGGTGTTGACTTGGGCAATGGAGAGGAGGTAAATGGCAGTGTGTAGGCACGGAATCGAAATCGGGAGAGTGCGACTGTGGTGCAGCAATAGTCTGTCTCCAAAAAGCGCAGGCTCGACAGTGGGCTCACAGGCGTGACAGGCTCACTGGATCACTGGCCGGATGACTTGCAGCCAATTGGTGACGGCCTTTGTGGTTAAGAGGGCGAGCCCATTGTTTGCGGCGGAAGCAGATCAAAGTACGGAGTAACTGACGCTTCTTTATTCCCCTCCCTTGCCTCTATATTACGGTCTACTGCCTCTATTGGCCCAGTCCTCGTTGTATATGCCGGGTAACTCGTTCTTCGCCATGGGAGACGCATACGATGGCCATCCAGAACACCAGCATCCAGATCTAAAACTTTTTTTGGACCCCCTTACTGACCCAGCCCCAATACAACCCAGATCCACCTGATCTGACGCGCCGGCGGAATCTCCACTATCAAACAAAGGATGCGCGACACTTAAGCTTTGATGTTTTCAGAGTGGTAAATCACTGCTCCAACTCCAAATCTTCAGGCTTCTTTGGCGCCAAAAGAACCACAAATTGGACGTCCCTGGCGCCTTGCCGCTTGGTGGCGTCTACCATCGGTGTGCTCTGGGCTGTTGCCAGTGAAGACATTCATTATGCTTTCAGAACACCGTACGAACTAGGCTAACGACAGCGGCTAATGATGATCGCTCATCTTCTCTATCGTGTACTGGAATGTTGTACAAAAGTTGCCAGAATTACTCTCGGCCGCGCCTCTGCCATGAGCGCGGGAAGCGTCCACCTTTCTTCATTCATTATGCCTTTCCCAAAATTCCGGTCATAGTGATCAATCACAGCCAGTCGATGGTCGACGCGGACCTCGGTCCTCCAAACGCCACATGCTAATCGCCGATATATGTAATGTTGATCGTCTGTACAGATGTGGCCCGCCCACAAGTTCATTTGCCGGTCGTCATTTTGAGGGAAGACGGTATTGATGGTCCGGTCTGTGCTCGAAGGAAGGGCTCGACCGCTGCTGAGACGGGCGTTGTGGCCCGAGTAGGCACCGCGCTTCGATTGTGTGCCATGTGTGCTTTTACCAGATGACCTGCTGCAAGAGCACTGCAGAGACTCAACTCGCCTGCAAGCACGCCTGCTGCGACGATCCTGGCCAATCTTCGAGCATTATCGCCCGGATTTGTCGGGTGTGATCCTCGCACTCCGAGCATCTCCAGCATCGATGATTGGGCTTCCAAGATGGTGCCTCCGCCAATGGTGCCAACCTCGATTGACGGCATCGACACACTGATTTGGAGGTTTCCGTTGAGGCTGTTCGCGTGTCAGTCGTTGCAAACTGGTATAGACAAAATCAACTTACTTCTTCATGATGGTAATGCAGTTAGAGCTCTCCACGTTTTGCGCCGGATCCTGGCCCGTGGCCAGGAAGATTGCCGTGACAATATTCGAGGCGTGAGCGTTGAAACCTCCTATGCTCCCGGCCATCGCACTGCCGATCAGGTTCTTGGACACATTGAGTTCGACGAGTGCGTCCACGTCGCTCTTCAGAACATTGCGAACCACGTCTCCTGGAATGACGGCCTCAGCAACCACGGCTTTCCCTCGGCCATCAATCCAATTCACCGCCGCTGGCTTTTTGTCGGTGCAGTAGTTGCCTGATATGGTAATTGTCGACATGTCCTCAAAGCCACACTCGGTTGCCATCACAGACAAAGCTTTCTCTACTCCCTTCGAGATCATATTCATACCCATAGCGTCACCTGTCGTCGTCTTGAATCGAATGTAGAGATACGTCCCCGCCATGGCCGTCTTCATCGACTGCAGTCGAGCAAATCGGCTGGTAGAGTTAAATGCTTCACGCATCCTCTGCTGGCCTTCGTCGGAGTCGAGCCACACTTTTGCTTCGCCGGCTCTGACGAGCGTAGGAAAACCGACGCACGGTCCCCTGGTCATTCCATCACCAGTAACAACGGTAACTGCACCCCCACCAGCATTGATGGCTTTGCAACCACGGCTGGTGCTAGCTACCAACACTCCCTCGGTCGTGGCCATTGGCAAGAAATATTGAAGGCCGTCGATTATGATAGGTCCAGCAACGCCGAGGGGAAGAGGCAGGTAGCCGATCACATTCTCACAGCAGGCGCCATGCACGAGCTCGTAGTTGTAGTCCTTGTATGGAGCTTTCGAGATTTCCAAACCAGCTGCCACATGTTTTGTTGCCGGGGTGCGTGACACAACTGCTCTTCGAACCTTCACCGCTCGCACAAATGCTTCTCGCCGGCTCATGACTTCCGGGTTCTCCAAGGTCTTCTCGATCGCATAACCGGGGATCTTACCCTTCAGCGACAAGTCGATCAGTTCCTCATCGGTCAAATACGCGGCCTTCTTTTCTTTGAGCATCTGCTCCCGTTCTACCGGCGACCTCTCAGAGTGAACTGGCGCCGTGAGAGTGGTTCGTCGAGGTCTCGGTGTCACGGGCAGCTCAAGCTCAGGTGCCCTTTGTGCGGCTGGTGAACTAGTGGCGGATTGTGGCTCTTTCAAGCTCCAACGTGCGGCGTTGAAAAGGTAGCCGTTTAGTATTAGACTCAGAGTAAGAGCAATCAAAACCCATTTGCTGAGAACAGGGTCTTCCAGGCTACTCAAAACGCCTTCGATTACACGGCCGCCCACAACGTTCAGCAGCTGGTCAGTATAGTCCGTATCGAAGAAGCCGAGGTCGTCTGTTGTGTCCGCACGGGGAAGGTGGGGATAGTCGAGCTCGTACTTGATGGGAGGAAGCACGGTAACATAGGTCTCTTGCTTCTGACTCTTAGCTGTCACATAAATGGCATCCAGGCCATTTTCTGCGACCTTGAAGGGATCAATGGGTGCAGGAGTCAGGACGCTTGGCATGGCGGCACCTGTTGTTTTGGCTGTCCGGAATGGGATTGTGCAGAGGTTGACCAGGTTGATAATGACAAAACCAGTGACCATCCAGATCTTGAATTTGGGCACACTGTTGGCTTTGATCTTCTGGCCGAAGATGTTGAACCCTGCTGCTTGACCGGACTGTCCAGCGGGCCAGTCGTTGTTCGTGGCAACGTCTTCGGCAACACGGTGGTTGATGCCATCCTCTTCGAGAGCTTTGCGTAGAGCGACATGGCGTTTGATGCGATTGATCTCGAGTTTGATGCAAAGGATGGTCGCGTAGAAAGTGAAGAGGAGGAGACAGTCAAACACCAAGATCCATGCCGCTAGAAAACAGAATTGTCGTAGACCCCCTTGAATGCCTGAGGCCGCGCCCAGAATAAGAATGGCGATTTCAATAGTGTAGTCTCGCACAATCTCAAATCCGGTCTCCCTGACCGCAATCTGGATCGCGTCTTGGATGGAGCTGGGCGAGTTAGGAGCGACCACTGGACCATTAACACTGCCACTAGCAGAGCCGTTCTCCAAGCTTCGCCAGTTCTTATCGTATGAGGCGGACAGAACAGCTTTTGTGAGAATGATTGACTTCTCAAAGCCCACTGTAACCACGAGAAAAGGCAGCCCTTCCGACAGCAAGACCATGTTGACCGGAACACCAAGTTTTGTTGTAGTTACCAGTCCAAATAAGAAGGCAAACAGGCTCGAGAAGAGCACTGATACCGCCAGCCAAGCATTGGAACCGAGACGTTTCATGGAGACGAACAGCGAGAGAAAGGTGAGATGCATCGACAGGTAACCGAGAGACATTATGATGATGTCCAGCGTTTCAGCATGCTTGAGCAAATCGACAAAAGACGTCCATCCTTCCCGGAACCACGTTGTGTAGGCCCCACGCGCTCCATTGCCACTCAGGCGAGCAGCTTTCATGAACCATGAAGGTTGTCTTTGTTCCCCCGACTTTGCCTGTTGCACCGGAAGCTCTTGTGCGGCTCTCAGGAAGTCGGGGAGTTCGGAGAAGGATGTGTAGAAGGCGAGCGAGGTGTCGTGGGATATGGGCGAGAGCAGGTTCGAGGTAGTCGGGATGTTGGTGGCCGTCACATTAGCCGGAATGGAAACGGCACTGACTTCAGGTGCCAGCTGATTCGAGGAAGAGTCTGGGAAGACAAAGGTTGAGATCGCATAGTGGTGGGGACCCTGCAAATGGGCCTCGTCAGTTCTATCGTGTGTCCCAGCCAGATAGCACTTACCAGCGAGACCCGGGGGATACTGGAGTCTTCTGGGAACTGCCATTTCCATGCAGTCTTCTCCGACAGCTCCAATGTCCTGCTTCCTTGCAGGAGGGCCTCCACATCCACCTTTCCGTTGTGCTGGAGAGATTTGAGCCCGCTGTCGAATAAGCTCTCTTGCAACAGGCCCACGTAGGAGGTGCTTGCGAACAAAGCAATTGCAACGACCGTGTGAATGGGATGCGCACATGCCAGACTCGAAATGGCCAGAAGATTGGAGGTAACCGTGCGATTCAGCCAGCCGTCACTTTTGCCCAGAGAGCGAAGTTGTTTGGGGAGGAGATTCGAACCTCGGACCATTTTGAGAGAAACCGACGAGGTAGAGGAGGGTAGGACGAAGGAAAATGATTCACGCCTATCTTTCCATGCCCGAGACGGTTGAACAGGTCCTGCTTGTCATGTGTCAGTCGCATTGCACAAAGACATAGAGGCCAAAGGTGCAGAAGTGCAAGTGGCGGTCAGGAGCCGACAGGGAGGCCGTCGCATACCAATCTATAGCAGCACGGTCAGTGACTTCACGATCTTCCGAGCAGTTAGCGAGCAATATTTCCACCCCCAAGAACGAGTGCAGGATCAAGGTGAGAGGCAGGTTAGAGAGACAATAGGGAGTAGGAATAGACCATGGCACAAAGCCATCGGCTCGAAGCGACAAATCGCCCTCTCTATGAAATTTCCAGCAGGCTTGCGATCGTCTCCAGTGTGCCCACCTGCAAGGTTTCGGTTGTTTGGGGGTCCATGCAGCCAAAGGAGGCTAGGGGGGTACCTTGTTTGGTAACTGAGGAGCCTAGCCACCCACCACCGCGCTGCCTGCAGATTTGGTGCTCACGGCTGGCTTATCCGCATGAAGTCCTTCCTCTCCCCGCCCAATCATTCGGCCGTTGAGGATTTTCACCACAGATGCTGGCCAACGGCGGCGTGGGCCCATTCGGCATCTGCTCCCAAGTCTCCCCACTGCTCTCCGAAACTCGCACCCACAAACGAGGTACAGGTACTGTGGTTTTCATCAGATTTGCCATGCGTGTGTGGTACCTCGTACTCAGAAGTACCACGGTATATCAATGCCGCCCCAGACAATCGTCATGACTCCAAGTAGGAGGTGTGTGGGTGGCGTGGATGACTTATATTTGGAGCTGTACCTGCATGCGTACGTTTCACAACACAATTCCTGCTGCGGCAGTTACACAGTACATACGTCGCCGTCGCCCACAACCAGCTGAAACGGACTGGTTGGCTTATGCCACCCAGTATCTGTCCTTGGATGCGAATTGCCTAGAGGATTATCTTCGTTCCCTAATTTGAATCAGAGCTCCAGCTTTCTTTTCAAAAGTAAACGGCAGTGGTTGCATCCACTCGTTCGGCCCTTTCCACAAACTCTGGAGGGACGCTTTGAGCATCGGCTGGTCCATCTGACTGTCGCCGGTGTCTTCACGAAGCCAACGGTGCCAAAACCTCTCGATTCACGTTGCTGCTGCCTCTGCAGTCTTTCTGGGTGCAAACAGCGCAAGCGAATGCCCCCTTCAACAAATATCTGCTCAATTTGATTCTTTCCGCGACCAATGGCATCAGCAGACGCCAGGATAAGCTTCCTGTAACCCTCATCGCTGATAAAAGTGCCTCTCGTCTCCACAGGAACAATAGCGGGCATTCAAAGTCGCTGATGCCTTCTTTGCAACATGGTATGGGCTGAGGACCCTCATCCCGCGGCGAGATTTGTTTTGCATTGGCTAGTGGTGCGTCGACCTAGTCGGCAAACCCGATGTCCTCCTGCTCGTCTCCGGTGCCTTCGGCAAGTCTATTCACCTCCTCTTGCTCGGCCTGGTCAGCTTTCTCCGAGAGTTCGTTGGCCGCCTGATCGCTAGCCTCTTCGTTCCTCTCTTCGTGGCCGACCAGTCTCCATTCATTCTCGCAGACCATTCCGGAAACATTAGTGTAGGAGGGTAAAAATGCCTCTCGCGTATGGTCGAAGCACTCCTCGTCCCAGGCGAAAGGTGCCCGTGGGTCCATTTCTGATTCGGTCGGTCTCTCGAAAAACCCTGCGCAGCGTAGAAGTCAGGAGGCCATTTGGTATCCTCATCACTCGCCGCGTAGTCTTCGTTCCCCGGAAATCCAGACATAGTGGTGATGGCGGCCGCAAGAAGCACGATAGCGTCTGAACTGGCGGGGTGATCAACTCCCCCCTGCCAACTTCCATATCGCGACGGTCATGGCTCAGACTCTGCTACAGAGCTCGTGGATCGTATGCCTTGCACATCGTCGCGCGATGAACAGATTCTGTCAGGGCAGCGCGACTAGCGTAGTATCGCTTTCTTCTTGCCAAACTCGGAGCTGCTGTACCCCCTGTAACCAGTATTTCGCATTCGCTCGACAAACTAGCACGTACATGATACCATCCGTTCTCGAGGGTAGGCTCGCTCAAATCAAACCCTGGGATAGTCGAGGATTGAAAGCTGCCGCCACTGTCAGCACGGCGCCTCCCCAGCTCGACCAAAGCAGACCCAGCGGCGGTCGCATCTCGTCTTGCAAGTAGTTGACCAATTGTGCAATATCTCTTGAAGCGGCGTACCAATGTGGTTCACCGCCTGTGAGTCTCGATTCAACAATTACGATTGTCAGCAAGAAGCAATGTCCATAGCCCATAGGGTCCGGACCGGAGGTAGTCCTGGTTGACAGGGCGGATCCCGCACGAATGGTTCGTATGACTCCTTGTTGTCGCCCGGAGGCTGCCCATGTTGCACGATAGGCGCTATAGCATAATCATCGTCCGAACGCGTCCTCGATGTAATGGGTACATATTGTTTCACATGGAGTCCAATCGAGACTTTGTGGATCACGCACTCCTCTTCGGTATCCTCTTGGGTGGCATGGTACGATGACATGTCTTCAATTGTCCACAACGACCGGGCTCTGCCATTGATTCAATCTCGCGACTGTACAAGAAGGTGCAATGCCGCGCACTTGGTACGGGGGTCGACCTCACATAACGTATCGTCAGCATTGGCAGACGTCGGCTTACATACTTGCTGTGGCACCTTGGAGACGGCCACGTGGCGGCCTAAGAGGCAGTCCTCTTGGTGGACGACCAATGCTCGTCTCATATCATGGATTGCCGTTAAGCACTTACCAGTCGATGCTGGACTATCGGGTCACTGTCAAGAAGCCGTTGAAGACGTGGACGATGTAGCTCCGAGCCGGAACGGGTATAGCCGGGCGTTCTCCTCGGTTACTTCCGGCTTGAGAAGTCCAAAAGTTGAGACCAACTAATCATTGCCACAGCGCTGGTGAGCAGCGTAGCAAGCTCTCCTCCGATATTTAGACGCGGGAGCTTCTACCGTCGGAGAAATAGTAGTCATCCTCAGTTCAACCCTATCAGGAACCGTCAACACGGCTGTGAAACGCAATAAGCGATATGAGAAAAGCTAGACAAAGCCCAGAGCACAGTACAGAAGGCGGCTTGAGGCGCAGTTGGTGTAAGACGAACTGCGTGAGTCAATGCAGCCAATCAGGTGCGTTGGTGACGAGCCCGTCCGCCAAACCACCAGTGTACTACAGTATGCCCGCCACGTCCCATCTATCGGTGGAAGTATCTCCTCTCAAGATACCTGAACGGCACGTATGTGATCGCTGTGAACGCAAAAGCCAATTCAAACCCAATATCCCCACCGTACCCGGTACCTATCAACCTCCCGATTGGGCCGATGAACCAGACCTGCGCCATCCCCATGGCCGCACCCAGAATGCCAAAGCAGAAAGCTGCTGCTGCGGCAATGCCTGGTGGGAGATACTTTGGTTGATCGTAGATTTCGGGCTTGTAGCCGCGCATCCCACGCTTGAAGATGAAGTGTTCAGGTAGAGAGATGCCCTCGTAGATGGCCAACCAGTAGCCGATAACTAGCATGAAGTTTTCAAGGACAGATTCAAAATGCTAAGACAGATTAGCGAGTCTTACAATGGGAGTGGTAGAAGCAAGGAAAGGGGTGTGACGTACGTCAGCGCCTGGAATTGCAATGGCGCAGTAGGTGATGGTGGCAACTAGCGTCCAGATGAAACGAGGCACCATTTGCGCGTAGTGCGTCAGAGTCTGCAAAGAGAACGCTATAGAGTACTGATTCGGAATATTGTTGCCGACGATCGAGAGAGCTAGGATGATGAGGCAGAACTTGCCGAAGCCTCCCAGTGGTGGGACAAGAACTTCGTGCAAGAGACCACCAACGGCATCGGTGGCGTAGGCATCCGCGTAGGCCTGATTCGTCGGCATGGCGGTCGCGACAGCTACACCCAGCATCTGGGTGAAACATAGAGGGAAGATCAAGCCGGCGAAGACGTAGAAAAAGATCTTTGTCCGGGAGGTGTTCGCAGGTTGGTAACAAGTGTAGTCACTGGCATAGGAAGCCCAGCCCGTGGCAAATCCGAACACGGACGCCGCGAAAGATAAGACTGACCCAGCCTCGCCTTCGCCGTTGCCCATCGGGATGTTGACGAAATCGCCACGATGCGCAAACTCCCCGATAACAATGAGGAAGATGATGAAGCAGGGGACCCAAGCGACCATTTCGTATATATGCACAACTTTGTACCCGAAGAGCGTGACAAAGAAGGTGCACGCAGCGATGGTAATGATGCCTGCCCACGCCGGGACGTCTGGGTTGACGGCATGGATGAGTTGAGAGCCCACGATCACATTGACAGACGACCATCCCAGGCAAGCAAGACAATTAAAAATAGCGACTAGGAAATCGTCAGCGAGGCTAAAATGGCCCGAGTAAAACTGGCATACTGATCTTGACCCCGTAGTAGCCGAAGAAGAAGCGGCTGAGAATCATCTGGCGCATGCCAAACCTGGGACCGAATGTCGAGAAGAAGCAGACTGGTAAGATTCCGAACATGTTGATGAAGAGAATGGTCAGGACGGAATCGACGAACCCCAGGCCAAAGACTGGCACTGCGAGGACGCCGATGGCAAAGGAAGAAACGACCATATTCGCTGCGAGCCACTGTTGAAAGGGTCAGCACCCACATCTTCATTACCAAAGAGGGGCTCTGGAAACCTACCATCGTGCCCACTTTGAAGGTGCTTTTATCCATCTGCTCATCTGCAGGAACACGTTCAATGCCGCGCTGCTCAACATGAAAGCGCCCGGCCAGACGTTGTATTTTGGCGTACATCGAGTCGCCGATGGTGAACGATTCTCCATGCACGGCGCCCGAGGCATCGGGTGCGACAAGAGAATGGTGCCTTTCGTACGCCGCGGGTTGTTGATACTCGACATCGCAGCCATTTTTTCCGTAGCCGCTTTTCTCGTAGGAAGCCATCTTGCCAGGCGATGAGCCTAGAAGGCCTTGACAAAACGACACTCTTGATGGACCGCGAATCAACGATGAAACGACAGCTCAGTGGAAATGAGACGTTGGCAAACTACACCGAGAATACAGTGGGGACAGAGGAGTAATATAGTAGATGTTGGACAAGACGATAGGTCGTGGATACCGCCGTCACTCTAGCGGTGCGACCTGTCTGGGCCCAAGCGGCGGCTTTCCCATCTTCGAGATAAGGGTCTTGGTATCGGGGGAACGTGAGAGCTATGCAGCCCCTGCTGAATCGGTCGCAGCCGAACACTTCATCGGGCTTCACTCGCTGCTGGACATCCCAGATATCATCTCTCGTACTCATACACACCACAGAGCAGGCTCAATGCCTACGTTGAGTGCCTCCTCATAGTAGGCTGGAGTATGTCCTGGATACCACCTTCACATTGCCCCACCCGTCACCTACCGGTCGGGGCTCGCCTTTTAGTGGCGTTTGCAGCTTCAGCACCATTTGTACGGCCACCGCGCCTCCCTGATGTCGGGAGTGGGTATCGCTCGAGCATGGACACCTGAAAGGCCACGCGAGTTGGCGCCAGGGGACAAGCGAAAGAAGCATGGCCTGCACCAAGCTTGAGGAAGCTTGAAGCCGAAGCTTTGGTGTGAGTGGAGGAAGGATGGAGAAGACTGGTGACGAGCTTCCAGAATTGGGCGTGGCCTCGCTTGGCGTAAGAAAGCTCGAGATAAGGCGTCAGCTTGTCCAATTCGATGCAGTACTGTGTACGAGTAACTAATGCCGTTGCTAATCGCCCATTGGCTTCGCCACTGGCCGAAACGTTATCGGTGTTCGGTATTCTGGAAGAACTGCGATCTCGTCTCGCCAGTTGCAGGCCCACTAGAGCTGATCGCTGGCTTACCGACTTGCCTCTGTTTATTGGCAGCTACGGGAAGACGGGCCCTTGTCTCGGCAAAGAACCAATCCAGCGTTGTAGTCCACTCGCTGAGGTTGAGCCTGAAACGCGTATGCACTGGAGAGGGCCAGAGCTGCCAAATGTAGGCCAATTTGGACCGTTGTCAACGTTATTGAACGCACTTTGGACAAGATTTTTTGCGCATCTCCCAGAAATTGAGACGCAAAGCCAGATAATAAGGTCGTCCATTCCAACAGCCGCAAAGCTGCCAAAGGCTAATGGAGCTAAGTACTTGAGCATGTGGGATATCTATGTAATCTCACGGCAACAGCACCGAACCCGACCACAGCGATTATAGGGTGAAAGCTGTATGCAAACGGCACTGCTCCCAAGACGAATAGAGCCAGTGCTCCGGCATTGCGAATCCTCCATCTTGTTACTTCGCTTTGATCTCAAATTCCCCCGCCCAACGGGTCCAGATCTGTAAGCTCGTCCCCGCGTAGACTGTTGAAGTTGTGGGGAAAATCCACTATGCCGTCCAGTATCCAATTGAGTGGGTCGAACACATCATAATCTGGCTGGCCATATTCCACGTTAAGAGGATCAGCTGTTCGAGGGATGGCTGGCTCTGACAGCATAGGCCCGTTCATCGCTGAGACGGAGTCTGTGCTCGAAGCAGGAATGTTCACTTTGGTATCGGGCTGCTGAAGTTGCGGATTTTGTTGCCTCACTGATACCTAGTCAGTAACTGTCTCAAAGACAAAGATGGCATTCTTACCATCAGCTGGCTTTCCGCCTCGGAAATGGAAATTCTGTCGCCACTGCCAAACCGAGTCGAAGACCACAGACATGGACATCCGACACTTGACCTTGAGCTGGAGACTATCATCGGCAGCACCTTCGCCGATGCTGTTACGGTTTGGTTCCGCACGCACACGCCCGCTTTTCCAGACTTGAGCTAGGACCTCCGACAAGCGTTCGGCCAGGTCGTTTTCCTCCACGCTCATGCTCCTCAGCGCCCAAACCGTCCTGGATAAAAGCTCGGAGGCACCCTTCTCGTCTAGCTCATGCTCGCCGAGGAAGTGATGCATGAGTTTGAGGAGTGAGAATCCAGCGCCAAGCATCGTGAAGAATATATAGTTCGTCGCATGTGACAAGGATAGGCCATGGGAATAGCTTGATGGCAGATTGACGCTGATGTTTGATTCCAGACTCAGACAAGTCTCAAGAAACTCAGTTGTAGCATAGTACAGTTTCAGCATGTCTGTCCGGTACGACGGTAATGAAGGGGGCGAGAAGAAGGCACTCAATCTCATGTGGAGCCCGGCAGCCTTGAGGTATATCTTGGTAATAGGCGAAGTGTCCTTGCGAAGTTTATCTTCAAGTTCCTCCAGTTCATGTGCGAGGAATGACACGTAAGTAGGACGTTCCGTGTCCATTGCGAGGCCGACGGGGTCGTGTGGGTTCATGTAAAGCGTTCTTGACACCTTGTCAACGAATTTTTCTATCAGCAGTCGATTGAATATCGGAGCCGGCAGTTCGTAGCTGGGATTTGTTTCCAAGGGCTTCGGCCCCAGGGTCCAGTCGTAGATACTGAGAGGTGGTTGCCCATACGCCGTGCATATCCTCTGGGCGACAATATTGCACACGCTCCAGACCACGACTCTATCCTGCAACTCCACCTCTCTTAGCTCGACCCTGAACTTACTGAAATCTTGTGCATGTGTTGGACGATGCATACCAATCTGCAGGGCTATCTGCATCATCAGACCACAGAGCATGAATGTTGGATCTGTGGAAGTGCTGCTCGTAGGCAATGGCCAAGCGCACAGTAAGATGAGGGCCTTGATCATATGGTAGTTTTGTGGTACCTCAGCAACCGTTGACCATACCAACCGCATTACGGGCCCAGTCAGGGTATGGAAGAGCTCAGGCTCAGGAGTGTAATGACGAGCACCTACAGCGATGATTGTCCAAAACAGCAGGGGCGATCTGGCGTAGTAATCCTCGGCCGTTTTGTCAGGGTTGAGAAACGGCAGGAATGGGTGATGGAATGTGAAGAACCGTTGAAAGAGTTCTTGTGCCCGATCCTGGGTGAGCATCACGTCTTCCAGCCGTTTAAATACTGGTCTTCCTGTGCCGCCGCCTCTCAGATCGAGCAATCCTGCGGCGGCAGCATCCGATGTGAAAGCCCCGTCTCCCGTGGGCGATGGTTGCAGAGCAGCTTTGCCAATGGTATGAGCGCCGTTGGCTACACCTGCTGTCTTTGGTTGTGAAGCCACCTGTTTGCGCAGCTCGATGATCTCGCGCTCCATCTCTGCATTTCGCGATCTCTTGCCAACACGCTTGAAGTTGTCTTCGATCTTGCACCCAAGGTTGAGGCGCTTGCAGCGAGTGCACATCTGGAAGGGCTCTTGGACAACATCGCATCGCAACTGCGTGATGACGATTAGCACAGGACTCGAGGTGACAGGGCACAAGTTGGCTCGAATCGATGCGCAAGGCCATCGGAGGGCAAATGGGTAGATAGCGGCATGTTAACGACGGACTAGTGTACGCAGCCCTCCCAAGGCTCAGTATACAGTTGCAAGTGTGACGGCTCACCTTCTGCTGGCGACATTCGTTGCAAGCTCTTTTCACCGGCCTGCGCCTACCATCGCGCCCATTGTCATCACCATTAATGTCTGGTGACTCGAGGCTTGCCGGCGAGCTGTCGAAACCGGCCGCGGAGGCATTTCTTTTGTGGCTCTGGGTAGGACTGGCGAACGCCGTGCCAGGACCATCGCCAGGGCTTGCGGCGGATATTGAAGCCAGATTGAAATCGTCGCCAATCTCAAGGCCGAGGAGGGTCTGAATTGGGATTGTCCAACTTGCGTGCGCCATCCGATATCGCAGGCTCGCAGGCAAAGTCCGTGTCGGTTGCTAAGAGATAAGATAAGATCTGGAGGGCATAGAAATGGAGCTGGTCAACAAGTGTTCCTTGCGCCAATTAATTGAGGGGCTCTCGCCTGCATTGGCAAATAAGTTCATGTCCCTAAGTGGAAAGCGCCTCTACCATCGTTGTTCACTCGTGAATTGGGCGGACGTGTCGGAGATTGCCAATGGCGAGCTCTAAAGAGAAGAGAGAGCTCTTGAAAGGTCCACTGAAGAAAGCACCGAGGTGTGAGAAGGCGGTCGAATCGAGGAGCAATACCCAATTCACCCAACCACAAGCCCAAGATCAGCGCGGTGAGAACAAAGTGAGTCATTTTACTAGCGAATTGAGAGCTAATGAAGAAACCAGTAACCGTTTTCGACTCCAGCATCACGTTTGAACCATTCCTTGACTCTGTCGGGCTTGAGAATCTGAGGCAGAGGCAACAGATGGATGCCAAAGCAGAAGAATCAAACACCAAAGGATAGCATGCAATTGTAGTCAACTCCTCGCTAGAAAGCCGTTTCATCTGGGTTTGCCGTGCACTGATGGTACATGCTCATTATTTCATTTCAATCATCAATCATCAAGACGTCAGATCGTGCGTAAGTCTTGCTCCTAATACCCCAATTACCACCAAAACATGATCGCAACGCTGCCAGCTAGCCTCACAAACGCCCAAGTGAAAAGAAGATCCGGAGCCGCCAGGGCCAGGATGATGTATGGTGAACACCTTCTCGAACGTCCTCGAATGTCGTAAGACGGGCGGCGTAGGCGAACAACCTCGTCAGACCCGGTAACATCGACTTGTCCGTGAGTGTAGGGCTTATATCTCTCTTCCCAAGCTCGTGTTGCTGGCTGGAAACCGGGAGTCGCCTTGTGAGACAACATTCGCTCCGATGCTCCGTCGAAGTTCAGCTCTCCGTTTTTCTCTCCGTTCGTCCTCTTTCCGCTGTTTGGCAAGCAACATCCTTTCTTGAACGGCCTTGATTCCAATCTGAGCGAGGTGGAAGCGTAAACCTAGCCCTGAAGATCGGTGCAATTTGCGAGACGATCGAATTCTTGCTAGACTTGATTGACTTGATTGCTTCACGACCCCTCTATTCTGCCTGCGACGTTCGGAGATGCGCCGGATCAGAGACACGGGCCCTGTAATGACAATCCTCTCTTGGGGCAGACCCAAGGAATTGTTAACAAACCCTTCAGCAAGTACGTGTGCTGGCTGTTGACCTTCTGGGCGAGTATTGTCGATGTCATCCCAGAACGCTCGAGGGCGCCACATTGGATGGAGATTGTTGTCAAGATCTTGGTCCGCTTTCCGATTGCGAGCGTTTTTCAAGCTCAGATTGCGAGAAATGGAGCTCATGAAAGATTCTGATCGAGTTCGCGATCCGCCAGGACGCTTCATAGAGCTTTTCGTGTCGACCCCGAGCTGACGATTGGCACTCTCATCGAGGGGTGTGGGCGGAATTACCTTGAACTGTGGTGGGCGGGGAGGTTGTCGGGGATGGCGCAAAGGAGATTCCACTTCGATTTCTGGCAGATTCTGCTTCTGAACCTCCCGAACAGCCCTTGATTCTGCAATCGAGAAAGGCTCAATCAACTGCAGGGAATGATTGTTGTGAGGGAAATAATTGATCGCCTTTGCCTCGTTGATTTCGGGAGAAGCAGATTGAAAAGAGGGCTGGGAGAACGGTGTATCAAATATTGATGGGGGCCGAAGAGCTGCCCACTCCTGCGTCCCAGGGACCACCAAGCCAAGCGCGTTCGAGTCTCTTTCGCCGTCTCCAGACGCAACAATGAGGTTCGTGGGAGCCACAGCCGTGGTTTTGATGGGCCCTTGTCCAGAAGATTTGCGATATGGACGGGCTGTGGCATTTCCCTCTGGGCCATGAACCTCATCTGCGAGGTCCGAACCGCGCAGGCTGTTGAGCAGCCTTTCGGACTCCATCCTATCCAGAGTCTTACGTAAGTCTTTCTCCGCCTGTTTCCTTTGAACTTGAAGGTGCTCAGAAGTGATTGAATTGGCCCTAGACGTGGCCCTGGAGGTGGGCGCAGATAGTGAGGAACTCCGTGCAGGTGTCAAGGGTGCCTGGAGTGGATCCCTACCACGTTCAACGGATTCCGAAAATGCCTTTTTCTGATGCCATGATGATGGTGGATTGTCCGAACCCTTGCCGGAATGAGTACGACCAGAACTATTCGAAAGCGACTGCCGCTGGCTGCTGTGGGCAGACGAATTCAAAGAAGAACTCCTCTCTGGAATTACTGCAACTCGGATCACTTCGGTCTTGGGCAGCACTGCACTTGAAGCCAGACTGTACGACCTGGATACCTCGGAACCGAAGCTCCAGCGATTTTGATTGCTTAAACGTGCCTTTTTGTGAACGAGGCGGTGCGGAGAGTCTGAGTTGGAAAGCACTGAAGTTCTCTTTGAGGCTGGCAGAGGCGAGCTGACAGAGCGCAAGGATTCATGCTTGTTAACATGGCGTAACGTTGTCTTCCGTCGGGGCAGAGGGGCTTGTTCCACGACGTATGCTTCAACTGTTGAAGTTGTTGAGATGCCAGAAAAACGCCGATTGTCTTCGACGCCCGAGCGGCGTTCTTCAACTGGCACATCACCAATTGGCACAGAACTGTTCCAGCCAATGATGTCCGCAAACTTTTCCGTTGATGCAGACGGGTCCTGGCGTTGCGCTTGCAGTAGTCTTTCGCGCAGACTCTTGCCTCTGCTCAATTCTTGTTGATCAACGCTGTGGCGAACTGGATATAGCGATCCGATGCTTTCGGACGGTATGGCTGGAGCTGTATCGATACGAATATGGACAAGCTCGCCATCTGGGACCGCCTCTGAGCTCGAGCTTGAGTTCAGCTGTACGGCCCCTGTATGAAGTTCTGCATTGCTTTCGCTACCAAGAAAGCGAGGTTTGTCAACGAGGGACTCTGGAGATCGTCTAAGAACCGGTTCCTCGCCATAAAAGTTTACCAGTGGCGAACGAGGTAAGGCACTGGGTCGCAGCCGATGCGCTGTCGCGCCGAATTTGTCAACGGAGCTCAAGGGCCACAGGAACCCAGGCTCTTGGCGTTGCACAATCCCGTCGGACTCGACATCGGAGGTGAGAACTTCCCGGGCGGTCGTGAATGACTCCGCTTGGGTGGAAGCCATGGACGAATGGGTGCCCAAAAACGGGCGGACGAATGAAGCATTGCGCTCGCGCGGAGGAGTGTTGTCGGGAGTCGGAGGACTGTTTTGGTTATTGGGCGTCACCAAGCTCGATCTAAAGACGGCTGCATCAATAGATGGAGCAATTTCCTCCGGAGCTGGCGAGTCACTCTCGACGTTCGCTCCAGGCGGCGTAGGGGGAAGATGGGGCGAGGTTGGCAAGACGGTCGAGACAGAATGATAGGAGTGTTCCTCGTGGCGGGGGTCGCCAACATCTTGAGCGGATATGCGATAAAGCTTTCGGAGATTGGACGAAGCGTGTCTTGAACCGTTGCGGTAAGGTAAAGATTTCGCCGACGACGGCGGTGATTGACTTGAAGGTTCCCGGGGAGGGCCCATGATGGTATACTCGGTAGTCCTGCCCATCACAGCATCACTTTATGCCATCAATGTCATTTAGTGGTGCCTCCTCCTCATTGCGACAAATGACCATGGGAGAAGGAGTCTGTTTCTCAGGACATCGAAAGCCTCGAGTTGGCTCGGACAGAGTATGGGGAGCGCAGGCGAGCGGTGTCAAAACCTATGGAGTCCTCAAAGCGAAGGAAACGGTTGGATGCGTGACGCGACGTGTAACAGACCCAAAAACTTTCCGTAGCTGGGCGTCCGCGGGCGGAGTGATTGATCGCCGTCGGCCTCGGAGTGGGTCAGGCCCTTCAACGACAACCGACACTCGAAGAGATCGAGAGACGATTTCGCGACCGAGGTGATTTGGAGACGGGCGTGTTGAATGATACCAGGCGATGTGATCCGAAGTACGCTGTTGAACGGATGGCTGGTCGGGGTGGGTTAGCAAGCGCCCTGCGGTTGTGATTTCCGAGCTCAATTGCGGGTCGCCTCGACCACAGAACGACGACGAGGTGTTGGAGAGCCGGCCGCGGCTAGTAGCCCTGAGGTAGGACACTGATCGCAGGTATCAAGATGCGAATATTGAGTGACGAATGGTGCAGTTCAACGGACGTGAAGAGGCAGCCAGAACAGGGATCGAGGAGAGCGGCTGGGGCGACTCCCGAGACGCTTGCACAAGAGGCAACTTAGCCGAGTCGCACCTTGACACTTTCCCTTTGTGTCTCTCTCATGCTCTTCTTCTCACACTGGAGTGGCCAGTTCTCCAAGACTGTACGGAGTACGCTCATCTTGCTGCTTAAGTACAGAAGTACGGTATTAGTCTCTGTCACCCTACGAAATGTTGAGAGACGAATGTGGATGAGCTGTATCAGCCGGCTCGGGCTTGACGAGCTCGCCAATACAACGGCCTCAAGTCCTGCCTACTCCCTCTGACTCGAGGCATCTCCAGTACGAACAGAATACAGGACTAGTCGAATTCCTCTTGGTGAGCAAAGCCGAGTCGTGCGGCTCGTGCTGCGTGATTTGATTTGCATTCCATTCACTTATCGACACATTCCATTCCTTGCTCAGCTCTCAGCTTCAGCCTCAAGCAGGGGCCAAAACAACAAACCGAAGTCCTCCCATGATGCACGCTTCACGTACTGTGTTAGGGAGCACCGTGTAGGCAGCCCACCCTGTCACATCCTAGGCATCTAAAGTCTCCCTCCTTAGGTATCAAAACACTAAGTTGATTTTCTTGGTCTTTAAGCGTGTTGCCCTTTGGGTGTGTTCTTGTCCACAAGGGGCCCTTCACGACGCCGCCTGCAGAGTCGTGAATCAACACGATGTCCTCGCAAAGACGCGTGATGTTATCAGACTATATCTTTCCCTTCGTGCTCATGCTCCGCTGGGCATTGGCATCGCCCGTGCCTGAAATCTTTCGGCCTGAAGCCGACACCCTCTCTTTCACAGAACTAGCGCAGAAGGCATTCTTGCGGATCCTGGAACTTGGTTTCATTCGAGGCGTTGTGGTCTCCCTCTTCATACTTTGCGCTCTGGTATGTCTCCTCATCGGCACACTTCAGGCACTGGCAGCCTATCTCCACCATCATGATACCAAATTGTGGGAGACATACGAAGAGATTCAGGCCTGCGCCGATGTTGAGAAAGAAGTTCAGGAGGCAGCAGACAGCCGACGATCCAGTGTGATCGAGGAGTTTCGGCGATACAACCTTCAATGTCAGAAGCAAAGCCGCACTTCGAGGTATATCATGGCCAATCCTTCAACGCCAATCACGAATATCAACGTTCATACCTCACCAAGACGAGATGCAGTCGCAACGTCACCTTACTCGCCCTCAGAGACCAGGTTTTTGACCCCCATTCGGCCCACTTCGACGCCACTCCGGTCTGCCTTGTCCAAATCTCCACCGTCTTCAAAATGCCTCTTGAGTGCGCGATCCTACCTTTTTGGTTCAAGAAGCACAAGCACAAGTACCTGCTTAACGCCGAGTCCGAAATACGTCCGATGGGCGGATCAGATTCATATCTCTATCTCTTCCAGCCTCGAGATGAGCGTGCGACGACGGCCTGGGGAAGAGAGGCAAGCAGGTACTGAGGCCGAGGTTGACATTGCAACAAGAACAATCGGGAATAGAAACCAGCACCCTTCTGATGTCTTGGGTATTCTGACCTTTCCAGTCCACCACGCCGGACCACTTCCAACATATGATCCACCTTTGCCAACACCTGCTATCGCAATCCGTGACGGACAAAGCGATTGCGGTAGGGAGCCATCCATGCCGCTGGAGGGCGATACGAGCTGGGCTATGTCTACCGGGCGCCTTCGGTAACAGGCCGCGGCTTTTCGATTCACATTGGAGGTTTTCAGTGGCATACCCTTGCACATCGACAGCTCGCATCCGGCCACTGGGCGCTTTTTCTCCGGGCCTATTTTAAGAAACGGATTATGGAATCTTTTTGTGCGTTGCAATATTTGTATAACTAATTTCCTCAACTTCTGACCCGCATCGAGTGGGGCGCATTGATCGATCTTTCAGCACCGAAGCGAGTATCATCAGAAGGAGTTCTAACGAACATGGAGTAGACATTCGCATCAGACGGCGAACAATGAACACGGGCCCCTTCTTGCGTACATGTCCTTCCAAGCCATGCTTGTGTGCTGTTGTTTCTTCCGGCGGCTTTTTGTGTAGTAGTAACCACTCTTGAGTCGGGTAGCTGCTTACGATCGCCAGAGGGCCATCTATACATGAAATGGTCCTAATCTACGTGTGTCAACGTTTTGTCGTATGCTTAGACACGGCATGTCTCCTCTGGCACAAAGAGGCCAGGCTCGAGCGGAGTCTAAGCGTCCGCTGAAGCTGGGACAGACATCCGCGTTGCCGGCATTGATTCGAGGGGACGAATGATGACATGAGTCTCGTATATTTAAGCAGTTCGCTCGAACAACCGGCACAAGTCCCGTAGATTGAGAAGAGAGAACTTAGACTGGACACGATACGACGATTGTGTGGAGGGGAATACATGTGGCATGTCAGAAAATGAGCCAAAGTCGAGGTGCAGATATCGAGTAGCGCCTCGAGCGCCAAAAATAACTGCACTAGACGGATATGGACATGACGTCAACTCGGATCGAACCGTTATTCTGGGCGTTAGATCCCCTAGTGGATTTCATTGTGGACTTACTCCGTACTCGTACTCCTCCGGTGCGAAGCTCAATTAGCTGTAAGGTTGGAGCAGCTCAGCTCTTATCATGCGCAGCGAATATGCATCTTCCGGTCTGGAGCTCGAGCGAACGGGCTCATGCATGCGATGAAGGTGTTCGGCCTACAAGGAAGCAGTCGTCGAGCTTCCGGCATCATGGAAGGGTTGTTTCGACGGCGAGCTTGACGCCCTCTCACACCTTCGCACACTTTGCGGTCATTCTCACCCGTAGCTTGCTTCTGTCACTCCCTCTACTCAAAATGCTTCTGAATTTGACCACTGTCAATCTGTCCTTGACAACACCACGTTCGTTCCTCCATTTGGGTAGGTGCTCCTCGATTTTTCATACGCACCTCAATCTCTCCGCAATTTCTCCAGTGATGGTCAGCGATGTCTCATCCTTCGAAGAGGAAGCTGGTAAGTACTGGTTATAAGTATCTTCTACAATGTTCTTCGTCGCAGTGTTTGCATCATCCTGTGGCACGAGGACCAGCAAACATTCGTTGCACTTATCTCTTCCCTTCTCCGGCCGTTGCACGCCCTGCACCAGCTGAATTACACGGACATTTTGACCGCAACTTCGAGAACGGTCGCTTCACGCTCTTTGATCGTTGCAGCCCTTGCTGGCCTCGCTCTGGGTCTGCCGCATCCAGAGGCCGATGTTGAGAAGAGAGGCTACTACACCTCGACCTAACCCTACACCACGACCTATGCTACCTCCGTTTGTGAGTCTGCCTTTCTACTCAGGACGGCTCTATCGGACAGGGCGTTGCCATGCTTCCTCAATTCGAACAGGCTGATTGATATGCAGATCCGGCGTATACGACTTATCCTACAACCACGTACTACCCGACCACGACCTACTCCGCTTACTTTCCGACATCGACGGTGACAGTCTACTCGACAATCACAGACTATGCTACTGTGACGGACTATTCCACCGTCACAGATTACGCGACCGTCACGGACTACTCTACCATCACCGACTATTCGACGGTCACAGACTACAGCACCGTTTACAGCACATCCTAAAGCACTGTCTACAGCACAGCCTACAGTACAGCATACAGCACGGTCTACAGCACGGTCTACAGCACGGTCGATAGCACCGTTTATCCGTAAGCGTCCCTGGGAAAGCGCACCTCTTCCCCATGCTTCATGGCTCATGCTCTTCTTCTCTCTTGCGTCCATGTGAAATGCAAAGCTGATTGCTTCCTCAAGAACTTCGACCTACTCCGCCAGCACCAATTACACCCCAAGCCACACAACGACGTACAGCTCCGTGTATCCAGCACATACTTCGACGTATACCAGCAGCTACAGCAGCTATGGAGGGTGGTGAAACCTGTGCGAAATTCGCACAATGCAGCCACAGAACGACGGAGGAGATCAGAGGGACCTGGCTCGATTGCCATGATGGAAGGAGAAAGTAATACGCGAAATCATCACACCCCTTGGATATTTCCCGAAACCACTGATGTTGTGCATTGTTGTCTGCACTATTGAGTAGACATGGGCGATGGCTGGTGCCAGGAGGACAAGTCAGTTCTTACTCGAACACAGCGAATACGCACCCTAGACACGATCCTTATAATTAATGCAGAATCTTGCGTACAAGAGCCTTTAACCTACTCTACGTATCTTGGTCGACGCGGTCTCTGTCAGAAGATACAGGCAGTTGGTGTGGACTGACGAATACATCACATCTCCGGACATGCAGAGATTCAGCGTGAAAACCCACTGGCGGTGCGGAAGATCTCTAGCCCGACCAGACCGGGTCGGAGCGCCATTAAAGTTGCGACTCTTCGATGATCTGAATGAACCGTCGTAGTGACGACTTCCCGGCTGTCACCTGCCTTGTCGGCCACTCCTACCAGTACCAACTCTGCTCATCTGTGGGGATACCGCGTATTCCTTGTATCCATCGTCCCACTCCTGTACCCGTCTCCTCGAGCTGCTGCGTTCCGGAATCCCCGAAGTTCGGCTGGTATTTCGTCTGCCGAGTCTGCTTTGCTCTTTCCCATGTCTCAATCTCTCGATCTCCCTCCGGCTCCCTCCGCCGTTGTTTACTCTGTCGCTCCAGATGAGATGCTTCGGCTTGCCGGGGTAGACTCCCTTGCGGACTTTGCGCTTGCGGTTGAAGTAAGTGAGGGAGATGTAGAAGCCGTGAATATGTGAGGGGATAACGGCTAGAACGAACATGACACAGTTGAAGACGAAGTCCTCGTTGGGGCCAGTGATCATCATAACTGCGACTGGAGGAAAGAGGATGTTGAGAACGGCTATGACAAGGCGTTTGAAGAGTGGTATCCTCATTCTGGCGTGGGAGGATGATGCTGCCTGGGGGTGCCTCCTGGAACAATGCTTCCGAACCTCGATGGGGTTCAGCTCAGTGGACGGTGAGCTTAGGCGATTCAGACAGATTTCCCAAACTCGGGGTAGTGCATCAGTGGACAGCAGCAGCTAAGGCATTCTTCGACACAAGATGGAATGTCGCGCGGGCGAGCTGCATCATCATATGTACTTTCTCCTCAACCTTCAGATTGTGGCGGTGCACATGCCTTCTCTTGACTTTTACGCAGGGTTCTGACAGCTGCTTACCCAGCCAGGGAAAGAAATCAATGCAGTATGCACGTTCTGCAAGAAAAACATGGCAAACGGAGCCGTTGGATACGAGGACGTTATGATCGACAGCGTCAATGAAGCCTGAAAGCCATCTGAGCAGCCAGGGACCACGACGTCATTATTTGCCCGGGCGAGGATTGGGTGAGGGTCACCTTACACAGTCAATAGCGCTGGCCAATATCCGAGGTCAACAGCCACAAATGTAGCGCCCAAGAAGAGATCTGACTCCGTAGTGTGCTGGCCCCCCGTTCCACATTCGCAGTCTCCGACTGTGAGAGCAACTTTAGCAATAGAGAACATTGCACGCCGCCGGAATTGGTACGTTGAGCAAGACGGGTTCTTCCGTGTTGGCGTCGTGATACTATGTACCTTACAGGTTAGGGGCTTTTATACATTGACAACGTACCCCACGAAGCGACATCTTGAGGCCTCTATCGGTTGCCGCTCACGAGCAGGATTGCACTTCCAAGCTGCCGTCTAAGATCCTCGTTGTTCACATCATGCGTGTCCTCCACCTCTCCCCACATGTCCGTCTGCCATCTCACCTCGAGATTCGACGCTTCAGCAGCTTCGTGAATGCCGAACCGCGGCTCACCACCGTCACGCTGCATGTCCCGAAACTCTTCGCTCCATTCGATCAACAATCGAGCTGCAATCAGGAGGCTCTTTCCTGCCAGGACCGCCCGTTCTAGGGCCGCCAGCTCCCATGCCGGGAGCCCTGCGATCCAACCCTTGATCACGTTCCTCGTAGACTCATCCTGCTTAGTTGGCATGATGCTGTTTTCATCCAACACGGGCTTGATGTCGACACCAGGCCACACTGAAGTACTCAAGAAGCTTATGATCGGTTTCGCTGTTCTGATTTGGACCTGTCTTAATGACTCTGGTCGATCGCTCTGCATTTCCAAAGGTGATGATTTTGTTTCGGGCGCCCAGCACAGTAATGTGTCCGTGTCCAGGTACCGCAACATGGTCGTAATGATCTCGTTTCGTACCCGCACGTCGCCCTTCGCCTCTGCCTCGATGATATCTTGCGCCCGAGCAGCTATTGAGGTCATAGGGATGTTGTGATTCTTCAACGCTTGTTGCGCCGACTCGAGCATGTCCCATTCAATGGCGATGGCATGTGCAAGGTACGGCTTCGACCGGGGGATGGTGAGAATCGATTTTGAGGGTGTTCTGACCGGTCTCTTGTCGAGGAGGATTTGATAGCCCTCTGGAACCTCTGTGACGTGCACTTCCTTCCAGAACCGTTTTTGTAAAGGCTTCGATTTGCTTGCCGGTTGGCTTGCCGCACGCAGCTCTTTCCCTTGTTTGAGCATTTCTGCTTTCCGCCGTCTCTCTTCAACGCGATCTCCATATTGTGGGGATGTTGGGATGGGCGCGCTTGGAGGTGGTCCGGCGGCCGTGATGGGAAGAGCAGTGGCGCATCGCGAGGACGTCGATGATATTGATCGGATTGCAGGGACTGCGAATCTTCCACGCGATGGCTGCGATCTCGTAGTCAACGCAGCTATCGACACTGCTTTCATAGATGAGGCACGCATCTTGGGCCTGTAGTGTGGAATAGGACAATTGACCAAGAGCAGCGGAATTTTGAGATCATGTTGACAACGTGCACGACATTCCGGAGTTAAAAAAAGCCGAGATATATATCGCCGGCCACTATGGAGTATGACATTGAGCTTCCGCACGGATCAACACCAGACAGTAATCTGAAACACATTCTATCGTTTCTTCAGTGGCAACAACATTACACGAACATCGCCCAAAGTATCGATTAACGAAGTCGAATGAGCCATCGGTGATTTCGGATGTCGGTTTCTGCCCGAAATGAAGAGCCTCTGGACGATGCGGCCATCAAGATATGGAATCCAAAAGGGTAGATGTATCCTGGACCAATGAAGTTCAAAGGAGCGCGTATTGCGCCCTTCGACTCCGCATTGTCAAGATTTGACCATCTAACGATGCTTGGTGATTTGAAAGACAATTGGAACCATGTTTTGACATACCAGGTATAAGAAAGGGTGCAAGGCGTGTATTTCGTTTTGCCTGAAGCCAAACTCATTTAATGTTCAGACCTATTATCGGACCTAATCAAGAACCGTACCGCGATACCCATGCCGTCTCGATCTATCAACATCATCAACGTACCCTCTGATGTTGGATCGGTCTATGCGGGCAAGTCCCGAGCCCCAGCAGCATTCCAGGCCGCCGGCCTCCAGGACAAGCTTGCTGCTTCGGGCTGGCAAACCACAGTGTCAACCGCCTTACCACAAGGGCCAGCGGGGTGGGCTTCCAGCACCCGTCAGCCTAACGGAGCGCGGAATGAAGCAATAACTGTGAAGGCTTGTAAGAAGGTCCGAGACGCTGTTGGCAATGCTCTTGCGGCCAGCGAAGGTGGAAGGGACCGACCGCCGCCATTTCAGCTTATCCTTTCCGGCGAATGTCTGTACTGCCCAGCTATCCTGTCGGCCTACTGGGAATATCTCAAAGGAACGAGGGACCGCATTGGGATCGTCTATATGGACGCTGATTGCGACCTGTATACGCCAAGCGATGCCAGCTCATCGGGGAACATCGCCGGAATGACCCTTACACATCTGACCCTGTGTGAAGGTGCGTTAAAAAGTATGAGAGTATTTTGTCAACCCGATGGGGCCGGGGTTGTGGACAATAGCAACATCCTTCTCTTTGGCTTGAACATCGATTCACCCGCCAACAAGCGAGAGCACTTAGGTTATCTGTTCAATCATGGCTTCCGAGTCACCACCTCTCGGGCAGTCCAGAGAAATCCAGTAAAGGAAGCAAAGGCCGCACTGGAGTGGATGGAAGACAAAGTCGACCACATCCTCGTTCACCTAGATGTGGACGTGATTGACCCAGGACTGTATCCCTTGGGTAATGTACCAAACTGGACGGGTTTGAGTTTCGAGGCCACCATGGCGGCATTTAAAACATTCCTGAGAAGTGACAAAGTTGTTGGGCTCAGTATTGCTGAGGTAAATCCTGATCACGATCCTGGGCTGCGGCTGACGAGGGAGCTCGTCGACAATATCGTTGATGGTCTCGTGGGATGACGGGCAACCAATGGCTTTATGGCGTAGATCTAATTAACCCGACCGAGCTGGACACTCAGCACGTCATGGACACGAGGCTGAGAGAGCTCGAACATTTTGGCCGCCGCCATACGTGGACATTCAGCGACGCAGTCGACGAAGTAGGGGACATCAATTTGGAAGGCTTGTATAGTTCCACCTTGACATTCTTACAGGCTTATACACAGTACCATTTCTGCGCAAATACTCCGGACGGAGCAGTGCGATGACTAACCGTCAGATTCCACTGTTTCCACCTGCATTCGAAAAACTCCGTCAGGCGTCCTGCCAACACCACATAGCACCCTGGGCCCTTTTCGCCTTCTCTGGGATAGCTCTGACATGAACCTTGTCAAATACGGCCTAGGGCTTGCCGCTGATCTGGTCTGAATTACTCAACACCTGTGTGATCTCTCAATACCAGGCTATTACCCTTGTGCATAAGACGACTGACGTTCGGGGAAGTAGCGCCATATCCAAGATCTGAGGAATGGAGCTATTGCCAAAATACTGTGATGAGAGTTCGTCGCGGGTTCAACGCCAGAGAACTCCTCTCGTCCTTAACCTCGGAATCACGCACATATCAGTATCGGCCTCTTCCATCAGCAAGATCTATCCGCTTGCTCGAAGTTCACCCCCTTCCTCCTTCCTCTGATGGCAGCGGAAGGATCGCAGTCTCATTGAGCACACACAACGTCGACGATGCGCCTCCCTTCCAAGCGCTGTCTTACACTTGGGGTTACCCGCTCATACCAGAGTCGAGGCCGTCGAGGAGCAGCACCTGGCATCGTCTAGCATTTCTTCAGCGGCTGCAGGCTCGAACTCTGCTAGAGAGTGACGGCCGAGCCGGTGCCGCTACCAGTAGCGGCGCGTCTTTGTCGCCTGCCTCATCATCCGCCAGTCTCTCGTCGCTGCTGCGTATCAAACTCACACAGAATGTGCCCTGCTTCCCCGTCAAGTGCGATGGCAGGAACCTCCGGGTCACTGCAAACCTGCACGATGCACTGGCCATGCTAGCCCGCACCCATCAACACCTGCATGCTGAGTTTCCAAGGAAGAGGGACTTCTACTGGATCGATGCACTGTGAGTGCTCCTTACTTTCGCACAACTAGTGCTTCATGTGCCAGACTCTTTTTCTATACAAGCAGACGCGATCCTTCAGATCCCCATGGATGAGGACTAGGCAAATTTTCGAGACCACCTTCATCGGAGAAATTGCCGCACGACCTAAATGTCGCCTACGACAAGGAGCTCCGATTAGCACTTTCCCGATGCAAAGGTCTGATCGCTGTCATCTCTGGAAGGAATCCGCGACGGCGACATCCTTTACATGACTTGTCCTACCATGCCTATTTGAAGCCAGAGTATTCTGTCATCCTTGCGCGGTCCTTCAACATGCCACTCCTCGTTTCATAGAAATGGGTGCCATCTGTGATCATGTGTACTGACGCATTTCGCAGATGTATCGATCAGACATCTCTTACGGAGAGGAATACTCAAGTTTCTTTGATGTCAGACATCTTTCGGGCCGCCCAAGGAGTCACTGTATGGCTTGGAGAAGAAGATGACTTTACATCGGACGCCTTCACCGTGATTGAGAGGATCGCCAAAATTCCCAGGGCGAAGTGGACAAACATGCCGTACACAGGCTTCTTTGACCCCGGAGGATCTTGCTATCACGGTACTGGTGTCGAGCCCTTGAGTTACCACCACTGGTTGGGATTCATCGCGTTTACCAATCGGCCCTGGTTCAGTCGATCCTGGGTGGTCCAGGAACTAGCACTGGCGCAGAAGGTAAGCGTCGTCTGCGGCAGTCGAATGTTGCTCTGGGAAAACCTTGCGAGGACAATCGAGTTCATCCGAGCGACGAGGTGGTACCACCACCTTTCGACCGAAAAGATGCGGCATCTACGCGAGCTGAATCGATGTCCTGGCGTGTACCAAAGATTTCTGGCAAGCAATACCAAGTTTGGCTTGGAGCCCGTGTATCTGAACAGCACGCGGAATGCCCTCCAGGCATACGAGAAAGGAGGGAATAAAGGAGCGCCTTCGTTGAGACTGCTGGTTGATACACATCGTCACACCAATGCAACCGACCCCAGGGATAAAGTGTATGCATTTCTCGGCCTAGCGAGCAGGACATCTTCATCAGCAAACCAAATCGAGCCCAACTATGAGACATCGACTCGGCAGGTCTATATTGATGCGGCCTGCTCTTTGCTCCGAACCTATGGAAACCTGTATCTCTTGTCTCACGTACAAGATCGTTCCCTGACAAAGACCAAAGGCCTGCCATCCTGGGTCCCAGACTACTCTGTACCGCTCTCACCATACCCTCTCGACTTCCGAGGATACTGCAACTGGTCGGCGTGTGGGCATATGAAGTGGATGCCGCCGAAAGACGTGACACTGCTGGACCGAGGTCTCCTGCCTGTTCAGGGCTTTCACATTGACACTATAGCTGAGACAGGCGTCATGCCACACGAAGCGACGGACGCAGGAGAGCCATGGGCTAGCATTGTGAACATGGTCTCGAATCTGCCAAATCCGTATCCGCTCCTTCCGCTCAAAGGCGCTCCGATATCACGCATCGATGTCCTTTGGCGGACGCTGACGACAAACACATATGCTCGCCAACACCCGGCCCCTCCTGAATGTGGCGCCCTGTTCATCGACTACATTCTCAATCTACAAATCCGACACCGTCTGCGGCCATGGTCATCTAGTGACTCGGAATTCCAACCGCACTCGACTCCACTCTCAGTGCTCACAAACCCAGACTGGCGCAGACTTATAGAGTCGGAGCCAAGTGACTCGCCGTATAATATCTCCTCTTACCGAAGGCGTCTGACGGCATTGGTCGAGAATATGCTGTCCTCGAATTCGTACACGCCAATCGATCTCGCGCAACTGCACCATGACATCGAAAACGGCTCGGGCAAAATGCGGCGCGTGTTTCGAACAAGTGATATGATGCTCCTCGGTACGGGTCCCAAAGCACTGCGCGTGGGCGACGAGGTCTGGATCCTCGGTGGTGGAAAGGTGCCATGCATTCTTCAGCCGGTCAAAGACAGGGAGGGCGCCGGGACGGGACCAGGGATGCAACATCGTCTTGTGGGGGAGGCATATGTGCACGGGTTAATGCACGGTGACCCAAGTCGGTTTGGGCGGGAGTTGCAGTCGACTGTGTTGATATGATCATCGCCATGATCTTGCTGATAGTTCCGGAGACTGGAATGATTGCAAGTTTGTTGCTGTGTACAGGTCCCACTTGCGTCATGCATATAGAAACTGGTTTGAAAATTAGAGTCTTTTGACTGTGTATATCTACTAAGAATCGGCAAATCAGTGTAAATCTTGTGAACCGGGCCAACTGTGTTCATTGAAGGGCAATTGAGACATCAGACATGGTTGAGAAGTTGGTGTGACTGGTTGCTTTAGGCATTGCGTCCGATTAGCCCAGGGTTTGAAGACAAGACCTTCGACCGCCGGATCGTGACGCTAATCGGGCCCCAGCTGCCTCGTCATATAGCCGAGCGTGAAAGAAGAGGGGGGCACTCACCACAGGGCATCATGGACAATCGAAAACTGCCGTCGCGGTTTCCTGTTGTACACCTTCGAGGTCGGATGACCCAGCAGCGCCGAGCTCAACTCTCTCCCACGCTCCGCCTTCGTTTTCTCATCTCTTCTACCTTCCTCTTATCCTCGTCAAACCTCTTAATCATATCCTCCTGCACCAGCTTCCTCCGTTCCCTAGTCTGGAAGCGGTAGAAGTCCTCCAATCCTTTAGATTTCTCTTTTTGCCGCTCCGCCACCTCCTTTGCCTCATCCATCCGCACACTGCCCCTCGACCCGCGCGTGACCGTCAGGAACCCGTCTTCATCCGGCTCGGCGCGTCTCCGTGCGTTCTCACGAGAGCGCGACTCCTCGAGAGCCGAGTAAGCAGTCATGTACGCGTTGACGGATCGGAGAAGATCTTTCCGCGACGGGAATTGCAGTTGTCTATGGCGCTCGTACCGCGCTAGACCCAAGGAGGTGACATCGGGACCAGCGTCCCACGAGATCGGTGTGCCGTGTTTCGCGGCCCGGCGGGCGGCTTTCAAACTGAGCTCCATGCTAGGTCGGTCCACGAAGACCACGACAGCACTCGCACCGCTCCCGTGGATCTCCGTGTCAAACACCTTCGGCAAAGAATATGTGTCCAGTCCCGCCTCTAGTTCTTCCACCGTTTTCCTTTTGCGCTTGCGACTTTTCGTGCCTGGCTCCTGACTCTTGTGCGGTGTCGTGTCTGAGAAGTGGACCCTCTCAATCCGTCCTCCTTCTAGCTTTGACGTGAACAGATCTTTCAGCGATTGCGCTGTCGTGGAAATGGGGATGTTGACAAGGAACAAGGATCGTGGCGCGGCTTCTTCAGGTATTTTGGGGTCGTGCGGCTTGAGATAGAGGTAGTGCGTAGTTTCGTGGGGAAAGGCGTCCGTCTTTGTTAGACGGAGCGGAAGAGCGATGAAGCCGCCTACTTCGCGAGGTGTTCGCACCATTGTAGGATGTGGTGGGTGGTGTTAAAAGGAAGAGGCACAGCAGACTGATCGTACTGAGTTCGGCCAGAAAAAGTCCTACTCTGTCACGTACATTGGAGACGGTCGTTAGTGCGGGGATCACGGAGCCTTGAATGACACTACATTTGATATGACCGTCATGTCGTGTCACAACAAGGCTGGAAGGGTCCCACCACAAGTACCAGGTAAATTCTAGGATATCTCGACAATCGGCGCTGCGTAATGTGCCGTCTGATATTGGAGAAGTCGCTAGTTACTCGAGTATCTGGACGATTCTAGTTGCTTCTCTTGCGGGAAATAACACCGCTTTGTCACATTGTATTTGGAAGCTGTAGCGTCGAGTGCAAATGTGGCGCCGTCAGTAAAAGCGGGAGAAGAAAGTGCCCTTGATGGACGAGTTGTAGGCCATTATCCCCGATGTACGCGGGCCATTCATTGTCTTCATATTGGCCCTTGCACATTCTAGCCCACCAATGTCCACAATCATATATCCTGTTCTGCCCAATATTTGCTCTCAGCCAGGCCCAAGCGCTTGTTGGGTACCAACCCAGTACCACAGTAGCATTTCTTCCGCGAGACGCCGTCATCTTGATGTCGTCGACGGGATATCATATCATACAACACATTATCGAATAAAGTTTATCATAGCTGTTGTCATCCTCGGGACGCGACAGACTGATTCGTTCCACATCCCCCGTGATTGATGGATAGGCCAATGACGGACTTTGGTTCTGTTCCGTTTTACGGTACTGTCGTCAAGGCCGTAGAACTTGCGGAGGCGTCAACATGCATCTAGCTGTTTATCCTTATCCTTTTCTCTCTCTCTGACCGCACCCTCCTCGCCCTTGCTGTGTAACGGGTACGGGCTAAAATCGCGACTGCTGGTAGAAAAGCTTGATTGCACAGGAGGGTGCTTTTCTCCGTTGCTAGGCTTGGTCTGTTGCGGAGGGAAATCGTGATTGTTTGGTATGGGCGTGCTCATGGAGCTCGGTTCGGTTGAGACAGGACTGACAATCTCGTTCATGATCCCATCACCATCCAGCGTCACGGAGTTCAAGCCATGCAAGCCGCCCTCAATGTCCCTAACCAGCCGCACGAATTCTTCTGGCACAAGTCCACTTTCGCCTGTCCGAGGGTCTTCCGCCACCAGCCAGCCCTGACCATGTCGATAAGATACCAAGATTATCTGACCCTCTTTGAGCGGTAACTCATTCTGATGCTCGCTCTCGAAATCAAAAAGTGCAACAGCCTTGCCATGCATTTCCTCGTCAGGGCTGGCAATGGTGAACGAGTAGTCTTTTGAGAACCGTGCGTCGTCATCGGCGTCTGAAGATTCATCTTCCGATCCATGCTCCTCGGGGCTGTAAGGTGACGGATTCCGCTGTAAAGGTTTGGCGAAATTCGAGTCGCGATGTTGTGGTCCGTACGCAAAGCGCAGGGCAGGGTTGTCGAGTGTCTCAATGACTTCGCCAGGCCCATCTTCAGGATGAAGGGAGCCGCTGACCACAAACCCGCGATTGGGACCCGCTGCTCCAGGGGATCGCCCTCGCTCATTGGATTTACGTTTTTTATGGCGACTGGTAGTAACAATGGGAGATTGGATATCTTCGTCCTCACTGTATGGCGGCCCGTCGTCTATGAAACTCATTGCTGGTAACCGGTCTCTACTGAACCCACCAATATTCGTTTCCGTGATCCACGGAGGCGCAGACCATGGTCCTCTTGTATCTTCCCATGTCGATACTGCGGGATCTGACAGTCTCCGTGACTCGCTTGCCGGTGTTGACAGGCCAGACGAGTTAGGGGGAGGCCCGTAGTGTAAAGGATGTGTGGTAAAGTATGCAAAGTCTCGCACGACGGTATAAGGTAGACTCGAGTGGAAGGCAGGAAAGACATGCGACGCCGGCCGAGACTGGGGCTGATATGAAGCCTTGGAGTTTGTGGAGAAGGACGACATCCGCCTCTCAGCATATGAAGTTGGTCTTTGCGCACTCGTCCGCCGCGGAGTCGGGGTAGTGGTGATCAGAGGAGGGAGCTGAGGAGGAGAAGTGGTTTGCGCTGCCAGAGGAGGAGACATTGTGGGAGGTGAGGCTGTGATGGTGGCCATATTGACACAGGAGAGGTAGACCCGTCACCAGACGTCGATGGCAAGAAGGAAGAAGCCCGAACAAAAAGAATAGGAGGGCTGATTCCGGCGGTCGGGGCGCGTCTACAGCCACGAGGGCAGCGCGAGGGGCTTCGAAAGGCGGGCGGCTAATTGAGTGTCAAAAGTACCAATGGCGGCGGTGTGTATGGATGGTCGGACAACAGCGCGCGCTTATGAGAGAAAGAAGGTACGGAGTAGAATGAAAGGATGGAAGTCGCAGACCCGTGAAGAAGCTAGCTGTAGGCGCCGTAGACGATGCCGGTCAGGAATTGTAGAAAGAAGAATGAGAACAATTCTCCCCAGACGAGCAATTAGGCGAGGCGAGAAAGGCGAGAGCGCAGGGAAATACGCCAGGTCTAAATATAGACTCTACGCCCCAGAGAGAAGATTAGAAGAGCACCCAGCCCATGCAAAGCCGCGTTATGTTCAGGCGGTCAGCGCAGCGTGAGGACTGGCGCCATAAAGAATAAGAAGCAATCGAGCTAAGCGGTGAATAAGAGTCAGCAGGATTGATGGAATTCATCGAGATAACCTGGTTGCTGGGGGAAGCCACCACGGATTGGAAGTTGAAGTGGTAGAGCAGCCCACCGCCTAGGGCTGGCAGCGTGAGTCCAACCACGAGCCAGTAACGGCTCCCCACAAGTGTTTCAGGTTGCCGAGTGCGGCCTAGGCAAAGACGAGCTTCGCATTCCCGGGAGTTGCTTAGCTCGCGTATCGGGATGATTTTCACCCACCACCGACCTCGACATCGACACCGGCATCGCACACGCTACGAATATCAGTAGATTCTGCAGATGTCACGAAGCCAGCTACGTTCTATCATTAGATGAAAGCACGCCTCATCTTTGCGTGACTTCGTTCTCATGCTCCATCTGCGCCGATTTTCAATGTCTTAGACGAATGTTAGAGGCAAGTCATTTCCCACGCAATCACTGCATGCTTTGCCTTTTTTTCCACCGTGATGATCACCATATTGGAGCTGTCCTAGTTCATGGTGCGGACATCCATTATACGCATTCTCAAACATCTGAATCACCTCTTCTCGACTTCACCCGCCACTTGAACAACTTCACTTAGGATGTCCGACTGACAATCACGAACAGCAATGGATATGATCACCTTACCACAATAACCACATCCATTCAAATCATGTCTGTAGACCCTCGACGTGCCCGCCTTCAGGCACGCACACAGACTCCTCAACCTGCCGCATCAATTTCACAACCTCCTCCCGCTCCTCCCGTGGCTTCAGTGCCTGTACCAGCTGAACCGTCAGTCCAGCCAGGACTTACAACATCGCCATTTCTCGACGGCAATGTCGACTCGCCGCCGAGAACTGCCAGCACATTAATAGCACCAGCACCCGCTCCGCCCGAAGCACCCTCCTCTGCCGACGATGTTCCCTTCAAGTTAAAATTCTGCACCGTCTGTGCTTCCAACAACAACCGCTCCATGGAGGCACACCTCCGCCTCTCCACGTCCTCGCACGCCTATCCTGTAATATCCTTCGGCACCGGATCCTACGTCCGCCTCCCTGGGCCTAGCATCTCGCAGCCGCAGGTGTACAACTTCAACACGACTAGTTACGCCAAGATGTACGAGGACCTTAACGCGCAGGACGCGCGGCTATATAGGAACAATGGCATCTTGAATATGCTGGATCGGAACCGCAAGATCAAGTGGGGCCCGGAACGGTTCCACGACTGGGTCGTCGGAAACCCAAGGATAGAAGCCCTGAATCGCGGGGACAAAGGCGCCATGGGTGCAGAAGGTGGTGTGGTTGACGTGATTTTCACATGTGAGGAACGATGCTGGGATGCCGTCGTGGACAACCTTTTAGATCGCGGGGCACCCTTGAACAGACCGGTACATGTATTCAACATCGACATCAAAGACAATCACGAGGAAGCGCTGGTGGGAGGCGGAGCCATCTTGGAGCTGGCAGACAGTCTCAATGAAGCAGCGATTCAGGAGCGGAAGATGAACGGCGCACAGGGTTGGGAGAACGGCACGGGGGCTGCGAGAATGAGCTTCGATGAGAAGGTACCCGAGATCCTGGCTAGGTGGCAGGAGCGGTGGCCAAACTTGCCGGCTTTGTGGACGCTGTCGTGGTTCTGAGGCAGAAACCAGCCGGGGCCAAACTGAAATGATGAAGGACGATTCCCGCTCGAATTAGCGACGGCGCTGGCGGAGTTCACCATGCTTGGTGGTAACATGATATCTCAATTCGATTGCTCCAATGCACATCTACACAGTATATGGTATCTTTAGTCGACCGGTTTCTATAACTTGCTCCCCTTGTCCACGCCTTTCTCCCTCCTCTCCTTGAGTACTTCCTTTCTCAAACCAACCTCTACGTCTCTCGGGCCCTCCTTGTTGAACTTCACGAGCACGACATACTCCTCGTCGCCCTTCAGCCCGCTGTCTTTCAGCTCTGGGCCGGGTTTATCCAGTGCAAGGACTGACCGTCCATCCTCCCCGAAGCTCATCCCGATCGGACTGATGAACTTGTCCTTCCAGGGCACGGGATTGCCCTCCGTTTCAATCCTCCTCTTCAACGTCTCCCTTTTCCTGAGCACATCCTCTTTGCTATCCCCCGGCCCATCAAGTACTTCAGACACGAGATGCAACAGCAAAAATTGCGGCGGAAACAGGATGATCTGCCCACTGCGCGCCATACTCAACCAATCCCTCGCCCTCCGCCACTCCGGCGCCATCGTCTCGATCCGGTCCGCCGTCGCATGCACACTCGGGTTTCCCTGCTCGGACGGGTCGACAAAGTAAACATACATCTGGGTCGTGAACCGCTTGGGCACGTTGGGCGGAGTAACCCAGTGCGTAAAAGGTAGCAGACGGTCTGTGTCCAGCACGGCATCCGGCCCAGAAGTTTGGGCAAGCCATTCCTTGAATTTTAGATTATTGCTGTGGACGGCTTGTCTGCCGGCCTTTCGCGTGTCGCGCGAGATCCGCAGGAGGGATTTCGCCGAGCTGGATGACCGAGCCAGGAGGATTCCTGTTTCCTCGAAGAGTTCGCGGATGGCGCCGGTGCGGTAGGCGAGCGACTCTTTATGTCGGTTCACATCCTTGGGGTCGGAGGAGACCTCACCATCGGAGGCCTCGAGGTTTCCGCCAGGGAAGACGTGTGCTGAGGGGAAGGCGCTAGAGGTTTGGACGCGGTGAAGAAGAAGGATCTCGTTGGACGGCGAGACTAGGATTGTGCTAGCGGAGGGGGAGGCGGGAGCGGGAGTTTTGTGTTCCGAGTAGCCACGCACTTCGAACTTGGGCTTTGAGGGCGATTTGGACATGGCGCAGTTTGTAGGCCTGGCCGGACTGGGGGGTGGAAGGTGTGCGCGGTTGTCGAACCGGGTAAGAAATTGAGGCAATGGTCCTCGTGTGGAGCAGAGCAGTTGGCTGTATTGTCTAATGGGTGAGGAAGGTCTATGATTTGGTATCTGCACACATGAGCCTGGACTCGAGAACAGTGCAACACAACTTGAGTCCCCGGCTCCGACAAGATAAGGGAAGAAAGATGGGGACAACGTGGGCAGCGATCTATATGGGGATGTCGAGGATGGTACCCGCATCGAGAAACTCCTGCACGGCAAGCAGAGAGAGCGACCGAGGCTGAACGAAAGAACGACAGGTGGTGAGACAAAGGGAATGGAGCAGTATTCGCCCGTTCGGCTGTAAGATCAGTAGAAGGCGGAGAGGAGCAGAATCTCCACGACGTGGGACGCGTGAGCGGGCCGAGGTCCATTCCATCTCATCGACTAAAGTTTGTGCTCCAATCGCAGTGCTCGTGGAAGATGTGTGATTCTAACATGGTACGGAGTATGTAGGGAGATCGTGACTGTCGTTCGGAGACGATCATTCAATTCGTAGAGCCTTATCAAGCACTGGTATCAAAAGTCCGCTGTCTTCAACGCCCCGTCGCCATCGAAACGCCCATGTCGGTGTCGACCCCGGTCTTAAGAATCATGGGGTCCAACCCCGGCCGTGCTATATGTGCCTGCTTATGAGTAGAGCTTCTTCTCGAAGCTGTCCAAACCGTGGACATTTCCCTCCGCTTGAGCACTGACAGTCCGGAGCTCAAATCGCACCTTGCCGCTGTTCACCTCGTCCCGAAGCTCGACTAGGCTCTTGACGCCGATGTCTTGCATCGAATGCTGGAGGCCAGCCAATAGGTAGGGTACGAACTTGGTGACAGAACCACGATCCAGAACAGATCCTGAAACACCTTGAGCGACCAGCAGTCGGTCACTTTCCGAGAAGTAGCGCGCTGTTCCTGCGTTGGTCTTGGAGTTTTTGACTCCACCCCCGGCCTTCTTGTCCTCCATAGCATCGATACTGCCCATCCCACGGTAAGCCTTGACAAGCTTACCTTCTCGGTTGATGTATGATTGACCTGGTGACTCAGTGGTACCGGCCAAGAGACCACCCATCATGACCGTCGAGGCGCCCATTGCGATGCCCTTGACGATGTGCCCGACATTCTGGATGCCACCATCCGCGATGCAGGGGACGCCGAACTTTGCAGCAAAAGATGCCACAGCATGCACAGCTGTGGCTTGGGGACGGCCTACAGCCATGACCTCTTGCGTGATGCAAGCGCTGCCGCTACCCATGCCAATTCTCAGGCCATCGGCGCCAGCAGCGATCAGATTCGCAGCTTGTTCCCGAGTCACCACATTTCCAGCGATGATGTCGAGCTGCGGGTACTTCTCCTTGATGTATTTGACCATGTCGATCTGGTACATGCTGTTTCCTTGACTACTATCCAGAACCACAACGTCCAGGCCGGCATCCACCAGTTTCTGCAATCGGTTCCTGTCATCTGGTCTGGTACCAATCGCAGCGGCTGCGATAAGCTGTTTGGAATGTGGCAACTTGGAAGCGAGGGGGAAGTTGAGGTTCTTGAGGAGGTCGGAACGTGAGAGGAGAGAAACCAGGTTGCCCTCCGCGTCGACGATGGGCAACTTGCCTTTTCTTGACTTCCGGAGGACGTCGTTGGCTTCTGCAAGGGTGGTACCAGATGGAGCGGTGATCAAGTCTTTCGACATGACCTCAGTCACCGAATCATCTGCATTTGGGTGGAACTGGATGTCTCTCGTCGTAATGATACCAATTAGTTTGGAATGAAGCTGACCGTTCTCTGCAAATTTGTCAGCCGCTGCTCGGAGCGGCACGTAGATGGCTTGTAACAGCGAATGGTAGTTTTTATCAGACAGAAATCTCCATAATTCCCCATTGCAAGTTCATGCTGCGGATGAACGAAAGTTTAAAAGGGTAAATGTGTTTGGACATCATTTGTGACGGGACAACGGCTAGATTGATCACATACCTGTAACAGGGAAGCCGCCGAAGCCCCACTTCTCTTTGAGCTCTTTGGCTTCGCCCACGGTAGTCTTCGGAGAGAGGACGATCGGGTCTGAAATGAAACCGTTCTCGTATCTCTTGACTTTCCTGACCATGTCGGCCTGCTCGTCAGCTGAGCAGTTGTGGTGGATTACACCTAAACCACCCAGCAGAGCCATGTGTATGGCCATTGACTCTTCTGTAACGGTATCCATAGGCGATGAGAGGAGAGGGGTCTTAAGGGATATGCGCTTTGTGACAGGAGAATCGAGCGCGACTTCAGACGCCGCGAAGCCTGTGCATGGAAGTTAGCACGCGACTTCGCGGCCAGCATGACAAAATCTCAAGTACCGATATAACCAGGCAAAACAAGGAAGTCATTGTATGTCAACGCCCCGTTCTCTTTCGAATTGAGAAGACTCGTTATATCGAGCCCGTCGCGCGACTCGTAGGCGGATTCGAGGACTTGCAGGGCCTTGCAATGGTCCAGCACCTCCACCTTGCGGCTGACAGGAGTGCCGTTGGCGACGTCTCCATTAGCAATAGGCATCGTGCGGTAATCAAAGCAGTATTGACTTTCAGCAGACACTTGGAAAAACGTCTGCTGGGGTTCAGCGAGTGCCTTGCCAAAGAAAAAGGGAAAGGAGGGAAAAATTCCTGTGCCTCGAGAATTCACAAAGGAAAGGCGGAGAGAAAGTGGATCTCTGGTATTGCCAAGCTCGGCTCGCTTTCATTGTCATTGGTGGCCGCCTTGTGAGGACTAGCACCAGCCAGTACGCTTCGCCGCCGCATTGCTTCGCCGTAGTATTGGCGCATCTAGAGTGGGGCTGAGATCAATGTTTTTGTTTTACCCGATATGGACAACTTCGGCGTCAAACTCCAAGTTTTCCAGCAGTCAGGACTTCGATCGTGACTCCTACCCATTCGACCCAGTGGATGCCTCACAAGACCGTTGGCTAAACTCTACCCAAGCTTAGAGAGCCACGGCATTTTTAGACTCTCTCTTTCTGTCCGTTGAAGCTGTATGTGCAACAAGCTGATGCGGCCTTCGTGACGACCTGGATGACACCGAGCACAAGCAATTGAGGATGCGCCGCAAGCTTCGACTACGATCCTACTCGACTTCCTTCTCACAGATCGCTTGGCCTCTAGCTCTCTCCCGGGATGTCGCACTACGCTCTTCGCCGCGCACAGACGGACAACCAGTACAGCCTACCTCATCGACAAATCTCTGTGGCATCTACAGCGTCATCAGCCTATTCAGCCGCATCAAGCGCTTTCTTGCCAAGCCGAACGAGCACTGTGACTTCGACCAACTCCAGCATCTACTCAAGAGGATCTCCAGGACATAAACGTTCTAGCACCACAATCGAGGATATGACCCCTACAAAGGCTTACGCTGGAAGCAGCAGTATCGAGAACAGTCCCGACCATGTGTATCGCAACATCCGCCAATCGCTAAGACCTCTCCCGCAAGCGCCTTCACCTTCTCCAACGCCTAACGCAAGACGACCGAGTCCATACCATGCTCGAGCCCAATCAATTGATCACTTCCCCCAGACCCAGTCCGAGGACATATTTGTTGACAAGCAACACCCCCTTGAGCATCATCAAGACTCTCACACGGCAAGACCGCATCTTCATCATAGTATGACAAGCCCGCACAGCAACACGTTTAGAGCGCCCGATCTTCAGGACCTGCAAAAGTCTTCGACGGGCTACCTGAAAACGCTATCCAGATTTGCACAAAATGGCGAGGCTGAAGAGTTCGGAATTTCCCGTCCTGGTCAGTCTGTCGTTGGGCTGCACAATCGACGACAACTAAAGCGCACCGATTCTGCTGTATACGGTGGGCGGCCAGCACCTAAGAGTTATGGATGGGGTGACAGGAACTGGATGGACAAACAGCGACAATTTCTACAGGCATACGAATACCTCTGTCACATTGGCGAAGCGAAGGAGTGGATCGAAGATATCATCGACAAACAAATCCCGCCTATCGTGCAGCTGGAGGAGGCGCTTCGTGACGGCGTAACTTTGGCCGAAGTCGTCCAGGCTTTTCATCCTGATCAGAAGCTGCGAATCTTCCGCAACCCAAAACTACAGTTCAAGCACTCCGACAACATTGTCCTATTCTTCCGCTTTCTGGAAGATGTGGGCTTACCTGACCTCTTCCGATTCGAGCTTATCGACCTGTATGAGAAGAAAAACATTCCCAAAGTCATATACTGCATTCATGCACTGTCATGGCTCCTCTATCGCAAGGGCATGGTGGACTTTCGCATCGGAAATCTGGTTGGACAGCTCGAATTCGAGCACCATGAATTGGAGCAGACACAGCGCGGACTGGACAAAGCTGGAGTCAGTATGCCAAGTTTCTCTGGCATGGGTGCAAGCTTCGGTGAGCCGGAGCCTGAACCTGAGCCAGAACCAGTGGAGTCCGAAGGTGAGCGGATAGAGCGAGAGCTGCGTGAGCAAGAAGCCGTCATTATAGATTTCCAGAACCAAGTTAGGGGTGCTCTGGTCCGATTACAGCTAGGCGACGTGATGCAGCAGCTCTGGGATGGTGAGGCTGTTATTGCCGATCTTCAATCTCGGATTCGTGGTGATTGGTCACGACAAATTGTGGGATACAGGCTTGATATGCAGCGTTTTGCTGCGAGGCTCCAAGCTGCGACTCGCGGGTTTCTGGCGCGGCAGAGACAACGCGGAACGAAGCAAGCATGGAAGTCGCAAGAAGGCGAGATTCTCAAACTTCAGAATCTCTGCAGAGCAAGTCGAATCCGCGCTGAGACTCGCACGCTGAAGTCTCAATTCCGGAAGCACGACTCTGGCATTCGCAACCTACAAGCAGCAATCCGCGGAGCACTCTCTAGACAGGATGCGTTCGATCAATACGAAGAGACCAGGGGAGCGGAAAGCGAAATCCTCAGCCTTCAAGCCAATGTTCGTGGCATGTTGGCTCGGAGTCAGCTGCAAAGGGATCATGCAACTCTAGAACGACATGCTCGGTCTGTTATTCAACTCCAAGCTGCGACACGGGCCTTGTTTGCCAGGGCGGCTCATGGCAGGATGCAGGGAGCTCTTCAAAAGTCTGCACCGAAATGGATCGGCCTACAAGCCAGTATTCGGGCTGGTCAAGTACGTGCGGGCGTTGCGCGGCTGAAACAGTCCCTGAAGTCACATTCGACATCTATCAGCAAATTCCAAGCAAGCCTGAGGGGAGCGAATGCGAGAGAAAAACACAACGCGCTCAGGCTTGCTCTACTCCGGCAGTCAACCTCATCCATTTCTCTACAAGCTGTCATCCGTGGGTATACCCTAAGGCACCAGTTGCGGAGTCAACGACAATTATTGGACAGGCATGTTCCTCGCATCAGTCAGCTGCAAGCACTGGGGAGAGGCGCACTGCTTCGCAACCAGACTGCAGACCTGCTGGCAAAACTAGACGACAGTCAAGAGGGAGTCATCCAACTACAAGCTCTGTCGCGAGCCATGCTCTGCCGCGCCCATGTCGGTGACTTATTGAGCGAATTGGAAGCAAACGAGGCATCAATTACCCAGCTTCAGGCAATTATAAGAGCAAGAGCAATTCGCACCCGCTTTGCCGAGAAGCAGCGTCACTACAAGGAGAACATGGAAAAGGTCGTCAAGATTCAAAGTGTGGTTCGAGCCAAGATCCAGGGCAAAGCATACAAGAGTCTGACCGTAGGCAAGAACCCGCCTGTCGGCACTTTGAAAGGGTTTGTCCACCTGCTAAACGACAGTGATTTTGACTTTGAGGAAGAAGTGGAATTTGAGCGACTTCGAAAAACGGTGGTGCAGCATGTGCGACAGAACGAACTTGCCGACCAGTATATCACCCAGCTAGACATCAAGATCGCGCTGTTGGTGAAGAACAAGATCACGCTGGATGAAGTCGTGAAGCATCAGAGGCACTTTGGTGGCCATGTTGGTGCTCTTCTGCCAAATTCCGACATCGCCTCGAAGGACCCTTTCGATCTGAAGGCGCTCAATAAAACATCGCGTCGAAAACTGGAACATTACCAAGAGCTCTTCTTCTTGCTTCAGACACAACCGCAATATCTTTCCAGACTGCTCAGGCGCATCCGGGAACATGCAACGGCTGAGAAGGAATGCGATCGGATCAAGCATCTGGTCATGGGCATGTTCGGCTATGCTCAAAAGCGAAGAGAGGAGTACTACCTCGTCAAGCTGATCGCAAGATCCATCAAAGAGGAGGTTGACTGTTCAATATCATTCCAGGACTATCTCCGAACAAATTCTTTCTCGAACAAGCTCTTTGCGGCGTACAGCAAATCACCCCGAGACCGCAAATTCCTGAGAGATGTCCTTGGTCCGGTTGTCAAGGAAAATATCATCGACAATACTTCGCTTGATCTCGAAAGCGATCCTCTTCAAATCTACGTTTCTGCAATCAACAATGAAAAGCTGAGGACGGGTCGGCGAAGTCAGAGGGATCCTAATGTGCCCAGAGAAGTAGCTATTCGAGATACAGAGACGAGAGCAACATTCATCGCACATATGCAAGACCTTCGCGATATCACCGATCAATTCTTCCTTTGCTTGGAGGACTGTTTGCACAGAATGCCTTTTGGTGTCCGCTTTGTCGTCCAGCAGACCTATCAGCATCTGGTGGCACGATTTCCAGGAGAGGAAGCGGATTTTGTTCTTCAGCTAGTTGGCCAGTGGCTATGGCGGCACTACGTTCAGCCCGCTCTTCTAGAACCAGAGAAGTTCGGCGTTGCTGATCGTGCAATGACTCAAGAGCAGAAACGCAATCTGGGCGAAATCGCCAAAGTGTTAAACCAGGCTGCTACAGGTCGCGAGTTTGGAGGCGATAACATCTACCTTCAACCGCTCAACAACTACGTACGGGAGTCGATTGAACGGTTCGCGGTAATCTGGAGTCATGGTAAGTCTCTTACGGCTCTTTGAAGTGCATGCAAACTGACATCTTACAGTCATCTCTATACCGCCAGCTGAGGAGCACTACGATATTGATGAGTTCAACGACCTGTATGCCAAAACGAAACCAACACTGTACATCAAAATGGCCGATATCTTCTCCATCCACAAACTACTGTCTCAAGAGATCAGCGCCATCTGTCCGGGCCAAGACGATGTGCTTCGTGACATCTTGAGAGAACTGGGTAGCGTCCAGAGCAACGAGAGTGAACTTCGAGGTGTCAGCTCCAGCGAAATAAGTCTCACCTTGACACCCAAGTTGCTCAACTCAGAAGATCCTGATGCGGATATCAAGGCCTTGTTGACCGAGACCAAGCGCTGTGTTCTATACATTATCCGAATCCAGTCAGGTGCTAGCCTCCTCGAGATTCTCGTGAAGCCCATCTACCCCGAAGACGAAGAGAAGTGGGGAGCTTTGGTTGCCGAAGAGCTTCGATCGGGCAGCGGGCGACGCGGTGCATATGCCGATGCTAACAACCACCTTGACATCCTCTCTCTATCTTATCCCGACCTCAAGCGCATTGCTCTGGAAAACATTCTGCAGCTCGAATCTATCGGTCGCTTGACCAGGGCAAATCAATACCAAGACCTCCTCAACGCCATTGCGGTGGACATCCGTACGAAGCACCGGCGTCGACTTCAACGTCAACGAGAATTGGAGAATGTCAGAACCACATTGGAACGGCTTAATGAGCAAGCGGTGTATCTGGAACAGCAGCTGAAGACTTACAACGACTACATCGAGCAGGCCATGGTGACTCTTCAAAACAAGAAAGGCAAGAAGCGCTTTGTCATGCCCTTCAGCAAGCAATGGGAACACGAACGCGAACTTCAACGCTCCGGCCGCTCGTTCAAATTCGGCTCCTACAAGTACTCAGCCCGCACCCTCGCCGACAAAGGTGTCCTGGTCCAATGGCGCGGTTATAGTGAGCGACAATGGGATCGCGTGGACCTCACCATCTCCTCCAATGCAGTTGGTGTGTTCACTATTGACGGCAGTTCCGGCAACATGATGATCCCGGGTGCAAATGCACAGGTTCCATTGGACGACTTGTTGCAGGCGCAGTTCAACAACACGCAGTTCATGGAATTTTTCGAAGGCGCGCTAAGGGTTAACGTCAACTTGTTCTTGCATTTGATCATGAAGAAATTTTATAATGAATGAATGATGACGCTGCCGGCCAAATATGCATATTCGGGGAAGGAGGTCGAAGCGATGGATTGCAGGATGCTTGGGCACACGAGTGGTTCTGTTGGAAAGAGAGGACAGAGGGCATAGCACAAATGCTGAAAAGTCCCATAAGAGCTTTGCAACGATATGTCTGCCTTCGGCCGCACTCTCAGATGAAGTCCAACGGATTGATGCGTGGCTCCTTGCACTGGGCCCATTGTTAAGGAGGTTCACGATACCTGTGCTCGTTCTCAAACCCTTTGTATCGTACTAACCTTCCGTCGCCACCTATGCATGTAGAAACCTCCCATCCCTGCGACGGTAGGAAGAACAATGCAAGCGCCACAAGATCAAGGCTTTTGAAAACTTCCCCCCACCATTCCTCATCACAGCTTTCTGTTACCACATCAACTGCGGTGACATCCTCCAAGCTGGGTTGTCGCAGTCCCTGCTTCCAGCGAGATCGAGATCCCGAGTACGAGGTATTTGATCTTCCTGCGCGGAGCTCAGTCTGTGGTCAATCCCACCTTGGAGTAGTATTGCTCTTCGCACGAGCCGCCGTGGGTACATAGAACGTCTGTGCAGTCGTAACGACCGGAACCACTGGGAACCTTCACAGGAGGCGACAGAAACTCTACTCGAGGCCGGCAGGTAATGTAGCACCATCGCCGTGGCCGAAAGACGGAGTTGATGTCCGTCTCGGATGAGGTTGGCGAGTGTGAAGGGAGGATATCCCTGGTGCTGACGGCCAACAGTTAGCTGCCAACACGTTTCGGATCTCCTACGTTCTACCATGTGTCGGTCCATGAGAGTTCCTCAAGGTCATGATGCAGGACGCGGATGTGTCACGTCAACACAGTTGGGGTCCATACCGTGCATCACGAGGAGGCCGACGGAACTCAACTTCAGGCCCCTACTGTGTAAACAGCGACAACCCTGTTTGGAGCTACACTCGTCCTTTGCTGTCTGCTGGGTAGACATGCGAGCAGGGCGACTCCGTGCCTGACCTCCTGCATTTCTACGTTTGGCATCTCAGTGCCTCTTCATTCCATCAAAATGCAGGAAAGGCTTGCAAAATGTGCACCCCGATTGACGCAACTGACGGAAAGGTAAATTCTTTTGACACATTCGGAAAACCATCCTCTGCGTCATCCAGGCGTCGTTACGGAGTACAGTGCACGGTGCCGTGCTGTAGATCTTCTACCAGAGTCGGTAAAGACACTGGACGACTGGAAGCATTCCATCTGACGAAGACGAGGTTCGCGCTCGAGCACCAACCAGCCCAAAGGAACTATTGGCAGCTCGGCTTTGCAGGGTCAAGACGGAGAGGAGATGAGAGATATCTGTTGCGGGTACGGAGGCGTGCACACAAAGGCGTTGCCGCGCTAATTAAAATGACAGCCCCCGGCGGAATGACAGAGCAATTTCATGTGATGACACCACGCTCTAGGGGCTCAGTGCCTAAAGCACGCCTAGAACCATCCCACACCAGGGGCGCCTCTAGGTGTCACGGTGGGTGCTCGCTAACCCGCTTAAATAAACTCAGGGGTGGTTGCCTCGGACAACCAATAGTAAATAGGCTTGTCTTTCAAAGCACCGTCATTCCACCACTAGCGTGGCAACGCCTTTGTGTGCACGCCTCCGCAATCGTTCCGCTTCGTCCAAGCCACTTATGCAAGGTACGGCGCACACATGCAGAAGTGTCAGACGCGAAAGCCGCCTCAAATCGAAAAGGTGGAAGGGCACGGTCCGCGTCGACTGTCAAATCTCCGACACCTCGACAGACCCGGCGTTGCCGGCGTGACCGTTGTTGAGATTAGAGTAAGATGGTGCACAGGCTAGGAACAGGTGTAGGATCTCTCATGCGACAAGATCTACTACGGCACGTGTGAATGGAGTACGAAAGCCGGAATCCAGGAGATTCGAGCCGCAAAGGACCAAATCTCCAGGTATCATGAGACCACCGAGACGAAATTATTCTACCGACACCCAGAGTCACGAGCCACGCTCCGTACATAACAGGCAGTGTGAGATTCTGGGCAGTCGCCAGTTGGGCGCGCGGAAGCAGTCACGAGCAGTTTTAGTGACCCCCTTTACAACAGCCACCACTTCACTGGAGAGCACTGCCGTCGCCGCGTCCACCGCGACTCGGCTTCGTGCCATGAAAAGGGGACGCGCGGTCGACGAGCCCCTTATCACTTCGCGTGATGTCAAGGTGGTTCAACAAGAGTGCGGCTCGGTGCTGGAAAGCAACGGTGGTCCAACGGAACATCCCAGGACGAGTATATCGATTGGCGCCCGAGACATGGACAATGCAGGATGTATAGGCCTGATAGGGTTCGTGGCCTTGTCCTCTTGCCGCGCCCAGAGCAGGGCATGGTCGAATCGGCTGCGAGACAGGCACGGCACAGCATTGGTCGTGACGTGTTTGAGCCTTACAAGAATCAAATAGTGGAGAGCTTTCATGGTGCTAGCGCCTGGGAAAAAGTTGGTATCGGCTCGTTGGAGCTCTGTTCCCCTTGCATTGGTATGCCGAACCCAGTCGAGCGAGCATGCATGACCTGCCATCTCACTCAGGGGTAACACCAACATGCGAGGTCTGTTTCTGCAGTCCCGGGCTAACGTCCAAGTCATTGCCAGATAGTCTGAGCGAGTAGCATGCGTGGGAAAGGCTGTGGGAGGGGCCCTGGCTAAGGTAAGCTGATGGCAATCGGTGATCTCGGAACATCAAGCCATCATACAGCATGATCGAAGCCGACCAGCATGGCCCGAGTACGGGAACAGGCGGGTGCTCACAAAAGAATGATAGACCCCCATTCTGATGCGGTTGAATCTGTGCAGACTTTGTGCCTCATCCATAGCGCTCGCTGTCCCCAGTGACCAATATCTCTACCTCGTCTATCTCAGGCATCCCTCGATGGTGGCACCTCTGTCAACCCATTGGCTACACACCTACCATACCGTGTAGGCTCCTTTATTCCCTACTGTGTATTCAGTCTGCCAGCAGCACCTGCCTACTATGGCCTGCCACCAGCGCAACTCATCCATGGCATCGTCAACCAGGACCGTTACCCCAATGGATAGTTGGGAGTCATACTTCGACTCTTGGAGGGTGGAGGATCACGAAATACCTGACTTGCATCCGCCTCCAGTACCAACAATCATCGAGCCCATCATTCTGGACGATGAGCTCTACCACCCAAACAGCCTTCTAAATGCAAACTTCAATTTTGACCATGCCTTGGATTTGGACCTGGACAGGGAGCTCGACCAACACTACCAAGACTATGAAGCCCGGTGCTCTCCCAAAGCGTTTGGGAGATTGAACGCGGCCAATCCTGCGAACAAAAGGCATGCGATCATCGTGTCGAACCGACGGGCCTCTGCAACCCGCGCCCTTGGACCAGGACAAACGGTGCACCAAATCCACCAGATTCGAAGAGATCGCCAGGCTGCACCAGTCAGGAGAATGCCTGATGACGTCGGCGGAGGAATGCAGGCTGACGAGATGGCAAATACCACGACCCAGCCTTGCGTGGCACCTGAGTGGCGCGGGTACGAAGCTGAAACAGCGAGATCTCGCGATGCCGCATGGGCTTGCAGAACCCTGCAGATAGCTCGAGCAGATCAGCGTCAGCAGCGAGCTACGACACCGTTTTGGACAGCAACTTCGGCAGCGACAGCAGATGAAGCTCGAAGTCGCGGAGACGGCCAGAGAGCCAGCAGGACACCAGCCCGCAGAGCCCCGAACGCTTCCTCAGCAGCCGCATCTTTAGGCGTGGATCCGCCGCTAAACCCACCTGTAAGTGACCGTCGATCCCCTGTGATTTATGATATCATGGCCGCTAAGCCCCCCATGCCCCTCCACGATTGCCCGTCTGCCATGCTTGCTTGCGTTCATGCCTCGTCACTCACTGCTTTCTCCTTCCCAAACGGCGTCACTGCGCCCGAAACTTGATGTCGAGATTCCATCTTTCATCTTCCACTCACTTTACTCTCTCTCCATTCTCGTCCAACCAAGTCTTTTTTACCCTTTCGTCTCCCCTGTATGAGCTGCAGTGCTGCACTGCATCTGCATTTCTTAAGCCCGACTGGCAATTGGCACGGCACCTCCTACTCCTACGCTTAGCTTACCTGGGCTGCGTGCTGAATCATCCACCGCATTCATCCTGCAATACGAGATCTGGGCCCAGGACCATTCCTCCCGCCTGATCCTGCCGCTACTGTCACTCATACCCCATTAACTTTTCTTCTAATCTCGACCTCGCACTCATCCTCACTTGTCACCAGTCTGGCAGCTCGACGTCTTTTGGCCCTGTCCTTCTCACTCTTCCTCCTCGTGCAACTCACGCCCGCTGTACCACTGCTAAGATGAGCACCATTCAGAATCTCAAGAACTTCATACGTCATGGCAAGCAAGCCCGCGCTGCCGAACCTCCCCGCGACCAGCCCACCACCAACGTCTCGCCAGTCCACGCTCAACAACAGAAATACCACCACGCAATTAGCGATCCACTGGGTCACAACCAACGGCAACTGCAGCAGGACGTACAACCTCAACCTGGACAGTATTCCGTGGCCGCTGGTGACAACCGCAATGTCGCGGCTCAGGCTGGCGGGGCGGCAGCCCATGTTGCAGGCAAGAACCAGAAGATCAACCAGGCCGATATCCAAGCTATTGTCGCTGAGGAGAGAGAGAGGGCCAGCAAGATGCCGAGATATCCGGGACTTGAACGGTTCATACTGGTAGAAAAGATGGGCGACGGCGCCTTCAGCAACGTCTACAAAGCTAGGGACACCCAAACTGGAGATGAGGTCGCCATCAAGGTCGTCCGCAAGTTCGAAATGAACTCGAATCAGGTATGCCTGGAGTCAGGGGACGCTGCCATGTTATCGACCTCCCTTTTCCAACCCACCCTTTCCCCTTCCATACCCTCCCCCTGCGTCGGCTTCTCCCCTGCCTAGTAGCCTATAACCCCTCCCATCTTCGCTCCAAAATCCACCACTCCTTCAAGGCAGCTTCAAAACCAACCTCTCGTAACCTAGGGCGATGCTCACCTTCATCCAAACTTCAAAAAACAACCAAAGGGCGTGGAGGTGCGCACATTTTTTTTACTTTAACCTTAGTTGGCCTCATCCGTTGTTCTCCAATCAGCGTTATCGAGCCACTCGATACTTGGCCGACCGCAGACTGACCAGTGTTCATAGCGGGCCAATATTCTGAAAGAAGTCCAGATCATGCGTCAGCTGGATCATCCCAACATCGTCAAGCTCATTGACTTTTCCGAGTCACGACAATACTACTACATCGTTCTCGAACTTTGTCCTGGTGGTGAACTTTTCCACCAAATCGTCCGCCTGACATACTTCAGCGAAGACCTTAGCCGTCACGTCATTACCCAGGTGGCAAAGGCACTTCATTACCTACACGAAGAGACGGGCGTCGTTCACCGGTGAGTGTAACAGGTTGGAGACAAGTATTAGGAACACAACTGATCTCAACCCAGGGACATAAAACCCGAAAACCTTCTGTTCTACCCCATACCCTTCGTACCGACACGCAATCCCAAACCGAAAGGCCCAGATGACGAAGACAAAGCCGACGAGGGAGAATTTATCCCAGGCGTCGGTGCTGGCGGTATTGGTCAGATCAAGATTGCCGATTTCGGTTTGTCCAAGGTTATCTGGGATTCCCAAACCATGACGCCATGCGGCACGGTGGGTTACACGGCCCCGGAGATTGTCAAGGATGAGCGATACAGCAAGTCAGTCGACATGTGGGCTCTTGGTTGTGTCCTCTACACTCTCCTGTGTGGATTTCCACCTTTCTACGACGAATCGATTCAGGTCTTGACTGAGAAGGTTGCCCGTGGTCAATACACTTTCCTCTCCCCCTGGTGGGACGATATCTCAAAGTCGGCGCAAGACCTGGTCTCCCACCTCCTAACTGTCAACCCTGACAGACGCTACACCATTGAAGAATTCCTGAATCATCCATGGATTCGGAACACCACTGAACCTACATACGCCGCTGCAGACGCCCCGCCCTTGGCCACACCCTTGTACATGCGTCAAAAAGACCAAGCTCAAGCAGCGAATCTCCCCGCAGAATTTCCTGGTACCCTCACTCCAGGAGGCAGGCGAGCAGATTTCAGGTCTCCGGGTGCAGTTAACCTACGTGAAGTATTTGACGTCGGCTATGCCGTGCACAGACAGGAAGAGGAAGCCAAGAGAAGAAAGAATTTCAAGCAAGGTTACCGAGGAGCCGGTATACCAGGCGGTCTGAATCCACTGAATGAAGACGAGGACGATGAAGAGGACGAAGAAGAGGTCTCGAGTAAAGTGCCAAAAAGTCAGCAGCCCGCCGATGTTTCGAGTATGGAGGCCAAGATGCGTACAACCAATCTTGGACCACAACCATCCGCGGCAGCACAGGCGAGAGCGTCGGCTGCTCCGGCTAGAAGCCAACACCATGCAAGTCAGCAAGAGCAGCGAGGCTACGGACAACATAGCGCGGCCGTCGCAGCTGCGGCCAAACAGAGCGTCGGAAGGAGGAACAAGCAACCGTTCGAGCTCAGTTTGGACAACTCGACACTATTGGGCAGAAGAAACAAGATAGGGAATGCGAACCCGAACGAGCCATCCAAGTTGAGAGAGGAGATCAGTGCTCGGTAAGACATGAGGGGCGGTCGATACAACGGCAGAACCATTTGAATGCCAGACTTGGGCACAGTTGGATTGGCTTGGTCAGACGCCTTGGTCAGGTCAAAGTGCGGGATCGGAGTGATTCTGCGAATTTCAGGTCGCTGATGAAGAGGGCACGGAATGAATGTGAGCGAACTGTCAATAATCCGAATTTTACTCGTGCATCGAAGGCCATAGGCTAGAAACAAGCAATGCACAAGAGATACACTCAGCCTGATGATGTCTAGAAATGAATCATGAAATTCCATGCGTCCTCTCATCTAGCCTCTGTCCCCCACAAGCTGGCCATGTGCGTGCCATGTGGTTTCGGTTATGATATAGGCAGCTTACTATGGTATGATCACGCGTGTCCTTTGCCCTCTGGGAATCCGACATCCGGTAGCGAAGATCGCCGCGAGTCATGTGCGCGATGGGGTTAGAAATTTGATCCCGCCTTCACCATGCACGACCGCACGCACGAAGCATGTACTAAGCCGTGTACGAAGCCGTGTACGAGATCCGGCATCTCCTGGGGGCCTTTTCCCGGCGGGTCCCTCCCCGTCCCTGGCCATTACCCCGTCCCTGCCCGTTTAGAAGATGCAATAATTACTCCGTACGGTATGTAGCTCCGTAGCTAGACGGACATGACCGAGCCAACATGGTGAAATTTCTGGCGGCTCCTCCTTCGACTGGTACCATGGCTATCGCCGTCCCTCACGTCTTTCTTTCTTGCTGGTCATCTGCTGTGCTGTGCGGACTGTGTTCAATTTACGGCCTGTTGAGAGCAAGATTTCATATATAATCAGGACTAGGTTGAGCCTGGCCACCGAGCCTTCCCGCAATTTCATACGCCATATTTAGGAGCCCAGCTCACCTCGGGTTCAGTTTCAGCTGCATATAACTTGTCCATGACATCTAACCAAGGGAGAGAACAGCAAGACTACGGAACTCCCCTGGACCAGCCTAGTCTGGCCCAGGAAGCAAGCCGTCTAGCACCAGATCAAGGACACCCACTGCAGACTTATCCGTCAGGACCAGCTTCGACACATGACGATCATCACCGTTACTCGTGGCGGCACTCCAGCACAACACATCCTTCATCTGCCACACTACCGGTAAGCACTGGAGTGGGACTAGAGAAGCCTGCGTGGAAAGACAGTGAACAGACGCTCGATGCCTTCACTGACTCTAGCATGGACGACGAGAAGAGGTCTGCGACCATCGCAGAAAAACAGTCAACTGACGCCCGGGAAAATTCCCAGCTGAGGCGCCCAAGCCTCGGGTCTCGCAAGGGGACGTCCGCCGCTCCATCGATAGCCGCTGCGCCCTTCACAGGTCCTGACTGCTGTGACCTTGAACGGCCGCACAGCCATCACAGTCATGGAGTTCTTAACAAGGACAACTGCACCTCTCGACCAAGATCGTCCTCATCTTCGAGCTCGGTGCCGACGTTAAACCAAGTTCCGAGTAACCTGGCCACAGCCAGCCGAGTCTCAACCGATGCCTATGGCAATACCTACCCCGAAGGAGGGAAGGAGGCGTGGCTCTGCGTCTTGGGTTCGTTCTGCGGGCTGATGGCTGCGTTAGGAATGATGAACACGCTGGGAACCTATCAAGCTTATCTCTCAACACATCAGCTTCAGTCGGAAAACGAGAGCACGGTTGGCTGGATCTTCGGCATCTATGCGTTCCTCTCTTTCTTCTTTGGTGTACAGATTGGTCCAATCTTCGATGCGAAAGGTCCGCGATGGCTTGTCCTCGCCGGGTCCGTCCTCATGCTCGCCTCGCAACTCGTCATGGGCGTTTGCACTGAGTACTGGCATTTCTTGGTCGTCATTGGTGTGATGGGCGGGACAGGGACATCCTTGGTCTTCACGCCCGCCATTGCTGCACTCGGTCATTTCTTCCTGCGCAAACGCGGCCAAGCAACTGGTTTAGCTGCCGCTGGTGGCTCGATGGGCGGAATTGTCTTCCCCTTGACTCTGCAGGCATTATTCCCCAAGATTGGATGGGCGTGGTCGACTCGCGTTTGTGCCTTGATCAACTTGGTTCTGCTCATTGTTGCAAACCTGTTCATCAGATCGAGGCTCCCACCTCGAAAGGCCACAAAGGAGAACATCTTGCCCGACTTCCGCATCTTCAGGGATCCCGTCTTCGCACTTACCACGGCTGGTGTCTTCTTCGTCGAGTGGGGCCTCTTTGTTCCTCTTACTTATCTTTCCAGCTACGCACTGCGCAATGGCGTTTCATCATCCTTCTCCTATCAGATCATTGCCATCTTGAACGTCGGATCTTGCTTCGGACGCTACTTCCCCGGGTTTGTGGCGGACAAGGTCGGCCGTTTCAATGCCCTGGTGGTCACGATTGCTTTATGCCTTGTGTCGACTTTGGCATTCTGGCTCCCTGCCGGGGGCAACATCGCATTGATCATAGTCTATGCCCTCGTCTTCGGTTTCGCGTCCGGGTCTGGCATCTCATTGACGCCGGTCTGCGTGGGACAACTCTGTAGAGTTGAGAACTACGGCCGTTACTACGCGACCTGCTATACACTGGTGAGCTTTGGGAGCCTGACGGGCATTCCAATTGCCGGTCAGCTCGTTACCGCGTGTAACGGGGAATACTGGGGTCTGATTGTCTTTACAAGTTGCAGTTATGCGGCTAGTTGCGTTTTGTTGAGCGCGGCTCGCATCGTGGGCGCAGGATGGAAATTGAAAGTGGCTTATTGACTCGATTCTGGCACACAAGAGCGGCGTTAGGGGCTCATACGAGCATTTGCACAATAGGCTCGGAAGGAATAGATCGAAATTTCACATAGCGATGTTGATAAACGGAAAATGGGATTGTTTGGCGTGTAGTGTTCTGCGGTCCTGAAAATGCTGCTGACTCTTGCCGTCCACGTCGACGTGAAGGTGTCTAAGATTCCTGCCTTCTTCATCCTCGTTAGTCTTCCGTCTCAGTCTTCTTCTCCCGTTCGCCATTCCCATTTTCTCTTCGTGAAGTTTGACGTTTCGTCCGGCAAGACGTCGCACGAACAGGGTCACAACCCCTGCAAGACAAGCCCGAGTCGAATCTCCGATTGCAAGCCCCCGCGACAATTGGGGGGCGAAGACTTTCCCGGCAGCGTGCCGAGGACAGAGCACGAACGTTTCAGCTGGATTGACAGCTCTGCAAAACTCCCACCGACCCACAAGCAGCGAGATCTATGACTTGTTACTGGAAATTTCGATGGATGGAGGAGCATATACGTTGAAGTTGTCGCTGAGTCGCCGCGCTTCGAAACGGATCGCACCAGTCCATGGACGACCGCGGCTTCGTTCTGGACGGTCATGCCACTGCGCGAGACGTGTACAGTACCCTCCGCGACGATGAAATTCGCACCTTGTTGCTTGCCCCTGGCAAGAATACTCCAATGGTCTGCGAATTGCAGGTGATACCATCTCCGACAAGCGCCCAGTTCGAAGCACTTTCATATGTCTGGGGCGACACCACAAAATCCAATTCCATTTCGTGCAATGGCTTCGAGTTCACTATCACCGAGTCGTTGTATACTGCTCTCACTCACTTGCGATACCCGGATTCGTGGAGACGGATCTGGGTGGACCAGCTGTGTATCAACCAGCTCGAAAATCAAGAGTTGATGAAGCAAGTTGCAATGATGGGTAAATCATCGATGCTCTCTCAAGTAGCATGCCCTTCTGACAAGGGGACACTAGGAAAACTCTACTCTTCAGCGTGCCGCGTGATCATCTGGCTGGGTAAGTACGACAAAAAGATGTCATTTGCCTTCGAGCTGGTTCAGGAGACTTCATTGAGTTCAAGTCTCGTCCGCTCCGACTTCCTTCACTCCTCTTCAAGGCCGCCGACGCCTCGAAGAAAGTCACTGCCGCCACGAACCACGCCACGATCAGTGGGCCTCTCGGGACGCTCCAGCCGTGCCTCGAGCTCACGGGAGAGCCTGACCAGCCTCTCAGCTTCAACCTCTAGCCTCGACAGCCAGTCTTACCCAACCACGCGACCGAAGAATAGGCGAAACAATACACCCCCTGCGCTGAAACATGCACTGTCAATCTTCCAGCACGTTTACTTCTCGAGGAAATGGACATTTCAGGAGATTGTTCTGGCTAAAGCGGCAATCATCTGCTGCGGCGACCTCGAAATGGCATGGAGCGATCTTTCTCTATGGTACTTCCACTATGCGTCCAAGCTTCGCAGCTCCAGCCTGCTGTACGACTCCGATGGCGCCTTTGAGAACATTCTAAAAGTACGAAATGAACTCGACAAGGGCACGCTGACGTTGAGCAACCTGCTCATGCTAACCAGACCGAGGCTGAGCACGAAGCCCGAGGATGCGGTCTATGCTTTGCTCGGCTTGGTGCCTGATTTGGTGGCGTCTTTGGATCGCTCCTTCGAGGCGATCGTATCCTCGGCAGAAGAAGATCTTTTCAGACTATACTTGGAAGTCTTCCGACATTGCATCGATAAAGAGCAGGATCTGGCGATCTTGAGTGCTGCTGGGAGATACAGGGGCAATGCTCAAGCAGTAAATTGGCCTGGTTGGCTTCCAGATTGGCGGCAGAAACTACCACTGCGACCATTGGTTCTCAGCAATCCCACGGAGCTTGGTCCAGAATCTGCTTTCGATGAGGAACTCCCTTCCAGCTCCTCGATTCCATTGGAACGGGTCAAGCCACTACTCTACAAGTTGCACTTCGACCCCGCAAATCTGCCTCTGTCGTCACGCCGATTGTCGATGGTCGTTACCGGGGTCCGCCTAGGCTGCATAGTTACGCGTCCACTCGCGTGGCCTGGATCATTCCTGGTCGCTGACTCATTGGGCCGGTCCGCCTTGGATGATGTCTTCGCCATGGGTCAAGACAAATATTCACAGCCACTGGCTTCCCTGGCCTCCTCATTCACGACACTGCTACATCAGTCTCCGACAGTGAAGGGATCGACGGTGGAGCAGAACTATTCTGCGAAGCTGATTCAAACTTCACTCGAAGCTGATGCCCGATGTTGCGCCGTCCGAACTTCTGCCATGGTCGAGACCGGAGATTTGCTCTGTGCATTCACAGGTGGGAAGGTGCTGTATGCAATACGGCGTCTCACTGAAGGGCGCAACCCAGATGGCAACGATATTGTCAGACGTGGTCTCAGGGGGAAGGGCAAGCCTCAAAACTCTTGGCGCCAGACCGTCCGGTCTTCGCCTGCGAACGCAACTCAACAGGCTCTCAGATGCCTCTTCCTCGGCGAATGCGCCGTGCACGGGCTGAATCCAGCGGAGTTGGTGGGACATCAGATAGATGATGAGCAGATGATGGAGTTCGAATTGACATAGGGAAAGCTGTGGACACCGCCAGTTACCGGATCGATCTCAAACCTCTCAGACAGCTTTCGCCCAAGATGATCTGTGAGGAGCCAGACAATCACGTCAAAAGGTGTTCGAGTCTGGGCAGCTCGGGCGTCCTCCAGCCCAAGTTTGAAACCATTTGGCTCTTCCTACAATACTGTGACAGGAGCCGAATAAGCACATACACGGTCTCGAAACGTGCTCTAAGACCTCCCATGTGGCAGTCCCTCAGGCGGACCCAGCAGCTCTGACGACAGGCCACCCCAAGGTTCTCAGAGAGCCAATCAGAGTGCATCGAAAGTTGGCTTTTGTGGCGCAGTCGAGGGCCGGTTTCTATTCCGGCCATGGACCCAATCACAAGGAGACTCACCGACTGCACCCAGCAGAGGCCGGAATAGCAGACAATCAATTACTTAAGATCGAAGCAGGAGAGGAGGGGCTGCGGTGAGCTTCTCCTTCTCACCAGTCTTTCGACAATACTAACAACTGCAGCCCAGCTATCACGCGCCCGACCCGCGGAGGCTTCCAGCGGGCTTGCGAACACGATGTCCCACCAACTCAATTCTACAAGCTGAGAATCCCCGGTCTTGACCGGCTGGGTGCAACGGCACTGTCCGTCAGATACAGGAGTCTCTACTGAGAATGTCAATCAGGAGTTTGCGATGTTGCTGCATGTGGTCGCTGGGGGACCATGTTAGCGCCAAGACAAGGCTGGCTGTCCTAAGGACTGGATGGAATCGTGGTGATGGCGATGTCTGCGGGATCTCTTTACCAGGGTTGGTATGATGGTTCTTGCGTTGCAATGGAGTCGCATGCAGTGATTGAGCAAATCGCTCTTCTCCTATCCTGCAGTGGTTCTGGTGGCGGAAGGCATTCCGGCCTCTTGAGTATATCAATCTGTCCCGCTCTCGAGTTGAGCCTGGCACAGACCACGCTGCCAGGAGCCCATCGTCCTGCTTCTTCTGCCAGTCCCCAGATACTAGACAAAAAGACCCTTGACTCTTCTTCAGACGGTTGCCCAAGCATCAGCGAGGATGACATACCTCACCGACTCGCCCCCTCTCCCACCACTGGCCGCTCTCTTCCCAAATATCCGCTCTAACGTCGGCAGCCTGCCTCGGTCCGCCGATCCATTCACGGTCACTACGTCTACCGGCTTCCTGCCCTGTCGTCCCCCTTTGCTCCGCCTTCCAGCACAGTTCGATCCCCTGTCGGCCATTCTGGACGACATGCCAATCGTCAAGGCCGATGGTTCACCTGGGCTGCTCGCCACATTCGAGCTGGGTCCGCTTATCGACTCTGGTGTTCTGCCGGATTTGACGTCTTACGTTGACAGCCTGCGGATCGATGAAGGGGAAATAGACCTCGAGTGTATCACTGCTCTCTTCCGGGACTACTCCTTCCTTGCCAGCGCCTATCTGTTGGAGCCTTGTTGGGAGATGTGGTGCAAAGATCACGATGCTGGCTATGGCTTAGGCAGAGCCGTGCTCCCGGCATGTATTGCCTCTCCACTCGTCAAGGCTGCAGACATGTGAGTGATAGCATTCTGTATCTTCTTGTGATTTTAGCTTATCGATGCTCTTACCTCTAGCCTTGACATTCCGCCATTCATGTCGTATGCTGCCTCGTATGCACTGTACAATTACAGCCTCGTCAAGCCGAATCTGGGAGCGAGTGTTTACGAGAATCTTCGCCTCATCCGCGCCTTCGAACGTGGACTTGATCACTCAAGTTCAGAAGCTGGCTTCATCCTCACGCACATCCACATGGTGCAAGAGACCGGGCCTCTGATAGCGGGCGCTGTCGACCTCTTGTCGACGATCGAGAACAGCTGCAACGATACATCTGCAGCTATCACCGCTTTCCAGACTCTTTTATCCTCCATGACCCTGATTGAATCCCACATGGAACAGATGTGGACACATTCCTTGCCGAAAGACTACATCTCCTACCGGACCTTTATCTTCGGCATCACTTCTCAATCCATGTTTCCTCATGGAGTGATCTACCAAGGCACACGCTATGGAGACACGAAACCGCTATATTTCCGAGGAGAGTCCGGAGCAAACGACAGTATCATCCCACTCCTGGACCATCTGCTGGAGATACCCATGCCCAAAAACCCGCTGACAGAGATTCTCAGGGATTTCAGGAGCTATCGACCGAAGCCGCACAAAGACTTTCTCGCCTGGGTCATGAGCAAGAGCGCAGAGATCGGTGTTAGAAAATATTGCACTCATCCTCCATCTAGCCCTACCGCCGGAGGTGACGAGAATCCCTGGTTGCTGCCAACACTATATGTTAAACTGCTGGACCATGTCCGAAGCTTCCGCTGGCGCCACTGGCTCTTTGCAAGAGAGTATATCATCAAACGGTCCTCGCATCCTACTGCTACAGGAGGAAGTCCTATCGTCACCTGGTTGCCGAACCAGCTGTTTGCTGTCATGGATATGATGCAAGAGGTCTTTGTTGATAGTGGGCTTGCGAGGTGTGTCGGGCAGGACGTAGGACAGGAGGTCAAGATGGTACGGGAGATGATGGATAACGTTGCCAGCCAGAGAGAAAAGCTGGACAAAGAGGTCAAGAAGTACTGTTCTGAAAGGAGCGTCTAAGACCTAGGTGCACACTTTCATGTATACGGTGCCAAAAAGGATAAAAAGCATGCTGTCGGCCGGCACAATAAGCCCATGTGGATGCACAGAGAGTCTCAGCCGCCTCCAGCCCCCAGTACAGCGTATGATATTTGGACATTCACGAAGGACTCAACCCCTTCAGCCTCCTTCTTGCCAGTGAACAGTGCCAAACTCCTAGGTGCCTGCCAGAGCCTCAAATCACTCCGCCCCTTCCGTCCTTCACGATTTTTCCCGCTCTCGACACACCTGACCGTCAGGGTCTTCCACCAGCATCACTTTTCCCCATTTCCGTTAATTTTATGAGTCAGCGAATCGTAACTCACGGATTTCGTTAATCGACGTGAACAAATCAGAACTAACGATTTTTCGTTAATCTCCAACGAGTCTTGGCGCCGATTTTCGTCCCGCCCTGATCTCGTGAATCACCATTTTGCTCAGAACAATGGGGAATATCATGGCCAGCCTGTCGTTCCAGCCCCCACTGAGACCGGTAGAACTTCATCGGCGTGAGCTTGACCATGTCACCGCTACGCAAGTGGTTTCGCGTGAAAGCATCCGCGTCACCAGCGGCCGCGATGACTCGGCAAGACGTGGTCGGCAGCAGCAGAGGACACAGGCAGCACCTTCCTCTGCTGAGGCGAAAAGTATAAGTATCCCCCCTTCCCCCCGAGTTTGTGGCCCTCTTGCGTCTGTCCATACCTTTCTTCATCGACTGTCCAAGTCCTTGTCTCGTCGCCTTCGCGGTGGCAGATCAGGGCTTGGACATGTCTGATTTTCGTGTGATATATATAACTCCACTGGCGACTGCTTGAAGCACCCTTTGCTTTATTGCTTCCTTTCTTCATTCGTTTCTTCGGCCGGTTCCTCCATCCTTCGGCTGGAGTCAAGCTCATCCTTCGCTTGGAGACGACTTCATCCTTCTTTGGGATTCAAATTCATCCTTCTGTGGAAGCCAAGTTCATCCGTCGCTTGGGGACAACTTCATCCTTCTTTGGGAGCCAATTCCATCCTCCTTGTGGAGTCAGCTTCATTCTTCGGTGGGTGACAAGTTCATCCTTCGCTTGGAGACAAGTTCGTCCTTGTTTGGGAGCCAATTTCATCCTTCGTTTGGAGACAAGGTCATCCTCCTTTTGGAGCCAACTTATCTGGACGCCGCACGGTCGCGGCTGACCTCTCGACTCGTTTCTTCATCTTCCCTTTGAAGCCAACCTCTCAGTCAGACGGGCCGACGACCACGCGGGCCATGATGATTCTTTCTTCATGGGTGTCCTCTCCAGTCTCTTTTGTGGCAAATCTCTCGATGCGACGAACGGGTGGCGCAGGCCCCTGTGTCGATTCAGTGGCTCGAGCGTAAGCAGATCCCTCACGCGGCTGCGGCCCCTTTCCACACTCCCTTCCCGCTTCACACCTGGCGGCCTCCTCTTTTCACTTACGCTTCCCGGTTCTCACCATTCGTTTGATTCTCCCTCACATGAGAAATCAAATTCACGAGGAGATTCCGGCGTTTCTTGCACACGTGCATGAAGGAGAGACATGTTTGCCATTACACGGCGGTGTCTGCATAGCTGCAATTGTACAGGCTTCTTTTCTAGCTCTGTACACACATGCTGCGGAAAGTACACGGATGTGTTTCTTGCTGGTTCGTCCGGCAAGCAAACCCTTCACGTTGGGAAGACGACTTGTGCATCAAAGTTATGATCGCGGTGGAAGTCGTCTACCTGGACAGAAGAATGAGAATGTGACAAAGGCATTTTGACTTACCTACGACCCTTTTACTGGCCGCATGGCTGTCGTGTAAGTAGTTACCCTCGCTTCCGCACTCCCAGAGCCACATGTGCTGACCATGGCTGCTTGCCAGGCCAGGATCATTGCAAGAGTCAAGATGACACGCAACTTGATTGCTCAGATCGAGCACACCGGCAAGAGTGTCGACTGCGGAAACGTATCCCTGGCTGCAATCACGTCATGGAGTGGAGGAGCTAGAGACGCGCATCACAGAAGGTGCCTTGTCCGACAACTCACGTTGGAACATCCGCGGCGAGTCACAGACACTTTCTGCTGGAGCTCGAAGCCAAAAAAGATGTACCACCAAGGTCACTTGGCTGCGACAAACGAACAGCAAAATGTTTGTCTCCCAGGCTCGTACTGTCGAGATATCTTCTTGGGGATACCTGGTCGGTATGGGAGCATCTGTCGATCGCCTCAGCTCAGTGGGCGGCTCGTAGCCTAGCCTGGATGGGTCTTTCCGGAGGTGCAATGCTCTGAGACTTTTCGACATCTCCGGGATGAAAAGGCAAAGCATCGGTATGCGGTGATCGGTATGCTGAAGGCCTCAACGCCATGAAAGAATACGGCTTGTGCTGCTTGTTCCCAAGACAAGTTCGTCTGTTGAAGATCGAATTCAGCAAGACAGCGTCAAAGTTGAGACATCTCCATGCTAAGATTTCTACCTCTCGACATCCAGCATTGTGGATGTATCTTGAGGCGGAGGATGGGGCTGAAGTCTCGCTGGACAGACATCGCGTATCTTTGGGTGGAGGCACGTTTTGCCTATGCGCAGAGCTCAAGAAGAACCTGACCCAGACGTCCTGTTTTCAAGAGTCGTCTCATCGACAGTGTACGCTTGGCTCCTGGCCTTTATCCGATCAGGACAGTGCATGCGACCTTCGATGTCCTCATCGACATTATACGCCAGAAAGGTTGATGCAAGAGCAAAAGAAACGTTTGGAAGAACAGCAGAACGGGAAACCGCTCGAGAAGAAAATGGCCGGCCTATTGTACGCTGCGGCCTGCAGCGCTGCTCCAAGAGCCTGCACAGCGAACTTCTAGCGTGCAGACCCAGTCCCGTCGACATTATTCACCTGGATTTCAAGCATCGTCTCGACAAGACTGGTTACTTGGCTCTCGAAAATCGCCGCATCAACATCGTACATCTAGCTTCACGGCTTCATCTCGTCGAGCTAGTGCATCAGGCGTTTGATGCCTAGATTGCAGGCCTTTTTCCTGCGGGGATTCTGATATGGATGTCGAGCACGAAATCATCGACAGTGTACGTCTAGCTTTCGAGCCTGATGTCGACCAAGATGTTCACCTGAGCTTCTGACATCGCCTCATCGACATTGCACAGCTAGCTTTTTGAGCGTCGACATTGCTCACAGACCACCAGCACTGGTACCCCACGTACCTCGGGTGGGGCCCCAACGGCAGGGGGGTGTGGGCTTTGAGGTATAGGGCTATCGGGCCTTCTTCGCACAGAATACCTTCCTCATGGTCGGATACATCGCTACAAGCATGTTTCATGCTGCGGAGGTGGACATCGCCGGTTTGAAATACCCTCTTTTGCCACCCTATCCATTCTGCTAGAGAGCATTTTCATCCTCACACTGAACTGTCCCGGGACCTTCCACAAGATCAGCTGAGTCTTCACTTCAGTGACGGCACTGACTGTGTTCAGTGGCCGGTCATTGCGGTGGTACTCGACTGGGATACGATGAAGAGAGCTCTTTCAGCTGACAGCTGTTGAGATATCGTTGACTGTTCACCACTTCTGAGACATGAGTGATAAAATCCAGTGTTCGCACCCGTCAGGGAGCGGTGTTCTTTACGGCTGGCTGGCAGTGACTCTCTCTACACGAGGAGGATACCTTCATGGTTGATCCCCGCCACGGAGCGGTTACTTCCCCGTGGCATGGCCATATGAGAGCAATAACCTCAAAGTTGATACCCGTGCTAAGCCGGTCTCCTTCACCGTGGATCCGTCACAACAACCTCTACACGGCAGCGATACCAACAATGTCAGTACTGTCACGGAACGGCTGTCGTCACCGCGGATGGCGCACGGGGTAAAAGCTTTCAGTGTCAATACTCGTCGGAGAGCCGCGCTCTTCACGGCAGAGTGGTCTTGATTTCATCTATTCCCAGCACATCAATACCGTTGTCACCACATGTTTCGAATAGTGAATATGTGCAGTCATGAGCTTTTCGATACGGTTTGCTGTTTGCAGCAGGATTCTATCTATTATATATATGTATCTATGTCTCTCCCGTGGGCGGAGCGGGATTATGGGCACAACGATCTCGGGTGCAAAATGGCCACACAACAAGCCAACAGATACACCCGGCGCGAGATCGAAGCAGCAGAGGCATTGGTATCATTCCACTACAAGACAGTGGAGTTTGTTGGTCCTCGAGAGGTAGCGACCTCTCACCAACTGCACCCTGTCATGGTGCCTCGCACTCCCGCTGCCGCCCAAAGCCCAGATCGACAACAGATGCCCCCGCCACCGCTGCCACTACCACGACCGTTTCAAGCGTCTCGGCAAGTCCAACATGGCCAAGTGCCATCCCAGAGACACGGTGGTCAGGTGTACGGACAGGCACCGGCGCTGCCTCCCCCAGCTCCAGTGCCGCACCTGCACCGAGTTCCGGTCCAGGGACAAGGAGCGCAGTACGGCCCGGGTCAAGGTCAAGCACCGGGCTCCGCCACCATCCACAGTCAGTATGCGGCCATGGCGCGGCCCTCGCCTCCTGCTCCAGCAGCATCACCGTCACCTGCACCACGTCAAGAGCAAGGTCCTGCAGCGCGGCCTAGAGCCCAGCCAGGATACTCGTACCGCTGTTACATGTGCGACCACACCATCCAGAATCGGTTGGGGCCGATGGTCAATCACATGGTCAACAAGCACGGTGTCACCAGAGAGAACGTCGACATGGCGCGGCTCGAGGACACAAAGGTGCAGATGCTGTGGTGAGAGGCATTTATGGCCGAGTCCACCCCACCGCGTCTCTGTCCGAACGCAAAGCCGCGATGACATCTCACCATTTCCGCAGCTTCCTGGGACAGATCTTTTGGGCAGGGGTTGACGAGAAGCGGCAGGTGAGGAGCACGGCGTGGATGTTCGGGTGGATACGGAGGTTGGGGGGAAGGGCTGCATGTCGATATCCTGCGACGGCATGCAGGGATTGAGGTGACGGCGTGTCACGGACCTTTTGTGTATACTATTGGGGGAGGATGGAAGGGAGGGATGAAGGGTCCACGTGTCCTAGCAGAGGATACTTGACGGCATGTAATGTATGGATACATGGCCTCAAACGAATGAAACCACCAAACACCCCCAGCCCGGATCTTTTTACGCTGTCCCGTTTAGTTTCGCTTGCTCACTCGCTTTTCGGGCCTTTCGTCTTCCCTCTGAAAAACGCCCGTTGAATCAACCAGATCCACCACAGCCCATTGCTTACCCTTCCACTGTCGTAGTCCTGTCCGCGATCGCCTATCTCAGCCATCGCACACACTAAGTCGGCGAGTTCCTTCTGCACCTTTGCGTGCAAATACGCGGCCGCCAGGTCGAGGCCGTTCGTGATGCCACCTGCTCAGAGAAAAGACAGACACGCATGCGTTAGTGGAGAAATGGAAAATTCGGCTTCAGTCTCAGCAACAAAGGCAGGTACACGGTGCAACTCACCTGACGTCCAGACTCTGTCGTCCCTCTCCCATCTCCGCTCCACGAACTTGGCCGCGGGGAACTTATTCTTCAATCGCCCCAAGATTTCCCGCGGACCCGTCACCCTTTTCCCGTCCAAGATGCCGGCATACCCTGCCAGGAAACTCCCCGTGCATATGACGAGAAAATCCGTCTTGTTGGCGTCCCTGTGGGCACGGAGAAACGCCAGGACCTCGTCATCCGGCACGACGTTCGGGTCTGGTCCCGGGATGAGAAGCGCGTCGAGATGACCTGGTTGGACGGCCTCCGAAGATAAGAAATCCGTCACGGGCAGAGACGCCGACGAGGTCATGGACGCATAGGTGCCCGGTCCGGAGGCGGCGATGTAGTGGATCGAGACTGGGATGGCGAGTTTGGTGAGCGGCGCGGGGAGGCCGCATGCTTCGAGATATTCGGGGGTCAGCATGCCGAAGACGTCAATGGGCGCGGCGTCGAGGAGTTGCATTGGCGGGACGAGAAGGACGCCGACGCGGAGAGAGGTCGCCATGATTGGGATGAGGAGTGAGGCTCGTGAAGATCTGGAGATTTGCCAGCTTGGGCGGCGTCGCTAGCTGTCCTTCTGCTGTAGGAGAAAGTCTGGTGGTAGCTGTGCTGGAGAGATCATAAGAGCATGAATCTTGAAGAGGTACGCATGTCATATATATATATTGCTCGCCGAAGCACCCGGTAACGACATTTCGTACACAGCATTGAGCACCAGTTTGTAGGTGAGATTAGCTACCCAGGTAGCTTTGAGATGAAGTCGCCTGCTTGGGCTTACCAATGCCAGAGGGGTGGGGAAGGGGTTCACGAATGTTGTTCCGTTTCTCTTCCGTTCAGTCTACACGTCTAGGTCAGAGGCAAAAATGATTGGAAGCGCCATGGTTCGCGATATTGCTCTGTCTTCTGCTGCCAGGCTCCAGCATTTTCTCACAGCCTTGCCACTTATCATTGGCCGAGGGGAAGCTGCAGCCGGCGCATGGACTCCATGATTTTGGCCAGATTGGGAGGACTTGACATATTAGGCAATGCTTTCGGCCGCGAATGAGGCCGAAACGAGGTTTACCAGGGAGTGATGCCCTCGTTCGGTGAAATCGTATGGTCGGATGATGTCCTGGGCGAAGGCTAGAGCTGAGCAAGACAGGAGTGCTGTATGTCGCATCTGGGGAACTTCATCGCTACGCTTTGAGTATGATCAATACCTTCGTGGGCGTACGGAGAAGGCACGTGTTGGAAGTCAAAATAGTGGAAATTGGCATGAAACGTGGAAATGAATTGCCAGTGAACACAAACTGAAAGTTGGGTGCGTGTCGCAGTTTAGGTCATCGCGCCAAGACCTGTAAGGCCAGGTGCAATGACGATTATTGCTTGAAAACATCGTGTACCAGGGATGTGAGATACCCTTCCTTCATTTGCTGCACGTCCGGAAATGTAGCGAGGCACCACAGCAAACTCGCGTCGTTCGTGGCGCCCAGGTAGCTCGTAGGGGACTGGAGAAAAGAGAACTTCCACGAGGGATGAACGAGCGCGCCAATCTCCTGCAGCGCATCTGATCATCCGCTACGGATCGCTTCCGGAATATTTCACCACTGAACGGCTGGAGTTGACAGTTTGACATAAAGCTTGGTACGGAGTACCGATGGCAGCTCTCTATGAATCGAGGCAGAGCTTGACACCACGCGGAACAGGATATAGGAGGTTCAACCACAGCATGAACAACACAGGCATGATCTAGACAGAAGTTGGAAGAAGTTGGATACTAGAGTGATGCTACGGAGTACAATGGACAAGGGGATGGGATTGGCAAAAGCGGCCCCTTCGGAAGTAACTTGATGCAGCTAGCGGGGGAAGCTCTTCCAACGGACCTTATCCGCCGCTAACGGGACTAGGCGTAGCCCGCTCCAGAAATATCCACCACGCATCGTTTATCGATATCACCGACGAACCTGCCACATCTTTTTCGAATTCATCGCCCTCATCACCCTCCGCCACCTCATTTATTCCATCGAGCATCTTGTGACTTGATATCCATCTCGCGCCGTTTCAGAACTTTAACTTTTTTTCTTACTTTCCTTCAGCCAAACTATGTCCCCGTTCATCAGCATGAGGCGGTTTTCCCGATCTGGCTCGGTCCACGACCCCAAAACCTCAACCTCAGCCTCACATCAATCAGCTCCCCCAACATCATACACACCACCTCTTTCTCATGCTCCAATGGCGAATGGCACGGCAAGCTCAATCCAAGATTCGAGACCCGTGTCCGCCAAAACTAGTGGAAGCTTCGACTTTGCAAACCGGCCGCCGTCAAATTACCCGATCACCGCGTTGCCCAACAGCGCAATCGGCAACCTCTCACGAACAGATCAGATAGTTCTGCGTCATTTCTGGGAGGTCAAATACGAGGAGAACAAGAGCCGCGATCTTCATTTTGTGAGTCCTTGCGACCCTGTGGCCCAGCCTTAACTGACAGGACTTACTCGAAAGCTCAAATTTCCATTCTTTCCGCAATACCCGAGCCACCAAGACCTGGTGCCATATTGTGAGATCTACCATCTGGTCAAGACTTCGCCTGGTGCGAAAATCATCAGTCTCGGCAGCGCCCACGGCGTCTACATTGGGTGAGTCGCTGTTGCTGCGAAGTCAGCTCTCTCTCTCTTGTCCAGCAATGTTTGTCGCACAAAGCGCGGGCACGGTTTGCGTTGTTTTTGGGACGCCATTGGGTGGGCGAGATGGTCATTGCAATGGGCTACTCTGACATTGTTCTACATAGATTTGAGCTCTTCTCAGGTTCCCAACTCCATATCGACATGGACGACAGCTGGCAGAACATCTCGCACCACCGGATCTCGTTCAAAAAGTACGACAAGATGCTCAAGGACCCTGCATCAGACACGGCATTTAAAGCGTGGCCCAAACCCCTGACCATCGAGTTCCTGGAAGAGCAGTATCAGCGCTGGATGCTGGACCTGACAAGCCTGTGTTGGGAGACCGCCGAGGTTAGAGAGCTCGGCGGGAGCGCGGCAGGCGGGGACACCGGAGAAGGGAGCGTGGACGGCGATTTAAAGGACGACATGTTGTAACTGACGGCAGTACGAGTAAGCAGCGCAGGGCAGAGTGACCTGTCAACTTTGTCGATCTCTTGCTGTCCAAGCCTTGTCTTGAATGGGGCTATCTATGCATGCGCTCTGCAGGGACGTTGTGACGTGCGACGTGCGTGCAGGGCAGGCGAGTGCAGTCCATCCTGTCCCTCAAAACCCTTTCCACCAAAACTTCGAGAAAATTCAGAAATCACGAGAATACGACACGAACGCCACGGCCTTGGGAAACATTTCTTCGAAGTACGGAGTACATTATCGGGTAATTGATAATGATCCGGGTGACTCTAGCAGAAAAGGCATGTACATACATAGCCAACAGACGGCGTATTGGCGATGGCGCATTGGATACTGTACGGAGCTCTGGGGTTCTCTTCTTGGCAGCGTCTGGGCTGGACGCATGGTGATTCATGACATGCATGTATCGTGCCTTACTTGGGTGTGGCCTTGATTCCCAGGCGTGCCGTGCCTGCTGCTTGCCGCAATGGTGGCCTGCGGTTATGAGCATTCCAGAGCGCTTGTCGCACGCTACACAGCACAGCGGTCAAAAGTCGAAACTATGCACTGAGCCGACACTGGATACAAGTATCCCTGCCTTTGTTGTGCCACTATGCACGCTTCTGTGCAGAGGACATGGAGGGCTCGCCCTACCTGAGAAGGGCTGTCGTTTTCGCTCGAAGCCCAGGCATACATATACTTGGTACGGAGTAGAGATGAACAACGCTCAGTAGCACGCGACTTGGTGCGAAATGACCGAGGTGATACTTTCATACAAAGGCTCGGGAAGGGTCATGCGGAAATGAATCAAGGCGCCGTGACATGTTCCTCCAGCTAGATCCTGTAACGGAGGCGGCCATGCTCGTGGGAGTCATAGGCATTATTGAGCTTCTGGATGAGTTGAGTCGTTACGTCGTTAGTACTGCATAAGGTACATATCGTCTTAAAGCTTGAAATACCCCAAAGGTGTAGAGAAAGAGGCAATCGAGTGCAAGCGGCTCTGGTCAAGCACTCTCCACCAGAATGGCACAGGAACATGTCAGCCGAACGGGCCGCAAATCTGAACAAGAGACGCTGAGTGAGATGGCAAAAAGCCAAAACTGCAAAGCACGCGCTCCGTGGGCCCCCAATCGTTGCCAAGTTCGTTTGCGGCGACAACATCAAAGAAAGGTGTAACGTTCCCAGGAACCCGGTGACAGGCTTTCCCCTCGGCCACCCCGACATGGTGGCTGCGATCCAACTTTTGGGACCCAAGATCCCTGACGTATCAATGTGAACGGTGCGATGGTGGGAGAAATGGTAGAGTGGATTTCGGCGACGGATGCAGCTTGTGGTGCTTAGACGTAGTTTGTTCATACCGCCCCTCCTAACGAGCAAACTCTTCTTTCCAGTATGTTTGAAAGTCAGCCATCGAACGTTGGGCAACATAACCAATATTCATCACTTTGATGTTGTGTTCGATGCTGTGAATTTTTCCGAAATGGATTCGGCTCGTATTGCTCAGCTCCTGGTTGTTCATGAGGTCGACGGCGATGGGCTTCTTCTTGAACCGGGGCTCTCCAGGCAAGGCTGCAGGTGGATCCTTCCAACGGCTTGAGTAGACGATCGCATGCGCTTGGGCCCCGTCATTGCCGACTCTCCTCCCCGAAACGCCTTGTTGTCGATAAGAGTTGATGGGCACACACATGCTATAGCCTTTTCGTTGTCTGACGACAACCCATCTTCGTATGTGGCTAAATATATATTCACCTTTTGGTCCTCTGGTAACTCCGGGGCCGTCAATACTGGGAGGCTGTAGTTTTCCGCGTTCGAGGCCGAAATTTTCGTGGAACATCATGGAAAAGACCCTTCCCTCGAAGAAGAAAGAATCGTCACGTAAGGTATAGTTTGGGTCAAGAAGCTCAGTGTCTGCCACCTGTAGCTGAGATAGACCTCTGAACTCGACATTGTCCAAGCCGCCAACAGTCGGCAAGATAAGCCTCTTATCGCGGCCGGGCTGAATTTCCCTTGCAGGATGAGGATAAGATACTCCAGTCCCGTGTGAACTGCTCCGATCATGGGTTGCCTTATTTCCGTGCTCGAAATTCATATTTGCACGCGAAATCGGGACAGAAGGGGCTGCAGGTCCGTGACTGTCTTCGAGTCCGCTCTTGCGTCGAGTCGGCATATACGGCACAGTGGTGCCTGATTGAGGGGGAAAATTCCTAACCAGCACCTCTCCGCTCGTCTGGTTCGGTTGAAAACGACTAGTCTGCTGTCCATAGGACGAAAATGCCGCTGTGGTGGGTTGTGCAGCTGTACTTGGCATTGCAGGTGGTCGATACGAAGGAACGGGAGGGCCGTGAACACTGTACGATTGCTGGCTCTGGTCATTCATGTTCAGTTGATCATTGCCAGAACCCTGGTTTCTGGATGTGGATAGCGTCGGTTCCCGGCGTGCGATTGCGCTGGCCTCGAACAGGCGTCTCACGGAGTTCAGTGCCTGGTGAAAGTCTCGGGCGTACTCATTTTGATGGGCTTTATCCTCGCCCTTTCCTTCCAGATGATAAAAATAGTCATCTCGTTCGCGAGCATTGCGACTTTTGCAGGCTTTGAGGATGACATACCGTTGGACGCAACGGTGAGTGCGCAGATCGTCTCCAATTCGCCTGGACTGAACTGCAGAGTGCAGAAGAGATTGAACATCCACGTCCAGGATGCGTCTATTTTCTTTAATGAAGGCGTTGCATTCCTCGAAGTCACTGTATGGAATAGCGATAAAGTCGAGAAGGAGGTCAGACTGAGAAGAGTTTTCCAAGGTGGGGTTACTCGCCAGGGCGTCTTGTGATGGCTTCGGTGTTTGGATTGGTACTCCACGACGTGAGGCGGTGGTCTCACTAACAGACGGGTGCGATGCTGAACGCGAACCGGTGGCAGCAGTCTGCAACTCGTAGCGTTGTGAGATAGGTGCTTGCTGTTCCCGTCGCCGAGGATCCTGCTGAGCGCCCTGGCCTTCAAGACGCTCCAGACGTTGGCGTGGTTGATCTCGTTCAGATCTCGGCATGTCCCTGCAAGGCAGGCATGTCAACAGGCGATAGGTCTAGCAGGTAGAAAATTAATGCCGCCGCACCTTTCCTCGCGAGGAGATATTGCGTTAGGTATCGGATCGACCCTCCCTGTACGTCGATCCTCGAAACAGTACCTCCCTTAGCCGGTCAGCGACACGCTCCAGGCCTGAGATTTCACAACATACCATCCTTAATCACGACTCGGAGTTCACGTAGTTCACGTCCATTGTCGTGTGTCTTCCAACCAAAACCATATCTGTCGATAGGATCAAATAGGGCCATTATGGTCCCGGAGCGTGGGCGAGGCGTGATCCTGAGACCAGCTCCATGGTAGCCAGTAGGACACAATGACCCCAACCCAAATATGTACCACGTCCATCACGCAGAGCCGCACCTGCGGGGAGGAGAGTGGAGCATGAGTTCACGCAGAGGGTATTGGCGATGCTCGACATTGCTCCCAGAAGCGATAGGCCTCGCCGGTGCGTCAGGTCCAACAGCAGCGTGGGTGAGTACAAGACAACGCACGCAGCCGATTCAGGGCTGGGTGATTGGCCGCCATGCTCACTCTAAGAGAGGAAGAGAATAAGATCAGAGCAAGCTGAGGAGCCTGCGGGGAGGACCCTTGCTATCGCCCGTTGTTGTTGCACAAGTTGCAGGAGATACGACGAGGGAGGCGCTGTGAGGGAGGAGACTCGAGGCCCGTGGAGGTCTGGACGGTAGATGTGCGGCGGGTTGCAGGAAGACTGATGTAATTCGAAATGACCCCGATGTCAGACACGCCGACATTATCATGAATCAGAAATTGCAGATGCCTCCTGGGGTTACACAGCGGCACTTAGGGCCTCTTAGGCTTGCTGAGGCTTGACACGGATGACAGGCGCGGACCCGGGGCCCCTGTCAGAGCCTTTTCCGGCGTGATCAGCAGACCTTAAGTTAGAGACAAGGATCAGACGTTTGCCGGCCGCCACACATCTGCCGGCTTGCGTTGTTCCATTGTGATTGCCATCAACCTTGCGTCTCGAAGAACAGGTCGTTGTGGAAGGGACGCTCTTGAAATGCTGGTACTGGGCACGTTGCATCTGGCCATTGGTCCTGCACGGTGTAATGTTTGCAGCCATGGCTGATGCTGCTCTAGTGATGTGTATTTTAGCAATGTGTTTCTGTTCTGTCTGCTCTGTACCCTACAACCGTCTGTTACCTCGCCGAGGCTGTTTGACTTCCCATGCTCCGTGCTCCTTTGACCTCTGCCCCTTCCAGTCGCTCTCGGAGCTGTACCGGCTTTGGCGACTGAGTCTCCCGGTGCGGGCTGCTCGTGTTACTTGATTGTGGATGCAATGTGCTGTCTATGGACTCTCCATCTAACGAGTTACACCAGCATTCGGGTATACTCTTGCAACCGGATCTTGCACGGTGACAATATTCTTCCCGGTTTCTTGACTTGGGACTGACTTAGGACTACAGGGTCGTGGCTTTTCCTCAATGGCCTCCTCAGCCGCCCGTCAAAGATGGGGAGACTTCAACGCTGGACTTCAACCATCGCAGAGAGTCCGACATGCCACGACCAGCAGAGGTCCTCCCAACCATCAATGGAGACGAAGAAAGAGACGAAACAGATGGCAGAAGAATATCATTGGATCTAGCTATGATCGATTATGACTTCCATCCCTCTCGGACGCCCTCGTGGTCGGTGGCAGACTGGGCCTTACCAGAGGACCAGTCTTTCCCTCGCTTAACAGCGGATGTTGTGTCGAACACCTCGCGGGGCGCCAAACCCCCAGAAAATCACCTTGAGCATATTGATAAGCAGTTACATTTCGTTTCTAGATTCCAGAAACTCGCGGAACAGAGGCGAAAGGTGCGACGGCTCAGAGTGCGAGCAAGGGACGGTCGAGGCCAAATACAAGCTACGCGCCATCGCCTCCATGGTGCCCTGCAGCGCGTTCTCAAGGCCATCGAAGCACATTCCGTTCGTTCTGACAGTGAGAACTCACTCATGAAAGATTTGGAGACTGCGGAAATGGTCTGCGATGAACTCAACTCCGAGGACATTGTTCAGGACATTGTCGAAAGCGATCTTCTACCAGAAGAATGGGAGTTAGAAGACTCAGAACGGAGACTGTACGAAGCCGTACTTGGTCCATCGGCTTCTGACGGAGATGATGACCTGGATATCGATCCTGGAACCACGCATCAACAGGATCGTCGCCCTGCGAAAGCCAATGAAAGCGAAACGTATTTACCGGGACCCGACGAGGCAACTGCAGAAGAACGATTGTTGGCACTGGTGGAGGAAAGACGACACTTGAAGGAGAGTCTTGAGAAGCAGGAAAAAGAATACGCAGCGCTACGGAAAGATCTGGAGATGAGAGCGGCAGCGGGTGTTCCCATTGACATTTTCTCACGTGATACTCTGGAAGACTTTGGTGAACGTCGTGGTGCAATGCTGAAACATATCGCAAGATTGAGCACCCAGATCAGCGAGCTCGAGGCTATGAGCTCGGAAGCGTCCCGCCATGATTCAAGACAATCAAACGCTCTATTTGGCCTCCATCAATTCCACGACTTGGAAACTGGGAAATACACACAGGCTCCCGAGAATGGCGACTGTCAGATCCTACGGCTCTACGACGAGGACTACAGGGCTCGCAATGCTGACATGGATTCCTTTTTAGGTCAAACTGTCTTGGAACAGCTGGAGCGTGTGGACAGTCTACAGGAGCAAGAATCTGTTCCTGCCATCGTCCCTCACTTGGCTGTCAAGTGGGCAGTGGATGACGAGCTCGTGGACGATTTGACAAACTATGTGTCTCACTGGATCCTCGGATGTATACAGGCCTCGTGGTGGTCCTTTGCTCGCTTGGCAGCATGGGTAGACACTGCTGGGGAATTTACAATTCAAAGAACCGCAGAACTGTTGAAGGCGACATGGTTTGTGGATGGAGCAGGCCTGTCATCTCCGTTTGTCTGGAGCGAAGACCCAAGGAGTTCGATCGTTCCTCAACCTTACATGGACCTGATGCTGACTCCGACATCTGGTACAGTAGGAATGCGGGAGCCTCTGTGGCAGGTTGATCGACCCAAACGTCGGCACACCTCAGGCTATTCCGATCGGAAGACTCACCAACGAAGAGTGTCGAGCCATAGTCACCCTGGCACAGGCCGAGTCCAGCAAGACCCTCCGGTACCGAGTGATAGTGTCTCGTTGGCTTCGTGATGAAGTCGTGGCTGGTACATTTCATGAACCCTCACATGTATATCAGGGTCTTGACGGCTGCTTGCATCAGGCTCGCTGCTCTCAAATTTCCGGACATGTCGGAAATACAACTCTGTCGCAACAAAAGGGGTTTTTGCCCCTTTGGGCGATGGATCTGAGGCTTATTGGTGTGCAGTCTCAGCATCTCACAAAATGGCTGATCTCCAGCCTCGGCCTCTGCTCGAGTAATGAGCCAGGGTTTCGATGTCGTCTTCGCCGTCTAATCGTGCATACAGGCGGCATAACTTCCCTCCGCCCTTTCATACGGTGAGTTTTCCGGAACCCTTCATTTGACGGAAGGATCATCTTGCATACACCACCTGAAGCCGGTCACCCTTGTAGAAGTGCATAAGAACCCATCTGCCCACTGCGACTTCCCCGCCTTTTTCGGAATCAGGAAAACGACCACAGTTGGTTCAATTGTAAACAACCCTCTTAATACCGGCTCATCGAGGAGAAAAAGGGCGCTTCCCGCTCGTAGCATTGGATTCCCGAGCCCAGTGAACTTGACCAGACCAAAGCGCCGCTGGTGTTTGTCTCGCCATGTGCCGAGCCTGACCGTGTAGGTTTACCACAGATGATAGGTAGCATGTGGTGCCTCAATGTGAGCTAAACTTCCAGGTTCGTGTTACGAGCCATACGAATCGGGGCATGCTCATTTGACGACTCCGATGCACGTCTCCCGGCCCTGTTTGGAGGACCAATATGACGACCCTTGTTTCAAATCACGCGGCTGAAAGCTGGCTGGCTGAGCGGCTCCACGACTGGGCAAACCAGCCCAGCCTTATTGTGGAATTTACTGTGTATTGGATAGCTCCATTTGACAGTTTGTGCTCCTTATGGCATTTGCCCTGCTTGAGAAGTTCCAAGTCACGGATCCATCGGTGATAGAGAAGCCTTGATATGCCTTGCCACGGCATCCATGGGCACCCGAGCAGAGCGGGACAGTCGAGCAGTGAAGGCTGTGTCGGAAAGGCCGAGAGGAGGTTTACTGCAGAGTTGTTATCCGGCGTCGGTGTTGCTAGAAGCCGACTTCATGCCACGCAAGTCCCGCTCTTTCGGTGACTGCGAGTAGGATGTTGGACTCTTCGACACAGTCACTTTGACCATGGCAAACGCGGCCCGCACAGTGATCGCGCCTTCAAGGTAATACTGCCACCTCATCCAGCCGCGGAATTCCTTGCCGTGGATCGACAGGGGGAATGCCAAATATGCAGAATGAGGCTCGCTGCATACAGCGTAGGCGTTAGCGAATGTCCAGGAAGGAGACTTACTGATGAGGCATGAATTGCGAAAGTGCGTCGTTACGATTGTACCCACCACCTGTCGAGGAAGCTTCAGAGCATCGTCCTGCGGTGTACATAGCTGCCGTGGTCAAGTCGCCCGAGGGTCTTCCTCCATTGCCAGCTTGCACGGCATACTCCAGCGCAGACGTGTTCTGAACACGGGCCCGCCGTTCCGAAGAAATAATACATGCTGAGTTCCGGGAGCGGCTCCAGTGGCTATTCAGTGTGCTTTCCACCAGGCTGTTGCACGCAAGGCGATAGCGCGATGCGAGGTGTTGACTTTGACTTCAAAGTGCCAACGACGGGCGTACGATCCATTGGTCAATCCCGGACGTGGAGCTGCATGGAACCGCATCACATTGGGCCGCAAGGTTTGCTTGACCGCAAGTCCTGCCAGTCGTCATCGATTCCAGCAGGGCGGATACAGGCCGCCTTCTCCGCGACGAGCCAAGCTTGCATTGGTGTTAGCCTTCTTCGGATCCAACAGGCTGGCTCCAAACTTGGTGAAGCTGTCTGTTTCTCCTGGCATTGGATGACAGATGGCAAAGCTCGCTGAATGTTTACCTTCCCATCGTCTGCCTCATCTTCCCGGAGGCGCACAAGGAAAGCGAGCTGGGAACGCACATGTTGACAATAGAACGACCTATTGCCCGAGCAAGCCATGAGGTTCGAGAAGCGGAAGTCCAGTAGAGTTGGGGAGGGCGGTGAGTCACAGCAGATCATGGCGTGGCTTCCTGGTCGGATGTCCGGGGATGTTGGGCTCTCATCGAGTCAATTGGATATTTGAGAACCTATCAGACCTTACAGTCATCATCCTCTGTCCTCATTCGGGGACCTACTCGCGATGCAATGCTTCTAAGCCGCCGCCTTGCCTTGGGCGAAGGACTGCACAACTAGCCATCTGTTGCACTACTGGAAGTGTTGGTCCGGGTGACAGTCCAAAAGCATCAATCTGTGCTGCATCCAATGTCTTGGTGGGTGTTGAAATGACGGGCTGATTGCGAGTCTGGGGCTCGTACGGTCGAGACGGCTCAGACAGTATTTCTCGAAATTCAAGGTTATGGCATCGATCCCTCCTTACAATCGAGTGGCTAGTTTGGAGTCTCTTTGCCGCGCGTCAAATTGAGGCTCCGTCTCAAGAAGTGTCAGGCGGTGGTCTCAATGATCGAGTGGAGCGCCATCGCCATTTGAAGGCAGTGACGGCGGGAAACCGCTATGGCGACCACCTGCTCTCTGAGGCTGCACTTCCACGGCATCAGAGCACGTCGCACCGGTCGTGGCAATGGCTGGTTGAGAGTCCCGTCGCCGCGACGTCGAGCAGCCCGGGCGGCCTAATCACCATCGCTCGATGAAGAATCGGGAGCTGAACCGTGCTTGTTCTGACCGAACCTACAGCGTGGTCCGTAATCGTATCCCGTTCTCTTCAATCGGCGACGGATGTCCGCTTCACCCGGATCGGATCGACACCGTGACAGTTTCGCTGTACTCCGGACGGTCAGGATATCAGTAGCCGCCACTGTCGTGCTCCCCAGAGATAAAGACCTTGCCTTAGTGTGTCATACTGTCGGACCCTACGAATTGATACGGAAGGGAGCGGTCTCTTTCTGTCCTGCCCACCGGAGAATTGAATTTACCGGTACAAGTGTATCTTGTCGCCCACACTAGGGCAGGGGACCGGACTCCGCGCTCTGTATGGGGCACTTAGTCCGTATTCGTCTGAGCAGGATTGCAGCTGATGCGCTAAGCCATAAAGGACTATTTTCAACGATTACGTCAACAAAAATCGTTTCCAAGTTCAGTACTCCATATGTAGTACAGTACGTATCAGAGGATCGTGGTGTTTAGGCTGGGGTGGGATACCTGTGGGATGGGAAGAACAAATGTACAGAAGAAAGATGGAACAAGCTGTCGAGGTTTCTTCATGCGGCTCACGCTTGACGTCATTGGCCTGATGCTCCTTCTGATTACTACGAGGCTACGAGGCTGGGAAAGTGGGGTTCAAGCCATCATGCAAGCAGGTCAATATTGACGCCGGCGGATCCGCGATGCGATCATAGCGTCACCTTGTAGGGAGTATTGTGGGGACTATTTCCCGCTGAAAGCAGAAAGTTTACTGGTAGTCGGTCTTTTGATAAATGGTTCATTATCTGACGTGGCCTGTCGTATCGAGATTACTAGCCTCAAAGCCCAGCACAGCTAAGGAAAGGCAACCACCATACCTCAAGAAGAAGGCAAGCCACGATCGGTCCCACCCAGATATGGTGTACGAATTGCAACTTAGGAACGAACGAGGCTTTCAGAAAAGGGGTGACAGAGGCTGCGTCCAGTCAGTCACTGAGGGCGTTCAACAAGAACAATGTGCGGGATCAAGGCGGGATCCTCGTCCGTCGAAATGCCGTTTCCAATCTTATGGGTAGACTGTAACCAAAAGGCGAGGGACTTGTAGCCAGTGCACCTGCAGAGCACTGTGCAACAAAAACGTATATCATGTTGCATGAACCTTCCACAGGGGTTGCCGCAACATCTCGTTCAGTGACTCAGACATGGCCACCCGATCTTGGAGCGACGGCGTTGGCGGCCGCGATGGCTTCATTCCGCCAGTACTGACAGAACCAAGCCATCGAATCTGGTGATATCTTTCCGACTTCCTTCACTCTCACATTGTGCTCGATGCTGAAGACTTTGTCGAATCGAATGCGGCTCGCCTCGTGGAGCTTCTTGTCCTCGCTTGCGGGTACAACGGTGATGGGACGCTTACTCATGGGCGGCTCGCCACGGAGGCTTTGCGGCGGTGTACCATCCATGTGGATGATGGCGTGCTCTCCAGTCTTGTTGGTTGAACCCTCGTCTAGTGAGACCTTGCCCATGATACGTGTTGATTGGAATGACCCAGCTGAATCCGTGACCACCATCCCGTACAATGGCGAATCGGCGGACCTTACTCAAGATATTCTCCCCATAGAGTCCTTGGGAAGAGACTCCACCTTGCGCGGTGGTCAAGGTCGTGTTTTTACTGGTATCATTTTCATGCCATAGTACAATAAACACCCGGCCGATAGTAAACCAGCCACTGGGTTTAAGGATGAAGTCGACGTCCAAGCTCGACTGCCGTGTATCTTCGGACCTTTGGGACGGCGCGCCAGCACTCCTCCGGCGCCCATGCGGTCGTACGGGCGCCGGCGTCGTCGCGCTGAGCCTGGAGACGGACAGGCTGTCTCCGCCCGGCATTCGCACGCCTCTGGCTCTGCTCATTTGCTGCACGAGTGCCTCCACTGCCTGCACCGTCCCCTCGGTGTGATTGCGCCTATCTTCTAGTTCAGGGTTGAAGCGTTGACAATCTTGCTCAGAAAGGCTGTTGTACTTCCTGACCAGTAAATACAGCCTGATGCAGGCCTGCCGGAACCTCGCCTCCGCCGGGATATCACATTGTATGGCTTCTAGGAGGAAGAGATAATCGTCGACCCCAAACAGGTCTGGTCGTTCAGCAACGACCAGTATCCCGTATGTGTCGTTTCGTACCACATTTCGGATGTGTTGGTAGAGGGCGTCCTCCAGACAAAATGCTGCTCGAGCTGGAGAGTGGTCCCTCTGAGCGCTGGTTCCCGAGAAAGCTTTGCTACTCCTTGAACGTGCAGTGGGAAATCCTCTCCCATCATCAGAAGCGAATTCGTCGCTTCCGGCTCTGTATTTGCCCCTCTCAATTGTCTCGGACGACTGAATGCCTTTAGGTTCGCGTTGCAGCTGGCCTCGCTCTTTCTCACTGTCTCCATCTCTCGGCCTCCGTGGCGTAGAAGGCGTCGCTGTCGTCAGCTCTCTACCACCGCTACCCTGGGATCTTCCATGCTTCGGTCTATCGGGCAAGTCCCTGCCATACTGGCCGTAACCTGAATCACGCTGAGACATGACTCCAGTTGAATAGGAAGGGACGCCTTGTGCGTCCAAGACTGGGGGAACCAAGCTCACAGTACCAGAGAAGGTCGCAAGAACAGATCTCAGGCTTCAGAATGTGTTCGAAGCTCCAGTACATCCAAAATGCTAGAATCACCAGAGGTCACACTGCCACAAACAAGGCAGATGAGGCTGGGAAAAAGGACAGGTAAAGGACTGGCTACGCACGATTGGCGCGTCTTATAGGCATCATGGTGCCACGCTCATAGCAGGATGGCGGCTCTTTTCCTCTCCTCCCTCTCCCTCCCATAGAGGCATTCTTGCTGCAGCAGAGTGCATGCAAAATGCAAGCCGACAGACATCAATTGGAACGATCATCGAGGGGAGCGGGGTTGAAGCAGCAAATGAAGCTGAGCGATGCTCGTAGCTGGCTCATGGCTGAGATTAAAGCCTGTCCAGACCAACGACGAGGACGGATGATGGGAAGATATGGCCAAGGGGGTGAATGGTTGAGGAGAAAGTGGCGCCAGGTGAGGGATGTGGTTCGGGGAGCAGGTGCTTCCCCCAGGCGGCCCAGGCGGGGCTGGTCGGTAACGATACAGGTATTACAGGGGCCTGCCCGAGACAAACTGGTCAAATTGGCGGTCCGACAGGCGTTTACCTACCTGAGGCTCGCGTCAATCCACACCTCATGCAACCCCCCCATCCGCCGTCGCTATTATTGCCCTCAACTTTGGCTGGGCTGCCTCGCGGCCCCTGCTTCGCATTTATATCAATGGCACATCTCGCCTCAGAATGGGGCCACCTTCGTCCTACCATGAACACGCCACTCAGCGGTCAGCGGAATGAACTTCTTCTGGAGCAGGACCAAAACAGCTGCCGCCCTACCTCCGCAAGAGTACGCCCAAGCGCTAGCCTGTTGCCCCTTGCACCGTTCTGACACGTCTACAGCTCGAATTTAAATCATCGGGAGTCACCGCCGCCGCAACAGGTCCCAGATGCCACCCGAGCTGACTCTAAAAAGGTGGACAACAATGTTTTCCGCAGCGAGGTTCTTTCACCCATTGGGAATGTTGACCAGACAGACAACGGACCGTCAACTCATGAAGCCATGAGCATAGAGCAACACCAACCGGATACACCTCAGGGAGAAACACACTCCTCTCGGCACTCCACCCTGGTAGTACAGCCATCGCATGGCTCAGATGAAGCCGCGTCGAATGTAGTTCAGGACCCACGGGCTGCTAGCGAGAATCGAACCTCGGCGCCAGTGGACCATGTGAGTCCACCAGATGAGCCCGTCAACACTCAAGACCGTGGGAATGCTTTGCGCGATCGCTGGTCACGACTGGCGCATGCGGCGGATTCGATGACCGGAGATTTAATATTAGCAAGCGATTGTCGAAGAGAGGTTATTGGGAAGAGAAGTGTCGCATTGCTAGCCATTCAAGAGCACCTGAAGACTACGCAAGATCCTTCTCTGCTACATTTATGGGATGCGCTGTCCGATTTACAGAGCTCAGAGCAGAAGTTACTGCAACAAGACGAGAATCTCGTTCCACGTGGGTACGAGATTGTTGCCCAAGGCTCCAAGATATTTGGCGTCGAAGCAGATACTTCTCTTGAGATCCTTGAAGCGCAGGATATTGCTGTGCCTCCCACTGCCACAGCTACGAGCCCGTCCGTTCTCTCGGCAGACAATATCCGACTCGACCAAACCTCGGAGGCTCGGCGATACCTCTCGAGAAAGGGCGACGTGGACCTGTTGAGGGAGAGCCTGATGGGCCTCGACGAGGAGCAGGTCATGGCTTGCGCTTTTCCCGAGGTAGCGATGCCCGCGGCCCAGCTGGAATCGAGAAGGCAACAGCTTACCCTCGAACTGGAGCAAGCCGAAGCGGACCTGGAGACACTACACAACAACCTGCCAGACAGGGAGGTGCAAATCCCCAAGGATCAGCTTCGTTCCTTCCCGACCAATGAAGAAGCGTCATCTCAAACCGACCGTGATTCAGCAATAGGTGGCGAAACATCAGGCCCGCAACAAGAGGTCCAGGCCGAGAGCCTTTCACAGATCCTGGAGCATGTAACGGATGAGAGTCCTGTTAGACCAGAGACACTAGTCAACGCCTATCTCCTATACCAGTTGCGTCAATCTCCGGAAGAACGCAAGGCTTTTTTTAGGACTGTTGACGATGAGCTAAAACTAGGAAAGCAAGCAGGCCGTGCAGATATGAAAACCGACATCCCCATTGAGCACTGGTTCGACGACGAGGCAGGCAAAAAGAAGTCCAAGAAGTCTCAGACGTCACTCACGAAATACATCATCAGTCAACCAAGGTCCAACATGACCGAAGTGGGCACCGCTGAGCATGGGCAGCTAACGCATGGAAATAGCGAGCCGGTTGAACGTCGTGAGGATACTCAGCACAACACACGCGAAGATGTTCGGGAACACAGGCTTTTGGCACGCCAAAAAGCCAGGGGCACGAGTTCTCTCCGTTGACTACATGTTTTCTCCAAGCCATTGACTTTCGATCCTACAAGATGTCCCTTGAGTTGTTCGGATGCTTCCACAATTATTGAATGTGTACATCTGCTGTAGATCATTGTTGCGCGCCTTGGTTCTCCGAAGGTATGCTTCCTACTCGACGTTAACAAGATGAGGCTGTCTGGGCCTTGACACCGGCTGACAGCCCTGCTGCGACCAGGATTCCCTGGCTAGTTGCAAGTTTACACACCCTGGATCGCACTACAGTACGATCCTATCAAATTCCCGGAGCCAGGTTCTACAGGACACGCCGACACGTTAGCGGTGGCGACTCAAATGACCACAGTTGTATTCGACGTGGGAGACACTGTGATCTCCATCCTGTCACGATTGTATGTTCAGCGAACCGCCGAGATGCAGGTCACACGATGCATCGCTTACAGCATCCTGGAGAGTTGGCCTCACCCTCCAATGTTCGGTGCCCGTAACTCATTGGGACGGTGCGTCTGTCTCCGGCTTCTACGTGGTGTAGCGGCTCTCACACTATCACATGTGCTTTTGACCATTGTCCTCTGGCGTGCACAGCCTCCATCCTGCTCGAAACGCTGAGCAGCTGGTGAGGCTGGCCAATTGAAATGAGAAGGCGCTGAATAAAACCGGGATGGTAAAAGTGGTCAATTTCACAAACGAGCATTCCGGATTTCTTCTCAACCGGGCAATTCGCATCGGATTGGCCAGCGGTTTATTCAAACTCGTCTCCTAGAGGACGACCTAGGAGCAATACGCTGGTGGCGCCTTTCACTGAACGAACCCCGGTGTCTCTATATCAGTTGACAGGCAGTAAAACACAAAATGTCATGACATGCCTTTCTCGAAGACAACCGTTCTAGAGATAGCCTGCGCCGATAGCAGGTCACAGCTTGACCGCGATCATGGCATCTGGTCCCTGCTGTACTCTCACGACGGCCAATAATGGTCTTTTGGCAACTGGTCCTGTCACGGCAAGTTCGAAGGCGCAGTTTCCGGCTGATGGAGGGTACTGTGTAAGCTTTGTAGAATGTTCTTGGGAAGCCTAACTTGATTTCTGCGGACGGATCACTGCAGCACCGACTAAGTTAGCAGCACTGCCGGGAGTTGGCCCGATGTCGGGACGGGGGTGTTCACTACCGGAGAAGTGTGAACTTAATTAGGACGTCGGAGTACGAGTACCCAGTATCCGGGAGATCCCCAGGTAAGAAGAGCCAAGTGTTTAGGCTCGAAGCATCCCCCAGTGGGTGCCAGTGATTATCCACACACTAACTCAGTACCCACCCCCGCAAGAAGTACTCAAAGCCTCCACTTGACGATCCCTCAGCCTCATACCGAAATACTCAGCGGCGAATCTTGACCTCTCCAAAGTCCATTTCCGTTTCCAGACTGAGCAACCGCCAACTTAACCTGAGTCATGACTAAGCCATTCTCAGCTGTGGCTGTGCGCTCCTGAGCGCGGCTTGGCAAGCCCTGAGCACACCACGAGTATCCCTGAGTATCCCTGAGTATCCCTGAGTATCCCTGAGTATCCCTGAGTATCCCTGAGTATCCCTGAGCATCCCTGAGCGTCCTGAAAGAGGCCCTGAGCGCAGGTGTAGGGGCCCATAACGCGGCCCCTTCCGGATCAAGCGGTTCCTGAATTCGGCTTTCCTACGTTTCAGGGTTCCCAGTTTCGACCCCTGCAGGCCCGGTTATTGTTGCCTGCTTTCCAAAGCCCAGTCTCGGCCTACGGCCTTCGCTGCCTAGAGTTGGTGGGGACGATAAAGCTAACATCCATCTAGCCGCCCACACATATTTCGTCGTCTCTCTGCAATTCAAAGGCGCTGTCACCGATACGACGAAGATCTCTCTGACATTTCTAAACAACATACTATCGCATATCCCTCTACTCAATACTTTGTGTGGACGTTCGTATTGACAGAGGCCCAGTTGCTTACCTCTTTGCCAATTGCAACGACACATTGACTGGCACATTCGCTGAACCATACCTATCGCGAAACTGGACTAAAGGAAGATAATGACAAGGGATGAGTGGGAATAATGTACTGTGAGCAGAAGGAAGGATGGGGGCTCGGTATCTCTGGCCGGTGGAGTCTAGCAGGTGGATTATGATCATGCGGATTGGAAAGCTGGTCCGGCAAGACAGACTCAAACAAGCACTGAGGGTTTAGCGACTTCCGTTTCGGCATCTGAGCTCCCGTCTTTGACTTAGCAGTACTCGTACAAGGAAAGTAAAATCTACGATAAGCTCACGTGTGGCTCACCTTAATCGCGCCGCTCTTGAAATCGACTCACCCGCCCATTCACCCTCCGCTCACCGTTCCTCTATGCTGATCGTCCAGCGACCCGTCAGCCGTTCAAGTCCCATTTCGGCTGTCTTCCCTATTCTTATCCCGTCCCTCCTGCGCCCTAACGCCCCATTTCCCCCAATGAAATACAAAATCCCCGCCAAACCCTCTCTGGCTATGATCTCTTCTTTTCGAATGTCCTGCAACTACACCCTTGAGTTTGTCACCAACCATCTCCGGGCCGTGTTATGACTGTCCAGCTCTCTACCGAACTTGGCCCACATGATGGGCAAGCAGGAACTCACCACTGAGAATTACTCTAGGTCTGTGCCAAAGCGAATCGCTACTAGAGAGTAGCACACAGGTGATCACGAGATTCATGGCCACAAGAAACACATCATAAAGATGAAGAGGGATCAAGCGTATAGCCTTCAGTGCTGTATCTTATGAGAGCTACGACATTTGCTTTTCACTCTAGATTGCCTATAGCTAGCTAGCATAGGCGAAAATAGGCGATGAAGTCCTTCAACACGAGCCCTCGGCCAGTGCCACAACAAGATCTTCGCATGGGCGTGGTGTGATTCGAATTGCGTGGGCGTGGTGCTCATCGTTTTTGCGATGCCGTATTGTTCTCTGATGTCATATGGGCATGATGCTCATGCCAGTTTTCAATGTGAGTCTGGCGACTGTGCGTGGGGTGGTGCTGTTACCAAGTGGTCAGACATCTGCAGTGCAGAACCCGAATACCCCTGGCAGTTGCCAATCAACATTACACCTACTTAATATTCTCTCAATCCTGTGGCTGTGTGTTATGGTCAAAAGCACCGCTGGCTTTCTCGACCTTTTTATTCTCTGCTCTGGATTGTCCCTGCGCCAAGGATTTACGGAATTGTCCCTGAGCTCGCCTTTGGGGAGGTATCGGAGGCTCAATTCCATGTACGCTAAAGGTTATCGGTCACGCAGTATCGGTCCAAGCTCTCTTCTGTTCAACAGCTGGACACCTCATCAACGCCAAACACTCAGCTGCGTGCGAGCGTTTACCGGTTTGGCCGCGCAAACTCTTCCTTTTCCTTCCGTGATGACTATTGGACGTTCGCACGAGTTCGACGACGATATAGTGGCGCCTCAGGGAAACAAGTACATACTGCATTCGACTAAATTTACCGAAGGTACATCTAAGTCTCAGCTAACCGCACCGTTTCCCAAACCTCTCGTCCCTAGACCGAAGCTCGGCCAGCCTACCGGAACATTTCAATAAACCGGCGAACAGTAATTTCCCAGTATCTCAGCGCGATCACGCCTCTCCCTCGTCAGTGTGCGATGGCCCGCGTCTGCTCAACAGGCGAAAATATCCAAACTTCCACCACCACTGCAAGCAGCAAGTCAGCCATGTATCGAACCAAATCGGCTTGCGTACGAGGCTCTGTCTTGAGCCACTGAGTCTCCAATGCTGCGAGATGCGTCCCCGTGTTGATAACCCCTATTTGATGGAATGGATCGCATATTTGAGGCAAGGGTGGTTGGGGATACTGAACAGATTTGGAAGTCCCTATGTCGGCGAAGGAAGATCAATTGTCATTGACGTCATTCAGTCCCTGGCCGAAACGCAGCTGCAATGGAAGATTGCCCTACTTTAGCTATATCCCCAGGCAATTTGATTTCGTAGCGCAGATTGCGACCGCTGACAATGATATTGAGGGTGCCTTTGATCCTCCAGCAAGGGAGCTTGCCCGGCACCGGTTGGGGTTTGATGAGACCAGAGGTTTTGAGAGACGTCATATCGATCTCCACGTAGCCTGCTTGAATTGCACCTGTTCTTAGTCAGCTCCTAGCTTTCGAGCCTCCGAAGTTAGATAGTGATTCACCTTCGTTCTCGGGACTTTCGCGTCGGTAGTGGTCTTCATGGCGGCGGTCAGAGACGTATAGATACTCTGCACCCACTAGCTTTCTCCTGGAAATGGCGAATGTGTATTCAACTTCTCTCGGGATAATGTACTCTGACTCCACAGTGTCACCCTATCAGAAGGTGTCAGCAATGGGCTATCGACGATCAGCAGACGCTATAAAACATCGTGATCAATACCTTTTTTATGATCCATTCGATAGTATTGTCTATGTATTCCCGTCCGTCAATCTTGTCTGTAATCGGGACTTGGCCTAGGTGCTCGGCTTGTGTGCCGTACCGCTCTGTTCGTATGAACCCGTAGCTGGCCTGAAGAACTCGGGCAGGTCCATCTTCCTTCCTGAGAGCGCGAAGAACGGCACCACGGGCCACGGCGGTCGACCTGCTCGTCAACAAGAGAAGATAGTGAAACGGAAGATGGATTTACTTACGGTAATTTTGACGTCTCGAACACAATTGTTCGTGCCCAAGGGCCGCATTCTGTTGCTAACGATTTCCTCAGATGATCGCATAATGATTCAGACTGTCCGAAGCCGCCCATAAGTATAATTTTCTGCGTATCAGATGAGCTTGATACCAAAAATATGGCGTGCTTGCTACCTTCACATCGCATCCTTTTTCTCGTGCAAGTCTCAATTGCTCCTTCATGATTTCAGCGACGCCCTCCAATGAGGGCAAGAAGAGAACCTCCATCTCCTTCCTGTACGCTGAGTTAGGTCTCGCGATGCCGATGTTGTATTGAGGTATTGATATCATATCTTACCGGTTCAGTACCAGCCGTCCTTTTTCGAACCGTAGCTTGTCACTATGTTTGAGGCCTTGCACCTTGACTGTGTAGTTGGCGCGCGGATCTAAGAATTTCGCGTCCAACCGTTTCTTGTCTCGCCTCTCAAACTCGACTACTAGCCCGCTTATGATTGTCGGGAGACTTTCGCCGTTGTCCTCGAGGTAGGTAGCATTTTTCAGTCTTTCACGTAGTAAGTCCTCGTATCTCTCGTTGATGAAACTTGATCCACAAGTTGAACCTATCATCCTGTAAGTCGGCTAGTGGCAAGTAGCTGATGCTTGACTTGCCTCCGGGTTCAACTTCTTCAGTCTTCAACCGCAGTGGAAAGTCTTTGTCCACAGTGTATGTTATAGCATCAACGGTCCCACCACCTGCGCCTAACAGCATAAAGGTGTCACCAATCTGTGCACATTAGCATGGTGTAACTCCCACGATAATGATCCAGCAAACCACGCACTTTCAAGCGCGTCTTTTCGCGAGCGAGAACGCATGCAGCTGCCCCTTCGGGTTCTGAAACGATGAAGAGGTTGTCGATAGTACCGTGCTGGAGTTTGCCCAAGCACGTGTTGGCGATAGCCGCAGTCAATGCAATTTGCATTTGGCGTATCGCTTCAGCCTTCCATACGGCAGGGACACAGAGAACAAACTCCACTGTCGAGGCATCAGTATATCCCTCTGAATCGATGAGTCTTGTTTTGGTGTGCTGCAGGAGCTGTGCGAGATAATCGGCAATGAGATCGGTATCCTCATTAATCAGTAGCATCTTTTTGAGTATGCTGCAACTTTTCGACAGACCATTCCTGACTTTCTCCGTGTGGGGGCTTTTGTCCAAGATCAATTTAAATCTCGATAGATGTCTTGAATGATCCGTGTTATAATCGGCTTCCAAAAGCTGATCCTGAACGCCATAGCCCCAGAAGAGAGGCGCTTTTTTGTTTTCTGGATGCGATAATATTGACGATGGATGGTTCGACTCTGGTAATCCAGTCGAAGCACTTCCTACGGAGAACGCTTGGTGGTCATTTCCCCCTGGACTGTCGTCGTCTTCTGCAGGTTGACGATCAACAGTGTCACGACTTTGAGGAATCGGCCTCGGTATTCGCTGAGAATACCATAGCTCAGTGGGCACGTCGTGGCATGTGAAGTTTCCGTATGGATTGTAGGGATACCGATCGACAATCTCAATCTGCTGTAGACCGATACGGGGGCGTTGGCTCGCATTGTAATAGCCGACGTAGGCAACAGAGCTGAAGGTAGTTCCGAAGTCTATAGCAATAACAAAATGTCTTGTATCATCAGAGTCTCGCATGGGGGTATCTGGGTCCATTGAGACGTTGTTCGACTTATCGAGGAGGTACGACAGAAGTGTATACAGTGAAGACGCTCGATCAATCCTGCACCCACAGAAGCTGGAGAGCGTTTCCGCGGCAAGCCTCGTCACCGCCGGCACATTGTGTTTCTTAAGGGCTGCACATCCGGTGTGACAGTACCGAGCGCACTACGGTCATGCCAACGGCACATGAGCCAAAACGTCCTGCTAACCCCGTCCGGGGAATTTGACCGGCCATCTATCATCCGGGTGATCAAATGGGCGAGATTCTCGACGGCGCACTCGATGCCGGCGATACCGCAAGAAATGTCGACGTTTCGCACATTTGCGAACTGTGTAGACTGGTGCAGTCCACCAACAAATGCAACCGTCGCGCACCCACTTCAGCATGGCCAACATGGATAATAGTGTTGCTGCACCATTCGATCAAACGATTGCGATCCTGTGCGAGCGGGTTGCAGGCCTTCTTGCGCAGCAAGCTTCATTGCCTCGCCGGAGACTCCTCATTGCACTGGCTGGCGTCCCTGGTTCGGGCAAGTCCACAATTTCCTCTGCCTTGTTGAAAATCCTCTCCAAGAAAGCCGCCGGAAGCATTGTGGTGGTGCCCATGGTGCGTCAAGCGATTTCGTATGACGATAACCGCAGTGTGTGCTGAATTCGAGCCCAGGATGGCTTTCATTACTCCAAAGCGGCCTTAGCAAGCTTTCCCGACCCGGCGTTTGCATTCCGCAAACGAGGAGCGCCCTTCACGTTCGATGTGACCGCCTTTCTGGACTTTGTGTTAATGCTCAAAGACCAACCAGTTACTTTCTCAGGAGAACCCGAAGTTCTGATGTTTGCACCGAGCTTCGACCATGGAAAGCAAGATCCAGTGGCCAATGACATCGAAATATCGTCAAGAGCTCGAATAGTCATCATCGAGGGCAACTATACTCTCTCCGATGAGCAGCCGTGGTGTAAAATTGCCGAACAGGTTGATGAGAGGTATGTGAAAAAGCAAAGTTTCGGGAAGTCAAGGACTAAAATATTCAGGTGGTTTGTAGACACCCCGCCCGATGTCGCCAAAGAGCGACTTATTGCTCGACACCTCCGTGCCGGGATTGAATCGACAAGAGATCTGGCGGCGCGGAGGGTTGAAGACAACGATCTTCCAAATGCGGAGCTCATCCGAAATCACCTTACTGAACCCAATCTGAAAATCGTTTGCTAGGGAACTCAGAAGTCCTGACCGATTTGATCCCAACAGAACGAATCAAAGACTTCGTCGGACTCCGTTGGCCACGCAAAGAGGCCCGTGGTCCACGGCGCTGGGACTTCGGGATTGGTAGACAGCTCGCCCAAGTTGTTACGCTGATCCAGGCGGTCAAGTATCTCCGCGCATTGGATTGCCGAGGGATTTTTGGCTAGGATATTCCGAAGGATGTTGCGAGCTATGTCAATATCTGCACGCCACATCTCCAAAGATGCGCTTTTTATGTTGCCCAGAACGGGTATCATGGTGACAAGTGCAGCGTGAAAGAGGAAGTAACTGCAGTCAGTGAGAATGTTTAGCGTCGAGACCGGGAAGGATGTACTTACGTCGAGTACCAACCTGCTAGCTTGCCTACCTCTGCATCGTGTAGATAGTCATTTATGGAGTTGATGGTTAAGTGAGCGGCCTCCAAACAGGCAGTGATGCACTTGTCTTCATTGGATGCTGCCGTTGAATACGGAGACTGCCCACCGAAGTTCACGGCTTGTCGCAGGAGGAGTTGGCGAAGGAGTATTATTTTCAGGTTCCAGAAACGCCACCACAGGCGGGATCTGGCGAATAGGTACCACTCCTCGAAGTAGGACACTTCCTCCTGGATTTGAAAATACCAGGGTAACGTAGTCGCCCATTGATCGAGACTTGCGACCATTCCAAGCGCTTCCTCGGCAGAGATCGATCTGTTCAACAGCAGACGATTGGAAATATAGTTTGACTGCACATGGAAATCTGCCTGTGCTTTCATGCTGGAATAGATGGTTGGGTGAGGCGATTCGGAAGGGGCAATGGCGGTTCTGGCTGTTAGTAGCTGCCAACAGTGAGCGTAGCTGAGCTAATATACGTGGACCGTTTCTCTTACCTCGTCGTCGATGTTCAAGACGTATTTGGCATTCATGGTGCTACGGTCAGGCAGTAAGATGACTCGCCCGAAGGTAGTTGACGCGCCGCTGTCAAACATGAAAAGGCCCCACCAAACCCTCCGGCGCATCTCCTGCTGTAGAACTGGGACATTCCAGCTGGGGTGTTCACAGTGCAGGCCGAGACTCAATCCCATGCGTGTGGCAAGTCCCAGGAAATTCCAGCCTGTGTTTGGTCTGTTTCGCTTCTGGCTGAGATTGCTTAGCAAGACCAACGCTTGCACGATGGTGAGGTTGGCGGACTCGAACATGGATTCATCTTTGGCGAGAGAGGTAGCGCGTTGGTAAAGTTGGTCGTCGAGCTCAGTGCGGTCGTGAACCGACGTCCATGACCCAAGCGCGAGGATGGTGTAGAAAAGCATATTCCAGGAGCTCTGCTGGGGCCGTGGAATCAGCTCGTAATACTGAGCCCGAAAGGTTGCCTCGTGGACAAAGGGGTATGAGACGTGGTAGTTTGCGAAGTAAGAGTCCACGAGCTTGGTCTTAATCTGCTGGGAGAGTGAAGCTTCCGAAAAGCGCCACGAACCATCCAGAGACTCTGGACTCTGTCCAGACATCTCCGGAGGTCGAAGATGGGACCGGGTCAGGATGGCGGGATTGCCGACCCAATACAGCAGTGACCGTAAGAAGACCACCCCGGACGTGGCACCTGGATAGCTGTTATGATTCGGGAATGCATTAAAACCTTGGTACCCTTACCTATATATCCAGCACCATTCGGTTCAATACGTAACGCCGCCATGCCGTCAGCGATGTCGTCCAGGGAAGTTGTATCCTCTGTCCAGTCGTAGTCCTTGATCTCGTTCGGAGCTAGGTCGGAGACGAGTCCAAGGTTGTCTTCATTTGCGTACGAGAGGTCATTTTGTGGCGCCGGAGTTGGCTGTACCACTGCCGTTGCCTCAGTCTTTACTCGTTCGGGACCCAAAGATAAGGCTGTTTCGAGATCTAGACCAGGGTGAAGGCGAGCAAATAGCGCTTCGAGGTCCTGGAGTCGCTGCTCGACATTTGAGAGATATCTGCCCGAAGGTTGAACCTCATCAGTCCATTAGCGAAGCGGAGCACATACCTTCGAGTTAGGGGTGAACGAATTATCTTTCCACTGTAGCGACATGCAACGCCGCCTTGTATGCATGCAGAACACGCCGGGCGTTCTTTGGAACACTGCAAGTGGTTAGGGACTCATTAAAGACGCCCGGAAATGGAAGTCGGACTTTTGTTTTCTTGAGACGGCACCCATCACACTTGGGGAGAATCAGCATGGATGCAAAGGATAGCCAGGGGAAAGCTCACTGCCGGAATTGTGGAGGAGCGCGGTCTCTGTGCGTCCATCGTTGTAGGGGCTCGAGAAGATGGGAGGGTGGTTGGTCGGATTAACGGTCATGATCCCGACAGAGGTTTCCCCGAGCTCTCGCATGTCCTCACAAATTTGGGTCAAGGACTGTTCGGGCGGAGTCTCCAGCCAAGAGAAAAGCTCGTGAGTGCCGTTTCGTTCCGAAGACTTCCCACAACGAATTGTGCGGGGTGAGAAGCGGCAATGACAGACTGTACCAGCCAACAGCAATTCCAGTCGCACAAGGCCTACGTGTCTGTACGATACAAAGGTCCAGATGGAGATGCAAGTGATCGCCATTGGAATTGCAATCCCGTGGCTTCAGCTGTTCTTGGCGACACTTGCCCAACCGAGATCGTGGTGTTGAGATCGTTGGTCGTGCCGCAGAGAACAAGTAACGTGTACATCACGGAGTACCGTGTATGTCGCACAGAGACCGCATCACCCGTGCAGCTCGGCTCGATCGCACGATCCCTCGTGCTCGTCCGCTTACTCTTACTCCCCTATGTCCACACACGAGCATCATGATCCATCACTACGAGACGGGAATGACGTACAGCAAGCGGGAAGAAAGGCAGCATTACTGTAGTGGGATGCGTGTCTGCCGCCTTCCATCCCGTGACGAGGGGGCGAGTGTGACTCACTGGCTACTATGTAAACCATTCCCTTCGCAGCCAGGGCCATGCATAAGCGGCAATGCAGTGGGACGGTGTGCATACCGTACCACCCGATGATTTGCTCTCTGACTTGAGAAGCGCGTGGTGGACGATGTATTCAGCCCGCGCGTAGCCGAAGCAAGCCGTTGCGTCGCCAGTCTACGAATAGGCACGCCTTCAATATGTACTGTATCTGGGATTATCCTCGATCGTGAAGCGCAGGATGTCCATTCGTCTGACCGATCGCTGTCTACTTGGTGTATGCACGCATCGCTTGTATCGTGTAGGGCGAACTTCCAGAAGCCATGCGGTCATGCAGACATGCGATGCCAATCTACAGTGGTTTGGACATCGCACCAGCACCGAGAAAAGGACAAGTGGTCAGGCGATTGAGAGGACGGGCTGAGTTGCCGTGCTCAGAGGCTTTCCCTTTTGGCCGTACTTATCGCTGAGTACTGTAGGTCCACGTCCCTGTGTGAGTCGCGCACCTGCTCTTGCGTAACTTACTACGGAGTAGACTGAGATGGCTTGGGAGCTCATCCTACGAAAAGACGAGCCTGTTTACTGGTGTGGTACTGTAAGCACAAATACTAGCTGAACAGCGAACATTGAACACTGGACACTACCCACCACGTCTCCAAAGGCTGACGAAGGGCCGGCGGAAGGGCGTGTGAGGGCCAAATTTGCGCTCGCGACAGTCCCGTGTTTGTGGTGTCGCTTGGAAGATCGGGATCGCAGTGGTGCCAGCTCATCTCAGCTCAGCTCAGCGACCCCGCAATGAGGCTCTGCGGACCGCATCCGTCGAGCTGGACGGATCGACCACGCTGGGCATGTGGGGAGGAAGGGAGAGGGGGCGCTTCCCTCCACAATACTGCTGACACGCCGCTGTGATCGGGCTACAATGCAGATTCCATAGTATCGCAAGGGGGAACGAGATGGTCATAGCGTCGTCGGCGTGGGATGTGTAGTTGACTCGAAGACTTGCCAGCCAAATGTGATCGTACATGCTGTAGTCTAAATTACTTACCTAGGTAGTATTTTCTGGTCTCATCGATGCCGGCTGTAAATACATAGACCTAGCTATTACATAATTTCGTTCATTCATTCATCGGTATCAATATTAATATAATATGCTGATACAGTAGCTGAAAACAAATCCTCATCCTCCGAGCTGTGCAATATCGATCAAAGCATCATTTTTCGCCAACCTGATAAGTAAGCCGAGCCATTACTGTTTTCTGGTCCCTGCAGTTCCCTCTCCCGTAAACTGGTGTGATTGTGAAGAGCACCATCGTCAGGTACGAGCCCAGAAGTGAGGCCCATGGCGCATTACAGAACGTTTAGGTCCTGCCATATGCGGGCCTGCGCGAAGAAGTAAACGTAACGATGAGTCGGGGTCATCGTGATGTCGAACGTATTTTAACGTAGAGTCCTGTCCCATGGAACGTTCGGTAAGTAAGTCGTCCTCTTGCTGTAGTTACCTGACATTCCGATTCTGGCGGTCTCGGAAATAAATCTGCAAGTACGGTAGCGCGTCGTCCGTGACCTGCCCGACGTCCATCGATTTGACTGTATGTTCCACGGTGTGGACTCGGCCATAACAGAGACGACTCGCAACCGACAGTCTCTGCTCGGGACTCGCCTTTTTGACGGCGATGTCCCGCTTGCTCGAGATAAGGATTTCTCTGTCGAGCCATTTGGGCTCCGTGCCGACCATGAAGATGCGCGAATGCGCCTCAACATCCTCCGAAGAGCGCCCAAACTTGGAAAGGCCACGGTTGCCGTAAGTGTTGATCTGGAGGCACACGCAGTAACCCCGATCCTGGCGGACAACGACCATCCGGCGAATCGAGCTGTAGATGGGCTCGTTGTACCGTCCGGTGCTGACTTGAACTTTGTTGTCATTATTGTCACTGATGTAGGTATTTTGAGAGGTCCCGGTGTTGTAGCCCTCATGCCAGAGCACGGCAAATACTCTGCCGACGACGTAAAAGGATGAAGGCCTGACAACGTATCTTCCATCCAGCTGGGTCGGATCTTGGTGGAAGAAGGTTGCTTCGGCTGGCACAGAGTACTTTCTCGGCGTTGTTTCGGGTTGACCCTTTGCTGGGGCACGCGAAATGGTGCCCTGAGGTTGTTGATTAGCCCCCGGCACGTTATTCTGGTCAGGCCTTTGCGGGCTTTGAAGATCGATGTTGCCGATCCTTGGGAGCAGGCTTTCCACAGTGTCACCCTTAGCGGCTTGACCGGCGCCGTAAGTAGATGCGTTTGTTATCGGTCTACCTGTGAGCGGCGGGTCATTTCCACGGGGTACATTAGAAGACTGGACACGCGAAGTTGTCTGCTGAATTGGACTTTGGGCGGAGCCGTAAGTTTCCATGCCCGGGCCAGCAGGCTGAACTGGTGGGTGTTGGACTGGTTGGCGCGCTGGAGCCCTTACGGGGCCAGGAGCAGGGACATAGTTGGAGGGCGGACTGCGATAGATCAGGAGTGCGTTCTTGTCTGAATGGGCAATGCTCACCTTGGGCGAGGAAACACTGGGTTCCTCGCACTGTTTGGGGAGGTACTGTAGACGGGCTGGGGATGGCTGGAGAACTGTGGCTCTGGCCAGTATCGCGGTACGTTGCTGTGATGGTGAGCGACCAAGCCATATCTGAATTATTACATAGCAATCACCTTGGTTGTCCTCCGGGCTTGGGTTTGCTTCCACTCTCCCGCCCATCGCGCCCCTTTGCTGCCGGAACGTCAACACCCGATTCTTTCTTGTGACCGATGAAGAGTACTCACCACGGGGATCGGTACCACTGGGCTGTGACATGTCGATCTCACATAGCGCACAGCATCAAACTCAAGTTTAAAATGTGACTGGTCTTCTCTGTAAACGCATTGGGCCGATCGTGAGAGATATAGTCGCAAGGAGACAGGCGGGGCTCTGTCTGCGGGTCTGCTTCGGCAAACTCAGCTGCTCTGGCTGCTGCCGAAACGTGGGAGGGCATGCATATTCGACAAATATGCCCTGCACCACCCCTATGGCTTCAGTTGTCCAGCTAGCATCCGGTGTCGAGGAATCATGCACCCACGGGCTGGAGGAGCAAGCGACGGTCGCCTCTGGCGAATGAGGATGTATGCGGTGCTGCATGGCGGCGGCTAACTCGAGAGAGGGCTTGCGGAGTTTTAGGGGCACCGCGACAATTAGACCGAGACGCTTGACTGTATTGACCATAACGGACACAGGTGCTGATTGAAGGATGAGGTCCGCCTGACCAGAGGTTATCGGACGGCCACGTTGGGGAATTGCTGAGGCTGAACAAGTGGTCGTGGCATGGATTTCTGGAGTCGCGGGAGCTGCCAATCCTGTGCAAGGCAGCACTTAGCGCCGCAGTAAGCGTGCCTAGGGTCCCCTAGCAGGGCACCCCAGGCTCCCTTGGAAGCCACCGGTAACCCCCAAGCCTACAGTAGAACCCGAAGCATGCCATCGACATCCTTGCCGAAACAATTCAGCCAAGGGAGGTGCGGCACGTCAATCGTCCACCGTCAACTGCCCCGTGCACCGTGGAGCGCGCGGTCTGCCTGTTATTCAAGAAGGACCCTATTCCTACCCTCCTGTCCGAGCCCAGCACCCGATTTCGACTTCTGGGTCCGTCTTCCTGTTCAGTAGCATTGCACGGGTGTCATTCATGTATGGCATCCACATACCTAGGTATGAATGCGTTCAACATGGGATTTCTTCACCAAGTGGCCTCTGCACAGGCGGCTTTTCCAGTGGAACCGATACTTTCGCAATGAGTAAGGGCTGAGGTCGACTATGTCCTGGTTTCCTTGCTTACACTCGACGTGCAGGGAACGACCGGGTGACAATGGTCCCTACAGCAAAACTCAGCTACCGACCTCCGAGAGCAGTGTTGAAAGTGCCGCAAGTCATGCCTCGAACGAACGTGATCCGGCAGAGTCATCGGCCTGGAGTCTTGTTCCGCGCGTTGGTGCCGATGAGCCCCAAGACCTTGAGGAGGCTACGCTGTCTGAGACGAAGACGTCCGTACCAAGGGACCCCAGCCTCCAGAACGATGTGCAGAGCCAACAACATGTCGCCCATCGCACTGAGTCGCATAGAGTGAACCCGTCGCTTGACGCCTATGTCTCGGCATTCGAGGTCGTCCGCGCCACAAACCAACGCGTACTGGACCGGGTCTTTGAGCTGAATTCCACAAGAGGACCACTGTTGAAGCAGATCGAAAGCCTCCTCCGTGCCTTGGATGAGTTCGTGCGCCATATTACCGAGCACCCTGGCCCCTCCGACGGGAATGATGCTCCTGCGACCAAGGTTCGGGATCTCCAGCAGCAATTCGACACTCTCAGAAATGGCCAGTTTGCTTCTCTGCAAGCAGATGAAGCAAGGTATAGGGAAATCGAAGACGACATCATCCAATCCCTTCACCGTTCTGGTACCTATCTGGACAACTTGCTCCGGTCGACGCCGACCAGCCCGAATCTGAACCATGAAGCCTCCACGGATCTACCGCAAGATCCAGCCATTGTCGGAAATGGCCTGAATGAGCAGTCTGCCGACGTCCTTCGATACCTGACTCAACTCGGCGATGTAGATGCTCTTCAGGAAAAGTTGTCTGATCTCTACACGGAACGGGCACAGCTCCTGGAGGAGCAGAAGTCGAAAGAGAAGCTAGGCGTCAGTTTAGACGATGACTCTCTTGCCTTCCTCCAATCCTCCGAGCGCGAAGCAGACGAGTTAGTGGAACAGCTGGAGTATGCGAGGCTAGTTCTGCAGGCACTAAAACAACTCATAGACGACGCAGACGCCCAGTCACTCTCAAAAGACGACTTCCCTGTGTCCGAGGTCGACGAGGATTCCGCTGGACTGCAACATCTCGAGGACGGCTTGACCGCGCAATCTTTCCAAGTGCCCCTTAGAGACAGAGGCAGGCAGTTAGTGGTCCGCCAAAGGCTTGAAGCACACGACAACGACTTCAAAGTCACTCTCGAAAGCACGGACGACGCCGCCCTTGCGACTGCCATGTTCATCAACGCCTGGATGTTAAAGCGGTTGTTCCATCTCCCACGAACTTTGGACAGGCTAATCTCTATCGTAGAGCAGCGGCACCCCGGAGCGGATCTTGACCTCTTGGAGCGCACATTCCTGGCATACTGGTTCAATGACGGTTCTGCGTCCGACTTTAAAACGCGTAGGTCGCTTGCTGACCAACAGACGATGCGAGCCAATACTCTCTCCCGATACTTCGAACCGAAGAGCATTGCAAGCGACACAGCCGTGCCTACTGGCTCGTCGCCTCTACTCAGACTAGGCCCATCCGTCCGCACCAGCGAGATCATCAAGCAGGCCATACGATTCCAGGGCTTCCGATCCTTACAGGTGTCCGAGAAATCCTCATAGCTTGGACACATACCACTTTCGGCCTTCCCTGCAGCCAAGTCAATTTTGCCACCGAATACACAATACTCAGAATGTTCTCTTCCTGACTTATCCCTTCCTTTCCAGTGCATTGTCTTCTTGATCTCTGGCATTACATCAAATAAATTGTATCCTGCCTCGAATGCGGTCGGAGTGCAATCACTTCAGGGCTCGCCCTTTGTTACGTCTCATTCTTCTGCATTATGCTTCACACGAATGGTAACAGACAACCTCGGCGGACTGCGGTTGGGCTTGAGGTGGTTTGGCCCGGTGTCGGGTTTCGCGCAGCATCCTGTATACGAAGTGATTAGGCCTCATCCTGTTGCTAATTTTAGGTTTCTTTTCTGTCCCTTTGCTAGAGCGTACTGTTTTGAAAAAATTGAAATAGCTGAATAGAGAAGGCAACCCCAAGGTCCTGCATTTTCCAGTCTCGTGCATCCACCTGGAGCACATCTCGCGTTCTGGTTCCCGTGCATGGAATTCTTCAGGTTGAGCCATCTATGACGCTTGCAGGTCCCAGCGACAAGCATACGGCAGAGACCACGCGTGTCTAAACGTGCTACACACCGTGGGTGACCGAGGGAAGGGCTTGCGAGAGTACATGTAGAAAATTCCTTGCGATTAAAATTCATGACTGCCCGCGAGAACAGAGTTGATTTGGAATCCCGAGCCACTGTAACGGATCCCTCAGACGCCTGAGAAGGACACTCCCCACTCGAAACGCATAACGTGCGCCTGCGCCTTGCATATGTACCGGTGTTCATCTGAACGAGTACGTATGTCACAGGTGAATGCGCCACTCAGGGCTCCGCTACTGCTTGCCCACCGCAGGCCTTGGTTTTCAGAGATCCTCCGGAATCTCCGAGATTGACGCCCACAGCAGCTAGGAGTCCTGAGATGACGTCCATGGTATTGTCCCACCACTATCCAACATGCTGGAAGAGGGAATTCAAGCATGGTCGAACGCTCCGAGTTCAGGAAGACGCTGGGATCGCTCTAGGGTCGTTGCAGGCAGCAAAAGGTGGGCTGCTTGTGAGAAGGCCTGCGATAGCGAGGATACCACACCCAGTTACGGAGTCCTTGTCCCGACAGGGCCAGATGAACATGCAACAACACGTTCCAGGCTAGATTTAGGACCTTTACGATGGACAATGTGTCTTGCGTATCGACTCCCATTCTCATTCTGGCCAGCCTAGATCTAGTCAAGAATGTGAGCGCTACATACACCAGAGCCGTGTTTCACCTCGACCCTGCCTAGGTACCCGCTGCTGCCTGTTGCCTGCTGCCTGCTCGTGCAACTCTCCAGTACATACAGAAATACTATCTGCTCTACCCGGAGATACGTGTGAAAGAGTGTCCGCTAGACGAAGACTAGATCCGAATTCTGTGGCCTTGGGCTCTTTGGCACAAGCGAGGCTTGCTTCATGGCAGACGCTCAATGGTATGACCAGTGACCACGAAGGCAGCAGGATGAAGGGTGATGTGGCCGCCATCTTTCCTCCGCCTGGAACGCGAGAATCCGTCAAGGTACAGTTCGGGGCATAATCGCTGGGCATTCAGGGTTGCCACAGGTCAGGCAGCCTTGCTCCTATGCTCAGATCCTAACTCCTGCTACATTAGCTGACTTTTCACCGTATGATCTGGGCATGAGTTCAGGCGTGATATCGTGACTTCCTAGGTAGTCAATGTGATTTATGTTCGCAAGGGGGGTTATCCCGTTCGGTGCCAGCCGTGAGCTCAGCACAGGATTGTTTTGTAACGTATGCAGTAGTAATGCCTTGACTCGGTACATCAGTACATTGTGACGCGAGTCTACGTGGCTTTGGCACAGCTCATGTGGTGGCAGATAGTATGTCAGATGCTGGCAAGTACAGGAGTGGTAAGATATCACTCCTATGCATCACTGATGGATTAACACCCGTAAGGAGTGAGAACTGTCTCCAAGTCGCGCGAAGTAATCAGGCCGCAAGACCTGTTGTACAACTCTATTGTGCCGGACTCTGACGTCTCAGCCTTCAACATCTCGTAGCATGCAAAGACACACTACCTGGTATTGACGTTCCTTTGTGGCATCCTCTATTTGTACATTCAGCCCTCGCCTCGTATGGTGGAACCCCTGCGTGCGTCGAGAGTGTCATTAATCATGCTTCGCATGCACCGAACCTCCAACGCCGTCGCTCAAGCTCAAATGGAGAGCAACATCCCATGAAGTCGGAGAAGTCATTATGGTGATTGATCTACTTCCCAAACGCACATCCAGCCCCGATCGTAACGTCGTGATATCGTCGCTGAAATGAGAATAAGACCTTGTTATCATGCAGCATTGGAGTCATGGCATATCAGTCCTCAGCCTTGAGCCTTAAGAGAACTGACGGCCTTATTCACCTCATCGCCTGCAATCTTCTCCCACTTTGACCTGTCGTCTACATCAAGTGCTTCGAAGTCCCCGATCTTGTCGTAGAGCATGCGCGAGATGTCGCGATTGATCGATGTGTATTCGTCCTTCGTAATGGTTTGATCATGGAAATGTGGTTTGAGAGCAGAGGACACGAGCTTCTGCACGTCTTCCTTCGCAGTCAAGGACATCACAGCGGCTGTTGGAGAGCCCTCGCTTGAGCGTGGACGATTAACATGGCTCCCATTCCTCCTTGCCGGAGAAGCTTCAGTCGAGCGAGTTCGCACAGCGCTGCTCTGGCTATTCTCAAGAATCCGGGGTATCCGACTACGGGGTCTCGGTTGTGCTATCGTTGTGGATGTCGAAGGAGGAGGCGGAGGCGGAGCGGGCGGAACTCGCGTTCCAATAAGACGAGTAGCACTAAGATTCCGTTCCTTCGACTCCGACGGATGCGGTCGAGGAAGTGTATATTCAATGGATGGATAGATAGGCTGGATGCTCGACGACAAGCCACTCGGCGAGGACGGCCTCAGAGTCCCCGGCAGAGGCGGTGGAGTCGCAGAAAGAGCACGGGGTGAAGAATGATTGGAGGGCAGAGGAGACAGAGCTGGGGAAGATGGTCGTGGTGAACCTTGGTCTGCTGAGGGACTTGCTGCAGGGTGAGGTGAAGGGCGAGTAAGGTTCAAGCTATGGCTGCCAGAACCCGAGTCCTCGACTTCTTGTAACAGTGATTGAAGGAAACTGGGCCCTGCTGGATCCATCAAAGGCTGCCTCCGTGGAAGAGGGCTAGTGACCCGTGTCGGCTGCCTGCGCCGGAAATTTATTGCGGTTGGGGCGTGACTCTCGGACAAGGCACGAGTAGATGCACTGGGTCGCCGTCGTTTGCTCGCGGAAGAAGGTTCGCTGTCAGGCTCTGCTGGGGAAGAAGTTGCGGACTTTCGCTTCCGCTTGCGAGTAGTGCTGGGACCGTTTGATGAAGCTCGTGCTTGATCAAATGCATTCCATGCCAAAAGTTCGTCAGCGCTCTCGGCTGGATGTGGAGATTCTCTTGCTCGTCGAATTCTAGGTGAGATCTCAACTCGTGGGCTGCTGGGAAGGGTTGGCTCCGTGTCTCTGAAGCGGTTGGCGGCTCCGTGAAGTTCGGCAACCTGCATTCGGCGCAACCAAGCGTCGTGAGCTTGTCGGTTGGCCTGGCTTCGTTGGCGATGGCGTCTCAAATAGCTGGCTGATGATTCGTCGTCTTCATATGGGAAGTCGAGATCGAGGTTGATGCGTGACCATACGGTCTGCCAGACCTGATTCCAGCTTGATTCATGGCCGCGCTGTCGACGTTGCTGACCTCTGGTTCGTCTGCGGCTCTGACGACTCGATCGGGAAACCTGGCGAGGGTCCAGTTCCCGCTGGGCCCTACAGTTGTCACAAAACCAGTGGCCATAAGGTACCTCTTGTAGACCGACACAGTATGTGTGCCACAGCTTCTGACAACCATCACAGTACATGAGAACGTCTTCGTTGTCATCTTCGCCACATGCTTGACATGGTTGGTCCTCATCCTCTTCCTCGGGAATCTCCAGGAACATGGAAGGGTCTAGTTCGGCCACTTGGGTTCGGTCTTCGACGGCATAGGAGGATACAACGTCGCCTGTGCTAATGTTAGTCGCTTCTGTTGTTGGAATATGCCTGGGGTGTTGTGCCTTACCATTGATTTTGTGCATCAACTCGACGAGATGGAAACTGGCGCGACAAATGGGGCAGCTGTTTGCCCTTTCCACCCATGGTGTGAGGCACCCATTGTGAAGATAATGTCCGCAGGGACGTAGGTGTGCGATCAACTCGTCAGAGTCTTTGATGGCCGATGTTGTGGAGTTGGCTGCATCTTGGAGACGGGGGCTGCTCGTGACGCGGGCCGCAGCGTCGGTGTTGGTTGGTGGAGACTTGGCTGGGCTGATGAGGGGAGCTGGAACTTGGCCACCAGCAGTGCCCAAGTCTCCTAAACAGACGATACAAGTTTCTGACATACAGAGAGGTTATTTTCGGGAAATTGGAAGGGATTCGGGTGGTGGCAGAAACATGGGTGTAGTATTGGTGTTTGGTGGTGGTGGCATTCGATGCGGTCGTGAGAGGAAAGAAGCGAGGGAGGAGATCCGATTTATGTCAGGGCCCAGCTCAATGAGGCAACTCGACCGGTGCCTTTAAACCAATCGAAGGCCGGTACTCAGGTGAGTGTGACTCGCTTTGGTTTGGTCTGGCTCAAGCAGGCACAGTCCTCAGTAGCCTTCCTCGGTTGAACTCAGGTTATGTCCGCGGAGTCGGCCGCTCATCGCTTGACTGTGCAGGTGACGCCTGTTTTCATGCCTGAAAAGTGAGGACAGCAACAGACTCGTAAGTAACAGGGAGAGAATGCAAACCTTATTCTTCCATTGGTATCCTGAAACATATCCTCGAAGGAGTGGGGTTACTGTGTACAGATCTGGCGTTAGTGAATGTGTTTCTTCCCAAATGGCGGTGAATTCGCAGCCGGTGCACCAAGTAAGGCGGGCGAAGTTTTGATATAAAACGACCAATGGCGGGAGTGGTTGCCCCTGTATGTCCTAGTTGGACCATTACGGCTTGATTTCAAACATGTGCCGCATTCGGCGTGGAAGGATTCGAACGAAACTATAGATCGGACGGAAATCTTCGAGCAGAGCCGACACCGTCGTTCGAAAAGGACCGATAGCCGTGTGCTCGAAGGAAATAGTCATAAGCCAATCGCAGGTGTAGTAAAGGAAAACTTGACAATGGTAGCGCGACCATACGGGTCTTTGCTTCGACCATGGGATTGGAGGTCTATCGCTTCGTCTCGGTCTATCGCTTCGTTTTGGTCATCTCATCTGAGGCAGTACTTGCTCTTGTCGATGCAAAAGCTGATGATTCTGCTTTGACGGAGACCGGTATCAGGCGAATCTTGCCATGCTAGCAGAGATTTTGGAGGACCTCGTATCGTCCCTTCAAATAAAACTCCCGTCCATGCTTGATCGCATCTACACCTCCGCAATTTCCCTCAGACGTCGAATTGTTGATCTCGTGGCAGCCGCAGCAGGTGTCCTGGAGGCCGTTGTTAGAGCCCAAGTACTCGTCACCATGTACCTCTCCTCTCAACTTACGAGACTGTCCAGGCGCCACCAGCGACTGTCTTGTTGCACCCCTTGCATTTCCAGATTCCGACTGCCTGTCGCTTCACCGTGTTCTTGCCGCAGAAAGTACAGACGTATCGGGCGTGTTGGCTGATTTCCATCTTCTTTACTTGCTTTCGTAGCGAGGCGCCGTAACGCGTACCGAATTTGCCCGTAACACCAACCTCTGTCTATCGTTAGAGACGACCATACGGTATCCAGTTGCTAAGACTCACTCTTCGTACGCTTCGTCATGTTGGCGGAGGTAATTGTACGATGTTTCGGTGAGTGCAAATGAAAGAATTATGGCTGCGCTTGGATTTTTCTGTGGGTGGCTTAGCTGGCTTGGCAACGGGAGATACGGGGGAACACAGTGACAAGTGTCCGGCATGGAAATAGATCCGATGCACCAGGGCTGTGCCAGAGGGGCTAACTCGGCTAAGATCACGTGAGCAATGCTTTTTGCCAAGGCTAGCCTGTTCAAAACTGCCTCATAATTCCAAAGCTGAGCGTCCGGCCTCTTCCAATTATCGTCGGATCGATGCGGCAGGTGTGATTGAGCTCGGCCAAATTTGGCATCTAAATACTTGAGCTGGGGATCCTGCGGAGGACCATGTGCTATTAGAAAGTGTCAATGTGACCGGGTTAGCAATAGCTCTGTCAGGCAGAGGCAGGAAATTATGCTGCCATGCGACCAGTGGCACCAGCCACTCAGCCTAATGTTCATCAGGACTTCGGGCAGTCTGGCGACATTATATGCCTGTCAATCAGACTGCACTGATTGTCAGTGGAAGCTAGGGTCCGGGGGACATGGCGAAAGATTTTTCACGAACGTGGGCGTCTCGACCAGCTTAATGCTTTCAACAGGTCCGGATTTCAAGGCTCTGATATGCAGGTGTGTTCTCATTGCTTCGACGCTACTAACACTACTCTGCTATGTCGACATCGTCAGGTTGGGGCCTGATCTCGAGCGTCAGGTCTACAGACGCAGCGTTCTCTAACTGGCCACCACTATGCAAACTTTGATCGATAGCTCATTGAGCATGAGCTTGGAGAACCCTGGCATGGCCTTGAGCAGAACGATATGTTTGCGATTGACGGAGGGGGAAGGAAGGTAGGTTCTTGGGTGGGCGTCATGCTTAATCCAAGGTGGGGCCATGCGTGTGCTGGAGCACTCACTCGCCTGTGAGCGCTCAACTCATTTCACTTTTCGGTGTCAAGCAAGCAAGCATTATGTCGATCGACAGCACCAAATTCTGTGTTTATAGTTTGCGAGACCTCTTCCCCGGTGTGGTGGAGTCGAAGCCCATTCCACCGCCAAATTTTTCTCTCGAGTCACCAATTGAGCCGGTAAGCTGTCTTTGCATTCACACGTCAAGCATATCCTTATTAGCAATCACTCATCGGATCCCCTTCTTCTCGCCATTTGCTCCTTCCGGTTGAACTAATAGAGATAATAACATTGGTTTAGTTCGAATCTCCTGCATTGGCCGCCCTCCCCAATGCCGATGTTGCAATGACCTCTTAGGAATGACGACTTTGCCCTGCCCCTGCCTGCCCGAGCCCCTTCTCCTGCCCCGTCAGATACCACGATGGTGGATCTGCCGGCGGGAGCCGAGGCATATGCTTCGGTCATCCCGGCCAAACGCGGGGTGGAGAAGGTAGCGGAGGAGGAAGAAGAGGAGGAGGAGGAGGAGGAGGAGGAGAAGGAGGCGGAGGAGGAGGAGAAAGAGGAGGAGGAGAAAGAGGAGGAGGACGAAGAGGAGGAAGATGACGACGACGTCGACGACGAGGAAGAGGAAGAGGACGAGGAAGACGAAGACGAAGACGACGACGATGACTGGCCTTCGAAAGGGTATTTTTAAGATTTGAACACTAAAAAACATTTATAAAATTCTCAACCTCAAAAAGTATGTTACCTTCCTCTAGTAGACTATACTGACAGGAGAAAGAAACAGGAAAACTGAGCCGCCTTGCCCCTATTTTTAGCTCCTTGGGAGCCATCAGCCTGTCAATCCTCTCTGGTGCCCCGGGGACTTCTAACTTGTATGGTCTTCTGGGACCAATACACCTGCCGACCTCTACTGGATCGATGGAACGGTCTACCGCTTGCAACCAGCTGTCGCTCAAAGAGTAGGAGGTCTACATCCGCTCTCAAATAGACACCAAGACCTCCTTTCACCGCACGGCCGACGAGACGTACCAACATTCACCCTCGCCCACGACCTCGGGTTGTCCAGCCTTATCTCTTCCTCAAAGTTTCTATCCTACTGAGTGTCCTCTCTAGCAGCAACAAACCCCCAGAGACTTCTAGCTTACGGTCCCTTTGCTCTACCTGGAGAAAGGCGATACACGCCTCCGGGGACTTCTAACTTACGATCCCTCTCTCCGGTTTCGTCCTACGATGTTTATCTGGGACCTCAGTTACCACCTCGTTACGGCTAACATATTAAGGACGGCGTTTCTAAAGTTTGGATCCTTGCACGACTTTCAATACAACAGCATCTAAACCGACCTTTCCCGCAAGTTTATGACGGACGAAGCAATTTCACTACATCTTCAAGATTTCACTACATCTTCGAGTTTACATTACAGCAAGGATAACGACCTACTTGGCACTCAAAATCAACTATGTACAGGAGAAGGAGAAGGCGATACATGAACATAATATGATGATTTGTTGCGGGCAAGCTTTGATATATGGACATTAAGATTCCTTGTGACGATGAACAGGCATAATTGAAGCATTTAATGGGTTGGATTTCACTGTAACACTTAGAAATGGTTGGAAAATCATGTCAACTTCTGGAGATTTCATGTCATGTACTTGATATTAGGGGGAAGCGGCTTATGAAAGAGAGACAGGTGCTGTGCATCAATTTGAAAGTGACGGGGAGGCCGAATCTATTCCTGGATTGTTCCATTTTCTCCATGAAGAATGAGTACACTATGAAAGAAATTGTTGCTCGTAAGCAAGCTGGGCTTCCCCTCTCGCATTCCTATGCAGCTCAAACCACGAAGGCCATTGTTAGTGGCACGGTACAAGTCGGAGATTCTCATCTGCCTCCGAAGCCATCATACCAACAAGAGAGCTTATCTGAGAAGCTCGAAAGGGTGCAGCTTGAGAAGCTTCCTGCGACGCGTCCTAGAGACGAAGGGGAATGAGCTGGAAAACTTCTTGAACCGCGGCCTGGGGCCGAAGGAGCGCAAAAGCTTCCTGGGTTGCGGTCTGGAGGTGAAGGTATCTCGAAGCCCAATGCTGTAATGTTCTGCCCGAAACCTGAAGCTAGACCCTTCCATAGGAGAACCCCGGGTCTTTAATTGGCTCGAATTTGTCTTCAAGTGCAGGCTGGAACATCAACAGTTGCCTCAATGGCTCATTATAGGTTGCTGTCCACGAGCACACGATGCCATAGCGGTAACATAATTCACATCGATGAATATTACCCTCTCTGGTGCAGGCGCTGAGGCCTCGGCCTGAATCTCCGTTGATGATGCAAAAATCACAGCGTCTGTTATTGAGAGGTCGTTTCCCGGACTCGGGCCATGTATGGTCGATGTTTTGGGGAGTGGCACCTGCTTGACGTAGTTATTGCACGATGGTGTTCTTCGTGACTCGGGAAGGTGCTTGACCCTTGACTGAGCCAGTGAGATCCGTCGCTGTCATGGTTTGTTGTCAAATGTGATCTTCTTCACACGTGCAAGCCTCCCAGTATCAAGCTGCCAACTTTCTTGGAAATCTGGGATCGTCTCTCGCATGAAGAACCGTCTCAACGCCATGCACCGAGAATAGAACCGTGGACTGGCTTCTGCGTTCAACGTCGTCTTCGGATTGCTAAATTTGATGGTATTTCTCCATCCATGTATCAGCTTTCTGGTTGTACCACTGCGTCTTGACTGCGACACCTGCCGCGAGGTTGTGGTCTGACCAGGAAGCGATATTTAGTAGTCTGGCATCTCCCTTCGGATGTCTCTCACCATTGAGCATAATCTCGACCACAACATAAACTTCGTCATTCTCCTCTGGATAGTTGGCTGTACCAAGTAGTACTCGACTTAACGAAGCGACGAACTGCATATAACGAGTATTATATCCTGCCGCAGGCATAATAAGCATAACTCGTCCTTCCGTTCCCACTCCACAGGCAGTGCGACGAAAAGTGGCCATAGTAGCGGAATCGGTGCGTGAAAATATGGTAGAATCGATTCCGTGCTCGAATACAGGACTAGAGCTGTTCCATCCTCTGATGCAGCCGAAGTTGGGTCGTTTAGTTGCAGACGTCCACTTCGTCGTCCGACATGCTGCATCTGCAAGACCTGCGAGGAATTTCACGTGTACTTTGTCTAATACCTCCCATAAACGGTCGGTGGGTTTGGGTGATTGAAAGGCGTGTGCTGCATAGCTCCCGAATTGGAGAATGGTTGTGTTCTCAGCCAAGGTACGCGCGTTATCATCGTCCAGATCTCGGATCAGAGTGTACATCTTGTAGCTGCGTGCTTTGCCGGCAGCCTTATGAAAACGGGTATATTCTCGAGTTATGTCGCCTCTGTGGCTTAACTCTCTTTCGGCGAGATCGAAGGCTTTGCCAATGCGTATTTCAGGGCTCGCAGCCAGCGGAGCGAATGACTTGTTTGTACATCCCAGGTACATTGACGTTGTTCTGGTGCCGTACTTCTGTAAGGCTTGACTCGAGCTGATCTAAGGTGAAACCTTGTTGATTCAGCACTGCCAACCCGCCAGCTCTTCTTGCGCCTTCCTCAATTCGGGTTGTGAGTGTTGCACAATAATGGGTGCTTCTGACAAGAACCATGAGCTCTTCTCTGATATGGATCTTATCACCCTCTTGCCCAATAGCAGACAAAATTGAATAGACCGTCCGCGGATAGAGGTCTGAAGACACGTCAACACATTGTGCAATCGCAACAGCCAGCGGCGCAATTGGAAAAGAACCCTTGTGAGTGATGAGTCCGTAGATTGCTTGTCCGATGTTGATGTGATTCTTGTCCATTGGAATCCATCCTCTTGCCCCGGTACGCGAAATTGTGATGTAGACCATTTTCTTGTCCTGTGTGCGTTGCAAGATGCAGCCTTGGTCTCCAGCTCGTACCTCAATAGCGTTACTGTCGCCAGCCATCTGCGCCCGGCTAGGAGTCCAGGTCGTGTGGCAGACGTATCCTCGGTTTACTGGCCAAGGCGGATCATTCGGTCTGAAAGCAAGGGCGTGTTGTTCACCACCTCCAGAGCCCGGGCCGCTTCCACAAGCCTGACCACTGGGACCAGCATTGGAGAATGACAATGCACGTGGGTCTTCCATCGAACGTTGGCCGCGAGAAGGTTGCTGAGGCAATAGTGGTGAGTATGTTGGTGTGATGGGCGAATATCCGGAACGAACAGTACTGCCCGCGACCCTGAGGTGGTTGATTTTGACCTCTCCAGGGAGTCAGCTGGGGGTTGGAAGTAGAGCGAGGGGCTTGGTATTGCAAGACGGATTTGGACCATTACCGCCAGAAGCTTCGGGATTGGAAGTAGAACGAGATGCTTGAGGATTTTGAGGATTACGAGGAGAATTTGGACCACTTCCAAATTGGCTTTAACCTCCGCCGGTAGCCATCTGGGGATTGGCAGTAGAGCGCGGCATTTGAATATTGCGAGGGGAATTTAAGCTTCCATACTAGCTTGAGCAACTGGCAGGAGAAGCTTGAAGATTGGAAGTTGAACGAGATGATTGAGGGTTGACGGGAGAGTTTGTAGCGCTTCCGGGCTGACCTTGCCCTGTGCTAGCAGAGCCCTGGCGGCTCCCTCGAAAAGAGCGAGCATGGCCAGACATTATGAGTGCTTTTCTGGGAGCGAAGGGATTGTGGTCTTGAATGAGATAGCAAGAAGAACGGACGATGGGGGAGGACCAGCTTTAAGTAGCAAAAAGGTAGAAGATTGAATCTGGTGACAAGCTCGGCAGGATGCAGGTGAAGCGCCAAAGGCAGTGATATGATTGTGTTTGTGAAATATTGCATTTCACTGTAGGCTAAAACCTCTACCTTGCTTTACACGCAGGAAGGCAGAAATGATTGAGGGAAACAACTTAACAGACCAAGACCAAGCCATACTGGTTACAACCCAAGTGACAAGGAAGCATTCACGTACCATCAGGGAGAGCCCACATGAGCTCCCAAATTTCCTCAGGACGAGATTCCAAGTTGGAAGTCTACTACAGCATTCCGGATTGGAAGAGTGAACGAAAGGACGAGGTAGTGGTAGGGCGGTTGCAATGCGACCTTCATCCAATGTTTGCTGCGTTTATCAGCAGTTGTCTCCGTACTGTCACGGACCTACGCCTGCCCACAGCACCCGGCCACAGCGAGGCTGCACCTAGCCACAACGTGTCGCGGACCAGCAGACAACGAGGCTTCACGCCACGACGCGACACGTGACTGGCAGGAAGTGGCAGAACATTGACTTGGGTCTGATTGGTGCAAGATGAGGGCGCAGGTGAAATTCAGAGCAGTGCGATTAGCGGTTCTAGCGGCTTGGCTGTAATTGCGGGTGTGGTTGAATGGTTCACCCGGCAATCCTCCAAAAGCGTCGCATGCGCACGCCCGGGCGAGCTGGGCAGCTGGGCCACACCCCCAGGACCACTCCGTGTGCAACTCTCACATGCCTCGTGTTCTGACGCTCAACCGGAAGGTCCCCGAGAACAAGCTATCATTCCACCTCATTACTGAAGGGATCCTTCCCACTCTGGTAACCAAAGGGGGTTCCAATGACTTGCGTCTCGCCAACTCTTGGGCTAGGCACACGCTGAGGGCACCATATGCTTCATATTAGGCATGCATTAGCCCAGGACTTGCTGATGCCCTGATTCCAAAAATACCCGCTGGTACTCGTAGGAGGCCACCACCGAGGGACAGCATCCTCTCCGCCTCCAGTAATCAAGTGTCCGCGCCTAGGCCTGCCCCTTAAAAAACCCGCCCCGCAAAGCACGTAAATCCGCTAGTTCTCGGGTGGTGCACCAATGAAGCGACGGCTTACACATGCAAGTCTCAGGGCCAACGACGTCTAAACAACGTCCTCTTCTTACTGAGTACTGGGTCCTTTCCTCTTGTGCGCTGGTGCCCAGCTTCAGCTCTCGCGTTCCTAGCGTGCCTCGTGTTCTCTAAAATCAAGCCCCCAAACCCCCGAAAAGTCGACACCTTGCACTTTTGCACACCGTATCACGAACTTTACTGCTGCTTACCGTTCCGTTGACGGCGTCGATAATTTATCTGATTCTCCTTCTGTACCTTTTCTTCTCTACGCTCTTTTGACGCCGACCTTCTCGTTGTGCTTTTCTCATCAACCGCCACCGCAAGGCAGCTCGCACAATGGCCGCTAAACGCCAGTACGACATCATCCTGCTGGGAGCCACAGGCTACACCGGCAAGTTGACCGCCGAATACATCACTACCAACCTTCCCACCAGCATCAAATGGGCGGTCGCTGGACGAAACCAATCGAAATTGTCCGCCCTGGTCAACGAGCTGAAGTCGCTGAATTCTACACGTAGTACTCCCGACATCATCACGGTCGCCAACCTCACAACCCCTGACTTGACCCCTGTCGTCAAGAAGACCAAAGTCCTGCTCAACACTGTCGGACCATACCACCTGTACTCTACACCGGTTGTCGAGGCATGCGCGCAACAAGGAACTCACTATCTCGATGTCACCGGCGAAACGCCCTGGGTCCGCGACATGATCGTCAAGTATGAAGAAACCGCCAAGAAGACTGGAGCGATCATCATCCCCGAGGTGGGCGTCGAGTCAGCGCCTTCCGACCTTGTCGCCTACATCGCCACCCGCCTCATCCGCAAGGTCTGGGACTGCGGCGTTATGGACGTCGTCGCCTCGGTGCACGAGCTCAAGTCCTCGGGCCCTAGCGGCGGCACTCTAGCAACAGGCCTGGGCTTGGCGGACAACTACTCGGCCAAGCAGATGAAGGAATGCCTGACCAACCCGTTCGTGCTCTCGCCCACTCGCATCCGTCCTTATACCGAGAACACCATCTATCCACCAAACCCGGAGCCAAACACGTACCACCGCACGGGCATGCAGAAGTTGACCGGAGTCTGGAAGTACCCACGGCTGGGCCACCTCGCGACTTCCATCACCGCTAAGCCCAACGAAGCCATCGTCCACCGCTCGGCAGGTCTGACCCCGTACTTCTACGGCTTCAACTTCAGTTATGAGGAGTATATGGCGGTTGGTTCTCCCGTGGTGGGATTCCTGATCCACATTGCCATCTCATTGCTCGCTCTCCTCCTGGCCTTCCCACCGACGCGAGCGCTCATCAAAGCCTTCTCCAAACACTCGCCCGGCAGCGGCCCGTCCAAGGAGTCGACCAAGGGCGATGTTTTCGAGCTGCGCGCCGTGGCTGTGGCCGAGCAGCTCGCCAAACAGCCCCGCAAGGCGCTCGCCACGTTCCGTTGGGAAGGCGGCATCTATCACCTTACTGCAGTGCTATTGGCCGAGGCGGCGATGGTGGTTCTGACAAAGGAAGAAAAGGTCAAGAAGGACCACGGTGCAGGCATCTTGACACCCAGTTGCTTGGGAGACGATTACGTGGACAGGCTGGGCGATGCGGGTATCAAGATCAACGTGAAGCAGATTGGGGACGAGGGCAGCAAGTAAGGCAGGAATGATGGAAGGCGGGGCGTGGATGATGACTTGGTAAAACAGTCGTTGCAGATGCATAGAAGCAATGAAGGAATGGTTTACTCTCTGCACGGCATGGCCGTGATCGACAGCAGTGCACAGCCGGAAAGGAGTTGAGCCGATGACGAGGATGAGGTTTTCAAGGGGTCCGGTTACACTTTTGTTTTCTGCATAGGTTTTTCCCTGTATGTGTAGACTTCTTTGTCAACATCCAAGGCCAAACTGAAAATGATTCCGGTACAGCCCCTGTAGGTGCCTGTGTCAAGTGGCAACCAGGCTGTGCATGAATCCCAACTGCTCCCGAAACCAGAGTTTCGAACTGACACGAAACTCGTGGAAAGCGAGTTAGGACCATATATCTAGCTCTAGCCGTCAGGCACGTTGTGAAGTTATATGTGTTACTTGAGGCTTGCACGTCGCCTTCAGCCCTCATTCCTTTCACAGTCCAATACATTCTGGAGGCCTAGATATGCACCGCTTTCAAACGCTGAAGGTGTCGTCATTAGACCATCCTATTCCATGGTATCCATGTGGGTCGGTACCGGTCGAAGCAAGAAGCCCCAGGTGAAAGTACCCGGCACGCAGAGAATAGCACCGGTGCATCCATCTCCCACGGACACCTAATATTACTGTTTTTGTTGCTCGAACTGCTTCCTTCCTCATTCGGTCCTCGCTTCTACATATCTCCGGTATCTCGTAGAATCGCCCTCCCCGTGTTTCGTCCCTCTTTTCGGCCTCGAATTTCTTGCACCTCAAATGTAACTCACTTTGACGCCCATACCCATCGTCCCACGGAGTTTCTCCCACGCTCGTCCCACCACCCTTTTGGCCTTCTCTCTTATATGCTTTTGACCCGCCACCACCACAAACATGAGCACAAAAAGTAGGAATCTCAGCATCGCAGTCGGGTTCTTCTGCAGCGTAGTGGCCATGTTTCTTGCTAGATTTGACAGCGCCTGAAAGAGGGCACGGGCTTGTGCTGCAAGGGTGTTCTGGGAGGAGGTGGATTTGGAGGGTTTCCGTTGAGCTGGACGACGGGGGGTTTGGGCAGGAGGCGAGAGGTGGGCCCGCGTGGGTGTCGCGGCGGTAGCTGGGGGCGATTTGGGTGTCACGGTCGGTTGGGGGATCTTGGGACTCGCTATAGGCTGGGTTGATGGCTTCTCCGGCTTCAAGGGCGCATTTGCGTGGGTGCCGCCGTTCGGATGTGCTCGTTCAATGCCGTAGTCGACCTCACTACTCGTCCGTTGATGTTTTGACGTCGTCTTCGATGACTGAGACTTCTGTTCGGGACTAGTTGGTGTTTCTTCTGCTGGATGTTCCTCCGTATCTTCGAAGACGTCCTCCTGCCCGTCTCCCATATCGATGGATTCACGTCTGGTCACATCCTGCAACTCCTCTAGCGTCTGCAAGAACGCATCTCTCCTCTCTTCGTCTAAGATATCACTATTCTGAATGAAGCTTCGCGCGTAGTCCCACTCGCTGTTCCTCGGTAGAACGTGCAGGGTGAAGATCTCCAGTACTTTTATCCGACTGGTAAGGTCTTTGGGAGTGTTTGTGCCGTTTAAACCGGTTGATGATTGCTGGCCATTGGAGAGGGCACGGTCTAGGTGCGTGGAGAGATCGAGTTTGCCGACTTCGAGGGTCGGGTGCGCCGAGGAGGAGAAATAAGTCTCTAGGCGGGATTGGTTGAGTTGTTGGTTCGGGGCCTGGCCCAAGAGGAGGTTTGATCTCATGTAACGTTAGCATAAGCAAAGTATAGCCTATAGTAGACGGATCATTACAGATTATAGACCACCTCGGCGTCGACGGAGCCTTCTCGGCCCTGGTAGCCAGCCCTCACGACTTGCTCCCATATATCACCATTTTGAACTTGTCTCTTGATCTCTCTGTACTCTTTCGAGCCAAAGGTCTCCCTACCTTCCGCGTCCCCCAGGTCCACAATCGAGTTCAGTAGTGTCACATACAAGCTCCAGATCTTGATGCGCTGGCTCGTGGTTGCGGTCGCTATAGGTGCCAACGCAGGACTGTCGTCCGGCCTCGATTGACTTGGCGGTGTTATCACGGGTTGCAACGCTTCATAGGATTCTAGTAGTCGGCGCGTAAGGAACAATTGCGAAGCATGCTTATAGACCTTGGAGATCTCGGATGACGTCCGTTTGCTGGACTGATTCAGTGAGGAGACGGAAGAGGAGAGGTCGCGAGAGCTGGACTGAGAATCTGTGCCTATTGACATGGCGCCCAAGCTAACAGCACAGGAACGTAAACCGAGAGAGGCGACAAGCAAGCAAAAGAGCAATAACTTCAGTACACTGATGCGGTGAGTAGAAGGAGCAGCAGCAACAGGTTGGGGATGTGTGAGGAGAATGCACTCCAGTTTCGTCACAATGTGCCAAATTGAACTCGCTTCAACCTCGGCTTCCTTCCTCACCAACAGCCTTGCCAGCAATGCAGCCAGTCAGGTTTGAGGATGCTCGCAGATATCGTCAATATCAAACATAGTCAAAGCAAGCAAACGACAGCCAAGAAGCACAGATGTTGCAGGTTGTGCAAGAGCTGCGCAAGAGCTGCGCAAATGTCGCCTTCTCAGCGGCCGATGAAGCCGGCCCTCCTCGAATGGGCTGTCACTGCTCTGTCAAATGCAAGATGCCCTCTCGAGTTGCATTCGCTTGCAATTTGTTCACAATCAACTTCCAAAACTCAGCGTCCTGCTCCCATCTTGGCATCAGCCTCCCTTCTTTGACCCATTCTGCAATCCTCTGTCGCTCGTTGGTCTCCGGTTCTTCCGCTGGCATATTCTCTGGTTCGTCATCGAGGATGTCAAAGATATTCCTCTTCTTCGATATCGTTCGTAGTTTCTGAAGTTCGTTCCTCGTGATATGTGTTGCTTGAGCTTTCTCTTTCGTCGCAACGACTGTCCCAGTCGGTGGTATGACGGATGCAGGGATAAGCAGAGTGGACTTTTTAACAGAAGCTATGCTCGGTTTTTCCTCGGTGACTGGGCTCGGCGCTCCAGACAGAAGGGATCTGACTGTGGTAACCGGGGCTCTGATCATCTCCACGATGCTTTTCTTGGTACCCTGCTGTTGGTCTATCTCATCGGCAGGAGACTGGAGGGAACTGACTGGCCTACCCTCCTCGTGCCGAACCTCTGTCTTCCGTTCTAGGGCTGGCACAGACCCTTCGACCAATGATTTGACGTCTTGAGGACCTCGTCGCAGTTTGCCAGGCATCTTCAGCCCGATCTTGGCTGTCACAAAACTGTCGAAGCCTGCCTCATGATAGTTCGCCGCATAGAGGTATCGATCGAAGGTCGGGGGTAGGTGAACCTGGGGCAGTCCAACTGAACTGAGCTCGTCTTCAACAGATCTCAAGGAGGTATCCGCCCATCGCTTGTTCCCAAGGCCAGCCACAAATTTTGTATCCATGATAACAGGAAACAGCTTGTGCAGATTGGCGCTGAAATCTCTCAGTTTCTCCGGCAGGTCCTCGACGAAGCAGCGATATAGATTGATAACGTCCGTCAGGCAGTTGTGGCCGACCAGGGCTCTAGTCTGGCCTTTTAAATCCTTCTGAAGATTATCTAGAAAGCCCTGTACATCTTTCGGCTTGTCCTCCGGAGAATGCGCTGCAACAACATAGTGGTGCGGCAGCTTAGAGATGTCACCACCCATAATGGCCTCCAAGACCCACCGAAAGCCTACGGCGTTGGCAATCTCGAGCTCACGTCTCTGCTCGCGGACTTCTTTTTCGTTGGCTTGCTGCTCACTTGTGGGGTTGGTGATCTGCACAAACTGGCCCATGCCCTGGGTTTTGAGGTTGGGGTACTCGTTTCTGATAGTCTGGTGGGTAAGGCGAACCTGATATCGATTGAGCGTGGAAGGTACTGGCTCTTTGGCATCTTCGGCAGGGATGTTGAGATAAGGTTCTTGCTCCTCCTTTGGCAGGGCCTGCCAGTCATTTACTGACTTCTTGATATGATCCACGAGGAAAGAATCGTCGTCTTTGAGTTGCATGTCAGGGATTCTAGACCTGACTTGCTCTTCTTCAACTAACTTGCTTCGGACTTGAGCTTCCTCCTGCCGCGAGAGATAGTGAACCCCTTGGGTAAACGGTTTGTCCATGTCAAAGCCATTCCGCATGAGAAACGAGACAGCTGTAAGAGTTAGCAGAAGAATACAGATCGTGATGTGAGGGAACTTGCCGCCACTGTTGTAAGACCAAATTCGCGTGAAGACCGATTCTTTCGTTGTCGGTAGCGGATTGAGATGAAAGTTGTAAGGTCGGGCCTCATAGCGACCTGTTGAGGTTAATTTGGTCCTTTGGCAAATGTCTCTGGACAGCTGTAAATCACTGGCAGTGTCGATAATAAAAAGCCCCGGACTAATGATTCATGAAACCTTCTCGCGATAAAGTGTACACGCTCCATTCTTGTTCACCTTCACCAGACATACCTTTTTCAGTATCCTCGGTGACGATAGTCAAGCCAACCTGTAGAATTTGATAGATCTGGGCAGCAGCTCTCAAATCCGAGTAGTATTCCTGTAGGCTCAGCCGGTTTGCACCGCCGGCAGCCCTCCTCCCAGCAACGCCGGAGAACTCGAGATCAAAAGCAATGAAACGGCTGTTGGCAATATGTTGGATGATTTTGACGACCTCGGAAGGGAAACTACCACTGTTGACGTCCATGGCGCATGGGCATCTGTGATCAGGCGGCGAGAGCAAAGGCCGCTCTGTTCTGAACGGTAGACATTGAAGTCTGCCCGGCAGACCCAATAAGCGACGGAGGAAAGAGGTCATCCAAGGTAGGGAGGAAGCACAGAGGAATGAATATTATAGCGTCAACTCCATTTGAAATGGTAGTAGAGAAGAAATTAAAGGTCCAAGAATGTTCGGATTGCCTTCTCGGTTGCCCTCAAAATGTGAGCATCATCAAACGCAACATCAACAAACGAACAAACGACCCAGTGACTTCACGCGGCATCAGTAAACTCGTCCTGTCACACCAAGATTGACTTCTGGCTACCTCAAAGGCAACAGTACCTGGATACTTTGATTAGCATGAGTAGAAAACGTGCTGTCTATGTAGAGGAAGTCGCGTGCTCATGGTGCTCGGCGTGGCCACTCAGCCGCGTCGACGCCAGTCTCGAAGTTTGTGGGGGAAAATTACGGACACTTCCATCTCGAACCCCGCGATGATTCACAATTCATTGAGCATTCTTGAATCACGTCTTTATACACAAACTCTGGCACTCCTCTCCGAGTCCCTGGTCGCCCTTCTCCCGTCGCCGAAGATAATGCTTCGGTAGCTGAACGCCTACTCCCTCCTGCATTCAGCGGCATGGCCGCTCTACTTCCCTCGAGCCTCTCGTCGCTTCTGAAGAAATCCTCCCTCGACGATCATGAGCAAATCCTTTCGGAATGCGACAAAGTCCTAAAGTCAGCCAGAGGATCTGACCTTGAAATGCAACATGTTAAACTGGTTGCGCTTCTCAAGCTTGACCGCTACGAGGAGGCTGCGAAGTTCTTCGAAAACAACATCGGGGCCGACCTGCGCAAGAAGGTCGAGCTGGAATACGCCTATGCATTGTATAAGACTGGTCGATTAAAAGAGGCAGCTGATTTGTCGGCCTCCTTGAAGAGTAGAGGAGCAGACCATGTTGAGGCGCAGTCCAGGTATCGTCTCGAAGAATCGATAAGAACGTCTGAACTATACAAACGCATACGGAGCCAGAAATTGGATGCTGAGGAGTTTGACCTGCGAGTAAATCAAGGTGCGATAGATGCGCAGGCGCAGTGGCTTGGTCATCTGAACTCGGGTTCGATCCGCAGACCTGGAAGAGAAGACTTGGAGGCTTTCGAAACTGCTTACAATGCCGCCTGTGGGTGTATTGCCAGAGGAGAATATGCGCAGGCCGAAATGCTACTCAAGCGCGCCAAAGAACTGTGCAAGCACTCAGAAGACCTCACAGACCAGCAAAAGGCAGAAGAGCTTCTGCCCATCTCCGTCCAACAGCTGTTCGTGCTGCAGTCGCAGGGAAAGATGCTCGAAGCAGAGACACTTGCGGGCGAGGTCAACGTCCAGGAAGCCTCAGACATCTCGACTCGCAAAGTCGGGCTGAACAACGTTCTGCTGACAGGCCCCTTGATCAACCCGTTCCTTGCACATAGGACATTTCATTCGACTCCTAAAATACCACAAAATGACAGGCTCTTCACCTACCAAAGTATACCCCTGGAGTCCAACAAAAGCACTATCGATCTACAGACGTTCAAGTATGACGGTGTCATGTCTTCCAATGCAAAGGCTCTCAAGGTACATTCTGTTCCCTCGTTATCTCCAGAGGTCCTTCTGGCTTCCTACTTCAACACAGCAGCCCATGCGAAGAATGAAAGTGGTAAAGCGGCCATCAGGAACGTATTACCGGAACTGGAGAAACGGCCCAACGACATCGGACTGATCGTTACACTCGTTCAAATGTACGTCATCAATGGAGATGTAACCTCAGCTGTTGAATTGGTGGAACAGTTCTTCAAGCGGTTAGATGATTCGATGGCCGATGCTGGGGACGATATTCGCTTCAACCCTATGCTTGTGAGTCTTTTGACCAGCTTATACACACACAGGGGTCAGAAGGGTGGCGTCAAGCACGAACTGGCCAAGGCCGCCGCGTACTGGCGAACTAAGCCTAATGCTCCCACCACCTTACTCACCGCAGCAGGTGTCTCACTATTGGAGTCCCAAAACCAGGAGGATGCCGAACTCGCTTCGGCCATCTTCAGTAAACTTCGGGAGCAGCAGCCGGAGGACAAAGCTACGGTCGCCGGTTACGTGGCGTCACATGCCCAAGATGACGAGGCTGTGTCTGGGCCCGATGCCGATAAGCTGACTTCCACATCCGAGCTCGTTCGGAACATCAATATCGATGCCTTGGAGAACAGAGGAATTCCGCAATCCTCAAATGCCCTCACGAAAGCACAATTGGGGCCAGCGAAAAGACGGGCTGCAGCAGAGGGTGGCGATCCGAAACCCAAACGTATTCGGAAGTCGAGATTACCCAAAGATTATGACGAAAACAAAAAGCCCGACCCCGAACGTTGGCTTCCGATGAGAGACAGAAGTTACTACCGACCGCCCAAAGGCAAGAAGAAGGGCAAACGGGATGACCGAACCCAGGGTGGTGCCGTGGATGAGTCCTTGAACGTTGATGCAAAGTCCGCCGCGGTGACTGTTTCTACAGGGACTGGAGGCGGTGCTAACAAAAAGAAGAAGGGCAAGGGCAAGAAATGAGAAAGGGCCAGCCGCGTCTGCCAAGAGTATGCGTTGCGCTGCACGGTCTCAGTCCAGAGTGCCGCAACACTAGTGCTCTCTGTTCATGGTGTGAGTGTTCCCTGGAGAATCTAAGCTTCGGCAAGGGTCCTCAAGACAGCCTTGTCCTGCCACTCCGCGATATTCGAGAATCGACATCAGTCGAAACTATCTGGTACGAGGATCTCCGTACTGTGGTGGCGGTCTCCAGAGCGTAGTTCGAGCGTACCCATATCGTCCGAGGTACTGCAAGAGACGGTGGCAATCACTTCAGCTCGCAATACGCGGGAATCTGACACTTGTCAAAGTAAACTTCGAGATGTGACCAAGCTCGTGACCATGACCTCACAAGAGCCTCGGCAATCAAAGTGACAGCTTCCAATCGACAAGGGCAAGCTGGGCGGCTCTCTGTCTGTGCGGTGATGGTGGCGGGAATACCCAACAAATCAAGGCGCTGCAATTGAGCAAGCGTGCGAGAAACGAAAAAGTAAAATCTGAAGGGCGATGGTCAATGCATAATTGGCTTTCCGGCCTGTCAACCACATCTCTGACTTTCTTCTTCCTTTGATGACATCGCTCTTATCCTTTAGGGCTCGACAACGAGCCTCGTGCACAGCTTCGAGCATGATGCCTCGAATCTTCTCGACCCCTGTCTAGCTTGTCTGCAACCGCCTAACTCGTTCTCCGGCATAATCAGGGCACGACGGGGAGGACGGGCCACCCCGTCAGCTCCCATGTAACCCAGCTAAGCCGAACTCTTAGGCGGCCCGCAATGCCCCTCCACGCCTCTCTGCGCAACGATCAATGGCATTCAATGGAGTCTGAAAGACAACTGAATGTCAGAGCCACCGAGGACGCCGCGGTTACTCAAGCCTGTGCCAGGTCAAGGCCTCCTAAGCATGCCCTCGCCCCGGGGTGGTACTCGTACGCCTGGCATGCATGGCTAATCACCACGGGGCGTCAACTTTGGTGATGCTGACTGCGATGCACTTCCATGCGCCTCCCAGTCGGTCATGAGGACACTCTTTTATCTGCAATCACCTTCCCTCCAAGACATGTGTTCCGGCCACTTCAACCTCGTACGTCTGTCGCCGCTCTATCACTGTGATTGACGTTCGCTAGTTCCTGCCCTTGCGATCGGTGTGTGGTACCGGCAGTCCATCTGATCCAACTTCCGGAAGCATTCTCGGGCCCTTGTCTGCCCACTGCCCCGGTACTGCTGATACTGGCAGGCGGTGATATGCCGCATGATTGGCCAGCCACAGTCGCTCCGCCGCTGCGTGGCAACTATCGTCCGACGACTAACCTTCATCTAACCCACAAGCAAGGTCTTTTATTCAGCCCTCGGCTCACGCGTGTATGCGCTTAGGGCTAGCTTACCTTGAGGCATAACCTTTCCTGCCGGTCCGCCATGGACCGCGAAATCCGTGGAAGGCCCCTGATTTGTCCAAGAGCTACTCCGTACCTCAGGAGCCTCTGACGCTGGCCAGTCGCTCGTTGGCCACCTCCATCCGACGTCTCGACCTTTGTTCCCACCTTTATGGCTGATGACCTCGCGACAAGTTCTTGAATGCTAAAGACAGCTGTTTGAGCAAGCGATACCACCCTCCCTGCCTGGTGTTGCAAGCTTTTAAGTTGTTCTGCTTCCCCCTGCATTGTCTGGATGCAGTACTGCCTTATCCCTGTCTTCTTTCTTCTGAGCCCTCTCTCTCGGCTGCCGTTGTCGACGACAGCCGAGATTTACTCCTTAGATGCTTATACTCGACGATTCGCTTGAAGCTGTCACTTTCACTTAGGTTATCTAAGCTTTGGCGGTGCAACAGCTACGGCCGCCGGACGTCATCGCATGAACGAAGGAGAAAGTCCCAGCCGGTCCAGATGCCAGGTCTTTTCTTGATAACACCTCTAAAAACACACAGCCAGAAGTTTCAAGCGGCCCCACAACGAAGTCATCTGCCTGTGCACGGTTACTACACGGTATGGAGCTCGCAGACGAGGACTTTGTGGCGGTGAATGTTCCGACAACGTTTGAGCAACCAGACAACATCCACGAGTATTTCTCGCTGCAAGCGCCACCCAACACAAGCATTTGGCGGAAGCCTTCAGCATCCGATGACACCACGGCACCGATGATTTTGAAGCGCCTACGACAATCATTCATTCTGGCGGAGGTCACTGTCTCCGCTGCACTGTCGGAGGAGTTCGACCAGGCTGGGATTGTCATTTTCGCTGGGTCATTGCCGGATCCAACGCTGTCACCATTGCCGATCGCGACGCGTCGAATCTCACGCCACCCGAGACGAGGGAGTGAGGCTAGGGCCACAGGACGATGGGCCAAAGCCGGCCTCGAGCTAATCGAGGGAGAGCTACATGCTGCCTCAGTGGTGGCCGTTTCACCTTGCGGTGCAGACTGGACGTCGTCGGCCCGCTTGCCCTTGCCTCTTATGCCGTTTGGGTCTTATTCACTCGCGTCGCAATCTCTTCGCGTGAAATTGGAGCGAGTTGATCAATCTCTGTGGATATGGTACAAAATCCCAGAGAGCTCGACATCATTCGAGCCGCAGTATTCCTATACAGACTCGTATATGCGGCAACGAAACCCAGAAGATGTCGCGACGGGATGGAGAAAGATGCGCGAGATTATGGGCTTCTTTGCTGGTGGCTTCGAGCACCAGAAGGGGAGTGTCTGGGTCGGATGCTATGCGAGTCGGCCTATGGAATTCGAACCGAGGCATAGCTGGGAAGAGCCTTACGGATTGTTGGCAGAGTTTGAAGATCTGGATATTTTATGATTTGCGGGATGGAATTATTGGGCCGTGGTGTGAGTGGGTGTGCAGGCCATAGAAGTCAAGATCATGGCACGGGCCTGTCGCACCGTTCTTTCCTCGAGTGGACAGAATGTAGCTTACCCAGTTTTGGCGCTCTGGGTTTGCGATCAGCTGGGTCCAATGGCGTTCTTGCAGAATAGGCAATACCTCCGGCACTATGAAACGGTCATGTTCAGAGAAGGAGTTTGAGATGAGAAATAGAAGACGGTAGCGGGACGGGTTGACCTCTTCCACCACGGTTAATGGGATGGAGAAGAGCGACAACGGAATGGAACATCAGGAAACTCACCAAAAAGTCCAGACGACTCCGCAACCGTGGTCTTTGCTGGTAGCACCAAACTTTCCGCTGTGCAATTGCGCTCGGAAATGGAAGATTCAGGTGGTCGGCAGTTACGGAGAAGCCGTCCGATCATCTATCAACTGAGAAGCGCGGCGAGCTGAGCCCCGGGATTCGCATCGAAAAGATCTCGCGACGTGGACAGTCAGATTACTCGACGGAAACAGAAGCGAGGGACTCTGAGCAAGTTTTCTTGGACGCAGTGTCACCCATTCACACAGACTTTGATAGAGCATCTACCAGGTATGAAACAGGCTGATCTTGGAGCCTTGCAACGTCAAAGGCAAGTGGCCTTTGCGGCTATCTACTTTGCAGTCGCTTGCCACCGAATGCCCCAAGTCCACACCGGAGCTTCTCGTTCGGGCAGGACGCGTTTCGGGTCCTCGAATGGCTCTACAGCAGCTCTTGAGATGTTCCCTACCCGCCTCGTTCATTGGGGGCTTTGGCTTTCCCCGGCTCTGCTGTTGCTCGTGTTTCTGTGGTCCCATTGTCATTCGTGATGGAGGTGTTGAAATCTTCGACACGGCGAGCGACGAAAAGTAACCCCTGAAGGGCGGCCTCGAGTTCAGCTTAGGAGCTCTCTAAAACCCTTCTTGTTTACCATCCGTGAGCACTGTATTTTGCCCTGTCTGTAGCCTTCACGGTGTCCAATCGCATGCTGACTATAGTCAGTGTCTAAAGTCATGGTAAGAAAGGAAGAATGGAGAAGTGAAGAGTGGGTGAGTGGAGAGTGGCATTTACCGTGTAAGCGGGTAGACGCGCCGGACAAATCTCGGAGACGCGCATCACAACATACTTCCTCATCTGTCTCCCGCGAAGCAAGGATTGACACCACTGGCCCTCATCCATTGTACATGTTCAAATGGAGTCGCACAGTCTTGAGCGAGCATCGCAGTATCTCAATAACATTCTACTCGCACGGGGTCTCCTTACCAATGGCAAACCCATCGACTTTGCCCGCTCCGATCGCCATGGTTCCATCACAGATACGACGATGTCCCGAGTCATCAACCTGGTCCATGACCTCGTCATACGGCGAGACCAGGACGCCGAGCAACGAGAGATCCTCGCTACCCACATTCGCCAAGCACGCGCTGATGACTCGCAGCGCGCCATCGACCTCCAGAGGCTACAGGACAAGAACACGGAGTTGGCTCGAGCCGCAGCCGCGGCTGAATCACAAGAGCGCGTCTTGAAAGCTCACGTGCGCCATGCGGAGGCTCAAGCAAAGGAGCTTAAGGAGCAGATGTTGAGAATGAAGTCTACTCTAGACCAGGTCCGAGCCAAATGTCTAAGCGACGTGCGTAAGCGAGACACCGAGTTGGACAAACTGAAGGCCCACATGGCGGGGATGCAGCGCGGCAAGAAAGAGTCGAGTGGCATGAAGATCAACACGATAAACTGGGAGCCGGAACCCCACGGTCGAGAAAGACGTAACGGGCAGGCCGTAGACAGATCGGAATGGAGCTTGGAGCAGGAGAGCAACGATTTCCTTGCCGCACTGGTCAACGAGATGAGTACGGAAAACGTGTCGCTCAGACGAATCATCACAGAGACCGCGGAAATGCTGCGCGAGTTGACGGGGCTGGAGGGGCACCGGCCCGGTGGTGAAGAATCAGAACAGGATGCGGAGGAGGACGGCATAGGCATGCCGGGTCAATACCGCAAATCGAGGCAGAAGGCCGCCCAAGCACAACAACAAGCTCAAGCTCAAGCTCAAGCCGAAGCCGAAGCCCAAAACCTCACGTCCTGCAACGAGCTAGCGCAGCAAATGGCAGGTATTCTGGAACACTGCCGGTCTATCCTCAAGGATCCCTCATTCGTCCCCATCGAAGAACTCCAGATTCGTGACGAAGAAATCATCAAGCTACGAGTGGGGTGGGAGAAGATGGCAAGCAGGTGGAAGGAGGCGGTGACTATGATGGACAACTGGCGCAAGCACGTGGACGAGAGTGGACAAGAGTTCTCGAAAGAGGATCTTTCCAGGTTGGAGTTTGGTAAAAGCATTGCCTTGCTGCCTAATGGACAGCCTGTCTTTGGTCAAGATGAGGAACTGTCGTCAATATTTCACGAGAACAGCAGACTGGAAGAAGAGCCAGACGAAGAAGACCTGGAGCAAGAACTCCCGGCCGACGATCAAGGAGGTGTTCAATACCCTAAACTGCCGGACAACGATAAAATCGACATAAAATCTCATCGTCGGGATCCAGACGGCCCTCCCACGGCAGGTCGCTCACCAAAACGCCGCGCATCCCTGGCACGAAGAGCAGGACTTAATATAGGGAAGCCCATACGCCCGCTGCAGCCTGTTGGCTTGGACCGCCTCAATAAGTCACCTAACCATGGGCTGGCCTCGACAAGCACGAACTCGTCATCAAGGCAGAGCGCGCAGTCGGGCGCGAGAAGTTCAGACAGCGCTATAGGCATGGACGGAGACCGCCCAGATGAGGATGATGACGACGAGGTATGGCGTGACGAGAACTTGACCAAGTCGCGGATTCCGAGAAAGGTCAGTAAGACGCTCACGGAGATATGTCGCAACGCTAATGCAAAAATAGACGATGAAGCAACGAGAACCCCCGCTGTCCATATCTGAAAAGCTCGCAGCGGTTGAGGCCGAGGCGTTGCAAGCCCGGAGGCAACCACCATCCGCTCACATGGAGCCTGGCCGGAAACGAAAGCACGCCAATGCCAACGGCGCGAAGACAAGGAAAGCATACAGAAGGCGGAGCACACTCAGCCCTGAGGAGTTGGCTGAGCTGATGGGCATTGAATAGACTTGTACGGTTTCCACAACCCCACGACCATCGGACAGCGCGAGGTTGGATCTCGCATAGGTCGCTGGTGCAATGAGCTAATAAGTCCACATGGCCTTCTTTTCTTCAACAAGTCTTAAACACATCGTCGCTCTCCCTTCGTACCTCTTCTCTCATACTTAGGTCCGCCCCTCGGGAGAGATTCGAGCTCTCTGAGAACTCATCTTGGAATCGCCCCACATGAGAACGTCTTGATGTCCTCCTCAGACCCAGGAGGAATGAGTCAAGACGGCTCTACAGGCGGCTTTCATTCAGATTCTTCTCGTTCACCAGCACAATGCGATACCGTGCCTTGCCCTCTTCCATGTCCACGATGGCCCGGTTCGCCTCCTTCATTGGGTAGTTGTTGTTCCACGTCCAGACCTTCTTCTCCGCGAACAGATCCAGCATCTCGCGGATTTCCTTGGGGCTGCCGATGCCGCTACCCGTAATCTTGATCTTCTTGGAGAGCAGAGAGAAGGCGTTGAAGGAAGGAATGTTGTCCTCGGGCGCGCCGATCTGGACGAATGTCCCACCCACACGGAGGAGCTGTAGGTATCGTGCCAGTGGCATTTTCGGAGAAGAGACAGTGCACACGATCAGATCGAGACTCTGGCGGTGCTTGCGGTGCCAATCCTTATCCTCGTCCGTGGCTATGAAGTCGTCGGCACCCATTGTGAGGGCATCGGCCTTCTTGGAGCTCCTCCGGCTGATGGCGACCAGTTTGTCCACGTTGAGGGCTTTGGCGCCCATCACCCCGAAATGCCCAAGTCCTCCTAAACCGACAATCCCAACACGCGTGCCTGGGCCGGCACCGTACTGTGTCAATGGTGAGAAGGCCGTGATCCCTCCACAAAGCATCGGGGCAGCGATGTCGCTCGGGATCGCGTCCGGGATCTTGAAGACAAAGTGGCTGTGTCCGCGCCAGTAGTCGGCATACCCGCCATATGACTTGCTCCCGTCCGGCCACTTCGAGTTGTACGTCCCCGTCTGCTTGACCTGGCAATAGTTCTCTTGGTCGTGCGAGCATTCCTCGCAATCAGGTCGCAGACATGAGCCGCTCTGGGCACCGACTCCGACGCGATCGCCGACTTTGATCCCGTTCTCGACTTTGCTGCCGACGCGGACGGCAGTACCGACGATCTCATGCCCCACGCAGACAGGGTAGAGCGATTGGCCCCAGCCAGAACGCAACGTGTGGAGATCGCTGCCGCAGATGCCGCAGTGGGTGATTTTAATGTCAACGTCGCTTTCCTCGAAGGGTTTGGCAGTGTAGCTTTGCCAAACCATGTTGCCCTGGGCGGAGGTTTTGTCTAGGCCCATCCAGCCCTGGAAGGTGTAATTGGAGCCCATTGTGACGCCTCGACGATAACGAAGATTGAATCGGATTGGGGACAGCGGCGAACAGCCAAAAAGCCTCAAGAAATATATGGGGTAGAGTCAAAGGAGGGATAGCAGAACGGAAGCTTTGGTCTATCAAAATGATCGACGACTCTTGAACCTTGTAGTTGGTGGCATCTGTCCGTGCCTCAACCGAGGTACAAAGTTATGGCCTTCCGAATAGAGATGGGATAGTAACAAACCAACCTCGCTCAAAGATGGTATACTGGACTCAACTGAAAGGTCGGAGCTGTGTCGTCGGAGCTGATAATACTCATTTCAGTAGCATGCGCCCTCCATTCATACGGGGGGTTATTTCCGCGTGCGGACCAAATACTAGGAGCTGCACCTGATATCTGGACAGCTGTCAGGTCGGTCATGGACCCCATGCCCGCAGCCAAAGGATACCCGAGGCAGACTTGAGAGACAAAGGCCATCGGACCTGGAGGACATCCAGCAACATGAAGACCGGGATATGGCAATGGAGAAGCAGTTACCTCGTAATTAGTGGCATCTGGTGGCAGGAGTGGTAGGAGATCGAGGTGGATGACTAAGCAGCCTCAGCCTTGCAAGCTCAGCCTTGTGCGCGTGACGCGCTCTAAACATTTGGGGGATTCAACATTGCCGCATTGTGAACAATACATCGTCGCTGCAGCTGCTCCAGTGCTCAAACGAATGGCGCTGAGTTGGTCCTGCACCCATCGCAATGAATAGGTTTACAGCGGACTTCTCGTCCAGCGTTGATTCGACGCCAGGCAAACAACAACCGTCGCGAGGATTTCTGTCATCGAACCCGCCTCAATTAGCCAGCACAACCCCTGTCGCTCCTCCTCCATCTCAGATATTCGGTAGCTCAGCATTTGGGACGGGCGTCAGCAAGTTGCAATTCACAAAACCCACCGAAAATTCTCCGCCACCGGCGTCTCTCGGATCCCACCTCCCTCCGAGAACCAAGAATGGCACCCCCAACATCGCACGGGTTAGGCGAGGCTATGGTCTCGGGAAGGCAAATGAATATGAAGAGGATGACGAACAAGCCATGGAAGAGGATGCGCACGACGGAGGAACCAATCCACACTCACCTCGCCGCGGGTTTCAATCGATTACTGGACCTAACAATGCATCTCTGATGAACTTCAGCACCGCCAGCGCCCGGGACTCACGGGTATCTGCACCGCGCAAATCATTTCGCAGCTCTACAAGGCTCTCTGCTCTCCCGCACAAGGGAAACGATGCGGTGGTACTGAACCTGGCCAGAGATATGGGAGCTAGGGCACAACAAGCATCTCTTACCGAACCAGACGAGCTCATCCTTGAGACGGAACAAATCCTGCGTTCTCTCGACCAGCAGTCGCAATACCTTAAAGACAGCACAAAAGCGCTGGACATCATCTCAGAACATGCATACGATTTGATCAAGGAATGGCAACGCTTCGTCCAGCCTGACCGACCTTCCCTGGATAGCAACGACATTGGTCCGCAGCCTACAGCCCCTGCGTTTGCAAAGGCAAACTATCTGGCTTCTTTAATGCTCGTTTTGCGACATCCTCCTCCCTCAATGGATGATACGATTACTCCCACTCCGCAGGTCTTGCTCGACTGGCTCGACCAATATCACGTCTCGTACGACCAAATGTACAAAGCAGTCGCCTCCGCGCGGCCTAATTGCACCTCTCACGAGCTCTTCTGGGACGCCGTCCTCAGTCTGACACTGCGGGGAAAGCTCCAGCAAGTAATGCAGCTCTTTGCGGACGCGGATTTTAAATATGCTGCTTCTGCTGCCGACGATGGACACGATAATGACGGATACAAAGGAGCTCAACTGCAAACAATCCAGGGCGTCATCTATCGAGCTCGGCAACTGCTAAATTCATGCCCTGCAACCCAGTTCGGCGACTGGAATGTGGCAGGTCCTGACTGGGATGTCTTCCGCACCTCCGTCGAAGCCGCGCTCGAAAACCTCACCGACGAAGCTACCGCTCAAGATGATGACGGTTTTTCAGCAGAGAATTTCGGTCTTCGCAGACCTGAGACTCGCCTCCTCGGTAGATTAGGTCAAAAGTCCTCAAACACTCTCCCCTGGACGATCTTCCAGAACCTCAAGATCCTCTACAACATTCTGCTGGGTTCGGCTGAAGAAATATCAGCCCAATCGCAAGATTGGCTTGAAGCAACGACATCTTTGACTATATGGTGGGACGGGACTGCCGACGCGACTGCGGTCGCACAATGGAGTTTCGACGTCAGCCGGTCGAATAATCTGGCTGTTCAAGACGAAGACTTAAATCCCTACCTTGGAAGACTGCGAGCCTCGTTTCTTTGTGTGACCGCTCCGGATGATAAGAATTCTTTCCAGATCAACGGGATGTCACCTGTCGAGGTTGGGCTAGGTTGCATCCTGCAAGGGAGTAGCCAAGGCGCGTTGACCGTGCTGCGAACGCTATCACAATGCATGGCTTCTTCCGTGGCTGAGATTGGCTCCAAAGCAGGCTGGTTAGAAGACGACACCACGTCTCGTCCCGCAGGTCTAAACGAAGAAGACCTCATGGTTCTCAGCTACGGCGCGTCCAAAGCGGGCGTCTCCAAGGACGATCTCCTCGTTTCCTACGCGGGAAAGCTGTTTGAGAAAGATACCCTCCACCTGCCTGACGGATCCGGCGTTGAGGGGTGGGAAGTTTCCATCTCCCTCGTCACGCGCCTGGACGACCGAGAAGTCATGCGCACGGCAGTCTCAAACTTCCTCGACCACCTCGAAGTCACGACGCAAGATCGGGCTGAGAAATTGACCAATCTCTGCTCGGATCTCGGTCTTCAAGACGAGGCTAGGAAGGTCTCCGATAGATTCGGCGATTACCTAGTCAACAACACCGAAGAGTATGGTACCGCACTATTGTGCTACGCGCGAAGCCACGCCCGAGGGAAGATCCGCCAACTCGTTGACGTCCTCGTCAGCTACTCGCTGGTCCAGTCACGCGCGTACCCACCAGAGAACGAGCTCGACGATGCTCTGCGCTCCCTTGTGAGCAACCCAAAGACCGCTCTCGTCGACATCGCCGAGGTGGACCCCGAAGCCGCCGAGATGTTACAGTTCTATCTCGTCGGGTACGCGTGCATTCGCCGCTTCTACACGCTCCGGGACCAAGACGGCTCCGCGCAAACAAGTCTCAACCACAGACCGCTGGCCAGGAAACGCGCGGCCGCGAAGGCGCTCATCGCGGCGGTAAATTCCGCGGCCGACTCCATCTACGGCGGTCTCTACGATCCAGTCCGGACGAGCGCGATCCAGGTCGACGGGCTGCTGACTCTGCTGGGCGAGGCAACGGCCTTGCTTACTGCCGGGAGTCAAAGTGATGATCGTAGCCACAGAAGGATCTTCACCATGCCGCAGATCTACGACCTCCTCTCGGCGATCGAGGACCTCAGCACGGTCTCCGCCCGCGTGTTTGGCGCTACGGAGGAATGTCTGGCCGCGAGTCTGCGCGAACACGCGGGCAGCAGCCCGCCGAGTCCGCGCGCCGTGCTCAAGAAATCCATGAGCAGCGGGAGCGGGAGCGGGAGCGGGAGCGGGAGCGGGTTTTCGTACTCCGTCCTCGGATCGGAGATGCTGGGGCGAAGCATGACCACCGATGCGAGCGGGAGCGCCGTCATGGTCAAGGGCCAGAGTGGCGGTGACAAAAGCAAAACCAAGAGTGGAAAGCAGGACGGCCCGAGCAGGGGATGGGATTGGAGAGAAAAGTTCGTCCAACACGGTGAGGACGATGCTACGGCCGTGAGTGGACGGGAGATCTTGATGGTCCTTAGGATGAGTTTGGCCGAGGAGTTGGCCTGGGCGGAGCTGGAGGAGGGTGGTGCCTCGACCGCTTGAAGGCTTCAGCGATATGTCTCATTACGGTCCGCGAAGTACGGGGAGAGCGAGCACGACGGCGATGTTTTGGGGGCATGTACCGCGTACCGTCAGGAGATAAGATACTCGCACCGGTATGGTACCAACAACGCAACAGCGTGGCTTTCACATGACATCCGTATGATGAACCAAAAAAGCTGATGTGAGAACTACTGTAACTACATCTTGTGGTGTGTGCCTTCAATGATACGTATGTTCTTGAGGTACTGTAGGAAGTCGGACACGCAGATCGCTACACCATACGGCATCAAAACCATCCAGAGAGACATGTCGTCAAAAATCATTTCATTTGCTCCGCATTGCTGGATGGTGCTGGCATTGCTGACATTGCTACATACTGCATACTGCATGAGAAACAATAAGATATTCCGGGTGGGTGCGTTTCCAGATGACACCACCAAAAGAGAGGTGCCCCCATCCGCTCCGCCCTTTTACAGACCCCCGAAAGCAAAAGATGCCACTGAGAAAGCCATGCATACATAAAAGCACTTTTTGTACAGGATAAGGTCAAGGGCAAACCAGTGTCGACCCTCCCTTGTTGTGGAAACAGCCATAACCCGTAATGTAATGAAGCGTCAGGGCGTTAAAGAAAGAGATACATCCGCCGTGTTTTTCGTGGTCAGGTCGAGAGTGGATCCTCCCAGCAAAGAGCCAGTCGTAGTTTATCGCTGGAGAAGCTGAATCGCTCCCACTGTCGCATCGTCGAGCAAGAGTTGCCTCCGAGGCACAGATCATACGTAGACACCATGGCTCCAGGGCTTGCAGATTCGGCTCTGGGGGGGTTTCCATGGTAGCTGAGCGTGTCCGATCCCTCAAGGGTCTCTACAGCGGCCACCCACTGGTCTCAAAGCCGAAATTCATGGCAAGGAACTCGTCCCCGAACCCAAATGCCATAAGCTCATCATTCGTGAAGTCCATCGGGATCATGTCTCCGCCGGGGCCCAGCATCATGTATGGCATCATACCAGTTTGGTCATAGCCTGGTGGTGCTGAAGCAGGCATCTGGTTGATTCCGGGGAGCATGTTTGGCTGTGTGGGCTGGTTCGTTATCGTGTGAGACCACTGTTGTTGGGGCGTTGGCTGCGGCTGTGGCATCAACGTGCCGGGCCCAGGACCGGGACCAGGGCCCATGGCAGCGTCGGAGAGCATTTGAAGGCCGGTCCGAGGCTGCGCTTGAGTCTGCGGGAGCGGAGGACCGCCGTCAACCGAAGCGCGATGCTGCGAATTCCAGCCTAAGCTTGAGGGGTCCTGCTGCGGAGGGATAGCCTTATAGGCGTTTGATTGTGCATGCGGCACGCTGTTTGATCTCGAGTTGACGGACCCATTCGCCGGTGTCCGCTGCCTCGAGACCGGGCCGCTTCCATTATTGACCGAATCAATTCTCTTCATGTGCCAGCTCTTGAGCATATTGAAGATCAAAGTGAATTTGTGAGCAACACGGGACATGTTGTCCTCGCAAGCCTTGCTGAGCGCTTCAATCATTCTGTCAAGATAATACTCGACCTTAAGATCCCTGGTCTTGAAGATGGCATTGAATTTCGATCCTCTCGCAGAGACGGCTGAATACATCTTGATGAGTGCTACTGCGGCATAGGAGTTCCTAACAAAGAAAAGAGTGGGTAAAGCGCGCAGAGCTGCAACGTCCATACTGAGGAAGGCTTCGAAAGCGGAATGGGCCGAGTTGATACAAATCGTGAGAGCTTCGACGTGGGCTGGTGTGTCCGGGTCTGGAGGTCCATCGATAGGAGTAGCGATGTATGGAGGTCGGAAGTCGTCTATATTATGGTTATGATGCATGGCGATTTCGTGCATGTAGAGATTAATAATGCCCTTGGTGTGCTGCACAATCGGCTTCTTAAGCATGTCCTTGGTGGCTGAATCGTGCCATGCTGCAAGCTGACGCTCAAAAGCCTTCATGTGAGACTGGGTCTTGGGATCCGTCAACGACACCTGAGAAGCTGGGTCATCCATGGAAAATTCAAGTCCAATCTCCTCAGTAATGTGCTGTCCCCGGACAAGATGACACAGGTACTTGTCCGAGGGAAGCGCATCTGGAGAAGAGGTCAAGATGTCGATGCATTCATCGGCGTAGGGACTCCACCGGATGAGGAGCGGCCGTCGAAGAGACATCGAGGAGCTATTGGAACTGGTTAGAATGGTAGGGTAGCGTCCAGGGCAATACTCACTTTGAGCACATGTAGTAGCAGCCCAGCCAACATCGGCGCACCTCTGCACTGCTGGGGTCCGACAGGGGTCTCTTGTTCTCATGATAGGGCCGCCAAATCCCGCCAACTCCTCGTTTTGATCGTTTTCCCATGCCTAGATCTAGTGCCATAACAGCCGCAACGTGAATGAGCTGGTTGAAGTTCAACTCTTCGTACTTCTCTGGGGGCTGGTAGAAGCATGTCGTGACCTGGATTGTCTGCACCAGTTCGAGTGACTTCTCACCTCGGAATATCACCCGATCGGCCAGTGCTCGGGTGATCTCCACGATCAACCTAGGCTGAAGATCAGGCCGGATCGTGCCGGAAGCGACCGCCAGGACAGCTAGAAACAAGATAGGCTTGTTCTTGCGAACCTCATCCGCTTGAGTCCCAGGAGGAAAGACCACCATGGGCAAATGCTCACACATTTCGGCCATGTATCGATCAAAGCATTTTCTGGCACTGACGATGTCGACCAGGCCGCGCTCAACGGGATCAACGGTAGCCGGCTCTTCCGTCTTTGTCGTGTGCTCCAATACTGGTTGATATGTGTTTGGAGGTGGTGCCGCCGACTTGTATTGAGGAGGTGAGGGTTTGTGTAGCTCGCCACCGAAGTAGTCAAAGTCTGTGATCTTCCTCTTCACACCCTGTTGCGGAGAATGAGCGTGAGCTCCTGGCGGTGGAACCGGCGGCGGGGGCGGCGGAGGAGGATGATGATGCCACTGACTGCCAAAGGCCTGTACCCGAGGATCTTGATGAGGAGCATGTGTGATCGCCATGGCCGGATCGACGGCGAGATCGGACTCCGCGCCGCCTCTTGCGGCCAACGTTGCCGTGAGAGCGTCGATCTTCTTTTCCAACTCGGCGACGCGACTATCGGTCTTCTTCTGCCGTTTCCTGCTCGGGGCTGTGACAATGCATTGTCTGTTCGCCTTTGCGCATCTCTTGCAGGATCCGGTGGGGTGGTTGTCGTCGAGCTCGCATTTGACCTTTAGTTGTCGACATGCCTCACAGGCGCGCGGCCTCTTGATATCATTAGGATCGTGCGGGTTCGCTGGAGGGCTCTGATCGTCGGGGCTGTCGTGGGTATGTGCAGTGCTAGGGTAATAGTTTGGGGTCTGAATAGACTGGTACGAGTTGTTTGGGGACGGCTGGAGAGATGGCTGTAGAGGGGAATAGGCACCCGGCGGACCATTCTGGTATCGTGGCGGTATATCGCGAGGTTTCGGAGGGCTGCTTAGAGAAGAGCCTCGCAGTTGAGGATCGATGAGCGAAGCCATATCGATACTATTCACGTAGACGTAGGATCGGCGTTGCTTAAGGGCGACTCGCCGTTGAGGAGATCCGTGGGCCGAAGCCGACGACTTCAGCAAGTCTTTGTTTTCGGCAGGGCAAGCATCCTGTGTCGCGTCAAGGAACTAATGGCTCGGTATTGCTGTAGGCCCAGGCGCGTGCAACAATGCGAGGCAGGAAAGTTCTGTGCTGTGTAATGTGAGTTCTGCGTGAGACGAATGTGAGTTGTGAGTGATTCGGGTGGCTGCTTCTGGTGCACCTGCCCGGCAATGACGACTAGAGCATGGGGGCGCCGGGGGCTCCTTTCGGACGGGCAGAATGTCGGCTTGGGCGCCTACTATTGGTTCTAGGCCTCAAGCCTCCGGCTCTCCCTCTTACCTCTCGGCCATTCTCTTCGCGGTGTGGTAGCATCATGAACCACATTGGATAGGAAGTGCGCCGGACTGCGTTCTAGAAGTAACAATGCTCTCTGGCCCCTGCCCAGCCCTGCAAGAACTGTCAACTTCTGCTTCGCGCGAGCGTAGGAGAACGACAGCCTCCAGCTACGTGATTATCAACGCGATTCCACCGCTTGGGCAGGCCTCTGCTGGTTCCTCACCTGCTCACACTGAACAAGCCACCAGACCCGCCTGCTCCTCGCCCAGATCCCCATGCTCGGTAATCGGTGGTCGATCGCCAAAGCGGAGCATAGGAGCTATTTACTGTATGTCTTTAGCGACGAGTTTGGCCACCTCGTCTTCTATTGCTGATGTCGCCGGCGGCTTGGAGTGCTCCGAGAGATGACTGCTCTGTCTCTTGTTTGCTGAGCAAGATTTCGAGAAGCATCTTCTTTGCCCTTGCTCTACTTTAGTTCCAAGTGTGCCACGTCCTCCAAGCACGTCAATGACAGCTCTGTTCTCGTGCAGCATCCGTAATTCCTGTGCTTGAAGCGTCTCCTTAATATCACCTGCCTTGACTAATGGCGGCATCCTCTGGAGGGCGTCGTGCTCCTTTGCCAATCTCTACTGAATGCGTGCGGCGAATTCAGCGTTGGGGCTGTGAAAGACACGGCGGGGCTAAATTCAAGATTTCGGCGTTGAACTTGTCTTTCTTCCTACGGTGACCGTGTTTGTCAGGTAATCAGCGAACATCCAGCAGAAGATATGGCACTAAGTCCAGGTGTGCGTTGATTTGCGAAGGGGCAGAGGAAGCCTATGCCAGCGAGGAAGATCATCGCGATGGGTGAACACGAGCATGGCAGGGACATTGCAGGAGCTGACGTACCGCTTTGCTTCTTCTAGGCCGGACACACAGACAGATCAGGGAGTAAAGTCAAATAGACATGGAATTCAATGCCCGGATGATAGGAGAGACAATCTCAGGTCGTGACGTTGTAAGACGCAAGGTGTTCAGGAAGACAGTGGCTGTTGCTAGACTCGCAGGTTGGCTGCGCTTCAATATACCCTTGTTCTCATTGGGACCAGACTATGGATATTTTGCTCGATCAACATAGAGCCTTCCGCGCACTAGAGTTGCATGGATCCAGGGTAGATTCTGCAGCATCTTCGGGATGGCAAAGCGGTTCCTTGCAGCAGATCGCAGAAAGGCACTTTCATTATGCATCATCTCGCTGGTTACCAAAAGAGCTGGATGGAGAAAGAACGTGGTAAGTGCATGTGCCCATCTCCCTCTCAAATCCGCTTGAAGTGAAAAGACCCATCCGTGAATGAGCCTTGTTCCGTGGACTGGGCTGCTACAATAGCTTCAGTTCGACGAGTCGGTATAAATAAGAATCGTGGAAACCACCGAGAATGAACCCACTTCAAGAGGCGTAAAGTCGTTTCATATCGGACCATCAATCATCAGGCAAATCAGATCATCACGGTGTGACGAGCAAAGACTATCCGGGACGCCACGCTCTATGGTTCTCGGTCGTTTCGAATGCATCCGCCTCATCCTAAAAGCTTATGCACTGGGCATTCGGCTTTCCGTTCAACCCACTCCATGATACAGCTTCTGTGAAATTTGCACAGACATTCAAGCCTGACTAGCTCATCGCCAACATCATACTCGACCATGCAGATAGAACATTCTTGAACTTGGCCATCTTCTTGTGCGACGCAGTCCTTCTCGGTCGCTGTGAAGGTAAGCATATTAAGCCGTTGATGATGTGGATGTTGCGACGACGAAGCTCCCTCTGATGCACTGCCGGCCAGTCGAATTGCTGCCGCCGTATTGCTCGAGTCGGCGTGATACGAGGGGTCACGCGCATGGATGCATTCCATTATATGTGCTTCACGGGCGGTTTCATCGCCGTCAGGTCCACAGGGCGGTAACGCGTGACGGCACACCGGGCAAATGTCGTTTTCATTCATACGTGGTCGGTGGACCGCGGGGCTATATGTGAGTTCATGCAGGGGTCGAGGGTGAGGCCGCTGTGATGGCAAGGAGATGCCAAATGGCTCGTCTCGAGGCTGACGGCTCTCGGGATAAGAAGGACGTGGCCGGATATAGGACAGTCTTGTATCATGAGGTGGTTGGTCCTGGCGCTAATTAGTACAAGTTTGCGCCGCTAGTGTAGCAAGTACTTACCCTCAGAGAAGGACCAGAAAACAGTGGCGTGTTAAGAGCGGAAGGCGGTCCAAGCATACGATACCTGGAAGGAGACGACTGGCCACGATAGGAGTCAAACAAGTTGGAACCATCGCCCCTAGGGTCGGGGGTGGGATAGACGGGTTGGATCGCTCCCATTGAACGATGATATTGGTGCAGATATGGGTTGCTTCCAGCGCCCATATTGCGAGCTGGATATTCCAACCCAGCAGAAAATCCTCTTGGTCTGTTCTCAGACGAGACTGCATGATTCATACCAGGGCCGTGGCGACCTCCCGCCTCCCAGGAGGCTCCACGACTGGGATGATCTGGAATGAAAGGAGGGTAATTCGGCAACGGGTCAGGTTGAGGATCCGGCACGCAAGGGTTACACAGGCGCACCTTCTCTCCTCCTTCCAGCTGCACTGAAGCACCGACATGATGTGAACTGAGGTTATTGTCGTACGACTCGTCCTCACTAGAGCCGATCGTAAGCGATCGGCGATTGACAGGATCGCTTGGTGAAGTAAACGTATCAGGACCGGGCGGATGAACAATGAATTGGCGAGGGATGGTGATGCGGTGTGGCGAGCAGTCGTTGCATACCACTCTCCCACATTTCCTGCAATGATGGCGTCTGAACATCCAGGTGAAGGGGCGTTTGCAAATGGGACATTCAGTGGCCTCCGAATCTGGCTGCCACTGGGGAACAACATATCGTCTGGCACTGTCGGAGGAGTTTCCGCTTGCTCTCCTGGGTCGAGGTGTCTCTGGCGCGGAAGTGGGAGGAGAGGAACTTGTCAAGTCTATAACCTCAGGAAGCGGTCGATCCATGTTTGGGGCGGAAGACGCAGGACGGCGAGGTGATGACGGACCATCTGAGCGATAAGCATCAAAGTTGGTCCGACGATCATTCCAGCCTCCGCTGTTGATTCTTCTTCTGCCTTCCTCATACAATGCTGGGTTCGTCAGCCTCCTTTTGCGATCCAAAGCGATGATACTTCGCCTCCGTTCTTCCGTAGTCTGTTCGGCGGGGGCCAAAGGGAGGGGAAGAGGGCGGTCTCGCAGAATGCCAGCCAGCACATGGCTACTGTGGCTCGATTGTGCAGCGGGCGGTCTGGGTAGAGGAAGTTCAGGCAGTGGCCGCTGAGCTGTCGAGTCCCTACTCGTCTCCGATCGTCTTGACGTGTGTGAAGAGTCATGGCGGCGCTGGCCCTGGGGGTTTACCCGGTCAGAATCATAGCTGGTTGAAGAGCTGCTAGATTCTGGAGAAGACATGTCCTGTCTGTTGTCGGAATAAGGGAACAGAGATGGCAATAGAGTCAAGTTGACCTGGCAGTCAGGCAGAGATGAGGTCGAGACTGAGGCACGTGTCAGTCTGGTGGCGGATAAACATGTCACAGCGATAGCGCGGCTCGCCGTTGGAGAACCAAGAGGGTGGCATGAGAGGGGTTGGATGGGTTAGAAATCAGCAAGCCAGCAGCAGAGACGATTTAGTATACATTATCCAGCACGAGGGCGCGGCCGTGCCTGATCATACTGAGTAGTTTCGTCGCTGCCCGGGAATACGGAGGACCGCGGCAGTCTCAGGTCTGAGAAAGCCTTGCTCGCAGTATGTACGAGGAGGAGCGGAGAGTACGAGGGAGACCGAAGACTAGCCTCTTTAACCAACAATGATGTAGTGGGCGGCCCTGAAATAGGACAGCGAGGAACTGAGACCTGCCCAAACATTAGCGACACGCCCGGAACAAGCACGCGTCTGATTGGTGATTGGGCCTACACAGCCTCTCAAGCATTGCACCGCTGCCGATGCGAACTTTTCACCCTGGCTGCCCATCATCGCATCTCAACAACTTGCTGCATATTCTGTTTTGCTTCCGTACGTGCTAACTTTCGCTTCTTCCGATTTCGTTTTCGCTTCTGCCAGCGCTTCCAAGTAATCTGTTTGTCGTTTCTGCTGTGCGCCGTTGTATCAAAACCTCTCACAGACCCGAGACACTCCTCCAATCATTTCGTCGCCTCCCGTCTGCGGTCAACGTCGAGAGCCTCCACTGTCTGCTCGCCGTTTCGCTACCATTGAGCCTGCGATTCCGCCGCGATTGAATAGAAACAAGCGGACGAGTACATTTACTTCATCTGCGACTGGGACGCTGCGCTGTTGCTGGGGTCTTGCCGAGCGCATTGAGAAATATGGGCAACTAAGAGCAAGTGATCATAACCGAGGACAAGCACAGGCAGATCAACAGCCCAGATATGGCAACAACTGGGCGTGATCACAGACTGGTTTGGCAATGGTCCCTTTTCATCGCTCTCGTTCTGTTCCTCAGCTGCAGAGCCTTGGTTGAAGCTGCCCACGTCGACTTCCGCAACTGCCTGGATGGGAGCATAGTCAACTCGAGTCCGCGCATCCTCCAGTTTGACCCGTTCAACGTCTCGGCCACCTTCAATAGCTCGTCCGGCTCGAATCGACACCACCTGAACATCACTATATATGGCAATGTCACCGGAAAGGCCACCGAGCTGCCGTACCCTGCTCCTGATGATCCGTCGTGGTCGAACCCGAACGACACATTTGGCAAAATCCCCGACCTGAGCGAAGAGAACAACAAGTACACAACCCTCTTTACGCGCGTCAACTTTCTAGGATACACTCCATGGAACGCCGACCCTTCCAGGTTCTGCGATTCTGTCGTTCAAGGCGCCTGCCCACTCGGACCTGCCTTCTATGTTAACAGGACCGAACTTGGCCTTTTGCCAGCTTTTTCCGTAGCCGAGGACCTGTTCTCCAGCTACGCCTTCGCATCACTTCAAGCAACTATACGGGTACAGTCGGGCGACGTGCAAGGCCAATATTACAGTTGTGTCTCGGTCACGATTACCCCTGACTTAGGAGACTCCATTAAAGCTATCCTAAGATACTTACCGCTTGTGGTTTTGATTGTGGTGGGCGTGGCGACGATTGCGGCTGCCATTGTGAGCCCATGGGGTTCGACGGACCTCTTCCACTGGAGCAGCAATTTCGGCCGCGATGAAGACCTGCTTCGACTGATCACTCCGGGTTTTGGAGACTGTCTGCAGTATATTCAGTTTGTCGTCTTGACTGGCAGTCTTTCATTGAGTTATCCTGGATTTTATCAGCCAGCCGTCAGCCGTGTCGCATGGTCTTCGCTCATGTTCAACGAGAGCTTCGCCACGGGTGGAAACGGTACACAGACTGTGGTAGATGGGGTATATGAGTATCGCAACGGCACCACGTACGGCTTGGACCGAATGAGTCAACTCGTAGGCATGACCTCCGACAAGGACATATGGGTCGACATGATCATCTGGCTGGTAGTCATCGTTGTCGCAGTGTCAGTTTTGACCCAGCTCGGCTTCGCAGTCCGCTGGGTTTATCGGAAGCTTCAGAACGAACCGCCAGAAGACCTTCGTTCCAAAAATGGACCCTTCACTGCCGGGAATGTTGTTCGCCTGGTTATGAATTTTTTCTTGCTGCCTTTGACGTCTCTATCATTCTACCAGCTGTTAATTGCCGGAAAGGGCCCGGCCTATTCGGTGGCACTTGCAGCAGTGTCACTGGTCGTCGTGGTCGCTTTTACAGTCTGGCTGCTGCGATTGTTCATCAAAACCAGACCACGCTCATTCCTCTTTGACGACCTTTTGATGGTTCTTACCTACGGGCCTCTGTACAACACCTATTGCGATGACGCCGCTACCTTTGCGCTGACGCCTCTCCTTGTCAACTTTGTCCGCGGCATTGCTATCGGCGCAGTTCAGCCCTCTGGGATCGCTCAGCTTGTGCTTCTCGCTATAAGCGAAATTGTCCTGATTCTAACGATCAATGCCTTCCGACCCTTTCCCTCGGCGACTTCTATGAACATCTATCATACCTGCTTTTCGGTCATTCGACTCATCACCATTCTCCTGTCAATCGCTTTTGTGCCTTCCTTGGGGGTCGGAGACGCGTCCAGAGGTTGGATTGGATATGCCATTCTCATCATCCATGCATGCACCATGGTTTTTGGGTTCTTCCTGAATGCCGTGCAGACGCTGGTCGAGGTCATAGCCCGTTTGGCTGGTGCGGGTGGACGGGACGAGGAGACCGGCGCCGCGACGAGGGGCGGATTGAACAAGGTATTCGGCATGCGACAATTATCGCGGCGGGTGCCCCGCCGTGCAACGCAGGAGCGCCATAGCATGTCTTCGAACGCTGCCATGCTCAGCGCCATGGAGCATGATCACCAAAAGTTGCAAATGGCCAAAACCCGATCGCGCAGTGCCTCGGCTGCTTCAGGCGTCTTGCTCGACAGCCCTTCAATGACTAACAAGATCAGCCAGAACCTTGACGGCCGTGCCCTTGGGGTCGCTAGTCCGGACCGGTCCGTCCGAGGCTCGAGGCGGCTCTCGGGACGGCTGAGCGGTGCTGGATCGTTGAGTGGAATCGTCGGACTGCAGAAGCAGGCGGAACAAAAGGATCCATACTACCGACCACCACGAAGGAACACGATGGACGCGCTCAATCGACCAGACTTGACCCTGGCGCAAACCCCATCCAAGGGCGCGGTTACAACTGAAGCAGCCGTCGAAGACGACGCAGGAGAAGGCCCCTCCACCCCTATGCCTCTGGAGAACGACGATCTGGAAGAAACACCCAGCGATTTGACGAGAACGAAAACAGACTATGCTGTCCGGGAAGTGGATTTCTACTATGGTGTTCGTGGCGGCGCCCTGTCAAGCGGAACTCGTAAACTCAAGACTGGCCCAGCCGACCCCACCGGACCAGTTTCTACCGCGACTGGGTGGTTCAAAAATTTGGTTGGTGGCAAGACCAAAGAGAAGCACAAAGGCTTCGAAGTGGTTCGCAGTGCTCGGGCTCCGCCACCAGGACTCTTCCCTCCACCAACTCCAGTCCCGGAGAGTCAGCCACTAGAGCCCTACCACGACGATGTGCAAGCAACGGACGAAGACCGGGCTGACCGAAACAGCACTAGAATTATGTCACCACCACCTCAGCGCCAGGCGCAAAGACAAAGTCAGAACCAAAGTGTGTACGACGACGTTTCTCTTGACGACAGTGACAGCGAAGAACCAATCAGTCCCATTGACCCTGTGTCGGGGAAGCCGCCATCATTGCCACTGATAGAATCCGTGGGTGGAATTGAATTGCCCAGCCGGATTGGCTCTGAGACATCCAGAAAATCTCGCGGAAAGCAAGCAAGTGTCCGAGACAGAGACATTCCCGCGGTTCCCGCCATTCCTAGAAAGAGTTCGAGAAGACAGTCGGGTGGAGGCTCCCAGGACAGAGGGATTGTCACGTCCGCATTGTCCCCCCGAGGTGCACCGAAGCAGTACCATGGTCCTGCTCAGTCTCTCAATGCCAGTCGCCTTCCTTTTGCGAACACGCAGCCGGCGCCATCACGAAACCACCGGTATTCAACCGGCGGAGAATCGGCTACGTCAAGCGTATTAAGGGATGCTGATGAAAACGTCCCGATCCAGCAACCATCCTATACGAATCAGCTGCGGCATGCAGCTTCTTCGGCTTTAGGAGCTCACGGGGCCGATTTACGCCACGATAGACCGTCAAATATGGGATTCGTCCCCCAATATAGAGCAAGCGACAACATCCACTACAGCCCAGATTCGCCCGAGTTCGAGGGAAGTGCCGCAGAGATCCATGGGCGGCCGCAATATTGAGGAAGGAAGTGGGCGCTCATGGGGATAACGAGGTCGAAGATTATTTCCAATGATATGAATTCGCGGAGGACCCAAGGGCTTATCATTGATGGGATACTGGTGGCACCCGCGACGATTTGGCACAGATCCTATCTGACACAGAGGCTGCGAACAGGTTGCAGATGTGAGCAGATCTTATCATTCTTGACAACTGTTTAGCGCGGCGTCCGGGCCCTTATGAATATGGAAGGGAACTTTTGAGGGATCACATGGTATAGCAGATTCTAGTCTGGCATGTAATGAATAGCACAGCCAAGATCATCTGTGTCAGGCTGTGCAGAGCCGCACAAAGCAAGTGGAAACATCTAATTCGAAAGTGAGCCTGGCTTCGACCACAAACAATAGAGCACATTCTCGATGTGCACTTGCCTCCCACCCTTCAAACACTTGCTCTTCAAGAGGAACCCTTACCGCGACAAGCCTCTTGTGTAACCGGGTCCACGGCTGCGACGTCTTCTACTGCGCTGCAACACAGACGAGACGGACCAAAGAGGCAGCACGGCGCGACGGCCACCATGTAAAAGACTCCGGTTGCCCTTACAGACTCGCAGTCCAGACATCCGACAGGCTGATTCCAAGTGATAGGCGGTCTCGCGGCGCAAGCCACCACCTCGTGGCCCAAGCACAAGGTACATTGCATAAACGGGAGTCCCAACGAGCTGGGTCGGCATCCACGTTGTGTGCCTTTGATTACCTCTGCGGGAGTTCCAGATTGACCTCGTAACACGAGAGTCTCGACGACGAAATAAATCCCAAATTGCAAATTTTCGTTCAGATGTAACTCAAAGTCAGCGTTGACAGGTCGCGATTCATACCACAGGCCTTGCCCAGGAGGTCTGGAGGTCTCAGATACGAGATCGCTCGGCCGCCTCCAAGACCTGCCTTTCTGGTGATGGTTAGAGATTTCGACCCATGCCCACAGCGCGTCACCTGGTCGGGAACGTGGTGAATCTCGGCCATCGACTCGAGCCGCATGATTCAGCTCTGGCGGCTTGCGAGCTGTGCAGCACCGTATGAAGCAATTGACTTTCGCCTCATCGTGGATGATCCCGACAAGGCCCTGGCAGCGGCACGCTGTCACTGTCATGGAGTGATGCCTCATGCCCAGCGATCACCTCGACGATCTCACCCACGAACCTCGGCTACCAGGAAGTGAGGCGCACCAACGAGGGATTCTACAATGATGCTCCTTCTCCTAATTATGGGTGATTTTCTCTCCTCGTGTGCCACCAAGGGACAGATCGACCGCTCATCGACGGCCGAGGTCAAGAGATCTGTCGACAGCCCTGACAGCTCCTTTACCAGCGTGCGAAACATGAGGCGAAGGTGCCATGTGACGCCCCTGCTGCTCCACCCTCGGAGTAGGCAATAACATGCGCCCCCAAGTGCACGAGTACGTAAACCGCCGCGTGTTGGGACGAACCTCGAGGCTCTTTGCGTGACAAATCCGCAACCCTTATCGGCTTCCACAGGGGGCCGGGCCCAAGCGACCGATCAGTCCATGCTGGCCGTGATATCCCGGAGCATATCCACGACACCCGCTACCGTGTACGTAGGCAGAGTTGAGGCTAGGGACGCGCCTGCTGCTTCCCCTGTGGTTAGCCTGCCCAGTCTCCAGTGCAGCCCATGGTCATGCAGGATCCGACTGCTTAGTGGCGAGCTAGGCACTTGTCGAGGTCGCCGCGGCAGCTTAGGCCCGGGCTCCCGCGCAATAGCGGCCTGCATTTTGAGACCTGTAAAGCCCTAGCGAAGCTGAGTGATGCCGCAGGTTAGCTGAGTTGCGCTGCTGCGGCCAATCGATGTCGAGATCTTCGCTCTCTCGGCGATCACGGGCATGAAAGTCCTCGTCGACCAACCCCAAAGGATCGATCCCGAGCCCGCAGCTCTGGATCGTAGCGAGCAAGATCTGGGTTTGATCTCTCGTCTATCTCCCTCCCCTGGTCGCTTGTCGTTACCCCTCTCGGTGTCAGAGCCTGCCTGTTCTCAGCCTGTGACTCCAGTCCTGGCCGCCGGCGCCGTACTCAGGAGACCATTCCCAGTCCGTCGGGACGCTCCGAGGCCAGCCCTACTCTGCATGCTACTATTTGGAAAGCAGCCATCTTTATCAGCCCGCCAGAAGCAAGGGTCCTCTGGACTGGGTTATTGTGGGAGATGCCAGGCGGCTTGTTCTCTGGCCGCAAAGGCAAAAGTGCTCGTGGTTTTGTGTCGAGCACTTCTCAGACTCGTGGCCTCAGAAAGACTGTCGGCCGGGGCGCCGAGCAGCCCACGAGATACAAGGATATGCAACCATTTTTCGCTTGTTTGATCACCCCCCTCGGCCTTGCACCCCCCTTGAGACTGGTCAAAGTTCCGACCAATGCAGACCACGTAGATGTCACCCGGCTAGCAGCCTGCCAGCTCTGACGAGCACCGAGTCCGCCAGCCTTCTAGTCCCTCGTTGGACAGGCGCATTTGCGCTTTTCGAGGCAACCCCGGGCAGTTCCAGCGCCTTGGGCTGGAGCTCCATCTCGAATCCGACCTAGTGTGTGCGAAGTGGACAAAGTGGGCAAAGATGTGGCGCTGTGGGGTGAATTCCACCGGGTCCATTTCCCTCAACACTCTCTCGAAGCCTCCATCCACGCCGTGCTTGGCTCCTCTCGATTGATTGCTTGCTGTAATCCCGAGAGCTCGTCCAGCCAGATATTGACACTGATTGGCACACGGCCTGGAGCAAACATCCTGGAGAGCTCCGAGATCTGGTAGCCATTGGCCAAGTCACATCACTCCACCTCGCACCTTTTTCGACATATTGCGCTCTGCTCTATTGCAAATAGTCCTGAGCAGCTTCTCCGGCTGCGCTCTGGAATGTCCGGGATCCCTGTTGTTATATCCCTTCATCGGGTCATCGTGATCATATCGCTGTGGGCGAAGTTCCTTGACATCAAAGCGAACTCCACCATCTACTTGAATCGAGTCCCTGGTATATCAGCGTCGAATTTCCTATTGGGGGCGTTCCGTTGACTGTCCGAATATCTGTCTTGTGCGCTGGCTCGTGAGGCCATTGGGGAAAGGGAGACGACTCTGTGCCAACGATTCTTACCTGCTGATATTATTTTCCAGCGGCACCCGACTCAGGATTTTTGGCCTGTCGTGCTCTCTAACCTTGCTGGAGACCTCGGATACACAAAGGTCCATACACTGCCGTTGGATGCTTGGGTCAATGGCAAGAACTTGGTGGCTCAACCCAGGAGGCTGAATGTTACTTATGGAAATGTCAACCTCGACTTTACTACGACATTCACCGGGTCCGCCATCTCATCATGTATCTCGCCCTCGACCTCGATATTCATCTCTCACTTCATCACCGCCTTCTCATCTCCGAGCCAGGCGACGCGCCAACTCCTGCAAACCGTGCCGTGACAGCAAGTCCAAGGTATGTTGTTGAGTCTCGGAAGCACAGAGCGGTACCACTAACCCACGGTATAGTGTTTCGGAGGCATGCCCTGTACAACCTGCTTGAAGAAACGACAGAAACCACGTTGTTACTATCTGAATACGCCTCCCCGTGACCGTGAGAGCGATGTGGTCAGTATCCTTCAAGTCTGAGACTGTTCCCAAGGACACTGCTGACAACGATGGCAGCGCGGAAAAGGCTCACCTCTAACCTCGAAGCACGGAAGGTCCTCCACTTCTAGCGGCCGACAACAGACGGTGGGGTCAACTGAAGAAGACACAGAGGACCGGGCTCATGTCGTTGCCGGTCCGCATGACGATTTCTATGGCATGTTCTCGCTGGCTCGGAGCGTGAACGAGGTAAGGATTGATGTTTTCGACCATCTGCCATCTTGCTAAATTTTACTAACCTCCTCCAGTTCAAGGAACTATTTCCTGCTGTAGGACAGTCAAAGCGTTCTATAGACTCTATGGACTGCGTACAAATGTTCGGCTTGGAGGATCCACCACCCGAAACTGTATCTGCATCGTATCCGGTGACGGCCGAGCGAACAGACAATGATCTCAGCTCACAACTTACACCTCATCTCCAACCCCTTTTTGGGAAGTACTGCTTTGTGCGAGACCTGCTCGCAAATGGGCACGCTACCCAGGCTTGGTCGGCGTTTGCGAGCCTTGTCCGAGATGCAGAGCTCTTTGGGTGTAAGCATGACCATGCCTGCCTCGACTGGCAGTCCCAGCTAATCATATTCAGTGAGAGAACATGCCAAGTCAGCATCGACGCGGGACCACCTGCCTGACCCAGAACCCAGCCGCCATCTTTGGTGGCTATTGGTACAACTCGACACCCAGCTCAGCTTTCTACTTGGTCGCCGACCGAGCATCGACCCATCACACCGTGTCCCCATGCCCAGACTCTCAGAGCAGGAACGAGGAGGAGATGGCGTCGAGCACCATGTGCTCAACTTCACAGCTTTTATGACGGAACTTTTGAACCATGTCCACCAGGCAGCAGATGATGGAGACACCTTTTGGGAGGACAGGAAAAGGCAGTTAGACTCTGACTTGACTCGGCTCCGGCAACACTGGTCAGAGCTGCCGCCTTTACCTCGAAGTGGACTGTCAGCCGCCACGCTATCTGCTGTGGCACAACATCACGTCGATGTCCAACTGGTGTTGATGATTCTCTACTGCCAAATCCTGCGGACGATATCCCGCAAAATGACGGTATCAAGACGGCTGCAGATTTTGCGCAAGTCGGCTGCGCAGACCTACTATAGAGATCTGTTAGGGAGTCTACGATCGACCATTGACATTTTCGACTACGCTTACAAGCTGGACGCGACGGGTACCGCTTCTTCTTGGCCACGATGCTTCGGACTCTTCTGTGCGGTTTCCATGTTGGGCATTGCTAAACTCCGACAAGACGGTGACGTGGACACAGACAGGGAGCGCATCGAAAACGGGTTGAAGATCTTCAGAGACCTTGCGGACACTGCAGAAACCTCCGGACTTGCCGAGTCAGCCGCAGAAGCACTTGACAGGATCCTAGAAGGAATCGAGGAGCTTGCCCAGCAACCCAGCGGCGCCACGGGAGCCGCCTCGACTACGGCAGCTCCGATTGATGGTGCAGACGCGGACAGTGCCAACGTCCCGCAACCCTCGGCTCCTCGGCCGTCGCCGCCTGCGCGAACAGAGAGCAGTGACGCTCCGGCACTCAAACGCACCAAGAAGTCCAACCTGGCAGAAAATTCTCGGCGCCGGAAAAGACCAAGGACTGGCGCCGGGCCAGTAGCTTTCGACTTATCCGAACAGAACCCAAGCTGGGCTGTGGGTCAGGATCATTCCTATCCTCAGACGGTGTCTTTTGATGGCGCAACGTCTACGCCTCCTCAGGAGGCCTCGACATCTCAGGGCTTTGAAGCACCGCCGTTTCCGCATCCACAAAGTGCGGCATCCTCCTTCACTGAGCAGGCGGGGTACTTTGAGACAGAATTACTGCCGAGTCATCCTAACAACATGGAAGAGTGCCATCCAGTTCACCATTGGGTACATCCGCCAATGGTGTACGCGCCGCCGTTGTACGACGACTGGTGGCAGTATCAGTTCCAGTCCGGTGGGAATGCTGCCCTCGAGGGCAATTTGCAGCCCATGTATCACAACATTCACCCTCCGTTGGCCCTACCAACAAGCCCATGGACGATGGACACAACTGCACAGTATCATGGACAACATTTCGGACGTGACCAGCAGGCCGATGCTCTGGCAAGGCGCCAGTCAATGCCTCAACTGAGGATTCCTTCCCCCGCCAGCGACCAACAGCAGCACAACAGAAGTCTGCCTCCGTCCAGGAGGCCGTCGCAGGTGGCGATGGAGACGATCGTGGCCAAAGCAGCACAGAATGCTGCAGAAGAACAGTCCAGTCAAGGCCACTACTATGAGGGGACAATCACGAATGAAGGCATCATCGAGTACCATCCGATTCATGTATCGGCTCCAACTCTGGTCACCACAGGACCGTTTACGGGCGATGGGCATGGCCATCATTGGGGCTGGGCGTAAGGCGATTGATTGAATTGATGATACGAGTCAATGTACTATTAGCGACCACGATCAAGGTGGAGAGAGAGAGAGAGAGAAGAGAGAGAGAGAGAGAGGACTCTCTTATATACCACGTCTTATATCCATCTTATGTTCATCCTGTCCCTGTCAGATCCATGTCATACCACTCATGTTCATCTCGTGTCCATTGCACATCTCATCTCCGATCCAGCCCGGGCAATTTATACCATTACCGCAAGCAGAAGGCGCAGCCGAGGCGTCGGACGCAGACAGTCGCTCTTCTCCTCTCGATAGCAACCGCAACATCCACGGCTCAACACATATTGATCGACTATACCCCGGCCTCTGCCGACATTTACCATGTAGGCCGCCGAGATGTATCCCCCATTTGACTACTTCGAGCATCGTCGGGCTTGGTAAGAAACACTCTGACCACGCTGCGCAGAGCCTGAACTGACCCTCCCAAAGCGTGATCAAACAGCGTCAGCGCGACGCCCGCTTCGCCTCCCTTCCCGACCCGTACAAAGGGCCTCTCACAACCTCACAACGGTCCATTCTCTCTGCGCCTATCTCCCAGCTGGTCAGCGACGTCCAATCCGGCAGCTTGTCGCCCATCGATATTCTAAGGACGTACGGCAAGACCACGTCCATTGCACATGCGCGCACCAATTGTGTGACCGAGCTGCTTCTCCCAGAGGCCGAGTCTTGGGCTAGGGATGAGAAAGAGGTGAATCTGAAGGGTCCCCTTGCGGGGATTCCTGTTTCTTTAAAGGATAGCATTGCCGTGGGCGGTTTCGATGTCAGCGTCGGATATTCGCGGAATGTGTTCAAACCATACGCTGAAGATGGAGTCGTGGTGAAGCTCCTGAAGAGGGCCGGCGCGATACCACATGTCAAGACTGCATTGCCCATCACCTTGCTGAGCTTTGAGAGTACCAATGATTTGTGGGGCGTGTGTCGCAACCCGCACAATCCGAAGTATTCGCCCGGCGGGAGTACGGGCGGAGAAGGAGCTCTGCTTGCCTTGAACGGGAGCCGAATTGGTATCGGGAGTGATGTGGCCGGTTCAGTCCGCGCCCCTGCTGCGTGGAGTGGCATCAATTCTCTACGATGCAGTACGGGACGATGGCCGAAGGTGGGCATGAATACGTCCATGCCCGGACAGGAAGGAATCCCCAGCGTCTTCTCTCCCATGGCGAGGACGCTGGACGACCTGACCTACTTCACCCGCGCGTTCATCGGCATGAAACCCTGGGAAGTGGATTACACGGTCCACCCGATACCCTGGAGACAGGAGGTCTACGACACCGCGCTGGAGCAGAAACCCCTCCGCATCGGCTTGATGGCCACAGACGGCGTGTGCACCCCATCACCGGCCATCGCGCGCGGACTCGACATGACAGCCTCCGCCCTCCGCTCCGCAGGGCACCAAGTAGTCTCGATTCCCGTTTCCTCCTTCCCTGCGACTGCCACGCCTGCCCTAGGCCTTCAAATTGCGGCAACCCTCCTCTGCGCCGACGGCGGCAAAACATTCAAATCTTTCTTCCGCACAGGAGAGAACAACGATCCGGGAGCGGCACAGATCAACTTCTACATGGGTCTGCCTCGTCCCGTCAAGTACCTGTGGTATCTCTTTACGAAATACATCAAGCGTGACCCCGTCTGGGCCCAAATACTGCGGTACTTCCACCCTCTTTCGGCGTTTGAAAACTGGCAATGGGTCGCCAAGCGGGAGAAATTCAGGGAGACGTGGTTCAGTTGGCTGAATGCGCCGGACCAAAACTTTGACTTCATCCTGTGCCCCGGAAACGCCACGCCCGCGCTGCCTCACGGCTGCATGAAGGAGGCGGTGAGCAGTTGTGGATACACATTCCTGTGGAACCTGCTGGACTACTCCGCGGGCATCATACCGGTCTCGACAGTCGATGCCCAAAAGGATGCTCTACCCACGCCGTTCAAGCCCGCCAACGGCATCGAGAGGGGCGCGTATAAGTACTACGACGCCCAGGAAATGGCGGGGCTCCCCATCGCGGTGCAGATCGTGGGGAGACGGTTGACGGAGGAAAAAGTGTTGGCGTACATGAAGGTCGTGACGGACTCGTTGGCGGAGAGCGGCACCGTGTATGAACATCTTGACGTGGAGAATTTACCGGAGGTGGAGGAGTTGGATGGAGCGAAGCACAAAACGGTCGAGGTGGATCCCAAGAAGATATGGTAGGGAGATCTAGAGACTCCTGGACGGGCAGTGGTATCTGTGTGTCTATCTGCGGTGGCAATCATTTGTTATAGAAGAATGCATATCACGCCCCAGGTCACCGACAAACGGCCGTCAGTTTGTACACAAGCATTGCACACAATACAATATCAAACTCCAGCCCACGGACATGTGAAGGGGGGAAAAGCTAGAGGAGGTCGGACTGGAAGGGTTTATCAGAGACGGACGCCAGGCCACGGAGCCTAAGACAGCATGCTACTCTATGCGCAAACCACGAAGCTGTTATCGTTCCCAAGTGGAAGTAATAGCAGCCTACTTACTCCGTGCAGCAGCTCAGCTCAACTCAGCTCAGCTCAGCTCAACACTCCCAACCGGTCCAGTCCGATTCCAGGTCAGGCCAGCCCAGGCCAACCCAGGCCAGCCAGCCAGTCAGTCAAGAAGGACAAATGCAGACGATTCCGGGCGCACTCTGCTTCAAGTTGCTCGTTCTTTGCTCTGTGATTTCGCACTTTCCGCACTCTGCTCTTTTGCTCTTCGCACGTTGCTCACCTTGCTATGCGCGTTTTACTTGGATCTGCTTTCCGCATTTTGCTCACTCTGTTCTTCGGACTTTGCTCACTCTGCTCTTCACACGTTACTCGTTCTGCTAATCGTGTATGTGATAGATGGACCTGGCTAACTTAGTTCGCATAAGACTTCTGACCTGCAGTACTGCGTAGAAGGGATCGTCATCTATTCATCAGTCTGACCGCTCTCTGGTCCTTCGAGATGCGGTGCCTTCCCGCCGAACATATCGAGGACAACTAGGAGCCTAGAATAGATCACCCGACATGCTCCCTGATCGGAATTTGCTGGTTCCCTCGGCTACTCGTAGCTTGGCCTGCAGTACTGTTACTCTCACCGTCCTGCTGATTCGGAAACTGCAGAGCGACAATGTGCTTCATCAAGACCTCGTCCATTTCTTCCGAGTGTGCGTCCTTGCCGGCCCCGAACCACTCGGAACGGTAAAGCTTGTCGATGTCTTTGATCCGGCGATTGGCCGCCAGAAACAGGTACATGTTGAGGTACGCGCTGTCAAAGGCGCCGGCGATCCACGCGTGATGCGCGCTGAGGGCCTCGCCGCACATGGCAAAGCGCCCCTCACATTGCAGCCAGAGGAAGTCCGGGTAGACGTTCTTGAACTGGCCGGGCCCGAACAGCGCAAAGGCCCCGCCGGTGTACGGGTCGTTCTCCCACGCCCAGGCGTGATGCGTCATGTACATGTCCGAGAGGTCCTTGAAGAGGTTCTGCGAGGGGATGCGACCCTTCCACAGCATCGCCAGGTTCTGCAGGCAGAGGGTGACGATGGGCTCGTCCTTCTTGGGCGGCACGACCGTGTAATCCGGCACCAGCGACGCCAGGCGCGTCGCGTCCTGGGCCCACGCGTACGAAACCATCAGCACGGCCGGTTTGTCGGGCCCGTCGTTCCACGAAGGGTAGATGACGTTGCTGATGGGGAGATCGGTTTGGGAGACGCCGCCGTAGATTTCTGGTGGAGGGGCCGCATGCCACCATGGTTTCGTGAAGCGGATGACGACTTTGGTGGCTCGATCGTAGCTCAAAGATCGAATGCCTGTCAGGATTTTGTCGGGGAGCTCCAGACCGGAAAGATCCATTCGTTGCAAGGGGCCCATGGCCGTGGTGTTGAAGACCATGTCGTAGGCGACAGGTGGCTTACCTGCGACAGTAACGTTCATCTTCTTCGCCTGTTTGTCATGCGACATAGCTGCCACGGGAGACTGGGTCGTTACCCTGACTGCCGCTGAGCCAGGCTGGGGCCAGTCAGTCGAGAGTAAGTGGCTTTGCATGGCTTCGGCCACTCTCTGCATACCACCATCGACACGCCACCATTTACTGTTCCTTGCGGCTTGGAAGTCGGCATAATCTATGACCGTCTCGGTGATAGATTGGTCGAACAAGCCGGTGGAGCTGTCCATGGTGAGCAGATGAGAGGGAATGGGAGAGGAAGTTCTCACGTATCATAGAGCTCGGCAGTTGCTGTGTCTTGGTAGCTGAAACTGTTCGCAACAACGTGAGCGGACTTGTATATGATGGCTGATTGCGGAAACACCTACTAAGGGATCGGAGCACTGTGTTTAGGGCACTTAGGGTCCTGCGGTCCCGCCATGAGGAAACTCCGTGTCGAGTAGTTGTCGTTGTTGGTGGTGGTCAGCCATTCCGCGAAGGCAGGGCCGAAGCTCTGAGTGAAGCCACCGACAAGTTGATCCATGAACTCTTCGAACTTCGGATCGCTGTGAAGCGTAAGCGGGTTCAATCATGCTAGGTTCAATGAGACGTGGCCTTACACCGCCGGCTTGCTTCGGTAATAGTAAGAACTTGGAACATCGTCGTTCTTGTACACATATTCTTGCCTACTAGACGTCAGGCCAAGAAGGTCGATGAAGTCGAGAACACTGTCCGCGATCGCGTCAGCCATCATTTCATGGAGTTGAGTTGTCGGAGGCAGAGGCCTACTGTTTCATCCAAGCGATATCTGGAATTCTCATGGCGCCCACGTCGTAGTAGTTATGGTAATCGTCCCCACCGGAAAGGCTTTGAGTATACAAGCGACCACCGACCCGGTCACTGGCCTCAAGGATGTCGACATTGGTGATGCCCAGGAATTTCAGCATCATTGCGGTGTAGAGTCCTGCGGCGCCGGCTCCAATGATGCAAATGCGACCTTCGTACGGCTTGTCAGAATCCTCTGGGAGCTCAGGCGCCCGAGGAAGCGCGCCATAGAGTGTTTTGTTGGTTTTGTTCAAGGTCTTGAGGACCTGATGGTTTAAGATATGCTTTGCGTATGCCGTGCGGAGGGATTTCGTTTCCGTGCTCATTTCGAAGATGTGACAATATGTCAAAGGTTCTGAGACTCCCGTAGTGAGAAACACTCTCTCGACCAAACCATGACTTTATACGCCCTTTGGCCACGGGGCCGTAGCTTCGCAATGCTAGCACCATGGCACGAGGAGAAACGGGCATGTGCAGCAGAATGGATGACAGGAAAGATCGAGGCTGGCTGAGACTGTGATACAAATGTGGCCATTGCGCTCAGCTGAACGCCCGCCGACCCTCTCCTTCATATTCAATTGGGTTGTCGAAGCATTCTGCATGTGAGGCGTGGACGTGACCAGTCACCGAGACAGGCGCGGGCTTGTCGAGGTCTTTGAGAGCCCGTGCGGGCTGAGGGCAGCCGCAAATCGTGGGATTTGAAGGTGCGTGATGCAGACGAGAAAGGCGTGGGACGGCAGGCTCAGCTCTGGCTTGCAACGCCATCTGGGGAACCGAGCACGGCGTGCGGGAACGCGCAACATAGTCAGGACTCATCTCCGTGCGTCGGTCTACCGGTGGTGGGCAAGATTCTGGAACAGTGGTATCCGCCCATTTTCGAGCCGTTGAAGGGATCTGCTTGTTAATGAGCGGGTACGGAGTATGCAGTGACGCTGACAGCTGCCCAGATCGACGTGTTTTCTAGAGGGCACGATCTAGACCCGTGCCACCTGCGGCAGCAGCCACGCCACTTTTGGCAACCATGCTGGCTGCGCCATACCACGACTGAAGACCGGGACAATCTACAATGCTAGTGTCTTGACGCGAAATCTCCGACGATGGGAGCAGTCAGATCAGAACGTGAAACACAAGACAGGGAGATTAGACGCCTGGGGGCAACGTTTTGCTAACCTCACGAGGCTGCGCACCATAACTTGTGGCTATCATTCTTTCATGGCGAGCTTGACCATAGCACAGGGTATGAACTGCCGAGGTCATGAATGGAAGGTGCCTCAGGAGACACAGCGCGAAGGGCTGTGATATGTGTATTCGTACATATTACACAAGAGCTCCGACCTGAACCCGAAGTTCCTCGTTGCTGCTAGCGAAGCTTGCATGTGCCGACACCGAGAGGTCCTGACAGGAAACCCATCCTGGTGCTCCTCCATTGTACTGGGCGAAGCAGTCCACTCCAGTGTCCTGGTCCACCCAGTCACCGCCAACCGATCAGACTGCGGCGGGGGAGGCAGAGTCCTTCACATAATTGAATTCCTTGTAGGAAGGCTTGTCAGGCCTAACCAGCTGGTCTGCGAGCTCACCATCTTCTTGACTCTCATCTTGCTTGGGAGCAAGGTCGATCGGCCCCCGTTGCGTATAGTCGTCGCTGGGCGGACCGACCACACGGACCACAAGCATCTGTTTGTCTATGTCGACAAGTTCCAGCTTGACGGGCAGGAACGACCGCTTCTTGGCCCCCTTTTCCCAGCCCTCTTTCGATGCCAGCACGACGGCAAAGACTTGGAAAGGGAGGAGCACGCCTCGAAGCCCCGAGTCGTCAGGCCGGATTTTGTTAGGCACCACCGAACTGACATGCAGATCCCAGACCTCGGGCAGTTCCAGCTCCTTGAAATGAAAGGCTCGGAAGAGCGCTTGGATGACCCAGTGTAGCCTCTCCGTTCGTGACAGCTGAACGGCCCATTGATACATTTTGGGTCCGGCCGTGGCTATGAAATCTTCACACATTTCCCTCGTAATGGGCAGGTCCAGCTTGTCAGCAGATTGACCGGGGCCGACCAGACCCGCAGCCTCGGCCCGTAGGTAGCTGTCTACATTCCAAAGTGCCATGAGATCCGGATAGCGTCGAAGAGGGTTGCTGACCCAAAGATGGGACTTGTGGTTCTTGTGGACGTGTTCGATCGCCGTCGTTGAGAACTTGCCCATGGGAAAATCTGCGTTCTCGCCCCGCTTCAGGTTGTTCAGTCTTTCGGGAGGGTAGTCCGGTGCGTAAGACGAACCAAAGAAAACGGCCGGCATGTTACGATCGCTGAACCATTTGGCCGCGGATTCCGACATAAGATCCCCCAGCAGAGCCGTTACCGTGACATACTTGCCCATTTCTGACACCCGGTTGATGCGCATGTACCGACTCACTTTGATCCTCATCGCAGGATCACCCTGGTATTGTCGGCTGCGAAACAGGTCATCCTCGTCATACTGGCTACCAAAGATGTAGGCATAACTCATGCTGGAAAGACTGCCCTGGATCTCCCAATCTGGGACCACGGCCACTTCCTGTTTGCGACGTTCCTCGCGAGCAAGGAGCAGCTTCTCCAACAGTTGGATGTCAGGGAGGTATTTCTTTACCGTGTCTACATCCGCGGGCTTGGCTTGTTGTAGCGATTCGAAATTAACTGCTCCCTTGAAGCCCAAGGATATAGTCGCCGCCTCGTATTTTGGCTTGTCGAGGACGTGTTCCACGGCGGGATCAGATAGGAAAATGACATTCCTCAGGGTGGTCGGCCGTACCCTGATATCCAACACATTACCTTCCTCTGTTAGTAGAGTGCTGACCGTGAGTGCGGGAGCGCCACTTCGTAGGGACAAGGCGTAGCAGAATTTGTCCGGGAGCATACGTGCGAGCCGGCCATGGTGAAAAATGCCTTGCGTGAGCATCCGGGCACGCTGCGCCATGACATGGTCCGGACCAATGAAAGCTGTCGGATGCGCAGTGTGGCCGTGAAGCCAATAAGTGCCAGGAATCTCGGGATTGGGTTCTATGGAAAACCCGTCTTCTCTCACGACAGCCTCACCTGTATCGATGCAGTAGACCGGCAGGTCGCCCAAGTCTTGACGCAGGGACGCCATGGAGTCGCCGAGAACATGAGGGTCCAATGTACTCGCTATCCCGGAGTCTTCACAGAATTCGGAAGCTTCGTTGAACACCCGTTTGAGTTCCGGACCAGCCCTGCCGTGTGGTAGTTCCAGGGTAATGTTGTGATCAGACTGCAGGAACCAGGGGGGCAAGATACCCAACTCTTGCAGTAACAAGCGACCCATATTGGCATCCAAGCGGAGTTTCGGGTAGGCGCCAACGGCGCGCAGAAGCAAGGAGGCGATAGCCATGTTTCGATTGTTGTCTGGGAAGGGATACCGAATGTAACAATCCCAGAGGAACGCGATAAACATCCTGTCATTCTCGGTGAAGACTTCTTCGTTGTCTTGGCGAGCAACCTTGCCATCTATGATGCCGCCCTGAATAGAACTTGGACCCAGACTGCCAATGGTGGTTGGGGAGCGAAGAGCACGGCTTTTGAGGATAATGCGACGTGCTTTGGCCACGAACGCTGACAGAGGATTGGATTCTAGAGCAGCGGCGACATTCTTGCCCATGGCGGCGTCAGCAGCTGCTTCTTGGTACTCTCGAGCCCATTCACAGACTTGGTCGAAGCTCCTTGCCAGTCTCTTGGGGGTAAAGGTGACCGTGGCTGAGGGATAATAAGTCTGCTTGCGAATGGCAACGACGCTCACCAGCTTTCGTTGCAAGGTGCGAAATATGGTGAGGAGGGCCGCGGGAGGGACTTTGTCATAGTCAACACCCAAGAACTTGGTGACGACTTCTGGGAATTGGAGTGCAATGTACCTCTCCTCATCTGCGATGCGATCATAGAGAGAATCCAGGAGAGCGAGGTTCTCACGGCGCCAAGTTGACATGGCTTCGGCGAGTTGGGCGAAGCGCTCCATCAAAGGCTCAGCGGCGGCAGCAGGGAGGTCGCCCGCAAAGCTGTATCCCAAGGGCATGTCGTAGTCATTCTTGCTCGTCTCTAGAGGTTTGACTGGGAGGTGCTGTCGGATCTGATCGACTTCTTTTTTCGATGCAAAGTTCTTGAAGGCTGGACTTGCCTGGCCACGGGCCTTTTCAACAACCCAGCGGCCATCACCCAGCATGTATTGACGCTGCCACCCTAAAGCGCCCAGGTAGAGAGCCAATTGGGGTTTTGCAAAAGTGGTATGCCTCCCTGGTCGCCACCAGATCACATCGCCTGGGGCGTAGGTCTCGTGCCAGCCAGCCTGTACGCCATCTTCCCAGGGTTCTACCAGATCATCCCCTGCAGCGGCTTCATCGTCGACCAATGTATCGTCAGTAGAGCTTGCTTCTTCGATGAACAGCGAGTTGGGCAACGCGGCCAATCTTTTCAGCTTGTTGGAATCGCCCTCGGCATTTTCTGCTTCCTGCTGCTTTTTCTTTTGATTCTTCACCGCCCAAGCCCTCAAGTGGTTACGGATGGCCGAGTTGGCTCGGTCGGGCGATAGCTGAGAGGTTACGACCGAAGCAGAGCGGCGATCGACAGAGGTAAAGGACCGTCTTTGGCGACAATCCCGTCTCTCATGTCGACTTGAAAGGAGGAATGCAGCCAGAAGGGCAGTGCTCTGACATGCCGGGCAGACGTATGGCAACCGCGATCTTGATAGGGTGCCGGCACGGCTTCGCGAAGCTAGCATCCTACAGAGGGCGATAAGGACCGGTTACAACGCGAGAGTGAGTGTCAAGATGCGCAGGAGTCAGTGATCAATTGATCGATCTAGAGGCGACTCGGCGACGACGCTGCGTTTCTCCAACAAAATTTATTGTCACCGTCACTTTCTCCGCGTTTGCAGCAACCAATGGTGAACAGCCACCGACACCGACCCAGAGCCAGTGACTCAACATGCGGCGGTCCAAATATTCTCGTCTGCCCGCTGTTCTACTTCTCTGCCGTGTACATACTCGGCCGCAGCCACATTCACGATGCCGATCCAACAGCCCGCAAACCAGATCAAACTGACCAACGTCTCCCTGGTGCGCTACAAGAAGGGCAAGAAGCGCTTTGAACTCGCGTGCTACAAGAACAAGCTGCTGGAATACCGCTCCGGCACCGAGACCGACCTCGACAATGTCCTGCAAGTGCCCACCATCTTCCTGAACGCTTCCAAGGGCGAAACAGCCCCTAACGCCGAGCTCATCAAGGCGTGGCCCATAACATCACAAAAGGAAGACAAAGAGTCGTCCCACGGAGCCAAGGGCAGCAAGGGAGGAAAGAAGAACAAAGGCAAGGCCGCCAATGACGAAGGGGACGACGAGAAGTCCTGGAAGGATGCCATCATCGAGGAGATCCTCAAAAAGGGCGAGATCCAAGTGAATGCCAATGAACGCAAAGAATTACTCGACAGAATGGAGAAAGAAATCGTGGAAGAAGTCGCGCAACGGCTTGTCGATCCCCAGACGAAGAGGGTCTACACCACAGGGATGATCAAGAAAGGTTTGGACCTTCTCTCGAAGCAAGGCGGCCATACTCCTGCACAAGATTCCCTCGGTCATAAACTCGGCAAATTGAACCTTGGCGAGGGTGCGAGGAAAGGTGCTGCGGGTCCGAAGGGATCGAGCGAGGCCAGTGGGCGCGCAACGCCAATGACAGACGAGGATAACGAGTCCGAAACTGGCACGCCCCGGGGCAAAAAGAGCGACATGCCGACGTGGACCGGTGTCGTGACAACCAAATCAGTCAAGCAACAGGCCCTGGAAGCCATTCGCGCGTTGATCGCATGGCAGCCCATCCCCGTGATGCGAGCACGCATGAGACTACGCATCACTTGTCCGACAAACATCGCGAAGCAGCCTGCAAAATCGAAGACCCCCAGCACAGAGGGTGAAGACGCCGACGCTGGAGCAGCCAAGGGCGCGATCAAGGACCGCATCCTGTCTTTTGTGGAGCAAGTCGAGAGCCAGGAGGTGCAAGGGGAAGAATGGGAGGTCATTGGTTTCGTCGAGCCCGGCGCGTTCAAGTCTCTGGGCGAGTTCATTGCAGCTGAAATGAAAGGAAGAGGGAGGCTCGAGGTGCTTGATATGGCTGTCACCCATACGGACGACTGAGGGCACCGGGCGAGGAAAGGTGCAGAGATCGAGCTTGATCTGCTGTTTCCTCCATTCTGGGTGAACGAAGCAATACGGCCATAACGGTGCCAACACTGGTGTCAAAGTCCCATCCTTGCAGACAGGATTGGCGACTCCTTCAGACAGAAGTCGTGAGCTTCATTTCTGAAGCCGGTGAAGGATCCGCAGATATTCCCCAGCAAGCTGGTTTAGTCTCCAAGCCAGCTACATCACGCTCTGTGGCCACGACAAGGTGAAGAATTCCCGCGCGATTACAAACGGCACCAGCTACAGTGATCACGCCAGAAAGACGCCAGCGTATCGAGGGCTGAGCCGCGACTTCGTTCGAGAGCCCAACAAGAAAAGGGCGTCCGAATCATAGGGCATTTGAGCTGCAAAGGGAAATACACCCGTATCTGGTGATCTCTGGCACGCCATGTACTGTGGAGAGAAGGGCTACACAGGGTTCCGGCTACGAAAGGGCTGGGAAGTCACAGGACTATAAGCATAAGGGATATGTGGGGGGCTCCTTAGGGTTTTGGCCGCGAACGAGAGTTGCCGATGCTCGAAGGTAGAGAACGTGAGGCGAGGCTTTCGCCTCCACTCCGGTGACAATCCTTTGTGTAATCCACGCTTGTTGGATTGTGGATTGTAGTGCTCTGTCAGTAGCAGACGCTACTACGAACTTGACGGCCCCAGCAGACCAGTCCCTCGGCCCATAAGTCCCCCAAGGCCTTTGCCCTAACACCTTCAAATGCGTCTATAAGGTACTGGTGGTACCATGACATAACATGACATAACTGTCTTTTAGAATAGTCATTCCAGTCGTACACGTAGTTTCGTATTCATATTTCATTGCACCGGGCCCGGCGACATCATAAGGCCAAACCAATCCGCCTTTCGCCGGAAAACCTGTTCTTAAGGGTCGCCCGCGTCATGGCTTGTTCCAGCTCTTCCACCGTGAACGGAGTATCGTGTGCAGTGGCTTGCTTCGACAGACCGGCCATGTCAATGCCACTATCATGCTGGACGAGCCTGTCTTGTTCGGTGGGCGCGGAAGGGACAGCGGTTGGTTGGTCTGATAGCGACGCTACAATCATGAATGTTAGCAATGCATACCACAATGCCGTGGTGGGGGCATAGGAAGGGTGAGGAAAGACGTACTGCTTGCCGTGCCGGCGTCGAGGATCGTACTGGCAGCGACGCTCTTCTCCCTGCTCGTGCTGCTCGAACTGCTGGCCTCGTCGTCCAGTTCGCTGTGCTGCCTCAAGCCCGAGGGCTCATGTACACTTGGCCTACGGCTCGCCGCTCGGCTGTGCGTCCTGCTCACAACGGCGCTCTGGCTCTTCGTCCCTCCAGGCGAGAATGTGCCACTCAGGGCCAACGAACTCCGCCGCCGTGCTGACGAAAATGCGTCTGCAAGACTGAAAGCTTGCAAGGAGGCTTGGTGTTCCGGATCCACCCTGCCACGGTACTTCGACTTGGGAATCTCGTTGGGTTTGTAGTATTCGATATCGGTACGGTCCATGTACAGGGTTTCGCCGTTGGGGCCTGTTTGGGACGAGATGCTATTCTTTTTCGTGTTGTAGGAGAACGTTTTCCGTAATCTGACACGGAGGCCCATCTTGTATATGTTTTATTAAGAGACGGTCGATGTGTACGAGGGTAGTTGTTGACAAGGTAGACCTGATTTCTTGTCCGGACGGCCCGTGGTTCGTCTGACTCTCTTCGTAGTTGGGAGGTGTAAGCGTATCTCAGCAGGTACGGATCCAGTCGGGGTACAGTATGGGTATGCTTAGGAGAGTGAAATCGTAGGGACGGATAATGTCCAGGATGTTCAGTTTCATAGGAATGGCATCGACTGGGGTGGCCACTAGCAAGATAGCATTATCAGGGTCAGCTAATGAGCAAAAGCACGAGGACGAGGCAAAAGGTTATGGTAATGCTACTCGTGTACAGTGGAGCCCAAGGAGTTATGCTGAAGTCTGGTACAAGGTAAGTGGAGTGCTCGGAGGAAGTTGGAGCCAAACCTGATATGAGGACCCAGGATAAGACAAGAAGGTCTGCCCACCTGCCCATTTGATACCGAAACCAGATGTAGTGCCCGCAAGTGCGCCATCCTCCGTGTCTTCTATCGCAGTTCTGGGTGTTGGCAGCTCGGTACGTAGCATAACGCGAGACTCGGAAGAGAGGGAGGCGAGGTTTGGAAGGCGAGGGCGGGCTCGAAGGGGACCCAAGGCGGCCAAGCGCGAGTAATCCGACTATTCCGCCGTGTGTCGCACCGATACCCTTGTAGGTTTCCTTCTGTGGGCTCCGAATGGGTCCCGTCTGGCCAGTGACACGGGCGGAGGGAGTGTGGAGGATTCAAGTGCTAACGCTGCGCGAATCGCGGTCGGTCTGAGCGGCCTCAATCCTACCTCACTAACCTGCCCACGTTCCAGAGGCAAGGCGAACTTTCTCCCTGGTTTCGACCCCATGGAGACAGCCGTTGCCGCTGAAATGCAATGCAACATGCCTGATACCCCGGACGGAGGATGTGCTCCTTTGCAGTAAAGAATGGCCTGTAAGAAGCAAGCTGTTCTGTGCTGACGGTGACTGTGGTCGCACATGGAGAATTTGCCGAGCCTCGTAACCTGCAGGTTTGGCTCGAGTTGGTGGTGCCGATCGAAGAAGGAAATGTCACCTTCTAGAACAACGCTTTTTCCGGCACGCCCGCAATGCATTTGGTTGGGTGGCAAGCGCCTGTGCCTTGCATGGGGACGCCCGGACTATCACGGCTTATCAGGCCAAGTCCATGCCTATCAGCACGCAGCACGCATTGGCCGCCCCGAAAACGTGCTCGCACCTGTCGCATCGCTTGCTTGCGAGGCGTGCTGGCACTGGCGAAAGCCGCCGCGCACGCCCGAGATGCACGAGATGCAAATAATGCATGGGTTGTGCCTGCTGATAAGGCCGGCCGAAGCCCTTGTCTAGGTATTGCTTCAGTGTCTTTTCAGCTTGCTTGCACCACTCGTATCTCAGTCGAGTCTTGTCACTCCACGGTATCAGAGATCTGCCCGCGGCCGAGTCCCTTGGCACATGAGCTTCTCAGTTCTTGGTGACTCTCTCGACGAGTCCGAAAGACCTCGTACGAGGTGCAGGACCAGGGCAACGCCCACCTCAAACACGTGACGGCGAAACAGAGTCACGAGATTATCAGCACAAGGGAAGATTCTCGGCCGGACACCACTGCGCTTGCCACTTGAATGGCCCACCCAATTCACTTTTCCCGATCTAGAGTTGAACGACACGTGCTGGGAACAACGATGTTCCAGAGCATCTTTGATCCGGATTTCGCAGCACATACTCCGTACTATGTAAAATGGTCCCGGAGGATGATGTGCATGTTCCATGCTTTGGCGGTGTTGGTTGCATCTCGATTTTGATTAGCGAACCATCATTGGCCGATCCCCAGATCACGTCGCTCAAAATGACCGTTTTGCATCTTTAATGACTTCATTTGTGCTCGAAGCAGCCAACTTTCCTGCTTCTTGCGCGGCCTGTTCACCCCGCTTCCTCTTCAGCATCATCGTTTTGGCTCTTCTTCACGGATCAAGGTTGGCCAAAGTCCAAGCGAGACATAAGCGCTTCCGTATGTGGTGTGAACCCAGCCTCACAAGGCTTCCAGTCGCACCGCCACTAGCCGAAAGAGAGTGCTCCTCGTGCCTCGTCTCCTCTTTATGACGCAACCAAGATCGGAGTGAAGCTCACCGTGTTTTCAGCTTTCTCATCTGCTTGTTTCCTTTACTCGTGCTCGTACACCCAGAAATGCCCGTGTGGCCCGTGCAAACCCTCCAAGCTTGCTGACCCGTCTTTTCTGCATCTGACGCAATCGAAAGGCCAAGTACATGTACAATGGACAGGCTCAAGAACATGGTGTAAGCATCACTTCTCCTTTCGAGCCCCACCAGTCTGCTCACTTCTCAAGTCACAGCAAGGATAACCCGGACCCTGCTGAGCATACTTCTGGTCCAAGTGGTCGATTGACAGGACAAGGCTCCCATTTTCCTAAGAGAGAGGAACAGCTTGCGGCAGGCGAGACAGCCTTGCAGGGTGCGCGCGCTGCTGAATACGTCCCAGGTATGTTCACCTTCAGCTCGTCGACCCCCTAATATCATCTTCTTTCCTCATACTCACTCACGCGATGCCGCAGTCGCAGAATCAGACAGTCGAGTTGCGCCAGGGAGTGGATTGTCAGGCCCGGCTTCTGGCAGTGCTACGGTTGGCGAGACCTCGACCTATAGCTCACGTACTCTTCCCCCAGGCGATACTGTCGGAAGTGTAGTTGACCCGACCTCAGCCGACCCTACCACCTACCAAATGCCAGAACACTCCTACACCTCCAGTAGGGGAGTCCCCGAAGGAGGGCCGTTGGCAGCAGCCGCAGCGGCGTTTCACAAGGACCGGGACTATAGCAGTAAGTTGCAGACCGGACTTCCTCGAGATCCCGTGAGGCTGATGTGTGTAGCCTCGAATCTCCCAGGAGCTTTTCCCAAAGAAACGGCATACGATTCGGTCACCATTGCCCCTTCATCATCGACGTCGACAGCCGATCCATCTAGCCAATCTGCCACTTACAGTCAGACGGAGAATACCATGCTGCCTGATGCCAATGCTGCAGCTCAATCAGCCAACAGTGCTGCGTCGGTAAGCAGGGAAGCAGGCTCGGACGAGCCAAAACACACGAGCACCGTTGGGAAGATCCTCGGTGCTGTAGGCCTTGGAACCGCTGCTGCTGGCGCTGGAGTCGCTTCTTCGAGGGCAAGAGACGATGTCTCTCAGCCTACAACCACTACCGGTGTTGATTCTTACACCGCCCCAACGCAGTCAGTTCCCGTATCATCGGATCATGGACTCTCAGACGTTTCTCAACCTACAACCACTACAGGTGTTGACTCTTACACTGCCCCAACGCAGTCAGTTCCCGTATCATCGGATCCGGAAGTCTCAGAACCGGCGCACCGACACCAGCGTAAGGAAAGCATTCCTACTACAGCCTATCCGGCAGGTTTAGAATCTCCTGCACCTATAAATGCTCCAATTGGAGGCACAACTGCTTCGCGTGAGCCAGAGTCCAAGGATCACACAGGTCGCAATGTCGGTTTCGCAGCAGCGGGTGCCGGCGCGGCAGCTATTGGAGCATATGAATACGGGCGGGACAAGGAAGTTCGTGGGGGTGTAATGGACACTCCAGCGCACGGTACTGCCAGCACAACATCTCCTGCTGCCATCCCAATGGAACTCGGGCAGGACAGCTCCCATCTGGGACGAGACACCATTGCGACTCCAGCAACGACGGTGACGCAACCGGAAAGAGAGTCGCATGGGTACGGCAAAACAGCAGCGGCAGCCGGCGGCGTCGGCGCGGCAGCTCTTGGCGCACATGAATATGGCCGGGACAAGGAATTGCGTGAAGATGTAATGGACACTCCAGCGCACGGTACTGCTAGCAGAACGACCCCTGCTGCTGCCGCACCACAATTCAAGCAGGACAGCTCCCATCTGGGACGAGATACCAGGGAGACTCCCACAACAACGGTGACGGACTCGGGTAGAGACTCGCATGGGTACGGCGAAACAGCAGCGGCAGCTGGTGTGGGCGCTGGAGCAGGCGCCGCCGGAATGTATGCCTTGCAGCACAATGATCGCGAGGCCGAGCGATCCGACTGGCCTCTCCGCGAGGATGTTACTACGACGCCAGCTGCCAGCGCTATACCTACTTCACAAAGAGCTATGGAGAAGCAACCTGCTGCTGTGCAGTCCCGTCAACAAGATTACGCCGCGCACAACGCTCCACAGAGGACCATGGAGAGGCAGCCTGCTGCTGTCGAGACCCGTCAACAGGATTACTCTGCGTATAACGCACCAGCAGCCAAGAACACAGATCAAAGTATCCCAGAGAGATCAGCCCCTCCGCAGTACAGTGACCGTCAGAGCCGGTATGAAGAGCCGTCGCAGAAGGACACGGCAAGAAAAGAGGCCGCCCGGGCCGGCACTGCAGAGACCGGAACAGCAGCGTCAACCGTGCCAGGGCGCAACGAGGAACAAGCCAAAGCTGATGATGAAGCTGAACGGCGAAGGCGAAGAGAGAAAGAGGCTGCACTCGCAGGTGCGGCTGGCGTTGGTGCTGGTGCCACAGGTTTCCATGAATACGAGAAACACCAACACGAGGAAGACGAGGCTCGTCGACAGAAAGACTTAGCTGAACAGGAGGAAGCTCGCCGTAGACAATTCGAGAAAGACCAAAAAGCTGCCGCTAAAGAAGCAAAGAAGGAGGAGAAGAAGCAGGCAAAAGAGGAAAAGCTAGCAGCCAAGGAGGAGCACAAACATCAGAAGGAGGTGGAGAAGGAAGAGAAAAAGCACGAGAAAGAGCTCGAGAAGGAGCACAAACACCGGAAGGAAGTGGAGAAGGAAGAGAAAAAGCATGAGAAAGAGCTCGCGAAGGAGGAGAAGGAACACCGAAAGGAGCTTGAGAAGGAGGAGGCACACCGAAAAGAGCTTGAGAAAGAAAGAACGGCACATGACAAGGCAGCCATCGCCGAGCAGGAGAGGCAGCAGAAGCGGGACCGCGAAGAACGTGAACGACATGAGAAAGAAGCCGCTGCGGCCACTGCTGTTGGAGGCGGCGCAGCTGGGTACGAAGTCCACGATAAGGATAGACACCCACCTCCGACTACCGCTACTGATGAATCAGGCCATACGAAGCTTCACAAGGATCCGCCCCCAGAGAAGAAACCCGGTCTCTTGAAGCGAATATTCCGCAGGCGCAAGAACAAGGATACTGGCGAGGACGAAGAATACGAAGACTACGAAGGCCACGAGCACGAGCTTGAATCGGAGCATGCCGACCACCACATCGCCGCAAGTGGTATCGGAGCCGGAACAAGTGCAGCTACTGCTGGAACTGCTGTTGCAACGTCCCACGAGCTTCCTGCCAATTCCTACGAAGCACAAAGCGGTGGTGCGCAGAAGCCGTCTTACAACCCATTCAAGAAAGACGATCCAGCCAGCACCGTCGGCGTCGCTGGAACCACGGCGAGCGCTCATCCTCCTGCCTCTCGTGACTTTGATCCTCCTCCCCAATACTGAGCATGATGCCAACCCTGTCGTTGCCCGAACCACGAAGAGTATGCAAGAACAACCTTTCTACCACGCCACGCACGACCTCATGCAGAACGACCATTTCCCCGATAATGTGAATATCTTGATCATATCGGTGGACTCAACCTTAACTGATGAAGGGAAGACCGAGTCTAGCATGTTGAGTTGATTGGTGGTGCTAGACCGTTATCTGCCAGGGAGGTATTATCACAGATGGGAATGGACTCGTTTCCGGTCCACGGGCCCTCATGCCCTACGGAAGTGACACAGAGGATACATAGTTCGCAAGGTGTGTTCCGTTTTGCAGAAGGGACGGACCGTTGAGCTGCGAACTCGATCGACAAAGGTAATATCCGGGGTAATTATCTGGCTCGGAACGATCTTTCGGATTGATTGATGTCGCCTTCTATACCCATGAATAATCATTTGCTCTACCATTTTACGAAGAACCCAGATGAGTTATGTGTTCTCCTCGTGCGCTGTCTGTGCGATTCGATCCTTGCGCAAAAGGTGACAACCTTTGTAGTTCATCACCTTGATGGTGGGCGGACCATGATTTCGCTCTTCAGGGGTGGTTAGCCACCCTGCCTGCCGCACTGTGGTTGTCATATACATGCTTGACAAAGGTACCTAGGTACGTGATGCAAAGTACACACGCAAGCTCCAAGTTGCCTCGTAGCAATATAGTTCGGCATTCAGCCCACCGGTCATCATCATCATCCGTTTTACAGAAGCGAGCGGATTGCCCGGAAGGGACAGGACAAAGCAAAGACACAGCAAGCCGCGCGCATCAGTCATCAAGCTACAGCAACAAAACCCACACATGCATGCACGTTGGAGATACGGTACAGGATCGATTCGCGGTATCAATGAGCAGAGCCCACTGCTTCGTTGGAAACAGCCTACGGTACGATAGAAGCAAAGCAAGCAAGCAAGCAGTCAAGCAATCAATCACTCACTGTGCCTTCTTGCTAGTGGCGGTGCTCATGTAACGACATCTGGCACTCCCGTGTAGCCTGCATGTCTCCTCACACTGTGGAAACTCCGGGCCGGACGTGAAGCTGAAGCTGAAGCTGAAGAATCGTAGAAAATGCCCGCGCTGGGGTTATTTGATTTGGATTGTAATACACTGCTATTTTCTCCCGTCCCTCGTCGGCATCCTGTCCCCAAAAACAGAGAAACGCTCGTTCAGGACAGCCCAATGCCTTCCACCCTGAAACTGAAGCTGACGCCGACCGATTCTTTCACCGGACAAGACCATCCTTTGATCATTTGTCTTCATGCCCAGACATTCCTATGCCAATCCGGCCTTATCATCCTTCGCCCGTTTGGTGTACAGCCGCGCCGCGATATTCATGCTCCACAGTTCCTGGAACAGCAACTTCGCCGCATAGGGGATATGGATCTGACTGATCTTGTTCTTGTTGTTGCAGTTCTTGCATTCGTACGTGCTCTTCTTGAGTTTGGCGATAACAGTCATCAGGCCGCAAATGTCACACACGTGGACGCGGAACGGATCCGACACGTCAAAGAGGCGTTCTTTGAGGAACGAGGAGGCGCCGTGCGCAATCATGCAGTCCCGCTCCATCTCGCCGAACCGTAGACCACCGTCCCGCGCACGACCCTCGACGGGTTGGCGCGTCAGGATCTGTGTTGGGCCGCGGGCACGAGAGTGGATCTTATCGTCGACCATGTGCCGTAGACGCTGATAGTATGTAGGGCCCAGGAAGACCTGCGCGACGAGCTTGCGGCCCGTGTGCCCGTTGTACATGACCTCGAAGCCGCGGGAATGGTAGCCCATCCGTCGGAGCAGTTCGGAGATCTGAGTTACAGTGACCTTCGTGAATGGTGTGGCGTCGCCTTCATCGCCTCTGAGCGTGGCGACTTTGGAGAGCTGACACTCGATCAAATGCGCAATCGTCATGCGCGAGGGAATGGCGTGCGGGTTGATGATCAGATCGGGGACGACGCCTTCGCGTGTAAAGGGCATGTCCTCGTGGCGGTAGGTTATACCAATGGTACCCTTCTGACCGTGGCGAGACGCGAACTTGTCCCCGATTTGCGGCACTTTTGTCGTTCTGACCCTGACCTTGGCGAACCGATTGCCCTCAGAGTTCGTCGACAGCATGACTTGATCGACAATGCCCGACTCGGTAGACCGTAGAGGTGTCGATACATCTCTCTTGATGTGTTGTTTCTGTCTTTGCCCCAGTTCTTCCGCATCTGGTGCCATTGGCGCAGTCTTGCCCATGATGATGTCTTCGCCACTGACGCGCACGCCCGGTGCGACAATGCCGTCTTCATCGATCTTGTCGTATGTGCCGTGCTTGAGACGAAGGGTGTCACTTCTCGTGGGCTTTTCAAACTGTTCGAGGACTGCATGGCCGACAATCTTCTCCTGATCCTGGTAAGTTCGGTAGAACAGTGATCGGAAAAGGCCTCGATCGATAGAACTCTGGTTCATGACGACGGAATCTTCTTGGTTGTAGCCGGAGTAACATGCAATCGCCACGATCGCGTTCTGCCCCGCAGGCAGTTCGCGGAACTTCAGGTAGTCCATTGCCATGGTCCTGGCAAGCGGCTTCTGAGGGTAGTAAAGAATGTTCGCCATAGTTTCCATTCGTTGGTCAAAATTCGTGAGGAAAACGCCCATAGCTTGTTTACCCATAGCGGACTGGTAGGTATTACGAGGAGACTGGTTGTGATCGGGGAAAGGAATGATACTGGCACAAACACCCAAGATCATACTGGGGTGAATCTCGCAGTGAGTGAAGCCTTCGCCGCCGCGGACTAGCGGAGGATCGTTTCTTCGTAATGGGTCGTCTTCTGGCTCAATGTCCAAGCCCGCTTTCTTCGCGTTGGCGTCGGATAAGGCTTCAGGGCTCATGATGATCAGCGCAGTCTCTTCCTCTTCGGCATCGAGGTATTCAACAACACCGTCCTCCAACAGCTCGTTCCAGCCATACGGCTTGACCTCTGACCAATCGTAGCCGTCCTCTTTCAATATGGCAGTGTTGTCCAGCCTCTGGATGTGTTCCTTGTTGAGGACGAGATTCCCTCTGTTAGGTGAGCCTCGATCGGTTTCGACGATAAAAAGTGGACGAATAATCCTGCCCGAGTCACCGCTGACTCGGAACTCTTTTTCTCGAATGTCCCAGACCAGACTGACTTGCTGGTCGAACGTGCCCTTTCGTCGTAGCTTGCGAAGGTCATCTACCAATCGCTTGGGATCTCGCAGAACAACAGCAAACCACACACCATCGACGAAGACTTTGGTGGCTTGAGGATTCAATCGAGGTTCCCAATCTTCTAGAGCCTCAACGTTCAAAGACATGATGTAGTCGGTCAACGGTTTGGTCTCGTAGGCATTTGTAACCATCGACATCAGTGACAGGTTCTTGACCAAACCGCAAGCTTGACCCTCAGGCGTTTCAGCAGGACAAACATAACCCCAATGCGTATTGTGGAGCTGGCGAGGCTTTGCAATCTTCCCTTCTCGGCCGATGGGTGCGTTGGTTCGACGAAGGTGAGACAGGGTAGAGGCAAAAGTGTAACGACTGAGTACCTGAGACACGCCGGCCTTTGCCTTGTCCAGCTTCTTCTGATCGCCCCAGTTGCCAGTGGCCAACGAATACTTCAACCCGGTTGTAATCATCTGGTTCTTGAACCCGGCTGTCATGTTGATCTGTTGGCCGGCTTCTACGCGCTTTGTCATATACCGATAGAAGTCTTTCGTGGCCTTGTCGAGTTGCAAGCGGAACAAGTTTGTCATCAAAGGACCAGCGAGGTCAAGCCGCTTCTTGCCCAAATGGTCTCGATCATCGGGTTCGGCCCGTCCAAGAGCGCACTTCAATAACCGATTGATCATGTAGCCCAAGAAGAATGCCTTGCGAGCAGTGGCATCCGCAGTCTGGCCAATATGCGGCAAAAACTCCTTTGTCAGAATATCGATTGCGTGCTTCTGTCGTTCGTGACTCTTGAGCGTAGGAACGGTACCCCGCCGTGCTATGAAGTCACGAGCCAGATCCGCACCCTGAATGGCCTGACCCTCTTGCAGCGAACCCATCAGCATATCCATCATCTCCTTGTCACTTTGGTCGAACACAATCTTCTCCAAGATATCTGCATCGGAGACGATGTCCAGGGCGCGAAAGACAATGACAAGAGGAATGTCCTGCTTGACGTAGGGGAGTTGGACCCGGATTGGATTGTCGATCTTGGTACCATCGGGACCATCGACTCTTCGGAAGAGTTTAACTGTGCATTGCGACATCATGCGGGCACCTTTGTCGATGACGGATCTGATTTCGGCAAGATGAGTGAATGGGGACGGCGCTGCCTTCTGAAAGACCTGGACAATATTGCCAGCACTCCGTTCCTGCGCAATTAGGACCTTTTCGCTGCCGTTTATGATGAAGTAGCCGCCCTGGTCGTAAGGGCACTCTCCCCATGCGAACAAGTCCCTCTCGCCCTGAAACTGTTCGCTCACCAGGTGGCAGGTCATACTTCTGACCATGATGGGGACTTTGCCGAGGAAGACATCCTTCTCGGCTTCGTTATCATCGGGATCATCGCTCTGTCTCCAATATAACTGAGAGCCATCGTCTCTCTGGCTCTGAACAGTCTCGTATATTGAGTCCTCTTGCCACGGCTTCTCCTTCGCGTACCATGTTCTTCTGCTCATCCTCACGAAAACGGGACTCGCGTAGGTCAGACTTCGCATCCGGGCTTCGTGAGGCATGCAATCGGCCGTGGTACCCTCGACTTCGGTCACGTTGGGCTTGCTGAGAGAGACCTTGCCGAACTTGACTTCGTGTCGCTTGATGACAACAGGATTCGGATCGTCCTCGTCGACATTTTGCGCATGGTCAAGTGTGACGCCGCCCTTTTCGTTGATGAGATCTTGTAATCCAGCCCTCATAAAGTGATTGAATGAATCTATCTGCATAGATGCGAGTTTCTTGATTTCAAAGAACGAACTGATGACCTTCCAGCAGTCTTCAGATGTGATATCGTCTTGACCGACGTCAACTTCATCGTAGGCCCCATTTTCACCATAGCCGTTCAGCTCGTACTTCTCATCGTAGTCCGCCATGACGGGCGGCTGGGGGTCGGGCAGAGCGTGCGGAGACGGAGGAGGTACGACAACGGAATCGGCGCGATGTAGAGGAACGACGGTAGGAGAGACAAAGTTGATCGCCTGCGAGGCGCAACTCGAGCGGGTTGGAATGCGCTGACACAAAGGCACTGAAATATCAGTGAAGACTTCAGATTCCTCTCCCAAGATCACTCACGGAGTGAGAGACTGTCAGGATCCCCGGCCGCAGGTGAAAGGAGTCCGCACGGACAGTTGTGAGGTATTGTTGGTTCGAGGGATGGTTTTGGTCACTTTTGGGCGGCGTCGCGAAAGAACAAATCGAGCGAGACTGCATGCGACTTTGCGCATGTTTCACCGTAGTACGGCGAGCTACAGAGACACGAGTTACATATCCACCCCGACGAGAAGACGGACTACGAGTCAACGACACTGAGAAGCTAATGAAGGATCGAAGACGAAAGGGGTATCTCATTATGCGTGTGTCAGCTAGCAGCAACGGCGTCCTCCCTAGTGTCTCATTAGATCTCTCATTCACAAACACCAGGCTTCATGACTCCACGCACAGGATTAAAGCCTCGAGCATCTCCTCCGTTGCCTTGGCCTCATCGCCGCCTCCAGGATCCATGCCTTCCAGCTGATCTTTGAGGCTCCTTTCAAGAACTTTAAGCCCATCTTCGCCCAGAAGGATTGTAATGGTCTGTCTCGCGCCATTATCCTCCGCCACCATCCAGCTGAGGATCAATTCGATTGCCTGTAGAGTAAACAGGCCAGCGTCAAGTCGCCGCGAGAGCCACTCATCCGCCCTCTCCTCGGCCTGCGCTTTACTGAGGCCTTCTCGCTCTCTCCGGATGTCCGCATCGGCCTTGCTAAGCCGAGCCTTGTACTCGCGCCGTAGCTCCACCAATTTGGTGATTTTCTCATAGTCGTTTTCCACGAACTTGGCTAATGTGCGGATCCGTTGTGCAGATCCTCCTGGTAAGTATCTCAACAGGCTTGCCAGAATGCCAATGATGTGTTCGACCAAGCTGCGTTCCATTTTGTGCCCTTTCATGAGCATACCGAAAATCGTTTTCAATCCTGCCGCATCTACCAGCCTGATGGATACGGTAGTTGCATTTCCCCCGCTCAATGCATGGTCGAGTACTCGCAGAGCCCGTGCCTTGGCTAATCGCCCTTCGCGGAGCATAATCAGACACAACTCCACGCCTTCGCCCTCCACAAACTTTTCGCCGGCAAATCGTTCCTCGACCGCACAAGCCAAACAGTCGAAGAGGTTCTCTGCAAACTCTTCCTCATCCGAGTCCTTCTCCGGGTCTCGTTTGCGGTACGCACTGACAAGCTCGAGCAAGGCATCGACTCCTTCTTTCTGTGCTAGCCGATCTCGGTTCCTCTTGTTGCTTTGCAGCAGTATGGCAAGTATTTCGGCTGCGTATTGACGATTCTGCCCCACCTTCGCTCTAGCATCCGGGTCTGGCTTCTTTATCCGTGACAGAAGCCACTCCAACATGGCATTATTTGCTCCGACGACCTCCAAATTATCCGTATCGGACATGATGTTCTCGAGGACGTTGAGGATGTGGTAGACACCAGCGCGGTCAGTCTCGCTGGACTCGTCTAGTCGACTGAGGTTGCTAGTCAAGAGGTCAACAACATCAGCTTTGATCAAGGCCTTGACCAAAATGTTCCATTGCTCTTCGGTTGTGGCTGAGTCTTCGTCTGTGAGTTCTGCAAGCAACTCGCAGGCACTAATGGCAATGTCGGTGTTTTCATGCGCGAGGATGCCCACCAGACTACCCACGGAACCAATCTTGACAAATTCGGCGTATAGTTCGCCATGCTCACTGAGTAAACTCAGGCCTTTGATCTCAGCGTCGAGGTCTGCCTCGCTACCCACAAACTTCATAGGTTCACTTTCGTATTTGGCGCGTAGCTCGGCATTCTTGTTGATCTTTCGCTCAAAATTTATTGCTGTCCGACGCAGCCAGGCAGCGTCGATCTTTTCTTCGAGCTCTCCGCTCTCGTTCTTGTCAATGTAGTCTATGACTTCGCGTTCTTGCTTTGTGACACCGCCACCGAAGAAGCGGCCCTCCTCATCGTCTCCCGCATCGTCCTCCACACCCTGCGAGGGGCGCGAGGGCCCAGCCTCGACGGCGTCCTGATCATCTAATGGCTCGTCCTCCACTGAGGCAGCCCTGCCATTAGAGCCGTTGGACGCGGTCGCGTCTTGAGAGCCGTTGGTTGAACTTCGTGGGGACGAGCCTTCGGCTAGTTTCGCCGATTTATTGGAGAGGGCATTGGAGAAGGCCTTGGTCGGGTCCTCCAGTTTTCGCTTGGGAAGGGCAATGGGCTTGCGGAAGAGATCATCGATTGAAGCCATAATGGCACCGCAGTCCTTCTTAACACTTCATCTTCAAGAGTAGAGAGAATACTGGACACAGCAGGGCATGATAGAAACCCGCAGGCATGGAGCGAGAAATGAAGTAATGAAGAAATGAACAGACGAAACAACCCTCCGACTGCCTCCGCAGAAAATATTCCCCAAGGGAAAGTCAGCCGAGCCGAGCACGTCGCCCGCGAGCCGTGCCACCTTGCACGTGATCAACTTCCCTTCGTCCCGATTATTTCCTTTGCCTCGAGCTGGACTTAATGATCGCAGGCGAGCGCGTTTCGTTCTCTCCAAGAGACGCGGTGCTCCTTGGCGTGTCCCTCGTACACTAGCGGCAGGTGGGTCTCGAGGACTAGGGCAGCATGCCGATTCGCAAACCCTAGACAAGGCCACTGTTGATCTGCCTCGAGCCACACATCTGGTGCGACTGTGTCCAGCGTCCAGCGAGGCGCCTGAATGGCCATTATTCACAGGAGCCAATTTCCAGCATATGGAACCCGGTTGTAAGCTGGGTAGATACCCGGACATGAGATTCGGTGCCTGATCACGAACTCACCTTGGCCCCAATCGGCTCGACGACTGCCCTTTTGTTTCAACCATGTCGATGCTTGCGAGCGCTTGCCGTTTAATGCAAGTGATTGACATGTCTTGGTCTTCGCAGCCATGATTGGTCAGGTCGTGCAGGAGCTGGAAGATGGACAACCGGTCAGCATCAAATTAGCTTCGGTTATCGACGCCGTGCCTCGCGAGGCTGTAAGGCCTCCCTCGAACAAGCCTTGGACAATGGCACAGTCGGCGAAGATCCTGGCATGTTGAACAGTCAGGAGGCCCTAGCTGCGGCAACATCAAGGCAAGTCTGCTTCCATATCAATGACGTGCAGCGCACAATTTCATCTCCTACTGTCCTCCGCGATCACATTCACCAAGATCCGAGCACTCACTGTGGGCCACGATGCTCTGCTCTGTCGCTGCTGCTGCTCTTCTACTTGTCAACCTACGTTCCTTCGTTGAGGCCGCAACTGGCGTCTGTTACAATCCAGTAAGTGGCTACTATCCGCAACGAGCCGGTGCGCGATGGACTGGGTCGCACCGGAGAGTCTTACACGAGTACGCGCTGATCATTAATTACAGGACGGAACGCAAACCTCGAATCCAGCATTTCAACCATGCGTCCCTTCTGCCAACGTGACCCATTGCTGTCGTACGGGCGAGACCTGCTTGAAGAGCGGATTATGCCTGGCCATGGTTGGAATACCGAGCCCGTCAACCTCCCAACCGCTGACATCGCAGCAGAACCATACATCCCTCAACTCAGGGTTATGCACCGACAGCACGTGGCAGGACCAAGCCTGCTTCCTCCAATGTGTCAACAGTTATAGGGCCGGTCCAAGCACCGTATATAGGTGCAACAACAACAATTGGTGCTGTGCAGACGGCGTCGCCAATTCTACCTCGTGTTGCCAAGACAAGGGCGTCGGCCTATTCCCTATCCTTAAACATGCGGCAGTTGAAAATGGGTCGGCGTTTATAAAAGGCTACAGGTGAGCGCATTCCAAAATCTATTACTTGTTACCCAGAACTGCATGGCTTTCTAGCCGTCCCCATACATGTCTTGAGGGTTAATCAGAGGACAGCATCGCGCCTCTTGCGAGCATCATCACCCACGAATCCACTTCGACAGCTATACCGAAACAGACAATGACCTTTACGACAGATTTTTCTGGCTCGCCCGTGACCATTACTGCAACGTCCACAATCGACCCAGATACTTTTCCAGTGCGGGAAGTCGCCGACGATTCTGCAGTCATGACGACAGGACTCGGCGCCGGGCTGGGGATTGGACTTCCGTTGCTGGCAATTGTTGGCGTTCTGTCTTTTCTCCTTTTCCGGGAGAAACAGCGCCACCGTGCGACGAAGGCCAGCTTATCCAATGCTGACAGCTATGGCTATCCTCTTGTCCCAAATTCTCTAAAAGTCCCAAACCATCCATATCAGCCCGCTCCTGGAGACTGGGCGCATCAGTCGCCATACAGTAGGCAACATGCTGTCGAGGCCGATACCTCCATTGCGTCTGGAGCCGCTGCCCGAGAAAGGCCGTCACCACGCCAAGAACTTCCAGGATCATGACCATGATACAGAAGGACGGGGCAACCTAGACGCAAACCCCTGACACGGTACGGAATGGCATGTGTGCGGAAACTTTTGCTTCATGAAACCCTGAGCATGTATCTTGGCGGAGGAACTGAATACCACGCGTCGGTTTCGCGTTCGAGGACACTGCTTCCTTCAAACTCTGGCGGTGGCACAAGCCAGGAGTTCTCGGGACGATCGATCTGAGCCGCTGCGTTCTGGTACGGGGTGCCGCGATCCGACGGTCGAGTGACAAGACCTCCGCTTTCAACGGTTCTCAGTAGTCGCCTTGCGTCCTGGGCCGACACGGCTGACACTTTGACGGGCACGTCCCTGCGGACGAACTCGAAGCTCTTGCCTTCGTATTCGAAACCAAGTTCTATGTCCAGAGCATGTTCGATGGAGATGTTACTGGTCGCAAAATCAACCACGAGGAATTCCTTGGCTATGCGCAACTCGGTGACCTGACCAAGATTGATGGCGCCTTGACTTCCGGCGCCCTCTGTGCTCTGCTCATCTGGGTTCGGGGACACGCGGACTGGCAATGAACAGGTCGTCTTTCTCGTATAAGTCTTGCGAGTCGACTTCGATGTGTGGTGTCCAGCTCGGACATGAGTGAATTGGTTGACTGTGATTTTCATGGCTTTCATTGTGAGTGTCGGCGCGGCACAACGAGTTGGGCTTTGCCCGTCACTCACTCTCTCTTGGTGGCTGCTGTTGCCCAAGCTGGCTGACAGCAATATATCGACTGTCGAGTAGTCTTCTTTGACCTCGATTTGCGTGGGCAAATGGACAGAGATGTTGAGAGAGGGAGCCACGCTAGGTGCAATACTCTTCCCGCCGACCTGGTTTGATTTTGACAGCTTGAGAAGTCGTGAGATTGGCGTCTGCTCCAGGGGATTCGACTTCGACTTTGGGCTTCGCACGATCTGCTCATGGCGGGCATATGACTGTCTCTCCGGGCAGCCTCTGCTGGAACTCGAACACTGGTCAGGTTGAAGGAGGATGTTCGTCTTGGCGGCCAGTTTCTTCGCCTTCACTGCGCTCCCAGCGACCGACGTCAAGGTCGCTTCCACCACGTATTCCACCTGACAGCCGAACCCACGACACGTGTACAGCATACTTGGCGGCAGATCAGTGTGGGGCTGTAGCGCATTTCCGCCAGCCAGGAATGGACACTGCGATGCATATCCATCTCTGCGGTCCGTGGTCAAGGGTACTTGCATTTCGAATTCCCAGCTGTACTGCCCGGCCTGGTGCGTCCACTTGCCGCCGGTGTACAGTACTGCGTCGCGATGGAAAAGAACGGCCCGAGAGTGATGGTCCGATTTCGAAACGTTGAGGTCACCGTAGTTCTGCGTCAAGGTGACTCGAGAGAACCCAGTCAATGTGACGTTGATCGAGCCGATCGCGATGGACGTCAAGGATGTTAGGAAGACTGTGCCGCGAATAGCCGATCCAGGGCGATATGCCCCATCGGCTGGCGAAAGGAGGATTGAGAGAGACATTCTTCAGATTTGAGGTTTAGAGGTCCCACAAACTGTATGTCGTTGCCGGGATCTTGTGGTGTCTGGTGGAGGTGTATTGCGCTGAGTATCGGTTAAGGCAGGGACGTTCCAATTCTTGTTGAGTCGTCAAATGTCTTTTGACTATCTCCTACGCCGTGCAAATAGCGTCTGGGATCGTTCCCGCCTCAAATATTCGAACCGTTGCATAGATCAAATTTGGGATGCGTAAAGAGCAATGTGCTGCGGCGCGTGCCCTTCTTATCAACACCACAACCATACTCCCTGACGAGACTGAGATCCTCACTCCAGAGAATCTAGAAGGTCCCACCGCGTGACGCAGACTAACAGTAAATTGGAAGTCTTAAGCCGGGTTGAGCCGGTCGGCGCTCGCATCGCAATTATCGACAACTCTGAGGCCAGCAGTGCATGCCAGCGTGCCAGGCTCGCAAGGCGTGAGGCGTACGACCAAGCTTTCAGCTTTCAGCTGCCACAAAGCTTGCGTACGTTAGTGCACCCTACCGTATGTTAGCTGCCGAGAGCGGGAAGAGTCCGCTTGGAAGGAAGGCCTTGTCAGCAAGGTTGGACAATACCTAGCCGGGCCATGCATGCATCGTCGGTGATGTGGTGATGTGGTGATGTGCTCTGGTGCTGATGTGCTCTGCAGGAAGCGCCTCGCATCGCTTACGGTGTACCGAGGATTCTAGAAGCCAGAAGCGGCCTCGGGAGTTGGGCGCTAACTAGGCTCCCCGCAAAGGACGGGATGGATCCCTTATGCGTCGTAGTACTGTACGACCGGAGGGAAGGACGCACATCGGCGCGGCGGCACAATATATAGGGTACAGCATGCCTAATTGAGAAGAGGCTTGCATACGACCCCTTCTTTGGACGCTGGTCTGCGTTGTGGGCTCATGTCGGCTTGGCCATCCTGTTTCTGTCATCAGTGGTGTCCAGACGGACGGTATGAATGACCATGGAAGCACCGTCGTACAGTCTGGGACGCAGGGACGTTGAGCGCCGCATGTACAGTACGTGAGCAAATTTAGTTGTTGTTGCAGGTGCGTGCGCCGCGCGTCGTCCCAAAAGCGTGGAGCGTAACCTGATGGATTACAACGAAGCCCTACCTAGTAGAGACGCAAGCTTCTCTTGGTCCATGTGGCTCCGAGTGACGGACTTCCCTGGAAAACCACACCGCCCAATAGCATCGCAAACCTGCCAAGGTGATCTCCATCCTAGACATAAATGGAATCCCGTACCCGAACGCAAATGCTGAGGCCGACGCCAACGCCGAATCTAAAAGCCTCACCAGCTGCTCCAACACCGACGTTACCATGTCCTACAGCGTCGAGTGTTGGTTGGGGTGCGAACCGCAGGGATCAATACTTCCGCTTCCGCACCGTCTTGGGCACCTCGTCGCCATCGTTCTCGTACTCTTTGCCTTCATTGACGTCCTTCTTCCGCATGGTGCCCACGCCGTGACGAACAAGTTCTTGGTCGTCGCCCTCGGAGTCCTCAATGTCGTACAAGACAGGCAGCACGAACGAGGCGTCTTCGGGTTTGGCTTCGACGCTACAGACCACAATCAGCGACGGTGACAAAGCAAGGGGAGAGGCGAAACTCACGTCAAAATATCCACGTCCTCATCCTCCCGGTCTAACCGTCTCTTCTGGTGCTCCTCCTGGGGGTACTCGTCGAACTCGTCCTCGCGTTCGATGTACTCGACGTTTTCGGTCACTTCGGTGAAATCCGGTGCCAAGGCGGACCATTTCTGCTGTGGCTCGATGCCCCAGATCTGGATGCTCCCCGTCTCGATCGAAGTGCAGGCCAGGAGCGGCCGAGAAGGGTGCCACTCGATGATGGCGGGTTCTTCGCGGTTTTCCAGGATGCGCAGGAGCGAGTTGGTGCGTAGTTCCCAGATGTAGATGTCCTTCTTCATGTATGTCGAGGCGGTCACGTAGTCGGCGATGCCTGTCGAGGAGGAGTGACTGAACGCGCAGTGGTTCCAGCGGAGTCGGTTGACCAGGTCTTGGAACTTGTGCTCGATTGTCAGGTGGATGTTCTCTGCCAGGGTGGCTGGGTCGGGGTGGTCGGTGTCGTCCGTGTACGGGGAGGAGGACGCACGTATGATGCTAAGGTCGGGCAGATTTACTGTGCGGATGATGCGGTCGGTGCTGTTGGCCAACAGTTGACGGCCGTTTGTAGTTAGTCTGAGAAGCGAGATGAGGCCACCACTGATCTTGGTGGAGTGGATGATTTTCCGGGACTCGGTTTCCAGGATGTTGATATACCCCTTGGACGTGCCTGTGATGATGTGGTTTCCGAGCACTGAGAAGATGGCCGAGGTGGTGGCTTGCTTGTTTTCTGCTCGAGATAGTCCATCGTCGCTGAGCGGCGTGGTTGGCAGGACGCGCTTGACCGCGATGGGCTCCGTTATGTCGACCAGATAAGGCCGGTCTTCGAACAGTGACGCGACAAAGAGGTTGTGGTTGTATGGATGTAGTTCGGCCGTGTAGATGGGCGCTTCGAACTTTACTGTGCGGATGCGTTCTTGGGTCTGTAGGTCCCACAAGCAGGCGCGGCAGTCTTGACTGGCCGAGAGGAGAAATCGGCCATCTCGAGACCAGCTGAGGGCGACATGTCAGATGGAAACGACATTGTTGAGGGCCTCTACACCTACCTCAAACTTTGGATCTGTTTCCAGTGACCGTTCAGTTTCATGCCGATGCCGTAGGTCTCCATGTCCCTTTGATCAGGCAGTGTGTTAGTTGCATGGGCATCGAATTCGACTCTTTGTCCTCGGATAGCACTGATGCAACTTCCAGTACCAAGCACGACTAGACTCACCAGATGACAATTTTCCCATCGACCCTACCTGAGGCGAGATAGTCGCCCTTGCGACTGAATCTGAGGGTTGTCGCATGGCCAGATCCTGTCGGAGTCAGTCTTTGTCCCCAGCGTTGGGACCGACTTTACGTACTGAGGTCGTTCGTAAGCGCGTCCGGAGAGTCCTGGGCTAGCTGAAACGGATCAATCAATGCCAGGTTCATCTTGTCGTTGCGTGGGAGAAGAGAGTGACCAATTCCATTCCTTAAAAGTCGCCATGTCTTGATCTCGGACTCGGTCCATGTGCTTCCCCGTACTAGTGCTGAGCAGTGCGCCATGGCGTGCAAGGGGCAGATTCTACAAACTTTACCAAGACGAGCATTACTGGGAAACTACGGGATGTAGCAAAGACAAGAAGATATCCTGTATGGGAACCAACCCTCTAGTTTCGCAAGGACCATCTGGCTGGGTACATACTTAACTTGCACCAGGCAGGCAGCGGTACTCAAACGGGTGAATAGGTTCACGTGTATTTCAATCGACATAATATGACACCTGTATCTTGGGAACGCAAGATTCGACTGTATGATGCTGCTTTGATTATACGAGTACGTACATGAAAAGTTGTCAAGAGGTCGCCGGTCGCTGGTGAACAGAACATAACTTGAAGACGTTGGCTGTTTCTGCCAGAAGGTCGGAAGGCTAATGCTCTCTTATACACAGATCCCGCGGTGACATTTTCACGTTTGATCCATGAACTCTGGATTTGAAGTCCACGTCTTCGGAAATGAAGTGACTCATTTGATCAATGTGTTGTTCATTGCTTGTCACTATTGTTCAGGAAGAGTCATTTGGATGATGATTCACAAAAGGCAGCCCTGCCTGACTGCGCCTTGGCATGTGCCGGAGTGGTACGGTGAATCATTTTGTTCTGTTTGTCGTTCACGGCGCTAGTGCGGCCGCCGATTGGTCCGCCGGCCTCGCCGTAAACGGCATGGCGGCTGGCTGCCTGCGCTCGCCCTTGATCTCTGGCAAAATCTTCGCCATCATCTCTGCCTCGTCTTCATCCTCAACCTCAACCACCACCCACCCTCGACCATCTCGAAACGATCGCGCGCCTGCCTCTACCCGCTCTAGACGGCCAGCCGATCATTTTCCAGGAAGTTTTGGATCAAACTCAAGAGAATTGGTGAAGAGCGCAGCTGAAGAAGGGAGGCGGTTGTTTGGGCGGCCCATCGGGGCGAAGGTCATCCCTGACCATCAACGCGCAACCACCAGCGCAAGCACTGCGATCGTCCCAGATCGAGTGCATGGTAGGAGATTCGTCTCACAAGGATACTCGAGTGATTGTCCGGGATAAAAACGCGAGTCGCCATCATGACGAGCCTCAATTTCCCCCATTCAACCGCGCCTCTGCGCACCGTCGAGGAAATCCAGTTCGGCCTCTTCTCTGCGAAAGAGACCGAGCGACTCGCGGTCATTGACATCGAATATCCTGAGACGATGTATGTAGAAAATAACAAGAAAGACATGTCTCCCTTGACCATGAGTTTCTAACCGTGTTTGCCGCAGGGATGAGCAGCGCCTCAGACCTCGAGAGAAAGGTCCGAACGATCCTCATCTCGGAACAATCGATCGCAACTTCAAGTGCAGTACTTGTGAGGAGAACATGAACGAGTGCCCCGGTCACTTCGGCGTCATCAAGCTTGCTACTCCCGTCTTCCACTATGGCTTCATGAACAAAGTCAAGAAGATCTTGGAGACGGTCTGCCACAACTGTGGCAAGATCAAGGCGCTTGATGTTGGTCTCTCCACCGATGCAACATGCTCTCATAGCTAATCTTCCCATCTATAGAATGCAGATTTCCAGCAGGCGATCGCGACCCGAGACCCCAAGCGACGGTTCGAAGCAGTATGGCGACTGAGCAAGCCTCGGAACATCTGTGAAGCAGATCCTCCCGAAGACCCCGACCAGCCTTTGAAGGGACCGGCTCCACCCAAACATGGTGGCTGTGGCAATGCCCAGCCTGATATCCGTAGAACTGGCCTTCATCTTTACGCCACATGGAAGCCACGAAAAGGCGATGATGATGAAGATACCACGCCCGACAAGAAGCGAATCTTCCCTCAAGATGTCCTCAATACCTTCCGCACCTTGACCGACGAGACGCTACAGATGATGGGGATCAATCTCGACTATGCCCGCCCAGAGTGGATGATCTTGACTGCTCTCCCCGTGCCTCCTCCTCCAGTCCGCCCCAGCATCAGCGTGGACGGTAGTGGACAGGGACAACGTGGCGAAGATGACTTGACCTTCAAGCTGGGTGATATCATTCGGGCGAACCAAGCCGTGTTGCGGACCGAAGTCGACGGCACACCTGACCACATCAAGGTTGATCTTTGCGATCTTCTGCAGTACCACATTGCCACCTACATGGACAACGAGATCGCTGGCTTGGATAAGGCACAACACAAGAGTGGTCGCCCCATCAAGTCGATACGTGCTCGGCTCAAGGGCAAGGAAGGTCGTCTGCGACAGAATCTGATGGGAAAGCGTGTGGACTTCTCTGCGCGTACCGTCATCACTGGCGACCCCAATCTCTCTCTTGATGAAGTCGGTGTGCCTCGAAGCATCGCTCGAACCTTGACTTTCCCCGAGAGAGTTACTCAGAAGAACATCGACAAACTGAAGAGACTTGTCGCCAATGGACCAAATGAGCATCCTGGTGCGAGATACGTCATTCGAGATTCTGGGGAGCGTATCGATCTGCGACACCACAAGAACGCTTCGGAGATGAATCTTCAGCATGGCTGGATTGTCGAGCGCCATATCCAAGATGGAGATGTCATCCTCTTCAATCGTCAGCCCTCTCTTCACAAAGAGTCCATGATGGGTCATCGCGTGCGTGTCATGCCATATTCGACCTTCCGTCTCAATCTTTCGGTTACTGCGCCCTACAATGCTGATTTCGATGGTGACGAGATGAATTTGCATGTCCCTCAAAGCCAAGAATCTCGAGCCGAGCTTGCAAACCTATGCATGGTTCCACTCAACATTGTATCTCCTCAGCGCAATGCTCCTCTGATGGGTATCATCCAGGATACGCTTTGTGGTATCTACAAGATCTGCCGGCGTGACATCTTCCTGACACGTGAGCAAGTCATGAACATCATGCTCTGGGTTCCTGACTGGGATGGGGTGATTCCTCAGCCTGCGATCATCAAGCCAACACCTCGCTGGACGGGGAAGCAGATGATCAGCATGGTCCTCCCACCTGCCCTCAATCTCGAGAGACTTGATGCCAAGGGTGAAGATCCATATGTGCCAACTAATGACACTGGGCTCATTGTCCTCGAGGGTAATCTCATGTTTGGCGTTCTCAGTAAGAAGTTCGTCGGTACTGGCGCTGGCGGCATCATTCACACCATCTACAACGAGTTCGGATGGGAAACTGCTCTGTCCTTTTTCAACGGCGCACAAACCGTGGTCAACTACTGGCTGTTGCACAACGGTTTCAGCATTGGTATTGGCGATACTGTCCCCGATCCTGATACCGTGCAAAAGATTCAGCATGCAGTTGATACCAAGAAGGCCGAGGTTGAGGATCTTCAAAAGAAGGCAGAGGCAGAGGATCTCGAGCCGTCTCCGGGCATGAATGTCCGTCAGACCTTCGAGAGCAAAGCCATGAATTCCCTCAATCAGGCTCGTGACCAAGCTGGTGCTGCGACCGAAGACAGTCTGAAAGATCTCAATAACGCCATCACCATGGCCCGTGCTGGTTCAAAGGGCTCGACGATCAACATCGCTCAGATGACGGCTATCGTTGGTCAGCAGGCTGTGGAAGGCAAACGTATTCCCTTCGGCTTCAAGTATCGCAGTCTTCCTCATTTTACCAAGGATGATTACTCTGCGCCCTCGAGAGGTTTCGTTGAGAACTCCTACCTTCGTGGGCTGACCCCCACGGAGTTCTTCTTCCACGCCATGGCGGGTCGTGAAGGTCTTATCGACACAGCGGTCAAGACTGCCGAGACTGGGTACATTCAACGTCGACTGGTTAAGGCTCTCGAAGAAGTCACCGTCAAATATGATTCAACCGTCCGCGACTCGCGGGGCAACATCGTTCAATTCATCTACGGCGAAGACGGCCTGGATGGTGCACACATCGAAAATCAGAAAGTCGATATCATCACTATGTCGACCAAAGCTTTCAACGACCGTTACTTTGTGGACATAATGAGTGGCGACGTCTCCATGTGGAAGGGTAGATTGCTACAAGCCAGAGAGATTCAGGGTGACGTTGAGCTGCAGGAAATGTTCGACCTTGAATTTGCGAATTTGAAAGAATGTCAACGGCTACTGCGAAATATGGGCAAAGGGACCGAAGACTCGATGCAATTGCCTCTCAACATCGGCCGCATCATTGATCAGGCCCAGAAGAATTTCAAGATCCGCCGTGGTGACAAGACCGATCTTGATCCCCGTTATGCGCTTACAGCAGTCAACCAACTATTGGAACGTCTTGTCATTGTCCGCGGCGATGACCCTATCTCCAAAGAGGCTCAGGACAATGCGACACTACTCTTGAAGGCTCAACTCCGCTCACGACTGGCGTACAAGCGACTTGTTCTTGAGCATGGCGTCAACAGACTGGCGTTCGACAATATTATCGGTGCAGTTGAGAGTCGCTTCACTGCAGCAAATGCTGCTCCAGGCGAGATGGTCGGCGTCCTAGCTGCTCAATCCATTGGTGAACCTGCCACACAGATGACTCTGAACACCTTCCACTTCACTGGTGTCTCGGCCAAGAACGTCACTCTGGGTGTGCCGCGTCTCAAAGAAATCTTGAACGTGTCGCAGAACATCCGAACCCCGTCGATGTCTGTCTACCAGCTACCAGAAAACACCGGTGACAAGGACGCTGCCAAGCTCCTGCGAAGTCAGATTCAGCACACCAACCTGCGATCTGTGGCAGAGACATGTGAATTGTGGTATGATCCTGATATTCAGAACACCATTATTCCTGAGGATGTCGATATGGTTGATGCATACTTCATCCTTCCGGAAGACGGCGAAGCCGATCTCTCTCTCCACTCCAAGTGGATGCTGCGTGTCATTCTCAGCCGTGCAAAACTTCTCGACAAAGGTCTCGACATCACTCAGGTTGCAGGCAAGATCAAGTCTACATATGGCAAAGACCTCGCCGTCATCTACAGTGACAGAAATGCCGATGAGCAAGTTGTCCGCATTCGTCTCGTTCAGAACTATGGCAAGGATGAAGAAGACGACCGCAAAGAGGACGATGAGATCCTGCGACGTTTCTTGAACGAAATGCTTGACCACCTGACTTTCCACGGTGTTCCTGGTGTGGAGAGAGCCTTCATTGACCAGAAGAGTCGTTCCATCATCAAGCCGGATGGCTCTGTTTTCATGGCAAAGAGTGACCCTGAGTGCAACGAGTATGTGCTTGAGACGACAGGCAGTGCGTTCGCCAAGGTGCTTGCGGTAGAAGGAGTTGACGCCACCCGCACTTATACCAATCGCTTCACTGAGGTCTTTGAGGTGCTCGGCATCGAAGCTACTCGGGCTGCCATCCTACGCGAGTTGACCCAAGTGCTGTCGTTTGACGGTTCTTATGTCAACGCTCGTCACCTGGGCATTCTGTGCGATGTCATGACCTCGCGTGGGTATGTCATGGCCGTCACTCGGCACGGTATCAACAAATCTGACACTGGCGCACTGATGAGAAGTTCCTTCGAACAAACGGTTGAGATCTTGCTTGAGGCTGCGGCCGCTGGTGAATTGGACGACTGCAAGGGTGTCTCGGAGAACATTATCCTTGGTCAACATGCGCCGGTTGGTACCGGAACCATGGAGATACTTTTGGATCAGGCCATGCTGGCCACCCTACCAGCCAGCAGCGGGTACGGACTGGGCGGACCGATTGGTATCAAGACCAGCCAGCAGCTCCTCGAAGGTGCTGCTACTCCCTACGATAGCGGCTCGCCTATGCAGGACAACGGCTACTTGGGTTCTCCCGACTACGGCGCCTCGTTCTCGCCCATTGCAGCTCCTGGTTCAGAGACTCCAGGCGGCTTCACTGACTATCAACCTGGGTTCGGCGGCGCTGGAGGTTTCAGTCCTTACGGGCCACGAAGCCCTGGTGGTTACTCACCTGCCAGTCCGTTCGGTCAGACCAGTCCAACTTCGCCTGGCTTCTCGCCTACTGCCGGTTACTCACCAACGTCTCCGATGTTTGGCGCGACTAGCCCCGGCTTCGGACCGACATCACCGTCGTTCTCGCCAGCAAGTCCTGCCTTTACTCCGACATCGCCTGCGTACTCGCCGACTTCGCCCGGGTATCAGTCACCGACCTCACCGAGTTACTCCCCTACGTCGCCAAATTACTCGCCGACATCTCCGGCTTACGGCTCGCCGACTTCACCCAGCTACTCTCCAACCTCGCCGGCTTTCAGCCCTACATCTCCCACATCGCCTACGTCGCCTGTCTACAGTCCGACATCACCGATGTACAGCCCGACGAGCCCGATGTATGGTGGCGGTGGCAACAAGCAGTCTCCTACGTCGCCGAGCTACTCCCCCACCTCGCCAACTTACAGTCCCACTAGCCCGTCCTCGCCAACCAGTCCATCGTACTCGCCTACGAGCCCGGTGTACAATGCTTCTCCGCGAAGTCCTCAGGCTAGGAACCAGTCTCCTACTAGCCCTCAATACTCGCCAAACAGTCCACAGTATTCGCCAACTTCTCCAAAGGAGGATTGATGCCTCTTTGTACTACCACATGACGACAATGTCAATTCAAAACGCACAAGTCAGAAAACCAAAGACGAACGACGGATCCATTAACTTGACCTTCTATCGTCGGCTTCGGATTCTGATACAGGCGGCTACTTGTTTTTCTCGCGATGCTTTTCATGGCCACTAAATTGCTCCCTGCGGAAGGAGGAGTCTTTGTACTGCTCCGCCGCATGTTCCGGCCGCCAATGTTCTCTACACCAAAAACAAACACTTGCGCATTAGCGACGGCGTTGGATGGTTTATCACGTGTGCTTCTTCTTCGACCAGACTCGAACATATTACCTTGCTTGCAATACGGGGAGGATAGAGACATTTCACTGGACGAGTGAAGAGCAGAATGAAGCGTCTTTCGGAAGATGAATTTGCATAAGGGTGGCTGGGGGTTGGTGATGATTATCAAGTGGCCGGAGTGGCAGCATGACACAGCATTGATTATGGCGATGGGCAGAAGGTCTAGCTGGCCAGGGGACGCGTAGTATGCGACGGTGCGCTGACCGATGTCGGGCAGGGAGGCCAGAAAAGCGAGTCTGCAACTGCAACTGTACTCCAACATAAAGATAGAACGTTCCTCGAAGGTGGCGGGCAGGCGGTACAGCCTCGCGAGAATGCACTTCAGGATGAGCAATGAACTGTAATCCCAGGTGACAACACCAACAACTGCCGATAATTAGCTGGCAAGGGGGTTTTTCAGGATGCCTCAGTGTCGTGCTCCGAGCTTGCCATTGATACATGCCGCTTGAGATGGGGTCAAGACATGAGTGTTAAGCTGGGTCGCTGGACGATGAGGCCTTAACCACGGCTGCCCAGTCACAGCTTCGGGCACGTATTAACGCTTCTGCAGTACGTCAATCTCAGCATCCATTGCCCGTGCAACCCCTCGATCGCGCGCCGCGAACCGGACCCTGATGCGGCAAGGCGCAGCATGATCACGCAAACATGAGGGGAGTCGCGGGGTCTAAGCAGCAAGACGGCGATAGGTCTGAAAGTATTATATATCGCGCCTCGTCGTCCTGAAGAGCCTGATTCCGAGAATTCGTGAGACAAGCGGCAAGAAGTCGAATCTGAGGTCCCATCGTCGTGAAAGGCACCGTCTTGACTCTCGATTACCCACCATGGCTGCGACACACACCGGCATCACGGAGCAAGTGCTCTCCTATCAAGCCCCGGATCCCCCAGTCCAGGAATTCGAACCACCCACGGACCGAGCCTTCTTCGCCGACCCGGACAAGAAGTCGCTTCTCTCGGCAGCCAGAGAACTCCGCAAGTTGACGCCCTACATTGGCACCGAGCTCGTGGGGATCCAGCTGAGTCAACTTACGGACAAGCAGAAGGATGAGTTGGCCTTGTTGGTGGCCGAAGTACGGGCAACTTTGACTTGATGTACTGTGTCGACAAGGGCCTCTGCTGACGTGGGGGCCCAGCGAGGCGTCGTCTTCTTCCGAGACCAGGATCTGACGCTCGATCAACAATACGAGCTGAATGCGCATTATGGGATTGTAAGGACCGCGTGGTACTCGATACGGAGTATACGACCCGCGAAACTGGATGCTGACTGCTGGACATGAAGCAAGACCGCGACCCGAACCAACAAGACCCCAAGCACGTCACCATCCTCGGCCGCAACAGCGACATCCGCAAATACGGCGACTACGGCGGCGAATACCACTGCGACCACTCCTTCGAGGCCAACCCACCCGCGTACACCATGCTGCGGATGATCCGAACCCCGCAGGCGGGCGGCGACACGCTCTTCACGAGCCAGACGGCGCTGTACGACAAACTGAGCCCGGTCTTCCAGAAGATGTTTGATGGGCTGCACGCCATTCACAGCTCCGAGGTTTTTGCCGCCTCTCCTGCCTGCTTGCTGGTGGCATCAGGCTGACATGTCCAAAACAGGCGAGCTTCATCAACTCGATAAACAACGGGTATCAGCCCTTCCGGGGCCCCGTGCGTCGTGAGCACCCCTTGGTAAGTCTTCCTACATACACACTGTATTCGGCATGTCCTCAAACCTTGTCCCACAGGTCCGCGTCCACCCCGTCACGAAAGTCAAATCGCTCTACTACAACCCGACCTTCATCGTGCACCTGCGGGAACTCAAGGGCCAGGAATCAACGCACATGCTGAATTTCCTACGCGAGCACCTCCACGCGGCTGACGACCTCACCGTGCGCTGGAAATGGACGCCCGGGGCCGTGGCGTTCTGGGATAATCGCGTCGTCGCCCACCGCGCGATCCCCGGCGGCTATGATCCGAGTACACGCGAGGGGAAACGGACGGCGGTCTTTGGCGAGAAGCCAGTGCCGGTAATAGAGGGCGACGGGAGCGAGACTCTTAGCCAGCGGATTTGGAGGTTGGGTGGGGAGGAGGCGAGTTTTGAGGAGACCAAGCTGTATTTTAATAGTCCGTTGGTGTGATCTGAGGCCTAGCAGCATAGAGGACGAAGACTGTGGACAGTCCTGCGCCTCCCAGGGTGGAAGGAAGGGCGATTGTCGGTCCTTCATCACCTCTAGATCTCTGCGCGTGTGGTTTCCTTAAGGAGGTGGTGGTGGTCACAGTCGTCGGGCAATCCTCCTCCAGATCTGGAGGGGCTGTGAGATTAGCCAGATACCTACTCCGTACCTGGTAGCAGATGGGAACTGTGCGAAATCCTCCGCCCCCCTCGCCAGAGGGGGTGCGAGTGTCTCTCTGACCCTTCATCACTTCTAGACCTCCACATCTGGTTTCCTCGGGGCGAGCTTTCCAGTCGTTCGCCCTTCCCTTCATCACGTTCTAATCTCCCCGTGTGTGGTGTCATCAAGGTGACCTCCACGGCCTTCCGCGCGATCCTACTCCTGCTCCTTCTCTTCCTTCTGCTCTCTGTTCTCGAATCCAGTCCCGACCGACCTCATAACCCGTGGCTAGATTTGGACAAACTTCTTCGCTTGTCGCATATACACCCCATTCCCTGATCCGCCTCCTCCTCGCCTTGACGACGATTTCAGGGCAAAAGTACGAGCGCACCTACAACAGCTGTTCTGCAAAGTTCCGGCCCGACGCGTGTGCTACCATCTCAAACGTATTAGGTCTATGCATGCGTATGTATGTATCCAAGAGGTCGAGCGGCTGAACCGCACCTCGTTTCACTGCACACGATATGACCGGCCGAACCTGCGGATGTCCTTGTCGCTGGTAAATATCACTCGCCTCAGTACGGATTCTTTGACTCTTAGGGTACGAGGACGCGAAGGGCAACCTGGACAAATCTCATTTGAATGTGCGCCGTACTTCCCTCTAGGAACGGAAACCGCAGTCTCTTCGAACGTCGGCAGACCTGAAAGAGCAAGACCCCCCACTCAGAGCGCCACTGATACGACCCTAAAGTTGAACATACAATTCGGGAGGCTTCCTGTGTTTTCCATGTCGAGGAACCCTTCGAAATCCACTGTGCCACCACCGCCGCTGTTGCAGGCCGCCGCGTTCGCAATCGCTCCAGCTATATCAATGCTTGCGGTATCCTGCAACGCGAAGATGTTGTTGCCCTGCAAGGCCTTGTCTATCACATTGCCGTTGTCGTGGTCGATGCCGTTGATTCTAAACAACGCGCACCCTCCTGACACGCTGAACCCGTTCTCGGCGCGACACACGCCGCCTGGCTTACCTGGAGCGTCGAACAACTCGGTCGTGTCGATGGTGACGTCGTAGCCCATGGTGGTGAGCACGGAGCTGACAATCCAGTTCTGCAGCTGCTTCCTCATCTGATCTCGCAGGTCTGCGCGTTGGGGCACATCGTCGAGAAAGACACCGTGGTACGCGTTCAGGAAGGCAAAGGTGCTGCGGATGGCGTCTCTGTCGACAAGCTGAGGGTCCTTGGTTGGTCCGAAGATCTGGGCGAGGATATTCTCGAGCCGCTTCTGCGTGCCGGAGACGACGTTGGCCAGCTGCTGGCTCAACTGCTCTTCTGTGGCCGAGACTTGTTGGTCGATTGCTTGATTCGAGGAGATGACGCTGGCAACGTCATTGGAATCGTCCTTGAGGTCTGACTTGGTGGCTTTGATCACGAGGCGGATCTTCTTCATGAATGTGGCAGCCGCTTTGATTTCACCGCCTATTGGAAGCTATGGATAGATCTGTTAGAACAAACATTCACATGACTACAACTAGGAGTACAAGGGGGAACGGGGAAGTGAGAGTAGAGCTTATGCCTCATCCCGACAGACTTTCGGTCTTGACAATCCCGGCTGGAGGTAACGGACAACTTACAATGTCTGTGACGAGATCGGCAATGAGGTTAAACACAGCCAGACCAATGGATTGCTTCTTTGGCGCCAGGGCGGATACCATGGTGTTGATGAAGTTTGCGCTGTTGATCGCATCGGCAGCATCTTGAATGGCATCGTGATGGTTCTGCAGCCCCTGCCACAAGTTGATGTAATTCTGCACAACGAACCCGGCTCGGGGGTCGATAAAGTTGGCGCAGAACGTGCCTTGCAAGCCGTCAAAGTTACAATCCGTCGCCGCATCTGGGTTGTTCTGACTGGGAACACTGCAGGGCGGCAGCGACCGAGTCGGGGTGCCGAAGAAGGAGCAGTCGAATCCCTCGAACGGATTTTCGGTAGGTGTGTCCTGCGAGACGAAGAACTTTGGGAAATTGTCCTGCGTGCCAAACTGGTTGATGAAGCCCACGAGGAATTCGTCGATGGCGAAGGCGTCCCAGTTCGCTTTGGTCAGGTCGCCGGCTCCGCACGCCGTTACGGGGTCCTCAAAGGTGAAGCATGATGTTTGTCGTTCCACAAGAGGCGCGTTGATCGTGCCGTTGGAGGTGACTGCCTGCGCGCCGCCGATGGCTGAGGCGGCAAGCAAAGGCAGTGCTGAATGCATGGTTTGATGCTTCGCGGAAAGTGGGTGGAGGGTTGTCCAGAGTGCAAAGTGGAAAAGAAAGGCCTGGCGTGTGAGGGATGGAGGTGAGGTTATCTTGTGAGCAGCATTGTACAAGCAGGAGAGTATTGCCGTTGCCATGTTCCCATTGGCCTGGACACTGCCCATACCCAGTGCAACGGTTGCGCGAAATTGATCTCAGCTTGGCTCTAGCCCAGCATGCTCGTTACAGCCGGCCGGCGACATGGAGTCATTTGAGTAAGCATCCATACTTGGTACCTTAGGACAATGCTCTCCACATAGCGTAGGGCTGCGCTGACCCGATGATATGGCATCGCTTTCTCCTCGTTTCCGAGCTCGGATGAATAAGGGTGGATCTCGGCCAGAGAGATTTCCCTCCAGGGCGGCGGTCGTTGGAAGTGGATACGATTGCCTCGTCTCGACTGTCGAAGAATAGAAAGTGAAAAGCCCTTCTTGATTACTCCGTACACCCCATGTGCCTGATATAAAGGTGAGAGCCAAGCCTTTAGAGCAATTTGTTCTTGACTCTTGATTACTTCCCAAATCCGGCAGGTGGACATGAGCTGAGACATCCACGGTACCTGCTCGGCGCGGTACATTGCGGGCGGTAGACGGAGATCGGAGCCATGCGCAGAGGTAGGGAAGTGCTGCAATCCGGCTTGCATAAGCAGCCATAGGACGTTTGATCTCCTCACAGAATGGTGAGGCTGCACCGTGTGAAGAGAACACACTAGGCAGAAGGCGATTGAGTCAGCAAGCCATGGTCGATTGTAAACAATTTTCGGTAAATCGCTTACACTGATTCGTCTCCACACCGGACACGCCGTGCAAAAGCTGCCACTTAGCCCCTTGGAATCAACAAGTCAGATGTACACCCCTAAACCAGGTCGTCCTTTGACGGCCTATATCTGTCATAGGATGTCCGTGACTGAGCGTCACCCGAAGCTCTCAGACACCTTCTTCCCCAGGTGACTGTTGTCGCTCCTTACCAACTGATTACAATCTACATCTTCCACGCATACTCGCGACGACAGAGCCGCGTCCTGCCTCGGCGATTATGGAGCCTCTTCGACACCTCCTCCTGCCAGCGCGGCACGATAGGAACGGCAGCACAGGTTCTGGGGTGGCATTCTTGACACAGCCATCGACATCCGCACCTGAACAACTGCGCAATGCCAAGGCGAAGGCGAGAGCAGCGCCAAAAGCCTGCCGGGTGCTTGTAAGAGTTGTCGCGCTGGCTATGGCAGCCTCAATCATCGGCGTTCTCTCTCATGCCACGGTCGTCTGGTTCTCCACGAGGAATGTCGTCCAACAGCAAGAGAAGGGGGGTCGCCAACGAGCGTGGCCGAATCATATAGACGGCTGGCCCACTTGGGTAATGCTCGGAGCCGCAGTGATCGCTGTGGTGGTGCAGATACTATCGTTGTTCACATTCTGCGGCGCGGTGCGTTGTCAGATTTCCGCTCATCGTCACAAGCTCAGCTCTAACTTCGCGTGCTTCCTCTCCAGGTGCGTAAACTCCGCGAAACTCGTCTGCACAGCTGGGCCGTGTTCGGCACTTCACTGCTTGGCATCGTGGCCTGGGTGGTGGCCGCTGCGTACTTCAAATGGCAAGACAGCCGTGGGAAGAAAAGCTGGGATTTGTGGTCCTGGTCGTGCAGACATAAGTCGTTGGACAACAGCAAGATGTCCTTCGAAACAATGTGCGCCGAGATGGTGAGTCAGGCGGTCTTCACTTGAGTGTTGGCAAGGTCGTCTTGATTTAGGGGAGCATCCTGTGCTGATTGTGTCGTCCGCCAGAAATATACTTGGTACGCCTCCATCGTCGTGGCGGTGTTGGAACTCGTGAGTGTCGGCCTATTCGGGCATATCCTGTACCGAGCACCGAAGGGTGGGCCAGGGTACAGCAGGATCACAGTGTCGCATATTTGAGCGGGCCGGCACTATGCACTGTATATCATCGCAGATTGTCCAAGTGTAGGGGGCTGATACCACGAACACTGACCAGCGAAGTACGGCGACTATAGTACACGTGGCTGTGTGATGGTGATCATGTTGACGACCGAGGGGGATCGCTCAGTGGTGAAAACGTGCCGAATCATTGGAAAAGGTCTGTCTTTTGGTGCAGTGTTGAGGACATGAGAACGTGCTAGTCTGGCTGCACCTGTGTCGACGCCATATCGGACTGCCAGACGCAGAGCACAGATGCAAAGTTCCCGGTGCCGGTCGCAAAGGGTCCGCGAATCTGGCAGTACACCATTCCGGCATCAGGTTATTGTAGAGGAGTGTTCAGGTTGCGCCTCGAAGAGCCATCAGTCCCAGGATCTGGACCTCGAGGTCTTCCGATCCGTTGGAGCTGGAGCCATAGTCTCCATTCGCATTGGCAGTTGATCGACCTGGAGAAGTGGCAGCCCTCAATTTATAGACCTTCCTGATCCGCTCGACGTCTGCCACTTTCCCAAATATGGCATCACTAAAGGCACATTCTTGTCCTTTGATATTCGCTGACAGATGTTGGCTGACACTTTCTAGCGTAATTTCAGGGCTCGTAGCGACCTTGAGTACGAGCAAGTTCTTTGTTGTTTCGCTCACCCCGAATCTGCGGAAAGCCTCGCCAATCTGCAAGCGTCAACTTTGACAGCACTGCATCTAGAAGTAGAGATCGAACTCACATTGTTATTAGGACTCAACGAGAAGACGGTCTCGGAATGGACGTTCCGTGACTTCAGCCGATCATGGAGATAGTCGTTCATGGCACGGAAAGCCGCGGCGAGGACGTGTTTCGTGGAGACGACCTGCATTGACAGTGGATGTGAACATTGAGCCACCGAGCTGCAAGGTGGAACGTCTTCGCCTACCATGTTTGCATCGATAAAGGCGTACTCGAAGTCAGCATTGCCAGCTAGTAATTGCTCCTTCAGAAAGGGCGCATTTTCCAGGTCCGTGTACACGGCCACGTAGAGCGCCAGTCCCGGCGGCATGTGGGCCAAGTTGATCTTTGCGACCATGGTGATAGATTCTGGCTCAAATACGTCGAGTTGTTGGGGACTACTGAGACGAAGTCATCGAAGCAATGAGGAAAAGTTCATCTTGATGGATGTCTGGATTCGAGGTCCGGTTCAAGATGGTCGCCGGAAGAATGAAATTCCGACGCCAGAACTAAAAATCAGTCCATCCTCACCGCGGGTTTGTCGGCCTGTCTACCTTATGTACTCCGGTTACAGCGAAGTAGGACTCATGATGTTTCGCTTGAGTTGACTGACGAGCGACAACGCAACCTACACTGGAGCCTCTTCCATGTAGCCTGCTAGAGCAGGTGTGAGAGAATCCTGTCGCGAACATGGACCCGGTTTGTACGTGTGTGTTGAAGCAATACAATGGGGGGCCACTTCAGCACACAGCGCTTTCAACAACGGGGGTGGCAGAGATTTGCACGACATAACGACATTTCCTGGGCAGGGGCTGGTGAATCAGGCATTGAAATAAACCCGAAAGTATCTGGAATCCTCCCCACTCTCGAGCACATCCACCTACCTGGAGCCATACGCACCAGGTATGTCCGGAGAGACAGTCCTATGTCCTCGATAAAGCTCCCCGTGATGGCTCTCCTGGATTCACAGCATCCGCGGATTACAACTTTTCAAACACCGCCACCACAGCCTCTGCAGTGGACCTCGCGCTTTGCGGGTTCATCCCCGTCACGACCCGGCCGTCCGTGACATGGAAGTCGTCCCACACGCCATCAGCCCGAACATCTACGTGTTGAGGGTGGTTAGCAAGTGTGCATAGCAGCCATGCCTCAATCTCGATTGCGTCGTACTGGGACCTAAGAAGGAACTCACATTTCGCACCCAACTTGGCTGCCCACTCGTCAATCAGGGGTTCGCCCCAGCTCCGGATCGGCTCCATGATGTGCATGTCATATTCGCCTTGAGTGGTGAAACCCGTGATGGTCTTGCCCTTGATAATGGAGTCTCCTGTCGTGGGATCGATCACGCCGGCGTATATGGCCTCTCCATGGCACCTGAGGTCGGACATATCAGCGTTCAGGCAGTTTCAGCCTCGTTACCTGTTTCGAAGTTGCTGGAATAGCAAGCATGAGCGAAGCGGAGGCGGAAGGCAGAAGGCGGAAGGTAAGATTAAGGTTGAGGTTGAGACCGAGAACGAGAAAGGGGGGCAGGGGAGGAAGGTGAGATTGAGATTGAAGTTGAGACTCAGGACGGGCAGGAGAAGGTAGCACCTACACAGCAGAAACCACACCCCCCTGTGTCCAAACATCCGTCGCAATCTTATGCAGCCCCTTCGTATGAGGATAGTCAATCAGAGCGGCATGTCCGGCACTGGCGAAGAAGATGCCGTACTACAGTAATTCCCGCACCGTTAGCTTCACAGAGCCACGCCAAGTGGTCCCCGGCAAGGACTCAAGAACCAACACATACGCACGTACCTTCTTCCCATCGACACTGTGGACATCCGGCATATTATCCAGCTTCCGCCGGAACTCCGAGTCCCTATCCTCCCACTCCTTCCTGTCCTCGCCGCTCAGAAAACTCTCCTGCAGACTCAGCCAGTCGGGCACGTAGGTGCCCTTTTCTGAAACGAGGTCGACTTCGAACCCATGCGCCTTGAAGACTTGGTACGGGTGGAGGGCTTCGCTGATGAACATGTCCGTGGGGTTCCCGTCGTGCAGGGGCGCTGTGGCCGAGGTGACGGCGATGATGGCGCGATGGGGGAGAGGCATGGTGGCTAACAATAGACTGACTACTGGTGGATCGATTGGCGGATCAAACGAAGCTTGGAGGTTCCGTCCGGCAAGGGTTTCTTATTGCAATCTTGCTCTCTCTTGCAGTAGGCACGCCTGATTTTCCAGCATTTGCAGCATGAGATCCGAGGGCGGATGGATCGAGGTATTTATCCACACAAACGGCACTGCACGGCTCGCCCTCCTCAGTGCTACTTATCCACCTACCCTGGCGGTGTCCATTTTTGATCGTGCTCTTCGTGGATCATTCGCCTCCCGTCGAGGAAATGGACGCCTCAAGAAGTAGTTGACAAAGCGTGCAGACCTTGTTCCCGCGCTCAACACCAAACGTTTGAATCATGAGAAGGTGTGAGGCCTGAGAGGACGAGGCCGGCCGTTCTCTGCTTCTCAAGTACACCAATGGCTCGCTGATGAAAACCTGCCCCTTTAGGGCTAGCAAGCTTAGAAGGTGGCCAGGGCCACTTATTTGACTTCTTTGACTGGACTCCAAACCATATGAACCATCGACATTACATTCCTAATCCATGCACCGTATGTATAACAACCCAGAGTTGTCGAGATTCGCGTCTATGTGCAGATGCTCGTGTAAACTGATGCCTCATTCCTGGAGTTCATTTACCCAAATCCATCAAACGCCTGGTGCCTCCATGGTATATGCAAACCCCATCTCCCCTGCCCCTGCCACATGACATATATGCAACTCCGAATCCAGAACAACATACACCCACATTCGTCATTACTCAAACTTGACTGGGTGCAAGATCATGTTCGGGAGACACATCCTGCCTCCACCCAGCCCATCCTCTAACTCCCAATTGATCTCATCATTGCCGTTCTCCCTCCCAAGCCATCTCCTCCAAAGATAGCCCGCGAAACCAGCATTGGAATAATACGTGGCACCCCTGAAGACGTGCTCGCCAGGCCCGAACACGCTGCCGCCTTCACCATGGAAGTATCCGTGTCCGTGGTCCATACCCGCTTTCTCATCCGCCAAGCTGACGGGAGCATTATTGAAGATCTCGTCCGCATGGGCACTGGGCCAGTTCCGGTCAAAGTAGACTGGAATTGGTGCGTAGACTGCTTTGAGCCCGTAATGCAGTGCGATCGACGCGGGGAACATCTCGGGGAACATGGTATGTTTTTTGGCGTATGTCTCTTCGTGCATGAGCAGCAAAAGCCGACGGGACATGCGGGAGGCGGTAATCAAAGCGGCACGTGTTGGAGGCCGGCCGTCGCGCGTCACGTTGTAGCCTGTTATATCGTTATGGAAGGCCCAGCGGGTGTTTTCCGGATTGAAGAGTGGATTGAAAGTGATAAGATCGGTGATTTCGTCGGTGTGGTCGGAGATGGTCTGTTGTGGAATGTCGAGAAGTCGCTCAGTAGGTATTTGAGGGCCAACGATTGGCGTTTGGTTCGCAGCTCTCGTCTCCTCGACGACAGCTTGTGCATAGCGCTCGTAAGAATCGTCATATAACGACGGGATATAGAATCTCGCCGACCGTTCCCAGGCATGATCTTGGGGTTGCTGTTCCGCCCAAGACGAGATTTGAGATAGCAACTCGTGATAGTGTCCAGTAACTCTCATGTCCATCTCCCATTGCCAGAAATAGTCGTACTCAGGATGTCTCTCTGCGAAAATTTGCAGCGGAAAGTGCAATGACCGATATGCTTCGTAGATGTCGCCGCCCGAGAAATTCACAAGGCTGTCAGGAAATGGTGGTGGATAGATCAACTTCATCTGTGCCACGGACCAAAGCGTGCCCATTCCGGCGAACTCTTCTGGCAGACTGTCTCTCAGAACCTTGTTGTACAGTTCCGCGGAGGCCCAGATCGGAATCGTATCATCCTGGACGTGAATCAGGAAATGGACTGTATATTGTCCTCCCGTTGCCAACGCAAGTTCGCTAATAATGGCCCGGATCATAGCGATATGATATTTCGTGTATTTGAATGTGCTCCAGGTGCGGAAGACAAGGGCGCTCCGCGATGTGATTTGGCCAGAATTCTTTTGAAAGCATTTCGTTTGCGCATCGTGCCATCTCACGCCTCTCCAGTCAGTCACGGCCACCTCTTGCAGACCAATATTATCGCCTTTCAAGTCTGTGCCCAGCCCACCGAGTTCTTCAGCGACTCCTATGCCGTATGGTGCCAGCCGATTGACGCGGTCATAACAGACCCCGTCATTTAAACCAAGCTCTTTTTGGGATCCGAACAAAGGTGAGGACAAGCCCTGCGGTAGGCCTTGATACGCGGATATTGTGGGTGGGGGGACCATTCTCTCCTCGTCTAAATAGCATCGTCCGAAATTCGGCGGCAAGGGCGACACGAGCTCGAGAAGCCGGGGTTCGTCATGGTCGCCAGGATCAAAGGGGTCGAATGAGCTGGTCTTCTGCTCAGGCACGTACGCGGAGAAAGGGACTATGTTCTTGCGCCCACGATAGAAGCCGTGGAGTCTGGTAACCAGTTAGCTCAATGCTGTAGTCGCTGCATGTGCGCTGGGATAGTCTCACCTCGGAAACTGCTCCCACCAGAAGACTTCTCTGCCATTCCGCTCCACTGACTGACCCGGCGGGATTGGTCCATCTGGGACTATCGCGTCCGCTCCGTCTCCTTGGTCAACATCAGGTTCAGGAATCTCAAGGCGTCGATCGATGCGCGCAGGGGAGAGCGACCACCAAAGCGCGAGGACCGTCAGGAATGCGATCGCGCCTGCCGTCCATAATGCTCTCCTGGGCTTGAATCTCGAATGGCCCGGATGTCGTCCGTGACCCTCGCGCAGCCGTGGCGACCCACCAGGGCTCAGCAAACTGCTGCCCGAGGAGTCGCTGCTCCAGTCGCGTCTGTGGGTTGAGATCCAGGCCGAAGAGCTGAGCTTGTCGGTAAGGGACTTGGGCACGAGCTCGAACATGCCACAAGAGGCCAACGTCTGTGAGACGTCGGCGCAGGTTTCAGCTGTCACAACCTCGGGTCCGTGCAGTGGGGAGCAGCACAAATGCGATTTGTCAGCGGCTGTCCGGGTCGAAGCATCTGTACCGAGTACGTCGACGACGACAACATGGAGGAACGAGTGACAGTGAGCGCGAATCTACCGTGATAGACTTTCCGCCTACATTCGCCTCTACTGCGTTTACCTTCACTAGCGAAACGCAAGGCGCAGAGAATGCCGCCGCGACAAGTGTTTGACACGCCAACAGGCGCAATACCAAGACCTGCTAAAAGGCTTGGGCAGGTCCGAATTACAGGGGTGGGGAGCCTCTATCACCCCTCTTTCTAATTAAACGAATCCCGCTTAATATCCGGCCCTTGAACCCCCTCATCTGAACTCCTCACCATGAAGTTGAGCGATGATGGTAATGACGCCAGGTTGATGACATATGTGCGCACGAGCCCAGAGCATACAGTGTACAATACTCACAATCCCTTGTCATCAACAATCCAAGGTTCTTGTCTTATATCTGCTCGGAGACGTCGTGATCAGCATCATGCCCACTGCGGTTGTCACAGGAGCCAACTCTGGCATTGCCCACGCATTCGCCAACATATTAGTTGACGAGGTTAGCCAGACCTCAGCCAGAGAAGGTAAATCATTGCAAGAACCTGCGAAATGACGTCCCGGGTAGGGATATACGGTGTATGCCGTCGACCGAGACACGAATGAAGGCCTTCAGGCTCTGCAGGCAAAGAAAGCCCATGTTGCCGAAGTCGACGTGACTTCCCCTGAATCCATACAAAAGTTCAAGGACTCACTGGGTGAAACCACCATCGACCTCCTTCTCAACATAGCAGGTGTGACATCTCCAACTTCTGTCATGCTTTCGGAGAAGGGCCGAGCAAGTAACCGAGCTGTGGAACAGGTGTTGCCGCTGCACTCGAAGACGACAGCCTCACAACCAGTAATTTGCAAGTTTTTCAAAGGACATTTGCAGTCAACACTTTCGGGGTTTTCCTTCTGACACAGGCTCTTCTACCAAACGTCTTGAAGTCTTCAGACCCCAAGATTGGAATCGTCTCGAGCCGGGTAGGCTCTATAGCCGACAACTCTAGCGGCACGCATTACGCATACCGGAGTTCGAAAGCGGCCGTGAATTCCATCGGCAAGAGTCTGGCGGTCGAGTTGAAGGACAAAGGTGTCACGGTCATGCTGTTGCATCCTGGCTTCGTGAAGACGAATCTGCTGCCCACGGCGAAGATGCCTCCCGAGACAGTGATGCCTGAGGAAGCGGCGAGGAAGCTGTGGCAGAACATTGTCAGCAAGAAAACCATCGAAGACACGGGCAAGTTCTGGCATCGCGAGGGTTATGAGCTGCCGTGGTGAAAGAAATTGGCGATGGGCCCAGTACATACATAATGTCAACGAGTCGAACCCGCCCTCGCCGCATCTCGCGGTTGGGGATAAAGGAGCTGAGGGCGCCGAGACAAGCAGCCGTTGAGGACATTTGGTCCCTCTTGGGCTGTCACACATACCAGGTACCTAGTACTCTCCATACTGGGAAGCCGATAGGGTCCATCACCACTCCGTACCGAGTACACTGCCTCTAGTGCCTACAGTGTAGATACTCAGCTACGCAAGTACCCCGTAAGTGGTCCGGCTATGTTACTCCGTTTCTCCTACCGTGTCCGGAGAGGAGACCGTGGAGAGACGCTCAACCACCGGTCAATGTACGGAGTACCTCGGCTTTGATCGGCCACGCCGTCCTCCGAATCTTACCCCGTACATTCGTCTTAGAAATCAGAACCTGTCGGTCAGGTTCGACTATCACTTTCCAGTGGATAAGAACGTGTGTTTATATTGTCCTAGAGGTCCATAAAATCAGCGATCCTTGGGCGTTCCTGGCTTGAAGATCTGTGCGGTCGACACAAGCATCTCCACATTTGCTAGACAACAAGGTTAAGGACCTGGTTCACTTGCCAGGCATTTGGAGGATATTGAGAGCAGAAATTTACTGCTCCAGTGATTCTAAGACATTGCACGCGGAACACTTGCATCCAGCGATGGCATCGTCAAGCTCACCCAAGGCCGCGAACAATGGCGTCCCGAACTTGCCGTACTTCACGCCCGCTCACGCCGCAGATCCTGGTGTCCCGTTCACGCCATCCCCCAGTACACCGACGCTGTTCACGCCGTTGAAGATCCGCTCGAAGACACTGAAGAATCGCATCATAGTGGCTCCGATGTGCCAGTACTCGACGGCTCCTTCCGGCCCAGACGTCGGAAAACTGACCGATTACCACATTGCGACATTGGGTCACTATGCGCTTAAGGGAGCAGGGCTCGTCTTCATCGAGGCCACTGGCGTCCAGCCGAATGGCCGGATCACTCCAAATTGCCCTGGGCTGTGGAGTGATGCGCAGACCGAGAGCGTCAAGAGGGTCTCAGACTTCATTAAGTCTCAGGGCGCACTTTCCGGTATGCAGCTTGCTCATGCTGGGCGAAAGTCGGGTACCATGCCGCCGTGGGTGGCGGCATCGTTTAAGAAACCATCCCTGCGTGCAGGTAAGGACGTCGGCGGCTGGCAGGAGGACGTGGTAGGTCCAAGTGGTGGCCCTGAAAATAGCTGGGACGGCAAAGGATTGGCAGAGGACGGGGGTTTCTGGCCTCCGAGACAACTCACCGTGCAGGAGATCAAAGAAACTGTCGATGCGTTTGCACAGGCTGCAAGGCGGTCGGTGGAAGCTGGTATCGATGTGATTGAGATCCATGCCGCCCACGGCTATTTGATCCACCAGTTCCTCAGCCCCGTCACGAACAGACGCACTGATCAATACGGCGGGAGCTTTGAATACCGCACGCGTCTACTCGTCGAAATCGTCCAGGCAGTCCGGAAACAAATCCCGCAAGGTATGCCTCTATTTCTGCGGGTGAGCTCGACGGAATGGATGGAGGAAACGGACTTGGCCAAGCAGTTTGGCAGCTGGGACGTGGAGAGTACGATAAGATTGGCTAAAATGCTGCCTGGGTTGGGTGTGGATCTGTTGGACGTTAGTAGTGGCGGAAATCACCCCCAGCAGCGCATCAACATGTTTGCCTCGAAGGACTATCAAACAAAAATAGCACACCAGATCCGGCAAACGATGAAGGCCAACGGGTTGACTTTGTTCATTGGAGCAGTTGGGCTCATTACGGAGGCTGAACAGGCGAGGGATATTGTCGACGATCGAGATTCGGACAAGAGCATCGGGGAGGAGGCCAACGCGGCAAAGGAGATGACAGATGCTAAGGGTGGCAAGGAGCCGATGGCAGATGTTATTCTGGTGGCGCGACAGTTCATGAGGGAGCCTGAGTGGGTACTGAAGGTTGGGTGGAAGCTGGGAGTCGACGTGGCCTGGCCCAGTCAGTTTTTGAGAGTGAGGTTCCCAAAGTTGTAAAGCGTGGCATGGAGATATGAGGATAGAGGCAGAATGTTAGAGCATAGAAAGGGGAGGCAAGACGGCCTTGTTCGTGCCATCACAAGACCACTGCGCTTATAGACGGAATGAATTCTTGTCGTCGTCCTACACCATGCGGCGTTTGCAGCGCACCGGCTTCACAGGACTTCAGGCAGGTGGAGTTGCTGCGAAAATGAACAAGACGGTCCTGAGAGCACATGAGTTGCCCTAATGAACCAAGGTGCGTAGGAACAACGAGGTGATAGATACCTATTACCTTGTTCTGAATGGAAGTAGCAGGTGAAGAAAGCCGAAAAGAAGAGTTAAATGATTACGTCGTAGCGTCTGACTAAAGGCGATGCCGCATAAGTTTATTCTGAAATGACCCGACTATCAGTGTCAGACGAACTTGTTTTGGCGAATCGACCTTCAGTTTCCTTTCACTCTTTCCTCCACACGATCTCGCATCTCACATGCCAACGCTACACAATCATGCCACCCTGGTGACACTGTCACCTCCGTAAAAGTGTCCGAGTGCACTACTCGGCGGCGGACTTCCGAGATGTCGTTGGCAGCGTTACCCAAAGTGCGGAAAGTCTCAAAGCTGGGCCACGAAAGGTCTTTCTTCTCTTGACGCGGACCGGAACACGACAGAGCATGTCCATCACAACAGCAAGCAAGTCAATCGATTGCCCAAATCTGGCGCTGCCATGCCGCGTGGCCTCACCAGCAACTCGACTCAGCGAGAGGCACCTCTCAAGACATGTTTTCGCCGGAGGTAGCCACAGTAGATACTCGACCATTTAATGGTTTCCGGTAAGTCTCGAGACCTCGATCTCTAGGTGTACTGCTCGCTCGCCCAAACATTCCCAGTCTATGCTGCGGTGACTTGAAAATGCATTTCCCGATTCCACGCTGGCTATGTTGGTGTCTTTACTTGTTATATTGGGTCATCTCCTGCTCGCAGGCAAAGATGATCGTCAAACATGATGCCAGTTTCATCCCAGATATTGTCCTCCGGGTTACCATTGATACTATCAACTTGAGTTGTCAGCCTCGCCTTTCGACACTCATCAACGGCCAGTATCCTGCACCGCCAATATACCTCAAGCCTGAACAGACAACATGGATTCGAGTCTACAATGACGCAGATGTGAACACAACGGTGGTACGTTCATGGGTCATTGGAGGTCGCCTTCCGCACGATTACTGCTAACAGGCTACGGTCGTAGCACTGGCATGGGCTAACGTTGTCCACTGCACCATATGCCGATGGAGCGCCACAAGCGTCGCAATGGCCTATCCCGCCTGGGCACTTCTTCGATTATGAGCTTCACCCAATTGCCAGCGAGGCCGGAACATCCTTTAATCATTCCCACGTCGGCTTTCAGGCTATGACTGCCTCGGGGCCTTTGATTGTCATGGACTATCACGCCCCACCCTTCGATTACGACGAGGAAATCATCCTGCAGATCGGAGACTTTTACCTCGCGGATGACCACACTATGGAATCATGGCTGACGGGCTCTCCCAGCGTCTGGCCGGGAGACCCGACTTCACTGATGATCAATGGCCACAGCGGACTAGCCCCATACGCAGAAGCTACCAATGGGGTGGACCCCTCGTGTGAACCGTGGACGATGAATGTCGTGACAGGCAAGAGATATCGAGTCCGCGTTATTGGGAGCACGGCTCTATCACTGGTACTGTTCGGTATCATCGATCACGACAATCTGACCATCATTGAGACTGACAACTCCTATGTGCATCCTGTCGAGACGTCATATATGCAAGTGGGCACCGGGCAAAGATTCAGTTTCTTGCTGGATACAAAGGAGCAGAGCGAGTTGCAGCAGTTGGAAGGACATTCGAAGTACTGGATACAGTTTGCAACTCGCGAAGGCGCAGGCACGGTTTATGCATACGCGATTCTCAAGTACACGGACATTGATCTGACCCAGGGAGTGGACGTGGATGGTGCTTGTAATTACCCGACTGGGGCCGATATGTGGTGCCCTGGTAGTCCTCCTTCGACCCCAGTCATGGATTTACCCACAACTGTCACAGACTGGCTCGAGTATACTTTCAGGAATCCAGCCCTGCCTGGGTACGACAAGCCGCCGACTGACACAGAAGTGACCCGACGGATAAATATCAATACCGCACAGTATTTCGACTCTGATCTCGGGACCACCGTAATGAGGATGGCTCGCGGATCGTGGTTCGACAGCCCCCCTCTCGGGCCATCAAATCTGCACACCATATCTCGTTGAAATACTCCAAAATGGCTCCATCAATGGCCATGTCGTAGACCTCCGATCGGTTGATGCCGACTGCGGCAGAGATCCACATTCCTCGACGTATCCTGCCTGGATTGGCGAAGTCCTCGAGATTGTATGGGAGAATGAAGCGTCGTTCCCTGGCGGGATCTATGGACCCCATCCCCTGCACGCTCATGGTGGGCCATATTGGGATATGGGCTCTGGGTCGGGTTCATGGTCAGCTGAAACGCACGCAGAATTCTTGCGCAACCACTCCTTCAATGGGATGCCTTATCCTGGTTCTCGCCGCGATACAACCCTGCTCTACAAGTACGCGCTACAAGGTCAACAGGGGGTGACCAACGGATGGCGGGTCTGGCGTGTCCGCGTTACGGAAAAGAATGTTGGGGTCTGGATGATGCATTGCCATATCTTGCAGCATGTCATCATGGGCCAATCGACCGTATGGGTATTTGGAACGCCAGATGAGATAAAAGCGCATATGGTGCCTGTCAACGGAAGTTTGGACGGGTATTTCACGTATGGCGGCGATGTTGTTGGCAGGACCGGTGAGGAAGAGAGGGGGATCATGGTTGCGCACTTTTTCGATGAGTAGAGCTATCCTTCCAGAGATCCGGAATAAGACACCGTACAATGAACGACTCTTCTGAAAAGTTATTCAAGCTGATGTGCAACAAAGGCAAGCCACTGTGGAGGACCACTGACACGCCCAGCCATCAGCTTCATGACATCTCGGTAAAGCTTTTGCTAATGTCACTACTATCCATTTCCACCAGGCCGGCGGAGGGTGCTTTGATAACGTGCAGAGCTCAACCGAATTCAATCTACCGTTGCAAGGCTGCTCAGACCTTCAGATTGGCCTAAAGCATTGCAGAGGTCGAGATGGCTTGGGGCACAACTGCCGAAGCCTAGGCGCCGGCGCCAAGGCACTCCGAGGTGGACATTCCACACCGATAGACATACCGATGTTGAAAGAGGGGCTTTCTTGAGGCTTGTTGAGGCAACAATCCCCGTCTTTTCCATCCCCAAGCTGCATGGCACCATCCAATTGTCCTTACGCTTTCGAGGTTGGCAAGTTGATCTCCCGCTCCGGACTCGAAGCGGACAGTTTCTTGTGGTAACGACGTTTCCTACAGCACGCTGCCAGCATGTTAGGCGACCCTCGACCATTTATCTGTGAGCCTTGAAGCTGGTGCACGTTTCATCACACGTGGCCGAACAACCAGGATTCCACCGTGCATTCGCAGAAACAGCTATCAAGGAAAAGCTCGCGATGGTCGCCAGTACCGACGCGCCACCTGACTGTCGACCCCGGACAGCCAAGAGGTTACGCCCGGTCAAGGCTTTCTCCTTCCCTCCCATTCGTTCAGCACCCAGCTTTTCCACCGCCGCCCCAGATTCCAAGACAGACTTCGTGCTTGGCTTGCCTCTCACAGTCTTCCAGAAGCCTATCATGACGTCGGGGGAAAATCGACTTTTCCTGGCCACCTCCGCTCCTTCAGAGATCTTGCTCGCTAGGAGAGGCATCATGATGTCCCGGTCGCGCCAGCCGATGCATATCGGATGAGAGACCACACAGAGAGCCACCACACGGGATATGCGACTTGTTGGCGAGTCTACAACGTGTATCCCCAGGTTGTGGGGCAATGTAAGTTAGTTTGAGCGTCACGAACGTCCTTGCCATCTTCTATCATAAATAAACCACGCGGGCCGTTGTGACGTCTAGCTCCTACATATCCAAACCTCTCCTCCTCACTCCCTCGAAGTTTGAGCTCCCCTTCTTCCTACTAGCTCCTAAAAATGGCAGGTATTACAGCCGCAACGCTGAAAGCTGAGGCATTCGATCACCTTGACCTGGATCCTACCAAAAGTGAATCCTCCGGAGACGAGGTCGATTGGACGGAGGCAGAAGAGACGGCCATAAGAAGGAAGATTGATCGACGCATTGTACCCCTCGTCACCGTGCTGTACCTCTTCTGCTTCCTCGACCGCGCCGTGAGTTTCCCCCGCTCCAGATGAGTTTCCGTCCTTGAAGAGGCTGTGTTGTTGCGCTGTCGATAAGGCAACGGACTGATCAGGTTTGCGCAGAATATCGGAAATGCCAGAATTCAGGGCATGGCCAAAGACCTCGACCTCGTCGGCTATCGCTTCAACTGGGCTCTCAGCGTCTTCTACATCATCTACCTCCTTGTTGAGGTGCCCAGTAACATTCTCCTGAAACATGTCGGTCCACGGTACTACATTCCCGGATTGGTGTTCGGATTCGGGTTTATATCTATCTGCACGGCATTCGTGAAGAACTTCAACGAGCTGTGCGTGGCAAGAGCATTCCTGGGTGTTTTTGAAGGTGGCACCATGCCCGGAATTTCCTTCTTCCTCAGCACGTTCTACAAGCGACGAGAACTGTACTTCCGCATCGGAATTTTCATCTCGGCCGCATCGATCGCTGGAGCTTTTGGAGGCTTGTTCGCGACAGCCTTGGCGTAGGTCGTTCCTGGGTCTTGTTTGAAGATGAGCCACTAACGATATTGCAGCCGGATTCCTCGCTGGGGAACCGAGTCTACACCTATCCATACGTGAGTACAAAATCGCCTGGACCAAACCGTTTCACGGCTGATTGTGCGACATAGCTGGCGGAATATCTTCTTCTTCGAAGGACTGGTAAGCCTCGACGAGGGTCGTATAGCAGACATGTGCTGACTCGTTACAGCTGACATGCGTCCTTGCCGCTGGAGCTCCCGCGTTGATGCCGTCAAATCCGCTAACATGCAAGTTCCTCACCGAACGAGAGCGTCATATCGCCCATCACCGCTTGATCCGGGAGCACCGAGCCGTAAGTCTGCCACGTGGACTTCCGAGTAGAGCTAACGAGAGCGATAGGATCCGATGGAGAAAGTCCAGTGGCACCACGTCAAAGCCGCCATTTTCAACATCAACAACAACCTTGCTGCTTTCGGTTTCTTCCTGATCAACATTACCGTACAGGGCTTGTCCATCTTCATGCCAACAATTCTGGCAGATCTCGGCTGGACCGCAACAAAGGCACAACTGTACTCGGTCCCGCCCTATGTGGCCGCATGCCTGATTGCAATTTTGATCGCTTATATTAGCGACAAGACCCGTCGGCGTGGCATCTACCTCGCCTTGGCCACTTTCCTGCCCATCGCCGGCTTTTCCATCCTCAGATGGAGCACCAACTCGAATATCCGCTACATGGCTGTCTATTTCATCACCACGGGTGCCTTCCCTGGTGGGCCTGGATTCCTGTCCTGGGGGATTAACAGTAAGTCGATGACGTGAGAACTATATGGCAGCTGTTTGCTAACGCTGAGTAGATTCTGCTGGGCCTGCAGTACGAGCTGTTGCAACTGCATGGATTGTGTCGATTGGAACGCTAGGCGGCGTCCTCGCCACGTGAGTGTTCCAGTAAAGCGTTTTTGGCAGGCCGGACTTGCTGACCATAACTAGATGGACATACCTCATTCGCGATGCGCCACGATATCCAATTGGCCACAGCATCAACCTCGGAGCTCAGATCCTTGTGCTTTGCGTCGCTACCTTTGGCATTGTGTATAACATGCGTGAGAACAAGGCCAGAGATCAGGGCAAGAGAAATCATCGGCTGGATGGCTTGAATGACGCGGAGAAGCGAGACCTTGGCCACAAACATCCGGACTTCAGGTACATTCCTTGAGTGCCATGGGAGGCATGGTTGGCGGGGAAATGCAGTGAAGTCGCTGCCGAGAATGGCTGTACTTGGTAGTAGCAGGTGACAGCAGCAATCTTCGCTGTCTCCAATGCATATCTGGTGATGTTCAACCTGTGGCGGACGGCTTGCTAGAAACGTCCAGAAAACCAACCAAAGCTTCGGATATTCTTATCCGCGCGCATGTGACACGCCGGACTTCTTTCTAGCCAATCAGAGGGTACCGTTCACATAGTGCGTCATGGAAGAAGTGGCGCGCCGAGGTCGCCGCGAAGCTCTTTAATGCCTGCATCGACATCTGTCATTCTCGGCCTCATCTCTAACTCACAAACACGTTGTTCACCACGCACACGGTCGGAAGGGTATCGCCAACATGTCCTTCGTACTCAGGAGACCCTTTGCGGTCTCCTCAACTGCCTTCAAACAATTCAGCAAGCCATCCAATGTCATCCGAGCGTTCCACTCATCAAGCCCGAAATCATCCAACTTCTTCAATCCTCGGCCTCTCACATCGACCTCAAACGCACAGTCACTCCTCAAATCACAAGCTCTGCGCAATGGCTTCAAGCGTAGCTACCAGACCCCTTCATATCAGCCTGCGAACCCCGCGGCAAGCGGCAACCTGACCCAACGGCTGGTCATGGGCGCTGCTCTGGTCGGCGGAACCATCCTCGCCACAAACCTAATCTTCAACCGCGAGACGAGAGAAGATGGCGGCATGCCTCCCTTCGAGCGAGAATACCTGAATCAGACATTCATGCACACGGGTCTGGGAGTGGGCATCATTGCGCTTGCCGCCCGGACGCTGCATCAAAGCGGATGGAGTTACAGACTGATGGCAACAAACCCATGGTTGGTCGTGGGTCTGGGTCTCGCCGCTAGCTTTGGTACCATGTACGGCACGTTTTATACGCATCCAGACAAGTAAGTCGGGCATCAGCACCATTTTTCAATTAAGGAGTTCTGACAGATTTGCAGCTACATCCAAAAGTACGCCCTCTGGACCGCCTTCAACGTCACTCAAGCCGCCATCCTCACTCCCCTGATGTTCATGTCACCGGCGATCCTGGCGCGTGCCGGTCTCTACACGGTCGGCATGATGGGTTCAATTGCGTTTATCGGCGCCACGGCAAAGCAAGAGAAGTACTTATATCTGGGCGGCCCTCTGCTCGCTGGCGTCGCCATCGTCGCCATCTCCGGTTTTGCGCCTTTGGTCCTCCCCGCAACTGCCGTGAGGACGTTGGCTTGGACCGAGAATATCTGGCTGTATGGTGGTCTTGCCGTGTTTGGCGGCTTCACCTTGTATGATGTGCAGAAGATCCTGCATCATGCTAGGATGAGTGAGAGAGGGTTAGTGAGGAAGGATGTTGTCAATGAGAGTATTTCATTGGAACTGGACTTTTTGAACATCTTCATCCGCATGGTCCAGATTTTGTCAATGAGGCAGAACAACAGGAGATAAGGGTCAGGCGAAAGTGCTTACAGAGACCGGCAATGCCAACAGCGAGGTGCCGCATGGGTGAGAAGCACTGGCAGGGCCCGGCCCATCCGTCTCTGGGAAATATGGACCCTCTCGTGTTGAAGGGGGGACTTTATGGAATCTTGCCGACGAGGAATTTGGAAGGAAATTAGCCAGAACACAGCAAGAAGTTGGACCATCTCAGGAGGAATGAAAGTATATTTCCACTCCATTGCTTTCATCCTCGAGCATCTCAGAGAGTGTGCCTGTAACAAGAGCCATAATTCCTAACATTTGAGGGCAACGAATGTCGTTCCGTGGAGTCATGATCTATCGGCTATAGTCCAAGAGCCGGGATCTGCTTCCGGTATATTTTGCAGCGAGACCTCGCGCGATCGGATACGCTTGGTGTGTGTAAGCCTGTCGGTGTGCCTATAGTTTCCTATTGATGGAGTACGTCCCTGGGATCATTCCAATGGAACTGTCTACCCGACAGAGCCGGGGTTCAGAACCCAGATCTTCACAAAGTGCAGACAGATGCATCCATACCTACCGTGCCTCCATACGCGTTATTTGACCAAACAGCCCCGGCCCCCAAATCCAACCATGAGGACTCCCCTGGAGGACTCCGTACCTCGTAGCGCAGACGTGTAAGTAGCCGTCGCCAAATCTTGACCCACTTTCGTTTCATCTGTATTCCACCGTGTTATACCGTGAAGCCGGATGGATATTGCTTGCACAGCCTCAGTGACTTCCCCTTTGCACCGTCAGAGCAAGGAATGTACGGAGTACTGCTTGCTGTCTCCAGAGAAGGCAATGCATATATATATCTTGTTTGAAACCGCCATGAATCTCTCGTTCCTAAAGAATACTTCGGGTACTTGCTCGTCGAAACTACAAACTAGACGTTCCACCCGACGCTCAGTGCACACCAAAGTTGAAAGTCCAAGGCTCGCTGCTTCTGAGCCAAATTGAGTACATACCCCTGCAGCCCTTTCCTTCTTACTACATAGCACGATGTCCGGCCGGAGCGCCCCCCTCTCGCCAGAGCTCCTCAGCAATGTTGCATCCTTTTCGGCATCGTGATGTTCATTGTTGGCATCTATGCGCTTTGGCAAACCCGTCGGGCTAATCGAGTCCGTCAAGGTATATTGCTCGCGTGCTCGCGAGGGAGTTGACCGTCCTAATTGACCAGAGTGTAGAACTCGGAGTCGAGCTGCGGCGTCAAACCACCGACGCATCCGACCAAGTCTGATGATCCCTGGCGCCAATACTCGTGCCACTGCACCGCTGTAAACACCACAGGAGACCTCAAGGTTTGCCGCGGGTTCAGGGGTCGATGACTTTACCGACGGACAACATTTTGGCAACGCAAGAGATGCATTGTACTCTGCGTAAGAGCGAGGCATCGGCTCGGTAGAAGGCGCAAGGCAAATCAGCCAGAGTTCCATCCCTTCAGGAATGATAGCATGTTTGCACCAAGTTGGTCGATGACATATCCACCCTCAAGCAAGACAAGGGTGGGTATGCCCTTGAGCGCATGTCTCGTTGTCCTCGAGATGATCTCGTAGTCTTCCGTGTGGATCTGGAAATGGCCTAATGGATCGGAATGGAACGTGTCGAACCCGAGGCTGATGATGAGGAAGTCGGGGTTGAAATCGACCAGTTTCTGCTGTCCGTAGTCGAGTTTCTCCAAGTATTCTTCGATGGAGCTGCCGACTTTGAGGGGCAGATTGATGTTTGTGCCTTCGGCATCGCCGTTGCCTGTTTCGTCTGCCGCGCCTGTGTAGTATGGCTGGTGGATTGTCAATAACCGTCTTAGCATAGTAGGTGTTTGGGGTTGGTATTGTTGCGGAGTAATAAATAGAATAAATGCGTGGATCGCAGCTAGCTCAACTGCCACGGAAATGGGGAACTAGGAGGAACTTACAAACTCATCTTCTCCATGGATGCTCACATAGAGGACCCTTGGATCGGCGTAGAATATCTCCTGCGTCCCATTGCCGTGATGAAAGTCGATGTCGAGGATGCCGACTTTCGCCTCCGGATGCCCTGACCGCCACGTGCTCACAGCAAGGGCGGCGTTGTTGATGTAGCAGTAGCCGCCTGCCCGCTGGCCGTCGCAGTGATGTCCTGGAGGCCTGCACAGTGCTACCGCCGTGTCAATGTCGTTGGGAAGGTTGGCAAACCCAGCGAGCATGTCTGTGCCTTCACTGGCTAGATTCGCGGATGCGACGATAGCTTTGTAGCTGTCTGACATGATGCCGCTGCTCATGTCGAAGGCATAGTACCCTGCACGCGCGAAGGGGTCTTTGGGTGGTCGTAGGGGCTTCCCGGTTGTGGTGGGATAGACGAAGCATTCTGGCAGGACGTGGCCGTCTTGCTTGATCAAGCCCGCGTCTAACCATGTCTGGAATATATCGCGCAAGTGTTGCAAATAGTCCGGGGAGTGAGTCGCCGAGGTGAATTCCAGCAGCCGAGTGATTCGACGGTCGTCCTGAGGAGACGCAAACTCAATCGTGCGAAGCTCATATTTGGAAGAGCGCAAAGCTTTCAGGATTGCTTCGAGTCGTTCGGGCGACTCGAGTGCAGGGATGAGCTTCGAGCCCAGGAGTTCGACGGTCTGGTGGAGGAGAGTGTCAGGGTCCCACAGGATCACCAGCATCTTCGACGAAGTTCGCTGTCTGCGCCGCTTTCGGAAGCATGGCAGGAATGGCTGATCTAGGACGCGTGAAATCCAGTAACAGAGTCTCGTCGCGAGGACATGTGCCGTTGGTGGTGCCAGGATAAAGTGAGGTTGAGAATGAGGTCTCACAGCCCGATTGTGCGGCTTGGACGCGGAGTTTTCCGATAGACGGCGTCTGCCGAGCGCGCACGTGATGTTGCTGGAGAGTCACTTGTCGATGCCCGACGCCAGATCCTCAGTAGTTGGGTCCGTACATGTCACTATACATTGGACCTTGTGGCGGGACAGAAGAGCGATGATGCCGGGTCTCAATCGAGGGGACTGACTGCATCTCGGTGTCTGCAGGGGTCAGACCTTTGTTCATAGCATCAAAGGCGCAACAGTGAAGAACTTACGGCCATTCAGGACCTGTTCCAAAACTGCATTCTTTTGCCGGAGCTTGCTGCACGTATCCTTCATACTCTGAAGAGACCGTTGCTTCGTTTTGTCAAAATTGTCAAGAAAGATTGCCATGCTGGCCATGAAAGCGCTGCCTATAGACGCCGCTGTTAAATCCAGGAGCCGACGAGGGACGAGTCCACTTACTTGGTTGTACAAGATCTGCCGCTAGCTTTTCCGACATATCGGCGGCATTTGATGATCGAGGCAGAGAATTGAGCGCGACGTTTTGAACAGCCCGTATATACTGCTCCACCAGTGGCAAGACGTCTCTACCAAGTGAACTGTTGTCGCTAAGAGGGGTCCCTGGAAACGAGGCCGACATCGCGGGCTGAACTTGCAGAGGAACGGGTTCGGAAGCAGGTACCATCGCCGCAGTGTCCGTGTCCACTATGTCAAACGTGATCATAGGATGAGTTTCGAAACCTGCTTGATCCAGCGCATCAGTACCTTGCTGCAACGTCAATCCGTTGTCGAAGATCGCTTGGTCAGTCATGATACCCTCTGGTAGCACGCCCGGGTGCATTCCAAATTGATTGAAGCCCGTTGGTAAAGGCTGCATGACCGGTTCCGGCATAGGATACCCAAAGGCTGTATCGGTGGGATCTCCCGAGAATGTCTGGTTCGAGTTTGCGAGGCCCATGCCATGCGAGGCGTGCAACGGGATTGGCCCGTGCGCGAAGGTATTGAATTGACTCTGTGCTGGTACAGTGTTGAAGGGTGGTGAGCCATGGGGCTGGCCTTGTTGGAAGTGGCTGGGGATACCAACAGTAATACTTGGGTCGTCGTTGGGTCCGTGTGCAACTGCTTGCTGATTTTGAAAGAAGCCGGCCTGCATGGAATCTGACATCCCCCGCGCATCTTGCATTCTGCCTGTGAGGAGACCTTCTCTGCTGGACGTCCTTCGCATCTCTGAGCTCAGGTCGTTGAAGCTGAAGGCCGGATCCAAGGTGGATGCTCCGGAGGGATCCGAGAACTCTTGCTTAAACTGTGGGCGTGGTCTGTCGGCGAAGGAGGTTGATCTGGATCTTGATCGGGAGCGACTGACTTCTCGTCGAGCAAAGCGGCGAAGGTTGCGATCCTCGTGCGGCTGGAGATTCCCTCGTTCGTCCACGGAAGAGCGCGGCCGCCGACCAGGACGACTAACGTCGAGCACGGTCTTGCCAGCTTGCGCAATCTGCGCCAGTCTCTCGTCTCGGTTCGTGTACTTCGAAAAGCCCCATTGCTTGATCTTGCGCTCCCATTGACGAGGCGTGGCGTTGAAGTTGTAGTGGTGTTTCATGTACTCGGCCGCTTCTTTGCGAGTCATGTTGCGGTCGATGTAACATACTCGGAAGTTCTCCTTCTGCTCCTCCCAGTCCTTGTCGTCATGGTGCGTGTCTAGAGCTTGTGAGTCGTCGTCTGAAGCCATGATCGGAGTGAGATCCGAGATGTTCCTTGTGATGCGGATCTGGATCGGCAATCCCAGCCTGATCGCGCATCACCCAGCCCACGAGGTTTTCTCTCGAGATGAGCTTGTTTATGTCGTTGAAATCCAGACGTCGAAAGCGTGGATTGCTGATCCCACAAGCGAGACACAAGTCAGTTGCACAACATGGGAATGTGTTGTTATTGGCATGGAGAGATAGCGCTGACCAATACTCCGTCCTCTAGCCGCACCACTCGAGCGCCGTGTTGCCGCCTCTTGGTCGTTTTGGCCCCCATCAGGCGCCCTGCGGCTGAGCGAATGGTGAGGCACTGGAGGGGCTCTTCTAGGGGCTCTTCTAGGGGCTCGGGAGGGTTCGAGTTCCCGGCACGATCCAGGACTTGAGGCGTCGAATCACACGTGGCCAACCAAACGTTTGGGCACGCGTGTGGCGCTGTTGAGGCGTCGAGTAGAAAGTGTGGCTAGAGATTGCGATCGATGGTTGTGCGTGCATGACTCGAATGCTTCTCCCTATTCCCGCGCTTGTACCTTTAGGCTTGCGGTTCTTTCGAATGCCTAAATACCTGCCTATTTCCTCTTCATCTTTGCCTTCACTTACCTCGTGCCCCCTTCTCCCGTCATCAACCAACCACTGTTCACCGAGTCGGCAAACAAGGCAGTTTCTGCCTAGCGCCCTTTTCTACCTACCGGCAAGCCGTGCCTACGGAGTACTTCCACCGACCTCCGACTATGATGCCGCATTGTGTACTCCGTACTTGACTAACTCTGCTGGGGTCCTTGAGACTCTTCTGGCGTCCCAAATCCTCATCTGGAGCCGTCTCTGAATGGAACTTCTGAGAGCTCCAAGAACCGTTCATTGACCGAGTCTCTGAGACAAGGTGAGTGATTTTTGGGGTGATTTGGATGCTAATGATGGGTACCATAACTGCAAGCTCGACATTCCTTTTGTTCATATATCGTCAATCTTGCCACTGCATGAGGACTACAACTCATTGCGGTCTATGATTCCGGTCCTCATCGATGCGACTGTCACTGTGTTGTCTTCTTATGCACGTGTTGGGAGCTATTGGCTCAATCATCAACACAATCTGGGGCTATGCTTTCACCATAGTGCGGAAGCTGATCGATACCACCTACGAATTGTGTAGTTACGTCTTGGACCCTATGCTGTTGTGTGAGTATACAGCCTCGGTACTACTGGAGAGTATCCAAGGCAACCACTAATATCATAGTCTTCACTGTTCACGAAGCTGAGGAGACGCCGCTACTGCCTGGAGGCCAAAGCGACACATCTTCGACACGCCCATCAAGTTCGAGCTTGGCAATCAACTTGTCGGGTGGCACACCGACCACTCTAACTCCTCCTCATTCGCCAACGCCAAATGTTGATCCGGATCACCAGGATTTTCAATATTTAGGAGGAGGTTTGGACGAGAGTGATCACGATGGGATCTGAGTTGAATTGCACGAAATAGGCGGCGTATGGAGAAAAGGTACCTTGAGCTTCAGGGTTCTATGTTCTGGCGTTGGGATTAGGTGCTGAGATGGACCAAAAGTTCTCTGGAAGAGAGCTAGGGCATTTTCCTGATTCCTCATCATTGCCTGTACTCAGTAATAGTAGGGCTCGAATTTAAGCTGATCCAGGAAATGCCTTCTGCATCTCTTGTTCGCTTAACTTGGTTTCACGTGATGTCGCGGATGCAGCGCGTCTGCGCAATCCCTCTCCGCACCGTCGTTTTGTCTTTGTTGACATTGTGACAGCCTGCATTCATCCACCTATAACTCACCGGTTTCCCTGCCACTTTGGAACATGAGATCCAGGAGCAGCCTCGCCTACCACATTGGCTGTCTCTAAGTTGCGCCGATGGGCGGTCAAGAGCCCACACAGCATGCCTTCTGCGGCGGTGGTCATCATTTCTTCCTCGCCGCCCCCAGCGTTCGCACCGTCTCCGACGCCTGCTGAATCTCCGTCACCCTCGAAATCACCCAGTACCCCTGTCAGAGACGGAGCCAAACGATTCAAAAAGTCAAGCCAGACAAGACATGGGTTCTCGCCTGGCTTTAGCAGTGCGCATGCCCTTTTGGCTCGACCGGGGGCAGAAAATATTCCCTTGCAGTCTCCCTGCAGATCAAAATTCAGGCTGCAAGCATCAGAACAAGCCCGAGACGGATTTGGAAATCGGACCACGACGGCGCAATATGTGAGAAAGAGGACAGATTCTCAAACCGAGCAGCTCTCGAACCATTTCAAACCCTCCAAGTCGTGTGCTTCCTTGGCGGCAACGAGTGCGGAAGTCGCGCAGGAGGAAGATCAACTTGGCTATAAAGACGGCTGTGGGGCTCTAATATCGGCTGGAAACAACAAAGGATCCGTCATTGGTAGACATTCAAGCCCACGGCCGATGGAGAAGGCCGTGCCACGAAGATTGGACTGGACTCCTGTCAAATCAGATGAGTACACATGGGAGACTCCGGAGTCGGAACAACAAGAAAATAGACTGTCAAATACTCTTCTGGATGCTTACGCCTATTCTGCGTCCGCTACCAGTGGACCTCAGGTGGCAACTAAGAAAGTCAATGGAAACGGCGACCAGTCCAAGAGAAAACGGATTGACCTTGTAATGACCACTTCAACGACACCGTCATCGTCTGTCTCGCAGTTGCGCACCGGCAAAGAGGCAAAGGCCGGTAGTAGGGGCAAAGGGAGAGCACCTTCCAAGAAGGCTCTGACGATCACGGCTTTGGCTACTTCTGCTTATTGTGACGGCCAAAGTAAAGAGGGCAAGCTACAGCCGATGATGGAGTACCTGGCATCAACTCAAGCGGCTATCGGCAACGATTGTGAGTCGGGGATCGACGTGAGCCTGAAGAAATTCTCTAAGCCTAAGGCTTCGTCCAAGAAAGCGGGTTCATCAAAGAAACCACCGGTGAAGAGTCGATTAGTCTCTCCTACATCTGCGATGAAGATGACCCTTGAGCAACCGTTCTTGTTCGGTCCAGCCAGTCAACTGGCACGAGACGAATCCCCTACACTGATGCGTGACACCATGGCCGCGCTTCAGCAATCCGAAGAGATCCTATCTGATCCTTTCTCTCCGCAACGGACCCAGCCGTTCTCGATTGAATCAACTTCACCTAGAGTCGTGCGTGGGACGAATCGCCTGGTCAGGCGAAGAAACCTGTGGAGTGCGGCCGGCCGAGACGCAGACAATGCTCTGTTGCAGGTTGAGACGGTGGACATGACCGACTCTCCCGCCGTACGCCAGGCTCTTGCTGGCAAGGATGCTCTTATGCAGCCTGACGGCCCTCACCACCACCATATAGGACACGCGGACGATGGGAACACTCGTTCATCAGTCGTTCGAACTCCTTGTACCAGGAGCGTAGGACCGGTGATTGACATCTACGAGATCGAGACCCCTGGTCTTCGTGGACCCGTTGTACATTCCACGAACCCTCCCGTGAGAGGGATGCATACTTTACGGACTGTGAAGGGACAACACGACGACAGTTGCGCCGAGGCCCAGCCTGGCGGAGCACATCCCAAACCAGTGGACGCCTCTCCGAGACCAAAGGCGGTCATGCCATCTTACGACGGGTGGTCCGACCCTGAGCTTAAGAAACAAGTGGCTGCCTATGGTTTCAAGTCCATCAGAAAACGCGAGAAGATGATTGAACTTCTTGAACGATGCTGGAAGTCCAAGCATGGTGTTGTGCAGGATAGCGACGGGCCGGACAATCCGGCCGATACGTTGAGTCATGGTGACTTTCTGAGTAAAGTCCATGATGTCTCTGTGAGGCCTACCCCTAAAGTCAAGAAACCCAGGGCCAAACGAAAATCAGACAGCGGTGACCCAACGGCTCCGAAAGAGCCCAAGAAGAGGAAAAAAGCAGCATCCAAGACAGAGGAGGGTTCGAAGAAAGAACAAGCCCCTCGACAGCGTAAGAAGAAAACCAAAGTGCTTTCCGATGAGAAGATTATTGATGTGGACGACATCGGCGAGACCAATACCAAGCAAGCAGCGGAGAAGCACGAGGATCTGGCAGCAGCATCAAACCAACCGGAGGAGATCAGAGTCAAGGTCGGGCAAGTCATGACTAGCGTTCCCACACCACCTCCTACGTTACCGAAGCCCGAAATTACAATATCAACCCATGGAGTCGAGGATGCCCAGCCCTCTGCGCATTCCGCTTCGAATATGGACGGCGCTGAGGTGCCGCCCGCTGTCCTCACACCCAAGCAAACACAGCCGACAGATGTCATGGTACAGATACATGCTGCTATCCATCATCATCCAGCTACGGGATCCCGAAGCTCAGGCTCGCGCAATCATCAAACGTCACCCACCTGGCGGGAGAAGATTCTCATGTACGATCCAATCGTCCTCGAGGAGCTTACTGTCTGGCTCAACACAGAGGGCTTCAAAGCCATTGGCGAAGATGGGGAGGTGAGCCTGGTGGAAGTCAGGAACTGGTGCGAACAAAATGGTGTTTGCTGCCTTGGTGGTTGGAGAGGACGCGGAAAGCACGGTGAAGGAGAATGAGAGCGTAATATGAATGAAATGACGCGACGAGGGCATGCATGCATTATGGATCCTCAGTGCTACGTATGGGTACGAGGGATTGTTGAATATATCTCTCCGTTGCGGTGATGGCTTTAAGCTCCTCGATTCGTCTTGCTCCCCTGAGGTTGCCGTCCTGGCTTTGGCTTTCGGCGGGTTCTTGGCTTGGATCCTCCAGGTATGTTCGTGGTCCCGGGTGCAACCGGTGGGCCCTGCTAGCCTAAACGCAATTTGTCCCGAGGCCTATTAGGTCCTTTGACCCCGCAGTTAGGTAACGGCGGGCGCTGCCACGAGCTGTGTGCACATTGCACATTGTTTGTTAATGTGCAGCCGCCGCCGCCGATCAGGCTCAAGCAGCGGCGAACTGCGCAGAGACGCGGCATGGCAGTATTGACTTCTTCTCATATCCCGTGTTCTTCTCCAGCCACGCACCACAGAGAGTTGCAGTCTGCTCTTTGTTGGCCACAACTGTTGCGCTTGGTTTCAAGCACCTGGACGCTTGCCACGCTCTAAGTCGGGGGAGATCCTCTACACCTTTCGTCAGTTGTCGACAATGTCCTTCCTCTGGGCGATGAACTCGAGCCTTTCATGTGAATATGAGCCTTAGTAGCGCCCGACATGGCCAACCGACCGTGCAACATGCGCCCAGGGCACCAGTCCGCCCGCCTCGTCAGATCCGCTTCGTCTCAACAGACGGCCAACCACATACGAAGAGGAGGAGGATAAACGCCGCTTGCCTGACGTGTCGCAAACGGAAGACGCGTTGTTCAGGAGAAAGACCGCTGTGCAAGACATGCACCGACTACGGCCATGACTGTTCGGGCTATACTGATCGGCCGAGCCGCGAGGATGGCCGAGTGGAAGAGAACGATGACGAGGTCGACATAAGTGTGCCAACATCTCAGACACCCTCAAAAGATGTTGACGCCACGGCACGTGTCTCTGAGACGGTAGAGCAACCAGAAAGGGAACCGCCGAGTGCCGTGGAGGACATCATCAGCCCGGCCAGCAACGACACCCGCAGTAGCTTCACGTCCTCCAGGAACCGGGTGCCCTATTTTCGCTACTTCGGTCCAACCGCCATTGTGCCAGGTTTCAAGCAGATGGTCGTTCAAATCAAGGATCACCAATCGAGCCTGCCTTCTGCTGGCGGAGGATCTCCAGCCTCAGGACAGCCATTGACCGCACCCGGTCCTGCTGGTCACGACAGGGCGCCCGTTGTGGTGCCGTGCTATGATGCCACCGATCCGGTCCCTGTGGCTCCCTTGATCGTTCATCTGTGCGAAACATTCTTTATACACCTGGGTTGTAACTATTCATTCCTCCAACGAGAAAGATTTCTGAGAGACTTGGAAGACAAGAAGGTCGATGCAATCCTGGTCGATGCTGTTTGTGCAGTTGCGGCTCGCTTTTCTTCGCATCCTTTGCTGTGCACCTCGAAAGACCCTTTGGTCCCCTTGGATGACGGGGGTAATGTTCTACGAGCGTTTCGCGGACATCCATTTGCGCAACGGGCGATGGCAGCTGTGATTGACACGTTCTCCTGTCCTACTATCGCTGTGGCCCAAGCATGCCTGCTGCTGGCATACGAAGAATTTGGAACTGATCATGATAGCGGGCTCTGGATGTATCTCGGGACTGCCATCCGCATGGCTCAAGACCTGGGAATGCAGAAGCTGGAAGGATTGCAGCTTGAAGGCAGAATTGGACCTACCCCAAAAACTGTCAAGCACGGTCAGGCCGGCAAGGTGCAAGAGCAAAAGAGGTTCGAACAGCAACAGAGACTATCACAAAACCTTTCCGAGGTAAACAACGCTGAGCTTGACGACCGACGAGCAAGCGAACAAGAACGGGTCGATACCTTCTGGGCCATCTTCTTCCTCGATAGAGCCGTCTCGTCTGGTGTTGGCCGCCCTGTCACTCTACGCGACAAGGACATTGAGATATCATTCCCTTATCGCGCTGACAAGACGATCATCGGAGGCTACCCGGACGCCTTCCCTGCCATGATTCAGATCGTCCACATGTATGGACGGGTTGCGGATGTCCTAAACAACATCAAAGACCTGAGCCAGGTCACTCCCGAAGTGTTGAAACGGTTGGCGAGCATGGAGAGAGACTTGACAGGTAAGGTCCTCATGTACCGAACACTTCGGGTGCTGATCATGCAGGATTCTATCAGCATTTGTCTCCCAAGTTACATTTCAACGCGACAAACTTCCAACAATATGTGAAGGCGGGCCATGGCACAAACTTCATCCTGCTGCATTTCTGGTTCCACACCTTGATTGTTCTGGTACATCAGCCTACGTTGCTTCATTCCTTCGAAGGCCGAATCCAGCAGCTTTTCCCTGACAGTAGGGAATTGTCCATGTCGTCCGCAAAGACCATTGCAGACATCCTGGCATTTGCCGAGTTGATCGACGTCAACAGCTTTATCGGTAATCCATTCACGAGCCAGCCCATGTATGTGGCTGCATGTGCCTTTTTGGCCGAAGCTGCCGCCCATACGTCGCAACCCTCGTCTCGAGCGACATCTCCACGACCAAACGGGCACTCCCTGCATACAAAACATGCCACGAGCGATGACAAGGCCCAGAAAGCAGCTTCTGCTCGTCACACCCTACTTGCAACCGCGGCAAATCAGAACTATCAGCGCTGCTACAAGGCACTGCAGACACTGGGTACGTACTGGGCTGGCTGCCGTTACATCCTGACGGCTCTCGACCAGAAATCAAAAGGTCTCATGGACCCTCTACTGTTCACCGCGGACGACGTAGATGGGCAGATGCCGTCAACCCAGCCATCATTCACTACACCCGGATGGCGCAGGAGCACTTCGTTGGCTGCTTCCCTTGGCGTAGATGCGAGGTTTCGCGGTCTCAAGGGGCGGTCGGACAGAGGGACGAGTTCTTCTCCTTCGATGGACTTGAGTCATGCTATTGGTTGGTCCCTGACCGGTACCGCGAACTCGCCTGCTCCGAACCTAAGCTTCCTCTACTCAATGAACGATGGCGGGAAGGGCGCATCATTCGCACGACATCCCCAGACGGGACAAGAACAGTCAGGCACAGGCCATCGTCCGATGGATCGCATGACAGTGCAAGACAGCAACCCAACTTCAGCTCTCGAGGCCCAACCGTCCGGAATTGGCCGAGTCAAGGCGCTTTCGTCTCTGCCATATGATCCCGTTTCGGCAGAAGACGCCGACCTCCTGTTAGGTCTTCATTCACCTTACATTCCTAGTTCGGGCGTATCAGCGACCACCTCTTCTGCCGTCGTGCCGCCGAACTCAGGCCACTCCAGTTATCAACCTCAGCCGATACCCAGCTACGAGCAAGCTATGGGCCTTCCACCACAATTTGTCGATATCCAAACCCAAGATGTGGACAACATGCTGATTCGAGCACAAGAAATCGACATGAGCGGCGCACAGCAGTTCGACTTCCCCTTCCCAGGCGGCGACATGGTCCCCTGGTTAGAGTACCTGCCACAGGACGTGCTGACGTATTTCGGAGACCAACATTCGGGCGGAGACATGATAGACGCGACTGTATCGCTTGATCAGAGATGAGAGTCATGCGAGACTGGTGCCGTTGAATGTGGAGGTGGGCGAGGACAATCACCCGCACAGACATGCCTCGTACAGAAGAAGAAGAAAGCCTATCCCCCGTACAGAAGAAGAAGAAAGCCTATCCCTCGTACAGAAGAAGAAGAAGCCTATCCCTCGTACAGAAGAAGCCTGGAGTCGTTTTTGTGTACTGTATCATGTACGAGAATACAGCTTCTGATACATTGGCATGCTGTGGAACCCTCACATATTTCATGAGAGAGTTGTGGAGAAAGCGACCTCGTCGCAACATAAATGCATCACATGTACTTGATTCGCGGGCACGCGTCGAATTCTCCTCGCCTCGTGAAGGAACCCCGATGTCCTCTTGCACAGAGTATGAGCGTCCTGGACTCGGAGGGCCGGGTCAGCGGGAGAGTATTAATTACAAGGAATCGGTAATTATCGATTTAATATCGGGGGCGCCCTTTGGTCCCTGAAACCCGAGCGACAGAGCATAAATACAGCAAGCCGTCCAACCGCGCACTGCACTTTCCTGGGCCTCGGCAACCTCATCCCTTTCTACTGTACACTACTTGCTGCTGCAGTTCAGCCGCGCCCCTAATCGTCCCTCATGGCCCCCCAGGGGCTTCTCATACGGGTACTGTGGTGTGCTGTTTACTCTTTGACCAACTAATTACCACGGAAAGCCAGGCTGGACAGTGTATCGCCGAGAGAACGACGGAGATTACGGTGTCACACCATATGGACGTCCTGTGCAATCGTGTAGACTGGCTCGGCTAATTCTCTAATTAGATACGTAGTTGGGGTAGGATGGCGTGGTTATGGACATAGAGTAGCCCGGCACGCACTGTACCTAGGCACCTAGAGACCTCGTATCGCTCACTGGACCTGAACAAGTCCATTCAATTTCCTGTGTTGTACCCCTTGACGGAGTATTGTAGTTCGGCTTTTCTTGTGGTGGGGCCTGAATTACATATGCAGTACGTATACGCGAGGGCCGCACTGCTTTCATAGACCCCTTCCTCCACCGTCTCTAGACCATCAAAGCGTGTCGACAATATTTCAGGATCCCGTTGCCCTCTACCGGTGCAACTGGCCTGGTCGGATTTCGTGTCCTCACCGAGCTGTTAGATCAACGATACAAAGTCCTGCTTGCCGGACGGTCAGAACTCAAGACCAGAGCCATCACAGAAGCCCTCCCAAGCAAACATGAAGCTCACGCGCTTGGGTTCACCACTGTCCTCGACATGGCCGTTGACAATGCATTCGACAACGCAGTCAAGGGAGTCAGATATCTCGTCCATGTCGCTTCAACGATGGCAATTCCTTCGGATGACCTCGAAGCCACGCTCTTCATCCCGACCCTCCACACAACCGTGAGCATCCTCAAGTCCGCTTCGGAGGAGTCCTGCGTCAAGAAAGTGGTAATCACATCGTAGGTTGCTGCTGGGGCACCAGAAGCTCCTAGAATCCTCGACGCGGCCAACGTCGAGCCGAACCCTCAGGGACCCTAGACGCATACCTTTTCCGCTTATGAGGCATCCAAGAAGCTCGCATGGACAACCATTGGCAGGTTTAGCGCCGACAACAACCTGCACTTCGATATCATTAATATCATGCCCTCGTTTGTGATCGGGCCAAACGGGTTTGCGAAAGGCAAGGGAGAGTATGAGAAGGGATCGGACGCGGCATTTGTGCATGTTGCTGCGCTCAAGCTCAAGATATCAAGCCGCCAGGACTTTGGAGTCACGTATGACGGTTCAGGAGCGTCGAGTAGGACACAGCCTTTGACATTTTCAAGAGGAGGTGGCCAGAGCTCGTTGAACGCGGCGTGTTCGAATTAGGAGGTACAGCCGGAACACATGAGGGGTGCCGTGGATGCGTCGAAGACTGAGCGTGCCTTAGGGATCAAGTTCAAGACATCTAAGGACATGATTGTGGATGTGGCAAATGGGTTTGCGTGGGTTGCGTCTGTCATCCTTTATGACGTTTCCTTGTTGCGAGTCAAGAATGAACCGCCCATCAGGCACAGTCGGACATGCTACGTGGCGTGTTTCCAAGGACAGATCGTTGTCTTCCTTCTGGTAGCCCGATGCTCGTCCAACGCACGCGCAACGAGACTAAATCACTTCATAATCTCTCGATATCACAGAGCCGCGAATTTGGTATCAAATCGGGTCAATGACAGCCTGTACTCGCCGATCCGGCATGTTTTGTCCGGAGGCCCAACACTTGCCGAGATGGAACGGCGTTCGACGAGCCTTGGAGGAGTGAATTCGCAAGCTCAAGGAGAACCCATAGTAGAGCTCTAAGAAACAAATCAGGCATGGTGGAGACGCATGCCAGTTCGAAGGCCGAGATCACCCAGTATGAGCTCTGTCAGTTCTGTGGCCTGAGGTTTCGGTAGGCTTTATGAGCGTGCGCTTGTTTAAATCCGATGGGAAGTTTCGTCACCATCCTCGTTCTGCGAGTGAGGGCTGGATGATAGCAATGTCGCCAAAGTGCCGGAGATGACATCTGTAATAGACTTAGCGGACAACAGTTTCCCGTGCACAATGCGATGCCAGAATCTTTCCGTCCTCTCCAATGAATTCCAAAAGGTTGCAGCACTGTTATAAGCCACAGACGTGGTCAGGTCCCTGTGTGAGTCACGCATGCACATTCGCTCCTTGAAGCACTGAGATGGATACGCAAATGTCAAATATACCTACTTACCCATGTGAGAATTTTCGATGTGCTTGACATCAGAATCTGCCTGGGCAACCGACCCCAAGAGAAGTCCATGTGACCGCCGAAGAACAGTTCGAAGTGCCCTGAGGTTGCTTTTTCGTCACTAGTAAAGACTCGTTCGAGGTCTCTGCCCCTGCTAATTCCACAGATTCGCGACAACAAATTTCGGCCGTATGCGGGGACGAGGACCATGACCGTCCGACACTGATAAGGCAATGTTGTACCATTGCAAACGAACATTCAAAGCGCTCGGAGAGAGGCAGACTAACACAGGGGTGACAAAAGGGAACCCACAGAAGCCGGTGACGTCAAACAAGTGGACGCGGTCGTATGATAACACCATCTTGTGCTGTTTACTTTGAGTAAGAAAACACGTAGAATCTTCGACCATCGTGGCTGTCGCTCTCGAAAGAAGTGAACATGTCATGAGACTGAATGACGCGCAGGATGGCCTCCACGAAGGTCCAGGGGAGGATGCTGCGAGGCAGCCGTTTGGGAGTAGAACGGCCGCAGCGCTATCTGCTTGAGACTGTGGCCGGGTATCCGAATTTACCCGGTAGCTGGACTCTGGGGTATAAGGCATAGGCAGCCAAGCTCATCGTGGCACACAGAGTGCACCAACGAAATCACCGTCTTTGCAGCTCAAGAAGACAGTGGACGTCCGGACGCTACCAGTAAAACTGCGAGGCGGTAGGTATTTCGCTCTTCCGCTTCACCGCACGTACAGGTTTTCAAAGCCAGCATGGGGACACCGCTGTGGAAACATCTTTGTAAGTGACTAGCAAGCGAGCTCGATCGGATGGGCGAGGCAGGCCCTAGCAGGGCTGTATCCCAACATCGAGCGTCGTGATTGTGATTGTCTAATTACTGTACTCCACGATCCATGCTGTACTTTCCGCATCGCTGATCTCCGTAGACTGGGTCAAACGCAGGCCAAAGCGTGCAGGCGCGATCGGTGAAGCAATAACAGGAACCATAGGAAGACAAAGGGTGCTCGGTCAAGTTTGCGACGTCTGGGTCGCCAGGCAGTCGGTGGACTGTGTGGCAATTGTCGTACTTAAGGGAGGACGAGGCCGAGGCTCGAAGGGGCAACGAGGAGGTAGACCGACACAGAGCGCAAGTACGGCACTGCTTGCGGTTGACAAACTCCATGCTGCACGAATCCGAGTTTCATAGGTGAATGTCGAGGCCGAGTCAGAACTGATTGGGTGATTAGTCGAGCCGATTAGAGATGAGCAAGCACGCGGCCCATATCTGCGTTTGCGGGGCCAACAGGACCATGCGGACGAACAGGTGTTCATGCGACAAGCGGACGCTCTTCGGCACGAGTCGGTCAGCCGTCATGCTGCGCTTGATTGGTGGCTACACGTGGAGAACGGTCTCGAATGAAACTTTCCCGCCAGTGGCCGCAGGAGGAAACAGTCTTGCGAGAGCAGTGGGAGTGACAGGCGGTGGAGCTCATGATTTCAGTCCTCGTCGAAACGGAGGCTTTCATGCTGTGCAACGTAACGGGACGAAACACTGCAGGACCACCACTCAGTTACAGGAAGGGAGACCTTCGGCCGTTGGGTATGCAAGTGATTCTTGCTGCTATTGTGAAGATCCAGAGACACGAAGAACAAATCGAGCAGGGAGGAGTACGGAGTACTCCGCAGGTGAAGTCCGATTGAAATGAGAGAGAGGTTTGGGCCATATCAAGGTACCGGATCAAGATTGTTCCGGCCGAGCAGGATGTCACCCACACTTCACCTGCGGCTCTTTTGGTCACTCTCTGTTCAGCAAGAGCGACCACTCACTGCAGGCTCAATGTCTCGGAAACAATGCGCATGGTGCTAGCTGCCGGCCGCTCTCACCGCTGGAGGTCAGCCATGAACAATGTTAACAACACAGCATGGCTACCGCTAGGTCACCTGGGGAGTTGCGAGGGTGAACCCGAAAACGTGCAACACAGACCTCGTGATTGGCACTCCGCATGGTTGACAGATTTCCGAGACTCTTGCGGCACCCGAAACTGGGATCCGCCTTTGGCCCTCGATTCTATCCACTATCAACAAGCACATCGGAACACAATCAGCAGGTGTCTCAGTGGTGCCGCTACTCGCAAACAATCGTCAACATTTGACTCAACTTCGCCTCCGGCTGGAGTGCTATCCTGTCATGCCAGCACAACTCAATCCGTCTGCCATCAATATGCTGTGACTGGACGATACAAGCTGTCTGTGTTTCCGTGCAGCACAACCTCGTCCTGTCCGTGCATCAGCTCAACGGAACCCGTTAAGCCGACAACTCGATGTGATTAGATGATCCAAGGCCTTCCAACGCCGCGCTGTGGTGTTCCAAGTACACAGTAATCAATGCATCAACCATTTTTGAAATGCTCCTTAGCATACTGCTCGCATGCCTAGGACGGTTTGGTGAGTGGAGGACAGTAGACGAACTAGACAACGAACCTTGGCCGGCTTTCCCAGCTTCTGCCCAATAGCTTTCCACTTGTTGGCTTCGTATTCTTTGATAGCTTCACGTAGCGCTGCCGACTAGAGAGGTACTGGTCAGACTGAGAGTCCTCCGAGGCAGAACTCATACATACTTCATCTTCTGCAAATTCTGCGTAGTGCATGTCCTAAGCCCTGCCGTTAGTAATGGTAGACACACACTGGAGACAGCTATTACCTTATACCAATGCTTCTTCACGCTGCCTTCGGTGCGGGCGGGGAAAGCCTATTGTTGTTGAGTACACGTTCTTTAGATCGCAGGCATCTGCATCTGGGAAGGGTACCTTGGCAATTTCGCTCCAGCTATGGCTCGCATCCCGCATCTGCTTCAGTCGCTGTTCCTCCTGGGCAGTCCACGGCGTGTTGGTTCGGCCACGTTTCTTGCTTGTTTCTTCCGTGAGCAGAGCCGGTATCGAGACGTTATTCGATGTTGATTCTGATGGCAAGGCGGCCCCTGGAGGCAGAGTATTCAGCTTGGGACTATGGGATGCCCGTCGCTTGCGAGGATTTGGTGGGGATGACGGAGGCTGAAGTTGGTCGGCATGGGGCTTCGGTGCCAGCGGCGTCTGAGGCGCTGGCACCTCTTTGTTTGTCGAGGGAGACGTGGTGGAGTTGGACTGCTTTTGCTTCTTTGCTGGAGGAAGGGATCTGAGATGCATAAGAGTTAGGTGCCGCGAATGAGGGTAACGTAGATATCAGCTCGAGTGCTAGTTTGGAAAAACGGGATGAACAACGAGGCATTTACCCCGGTGCAGTTTTGAATGTACCACCGACTAAATAGAACTTACGACATTGTGACGGAGGTGTAGCTGCTTAGTAGAGGTTGACCTGAGTTGAGGTTGCCGTCGGCATGGTCAAGCATGCTCTGAGCAAGGAGTATCCCTTGACTGTGTCGAGGCCAGCCACAGGAGTGCCAGTCGCCTGGAGAGGTAGCCGGTGTTATTTGGATCAGAGACCGCGAGTGTCGCACAGCGACGGGAGCCGTTGGTTCGCCGGAGTCTATGTCGCGCGGCGTGTCCCGTGGTAGTCGGCGAGTCCAGCAGACACCAGCGGAACCAGGACCGGGACCAGGAATGGAACGAGCGGAACGGGGGACAAGGTGTGACCACCGACCAGGGAGGGAGCGCGGCGAGGTGACTAAGGCCAATCAGGTCCAGAAGAGGCATGCGCAGGAAGAAAGAGCGGGACAACAGTAAAGAGGCGGTACGACGATGGTGCAGGTTTTCAGAGGAAGCTCACTTTAAGTTGATTTTTGCTCTGCTCGGATCCTGCCGACTTGTGCTCCAGCAAGGGTCAATCAGAAGGAAGGCTAAAAGGGTCGCCGATCAGATGTACCAGCCTTGGTTCCTCCGCCACAAGACGACGGCAGATATGATGTCTAGACTCTAGCCTGCAATGACCGGGGATTGGCAGGGCTCTGACCAAAATCGCCAGTGATGTCCGTGACTATCGCGGGAGCTCCAGACAGCTAATGACGAGGCCGATTATTTGGAAGAAGTAGGATTGCCATTCATTTGAGTCAAGTCGCGAAATACTAGAGTCAGCTGTACAACTTTCTTGGCACAGAGTACGCAATGAGAAGAAGAGCGAGAGAAGGAAGCACCAAAGGACTGGGGATGTAGATGGGTAACCACGTAACCTTGACGTTACTGCGAACTTCTCGGGTTCCGAATGCGTGCTGGCACTTCTCACTGTTGTCAATGGTCTCGTGAGGCGTTTGCAAGCACCAAATGAGAGACTGTGAAGGCACATGCTATTACGGTAGTGGCAGGGTGTGCATGACCGGGGTTGAGGGCGGAGGTGGAGCTGGGGGACTTGCAGACAAGTATGTGGAGGATCAGTGAGCAGTGTGAACATCGGAAGGAGGGGGGTACGCCAGCAAGGAGCCCAAGGGGGCAGACTGCGACACGGGGTTACGGGGATGAGACTGCAACCAGATCAGCTCAAAAGTCGTCTCGACAAATTATTACTTAGGGATGATGATAACGAGGCTGGCTGGTTGGCTGTTCAGTGGTAGAGGCGACTGCACAAGGGTCAGATGATGGACACGTTTGTAGCATACGAAGGTATCTACTCCAGATCGCATGTGGTTCTCTGCGAACTGAAGGAAAGTACAGGACAGCTCGAACCAGCGATCGGTAGATACCCTCCATGGTTCGATTGCCCAGGTACCGCCGCGGAGGTCGATGGGCGCAACGAGGAGGGGTTGTCTGGATCGAGGTACTTTGAAAAGTCTTGGTCACGAAGTAGCTGGAAAGCTGGCAAAGGAGAAAAAAACAAGATGACGAGGTAAACGCCGTTGTTGCGGGGTAGACGAGAGAAAGTGACTGAAGTGGCCAATGTAGACACGACCTGGGCGCAGGGATTGGCCGATGGGTTACACAGACCAACCCAAACTATGCTAGTGGCTGATCGTTTTGCGGGTCGAGCATGCAAGCTGTGTGCGCTGTGCCTAGCGATGAAAGCAGGCGCCAGAAGCGCACAGGAGGGTGGTTCCGGTAACCAGACAAGCAGAGACCCAACGTTGGAGGTGTATGTCATGTCACTCCTCCAAGCGATGCCTTGTGGATGGAAAGAACTAAAGGCGTTAATTAGAGGAGGGGAAGCTTGAAAGCTCCCAACCAGCCGAGTATTGATTCGTTGGGTCCAAGGACAATGAGCACTATGTACATTCTTTCTACAGAACAATCGAGGCTGACAATACAACTACTACTGCCGGTACCCATCTCACGGTGCTCACGTTAAGTTGAATCGTGTTGATCCTTTCTCCTCGAGCGATGCTAGTCCACAGTACCACGGACCAAGGGACGCTATGTTGAGAGGAATAAGAAGGTACCAGCGACAGGGCCTTGAAAGCTACTCACTTTGGTTGATGCCGAGGAGGCTGCAGCTCACGACGTGCATGTTTGACTTTGGACGGTTTTTTTCACAGGTTACAAATGACGGCAATGGCGCCGATGACGACGAACGACAAGTGGCCAATGCCGCCGCCCGGATCAAGCATCCACCGCGCTAACCTGGTATACGGCTTCTTTAGGCCTGCTACGCGTGCTAAAGAGGCAGCTCTCAAAAGAGCTTCTCGGCGGGTAGTTGACTAAGAGGTGTGACCATGTGCGGAAGCTCTCGAGACCTTGCATGCACGGGAAGCGGAATATCCGACAGAAACGTGGAGGCGGGTCCGCAGGACACTGTAGGACCCGCCAGCCATTGTCCCTGTGTACACTTAAGTTACAACCGGTGCTGCCATGATTGCAAGAGCCTCGACGGCGGTGACTACCGTGCTTGGCCATGACGGCGCCACTCATGAGTCGAGCAGGCGACTCTTCGCTGGTCTTACGCCACCAGCTATGCCCCTAATGAGCGGTAGATATCTGCGAGGTACCGTTTCTTCGGAGTGAGCGCGATCTTCCGAACGATCATCGTCTCCGGCGGCGCAAGTCTGACCTTAGCGAAGGGGATCATCGGTTGCGTTCATCTTGACTCTGAGGAAGACTAGGGTCCGCATCCAATCCTGCAACAGCGCGCCTGGATCGACACTCGGTCTTAGCCTTCGTGCGTGCGGCTGTCGCCAGTTTCTGAAAGATCGGTACTTTCTTGCCGGAAACGTCGCTCACCCGAATGTCCCACCTCGCACCTTGTCCGCAGTGTGCGCTCGAGTCAACACGGACCCTAGCCTCGCTGGGTGGACTTAGCGACGATCAAGGGTCGTGGGGACACGAAAATCCGACAGGGCTGCGTCTTCGAGCCGGAAAATCCATCAGAGAAGGGTTGAAGAACCGCTAGTTGGTGAAACCGCCTTGAGGTCCCTGCGGTCAATCTCTCTGCAAGGGATTGGCTATTCCTCGATGGAACGCTCTTCCGCCTGGCACTAGGGCAAGTGGCTACCAATGCTCCTGCTGTTTAAGTCTTCAGGTTAAGAAATGCCCGTTCGGATCATGAACTGGCGATGACCACTGCTCCATTCCTAGAGGATCGCTGCTGCTTGAGACTGGACCGAGCGCCAACGATTCTCAGAATGATGCGCCCACTTCCCAATTGACTCCGATCCTCGACAAAAGTGAGGCTGCCTCCACCGCCACCACTCATCGCGTCGTGGAACATCCGAGCATAGTCCACAACCTGAGCTCTGCCTTTGAGAAAGGCCTCCCGATCGCACCATTCGCCTAGAAACGAGTCCCGCCAATTGTCGGCGCAACATCTTATTTCGAAGCTGCTCCAGTCGGAAATTTCCGGCACGCCGATTTGAAGCTCTTCAGCGTAAAGGTGTTTCAGCATATCACAATCCAGCTGCCAGACGACGTGTTTTATATGCGGTGCGCAAGGGTGCCCGTCAGTGAGACGCCTCGGCAACGTTCCCGCAAAGGCCTGACTGCGGATATGAAAAACTGTGTTCGCATAAAAGATAGGGCGTGCTTCGAGGAGGATCGTCCTACTGACCCTCAGGAGCTGAGATGACCGTGGCGAAGGGTTCTGGATTGTTCCGTGGCGAGGCACCATGCAGCAGCTGTCATCCTCAACCCTGGTCTCAAGCATAGCCTTCCCGCAGCCAAAAACAAGGCTGTAAATGTCTAGGCGGATCTCCAGCGGAAGGTCGAAGAATGTGGGCGCCATTGATGTGTTGGTGACCGAAAGCTCTTCTACAAGTCTTGACGAGGCCGGAAATATTATACGGATCGCACGAACCACAGCTTGGACAATAGATCTCCAATGCGGAATGGGCTGCCGCGGGCGTTGGAAGTCCAGATGATCTGTTCAAGAGACAGGACCTTGGTATATGAAGTAAGATGCGCTGATAATGACACATTCCGGTCGCTGCTATCAGGGGCGGTCCACTGTTACATGCCGGACCAAAGCGGCTGGCGGCGCTCAATAATTTGACAAGAGGACCACTCGTGGATTATGGTGCGCAATTCGTGCCTTCAGCCTCGTATTACCGAAAATTCCCAAGCGCCCAGCAGCCGTCAACTTCCTCCAGATCCAGTAAGGTCAGTGAGATCTGGCATGCTCGTATACTCACAGTACTGGCCAGATGGGAAACGCTTGCCACTTCCAGCTGAAGAAGTATCACTACGGCAAGGGGTGGCCACTATTAGCCGGTAGAACACAGTCCATGGCTGTTCGCAAGCTGATAGAAGACTCTAATTGCAAGACTGACATCTCACGGCGAGACCGGGGGTGAAGCTGGATGGCGAGGAATGCAGGAAATTTCCCAGGCGTAGCGTTAGGGGCTTGGAGCTGGGGGCGAGACCAGGCCATCACGTCAAGTGCGCCGGCAGCCGTCATCAATCATCACATGTTTTCCAGACAGCAGTCCTGCATATTGCCCGGTTGGACCGAGAGGCTAGATCCGGTCGCCTCCAGCAAGCCAACAAGGCTTCAGCCGCAAGGCAAGGGTCGATCGCTTTCCTTATCTGGCTTGCGTCTTCCTGTCGCAGGTGGAACGTGTGGGCACACGTCGTCAAGATCAGATAAGAACTTCGCATGGTATTGTGCCCATTCATTTATAGTACACAGTAGAAAACGAATCGTCATCATTCGTCAGCTTAGGAGACTCGTTTCAAATGTTGCATACGTGCCGCAATATACGCCAATAGCTCGTCCTCGCTGCCCTTAGCTGTTTGCTCATTCAGCAGCAGCTGTTTCGGACTGAGGCGCTGTTGAACTGCTCGTGTCTTCTAGGGTAGGCTGTGGTGAAGCCGCGATCTTGGCTGCCAAGGGTTGCGCGTAAACACTTGCAGCGGACAACGCCTCCATTGTCCCCAAAGGCTCTGGCTGCGAACAAATCGCAGGGGTTGCACTGGCAGTAGGGACTGTGACAAGTGCGGTGGTAACAGCGACACTGGTTGTCGTGACTGTGGTTATGCTTGTAAGGACTTTGGGCATATCAGCAGTCTCGAATGCCAGTGTCGGGCCCGAACTGCCTTGACTGCGTTGTTCTGGTCGTGCCAATGCGAAGAACAATACCAAGAAACTCAGGACACCGACTAGGACGTTTCTCCTATCTCCTGTCAATTCTCTTGCATGGCTACCCAGTCGCGCCCAGACGTTTTGTTCGTTTGTGACCGGCGGAAGGCTCGAGCTCATCGGCTCTGTCCGGATGACAGGTTCCTCCTCCACGGCACACGTGTTTCCCTGAGCTTCCGACCTCCTAGACTGGCCTTTTGTATCTTCTTCGCTTAGGCCGTCAATCCCGGGCTCCACATGGGCCTCTTGGGAGGGGAGCTCTGTCGTCTCAAATTGCGGAGCGGCCATAAGCACAAGCTTTGCTTCCAGCTCCTGCCGGACCTCGTCTGGCAGCCAGACCTTGATTTCCACATCGACTTTTTCCATCTCTTGCCAAGCTGCGGCCCAAGCCCCAGCGCGCATCAGGCCATTTGCGGCAAACACCTTGACTTCCCACTTTCGGTTAACCTCTTCAGCGCGTAGCCGCCGCCCGCAGTCAGGGCATGCCTCGCACGAGGGATCCAGCTCAGTCTCATCTTCGGTGCTGGCGCTTTCGAAACCACTATCAGCAACGCTGCCGTCGGACTGGAAATAATGGTTGTGTCTGATGCGGGGCGCTTCCAGTTCCAAACTTTCCAAAAGCCGTTCTTCGAGGAGGGCCAGGTCCTCTCGAGGGTGTGGTATTAAAACACCGCGACTGCTGATCTCGGCGTCTGCCAGTTTGTTCCGCAGAGCGACCCATCGATGCTTATAGTCTTCTGGCAATGAATCAAGGATCAAGGAATCCTCAACCGACCCCGGCTGGACACGTATGTTTGGCGGCAACAGCGTGCAGTGTAGGAGTACGAGCGGGAACTCCTTCTTGAGGTTGCTTCCACCCTTGGAAGGCGAACTGCGGTGGGAGCGGCTCAGTCGCTTTGTAGGAGAAGTGTGGGCAGAATACGAGCTGCGCTGGCTGTAGGCGGACATTTGCGAGCCGCTCCGTCGATGGTGCCGCAGCACACTGTGTGTCTCGCTCATGACCTCGTCTTTCATCTGTAAAGCTCGAACGCTGCTAGGATGGCGGAATGGGGAGGGGTATTCTCGAAAACTTCGGGGCGAAGCTGTGGGATGATTGCGACCTCCAGCACCTCCTAGCGGAGACACCGCAATGGAGCCGCGTTTAGAGGGTGTCTGTGGCCCATCATACGGTTCTTCTTCTAGAGGTACATGTTGGGATATGGACGCAGGAAAAGACGAGATTGATGAGCATCCTGAGAAGACTCGTCCATTTTTGATGAAAACACCCTCTTCCTGCTGACCTTGGTCTTCCAGCAGCCCCTCTGTCTCGGCGTCGGATGTGCTCCCATCGTCAGTGGCGCCAGAGAAGTTATAGTCGTGAGTCAAGACGTCGTCGGTAGGATGTAGAGAGGACAATGGGTGTGGCTCTTGCCGGAGAGAAAGCGGGGAGGAGTGCTGAAATGCGGTTGCTTCGACGTCAAGATCAAGGTGCACAGGAGGTGCAGGTTGCAATGGAGAGCTCGCCATCGTCATGGATTATGCGATATAGAGTTGTGGCCTCTGCGTTGAGGACAATCAATGCCTCATGTGTACGTGACAGCTGCGGAAGAACCTCGGCGGTTGACAGGACAACGACTGCCCATCACGTGAGAGCCTCACTTTTCACTCGCGGGCACCCCGGGCGCCTCCTTTGTGCTGTTCAATAAATATACCTGAAGTTGGGGTTCTCGCGGTCCGTCAAATCATCAAACGCATGTACATAGCTCTCGTCTCTCGCTTCCCGGATACCAGCAGATGCCAGTTCATCCTTCCTACGGTTTTCTCGTGTGAGGTGGAAGCGGAGGAAAATGATGACGATGACGAGGAGGACGTAACAGCCCATCTACGGTACTTGTCAGCATTCAAGTTCTATACCAAAACAGGCCGAAGACTGAGGGTTCCCTGGAATGACCCAGCAGTAAAGGTCGGAGGGAAGCACTCACGTGGGTTGAGAACGCTACAAAATATCTGGGTGCGTTCCACGATAGAAAAACCTGAGGCCCTATGGCATTTCCAGCACACCTGTGAAAAGGTTAGGCCCAGCTTGCCATTCGACGATGGGATCTCATCGGATGACTCACCAAGACACGAAATTCATCGTGACCACGACTGATTTCTTCGTCTGTCCGCCAACATTGCGGGACAACATGCTCATCGCCAGCGTCTGCGCTGCCCAGAACGAGAGAACGATGTAGTAGCTGATAAGGAGTCCCGCCTTTGTCGCGGTGTCCTTGTTCTTCACAGTCATCAACACGATTGTACCCACGAACGATCTATTTTCTGTTAGCTCTGATGATAATCAGGTTGAAGCTGCCGCCTACGGAATGACGAATGCTCCCATGGTCAAACAATTCTGATGATACTTCTTGACAAGCCAGGTCGAGCTGAGCAGAATGATGATGATGACGGCACCCAGGACCATGGCGAGTAGCTGTGTTTGGAGGACTGTGAAATTGAATCCTAGTCGAGCTCAGTTTCCGCCATCAAGGCATCTGTTCCACTGACCTGTTATGATGATATTGGCAAAGGCACCCAGGCCTGACGTGGGCAGAGTCGTACAGATCTGGATCAAGCAGTAACAATATGTTTGCGGATCGAGGAATGCATCCTTGACTTGCTCCGGCCTGAACTTCTTGTTCTGCAACCCGGTCTGGTTGCTTCTAACCCGCTCGACCATCAATTTCTTGTCCTCCTCTGAAAAGCACTTCGCCTTCATTGGCGAATCTGGCATCCACCAGCCGACAAAGACGCCCCACAAAACGGAGAAGCAGCCGTAGGCTATGAAAATCGCCTGCCACGACTTCAATGGTCCAGACTCGATTTTGGTGAAACAGTACGCAAGAAGACCACCAACGATCTGTTGGGTGCCGTTACCGACGTACCAAAATGTGACGATCTCAGCCTGTTCTTCTCTTTTATACCACATGGAGCTAAGAAGGAGAAAGCTCGGCTGACAGACTGCCTCGAACATGCCGAGCAGTGTCCTCAATGCCACGAGTGCGGCAAAGTTCTTGGCAAGAGAGTGAAGAGCAAGTATCATTCCCCAGAGACAAATGTTCAGGGAGAGATACTTGGCGATTGGTACGCGCTGCAAGGTCCAGTTTGTTGGGAACTCGACGATCAAGACGGCGATCTGTTGTTGGCGACACATTAGCACCGTCATATGGGGCAACCTTGGCGCAAGAGATGCTTCAGGAGCACTATGACACGACTTGGGTGGGAATTGACTCACATAGATGCAGGTTGTGAGCCATGAATACTATTACGATGGTCAGTTGTCACCCTGCGAAGTCGGAAAGGCACCATCACCCACTTGTTGCGCATGCAGATTGAGATCTTCTCTAATGCCCATGATGCTTGCGCTATCTTCTGATCAGCTTCGAAGAGTGCAAAGGGATATCAGAGACACGGAGAATCTTCAGCCCATATCTGGCTTCTGCGAGAGACCTACAATGACATGGTCCCCTTGTCGAGAGCCTGGAGAAAATACGTAGGTATCAGGATCGCAAGGACACGCCGGTCAATCATCCGTTTCAGTCGCTTATTGTCGTCCACCGAAATCACGACTTGAGTGGCACTTGCATACTTGGCAACGTCTTTGTCGATCCGATCATAGTCGACGAAGTCCTTTTGGAGCTCACTGCCACCAGACGTAACCCGCTCGATCTGAGAGACATCCTGCTTCCCAACGCCACCCTTCTCGGTCCGGAGTTCAGGGGCAGTGTCAGTGACGATATGGTCGGAGCCCGCCATGGTGGATGTCAGCGAATGGTCGTCAGTACAAAAGAGTCCCTCTTAGCAGATGCAGCGTCTCCTGCCCAGCACAACACCTTGACGTGGATTTCGTCCTTTTATGGATTGCCTTCCATCCTGCTCGGAGGATAATTGAGCGAGAGCTTCGGAGTAGGATCAACCCGAATGGACACTGACGTTCGATAGATATTGCGCTTTGAAGTTGCGTTCAACCAGGATTACTCCGGAGAATCCCTCAATCAGGTTGTGGGGTGCCCCGGCAAGCTCCCCGCCTGCCCATTCCCCATAGTCTGCCCTGCCGATCACCTACCTAATACCTCGTACATGTATGCAGGATACGAGTCCGGGAGGATGTTGCATCTCAAGTGTGAAACCACTTCTTGGCTGCACTTGGCCTCCGTCGCGACCGGGGTTCGTCTCGGTGCATTTGACACCGACCCTACACAAGTTAATGAGAGAAAGGCAGGTGAACGTCCCGATCTCCCCTCACGACGCCGGCACAGACCAACGCCGTGGCGACATAAAGACAGCGCAGCAGAACCACGAGTACTGCGACGAGGAAGGCCAGGAATGAACGTCTTCAGACTCACCAGTACCGGTACCTCTGTACGGACTGGAGAGCAACTTCCGGCACGTCAAGCTTAAGCTGGACCGTACTGGCGGATGCAATAAAAGGGGTTCTGCAAAGCGTGCTGGATAGGCACGAAGCACGCCGAACAGAATCATGCCCTCACCTTTGATCATCGAAGGGCTGAGTAGCCAAGAAGTGTCGGAGAAGATCGAATTGTTGATCCACAACCTCATCAATATCGAGGACCAAACAGGGCATTTCCTCCTCAAATTGCCCGATGGAAGAATCATCGACACCAAGGGATGGAATGACTGGGAATGGACACACGGGATCGGTCTCTATGGCCTTCACCAGTATCATGCGCTGACGTCCTCAAATTTGGCGCTCAAGGTGATGAACGAGTGGTTCAACGCACGACTGGCCGAGGGGACAACCAAGAATATCAACACCATGGCCGTTTTCCTCACCCTTGCATATCTGTACGAAGAGACTGGGGAACGGAGTTTTCTGCCCTGGCTTGACAGCTGGGCCGAGTGGGCCATGCACGACTTGCCTCGAACAACCTTCGGAGGCATGCAGCACATCACCTACCTCGAGGCCAACCACAACCAACTCTGGGACGATACCCTCATGATGACAGTCATGCCGCTAGCAAAGATCGGGAAGCTCTTGAATCGGCCGCATTACGTCGAAGAAGCCAAGCGCCAATTTCTGCTGCATATTCAGTACCTGTACGATCCGCAGACCGGACTTTTCTTCCACGGCTGGCAATTCGACGAAAAAGCGCCGGGCGGAGTGGGCCACAACTTTGCGCGAGCACGATGGGCGCGTGGTAACAGCTGGTTAACCATTGCCATACCCGACTTTATCGAGCTGTTGGACTTGCCACCTGAAGATGGCCTGCGGCTGTACCTTGTCAGCGTTCTCGAGGCGCAATGTCAGGCTCTCCGCCGCTTGCAGGCCGCCGACGGGACGTGGCGAACGCTCCTTGACGTCCCCGAGGAGGAAGGCAGTTACCGTGAGGCCTCGGCAACGGCGGGCTTTGCGTACGGGCTGTTGAAGTCAATACGGAAGCGATATATCTCGCGTCAGTATACTGATGTGGCGATGAAGGCCGTCAAGGCCGTCAATCAGCGAATCTCCACCGACGGCGAATTGCTCGACGTCAGTTTTGGGACAGGCATGGGGAGAGATCTCAAGCATTACGTTGACATCGACCGGACTAGTATGCCTTACGGGCAGGCGATGGCCATGATGGCTCTGGTCGAGTTCTTGAGGGTATACAGGTAGACGAAAAGAGGTCAGCAGCACGGATAGAGGTATCTGGCGCCCCTGAATAGAGTGGAAGCGAGGCTAAGTTACTGTATGGTCGAAAGCCTGAACAAGCCATTCGCTCTTGGTTCTCTCATCTCTTGACTTAGAGCGTGCCTGATACGAAGCTCGAGTCCTGTTCCTGATGTCTACAGCTTGATACGGTACCTCCCTGGCAGGTATGGAGGCAGATCGTGAGCGAACGAGGGCGAATCAACCACGGCTATGTACGGCTATTGATCGCGCATCAACAAGTGCCGAGCCCCCCTTAGAGCCGTTGCTCGCTATTCAGTGTATGGAGGATATGCTGACCCTAGCTTACATACTGTAACTGCCATGCCGGCTGGATAACCCTCCCTCCGGCCCCGCACCCGTCCATCTACATACGAACCGAGTCCTCGTTCTGTGAACCCTCGAAGCCGCGGCTCTTCATCGTCCGCGCAGGACGCAATGGCCCGACACCCCATGTGTACTGTGAAAGCACTACGTAGGTAGTCTGTCCATCCATATGTGCAGAGTACCAGGTCACTCCTTGAACTCTTTCCGTACCTAAAAGTGGCCGTGGTTGAACATCTAAGTAGGGATAGCGCAGCAGCAGGCTGGGAGACCTCAGGCGTCCTACCGTGAGAAACAGATCTCGTCTACAGACTGTCCAGTACCTCCTAGCGATTCACCAAGATATGGACTCCAGGAACGCAACTGCGACTGATGTCGCGGCAACCTGGCACTACGCCTCCCTCGCATTTTGGTACTCTGTCTACGCTGCCTCGGCGGTAAGTTAATTACGGCGTACATACATTGAAACATCCCCCCCCCCTCAAACTACTGCACCGCGGGAAGCATGCGTGCTGACCGTAATTAGATTGTGGGCTTCTCCATCCTGAAGCTCATCTACAACATCTCCCCCTTCCATCCACTGTCCAAGTATCCCGGCCCGCTTCTCTGGCGGGCAACTCGTCTGACAGCCTCGTGGCACCAAGCCCGCGGCGACCTGTACAAGTGCATTGACGCCATCCACAGCAAATATGGCCCGACCGTGCGTATCGCTCCGGACGAGCTGTCCTTCACCAACCCAGAGGCGTGGTCGCAGATCTACAACACGCGGCCACAGCTGCAGAAGACCGAGTTCCACTTCGGCCGGGCCGACGAGCGCAAACTGCCCGAGAGCCTCATTATGGCCAACGACGCTGAACACGCGCGGCTGAGACGCCTCGCTAACCCGGCGTTCCTTACCGCTGGGATCCTGGAGGTCGAGCCCGTGATGCAGTATTACGCGGATTTGCTGTGCAATCAGCTGCTCCACGAAGTGTCCCACGCAAGATCACAGCCACAGGACATGGTGCAGTGGTTCCTCTGGACGCTCAACGATGTGATTGGCAAACTGGCGCTCGATCAGGAGTTCGACTGCCTCAAGCTGCGGCGCATGCACCCGTGGCCGAAGTTCCTTCTGCGTGGGCTCAAGAACATTGCCATCTTCAACCAGTTCCGGCGGTTCGGCATTACCGAGAAAATGCTGGTACCGCTGATGTCGAAAAAGCAGCTTGAAGCGCGGGACAACTTTTTCAACGAGGCCGTCAGCGCGGTGGACCGGCGACTTGCGCGTGAGAAGTCAGAGAAGGCGGGCGACGGGGAAAAGAAAACCCCAGATATCGTGGGCCTCATGTTGCGCGAGATGAAGGATGGCAACCGCCTGACCGAGAAGGAAGTCACCGCGAATTCGATCCTCATTGTCGGCGGAGGAGCCGAGACGACGAGTTCATGTTTGAGCGGAACCTTCTACCATCTCCTCAAGACGCCGAGGGTGCTGAAGAAGCTGCAGCAGGAGATTCGATCGGGCTTTGCATGCCCTAAGGAGATCACTATCAGAGCGACGTCAAATCTGCCTTACTTGAAGGCGACTGTCGAGGAGTCGCTCAGAATCTTCCCTATCGCCAGTTATATCACGCCTCGAACTACGCCAAAGGGAGGGCATATGATTACAGGAGATCACGTTCCGGGCGGCGTAAGTCTTGCAAACCCTCGACTTACCATCTTCAAGGACTATGCTGAGCATTGGTTCATCCCATATTCAGACTTATGTGTCCATGGGTGAGTAACCATCAGGACCTGTCCCGGGTCGCCTAGTCAACCCCTGAATACACACCGTCCAAATGCAGGCCTTGAATACTAACGCTGAAGCAGGACAGTGGCACATGGGACGATCAGGTCAACTTTTTGATAACCCTAAGGAGTTCAGACCAGAGAGATGGCTTGATGAACTGGACGTAAAAGGACCGGCAAATCTGCGGCCTGATGAGATACTCAAGCCATTCAGCCTGGGCCCTAGGAACTGCATTGGCAAACAGCGAGTTCGACCTGCTCTCATACAGTGTGGATTTGCTGACGAATTGTCTAGGCTGGCGCTCACGGAGGCACGGCTGGTCATTGCAAAACTGCTGTGGCATTTCGACATGGAGCTCGATGGAGACCATTCGACGTGGGTGGAAGACGCTCGGTTCTATGTAAGTGGCTGCTCGACTGCGCCAAGGCGTCTGCTGACACTCGAAACAGGTTCTTTGGGAGCTGCAGCCGCTCAACGTCAAGCTGACGCCGGTCAGACGATAGGCCTGGGCCAATATCCAATATACATTGTTGGCGTGTCTATAGCTTTCCTCTTGAGAGCAGCGACCCACCATCTGTTGTGATAACGGCGCCATTGATGTGCGAAGAAGCCCGGCTGCTCAGAAAGACCACCAAGCCGGCAATATCCTCAGGATGGCCCAACCTCCTGTTGGGGACTTCGGCAGCCAACGCGGCCGTTCCACCCTGCAAATCGATCAATCCAGACGCCATCTTGGTCGGATAAAAGCCTGGTGCAATGGCGTTGGTGAGAATTCCTCGGGAGCCGAGTTCGACAGCTAGGTTCTTGGCAAGATGCTGGGCCGCCGCCTTCGACGCACTGTATGCGTATGTAGCATTCTCACCCAGCGTGCCTACACCTAGACCAGCAACACTCGCAGTTATAATGACCCTGCTGGGGCTGTCGATGGTAGCTCGCTTTTGCAGCAAAGGGGCAAACTTCTGGACAGTATAGAACACACTCTTGACGTTCAGGTCCATGACTTTGCTGAACGCATCCTCAGGGTATGACTCGAAGGGAGCTCCCCACGTGGCGCCAGCGTTGGCAAACAGGATATCAACGTGATCGGTGGTCTTTGCGACTTCCGCAGCTAGACGTTCGATCTCAGAGACCTTGGAGGAATCGGCGGGCACGGAGATGGCAACGGCACCGGGTCGCTTGTTGGGAAGGGCATTGAGGGCTGCTACAGCTTCTTCGCATGCCTTGGCTTTGCGCGAGGTAATGTACACTTTTGAGCAGCCGGCTTGCATGAGCCTAGCATCTGCGATCAGAGACCACATTCCAGTGAGAAGGGTGTCGACCTTACCCAGAAGCGGCATTGAGACCAAGGCCCCTGGAGCCGCCAGTCACGACAGCAACCTTGCCTTCGAGGCTGAAAATGCTGCCGAAGTCCTTGAGCTCGACATCGAGCTGTGCGCTACCCATATTGTCGCACGTTGTCTGGCTGCACCGGTTGTTGTGCAGTGGAAATGCAGAGCAGTTGCTCTCTCAAATGGGTCCTGGAGAGTGTCGACAGTTATACCCAAAGCTACTGCCGAACAATTGACGGTGTGTTGTTGTTGAGAATTCACGATTAGACGGTGTCGTGTCCCGGTGGACGAAGGAACGCCGAACGTCGCCAACGCCGCGGCGCTCAACAGCCGAGGTTGTGAAGGTCGATGCAAGGGCGACTTGCCCTGGGCGGCCGGTAGCCTAACTAGCTCGAGACTAGTTCAATGGGCAGCTTCCTCAAAGCAGCGTGTCGTCTTGGCCTGCCCTCCAGAAAAGGATCCTGCGAAGACGCTCTACGGTCTCATCTCCAGCATCAGCAAATCAGGCCATAGCTGGCCTTAAATGCAACACTGCTGGTGTTTACGGAGGAGCTAATGACTCAATCAAAGACGGTGTAACATTGTCAGGTCCAATACTGTGCAGGCTGCTATGACTCGTTCAATCTAAAGCTTCCAATGGGCGCGCTACCACGCCAGGCGGCAGACGCAACTCCTCCGGGTACCCTGCACAGTACGGATGACATGGTGCGGTATCTCAGTATCGACTGGGTACAGAGTAATGTACATCTCCTACGGCATGGCTTGTTATCTGCAGAAAGTCCCCGTCGCTTGTTATAGTATGGCTGGGAAAGGAAGGAGTCTTGTCGCCTTTCTCCAAAGGGCTGAAACACGGATTACACCAATCAGTCAGCTTATGCCAGAGAATTAAGTGGACATACTCCATAGCTTAACATCCATATAACTTGAGCGCGAAGCCCGCAGGGCCTGCTCCATGGCAGACTTCGTCCGGAGGGAAACACGGTACAACGTCAACAACAAGTACACGTGGCGTGATCAGCGCAATGACAGATAACCACAACAAGGCAATACCCCCAGAGACAGACTCTGAGCTTGCTGCCGTACGCCTATCAGGCCGTGTGACTTGCGACACCGACTAACGCCCTCTAGATATGGAAGAAACATGGGATGCCGAAATTCTTCGTGCCGCGACCTGAACAGATACCGGAAAGCCGGCGGCTCCACGCGCGAGGAAACGTCCGATTCATGCAAAGCGCCTTCGTCAAAGAGATTCTGGGAGAGCAGCGATTGTGGACGGAAGAAGACAGGCCAATTGTGGTACGCGATGGCAACACGATTACCGTTCGAGTATACCGGCCTTCGACTCTCCCAGGCGGACGACCAGTCATGGTGTTTGCCCATAGCGGAGGATGGTGCATGGGTGGACTCGACACTGAAGAGTTCATCTGCCAGTTCCTCTGTGTGAAGCTGGGTATCATCGTCGTCAGTGTTGGATACCGGCTGGCTCCTGAATGGCGATTCCCCACGCCCATCCGCGACACCTACGATGTTCTGAAATGGGTACGTCGGCGTTTAGCTCGCTGTCCTTGTTGCTGAACCGTGACAGGTCTCGGTCAACGCGCGAGCGTTCGGAGGGGACCTCTCCAAGGGCTTCCTTACCGGCGGTGCCTCTGGGGGCGGCAACGCGACAAGCATGGCTGCCATCCAAGCTCGAGACGAGCATCTCCAGCCTCGCCTCATGGGACATCTGTTCCTATGCACGGGCATGCCGCACTCCTACAAAGACAGCAAAGGGGATATCCTCAACTTGTTCCCCGAGCAACTGGCCCATGGTTCTTGGGAAAAGTACAAAGACGGGCCAGTAGCGACGCGTGAAATGAACGATCTCTACGGACGTGAGTCGATTTTGGCTTGCGCGATGAGTGTATGCGGCACTGACAGTTCCGCCGCAGGTATCGCAGGCTTCACAGCAAGTCATGCCTCACCATTGGAGCTGACAGACTTCTCTGGCCTAGGCCCCGTATACTATCAGGCCGCCGAAATGGACATCTGGAGAGACAGCGCCATCCTCTACTGCGACAAGATCAGACAGGCAGGTGGGCAGGCGAAAATCGACATTTACCCTGGAGTTCCGCATCTGTGGTGGTCAATGTACCCACAGCTGTCCATCAACAAGAAATGGGTGAAGGATCTGGTGGATGGGGTAGAGTGGTTGCTGAAGCAGAACCGAGATCCTGCGACGTCTTCGCGACTCTGAATGCTGAGACAAAGCCGCTGGGCTGGCGTCTGACGCCTCCAGCGGCGCGCCAGCCTCAGCAGTGACCGGGGTTCGCCTGATTGCTGAAACGCAGAGATCCTTGACTCGAGCGCCGCCACCTTCAGGGGATCATCTTGAAGTGAGTATGACGATCCGGTGTGACATGGGGTTGCTTGCCCTCTTAAAAGGTACCAGCGTCATCGCTTTTGACAGCATTGCCGGGCATGCACATCAAAAAGTGGTGGACGTGATAAAGAACCTGAACATGGACGTTGATGTGCAAAGAATCCCATCACTCTGCTGCTTGGTGCTGGGCCTCCACCCTTCCCAAGAATCCGGCTCCATAACTACACCGAGCGCCGGATACCGGGCTTGGAATGGACCCCTTGGACACTTTGGGTCACATTGAAAACGTTGGATACGTCGGACATGCTGAACACGGATCATATATCATGTATCATAAATCATACAGCAAGTATCATGCGCTCAAAGGGTAAACTCGAGCCTATTCCCGGCATAGTCCCGCGCAAAGAACCGCTCCGGGTATTCCACGCCCTGTGCGCCTGGAGGCAGACGAAACGAGATGGTTAGCCTCATCCTCAGCCGAACTTCAGACGTGACGCATCAAGATTTTAGAATTAAAAAAATCAAAAGCCCTTCCTTCTTCTGCACCACATCGCACCATACCAGGGACGAATACAACAGGGGCATCACACTCACCAGAATTCACACCCCCAGGCCTGTCCGCCTCCCGGGGCGCCGCATCCCCACCCTTCTCGAAATGCGTCCAGATCCTCCTCTGCAACTCGACCAGCGCGGCGGGACTACCCAGCTTAAAGCACGGATGTCGCCTGCTATGCTTCTCAAAGTCGCTCGGCTCGCCAAAAGCAATGTGCACCTGCTGGCCCGAGTCGGCGATGTCGAACCACGCGAGTTGGCCCTTCTGGAGGTGCGGCACTGCGCGTGGGGAGAGGCCCAGCGTTGTGCCGTAGAATTCGGTCGCCAGGTGGAGTGTGTCGTCTGGGACTGTGAGGTTGATGTGCGCGATGCCGGTGATGAGGCTGTTCGGCGGGGAGGTGTCGAGGGATCCCATTGTTAGTGTTTGTCGGCGGTTACGTCAGCTGGAGTGGGGGGAGGGTGAGGTGGGAGGTTGTTTATGTATAGCCGGATCAGAGGGCGCGAAAGAAGAGAGGGTTGCGACGAGAAGAAGAAGAACACACAGAGGCTTGGTGGTATTGTAAGATGTGGTGTAGATAGAATTCTTATATCGCTTGGTCAGCCGGTTCGCTGGGTGTCGCCATCGGCAGTCGATGGCTCTGAGGTGTTTGAATCCCTGAATCCCAATGGAAGAGTGCAAATGTGGAGGCGGGGTCACGTCGGGCTTAATGCCGGTCTTGCTGACAACAAGCTCGCGCCGTCTGACGTGACTGTAAGGCTGTGTTGATAAGATCCCTTGTGCCTCTCTCGTATCTCTGAGAGACTTTGGTTTCCGTAATGACGGTTGATATGTTGACTGACAATTCGCTTTCGCCGGGGATCGGTTTGCTTTCGCCCTCGATTGGGCCGAATTTTCATGGTGCTCATGATTTTCACGGGGGGTATGTCTGGGAGCCCCAGTCCTCACTCGTGTATTTGACGAGACGGCAGTAGGCCGATTTATTGAGCGAAAAGGCAGCGCATATCAGGAGTCTCATCAACATTGGAGAGGACAAAATGAGTGCCTACTCTTATGCAGTAGGCTTGAGTCACATGAATAAGCTGCTTCACGAACTATGCTATGATTTGATGTTGGACGAGCTCGTCGTGCTGTGTATTCGTGCAGAACAACCTGCTGCCTCACTCGCCGAACAAATGGCCAAGCTTAACTGCCGTCTTACCAGACTGCAGCATGATTGAAGTCAGTGAAAGTCCATCCTGAACCTCGAGATTCGTATCTTTGCTCGAGACTCGCCGTTGATTGATGCAGGCCGGCGTTTGAGCACCACTCACCACTTTTTCAATTCCAACAAGGTGTTATGGCATATCCATATCCAGAATGTCAAGTTCTGTTCATCTGCATCTTGGCGAGGGCTGTCGGGCCGTAGCTGCTTCCTGGATACCCATAGTCGTGTTTCAGGGCGGCTTGACAAGATCAAAGCTCAGATCAAGGACGATCCGAGAAAGTCGCCCGGTGTGGATCTGATGGGATGAGAATGAAGCAAAGAGCAGCTTCTGGGTGCCTTTCCCGACAAGTGATAGGGCACATAATTCCCTGCGTCCCTTGCTGGCCTTTCATTCCTTCGAAGCATTATGTCAAATTCCATGCCTTTCATGATCGCTTCGTTGGTCGGACCACTCCGAAGGTGTCCTGAGAAAGTAGTTCTAGGCGTGAAAAAGAAGCATATTTGGTGGCAACCTTGACAATCAATCTTCATGGCAGATCATCTTGGACCGGCAGCCCACTTTCATACTTTGCGTTGGCTACTGCTGCCTCGTGAATGGAGGGAGTACTCATGTCACCCCTAATGGCCTCTGATCCGCAAGAGCGGCTTTGTCAGGGCGCTGAAGCCTGCCCCTTGGCCACGGAGTAAACTGGACAGTCAATGCTCCGCGGACGAGCTTCCAAAGAAAAAGCCCCTCAAACATGAAGCATGAAGTGCTTAGCAGTCATCGATGCCTGGACGTTCAGACGGTTCTTTCCATCCCGGCAAGAGGCCCCTGCCTTTGGCTTGTCCGTGCCTGAGAGGATCTTGGCGGCCCCAGCAGTGCTGTCATCAGATACTTTGTTATCACCAACATGGTACGAGGTACTAAATCTGTGGCAACAATTGGTCACAACATACGGAGTACCTAAAGAGACATTCCAAATCCGATTGAGACGAGGACATCCTGCCATTTCGGCAGAGAAAAGCAGGTACGTACGCCAGCAACGGGGTGTCCCGCCCGGATACATTTCAACTACGAATGAGGAAAAGATGACCCCCGCTGCCGCTCCCTTTGGGAGAAACCGATGAAGCCTAAACCAGTTTCGAAGCAAGAGATTCTTCTATCCGTCGAGAAATCCAGAAAGCGGAGCATCATGGATGATATTCTGCTGTTCGTATTGGTGACACTCGATGTAGCTCACGGATGGTGCGAACGGGGAACCTCAAAGCATCACAGAATTGCCGCGTAAGGGCAGCCTTGATTCCTGGCCCGAAGATCTTTCCAGCCGCAATGCTGAGGATCAACCAGAGGAGCTGGTTGGGGAACTGGTGAAACACCGCAGACTGTTAGGTGGTGATCTCTTGACTGGAATGGAAGTCCCCCGGCCGACAGATGACGTCTTCGCGGTCACCGTCGTTGCTGCCTTGCCCGGCAAATGCAAGCCTCCTACAGTGATGCTACTTGGTCTTCAACCTTCAGCAGAGGTACCGTCGTGGTCGCACGCGAGACTGGCGGCAAAGGCGTCCTGCAACGCAATATCAAGAATCCGTGTTTCGACGTTGTGTTAGCGGAATCGACCGAGATCCTTTACACATCCCTCAGGGTCCTTTTGCTCCGAGTCGACACCGGACCCTGCATGAGAAGAGCGCATGGATATCGTATTGACAGGACGGGGTAGACCCTCGACGTCCCGTCCAACAGTTTTGCGTTTCTCCCTTTAACAATGCAGCGTCATGGTGCTGGCGGCAAGAACACTACAAGTACGAATACAACATGGTGGAAGACGAATGTTAGGCTGATAAAGAAAGCGCGTGTTTGCTGTGCCACCTGTGCCCAGGCTCAGAGCAACTGCCTCAAGACGCTACTCGTATCCAGTAAAAATGGGTAATCGTGCTGTGTCATGCTCTCAATTCTTGGGCCCAGAAAGTTCAGATCGGCGCGTGGAAGGAATTTTCGTGACAAGCGCATGGGCCACAGTACTGGGTACTGGAGGAATCGTACTCTGTTGTCCCACTCGCAGATGGCTATACCTGACCAAGGTGATGCCGTACTCGTAGCAGTGGGCGTCCAGTCAGCCTGCCCCAGATACTTGCAACCGTAGAGAACGATGATCTGTCTCGAACAATGTCGGTGCCGCCCATGGACATTTCGCCTCCACCCGGTAACAGTGCGGAAGCCTAACCTTCGAGTCATCTGAACTTGTTAGACTTTAAGTGACACGCGTGTACATAATAAGGAATACGAGGTCCTCGCAAGACGAACAACCGGCTGGACCTGTTCACACGCGTTCTTCAAAAAGGTGCAGAGCATCAATGTGTTGATCAAGCTTGAGGCGCTTGTACTGTACCTTACTGTGTAGTTATTCTTACTGCCTGGCTCATGCCCCGCCAAAGGCATCTCCTGATTGAATATCGGTCTGACTCTTGACCGGTGGTCATATCTTAACTGCACCTGGAGATGATGATGTCGATCGGAAGTGGAAGAATGATGGAGGTTTGCCTGATCAACTACGTCAATCTGCCAGGTTGCTGGTTGCCGATTTCCGCGCCAAGAGGTAAAAGTTGACTCCAGGCGGCATAGCGGCCCCTCTTTAACCACAGCGCTGCGAGATTGCCCCCTGCACAAGTGGTTCTCTAGGCGGTTTAGGCTCTCTAGGCTCTGTTCCGGCCCATTCCTCTTGGTGCGCTCCAACCTTCGCTTCGATCCATTCGTCAATCTTCCGGCCCCAGGGCCCTGATTCCTGCATGTGATTCCCGAGTCCAAGGGTCAATCTTGTGACTGCCAGCCGCACCACGTTGAGGTCAGTCTGACGGCGTCGCTGAGACCAAGCAGCCTCGCACCATTCAGAGTTGCCCTCCAACGCCACCTCGTGGATGCGCCACGTCCTGATAGCAAACAGGAGGAGCACTGTTGACCTCTCATGGCGCGTTAACATACAGAGACATCTCTCACCTTGACGAAGAACAACTGAAACGCACTCAGATCGGACTCCTCCGTCTCTGTAACATCCACTGAGCAGCCAGCACCGGCGTCTCACCCAGCCCGAAGCGACCGACTGACCACTCATTTCCTGGCATTTCGGAGACGACCCCGTTATTCATAGCTGTCGATCTATCCGCTCCGGTCCACTGAAAGGTCGAGTCAACGACGTAACTTGACCAACGAGCCGTGGGACAAACTTAGCCGCTACACTCCAGATCCACCTCCCAGCGACAATACACCACTCAGCCGCCAATTCAGCGCCGAAGTCTCTGTCACGCATGAGCACTAGACGCAGACCGAAAAGTACCCAGTTGACCTCCCCCAGGCCTGAGGCGGTCAACATCCACTCCTGGCGAGCAGGGAACCCGTCTTCTTCTCTAGCACGGAGAGTAACAGGTAGCTTTACGGAGTACCCTCTGACGATCGTGTTATCCACCGCCAAACCAACAAGTGATCAGGCTCCCAACCAGTCATCTTCCGCCACTGATATTGCACCTACCCTGCTTTGCGACCCAGTGGCCCTCTTGTACTTTGTACTCGTAGTCCCCCGGCCACGGAAAGGCGTCGCCGCCCCAAATACCTCCCACACCCGCCAAGTGCTGCCTCAGGGACTTCCTGCTCTGCTCCGTCGCTCTCTGTCCAGCCTCACGCTTCCGCCACGTCGCCGACACTACTGCCTCTCTGGCTCACTGCTGAGAGCCGGGTGCTCCTTTTTGGATGCAGAATATACCCTAGGACCGGCGCTGGACTTAGGTCAGTGCGCTTGTCTTGGTTTGTGGTGGACGGCCAATGCGCTATTCAGCAAATCCAGAACATTGGTCGACCCGAGTTGGAAAAGCAAGCAGGCCAAATAGAGAGCCGACAAGCGACACCTTGATATTCGGCGCCACCAAATGCGAGGCACGACATCACCGTCCACGGCTACGGCACCTTTACCTGAACCAGTCTCTATGACTGAGTCTGAACCCAGAGACATCGTTCCTCGACCATCTCTATCGACCTCAATATCAAGCGGCGCTTCATCCTCGTCTGATTCAGACCTTCCCCAACATCCATCACCTCGACCGAGCTCGCGACGCACGCGGATGGAAAGACCTCGGCTAGGGGACAGACAGAGATCAAACACGATAATCGTGCCCAAGGGTCGAGACGTTGTACAAACCGAAAGACCGCAGTACCCACCTGACGACGCAAGAGCCATGAGTCCACGGCGGAACAGCGAAGATATCGAGAGACTCGAGCGTGGTCTCCGCGAAACACTGAAGGAGTAAGATCATCCACAGGGTCAGACTTGTCGTCCTACTAACCGAGGGGATAGGCAAGCTCGAAACCTCCAGTCATCACTGGCCGCACTGGCGGAAAAGATTGACGAGGTCAAAACCGACCACGACAAGCTCGAAACCGAAAACCGCTTCCTACAGGATTACATTGGCGGCTTGACAAGGACCATGTCAAGAGACAACCTTGGTCGTAGCGCCAGTACCAGCGGCAAGATGAAAGGCAGACGATGATCATGACCGTTACGACTCCTGCATTCGCATCTGTTTTTGACTGGGCCAACCATGGCCGGTCTTCTCATCAACAGGAAGGAGGGCAACAGGCCACTTGCCATTCTCAGTACACGCAAGAGGAGCAAGAGGCCGGGGAATCAGGAGTTACTCTTTTGCCAATCATTCACAATGATACCCACGACCTTCAACACGCAGAAAGGATAGATTTGACTATACGTTGACGGGCTATGAGCCTCGCAGACGACATCATCATTTCAAGAGCTGGAGCAAACTCTTTACATTTCCATCATAGCAGGCCATATGCCGTTTTTGTACAACATCTGCATCCGGCAAGGTTCCCCGGCGTTGTTTTCCGGCGTTATGGTTCTTATACCATGAGCTTCGCTCATTCAAGGGTTGCTCGATGTGACCTGTGGAGGTAATCTGGACCGGGGACTGTGGTCGGCGGACAGGCAGCCGTCCGGCCTTGTTGGCATGAGCACCGGTGGTATGTCTTCGGGTTGGTGGAATTGTCCACACGGTTTGTAAGAAACCAACATGCCGACAGTGCATCCAAAAATGTGTTAATCCAATGGACCAATTTGGCAAACTACCTTGGTTGTTGCTTCGTCCTTCCCTCACCTTGAATCTCTCCTACGTACCACCTCAAGATACAACTACAGGCCCACCAACTCAGGGTGATTCCAATTCAAGACATTACTGTATGGGCGACCCATGGGGACGTTTCCCTCCGCTCCTCGCCACTGTCACAACTTTGTCCGAGCGCCTAAGCTCAATTCATGGTACGTCATGCGGATGGTCAACCGCCTATACCCACCTTCACCTAAGGAGTGCTCACTTACCACTCACTTAGGACTCACTGAATCTTCACTCTTACTGTAGAGTAAGCTGAGGCACTGCTGCTAGTACTACTCAGGCTTTCATTTGTCCTCTATTATCCTACCACGCGCTGTTTGCATGGGCACCCAATTCATTCCTCCTGAATCCAATCCCGTACCTGGAACTCTTCCTGGCGCAAGATGGAGGGACTAGTCAGCGCAACCATATTCCGAAAACCCCAGTAGCTTACTGTCTTGCTGCATACTAAGCCGAACATTCCACGAGCGCAACTGGATGGCGCCACCCTGGTCCCTCGATTGTTTGATCAGATTGCCGAGCGTGCCGTTATACGACGGCAAATAGCTGGCCGTCACCTCCAACGCGCATACACAGCACTGGACAACGAGCTCGAACCCGATTCGATGTCTGTCCACCCCTACCTAAACGAGCGAAATCACCCTGCACTGTCAGGAAGGCTGTTCCGGGGTCTTTGTGCGTGGACAAAGTTCGAGATCTTGGTCCAGAAGTCAAGCTTCGTTCATTGACCAGGATGTACTTGACTGATGACTGCCAATCAGCCATCAGCAGAATCTCGACCCAAGCGAGGAAGTCGCCGACGATGTCCGTGCATAGACTCGCGTGCGAAGCGAGGCATGCCCCACGTGTGGTATTGGAATGTAGAACAACGTGATCAACACAGACCATGCTCAGTGCTGCACAGTCAGCTTGCAACACGAAATGCATCTCCGTTGGAAATTTACCCTTGGCCGTTGACAACTCCTTGCTCCACAACTTCGACATCTGGGATCGTCTGGTTTGTCACCTACCTGTCACGTATCTATCATCAGTAGCCTCCGTCTTCCTTACAGAGGATGTGCTAATGTCAAAGGATCGGTGCGGCGGTCATCCCACGATCCCACAGTTACAAACTCCAGCTGTAACTCCTGCGAAGCACAAGTTAACCATGAAGACGACAGAAAACGGTGGTAACACTTTGGCATGGGGAGAGCCATCTGAGATTGCATCACATCATGTGTTGATCAGAAATCTCTCAGTATAACAGTGGGTCAGTATTCGCAAGAGGTTCGACTGAATCTTGCGCCGTAGAACTCGGCTCGGCGCAACAGATTCCAGAGAACGGCGAAGTCTCTACCGTGGCGCAATCTCCTGCGCATCTCAGCGACCTCGATTGAAACAGAGGTTCGTGGCGAAATGGAACCGTCTGCATGGGTTCTTCAGCAACATCGATTACATCTTTACAGGCGGGTTGATATCCTCGATGGTAGATATATGTCTGCAGCCAATTCTACCGTGAGCCGTCCTACTGTCCTCCGCCATGTCTCCAGGACCAGAGAAGAGTCGAAGCATTTCTAACGCCCAACATCTTTACGCCGTCTTGGCTGCGGTCGTCTTCTCATCGAACCCTGCAACCTTCTCATCGCTGACTGGTTCACCCGCGAGAGCACTGAGCCTGCGGTTGAGACCAATCTCAGCATTGATCTGGGCCATGCGCTCCTGGTCAGCGGCGGCAACACCGCTAGATCCAAAGACAAGGTCCATCTCCTCTAGAGTGAGCTGCTTTGTCTCCGGCACTGTTCAAATTATTAGCCTTACGTTCAATGGAGACAGCCGAGATTTCTCTTACCGTAAAACCAGATGAATGCAGCTCCGAGAGTGATCAAACACCCGAAGAGGATGAAAGTTCCATAAGTGATGCCGGTGATCATGTCTGGAGTGACTTGGCCCACAATGAAGTTGTTCATCCAGTTGCTGGACGCGCCGAGGGCGATACCGTATGGACGAGCGGACAATGGCCAGACTTCAGCAACCACGATCCAGGCACTGTAGCAGCTGTTAGAGGTTTGCAAAGCAGGAGCCAGTCGAGTTGAAACTTACCAAGGACCCCAAGACCAGCCGAAGTGGACGACAAAAAGCCAGACCATGACAATACAAGCCCAGCCTGCTGCCTTGTGGGTTGGCCATTGGTGCTCATTCTTGGCGAAGATGACAGCAATAATAAAATGGCAAAGACCCATTCCAAGAGCACCAAGGGCCAATGCAGGCTTTCTTCCGATTCTGTCAATGTACAGAATGGATGGAATTGTTGCCAACAACATGACAATGCCAACCACACCCGTAGCAAGAAGCGAAGTGGTGTTCGAGGACAGGCCAAGGGCGCCAAAGATTTGCGGTGCATAGTAAAGGACGGCGTTGATGCCGGTCCACTGCTGGAAGAACATAGTCACTGTGGCAACTATGACTCGGCGGAACATGGGCATCGTCTTGAACAAAGAGCCTATGGCGACGAATTGAAGCTTGATGGTGTTGGTTGCAGTCTGCTCGGCAAGGTGAGGGAAGTTCGCCGCCACACTTCGCTTCTCGAACATGGACTGAGCTTTGATTTCGAGGAACTCCAATTCGATAAGCTCAGAGTCGATTGGCAAAGACCTCAAGGTTGCAAGAGTCCGGCGTGCTTCTTCTTCGCGACCGTGGTGAAGGAGCCATCTCGGAGTGAAGGGCATCCACACCATGCCCACCAACAGGATCAACGCCGGGAAAAGCTGAAGAGCAAGAGGCACGAGCCAAGCCGCCTCAGATTGGGTATCGCCAGTTCCGCCGATGTAGTTGGTTCCATAATCCTGGCGAATGTCAGTAAAACGCATTCTGTCTGCAACGCAGATTGACTCACAATCCAAAAGCTGACCATGATACCGAACTCGATGGCGAATTGTTGCATACCGATGAGCAGACCCCGGAGCTCGGGAGGAGAACATTCGGCCACGTACATGGGCACGATCATCGAAAGTGATCCCACACCCATACCGACGATGAATCGACCCCCAAGAATCGCGGAGTGGCCAGCTGAGACGGCCGTGCATTGAACGACGACACCGATAATGAATACGCAGGTGTTGACAATGATAGCATATTTTCTGGATATGATCTCGGCAAGGAACCCAGAGTACAGCGTGCCCGTCCAGGCGCCGAGTTCGAGAATGGAGGTAAGCCATCCTTTCTTGGATTGATCTCTGGTATAGTCGCCCATGTGTCTATTGAAGGCGTTCATAGTCCTGCGTCGTGTTAGCAACTGCGCATCTAACGCGGTTGAAAGAGCGGCCAGAGGTCGAGACCGGATTGACTTGAGCCTTCGCAGGCTCGGCAGGACAATGTTCGAGGCGGACTCAGGGATACTTACAAGACACCACTGAACACACCCTGGTTGTAGCCATAAAGGAGACCACCAATGCAAGCAAAACAGGCAGTCAGGAAGACACGCCAGTTGCGTACAAGTGCCTGTGGCCCAGCCTTGCCGGCCATCTGCATACGCTGCTGGAGGGCAGCATCGCTGAATTGCGAAGGCTTTCCGGAAGCGTGAACCATCTTGGCGACTTTGTCAGCTCAGATTTTCTTGAGAAGCTGAAGACTAGAGGCAGGCCACGAGATGGATTACCGCTGGCCTTGTATATGATTGCATGTTGACGCGGCCGACACCTTCTCCGCCTTCAGGCTAATTCGAAATCTTGGAGCGACACATGGCGCGCATGGCCCATCTCTTCTCCAGCTCGATCATGCGCACGGACGAGGTCTCATTGGAGAGTGGGGAGATATCCTGGTTAGCAAGACGTCCAACGGGGCAATGAGTAGCGAAGCACGGCGTGTCTGGCCTAAGCGTTGGCAAGCCACCAGTAAGCTAGACCAAGCATCTTTAAGGGTCGGCAGCTAACATCCGTTGCAAAAAGGCTTCGCAGGAAGAGGGTCCGGGCCTGTCTGACAACATCGATCCCGCTTGTGACGCAGTGGGAAGCACGTCTTTGGCTGTGTCGGTGCCCAAGAAGGCTGCAGGGTCAGACTCGGCAATATTTTGTCCGGGGGTTGCAGCATGGAAGCCTCCGGCTGCGAGTGGCCCGACGCTCGTACAAACATGGCTGGATAAACCGCCGTCAACTGCCGTCGAATGTTCTATGGAATGATGAGGTCAAATGCCTGAAAGGACCGCCCTTACCTGGTCAAGCATCAGAAGAGGCCGCCTAGCCCCATCTCTCCACAACAAAGTCGCCCTCCGCCTCCACAGTCACGGCTGGAATTTAGCCTATTTAACCAAAGTCGTGGTCCCTGCAGGTGACTGGCTGGCAAGGAGCTACCTCTGGTGTTTTCCCCATCTCTGCTCAACGCATCTCTGTCGGCTATGCCCTTTTAACCAAATTTCTCAATGTCACCTTCTTCCCAACTGCATCTCGCAGTTTTGGAAGCGAGGATTGCAGCTGCCTATGACGATATGTGCAACTCATTGTCCTGGGGTGTTTGTCGCCGCATGTGCCGTATACCCGCCCGGGCTATGATTCCTTCTACTCAGCAACGCCAGGATATGCTGGCGGTGATCAGTCCGACGGATGCGTTTGTGCACAATTCCACCCAAACGCCGCAGGTATAGCTCTGTATGCTGTCACTAAGGCACCGACCTTGCATCTGCAGCTATGTTCTGCCGGCAATTGGATCTTCGCATGATCGTCACTGCTAGAGGTTTGTAGCGTCAGGATGAATTCCCCCAACGACGGCTATATCCATCTTTGGCATGTCGAGAGGCCTTTTGCGGAGCCTGCAGAGGAGGGGAGGACTGTCGATGGGAGGTAGGTGAAAAATTCGTGTCCTTATAACTCCGGGTGAAGACCACGATGCAATCTGCCGAGTGCGAAGGCGTCTCTCGCGAATTCTCGACTTCGACAGAGTACGAAGGTGCAAGCGATGGCAACCACTTTGCTTGGTCTCTTTGCGCTGCTGGCTGCACCAGCAACTGCAGCTTTATTCCCAGACTGTGCCAATGGACCACTTGCAAACAATACTGTTTGCGACACGACCGCGTCTGTGGCTGCTAGAGCTAGAGCGCTGGTCGATGCCCTGAACATCGATGAGAAGTTCAACCTGACGGGAAGCACATCCCCAGGAGTGCCCCGACTAGGACTCTATAGCTACCAATGGTGGCGTATGTCGCTCACAACTCTCCTGCCCTCCTCATATGCTGACTTCGAGGACAGAGGAAGCACTGCACGGAGTTGCAAGCTCGCCGGGTGTGACTTTCGCTCCGAACGGAGACTACTCCTATGCGACTTCATTCCCGCAGCCAATTCTTATGGGAGCGGCCTTTGACGATGCCTTGATCCATGCCGTTGCGACTGTGGTCAGTACGGAAGCTCGGGCCTTCAACAATGCCAACAGAAGCGGCTTGGATTTCTGGACGCCAAACATCAACCCATACAAGTGAGTAAATTGCGTATACGACCCACAGACCACGCCCGGGATGCTTTGTGCTGACAGGAAGGCTGCAGAGATCCAAGATGGGGTCGCGGACAAGAAACACCAGGCGAGGATCCGTTCCACCTGAAGAGTTATGTCGCTTCTCTCATTAGCGGCCTCGAAGGGAGTCCAGACTCGAAATTCAAGAAGGTGATAGCGACTTGCAAGCATTTTGCAGCCTATGACCTTGAGGGCTGGGGAACCACGACCCGCTACAACTTTGATGCACAAGTCAACACCCAAGAGCTGGCGGAATACTACATGCAACCCTTCCAGACCTGTGCTCGCGATTCCAACGTTGGGTGAGTGAGATGCAACGAGATGCTGTGGACTCATCCGCTGATCTACATAGCTCCATCATGTGCTCATACAACGCGCTGAACGGTGTGCCTACCTGCGCTGATCCGTACATCCTCCAGACGATTCTGAGGGAACACTGGAACTGGACCGGTGAAGGCCAGTACGTCACCTCCGACTGCGATGCCATCCAGAACATTTACATGCCTCATGACTATACGGCGACACGAGAGGAGGCGGTCGCCGATGCTTTGAAGGCCGGCACTGACCTCAACTGCGTAAGTGAAACCCCCAAGGTCCAACATGCTGGAGTTACTGACGCTGTTTCAGGGCACATACTACCAGACTCACCTCCCAGTAGCCTATGACCAAGGTCTCTTCGATGAAAGTGTAATCGACCAAGCCTTGATCCGCCTCTACTCGTCGCTGATCAGAGTTGGATATTTCGATCCTGCGTCAGCAACTCCATACCGGTCTCTCAATTTCAGAAACGTGTCTACCCCCGCTTCGGAGGCATTGGCGCTGAAAGCGGCCGAAGAGGGCATGGTCTTGTTGAAGAACGATGGGATCTTGCCTCTGTCGCTGCCCGCTGGCAGGAAAACCAACATCACGTTGATGGGCGGATGGGCCAACGTCACCACTCAATTGCAAGGCAACTACGCTGGCGTTGCACGGTTCCTCCACGCGCCACTCTACTCCCTGCAGCAGTTGCCGAATGTCAACGTCCAGTACACAAGCAGTCAGGGCAGCATCCAGTTCCCCACCACCGGCAACTGGGAGCAATTGGTTACTGCCGCCGAGAACACCACTGATCTTATCATTGTGGCTGACGGAATCAACAACAACGACGAAAGTGAGGACAACGACAGATACGACATCAGCTGGTCACCCGGCAAGATCGACTTGATCAACCAGATCGCCACCATTGGCAAGCCGGTCATCATTCTCCAATTCGGAGATCAGCTCGACAATACCCCGTTCCTGAATAACCCCAACATCTCCGCCATCATTTGGGGAGGGTATCCCGGCATGGCTGGAGGCGACGCCGTCGTCAACATCCTTACCGGCAAGACCTCACCGGCCGGACGCCTGCCCGTCACACAATATCCCGGCGACTACGTCAACCAGGTTGAGATGACGGACATGAACCTGAGGCCCAATGCTTCGTCTGGCAATCCTGGCAGGACCTACAAGTGGTATGACAGCGCAGTCCTGCCGTTTGGATACGGCTTGCACTATACGAATTTCAGCGTGGATGTCGTCGAGTCAAGCCAGACGACGTACAACATCTCGCAGCTGGTTTCCAGCTGCGACCGGTCCCAGTACAAGTACCTTGACCTCTGCCCGTTCGACTCGTTCCAGGTCAACGTTACCAACACCGGCTCGGTCGCATCGGACTTTATCACCCTCGGCTTCATCAGCGGCCAGAACGGCCCCAAGCCATACCCGATCAAGGAGCTGGTGGCATATCAACGACTCTTCAACATCACCGGGCGCGCCTCGCAGACCGCCACCTTGAACCTGACATTAGGGAGCATTGCCCGCCGTGATGTGAATGGCAACCAGATCTTATACCCTGGCGATTACGGCTTGTTGATTGATGTGCCGACGCAGGCGACCTGGAATTTCACCCTGAGCGGCAGTCCTGTCACGTTGGACCAATGGCCTCAAAGATCTACTTAGGGTGGTTAGCCTCGGATGTGATGTAAATAGACTTGCTCGAGTATCACAACCACAACCTGTAGAGCCGTAGACCACCAGTGGTGTATGCCGTGCCCGAGACGTGCCAAAGAGAGAATCACACGTTCTACCAATCACATGAGAATGTCACAAGTAATTGCACGTCTGTCTTTCTCGCTTTCTTACCCCGCACGGCACCATGCCGTCAATGAATGACCATTCGACGTCACGTCAATCCTTCCGAGCACCAGCAGGTATCCTGGCTTCATTGTCGGCCCTGTCCTCGTGGCCTTGCCCCATCAAACTAGGTATCCTATCATGTCTAGGGGTACAGCCTTGCTTGCCTTACCTTGCCTTGGTCTGGTCGGATAGCTCATTCAGATACAGTACGCTTCCACCCCTCTGCTGCGCCTCAGCACTCACATGCGAAGCCCCTCGGGCACGAGCAGGCACATAGCAGGACAGAGGAGAAGTGGTGAAAACCATCATTGCTTGTTCTCTAAACCACACTTTTCGCTAGCACTTGTCGATGGCCGTCTTTACCTGACCTTTACCTCGCCTGTCACCTCTCACCTCTCACCTCCCACGTCAACACGCTCCAGCAACTTTTACCAATACACCGGTTACATTGTCTCTCTCCCACCTTGAGCGCAAGCCACAGAGCTACACACTCTCCCCTAAAATCCAGCTCGCTGCCCTGACGGCGGTTGTGTCGACCAACCAATCGCACTGTCACATGGTTCTCAGAATCCGCATCTGAGGTCACCAGACCAACTGTGTAAACAGCCCACGACGTTATCCTGACATCTCGACGAGGGAGACTGGATTGGCATCTACTAAGATAAAGTAAGGACAGAGTTCGCGGCCAGCATCTCGTTGCTCGTCTTTCCAAGACTACCGACTTCCCAACCCACATTTGCACCCGCCTACCCGACTCGCCCACCTGACCAAACTTGGCTACCTCGCCCACCTTGCCTCCCTTCAAAATCGGACTTTACCTCGACGATTCACCTCGACGCAACACACCACAGCACAACGCACCACGACAGACAAGGCGTAAAGCTACCGGACGTCCCATCCGACTTGTCCACCTTTCAAATCTTCCTAGCCTACTACAGCCCTCCCATTCCCTTGCATTGCCTCGGAACACTCAGATGAACCAACCTGGCCGTCCTTTTCTTGATACGACGCCCAACAACACGAACCCAAGTCTGCTCATCACGCCAAACGGGGCGGTACAGTAACGCACGGCACGAAACATGGCGTGACGAAGCCCGGCAACGAGGTTTTCTCCACGACGTGGCTCTACTGTGTTGAGATCTGCTGAAGTGATCCCAACTAATCAAAACTCCAACCTCAAAATCACGTATTACTTGATCCGTCTTAACTCACGCTACATCACCTTACCTTACCCAAACTACCACAGACTACCTCACTCATCTCAACTCAGCGACGAGAACTCGGCCAGAGAATCCTCCTCTTATCTCTAGCGACAGAGGCAATCGCTGAGATCAAGCAAGACGGCCCCAACTCATCTGCTATCGAGGAAGATCTTGATCTGACCGGGTCTCTTCTACTCGTCGACTCGTCTGACGGACCTCGCTTGGCTCAGTGTTGGCATTGCCTTGCTTTGCCTCACGTCCGCCACTTTTCGCCTCCACTCACCTGATTGAGCGGGTCGTCACCTCATCCGCTAGAAGTCGACTTCGACGATCAAGGTAAACAGCAGACTCGCGCCCGGATCAAGCCGGACAGGCACCACAAGTTACAGTATCCAACTTAAGTCCGCCGCGCCTCAAGACTTCAGACCGACACGACACGACACGTTAGGAACGGATCAAGACAAAGATAATACCACACCCAACCAGCGAGTAGACTCGATTTCTCAGTTTTAACCTTCCCTCCCTTGACCCCTAGCGACTGCAAGTACTTATAACATTTACATTCACATTCAAGCAATCGATCCTCTATACAGTCAATCAAGGGACAACTTGCCTCTAGCCTTAAGCGGTATAGAGGGAGTATCTCGCGATCAAGCAAGACAGGCAGCCGGGTCACTTCGCGGTCAAGCAAGATCGACAGCAGACTCAATCTCGTTTGATATTGACGGGACTTGTCATCTTGATCTACTCCAGTCAGGTGATTAAGTCCATCGACTATACGCACACCTCCCTATCTACATCACCTACCCATACGACGGTTGCGCTACCATTCCCGGTGTATTGTACTCTATCAGACAACGCAGTCACTGTCTATCACATACGTACACCTACCTACCTACCTGCCTCTCACCCAGTGACCCGTACGACATTGCGATTACCTGGACCACTCCGTGTATTCTGTTCAACCAGACACCAACTGAGCCACTGTCCGCCGGGCATCATCAGCAGACAACCCCCGGTCCCCATACAGTCGTACGAGTGATCAAGTCCATTGACCGCACGGAAACCTACCTACCTGGCATCTTACTTACCCGTACGACCTTAGGACTACCACTGCCCTGTATTCTAATCTATCTAGACACCACGGTCACAGTCACAGCCTGCTACGGATCGTCCAGAGAGGAAACCATCATCCGGAGAGGAATTCATCAGCTGCAGAAGGAATACAGCGTCCGCATAGGAATTCCATACCTTTCCGTCGAGGTACACCAAGCCTCGATCAGCGTCATCCATCCACCATCAATCATGGGCCTATTTAAATCCCTCAGAGGCAAGATTGAAGTTGGGACAGACAACCAAGGACAAGGACAAGAACGAGAAGAGTACTCAGTCTACTCATCACCCTCTGGCCCACCACCATCCCATCGCAACCGAAACAGAGGAGCGGAAAACAAAGACCGTGACGACGACTTCACTCCACCAACAGGTCCACCGCCTTCGTACCGTGGTCAAGGTCAAGTCCACAATAACGACGCCGAAGAATACGTTCCTCCTACTGGACCCCCGCCGTCTCACAGTCGTAGAGCGGAAGACCAGTTCGTACCCCCATCAGGCCCACCACCCTCCCACAACCGTCGCACGGATGACGACTTCCTTCCCCCTCCAGGTCCCCCTCCTGCCTCTGGATCATCGAACGCGAATCCCCCACCTTACCACGACTGGACCGTCATCCCGGATACCGCGCTACTCCCGCCCCCTCCTCCACTCCCCCAGGACTACTCCCCAACCAACAACGCGACGTACGACTCCGCCGCCCGGGCCCACGAATGGTGCGCCCGCAACCCGGTATACACGCCGTCGAACCCATCTCATGAGCTCCAAGTCCTCGTCAACGCCGGGCACATCACGCTAGAAGCCCCGCCCGGCCCCTTGAAACGCCACGTGTCCACGTTCCGGCGGACCTCTCCCACGACGTGGCGCGTGGGCACGCAGAAGAACCAGCAGGACGCCATCATCTTGTCCTCCGTGCCTCTGTATTTCGCATGCGCGGATAGCCCGCTGGTCACGGGCCGTTCCAAGACGACATATTTCCAAATCCACATCCATCGGATTCAGAATGCCAACTCGGGCATCGCGATAGGGTACGCCGCGAGACCGTACCCGCCCTGGAGGTTGCCCGGGTGGCACCGCGCGAGCCTCGGCGTGCACGGCGACGATGGACGACGGTTTGTCAATGACCCGTGGGGAGGGCGCGATTTCGTGGCGGCGTTCCGAGGAAACGAGACCATCGGGATCGGGATGGAGTTTAAGGCGCAGGAAGTAGCTGGTCGGAGGGTGAAGACTAGGGTGTTCGTGACGAGGGATGGGAGGGCCGATGACCGGTGGGGTTGGGAAATCGACGAGGAGAGGGACGAGCGAGACGAAGGCGTCGACGGCTTGATGGGCGAGGGGGATTTGTATGCTGCTATCGGAGTCTTCGGCGAAGTCGAGTTTGAGGTCACTTTCGGGGACAGCGTCAGGTAGAGGGAGGTATCTGGTAGTCACCCTGTCGCCACCGTAGCGGCTAGCCACATGCCACACCTCCTCTTCAAGCAAATAGCAGGAGGCGACAAAAGTAGAGGCATGCCTTATACTGATTCATGGAGACCACAGGGGGTAGACGTTTCGCGTGTGTGTCGCCTGGCCCGTGCGCGGGATGCCTTCTGTGTTCGGTTCGAGCGACGGTGCTCTTGTTCCGGTACCTGAGGTCAGGAGGAAGAACTGTAAAGGTTTAGAACGACGGTGCAGCTCAGATCTTCAAGGCCTTTCGACCGCTCTATACAATTAGCCACATGTGGCTCTGTCAAGAGCAGCCGAGTCAACCAGCTTCTTCGCGGCCCATCGAATCAGCGTGCATGCGAATGCATGGCACCAATGGAGGCCCAAAGCGCCACTGGGACACCCTGACGGCCGCATAACAACCTTCAGTATAGATTGTATGACCTGCTCTTAAGAAGCGAAACCTTGAGCAGATCAAGACTGTGGTCCGTCACTGCACATGTTTGCGCGCCTCATACCGGATATTCCGCTCTTCACCTTTTTTCGCCCGTGTCTGCGCCCGCCATTGCGCAATAGTTCCGGTTTGCAATTGACCGGCGCGGCACGGTTGGTCGCATAGGAATACGAGCGCAGTCATTAGATCGGTAAAGGGCACGTCTTAACGACTGAGGTTTTTCGTTTCGCAGATTCGATGGTTCGACCGTTCGACCGTTCGGGTTCGCTTTTGATAGTTCTGCGCCTGACGTTCTGTCAACTGCCATGCAGTCCCTGATGAGGGTTTGTGCCGCCATCCTTCACCACGGACTAGACAGAATGACGGAAGCTGTTCTGCACCTGGTGGTCGCGCAGGTACCGATCCCGCTGGAATAGAGGATTCGGCTTCTTGTGAGTGAGCCCGGCGTGAGCAGGAAGGGTCGCGGGGTTCGAATCTTCGGTAGGGAGAGGGCAGTCTATAATCGCGGTTTCCGAGAATGCGCAGGGCGCTCGCGTGAGATATCCAAGAGGTGGCATGCTGTGGAGGCAGGGAAGATCTGTTCGGCCCGTGTTACTTTGCGCAACGGGTTCTGAGACTTTAGCTTTGAGCATAGCTGTAGCATTGGAACTTCTGTCTCGCTAAATGTGGTTATGCTTCTATTATCAATTCTGTGGTCGAACAGGACGCAGATCCAGGCCTGCGCTGACCTGGTTACCCGCTACCATCTCTTTCTCCTCTCGGAAAGGTCTGGCGTACAAGCGGCGTTTTAGTGGAGCGGCAGGGAGGCGGGAGTAACCTTGCTAAACAATTAGTTCATCTGAGCGCTCTTCCCATGGAAAACCTTTATCTGGTCTCTGGAAGGCCATAACCTGTGTTGCCTGTGTTAACATTTCAGTCATGTTGCAATGAATGTGTCCGAGGGAACCGTTGTTACAGGAAAGAGCGAGGACAAGTCGAGAAGCCGGCCGCGATGGGGTTCGTCGAACATCTCTCAAGATCCCAAGCGCTACAGGTGGCCTACAAACGCAGCGAAAAAGGCTTCTGGAAGGCCTGTTAACGATCCGAGGCGGCGGCGTCATTGGTTCATAACGGTAGGGACGGCATGCTGCGAAGAGCAGGAAACGGAGGGAGTCGGCACGAAGCCGCCCCATCCTCGTAACCGCTTGTATAGACCTGGCACGTTGAACCGTGCGGTATACCTCCTCTTGACTGAGCCTGCAATGCCAACACATGCCTAAGCAGTTCCATTTCTGATCGACTAACCTTAATCGAAGGGAAATAGCAATTGGTAGGCTTGTTTGATGAATGTGTGAGAGAAAGCAAGGTTATTTTGTGCTGGAAGCGTGTCGCTCGAGAGAAATATGCAATGCGTCAGGAAAGATAGGGGTTCTGTATCCCGCAGTGGGTGTAAAAGCCGTTTCTACGGGAGTCATTTGTCGGGTCAGCATACGATATGGTCGCAGTTTTGACCTCCTCCCTACCAAAGCAGGGGGGAAATGCCGGAATTGAGCGAAATATCCATTCAGCGCTGGAATTTAGCGGCCGCTGTGTTTCATTTGTTGATCACCGGCTGCAGAGGAGGGCGAACTTCCCCCCGAGAGGAGGCAAATGGGGGCCTGTACACTAACACTCACTCAGGGCGCTTCCCTAGCATGACACATCGCCTCCACTGGATCCCATGGGGCGAGGTAGGCCGCTCTAGCAAAACGCTGAGCGAGCTTCGTGCAGTACACGCTCGAGCCGGATGGGAAATCCCGTGCACCCGGCGAGCTGCGACCTACAGATAGCACCCCAGCAGCTCAATTTGCTGAGGAAAAAAGGGAAGAGAAGGCAGGAGCTTGCGCCGGCCAGACCGAGTACCGCTGGGGTCAAGTAGTTCTTGGGTGGGCGGACAGGCAAACAAACATCAGACAACGTAAGCGCAATCCGTAGATTATGATGGTCACACCAGATCAACGGGCGCATCCCTGCTTCGAGCCTGCTGTGTCGGTCGCTGCTGCTGTTCCACGGGCCGGGATTCGGGCTTTCAAAGTCGCACCTGTTCATCTTCCCACAACTCCGGCTCCGCAATGTGCAGACCCAATGATAGCGGCAGAAAATTTGACTGCCGGCAGGCTTCGGTGAAAACCAAGCTTGGGAACGGCCGGGTGGCGAGAAACGCCCAAGGTAGTCTCCCAGCAGGATGGTCGCCAAGAACTGACGACGTCCCCCAACGCCGGTCTTCTAAGCGATGTTATTTGCCGGCAGATCAGAGACTTGTAGTCGGTCGTTAGCCAGTAGGAGCGCCTGCCCGAAGAGGATCTCTTGCCATACCCTAGCGTTGGCTGCAAGTAACCCACCAGAGGTTCCAGACTCGTTACCAAACCTTCCCGAATGACTTGCATGACACGATTCTTGCAGCGCGGGCGATCCGTGCAACAACGCACAGCATAATGCAGGAACAAGCAGGTGTCTTTTTTAAGAAATGGCGTCAGGCCACGCCCGTCACGGATGTGCCATGTGACCAGTGATATCAGCGGCCAGTGGGGGTTTTTGGCGGCACGGCTGAATTTGGTCGAAGCGTGGGACTTGGTGATATTCGGCAAGGACGGAAACGGGAGCGTGTCATCAGATGTGGCATCTACACGTCCTGTGAGACTTGGGTGACGCGAGCTAGCGAAGTCGTTAGCTACACATTCTCATTGTCCAGCCGCAGGTCATACGGAAGTCCCAGTGGGCTGCGCAGTTGTCGAGGTCTGTGGCGACTCGACTCGATTCACACCCTTATATCGTAGTGCGTAGAATGCGGGTTTCTAGGCGTGACACCTTGACTGTGGAGGCATTTTTATGATGTAGGTTGGATCAGAGTTGATTAGGGTGGGAGGGTCTCGCACTTGAGTGACAGGTTTGGCATCCAGGTCCGTGCTTTTTGACAATCTGGGGAAGACGATCTCGCTTCGGCCCGCACAAATGCACGTAATAGATCTGTGCACTGGAGTGTAAGATCAGAGCCCTGGGTGGTTGTCGCTTCACCGCCCATCTTGCGTCAGACCACGAGGCAGCAGTCGGAAGCCACAATGGCGGTGAAGCGCTGACCTTATCGGCTCGATCCTTGCATGAACGAGAGATCGCAGATCATCCAGCATGCCAATACTAGCGCACTCCAATGCTGGTGACTTGAGAGATCATGGACCTGTCGACTGATGTGAGGAAAATGTACGAGTGCAATACGAGTTGGCAAGGGAGAAGTGATTTTTTTCAGGATTGCATTGAGGCCGGGGTGAGGTGGGATTGAGCGACCTCCAGGGACGTCCGAAGCGGCGTAGTGGCCAACGTCATCGCCAAGACATTCTCATTGCCTCTTTGTTGTGTTACTCCAGCGAACAACACACGTTTTCATGTCAATAATGCTATCAACTCTTTCTGGTGACGGCTTCAGGCACACAAGTCAGCTCTGGCACACGGCGAAGATCGCTCAGGCACGATTGGCAGCCCCGCGCTGAGACTTGTTTAGGGCGCTTGGGTACCAGTCTGCATCCCAATGCACTTGAACCGCGCTGGCTTCGGGGGGAAGTCCAGCCCTTGCTTCCGGTGAACGTGAAAGCTCTGCAACTTCATTCGTAGCTGTTCGACGTCTTGGAACTCGAGACATTTGTCAATGGCTGGAGGCACGACGTGTACATTCTCGAAAGAGCGATTTTTCCACCCCCCTATCCTGAGAGTCGATTGGAGAATGCGTGTACAAGTACTCAACCATGTTTAGACATGTGGACATAAAGAAGAAATCCAGTGACGCCCCATCCCAGGAGTCGTGCACGTATATCGTCATTATCCCATCATCTATCAACAGTAATACGAACAGCGGAGCACGCCGACTGGGTTATACAGGTGGTAAGAAGTCGTTGATCTTACGGAACGGCCATTCGTGCGGTGTATGTAATGCTCGTTGGCTCTGGAGATGGAGATCGAGATGTCCCACAGGTACAGATGCCAAAATGAGCAAAGACATCGCCTCAATTCAAGCGCATATCGGTTCGACATCGTGCACTGTTTCTGCCGGCATTTCCATTCTGCTCGGGCCAACAAGCAACTCGTCAGCTCGTGAATGGGAAATATTGCCCAGAGACGGCAGCATAGAGCACATGCTCGTATATGCGGGTTCGCGTACAGCGCAGACTCGTGATGTCGGCGTTCATGCGATTACAGAACTGCGGATGAAGGGGAAGCGCCCGTCAGACGAGGATGAAAGATGTCAGCATCATGTAGGAAGCAGCTAACGTGCGAGATTTTGTTGACGAGGTGAGATGCCGGACGCAGTTAATGCTCCATTTCAAAAAGGGAGGCGTTGAAAATTCTCCAACTTTTGTCTTGGTGAGGAAGCTGTCGACCAGCCTTCGGAGCCTTTCTCCAGGAAACGATGAATCTACAGTACGTGGCCGCTGCGTAGCGTTACCTAGTAACTAATAGATCATCTCTTGTCGTCAGAACCAACAACGATAGGCGCTATTTCTGGCTATGCAACCAACTCGGGGGCTGTCGCTCATGCATTATGGGCCCAGTGCAGTGTCAATTTTTCGTGTAGGGAGACATCACGCTTACGTTAGTTTCCACTATCTGTCATTGCCGCATGTTGAAAGACGGTTCAGCGACCGCAAGGTCTTACTCTTGCACCTGTGTCGCATGGTTCTCCCGTGAGAACCCGTGGATTTCTGGAGACAGCTGCGAGATCAGAGTAAGGAACGGCCACAGGCTGATGGACTCGGGATTCGAGCACACGCGAGTCGGCCGGTATGGTAAGAATAGGCAGCTGAGAAAAGCCGCTGAGCGATAAGCTGAACTCGAACATGCAAGACGCACTCACAAGAGGCAAGGTTGATCGTCGCTTGACACTTGGACATGACAGGCGGCACATTGCGCGATGGTCGGAGGCGTTGTGGGGGGCGATGACACCAAGTGGGCCTAATGCAGCCGTCAATGCAGACGCCACCAGGCCTTATGCACCACGCCCTCCATCTGTCCTCGCTAAGCATGGATGAGCCTGGGTCGGGGCTTCGGCCAATCCGACAGAAGTGACATTGAAAGCGCGTCCACCGCTCGTGGGCCATTCGAGGATCCGTCTGCCTTCAAGTCAGATATTGCAGCTAACGTGTCTGTATTGACTCAGTTCTCTACCCTTCAGTGGCGTGATCGCTGGAATCAGCGGGCTCTCGACACGACTGTGCCTGTTGCCTTTTGCTGGACCAGACCGTGCAGGTCAACCAAGATTCACCCGTTCTCGCCAGAACCCGCTCACGGCGAGCCTGGAGCTGGTGGCGTCCGACACGCCAAACAGGTTAGAAATCTCTATCTCCGTCTCCACTGCTGTTCTGGAGCGGCACAAGATAATAATCCTGGAGGAGACAGTGGTCGGCTCTATGACTTCAGAAAGCTATTTTACTCTTGGTGGCTCTACCCCGAATCGTCCACGGAGCCTCTCAATGTGTGCACCAACACGGTCCTAGGGTCCAATGATGCGGACCTACAAGTTGCATCGCATGAGACCATTCCACATGAAAGCTGGAAGCGTTGGGGTGTCATTCTCCGAGTTTGTCAGCCAGGACCGTAAATGCTGCGCTTCAACCTATTAACCACTGGCTTTAACGACATCGCTACTTCTCTTGGGAGATGTTGGAGCTTGAGAAGGATTGTCATCTTGTCAGTTGAACCCGGAACACAAATCCACTTGTTTCACAGTCTTGGACGAAGGCGAAGGCTATCGTTGCGGCTGCAGCCAGAGGCGACGGCCGCGCGATTTGCATGGGCAATTGACGTTAGCACCGTCAGATAGCACTGCGGTTGATTCCGTGCTGAGTCGGAGCACGCATTACGCCATCTGGGGCAGCGGGCCACGACAAAGCACAGACCCTCGCGCTCCTGGCGCTGCGTTAATGCATAGTTCCATTCTTGTCTAGACCCTTGCTGGCTCGAAAAATTGAGGAGTCGATTCGTGGTGATTGAGTTTTTCAGAAATGTCATATGCGGGATGCTTTTGTCGCCGATCAGATCTGGTGATCCGCCCAACAGCTACAAGGTCTTCAGCATGCTTTGTTTCAGTGCCAGCCACCCTCAGGTCTTTTCTCCAGGCCTTGGTAGTCAGCGCCCGGCCATCGAAAATGCAGTAAACTTTTGAGCATGGAGCTTGGACCGTGGGAGCAAGACACAAGACGCAAGCGAGGGAGGGTCGCAATTGGTGGAGTTGTAGCCGTGAAATGGCCGCTACTGCTGCCACTGGTCGGCGAGCACAATGAGCCAAATCGAGGAGAAAGGCGATGGTGTGGGGCGAGGCATGCGAAAGCGGGTCGAGGGCCGAGGATGGCACTGGAATGACTGCATTATTGACAGCACGAACCACGAGAAAGATAGGCTGCCTTTGAGTCGTGCATGACGCTCTACGAGTACGCTGGAGCGACAGCGCAGTAACGTTGAAGAGGTGGACTGCGAAGGCCGTCTGCTGTTGGCTTATCAACGCCACTTCTATCGTGGTCTATGGCAGTTCGAGTTTAGCAAGAAGCTGCGCTTGCGGCCAAGGGTCGTTTTTTGCTTTGGTCAAATTGGCTCCAGAAATTGAGGGGATTGTCAAGTTGATGCGGAGCAGACGGCGAATCGACATAACTAGGCAATGAAGGGTGGATATCAGGTGGAGACTTCGTTTTCGTGATGGCGGCAACAAGATGGAAACCGCCGGTTGAAGGACTCCGAATTACTGTATCGTGTTGGGGAAAAGGACATATGACTGCAGTGGTCGAGACTTTGTGGTGTGATGAAGCACCCAACAATCCTAGACAAGTAGTCAGCTGGCGCAGTCCCGTCGCAAGCTGACCACGACTTGACCTAGCACTTGACGCGAAAGAGATTTGTTTCACGGAGATCGGGAGCTCAGATCGTGCAAGTCGTCGTCCCCAAGCTTGGGGCACGAGGAAGCTGAAGTGTCTCGGCCTCCGCCCGTGCTCGGAAGTCGAGGACGGAACATCTGCGGGAAGAGGCCTTTCTCGAAGGGCTGATTCGGCCTTCACGGCGCCCTCACGCCTGCATGACCACCAGCAATCTTGACTTGTGCGCTGTGGCGCCGTATGTACTGCGTCGGCCATTAAGGGCCGTTGATTCGCTTTCCCTGCTTCTACAATGTCGCGTCTTGACGGGTGCTTGTTTCAAAAGGATACCTGCAGCGGGCCAGACGAATCCTCATTTCAGCAGGCGTCCCACCAGCATGTGATGTCCGCGAGGTGGAAGTGAGGTAGGTACCTTTGGTAGGCTGAGCATGAATGACAGCGGAGGGAATGCGCCCGCGCACAGTTCGGTGTAATCGGCGGCAGACGCCTGGGGGCCTCTTACTGCTTGGTGCTGTCGTAGCCGCTCAGGTTAATTGACACCTTAGGCGAGGCGGCGCTTGGGTTGCAGATGACCATGAGCTGACTAGAGACAGTGGACAGCCGTTGAGGCAGCCAAATCATCTAACTTAGGCTTTGCCGTCTCTTCGGCACCTGGCTAATAGGGCTCGCCATTCTACCTCCGTCAGTCCTGAAACTCCTCCCTCGGGGGCATTGACCCGTGGATTCGATGGAAATGGAGTTTTGATTTTCGATCGTTCGATGGGAACTGCCGATATGGTGTAATATCAGGGCCCTTGGGGGAAAGATCTACAGGTCATCGATAATCCACATTGCCTTGAGAAAACCAGTTCACAGTCAAACGAAAATGCCGAGCGGGAATCACAAGTCCATTGCAGTACCTCGTACGGCTACACGGTGTAATACTTGTTAGGCTAGGGACCTGCTACCCCAAGGATCGAAGATGGCCGCCCGTAGGCGTACCAATAATGCCCAGACCCATGTCCCTGTCCTTGTCCGCGTCTTGCTCGTGCTCGTGCTCACAGTCGCTCTAAACCCTGTCACCCGTACCCTAGTCCAAGCCACCCACCCGAGGCCCCAATCAATCCTCGGGCTGGCGCAACAACCCCTCGGTCGGTTGACTGCCCCTCCATCCACATCGACATGCTATTCCTGCAGGTGTGCACTCAACACACAATCTGCAGCCGCCATGCCACAGATCCAATCACCACCCCGGCCCTCGAGTCCGCATACACTTATGCGGCTAACGAACTTGCAATTGACGCTCATCACAAGCTGCCCTTCTTGATCTGGGGTGTTTAAGCCGAAAACAATTCCTCACCTCATGCGAACTGCGAACTCATGCAAGCTCACGTTTGCGGTTTCGAGGTGCACACCTGCGGGATTACAGGGCGTCTTTGCAGCAGCCAATACTGCAACACTGCCTCTGACTTGTACTTCACATCTGATCTCCTTCACCACGGAGGCTGCGTTCACTGTTCCCTTGCCTTAGTTTCCGCGCCTTCCCCATATTTTATTTGAGTCGTCCACCTGCCTGGACACGATCTCTTCTTCTTGTTCCCTCATTATCCTCCATCCTCCATGTCCTCGCAATAATTCTGCCTGTCTTTGCTTGTCCCGTCTTCAGGGTCTTTATTGAGTGGGTTGACCGCTCTTACAATCGTTATTGTTCAAGTGTGTCAAAGGTGTCCCAGTGACACGAGACCAGACAAGCAGCTGCAAGCATGGACTCGACCGCGTGGTTCAAAATCTTTGTCTGCTATTTGTGAGCCCTCTCCAGCTGATTTTCCTTGGTGATATCTGGCTCTTGGCAGACGGACTGACTGAACCAGCTTCTACCGCTATTTCCGCCTAGTTGTGAACTTGTGGGCTTTCTGGACTTTCAAGCCAATCCCGATACCAGAAAATCCCACTCTCCGACCTTCAGATGTCACGGTCATTTTGCCAACACTGGATGGTGAAGGGGAGGAACTGGAGCGAACCATTGCCTCAATCTTGCAGAACAAGCCCAAAGAGATCATTCTAGTCACCATCGACGAGAACATGCACAAGGCGGAGCGGACCATGAACAAGATGCCGGCATCGATCTTTAAACGAATTCGTTGCATGTCTGTCAAGCACGCCAACAAGCGGCGCCAGATGGCCAGAGCTATTCCGGAAGTCACCACGGAGATTATAGTCTTCGCCGACGACGACGTTACCTGGCCCGTGCGGACCCTGCAGTGGATGCTGGCCCCATTTGAAGACAAAAAGTATGGTGGTGTAGTCACCTGCCAACGCTTGAGGCGAGCCGAGAATCCGACCTTTTCTCAGCGGATCTATGGGTTCTTGGGGGCGCTCTACCTGGAGCGTCGTAACTTTGACTGTGCTGCCACCACGCACATGGACGGTGGTGTGCCTTGCTTGTCAGGCCGCACCTGTGCTTACCGCACAAGCATCTTGCAGGACGTCAATTTCACCAATGGCTTCACAAATGAAAAGTGGTGGTTTGGCCAATTTCAGTTGAATGCAGACGACGACAACTTTTTGACTCGCTGGATGGTCTCGCACCAGCACGAGACTTACATGCAGTATCATCCAGAGTGCGAGGTGCTCACCACACTTGAAGACAACCCCAAATTCCTCAAGCAGTGTCTGCGCTGGGCACGCAGCAATTGGCGCAGTAACATCACCAGCATGTTCACTGAACGGGATATCTGGCGGTAAGTTTGAAATTGTTCTCTCCCCGATCTCCCGACGCATCCTTTTCCCCTCGGCCCCCCGAAGTTCTTGGCACTGACGATCTGCGCCCGTTCTAGCCAGCAACCATGGAGTGCCTACGCAGTCCACATGACGACCTTGATGCCGCCTGCAATCATTGGGGACGGCCTGCTATGGTTGTTTCTCTGGCTTGGCACCTGGGACTGGCCGGCCGATCAAGCTCAAATTGCCCGCCTTGCCTTCCTTGCGTGGATGACTTTCTCCAAATTCATCAAGCTGGTCACACACTTCATCCGGTACCCTGTCGACGTCTTCCTGTGGCCTGTGTCTGTCCTGTTTGGCTGGTTCCATGGCCTCATCAAAGTGTACGCGGCGCTGACGCTCAGTGTGGTAAGTCGAAAACAGGACGTTGCGTCTCTCGAGCAGAACTAACCATTGCCAAACAGACCACATGGGGCAGCCGTGCCAACGCCGATGCCAGCGACTCCAGTAGGATGATCCGCCAGAGACGAGCACATTTCCAGGACCTTGTGGACGAGAAGATGCAGGAGAAGCTCCTCCCTAATGACGAAATGAGAACCTACGACCACGACACGAAACACTTCCAACCCCCCTCTGCATAATTCCTAGCACGCATTATCCTCTCGTTGCTGAACTCATTTCACAGTCCTCTCAGGCATGCAGGACACCCATTACGACTCCAGGTTTTACGGTCGGCACTCTGTTTTCCTTCTGCAAAAGCACCACTTTCATTCAAAAAGTTCAACCGGGGGGATTACCAAAATTGAGGTCTAAAAGGACGGCAGACAAGAGGGTGGGCGGCTTTCTCTTCACATCGAACCATAAAAGCTCAGCACTTTATTTCATTCCCTCTCTATGTCCAAGCTCGGGCCACGGCAGGGGTTTTCACAACAACGACGCCTGAAACGCTCCTTTGCCGGAACCAAGACACTTTCTCGTCTTCACGACCGGTTCGAACCCCGACAAGGACCTAGAAAGAGGGCTTTCTGAGGTCTTTGGATCTTGCGGTAGCATAGCATGGAGAGTTGGAGTTTTTCTTTTACAGGCTCAATTGTACATAGCGTCTTTTGCGATTTGACACGGGAAATGAGGGCTTGAACTCGGCTGGACAGAACGACATTGGGTGGCGGACTCTAATTCTTACGCTCCTGAACTACACATGGGTTGGGCTACGACGAGATGAAGGCTTTCATGGGACATGGATTCTTTGCGGCATATGACATGGCATGGCATTCTTTTACGAAAGACTTGAGGGCGAGGAGCGAGAGCGAGTTTGGACATGGTCATTTTCCTCCACCATGGATCACGAGAGACGATCAGACTGGGCGGTTAATAGTGCTTTCGAGGTTTGTCAATGCTTTCACATCAATATGTGCTTCGGAGTCTCGACTTTCTAGCGCCAAGTGACACCTGCGTGAGTTGAATGGCACCCTTGCTGCTGCTGAGTCCTGACGAGCTCTTTTAGCCGGTTTTCGTAGGCAATGTTCCACCATGTGGCGCCAGAGAGGAGCCGGTGGGTGTATCAGGTGGGTGGGTGCACGCGTCAAATTCTGGTTACTGACATGAGGAAAAAAGCCAGATCCGACCTACCGCCGTGTTCTCGGCGAGAATGTTTGATTTTTGTGAGCGTCATCGACTTCCCGATCCACCGGCGTCACGTTCGCGAGATGAAACTTCAGTGAGGCCGCAGCGAGAGTGAGATGAGGACTGAAGGGCTCGTGACTTCGGGTGCTGCCGCACGGTGAGCCATCCTGGAATACGAATTAATGCCGCTGACTGCGCTGACATGGCTTTGACATGTTGTGGAATTGCTGTCCTGCGGCTTATGATGTGTGTGCGTGCGTATGGTTGACTATCCTTTCAGCCTCGTCCTCGTCGCCGATCTGGATCAACCGAGATGTCCGATGCGCGGAACCCCATCTGAGATTGCTATGGCGATCTTGAAATCTGTCGTCCTGAGCGAGGAGCACTCTTATCGCTCGATGTCCGTGCAGCTCGTATTCACTAGGCATTGTTGCCGCTGCTGTGTAACCGTGGCGCACGGAGCAGGCATGGGCAGGCATGGGTCGGGATGTTGTTGATCTGTGCGTTGTCAACCCGGGGATGGAAATGCTGCTGTGTCACCGTGGCTTCTGACGCCATTTGCTCGAGGCCGAAGTCCCAGCGGAGAATGCGGACGGGCCATGCTGATCTGTGTGACGTGGGGCGTTTTCTCGGGTTGAAAACCTATCGACTCGTGGCTGCAGACAGGCTGAGGAGGAACTTGTGTGAGCACATGCGTACGTCCGTGCGTGCGTGCGTGCGTGTGTGCGTGCTTGCCGCTGCGTTATTCAGGCGTTAGGATCTAGGATGATGGCAAGGTGCCGGGCTCTTTGGGCGCTGGGCCCGAATCGAGGAGGACTGCGACCGTAGAACCCAAGAATGCGAGGCTCGCGTACTTCCAGTGAGGGACGTACAACATGACGCAGTGCTGATTCGGCGTGCCCACAGCTACGGCTTCTGGTGCTTTTGCTTCGCTTCGAGGCTTCGTGACCCTTCTTACCAATCGCCTATTCCCAGCTCTAAGTGTACACATCGTACGGGACACACGCCAGCTGTTCATGCGCTTTGCAGGCTCGGGTTGTGCGAAGAGCCCTGTCTACTTCCGTAGGCGAGGATAACTGCCCGACGCTTGCGTGGCCGGCAGACACATGCGGGAGTATATTGGACGCTGAAATATGGCGGGCGGATTTTGTGCACAGCGACTGTGGTGGCGTTACCGGAAGGAACTTCAATCCCGGGCGTCTGTGACGTGTGTTCGGTCAAATGGCCAGGAGTCCTTCCCCTGCCGTCCATTCAGCCATGTCTCGCACATTGTGACGAAGCTGGAGGATGTGGTGGAAGGTGATAGCGCGCACGATTCTGCCGCGGACGTTTTGGAGGGAGTTGAGCAAAGCGCTTTCATGCCTCATGTCAGACCTGGCAAGACACCTGGCCCAAAGTCATTGGCATGGGGCCATGCAATGGTTGCCCAGTACCGAGTAAGTGATAGCCCGAGTGTGGCTTGCAGGTGAGGCCATTAGACGTGGCCTGTGCTCTCCTCTAGTGGGTACCTCCTATCACAGAAGGGAGCTTCGAATCGTCCAGGCGGACCGCCTACCTGATTGCTTCACGATCGCCCAGCACTAGATGTGGAACCTGAGCACATGAAGATCGTACATTGCCACAGCGAGTTGGACGAGGTTTGTGACATACCCACGGCCAGTGACTCCGACAAGCTCAAATGCATCTCGCTGGAACTGGACCTGAAGGGGAAACTGGGCCTAGAGCTGAGCTGTGTTGTTGGCTGGCCATGTGGGCGAGGATGGCATGGGACGAAACCTCCTTTCCTTTCACAGTCCGAACCCCTTTCACGATTCCGGATTCCCCTCCCAGGATCCATTCAGGAACATTCATGCGTTTCCAAACCTTCTCGGCACGGCCTGGAGCGTTGTTAGCTTTTGAGGAACTCATTATGCACCGCTGCCACGACGTTCGAGACCTTGCGAGTATTTCTGATCCCAATCACTTAGCGACTTCCTTGTAGATTGCGCCATGATTCGCTCTCCGTTCACTTCCGCATTGGATCTAGCCGGGTTGGCAACAGCCTCGAACGCAAACGCAACGGCACTACTGCTGTGCAACATCTGCACACATCCCTGCTCAGACAGGCTCTCAACGTTGAGTCTTGTCTGACCATCTGCTTCGGGACGGCTCGGGGCTGTTGCCTCCTTTATACCCGGCCTGCCCCAACCAATGCGGCAGGCTCGTGTAACATAGACGCCCTCTGAAATACCCCAGGTCTCCGGCGCCGACGTCGGCGCCGATCTGTGCGAGCCCGAACCAACCGCACGAGAGAAGCGGTTACTTGGTAATGGTATCTTTGTGTTCCGATATGCTCACTCTCGTGCTCGCACCCAGAAATATGCAAGGCTGTGGCATTACGTGCATGGCCTGTGGAGCCATCAACACCCAGAAAGAGTTCCAGAGCAGACTCAGGTAGAAAAATGCCTGACACGTGAACTCCTCAAAGGCTGAAATCTCAAATCACCTGAGCACCAGGCCATGTATTCTGCTGCTCTGGGGTAGGCCTCGTCCCGGCGTGGGCCGCATTCGAGCTTGGACACCTTTGCACAGTCAGCGACGAATACAAGCCAGTCTTACACGCGACATATACTGAGTACCTGCTTGGAAAAGATTGCACCTGCATCACCCCCCTGCACGTCTACAAAACAAGCTTCGGACTATCGCATGCCGACCTCCTCGCCTACATGCGCCGTGCTAGTCCTTGTCGTTGCGGGCCTCAAGCAGGTCGCAGCAGTCATCTCTTCTCAGCTTATCAGCATGACATGTCGGTATCTGGAGGCCTAGCGCAACTTGCTGACTCGAAGTGGTCTTGTGCCTTTGTTGTTGGATTGCGCAATACGAGGGATCACACGATCTCACTGTGCCATGTAGTTTGAGGGCACATTCGTCCACTAACCCCCAGAAGAAAGCGAAGCCACCGCCTTTGCTGTCGATCTCTATCCAGTCTTTTCCATGGCGCTGAGACTGAGAGCCGCCGGAAAGCCACCGAAAGGCCACGTCCGCAGCGGATCAGGTTGCTGTACAACCGAGCTGCACCTGCACGTTAGTCGGCCAAGGATGCTGCGGCCTGAAAGATTTGGCAACAAGTTCAGCAAAGGCAAGCGCGGCGACAGCATCGGTGCTTGAGATACAGCTGCCAGTTTAGGTCATGACTTCCCTCTGAGAACGCCTCCAGTCTTGCTGACGGCAGAAGTCCGATGAGCGGCACAAGTACCTACACAGTCGGTGACAAGTACGACGCCCGCGGGTTGCGCCAAGCTCCTGGCCTGCATCGAGGTGAAGCCACGAGCGACGCTCCACGGCCATGATGTGGCCTGTTGGCTGGTCTTCAACGACGCGTGTGCACGTCTGATTATGACTATCATCAAGACGACTCTGGCGAGCGGCAAATGCGTTTTGCAGAGCAGACCAGAGCAAGAAATGGGGAAGCTCAACATGATCTACGTACTGCGTACCCGGGCGATCGCCTCCAAACCTCCTCGCTGAAACTAGCGCTGTCTGACAACCGTCCCATGCCCCGTGCCGGCTACAAGTCTTGGTGTCAGACAGCGCAGCATTGAGCCGCGGTCTGACGAGAGAAATGCTCGTAGTTGCCGCTCTAGGCCAACAAGCTCGACCGTCTGACAGACGCTTTTCGCGTCACACAAATGAGCTTTTTCATCTCTTCGACTCCTTCAAGGTAGACAGTAATTAATTAAGCAGTCAACGGCGAGATACCTTCGTTCATCATCGTGTGGCCCTGCGTGTCTTGATTTCAGCAAACGCCTGTAGCTGTGTCATACCCACATCATCAGAACGATAATCATACTGCCGGACCGTCATCCTCGGGGGCTCCCGCGTCTTCTCGAGCCTCGCATTTTATCAAGAGGACGCGCAGCTCAGAAAGTACGTGCTGGGTTATGCCTTGGCGACGAGGCCGGTGGAATGCAACAATGCTCTGGCCGCAAGGTGGCAGAGGGCGCAACCAGCCCTCCACATTCCGTGTCTCGAACAACTACATACTCAAGTCTGAGACTTCTCCGTCCAGCACTCGGTTGGCATGAGAGTGTCTGGGAGCTGCTCGCCATGTGTGTATTCAAGTTATAAGTCCAAGTCGTTCATTTCAAGAAGTATCGGTCCGTCATCAATCATTCAATGGCTGTAATGTTCAGGTTACTCACCCTCTTTTCATTCACCGTGTTTATTAGTTCCGTCTTCGCATCGGCTCCATCTCAGGACTGGGAGCAGGTTGCTGCCACCTTGCGCAGCACCGTGGAAGTCCTCCAGCTGGCTCACAAGCAATACCTAGCGCAAACGACAAACCCGCACTTCAGACGAGACTCGACTTTTCGAACCGGTCCGGCAGGCTACTGGCAACCTCTGGCTGCCAACAAACGTCTCGATGCCTCCGATGACTTCTCCGGTCAGCTGCACGACCTGATCAATGAGATCGGAAGCGCCGTGCAACAGCTCATCGAGTTGCTGGCTTCACAGTTCGACAACATCGGAGGGCTACTAACCAGCACCACCGCCTCTTCAATCCCAGCTGCCTCCACCACTACACCTCAACCATCGGTACTGCCCATAACGAACCTAAACACGCCTCCCGCAGCGACTACTGCCTCCCGAAGCCTTGTTCCCGATCGCCCTTTACATACATCGTCGACATCCTCTCGACCATCAGCAACTTACACGTTCAACCCTCGTGCTACCGACCTTAACGTCGTGTACTACTCCCAAACTGACCTCACGCCCGTAATCTCTCTGACGCAAGTATGCGACGACCCTGCAATCGACATCGTCATCCTGGCCTTTGTCACGCACCTCGTCTCCAATGGCGGCTATCCAGCAATGAACATGGCGTCGAATTGCTGGGCTCCTAATGCGGCCCAACAAGCAGCCGGAGCGACGGGCCTTCTGGACTGCGTGGGCGACGGCTTCGCCAGCAAGATTGCGCAGTGTCAACAGCGTGGCAAAAAAGTCATGCTCAGTCTGGGCGGGTCGGTAGGAGACTTGTCCATGGGCAGCGCCGCCCAGGCCGAGCAAGTTGCCAACACAATCTGGGATCTATTCCTGGGCGGGACAAATCCAACGACCGCACCCTTGAGACCATATGGCACCGTCGTCCTGGACGGCATAGACATTGGTATTATTTGGCCCGCCGCACCCCTTCCCTTACTTTTTCTGAACTAATTCGCTCTCTTTTCACCACAGACAACGAATCCCCTTCGGGCTCAACCTACCTTCCGACCCTAGCCCGCACCCTCCGCCAGCTAATGTCCACGGCTCCGAAACCGTACTATCTGTCAGTCGCGCCGCAATGTCCACGCCCAGACGCCTCGGTCCCGGTCCCCGCCCTGCTGCCCTACATCGACTTCTTCGCCGTACAATTCTACAACAACCCATCCTGCTAGCTGGGCGCATCCACCGTCCCGAACGATGGCTTCTTCTCCTCCTTGCAGGACTGGTCCAATGACCTCCTCGCCCTCGGGTCTCTGGTCTCGGGTTCTCGAGTCATGAGGTCTTTGGGCTTCCAGAACATCAACAACGGCGTGGACTCTCCGAGACTGTTGATCGGCACGCCTGCCTTTGCGGGGGCAGGGTCCGGATACGTTGATGTCCCGACGTACAAGACCATGATGCAGCGCGTGAGGGAGCTGGGTCTGCCAAACCTAGCGGGCGCGATGTTCTGGGACGGGGCGTACCAGGAGATTAGTGCGACGACATTGGGAAATGACGGGATGAACGCCACTTTTGCGGAAGTCGTCAAGCAGGTCTTTGCATAGTGCCGGCATCGGCGTGGGCGTTGGCTTGAGCATTGAAGGTTCAGGGGGAGTGCGAGTACGTTTGAGGAGGGTGGCAGAAGCATGGAGGTGGGTGGCGAGAAGAGAAAGCAGCCGGGACGGGAATTGGGGCACTGGTGTGGCGTTTTCGAACAGTACAAGATGAATCGAGCAGTGGCGAAAAACAAAAAGCGAAACGGAAATACGCCAACAGGAGATGGAAGGGGAGGTACCCAGGTAGGTATGTTCTCGAATTCGGGACTTGAGAGCGTTACAAGCTAGTCTATTTACCTTTATTTCGCTCTGGACGGTTGGACGGTCAATTGGATGGTCAGTCAATTGAATGGACGGAAGGACGGATCAGCGACAGTAGCCTTCCCAGGCAGGTAATTCATAATCTCTTACTGCAGTTGCTTGATTACGGCGCTTTAGTACGGCACGACGACGAATTCGCAGCACCGTGAAGTACTTCCACTTTCATTCTCAGTGGTGCTCAGCTGGACAGATCGATGAGCGTGACGATGGCTCGGTTAATTACTGACTGGCAAACTACTGTAGCTAGCAGTAGCTAGCAGCGACAGTAATCATCTAATGTACAAGACGGAGTGTCTTGATGACCAGGGCGGTGGGATCAATCGGCAATAGCGGACGAGACTGGCAAATCGGCAACGGGGATACGAAATACCAACAACCATGCCCTACGGCCCTGTCTCGGCAAGGTGTGCCATGGCGGCCGTGGCTAGAGGCAGACGAGCGATAGAACGGTAGCTTGATAGTACTAGTATTTGAGCTACATACTTTACACTCGGTGATAGTTCTCCTTGGTCACCCGGGTGAGCTAATGAGCGTATGTCTGACCCCATCTCCAGACTTTCCTTCCATGATTCCACCACTGTTGACTCCACCAATAAACCAGCCGACCGAACCAACTGACTACATAGTAGTACTGATTGACTTGATTGCCGGACCGAGCAGTCGGATATGCCTGCCACTCACTCATTCACTCAATCAATCAACATTGATTTTGACGTGTTCGTACTCTCCCTCGTCCTCTCCCTCGTCTTCCTCCGCCGCGTCAACCTCAGAACCATCGCGCTCCCAGTCGCTCATGTTGTCGTCGTCGTGTCCGGCCTCGTGTGCTGCCTTCTCCTCTGAGGCTCCACGTTGGCTCTCCTCTTCCTTTGCGAGTTTACTTTCCGCAGGTTCGTCGAGCTGGTAGCGTGGAAGAGTTTCAGCAGTGGGGTCAGGATGGGTATGCGGATACTCGAACCCGATGGTCTCGGAACGGTCGTCTCTCTCCCTGTCTCTGATTGTTTCGTCCTCTGCCCCACGCTGTTTGCCCTTGCCTTTGGCTTCGACTTCAGCTTCGGCCGTCTCCCTGGGATTGCGTTGCTGTGGTGCTGCTGTGCCGTCGTACATGTCCCCGTCCTCGTCCGCGTCAAAGAGAAGATCATTCTGCTTCTCCTGCGTGTACCTGTCACGTCCGTCCGCTGAGACAGCGGGAGGAGAAGACGGGCTTGAATCCACGTGGACCTCCTTCTTCGCGAACCGCTTCTCCACCTTGGGGACACGCACGACAAGGACCCCGTCGACCATCTTTGCCGAGATGCCCTCGACGTCCACGGCAGCCGGGGCCTTGGTCGTGCCCAGACGGATAGTCTTCTCGAAGACGCCGGTCTCGCGCTTCCGACCGTCCACAACCAGGCGGGACATCATCTCCTCATCCACGCCCGGTCGGTGGACCACGCCCGCGATGCGGAGGACCGAGTGTTCGCCATCCCAGTCGACGCCGAGGTCGGACTTCTTGGCCCCAGGAAGGGAGACGTGCACAGTATATTCTTGGGGCGAGTCGAAGATGTCGGTTCGGGGCTCGAAGTCTCTATCGGCGGAGCGGGAATGCTTCTGGCCAACGCTGAGGCCGAGTCCTAGACCCTCCGCCGCGGAGGTGAGGTCCACACCGAGACGTTCCCCCAGGTTGGTTAAAAACGAGGGCAGGTCAAAACCCGATGCGCCACCAGCAAAAGGACCAGAGCGTGGTGGCGAACGGGCATGGGCTCCATGAGGTTCATGATGGGGATGATGTCCATGAGGTCCATGACGGGGATGATGCCCAAAGCGGCCTCTATGTGGGCCGCCACGACCACGGAAACCCGGATGAGGTCCAAGTCCATGGCCGTGATCTCTGCTTTCGCCTTGGCCTTCATGTTCTTCTTGACCCGGGCCGCTGGGACGGCCAAAAGGCCCATGAGGGCCGAAGGGGAAGTTGGGACCAAATAGGAAGGGAGGGGGACCAAACGGCGGGCCTCCGCGGCGACCCCATGGGGCGCCATTTTCGAAGCCGCGTCTGTGTCCATGGCAGCCTCGTTTGCCGCGGTGGCGATCTTCGCTGCCGTCGTTGTCGCCGTCGTGCTTCTCTTTGTTGGGGGTCTCGTCGAAGGCGTGGGCGAACCGACCACGTCCGCGGAACGGCATATCCCTAGGGTGGCCGGGTCGGACAGTCGCGGGGTCGACCTCTGGTGGATCTTCGACACCGGCTTCAGCTTGCTTGCCCTTGGTCTTGTCGCTTGTTGTGGTGCTGGCCTGGGCGGAGGTTTGACGGTGCTCAGCTCCTGGCCGAGCCGGCGGTGGTGGCGGACCAGGTTGTCCGGGTTGGGCGAAGAACGGGTGGTCTTCGATCCCAGCGACAAAGTCCCAGAACGGGTGAGGCGGTGTGTTGAGATAGTAGATGTTAGGCATCTTGATGGGATAAGGAAAGTCTTCGACGGGGAAATGATAGCAAAAGGAAATGCGGAAGCAGCTCCAAGCCACAAAGCAGGATTCGAGATCTTATAGACATTGGTCACCTCGTGATGTATTGGACCCCGCGGCCAGGCAAACACATTTCGTATGTCTCTTGGACTGCGAGGGGGCGAATCAGCTTACAGAACAGTACACGACGCAGCTCGAAGCTGCGAGAAGCCCTGGACGCCACAGCAAGCACACAGGCCCTGTGGCACGGCTGGTGTGAACCCTAGAGGCCTGCCACAATACGCGTCGAGGGGGTTCTGGACTCTCATCATCCCCGGCTGCCTAGATTGTCACTGACACGAGGGAGCCTGGGGAGGCGAAAACGAGCAGATCGCCGCGTCACGTGCGCGTCCTTCCCGCTCCATCGGCTTCTACGTCAAAGTGGTGCCGATATCACGTGGTTGACGCGTTTTCAGCCTCGTGCGTTCAGCCTTGACGTACCGTCTGTCTGTCCGGCAGAAAATTTCTTAGCAATGTTTCTACTGTGTAGGTTGCGGAGGTGTGGAAGTACGCTTCGAACAGAAGTTTATTTTGGTCCCGTGGATAGCATTCGCTTGTCACATTGTTACCCGTTCAAACGGACCCTCATCTTCATGCCGTCGACTGGGATCGACGTGACCTGATGGGCGCTCCACACTTCTCGCTCCGGATCGTCCTTGCCGTCACCCCTCGGTATCTCCATGCCCTCGGTCTGGTTCCTCCCCGAGTACCCGACCTTCTCCCATGAAAAGCCCCTTGAGACGGCGCAGAGTACGACCTTGGCCTCCACCATCGCGAGTTCCTGCCCGATACAGTTTCTCGGCCCACGCTCAAAGGGCCGCCACGCGCCAGTCGGCAGTGTCGACATGTACTTTTCGTCAAGCCACCTTTCGGGACGGAAGACACGGGCGTCCGGACCCCAGACATCTTTGTGTTGGTGGATAAGATGCTGTGCATTGTATATCCTCAAGCCATTGACGAGGACGTCCTTTTCGTCACCGCGAGATGTGCGTATCTTCATGGTTACTGGCGTAGGATTCTGAGCTGACAGTTCGGGGACGCGTCGCGCAGTAGCAGCAGGCGGATGAAGTCGTAGTGTTTCCTTGATGAACGCTGTTGTGTATGGTAAGCGACTGCCAAGTATAGCCTCCGTGTCCTTTTGCCCTGCTTCGTCCGTCCGGCCGAGGACATCGAGAGCGTTGAAGGGCCCGCCTTGCGTACCGAAGACGGCATCATGCTCCGCAGTGAGCTGTTGAAGGACGGAAGCCGAGCGAGGAGACCACGAGGCTTTGGAGAGCTCGAAGCAGAGCCACTGAATCAGCGTGGCGGTCGTGTCCTGACCAGCGAACAGGAAGCTTTTGATTTGCGAGACCGTGCTTCGGACCAGCGCCGCATCTGGATCTAGTCCCGAGAGTGCGAGGCGGGTGATGGATCTTTGTAGTGCCGAGGTGTTCTCAGCGGATCCGTCGGATTTCTCGTCTGTTTGTGCCCGCTCTAGAGCAATCTGCTCCCGTACCCGGGCCGCAAGCTCGCGATTGAAGACCTGTTCGTAGAACCACGACTTGGCAGGCCGGATCGGATCGAAGTAGACGAACGGGTTAAACCCACGGCCCACAGGATAGACCAGCTTCGAGAGGAGCCTTGATGCGGTCAACATCCCCAAAGCGCTCTTCGACCCTACTCCCTCGGGCAGTGTTTGTGCGTGGTAGTCCTTCTCGATAGCCACAGTCGTGATGATATCCGTGGTTAAATCTTGGGCGTAGTCTTTGAGCAAGAACGTCTCTTTGCTCTTGGCTGCCTGTTTCAGTCGCTCGACGAAATCCCGTGTCTTGGACACGATCAATCCATCCAGAGTATGCAGGTGTTGAGGTGAAAACCCCTTGTTGAATCTCCGCCGAAGGGTCTTCCATTCTTCGCCCTCGGCAATAATCAACGACTCAAGGCCAATGAGCCGGTACATGGAACCGAGCGTGTCACTCTTCGGTAGAGAGTACTTGAAGGTCGAGTTCGGCTGTGAGATCTCCTCGGCCAGCGTCGGGTCTGCCACAATCAAGAAGGCGCTGTCTACGGGATGCAAATCCATGAGGAATGCAGGAGGCCTGTCGAGGGAAATCCACATTTCTTCAAACGCATAGTCTGGATGTCTCTGAAGGGCCGGGTTGAGCTTCTCTCCCATGTTGATCAAGTGACCCCAGATTGGATGCCTGGGCAACTGCGGGATGTCATGGTAGCGACGGCGAGCTCTGTATGTCTGCTGGATGGTTTTGAACGCTTTGATCGAAATATAAACAGCGGTCGCGAGCGCCAGTAGCGTGCCAATGCGGCTGACGTCGACGACGTTTTGGAGCGATGACATTGTGTCTGAAGTTCCTTCATTAACAGGTGGTGGTGAAGTCCGTGAAGATGAAGGACAATGTCTTCGTTAGAATACGCCGATGATGTGGAAAGAAGCGTTACCGACTCATGGCGCAAGCAAGCTCACAAAAGCTGCTGTTGATTACGTGCAACTTGATCCGTGAGAAGAATCCTATGATTCTGACACCTACAGTACCTTACCTGGAGATCGGGTCTTTGGCCAGCCTCCGTAGGGCCCCCCAAAGTACGGGAGGCGATTGGCTCGGTTCTCTGCCGCCTGGAGAGTGCTGCATCGTAAGCAGGGAGCGACTCTTAAAAGCGTAAAGTTCACGACACAGCTCTCGGTGAAGTATGATACGAGTATGGAGTCCACATCAATGCAACTCTAGTCACGGCACCATCATTTCGTTGGTGAAGTACTTAGAGTAAGCTTGTTGACAGAGTCGCGGGCCACTGAGATCGGGTCTACACCTCTACCTGACTGCCGAGCCACAGGGCATTGTGGCACGCTAGGGAAAGGGATCTGGGTACGGAGTGAAGACGGTATGGATGGGCCCCGGCGCGTGCACTCGCGTAGAGATCTGCCCCAATTCATTCCATCTGCCGCAATATTCATTTGTGACGAGATAGGTAATTACGTGAGGGAACCTGCCAATGAAGTCACATAATAAACACTGCTCTCGATTGGATCTCTGGGTCGCCCATGATCTGAACACGCCGTACCCTCTGGAAGATCTTGGCCACTATCTAGACTTGCTGCGACCGCTCCCGAAGGCATATGAGGCATCCCGCAACTGGTTGGTGTACTACGTATTGAGCATATGATGGGGGAGCCATATTCGCGATAACGTCAGATAAAACCGAGTACCAAGGTACGGAGTTACTGTATCAGCCCTCGATCACGCTAAACCGGAACCCGTAGGCGCACCTAGTTGGGGCGCGAAGTTACCCCAAGAGACAGCGTCTCCAGGCCCTGCCGCTACCTTTTGTTAAGTATCCGTGCGATTTACCCATTGACCCTCTATCAAGACGTGCATACCGAATATCATGATCGTTCTGATCAACCAATAGCGCCACATCTACACAGCACCTAGTCCACACAATCTCGGGCTATACCAGGTAAAAGTACAACACTCAAGCTGATCAACATACCTCGCCACATGCTGTACATATAATTACCAGCTGTCGCGCTCCACCGCGTGCTCTATCCCTCGGGATTTTGTAGCCCGCCTCCGCTGTCTAAGGTCACCATGGGCGGCGGTGAAGTCCCGAAGGGCTTTCCTCAGCCTAACCCGACGATATCTTATTGGCAGCTCCCTCCCCATGCCATAGCCAACCACCGCACGACTCCTGTTCTGCCCACATCAACCACATTCGACTATGTCATCATCGGGTCTGGCGTGTCTGGAGCAGCAGTGGCTTACAAGCTGCTCTCTGGCAATCCCTCACTCTCAGTCCTAATGCTTGAAGCCCGAACTGCGGCCTCGGGTGCGTCAGGGCGGAACGGGGGCCACTGTCGTGCAGGTTGGTGGCTGAACTTCAAGGAGTACGCGACCGCCTTTGGCGAGGACGAGGCACTCAAGTTCGAGCAATTAGAAGAGCAGAATGTCCAAGACATTGCCGATTTCGTGCGGGAGCACAAGGTCAACTGTGATTTTCAAGACGTAGAGACGGCGGATGCCTACTATACTGCTCGAGGCTGGGCAGAGGTGCTTGAAGTTATTCGGTACAGGGAGGAGGTGAGGAAGAGAAGGCAAGACGTGCAATCATCGATCAAGAGAAATGTATGGCACGGCCAGGCGGCGCGAGAACACTTGGGTTTGCCGAATGTCCTCGGAGCGGTCACTTACCCAGCACACACCCAGAACCCGTATCTCCTTGTGTGCAGAATGCTAGAGTTGAGCCTTGAGAAGGGACTCAATCTGCAGACTACCACGCCAGCGCTCGCGGTAAAGCCGGTGCCTGACGAAGGCACTGCCAAGTGGGAGGTCCATACGCACAGGGGCACCGTGCAAGGCAAGCGAGTCATTTTAGCCACGAATGCTTACACGAATGCCCTGCATCGAGGCATCTCAGAGACCGGGTTCCTCACGCCCTCCAGAAGCCAAGTCACAGCAATCAGACCCAGAGCGGATCTATCGAACCATCCAGCTCGCTACAAGAGCGTGGGAGTCAACGATCGGGGCTCTGGCGACTATTTCATGATGCGCGCCCCGGGTCTGAAAGGTGAAGGCGACATCTTGTATGGGGGCGGCCGTAGCATCTCCAAGACAAGGGAGATGGGAGTCACGGACGACTCGACCGTCAACGCAGAGATAGCAGCGTATTTGAAGCATGCGGCGGCGGATGTAATCGGGCGGGAAGCGTGGGGCGACCACAGTGTAGAGATCCGAGATTGGTCTGGCATTACCTGCTATACGCCTGACACCTTCCCGCTTGTGGGTGAGATTCCAGGTGAGAAGGGGCTCTGGGCATCTGTGGGCATGAATGGTCATGGGATGGCCATGGCGTTTCGTAGTGCAGAAGCTCTGGTGTCGATGATGACGACTGGCGATGAGCCGGACTGGTTTCCAAAGTCGTTCAGGATCGGGCGTGCCTGGACGAAGCCGAAGGTGGACTTGCACCCGGAGCAGTGGCTCTAGAGAGGATCGTGGTCCTAGAATTCTGCGTATAATTGGCACTGTCGTAAGTATTCTGTTTTGCAGGATGAGCGCAGGGTAAAACAGTATTGCGAAATATGAAAGTGAGGCATAGATCAAGGCACAATGAGCCTCAGGCGTAGCGGTGTTCACGACAGCGCCAAGATTTGCGGCCAAAGCGCAGCATCAATTCTCACCAAGCAATGACTCGAGCTGGCTTCTACTTCTCCCGTTCCTTAAGGTTCTTTTCACGTTCCACACGGTACGAAATTCAAAACATGCTCTACTGGCTCCAGGCTGGTATCGAAGCTCGAAAGAATGTGTATTGTGCCCGGGCATTTGGCGATCACTGATAAGGTCCTCACAAAGCGCGAATAATTAAAGTCAAATCAATATTCTTTTATTTGCGCTCCTTTCCTCCTCTCACTTTTACTATGTTTACGTCGTTCAAACGAAGTGTCTGGGTGAACATTAGAAAAGCACTCCATCAAGCAGCATTTAATCCACACTTTGTCTCTTGAATTCTTCGCAATGGCACCTAAGGTTCAGACTCGACTGCTCATCATATCTGATACACACGGCCTTGACTTCAGCTCTGAGAACAGACCGTCCGAGCGTGCCGATGTCGCCCTCCACTGCGGTGACCTCACCGACGGCTCAAAGCTCGATGAGTTCCGCTCGACCCTCGAAATGCTCAAAAGAATCGATGCACCCCTCAAGTTGGTCATTGCAGGAAACCACGACTTCACCATGGATAATGCTGCCTTTGAAGCTAAAGTCGCAGATGCAGTTCCACCTTTGGACCCGGAACTGGTTGCTCGAGAGTACGGGACTTTGGGACAGGCAAGGAAACTATTTGACGATGCACAGGACGCAGGTATAGTGTTCTTGGACGAAGGAACCCATCGCTTTGGCCTCGAGAATGGAGCCGTACTAACAGTCTATGCAAGTCCGTATACGCCCTCCTTAGGCGCATGGGGCTTTCAATACCATCCGAACCGGGGCCATCATTTCGATATCCACGACGGCACCGATATCGTCGTTACTCACGGGCCTCTGAAAGGCATTATGGACTTTACCTATGGCCGCGAGCGAGCGGGCTGCCCCGATCTCTTCACCGCCGTCGCTTTTGCCCGACCTCTCATCCACTGCTTTGGACATATTCATGAGGGGTGGGGCGCAAAGGTGGTTACATGGAAAAACAGCGGTAGTGAGGAGCCATCTCATTTTACTGCTATCGACAATGAGAACTCGCCCGTCATCGAAAAGTTAGCCGCTCTGAAAAGTAACGCATTGGACTCAGATGACATGGCGGAGGAAAAGAGAGGAAAGCTGGAACGGCTGAGTCGCAGCAGGTGCGCCATAACAAGCCATTGTGCTCAAGATGAGTATCCACTCCAGGCTGGCAAGCAAACATTGTTTATCAACGCCTCAATCATGGGCAGTGAAGATTTCGTGCAAAGGCCCTGGCTCATCGACATCGAGCTTCCGACAGCGGCAGAGATTCAGAAGCAATAGCTCTTCCGATGGAAATAGGACAACAGAGCGGGACGAATAAGCGAGGCCAAGGCGAAACTGGCCATGAAGATCGACCTTTACCTGACCACAAGAAATTATTCCTTGATGACCCAACTGAACGTGATCATTGCCTGGAGTACGTATGAGCCATGGGAGAAGTGCTTCGTGTCACTGCTGGGAAGAGATATGGTTTGGTGTGCGATGTGGCCGGCACCGGTATTCCGGAAGCATCAATCAAGGTCTCAGGCGGGGTGGCACCATCTATATCATGGGTATGCTGACTCCGCCACGGCTTCCGGAACTGGTGATACCGGGTGTTTTGAGAGCCGAGACTTGTGAGTTAGCGGGTCGCGATGGCGCAATCGCTTGTGTTGCGAGAGGCTTTTGCTATATTTTTTTTCAACTGGTGACAGGAATGCTGATCTATAGAACAAAATGCTCGAGCATGTGGTCACGGTGGCCGAAAAACAGGATAGCCATCCCCAGATCGAAGAGTATTATGCATGGGAGGATACACCTGGGGCCATTTGAGCGGCTGAGAACGGAACCTCGTGCGAAAGTTGTGGTGAATGCGATAGTTGTGGTGAAATGTAGGCTCAGGCTTTCGGATGAGGAAGCTGCAGTGGCAACAAAGCTCTGTTACGAAGTTAGCTATCTTTTTCTTTTCACAATCTGCATAGTTCCCACATGTTGTTAGACGGTTAACGTGGTTGATGGCAAGGCTCGAGTCCAGAATAGGGACTGGTGATGCTGGAAGGCTGCACTTGCACTTGGCCTACGTCCTCGGACCACGCGTGGTTGGCATTAGCGAGAGCTGCTTCTCGCTCGCTACCCGCTTCCTACTTCTCTGTTTCGGGGCGACACTTCCGCGCGAGTGACGACAGATTCGATCGCACGAAGAAGCGACAATTTCAATGGCATAAGGTCTTTCGGAACGCTGGCTGGGCAGTATTGCGGTGTCATATAGCGGATATCGCTCTCTCCGCTCGACCTGACATGTCTTGGCGATATGCCATCATTTACGGGATCGAGCACGCCATCCTTGACGCCCAATCCCATAGGATATAGACCTTGACGAGAAGGCCGCCGCCAAGCAGCTCACTGAAGATACACGGCAATCTTAACCACCCCCATCGACACTCAATAGGCTCCGGGGTGGAAAACACTCGGCACACCGCCTCTTGGTACAGGCCGCGTGCTTGGTGTCTGCCATCCAAGCATCCAGCCGCTGTGGATTCCGCAGCCACGCTGTTCCCGCGTACATGTGCCCACTGGACTTGGATGTTCCCAACGGACGTCGAAGACTTTTCTTTGTGGCCTTACCCATCTTGCCGAACATTCTGTACCGCTCGGAGCGGCGGCCAAGGCTGTCCCAGACTTTGTGGACATGGTATCACCACTTTGCCCAGGAGTTTGGCGACGCCCAGGAACCTAGACAACGCACTGATGCTATCGATCGGGGACCTACAGGTAGGTTGAGGAAAGCTATGAATACTGGGCATCTTCCCTGTTCTATACCAGGTAAGAATACTAGTCTAGATCCTCACCAGCCGCAGTACGAAATCTTCGCCGTGGCCAGCAACAATGTCGCCATACGACAAGAAATCTCCTGATCCAGACGGCTATCCCGATCCTAGCCCAGATGAGGAACCTCTCGCGCTGGAAGTCGACTGGACGCCAAAGGAAGAGGCAAAGGCAAAACGGAAGTAAGTGCGGTGCCCGATACTATTGGGAGAACACCGCAGAGCATTGACTGACATTTATCGCCTGGTATAGGCTGGACTTTATCATCATGCCGCTCTTGACTCTGGGCTTCTTTTGTTTGCGTGAGTACTGTCGGCTCCCAATGCCCCTGTTTCGACCGTCGGTCTCATTCCCGAGCGTACAGAGCTCGACAGAGGAAATATTGCAAACGCCATCACGGACAACTTGATGGAAGATGTTGGGATCACCCAGAACCAGTTCAACGTCGGCCAGCAAATGCTGTCACTTGGTATCGTGCTGTTCGAAATTCCTTCCAATATGGTTCTTTATCGCGTGGGCCCAGGCAAGTGGCTTACCCTTCAGCTCTTTCTCTTTGGAACCGTCAGCACTTTCCAGGCCTTCCAAAACAACTATGGGTCCTTCATTGCGTCTAGATTCCTCCTCGGAATGACAGAGTCGGGCTTCATCCCAGGCGGCTTATGGACCCTCTCGACCTGGTACACGCGGACGGAAACGGCAAAGAGGGTTATGTTCTTCTACTTCGGCAACCAATTTGGCCAAGCCTCTTCCAAGCTTCTTGCATACGGGATCCTCCACATGCGTGGCGTCGCAGGCAAGGCGGGCTGGTTTTGGTTGTTCGTCATCATGGGCATCTTCACCATTGCGAGCGGATTCGTACTCGGGTTTTTCCTGCCCGACTCGTTCAAAAACCCTCACAGCACGTTCCTCCCGCGCGTTCGCATGTTCACTGACCGAGAGCTCCACATCCTACGAAGTCGAGTTTTGATGGATGATCCCATGAAAGGCAAGAAGAAGAAACGGATTGGCCGGGCAGGGTTTAGGAAAGCGGTATGTCATTGCGCCCACCACATCTTGTGAGCGTCGACGCTGATTCAAATTCAACTCCCAGTTCACAAACTGGCGTCTATACGTCCACGTCCTTGTGACACTGTGCAACAATGGACCGCAGCGTGCCTTTGACACTTATGCACCATCCCTTGTGAATGGCTTCGGCTTTGGTCAATTATCAAGCAATGCCTTGGCATCCGTTGGCCTGTTCCTGCAAATCCCGACTTCGTTCGCCTTCAGCTATGTTTCAGATCATTTGTAAGTTCCGACAGAGTTGCTCCAGAGAACGCAGACCACGGCGCTGACGCTCTCTCGCAGCAATAAACGCGGACCAACGGTCATCACTGGGCTGAGCTGTCATCTTCTCGGCTATATCTTCAACCGTGGCTTCACCGAGCTCAACGGCACCCGAGGAGCAAAGTATTTCGGCGTCATATGGACGCAAACGTTCGGCACCTTCTCACACCCGCTCAATATCGCCTGGATGTCCCTCACTTGTGAAGATTCCGAAGAACGGGCGCTTGCTATGGCCATGTGAGTACTTTACCTCAATTACCAACTACGATCCGTGGGCAGTGGCCGTTGAGTATCTCTGCTAACTCCGCCACCTAGGGTCATCATGGGTGCCAACATTGCCGGCATCTACGGCGCCCAGATCTTCCGCTCGGACGACAAACCGCGTTATCGCCGGGCCTTCAGCGTGAATATCGCTGTCCTGGCATTTGGTCTAGCCCTCGCGATTTGGAGGTATACTGACGACCGACTGCTCCGGCGCAAGGGCCGCCGCCAGAGCACCCTCGGCCCGGTGAAGTCTCAGTCACGATCCCAATCGATGAGTGTTCAAGACTCGGAGAAGACGGGTACTCCGCCGGTCGAGGAACAACGCAAGGCGATTGTCGAGCTCCCCAAGTGAGAGGCTTCAAGTGGTGTGTTGGTGCCGGAGAGAATGTGAGCGAGTTCATGGAGGTTAGTGCCATTTTGGTGATACTGCCAAATCCCCAGAGACCAGCTGGAAAAGAGTATTCATCCGAGCCCGTATCAGGAGTGGAGGATGTTTAGGTACGTAGATAGGGTCGATACAGTCCGAAACCGCTATAGACCCTTCGCGCAAGAGGTACCTAGATGATATGCATGTCGATTACGGAGTAGTGCCGTACATGAAGAGGAAGCTAGGAGAGGTAGAGGTGTCCAACGGCCACCACGTAAAGGGAACACCTGGTTGTCGACACGTACAAAAATGTGGTTCACTTTCTGGAATCTGGCTAGCATACACCATTTATATTTAATCCAGCTATCTCCAAACTGTAGAGACTACCCAAATCGAGGTCTCCGCGTTAAAAACAAAAATTGATGAGGGTGGGACTCGAACCCACGCGGTTTTACCCACAAGTACTTCTTGAAAACCGAAGCATGAGCTCCAGGTATGCCTGAAACTTGCGCCATAACCACTCGGCCTGAGGGACACCTGTTAGCATCCCAAGTTTCATTGTCAAAGGTGACGATCTTACTCACCACCTCACCATGGATTTTAAGGCACAATTACAGTATAACAACTTATAACAATAAATGGTCTCTTGGTGGGGGCGGGGTAGCTCTTCCCTATCTTCAACAGACCGATAATTGGTCAGCCTTGCCCACGCCCAACCGAAGCTTAGCACGGCTTAGCACTCGGAGTGTCGCCGTGGCGTCTCTCCTGAGCAGATCCTATCCAGCCTCCTACGTGTTCAGGCTAAAAGCTCCTGCATCTACTGCACGGGGACGGAGCATCCTGTCCATCTCCGCTGCGACGTCAAGTCTATATCGATTTACCCAGACCGCAGGTTGAGCATAGGCTACGCTTCCACCTGGGGACCCCGGCGGTTCCCCGCAAACCCCTCAACATCGACTCGCAAGAGATGGTACCAGTCAGGAACGAGGCATGCCCATGCTTCCGACACCGCACACCGTACAGCAGATGTTCGGCCTCATGGCTAGACAACCGTTGGAGACCATCGGAGGCGCAGCCGAGTTGGTCAAGTACCGCGTTCCTTCTCCAATGCTCGGTCGCTACAAAAGCCGGGCACCAGAGGACGGCGATGGAAGACCCAAGTCCAGTTTCCCCAGTGTGTCTCGACAGAGCTCTGAGTCAACATGCTGTCGAATTTGGTCCTCTTCGCGAGCGTAGCCTCGTCCGCAACAGCCTACGTTGTGAACAATGGAACGACCTGCTACGTCTACCCCGAGTCGTTGACCCATTTTGGGCAGCCCGTGGACGACACGCCTTCCATCCTGCATGCCTTCGAGCTGTGTGGCACCAATGGAAGCGTGATCCTTCAGAACTACACGTACAACATCAACCAGGTGATGAACACGACGGGGCTGGTCAACTGTGACGTCGAGCTGCACGGCGAGATGCGATGGAGCGACAACATCCCCTACTGGTTGGGCCACAGCTATTCCGTCACGTACGCGAACCTATCGACAGCGTGGTTCTTTGGCGGCGAGAACGTCACGTTCAAAGGTTTCGGGAAGGGACAGTTCTACGGCAACGGTAGGCTAACACGACTATTCACTCCACCATCATTGGGACAAGCACGGACTGACTGACTCATCACGGGGTCGTTAGGACAAGCGTGGTACGACGAGAACCGGAACAACAGCAACCAACCCGGCCGGCCTATTGGGTTCACGATCCTCAATGCCAAGAACCTGTGGATGGACGGAGTGTCCTGGCGGCAGGCCCAGTTCTGGCACTCGTTCGTGTCGCACTCGCAGAACGTCACCATGTCGAACATCTACATGAACTCGACGAGCAACAACACGTGGTTTACGGTGAATACGGACGGCACCGACACCTGGAACTCGAGGGACGTTTTCTTCTACAACTGGACAGTGGAAGGGTACTGACCTTCACCCCTTCATTGTCCTCGGGCTGACTTGTTACAGTGGCGACGACTGCATCGCCATCAAGGGCAACAGCACCAACATCGTATCCCGCAACGTCACCTGCTACCGCACGCACGGCATGCCGATCGGCTCCGTCGGCCAGGACCCGACCCACCCAGACTTCGTCAGGGACATAGTCTACGAGGACGTCCACCTCATCAACTCGACCAACGGCGCGTGGATCAAGGCCTGGCAAGGCCGCGCCACGGATATTACTAACAACGGCCAAGCGGGCGGCGGCGGCGGCGGCTCCATCACCAACGTCACGTACCGCAACTTCCGCATCGAGAATGTCGGGCAGCCCATTAGTGTGACGCAGTGCGTGTACGGCCATGATCCGAGCGTGTGTGATACAAGTAAAGTAAGTTTTTCTGCCCTGCGGAGCGGAGCGTAGCAGTTATTACCCTTCCCACCCCTACCCCTATATTGTACTTACTTCACGGCCTTCCTAGCTCCAAATCTCCAACATAACCTGGGAAAACATCACGGGCACGTCCCACTTCGACGTCGCCTCCATCATCCACTGCTCGCCACTCGTGCCCTGCCCGGGCCTGAAATTCATCGACGTCAACATCACCACCGTCAACGCCTCGCTCGGCCGCCCCTCGCTCCCGCAGGTCAACCTGTGCGCCAACATGGTGGACCAAAACGCCACGGGGGAAGACGCCACGGGGATCCCGTGCCACGGGTTCGCCCCCAACGACATGCCCAACGTGTTGTATCGGAACTGGCCGGAGTTGTTGAGCGAGGTGATTCTGAGCGTCACGGTGCCGGAGGCGCAGAGGGATAATTGTCTGCATCCCGGGCCGGATGCTGCTGCCGCGGGGTGTGCGCCGCCGCCGTGGTAGGTGCGGCATGGGAAAGGCTGGACTTGTATTAGAGATTTGGAAGTGGGGAGCTGAGTCTGATCAGGGGAGGGTTGAAACAGGAGGATGAGGGGGTGGGTTATCAGGAGAAATTTCGACTCTAGTATATAAGCTGGGTACCGAATACTAGGTACTACATCATTGGAGGTCAGTACGCTTGTGAGCAGGCAAAGCTCCTTCCCTCGCTCGATCCATATGATCTCAGTAGGAGAGGAGAGGAGTGAAGGGGAGAGGAGGGGAGAGGAGAGGAAAGGAGAGAGGAACAGTTCGCAGAGGCTATTTCAGTCCAAGCCCGCTCGCAGGAGACATTCCCGTACTTACCCCCCCGACTTAAGAAGGATAATGGCCGACAGATAGACGAATCGATGAGAGAACACGGCTTGTCAAAAAGCATTACAGAAGCACAAGGCACGAACACCAGGAGGGCAAAAACCGTCAATGAGTTTCGGAAGGAAAACAGTCACTGATATTCCTCTTACAAATATATACAGTTCTTCATCCTTGCATCATTAAATCCTGCTGTATGGAAAAAAGGGAATCATGCACAGATTGGTGCTGTATCTCCCAGCAAAATAATAAATAGTAAATAGTGAGCTCGTCATGATTGTTGGCCTGGCGGCATACTGATCAAGGGCCACGTTAGTGGGCCGGGACCATCGAAGTAGTGACTGGGCGAAAAGGCCATGGAGGGATCGCCGCCTCCAACAAGTGCTGCGGTGGCGCCGAGATTGTTCTGGTTCTGTGGTGGCGTCTGATAGCCCACGTAGAAGTTGCCAGAATCATTAAGCAATGAGGCCAAAGAAGTCGGAATTGGGGGATACGTCCCCGGGGTCGAGAGACCACCCGCCGCTGCTTGCGAGAAACTCGGATAGATGGGTGACGTGAGAGCCGATCCTTGACCGGTCATTTGTCCTTGTGCTTGTGGTTGGGGCAGAAGGGTGTACGTTGGCGGCCAGGACTGTTGGTGGGTTAATGGAGGCTGTGGTGGATTGGGAGGCAGAATCTGCTGGGACTGCATGAACATAGATTGAGGCAAGCTGTTCCTGTGTTTGAGGGAATTGGGATTGGGGGACTCTTGAAATGCCATGTCTGGCTGCTCGACATTGACTGGGAGACTGGTATTAGAGCCATTGGTTGGACTGATGGGCTTATGTGTGCCGTTGGGCTTTGGAGGCTGATCCACGATAAATCGCCGATACTCGTTCTCGAGAGCTTGAACGCGAGGCTGAAATTGTCTTTGTAGATGATTTCCCGTTCCTGCTCTAGTCAGTCGTGGCCATGCTTCTACTACTTTAAAGCCTTTCACTTACTCAGTACCAGGTCAGCATACGCCATCAACGACGTCCAGCCCTTCAGCTCATTCCTCATTGCCTCAAATTGCTCCACTGTTACGGGACCTTTCCTTCTTCGATAGACGTAGAGAGTGATTCCGAAGCCGTTGGCATATGCCAATGTCGAATGCCACGTGAAGTCCACGCCTTTATACCTGCTCGACAGTATGTGGAAGCTTTGCAGGAGCCGCTTGGCGGACTTGTGGCACACGTCCAGATGTCTCTCAATCACTTCAGGATCTTCGCTCGTGCAACATACAGGATGATGTAGATTTAACTGGTACTCAGCCGCCCAGGTCTCAAAGAGGAGAGTTGCCACCACCAGATTGACGTGCCTGTTAGGCTCAGACCTCATGGAATCTTCCCAGTCCTGCTTCCAGGCCAATATCTTTGCGTTCAGCCCCTCGACGGTTCGGAGATAGTCGGCAGCAGGCTTGCGTACTGCGACAATATGGTTGTGCAAGTCTGTCAGAAGCGGCAGGAGTTTGGCCAGATGTAGACAGGGCCAGAAGTCGCATTGGCCCGACAGCTCTGTGCTGATGCCGTGGTTGGATATCTCGGAGTCTTTGATAGCCCTGGGGAGAGGCAAGTCAAGGTGCTGGAACTGCCAAGGTGCGGGTAGACCGACACGACAACCGGTCGTAACACAGACTCCCAGTATCGAGTGGAAGACTCGCTTACGCAGCTCTTTCGACAGTGGATCGGTCTCGTCATGTGGAAGCCGCATCTTGTCCGGATCTCGGTGGTACTCGAGTTCTATTGCCCGTAGGAGGACCTCATGGCAGAAGTTCCACGACATTCCCGGTTTGGGCAGGTTGCGCAAGTGAACGATGATCAAGGCCATCGCCTGCATGGACGCTAATGACTGGTCAAGTAGCAATTCCCGATAATGCCCTAAGCCGTAGTGGAAGTAGCGATGCGACTCCTCGAACTTCTCGGCCGAATGAAGGTGGTTCCGAACGGCAGTCTGATGTGCGATGATTGCAAAAACGATAACCACTTGGACGCGCTCAGCCGCGGACAGTGTCTCTGGCTGGTCGTAGAACCTATTGACGAGATCCATGAAGCTGGGTCGGTGGACAACTGGCACATATTGTGACATGATGACCAGAAAGTGATTCGAGTCGCGCAGTGCCTCCTCTTTCGGTGGCAGCTTTGGGTCGTCGACTCGTTGGTAGCCGTAGATGGTATTGACAATGGACGTCTTGGAGAGGTTGAATTTGTTCGCCAGTTCCCCCGGGTATTCTCTCATCATGTCGCACTCCCAGTCGGCAATGTCGATGGTCCCATCCATGATATCAACGACTGTTCCCTTGATCGGACCCGAATGGAGTGGCTCCGAATGATCGGGCGCAGGCCACCCAACATACGTCGCGTCTGGCACCGATGCCGCAGACGATGCCGAATACACCGTGGCTTGCGACATTGGACCTCTAGACGTCGTCGCGTGCCCGACACCACTTGGCTCACCCTGTTGTATGGGGCCGTACCTTTGCTGGTACGCAGTCAATTGGTCTCTCAGATACGAAAGCTCATTTTCTGTGCGATCCGACTCTCCTCTTTCGCGCGCTTGCCCTGTAACTCGGTCGGTCGTGTAGCACCGTAGGCCCTTCTGGCGACAAGGTTGACATGCCACGGGATCACTATCACATTTCATTTTTCTCTCTTTACACCGATCGCAGGCCTGGCCGGTCCGCGAGGTGGCCGCCAACTTCTTTCGCACCGCATCGCTGTATTGGGCTGGGACTTCGGCGACAGTCTTGATCTTCTTCGCGGGCGGAGCACTGTCATCGGTCGTGGAGGACGAAGGAGTCTGCCTCTTTGAAGAAGCCGTGTCCATGGGAGGACGTACTGACGAGAATCGCCCACGACTGGGTGTGACACGTTCCCCAGAAAGAGGACAAATGGCACGTACCGCGCAGCAAGCGCATGTCAACTTCCTAGTTCACAACGCAGGGTTGCCAAATGCGTGACGCAACGAGTACAATTCTTGGAGGGCGTGTCGCGATCGCCACCATCGATCATGCATGGCTTCTGTGCTGGCTTCGATGCAGGTGCGGCACCAAGAATGGCCCGGGGAAGGCAGGGAAGCTGCCGTGACGCAGTTAGGGAAGCTCGTGGGGATGTCCAATGGGCATTTCGAGGGAAATCTTGGAAGTCTAGGCCTGTCGGGTGCTCATCGATGGCCGAAATTCGAGTCTACCATACGGAGTAGTTTACTGACCGGTATTCCGCAGCCCGCAGCCCACTGTCCGGAGGCCCAGTCCACTTCGGGAAGCTTAAGGACAGTTGGCTCCTCAATGAATTAGGCTTGCCTACCTGTAGTTGCCTACCCACCTACTGTAGGTAGGTATGGGAACTCTTCAACCAGAACGCCTTCGACCCGGAATACAGTAGTCTAACAATCACAATAATTCCTAAACTCTTCTCTAAGGCCGATATGGAGCTATCTGATCTGATGTTTCGAGTAGCCCTGAGCTACATGTCACCGCGACACTCACGGACTATTCGTGCTCGTCTGTGCTGGCTCGGATAGCTGGGAAGACGCAGGAAGTCTATGTGATTCACCTGTACTCCGTAGTTGCTCATACTTTGACTAAAAGTCGTTATAGTTTGCCTCCGGCATGAAGTCTTCAAGCTGTGCTCATGTTTGTAGTCAATCACTGGGGAAGCTGCTTGATACGATGACCCTATTGGCGATCAAGAGAAAGCCCGACCCCTTTTGCATCAGTGTCCTGCCACGAGATCGCATTGAAAGCTTCCTTGGCCAGCGGATCAAGCAGGTAACCCCACCAAAGATACCTTCTTACCAAGTCCTTATAGAACAGCCACCTTCGTAATCTGGCATCGGAGCGAACGAGGGCTTCAAGCCGCTGGATATACTGAGTTCGGAAGACTGGGTGAGATACGGATGCCGCCGCCGCTAGCATGACACACCACGCCAGAAAGTCTCGGTCATTCCTTGAGGATCCTATGATAGACTCGTACTTGTCCAGCGTGCGACCAAGGTCGTAGAACAGCGGTTGCTTGACGCCTGATTGTTCGGGAATAGGAAACAGAACCAGGTCACTGAAGAGGAGCGCTGCCAGTCGGCAGAGCTCGAACTGTAGGTCAGCTAAGCCGATCTGCTCTGGGCTAAGCGGGTCGAACGAGCATAATCTGTGCTGCACTGCAAGCCTGACCCGGGCAACGTCCCAACTATCGAGTCCTGTCAGCCTACGTAGGTATTATCACACGGAGTAGCCCCTAAAGGGCACAACTTACATCGTAGGTGGCGATGAACCCCCTCGGTGACAGTGATCAAGTGCCGCAGTGGCTTCACACATCAGGAAAAGCGTTTGACGCATCTCTTCATGCTGCAACTCGCTAAAACCGGAGCCCATTACCTGCATCAATTGAGCGGCTGTCTGGTCGAGGATATGCTCGCCTGTACGTTGTAGGGATTCGGGGACCGCTGTAGGCCACGTCCACCCCGGCCGCACGCCTAGTCTAGTAGATACAATAGTGTCGAGGCTGTAGTGATGTTACATGAGTAGGATCCGATTCAGAGATTTCGAGGGACTTACTATGTCAAAACGATGCGCTGAAAAGGCATGCTTAGTGCGTCAATACCGCCCCGCAGCTGTACCAATGTCCGCACGCCTTGAACGCGGTCCGGAATGATATCAAGATGACCCATGGCGTGAAGATTCTGGACTGTTGCGAGCGGTGATTTAGGATGTTTGGTAGAGGTCCAATCATAATTAGGCCCTGAAACGTAGGCCAGCAGGGCTGAAGCATAAATTAGGGTATCAGACGGAGCAGTGTTTAGGTGCCGAAGCTCCTGATCGAGGAGGTCAACGGCTCTTTTCTCGTGGACCTCGTTAATCGCCTGTATACGTCTCCTGTCTTGATTCGTCAAGGAGATCATGGGGCTCATTTGGAATTTGGCAGCCGCCACTATCTGAGCTTCGAGAAGGAACCCAAATTCTCGACCAAGCCTACGCCGATTGGCACGGTGAGTGGGTAAAGCAGTGGCAGGAGCAGCTGGGACGAAGGAGGGAAACGCATAGTCGTATGCTGTAAGGGTGTAATCAGTATCCTGCACAAGAATCTTGCCTAGTGGAAACAAACCGAAGTCGAGAATCGAGTAGATGAAATTGTCCAATCCCTTGACAGGCGCACTGTCGAACGGATCTACTTGACCTTGACCCAAGCTGGACGCCGAGACAGCATGCAGCCTTCTTTTGTTCAGTGATGTATCATAATCTTCACCTCCCTCTTCCTGGACCTTGGGCCATCGCTTTGCTTTCCGACGCGATGGTCGTACGGCAAGGGCATTGGGCGAACCAAGCAATGCCGACAATGTGATTCCGAGATGGCCGTCTGGTTCGTGCTTCACGACACCAGCCTTTTGAGGAGGACGCCTGGATACTCGCGCCGCGTGCGCACGCGCTTCCGCAGCTTGCAGTTCGCGATCACGCTGCGACAGTGCATTCTTGTCACCTGGGACGTTGATGAAGACGATTTTGGCGGCCTCTTTGGCAGGAGACATGTGGCAGAGGAGAGGGTTGGCCGGCAGGTGTTATCATGCTGCTCGGGCGAGGTTGCGAGCCTCCGTCTCCCGAAAGGTGTCCCGGTGCTCACTGAGAGTCAGTCAGCACATACAGACAGAGTCCTTTGCGAATAGCTGCCAGACGTTGGCGAGGCTGTCTCTCTTCGACTTGCGGTCGACACTGATCTAGTTCTGGTAGTACTAGGGGCGCTTGTGTGTATGCTATGGCGTGTCATTATACTGACGGAAGTCTGCGGTCAGCGTGCCACCAGGTCTGACAAACAAGAACGTGAGAGGCTCTTCAGGGCTACGATCTCTGGCCAGGATGTAGTGATTAGTCTTCAAACGGCTGTGACACTGCTAAAATCCCGGCAGAATCATGTACGTGCCAGTGCGTGGTACGCGGTCACAAGTAGCGTTTTGCAGGCGAACCGAAGGCCCTACACAGGCACACAGGACGGGCTCAAGGGGGACGGATGGGTTTAAGGATCGCGCCTGCCGAGTGTGCTAACCCACTTCCGTAACTGAAATAGCGGGCTTGGCATATGCTCGATCGTGTCGGAAAGCTGCCGTCCGCCGGCTTTCACTTCATCCTCACTTCTCCTTACAAGAGACATGTTGAGCGAGGTCAAATTCCGACTCCGCTGCCGGTACAGCAAGATGTATATTCCATTTCGTGTATGACTTGCGCCCAGCTCAGGCAAAGTGTCCACCAACATTCTCCCCGGTAGGTCTTCTTTGGCCCATCATGTCTCGCTCGCCATATGACGGTCCTACTTCCCGTCAGAAACACTCACATCATGGATATCGAACATCTTCCTCGCCTATCACTGCAACAAAGATATCGATGGCTCGATCCAAGTCACACGCCGATAGTCAACCCTCTTTCTTCATCGAAGACCGTAAAGGAGATATGCAGATTCTATCCTATGGAACCCTAAACCGCAATTCGATCCCACGCTATCGAGCGGCTGGTCGCGGTCGCTTACTAGGACTGGACGCCAAGTATCGCATTACGTCTAGAACCGAGACATCACTTCGGGTGGAAGATGCAGAGAGCGATTCCACACGAAAATCACGCAAGGAAACTCTACTTGCTAAGCTTCGCGATGACGATCCCGCCGTGACAATTATCCATCACGAACTTAGCACCCGGTCCGACCTGGAGCAAGACTTTCTCGCGCTCGAGACTGATCGGCGGCCGAAGAGGAGAAGGCTTGAAACAGATCCTTTACGAGTAGCTGCGGGCGCAACGGAAAGTGAAGAGTCCGAGTCGGATGTGGATGAAGCACCTGTCGCGGAGGACCCATTTGAATCCTTCAAACAAAATCCTATCCACCAAAGACACCTGGAACTTTCCAAAGCTACGGAAGAACGACCCGAAGCTGCGTCGACATGGCTTGCTATGATCGAGTTCCAAAAAGATCTTCTCGACAACACCATCGGCAAATCTCCTTCACCAAGAGACCTCAGCGAACGTAAGATAGCACTATATGAGCAGGCTTTGTTGCATGTGAAAGCCCAAGACGACCGGCATACCCTGATTATCGGCCTTATGCGAGAGGGAAGGACAGTTTGGGACATAGACAAGCAAGCCTCAAGGTGGAAGGCGTTTCTTGGCGACGGGGCCTCGTTCGATTTGTGGAAACTCTACGTCGACTTTGTCCAAACGAACTCGATCAAGTTCAGCGTGGAAGACTGTCTCCAGACTCATATCAATTGGCTCAAGACGTTCCGAGTGCCTAGATCGGGGACGACGGATCGCCAAAGAGACTCGAATTGCGTTTTTATATTAATACGTCTGACTCTGCTGTTATGGCAGGCAGGGTTCACTGAGCGAGCGGCGGGGACTTGGCAGGCACTTCTCGAATGGAACTGTTTCCAACCTCGACCTCAACCTCAACATCTACAATCGACTGACTCCATGTCACGTTTCCGGGACTTTTGGGATAGTGAAGTTGCGCGCATTGGCGAGGAGGGGTCCAAGGGCTGGGTCACGGATACAGCTTTTGAGCTAGATCCTATAACCGACAGGGCATTCCATATTGAGAATATGGACGTCCAGCAATGGTTCGCAGCCGAAACGGAGCTTGAAAAGACCTCAAGCTTACCTGCAAGATTCCTCGATGAAGTTGGTGAGGATGATTCGTACCGCATTGTCCTCTTTTCAGAAATCCAGGATTTACTCTTTCGTCCCTCTTCCAAATCTGGTCTCGGGTTACTAGTCGACGGGTTTCTGCTATTTGCCGGCCTGCCCCCAGTCACGTCCCTCGACGACTCTAGAACGTGGAAGGGTGATCCATTCATCTGCAACCAATCCCCTAGCGGTCCCACTACTGCAGAACTGGTTGAGAAAGGAGGTCACGAAATCGGTATATGTGTACAGTACCAAGAAGTATCTTTCACGGTCAAGCAACATACATGTCAAACCCCCCAAAATCTCGGATATCGCTCTGGAAGACTTCTGGACTCGAGTCCTGAGTTCTTGCGTAGGGTTATTGGTCAGCTCGCAGACTTGGCATATGAGGGACAACTGCCCGCAGGAATCATGGAATATGCTGTTGCATTTGACGCAGGCATTGACCTCAAAGTTGCCAAGAAGCAGGCCAAATCGTTTCTCAAGGACAAAGGTGATAGTCTCACGCTCTACGACGCGTATGCCTTCCTGGAGGCCCAACTTGGGAATTTCGAGTCGGCCCAGAAAGTGTGGTCTACCGCGCTTTCGATGAGGACGTCGTTGACCGGGGATGGACACATGCATGCATTCTATATGTGGCGGAACTGGGCCTACCTCCATATGTGCCGAGGACAATTCGCACAGGCGAGGACGTTGCTCAGCATGATGACCACCCAAGGCTTCGAATTGGCACGATTCAAAGCGGAGAGCTTGAATATTCAAGCATCTTCTCCAGCGGTGCAGCTCAAGGTTGAGCAACATATCAAGCGACAAATCGACATTGCTGGCTTAAAAGGCGAACACGTATCATTACGTGCCATGGTCGATCTGCTGGCATATCACCGATACCTCGGTAACGGCTTGCGGCTTGAAGTGGCTCTGGATACCTACCAAGCTTGCCTCAAGCCGTACACTGGTGTCTCGAAATCGCAATCTGCTCTGATCGAAGGAATACATGAACAACAAGCACGATTCATCCATGCACACGCCGTCATTTTCAGACGTGAGTTTAGACCGCGCGTGGTTAGTGCCATCTTAGCACCGTCTGCCCGAACTTTTCCAGACAATCTCGCTCTCCTAATACTCAATTCTCACTTTTCGCAGAAAGCTGGAGCCATGGACCGTTTGCGCCAAGTCGACTCGGTGGCAAGGTCGCAGCAAGACGCCAACACGACAGGAAGCGTAGTGCCGTGCATGTTTGATGTGCTAGTAGAACTGAACAGACCTGCATACTCGGGAAGCACAGATCACAGCATTCGCTCGGCATTCAAACGTGCTACACGAGTCGGCTCACCGGGACACGGTAGTGTAGAGATGTGGAAGGCATTTGTTCTATGGGAGACGTCTCTCATTTTGCGGCATGATGGGTCGAACCGCAGCAGTACCGGCAGCCACGGACTCGTCTCGAAAGAGGATCTGGCGACACTGGCGAGTCAAGCGCGAGAGGCTCTGTACGCATCGCTGCGAGCGTGTCCGTGGTCGAAGGAATTATGCATGCTGGCATTCGCTCATCCCACACTGAGAAATGCTCTTGGCGATGGGGCGTTGAAACAGGTGTATCAAACCATGGTTGATCGAGGCATGCGGCTTCGTGTAGACATTTCTTGTGTTTTGCAGTAGGCTTCATGACGCAGCGGTGACAAGGCTGGAATGACGAGGCTGAGTGACGAGGCTGAATGGACCCACCCTTCCTTGCATGAAATTAACCCCGCAATGTCCGATCTCCAACTTTTTTTCCCGCGTCGATTAATTAAAACAGCGAATTTTTCGAGACGAGGTCCGCCTGACTCTGTCGACAACCTGTAGCTGCTGTCGTCTACCGCAGCGCTAATGGAATCACCGCAGCCATTGCCTGATCCCTCATTACACCGGCGGCCATGACATCGACGTTTGCTGCGCAGTTGCGCACCATTGCAGCAAACTCGACCAACGAACTCGACCTCCGAGCCCGACGAGATGCCCACGCCGAGTCCCTGATCTTCGAGCGGAATGTCGCCATCAAACAAGACTGGGAGACAATCTTCCAACTATGTCTTGAGGGGTTCCGAGAGACGTGTCTGCTGGACTCGAGGTTGCGCGAGTTCGAACAAAATCTGTACAGTCCTTTGGCGAAGGACCAAGATCGAGAACAACTGAGCAAGCCGCAAAATGAAGCACTAGATGTGGTCCTTGAGCGGTGTCTAGCACTCTTGGGGTCGAAAGTATTGCTGCGTCCGGGCATCAAAGCAGTGGAATGGCTTGTAAGAAGATTTCGAGTGCATGTATACAACACAAACGCCTTGCTCGCAACGTTCCTACCATACCACGAGACGAATGTCTTTAGGAACCTCCTAAGCATAGTTCCGGCCAACAGGATTACTAGCGAATGGAAGTTCTTGGGCCCTTATCACAAAGACACAGTCAGCGTTCCCCGACACACCATAGTCTACAGCGCCACCCACAACGATGCTTTTTCCTCGTATTTCAACAACCATACTCTCCGTGTCTGCCAGGAAGGCGCGGCTTATCCTCAGCTTCTGCGCTTCTGGAGCAGCGTTGTCCTCGAAGCAATTGCAGCGAGACTGGACCAACTCAAGAGTGGGAGAAAAGAGGTACAAAAACAACGGACGGAAGACGTGCTGCTAAAGATCTTGCCATTGCTGAACGAAGGACTTGAACTGAGAGGCTGTCCAGAAATGACGGTTGCTTGCTTCACGATTGCCCTTGTACTGGCTGGTAACGCAGACCTTGGGGACCATGTGATTGATGCTTTGATGAAAGCAATTGCACCGTTTGTCACAAACGGAGAGGCCGACTCAAAGTCTGCCCTAGCATGTCTGGCGGTCTTGGTGACGAAGAAGCTTGACAGCAGAGTGCCGAAGGACGTCATTGAAATTCTCATGCGAGCCAAAGACCTCAGGACGTCCTTGTTGAATCTACACAAAGAGGTCTCCGTGGCCTCGTTGTGTGCGGCGCTGCTCACATCAGCACTCTCCGGAGTAAAGCAGAAGAATCTGGATGTCAGGTTCCATTTTGTCAAAACAATATTCGATACCGCTGGAGAACTTTTCGCGCCACCCATAAAAAGCCAGCTGGTTGCTATTCTACTTCAGAAGCTGCCGCTTACCGACGCCTCACTTCCAGTAGAATCACCTCTTCAGTTTCAACTCACTCGAGTTCTCAAAGCCTTGAACGACTCTCCAGATTTCTCGTCGGCTTTCTCCCAGGCCTCGACACTAGCAGGCCTCTCTCAATCGCTGGTCGAGAACTTGTTAGAAAGCACCATCGAATCTCCGCAGCCAACCGGTCTGATTGAATCGGCTCCCACCGAGTTGGACGATGCTGGAACCGAGTCAGCATCTGCCGAGGACACAGTAAAGGCAATGATGGCGTCTTTCCCTGCCGAGACCACGGAACTGTCATGTCTTGCACACGGACCGTCACCACTTTTTGACCAGCTTGCCCGAGCCTTCAGCCATTGTTGCCGAAATGAAAGGTTCTTGACCCAGTTCGAAGAGCTTCCCTTATGGAGACAAAAGTCGAAAGCAACTTCCGTTTTATACATTAGTTTTCTGCTGAGGATATCCTTGGGGCCATACTCCACTACGGAGCGATGTGTTGCCATCCAAGGTCTCTCAAAGTCATGCGACCAAGGATTCGCGCATGACACTCAGTCACTCATCCCTTACATTACCGTCCTCCTTTCTGACTCTGCTCAGCCTGTCAGAAGGGCTGCTGCCGCCTGTGTCCTAGTCATCCAGAGATCAATTTACCGGCACTTGAAGCAAGACGAGGAGCAACATCAGACTGGGACCACAACTTATGACGCTCTTACCATGACCAACGTCAAGCGGATATCTCCAGCGCAAGCGGACAAGCTTCTGAACCAGCTGTATTTGCCTCACCTGGAGGAGTACATCCTAGATCCATCCGAGATGCACAAAGTATTGAAGACTGCTCTGGATGGTCATGCTCGTGCCACACCATCAAAGACATCTGATATCGAGCTCAAGAAGACTTCGAAGCAAGCCTTGTTCGACCTTCTGACTGGTTGCGCACTGGCCTGTCCTCTTCTAAGGATTAAAATGGGCATCACGCAGCTCCTCATTGGTGTCGATAAGGTTGGTACTGCAACCACCAGTAAGACTCTTTCGCCTATTCTGGACAAATGGGCCTCGCTGTCACCAGCTGATGCGGAGGCTGCCGCGTCAGCGGAAAGTCTGGCTATGGCTCAAGTTGATGCCCTTGCGATCCAACTAATTGCACCACAGGACAAGGGAGCTGTCGAGCACATTCTGGACATGCTCACCGAGGGAAAGTTTCAGCCACGTCCCTCTTTAGCGACGATCTTCTTCGACCATGTGGGCGCCATTTGGAATATCCTGCGCCACAAGTCTCAAAATGCTGTAGTCGTACGTCTTTTCGAGATGTGCTTCTCGGATAATGCAGTATATGCAGCTGGTAGCCGCCTTGTTTTGCATACCGTTGCTCTTACCACCGAAAACTTGGCTGCTATCCTCGATCAATCTTTATCCGGTCTTGCTCAAATGCCGACAGATGTCCACCCAAAGAAGCGACGGCGGCTGAGTCATGGCCGTGAGAGCGTCCCCAAGGAGCTGATGGGGGAGTGGAATGTCAGTGGTACAAGAATGACCTTGGCACTTGAGCTTGTAGAGGACTCGAAGCCAGAAAACCATCCTCAACTGCTAGGCGGCTTGTTCGAAGTCTTGATAGGCCTGAATCGCCTGAGGGACAAGACCACGTCCGAGTCGCCGTATTTGCTCTGCTTGTGCCTCAACAACATACTGGCCATCATTGACAAGGCCCGGCAATCTCGCAAGCCAAATATCGACATGACAACCATCCGTGCCGACTTGGTGACCGAATGCGTGCGATCCTCAGAGAACGTCCAAGTGCAGAGCACCGCCCTCCTCCTCTCCGCTTCTCTAGCAGCGCTTGCTCCAGATCGAATACTGCACACAATCATGCCAATCTTCACTTTCAGGGGCAGAAGCATTTTGTCGAAAGACGACGAACGGTCCATCTACGTCACCAATCGTGCCATTGACGAGATCATCCCTCCTCTAGTGGCGAGCCTGAAAAAGCACGATGCTAAGAACCTCATCCATTCCACCTCAAATCTGCTATCGAGCTTTGTCACGGCGTATGAACATGTTCCTCAGCACAGGAGAGTATCGTTCTACCAGCGGCTATTGACCAAGCTCGGTGCTGATGATTTCTCATTCGCGGTCATCGCACTGCTTACTTCCAGGAGAAATACCGAGGACATGTGGACATTCCTCTCAAACCTAACAGCGGAGTTTCCGGCTTCCACTCAACTTCTGACCTTCCGGAAGATATTGGACCTGACTCTCGATACCTTCAGCGAGAAGCCGCACAACGCTGAACCCCTTCTAGATATCACCCGGACAACACCAATTGACAAGAGAGAAGCAGCAGCGTCGAACCTGCTCCAAGTGGCCGTGCAACTGCTCGCACCGAAGGCACTCAAGACGCAAATTGCGCGACTCACAAAGCCTGATCGAGCTGAAGAGACTCCCTTCTGGACCGAGTTCAGACTTTGTGTCTCGCGTCTCCTCAACATGCTTAAGTCTCAGAAGACGGGGCACAGGAGTCTTGCACCGTCGACGAAGAAATGTCTCAGCGCTGTGCTAGATTTACCTTCTCTTGCAGACTTACTTGATATTATGCCAACTCTTCTGGATGAGCTGGAGCAAAGCGAACACGCGGATCTGAAGCCCCTGGCGCTCCGAGTCCTAGCTTCGCAACTGCTTCAACCTGGCCCTGCTTTCAAGGACAAAAAGAGCCAGTCCAGCGCGATTTCACTCCTCCCTACGCTCGGTACCATCATTAAGACCACGGACGACGAGAACCTCAGACATGCAGCAATCGAATGTCTTGACCACATTCTTGAACTGTATGGCCGAAAGAGCCCGGATGCGGTTGTCTCAGCATCGTCTGCACTCACAGATGACGACGGTCAAGGCCTCGAATCGAGAGATGAGAGAACACAAATCATGTCATTGCTCTGTTTAACGACTGCGACGGAAGTACTCAAACAAGGATGTGTGCCGATCGTTTTGGGAACGATGCCAAAAGTTTTCCGACTGTTGTGGTCAAGTCTGCAGGATTTGAAGGGAGTGAAAGGCCCCAAGGATGGAAAGGTGGAACTCCACAATGCCTGCTACATGCTCCTTTCTTCCTTCGTCACGCATGTGCCCTTCATAACATCCGACGAAAACCTGGTGGAAATCTTTGAGGCATCCTGCAAATCTTGCATCGCGATGTCTCAGACTATGGCGACATGTATGGCGGAAACGAAGAGCACTCTGGAGCCACCGAGCTCTTGGCAAGAGTCTCGTCTTGACCTATTGAATCTTGTTGCTGACAAGGTCGAGCTGAGTTCACTCGTTGCCGGTCTGCGTCAGGCCTGGAAAACAAAGGTAGTCAACGCAGATGCTATTGGGGAGTGGTTGGACATGTTGTCAAGAGCCATCAAGCGGAATTCCAAGTCTACAGTAGGCAGGGCTGCGGAAGAGCTGTCCGACTTTATCCTACAGGTCCTGGATCTTCGACGAGTCAACAGGGTCAAGGCCTTGGTGAAAGCGGATGATGCTACGAGCCACCTTCTTCGATCCGATGAGTTACGAAACATTGAACACAATCTGTTCAAACTGAGCGAAGCGCTCATCTACAAGCTCAATGACTCTACCTTCAGACCCATCTTCGAAAGCTGGGTTGAGTGGGCTCGGAGCGAAGTCCCCCAGGATAGACCCGAGAGTGAAGACGCCGACCAAATGGCAGATCGCAAGAGTGGCGCAAGGATAGCGAGGCTAGGCAGTCTGTTCTCGCTGGCCTCGCATTTCTTTGAAAGTCTCAAGAGCATTGTTACAAGCTACGCCAGTTACATTCTGCCCGAGTGTAACGAGGTTCTGAGAGCCTCGATCGGCAAGCACGACACGCAGAAAGCAGAAGCTCTACGTCTTCGCCCCCAGGTCGATCATCAAGATCAAGAGGTCTACACCGAGACTCTGAGCCTATTGTCAACAGTCGCGAATCACGACGCCGACGGGTTCTTCACCTCACCTTCGCACTTCCAACCCCTTGCCACGCTCCTCGTCGGCCAGTACGAGCTTCTTTCAAGCCGCAATAACACCTCCCGAGATTTCACGACAAGTCCCCTAAAGGAACCTATTCTCAACGCACTTGTTAGCCTCGCCACGGCAGTCCAAGATGTCCCGGCCCATCACCACACCCTGAACCACCTCCTCTGCCAGCTTCGGCACCACGAGCACGCCGCTGTGCGACTCGCCTCGATCAAAACGCACATCGCGCTGACAGAGGCCGAGGAGGTTGGCGAAGAGTGGCTTCAGAACGTGGTCTTGGGGCAGTCATCATCTGCCATGGACGGTGGAGTCGCGGTCGGAGGAAGTGGAGAGACGATGGTGTATGTGAACGAAATGCTAGAAGACGATGATGAGGACGTCGAAAACAGTGTAAGAGACTGGGTCAGGATGGTGAGGGAGAGTCTCGGAGAGGATATCTTCGAGGTGTAACCAGAGCGCGTCTTCTGATGATTAGAAGTGATGTGGCGTGCAAGCCACCTTGAAGTCGGTAGTTCTGTAGCTGAGCAATGACATTCGATCCTGTGGATGGACTGGAATGGACCGGACCGCCTTGTACGGAGTATTCAACGGCGTGTCATGTATGTCCTCACGCTGCTGTTGCCTCGCGGAGGTCTAGTGGAGTCTCAAGAACACTCGGAATGTAGATACCCTCCAGAAATCTAACTAAAAGGCTCCAAGAGCTACTAAGACTCCCTGCTCGGCCGACTGTACCCGGACAGCCGTAGCGTCGCGGCTTGCGGCTATCTCGTTCCAGAGCAAGGATATGATCTTACGGGTCCCCGTCTCAGTATTACGTCGGGTTCAGAACACAGATCTTACGTCTACATCACCAAAAGGAGGCAACGCAATATCTGCCGCCATGGAACAATCCAGACCTGAAAGGGGCCTGCGAGGGAGAGTCGCCATCGTTACCGGGGCAGGATCATTAGGAGCCGGCATCGGAAACGGGCGAGCCGCAGCAATCTTGCTGGCCGAGGATGGCTGTTCAGTTGTCTGTGTCGACTTGAATCTGGATCTCGCTCAGAAGACTGTGCACATGATCCGAGATGAAGTCCAGGGTTCGGCCATTGCGTTCGCAGCAGATGTCACCAAAGAAGAGGAATGTCGAAACGTTGTGCGCGCATGCATTGAGCAATACGGCCGACTGGATATCCTCGTCAATAACGTGGGGATCAATGGACCCATAGGCACGACGACGGAAGTTGACATTGCGGCGTTCTACAAGGGGCTGGAAGTCAACGTGGGATCGATGATCCTCATGGCCAAATATGCCATCCCCCAGATGTGCAAAAATCCCGGACAGTGGGCTGGAAGTATCGTGAATCTTGGAAGCACGGCGTCCTTGAAGGGTGGTCACCCGGCGATCTTCTATCCTACATCCAAAGGAGCCATCCCCAACCTCACTCGTGCAATGGTACGTTTTCTCACAGGTCCATTCTGGGATTGCGCCCGATCTCACGCCGGGGGAAAATCGCGCAGGCTACACATCACGGGAAAGATCGCATCAGAGTGAACTGTGTCTGTCCAGGTAGGTCATCCCCAGAGCGAGAGAGATGTCTCGATCTGTTTCGGTTCCCGTGGACCTGAACTGACCACCGTCCCTGCAGGAATGGTGTTCACGCCCATGGTAGAGTGAGGTTGCGCCACCAAGCTCTGCGTGCATGTGCTAATTTCATTCATCAGCATCAAAGGTGGCATGTCAATGGCGGAAAGACAAGCCCGGGCCTCACGAAGCATTTTGAAAACCGAGGGTTCTGGTTGGGATATTGGCGCAGCCGTGCGGTTCCTGTCGTCGGACTGTGCCCGCTGGATCACGGGTGAGTGTCGTTGAGATTTGTGGCGTTGTGCACCTGCTGACCACGGGCCAAGGGGCAATACTCCCGGTTGATGCTGGAGCCACAGCGGCTCTGGGTCTCGGTATTCCCAGCCTTCATGACGGGCTACGCGGGACAGTGGGTGCTAAATTATGAAGGTGGTAGAAGAACGACGTTGTCACTCTCGGTTGTCAGAGCGGCCAATCATAGGATCATCTTGATGCAATAGCCTCCCCTTCGAGTTTGTTATCCTCATCAATGGAATGGAGCATCAGATTCCAAGCTGACCAAGTCTTCCCCTCCCTCCTCCCCACAACCCCCTCTTTCTCTCATCCCGTGTTGCTCGGCTCTCGGCTTGTACGGCAACGGCAACGGCAACGGCAACGGCGACGGCAACGGCAACGGCAACGGCAACATGGGCATCTGGCTACGCAGCCCGGGGTAAGGCGGAAGGCTCTTTGCAGTTCTCGCCAGTCCCAACTGCTAACCACCGAAATCTCTCTTTCATTCTTTTTCCATCCCCGATTACCGCAAAGCCGACGCTGCAGGCTGCACCGTGCCTGGTAGACAGCCGCGAAGATACCTGATGCCTCCACTCACGGTGGATCTCCGGATCTTGCAGCATTTGAGATGGAGCATGAGGGTGTCGGTGATGTTTCAGGGCCAAGGCCATCAAAGCGTGCTCGCCTGGTGTGCACAGCCTGTCATGCCAGAAAGGTACTGATCGTGGTCGTTCCAAGATCGTCGCCGTACTGAAGAGTCTAGATCAAATGCGATCTCCAGAGCCCTGAATCTCAGGCTGCAGGCCGATGTTCAAAGTGCGTCCATGATGGTACTGTGTGTCGGTGAGCTGTGGCATTTGTCTTGCTACTCAGGGCATTTTCTCACAGCAACTCTAGGCTGAGACCGTCAAGGAGGGGAGGTGCAGCGCGACGAGCCCAGGCAGCGTATCCGTCTCTACCTCAGGTAACGTCGACATCTACGAGCAGGGCTGTTCCGCTGAGCCATGAAATGTCTGGCTCGAGGCCGAACCAGGGCCTGGAATCTCATCACAACGTGTTGAACAACGACGGCGACGGTCGATACAATGTGGACTTGAAGACCGCAAATTTGAACTCGTCGCTGATGGCGATGCCTGCTGCCATCAACGACGTCAACGCCTCCGAGCCATCACCAGCCGGTATCCGAGAATCACTTCCCGAGGAATCTGGGACGCATTCGCCTGACTCGGGCGCCCGTGATGCTTCTCCCGAAATTTCGCTGAGTCGAGGCTACATGGGAGAGTCTGGGTTCATGCAAATATTTCGCCAAGGTCAAACCACCACCTATCTACCCACGAGCTCGATCATCCCCGGCCTTCGGACAGAGACGCTTTCCATGTCACCGCTCCTCCTGCAGGCCTTTGAAGAAACTCATCACGAATATTGCTACCCGTTTTGTCCTATTCTCGACAAGCTGAATCACGCCGGCGACGACCCATTCGCGGGAAGTGTGCTGCTCCAGCAAGCCCTTGCCGTCCTGGGCAGCAGGGTGAACCCGCCCGTCATCCAGCACGACCACCCTTCGCTCTACTACCGTCGTGCCAAGACATTGTTCTACATGAGTCATGAACCGAACCCTCTGATTCGCATCATCGCCATCATTTTCTTGCAGTGGTGGAGCGCAGGCCCGCCCAACGTGGTCAGTCTGGACAGTCAGTACTTCTGGACGGGCGTCGCCATTCGGTTGGCGCACGAGATTGGCCTTTACCGTGAACCCACGAGGAATCACTCGTTAAAGCTCGGCGAAACGTTTGGACTGCGACGGCGGATTTTCTGGGCTTTGTTCGTAAGTGTGGTTGGTCGTGGCTGATGCGAGTGTCTCCTTCTCACGACGTTGACAGGCTCGCGAACGAGTGTTCTCCCTCTGTCAAGGTCGCCCGTGCCTCGTCCATCTAGAGGACTGCGATATCCAACAGCCGACCCTGACTGATTTCCCCGCTGACCAGGCTGCTCAAGGGGAAATATTCATCCATTACGTACGCTTGTCCGAGATCATCGGCCGGTTGAGCAGGCGACTGAGTCTCGCAAGTGACCGATCTGCGCCAGCGCTCGACATCATATTTGAGCTGCAGAATTGGGTGCAATCTTTGCCCCAGCATCTGCTTCTGCCCTTCGGGGCCGCCAGAACTGCGACCCGGGATTTCCGCAGAGACGTGCACCAGTTGCATTTGCCCTACTTGACCGCCATCATGCTACTCTACATGAATTCCTCGTCTCACGCTTTACCCAAAGCCTCCGCGACGGCGTTGCTTGCTGCCTCGTGCGTCGCCAGGATCTTTCAAGATTTTCTAGCGCGCGGCTCCATCAATTTTGTGTCTGGCATTGGGGGCTGGTACGTGACGGTGGCGATCCTGGCGCTACTTCATGGCAGTCAGATACCGGCCTTACGCGACTGCGCGAACGAGCAGATTGATGTTCTGATGATCGCGCTGCGTGAGATTGCAAAGTCATGGTATTCTGCGGAGATGTTTCTCCGTGCGCTAGAGAAGCATGTCAAGGGACAGAGCGAGGAGGCCAGGGGCAATCCCAGTGCCGACACCCTGCAGGGAGATCCTGGGACCACATCATCGGCCTGGAGCGATCTCGCATCCAGCGACGGAGTGGACCTTCTCGGCTTCTTCCCAGGGCACACTGCGCAGACGAGCAAGCTATTCGGCGTCTTTTATGCCGACGAGGCAGCAGATGTGCTGATGAATCTGGCGTGGCCTGCTGATTTCAATATTTCTGTCATGGATCTTTTTGATCAAACGTTTGAGGGCATGAACGGGACCTTTGGCTTTCCGGCTGCTTGTTAGCCGTTCATACAGGGGCACCACCGAAATAATTGACATGGATACCGAAGGCTCTGAACCCTTCCTGGCCTCTGAACTTGCCGTTAGTTCAAGTTTGATTAGCAATGATTCAACCGGTCTAAATGAGTCTTCGCCCTTATCTGTGCCGCAAGAACCGACTTCTCCAGACTCCACACCATTCCCCCGCGGTTAGGGAGTGTCATTGCACCGTCCTGTGCTCCGTCGCGAATCCACGCTCTGGAATAAGGTTGTCGGCGGAACTGCCTGGATTGCCGTTTGCCGCCTCGACCACTTTAACGCCTTATCATTGCCGAGGGGGGCGCACAAACTCTATTACCGACGCCACATGGCGTCTCTACCATTCAGTTTGGCTCCGCTTCCTAGCAGGTCTCTTGACACTCTTCCCCATGGGGAGCAGGAGGACATAACGAGCCCTCGCCCCTCTCTCCCCCAGCTGTAAACATTCTTCTCGGGATAAGGTGATCTTCGACCAGACATCTCCTGACGAAAAATCACTCGACCTTGCACCGCGCGAAGTATGACCATGACAAGTGGAGATCCGACCAAAGTCGAATACTTCCACAGCGAGAAGGGAGACGACATGGAGATGGGAAAGGCAGGGGGGTCCGTGGTCCAGGAGAACAAGGTCGACGCCATCGTGGATAGCGACGCGCAGATTGATCCTGTCCTCGAGAAGAAGGTCATGTATGTTTGTCGTGCCGCTGGAGTGCTTTCCACCTGCTGACCATCACGCAAGGCGAAAAGTTGACTGGCGTCTTTTGCCCGTCGTCACCGCCATCTATGCTTTCTCGTTGATTGACCGAACAAACTATGGTGGTGCCCGGATCGCGGGTATGGACGAGGCCCTTCATCTTGATGTCGGCAACCGCGCCTCCGTCGCCTGTAAGCAAGCCATTGCCCCCCGCGAAAGGTCTCCCGTCCCAAAAGCTCATGACATTTTTTTCCAGTGATGATTCTCTTTGTCGGATACATCCTGTTCGAGCTGCCTTCGAATATCCTTTTGAAGAAGTTTGGCCCTCGAATCTGGCTGTCGACTCTGGGCCTGTGTTTTGGAATCCTGACCATCGCCTCCGGGCTGGTCAAGACGTGGGGAGCTCTTGCTGCTGTCAGAGCATTCTTGGGCGTCTTCGAGGCGGTGAGTTCCTCTTCCCCTGATCTTGCACCGGGGACTAAGTCTTTCCAGGGTCTGCTACCGGGTTGCTTCTACCTGATGACCTCTTGGTACCGCAAGTATGAAATTCAACGAAGGTCAGCGAAAAGGCCCCCTACCACTCCGGAGGCATAGTAAGTTTCTCGCTGACCGCCAATCCAGGCTGTCGTACTTCATCCAAAGCACGTTCGTCATCACATCGTTTTCCAACGCCCTGGCGTACGGCTTGACTCAAATTGCCGACGAGCCCGAGGTGGACGGGTGGAAATGGATCTTCATCGTGGAAGGGGCCATCACGATCGGGATTGCCCTTGTCCTCTTCTTCGTCGTGGTCGACCTGCCGTCGTCGAGTGGCAATAAATTCCTCTCCCCAGCAGAGAAGGAACTCATCAAGCAAAGAATCATGACCGAGCGTGGGGAGTTCGAAGGCGAGAAGATTACGTGGAAGGTCATCGTCTACACGTTCTCTCAGTGGCATGTCATAAGCATGTGAGTATCCGGATTCTTTTTCCCTGATCATACGCAGATTTTGTGGGCTGACGGACTGGTCAAACAATCAGTTCTTTCCTCTACCTGGCCGCCGCCGCCGGGTCCTACACCTGGATCATCTTCAACCCCATCATCCTTCGAAACAGCATGGGCTATAGTCTGGTCTCGGCGTACATGTTGACCGTCCCGCCCGCCGTGTTCTCCACGATCACGACATTGATCGTCTCGAGGTACGCTGACAAATGGCACATCCGCGGGCCGGTCTGCTGGTTTGGCACCGTCATCGGACTGGCGGGCGTCGCCATGGTTGGATTCGCCGAGTCCCCCGTGGCCCGGTATGCCGGGATCTGGGTCGGCGAGATCGGCACCAACGCGTACATCGTCACCTGCGTGGCCTGGGGTCACAACAACATCCGCACCGATGGGCCCCGGGCCGTGCTTTCCTCCATCCACGTCGGATCTGCCGCCGTGGGTGCGATATATTCCTCGCTCGTGTTCCGACAACAGGTACGTACATTGATTCCTCCCCTTTTTTCTCCAGTTGGATCGAAGACCCCGTGGAAATGGTATCTGACGTAATCCTCCCTCTCATTTCATAGGATGCGCCGGACTACATACCTGGTCTGGCGGCGATCATTGCCATTCTCACGGCGGGGTTCGTTGTGAGCGTTCTGACGTCGTTCTTCCTCTGGCGTGCAAACAAGAAGGCCGACGCAGGGAAGAAGATCATCGAAGGCGCCGTGGGATTCCGTTATACCTGGTAATCACAAGGAATATGGAGTCCGCTGCAGGCGGATGGAAGGGAAGAGGGGAGAAGGCTGTGTGAGTTGTGGTGAAGGGGGAACAGGGGAGGAGATCCGTGGACTGACTGTGTCTCTTGCTCGATACTATGAGTCTGAGGCATGCCCGATGCACACAACCTGCTTGCTTGGGAAGAATGTGGAAATAGGGGATCGATTATATGTATGATTCGGCGGCATAATTATCTGATCGTGGTTTTATATTCATCTCTCCCTCTCGTACTAGGATATGGATATGCAGCAAGCTAGCATGACACCGTCTAGCTGGACCGAGTTGTCCCCAGTCTCCTTATTCTCCTCGCAGAGAAGTAATGGCCCTGAGTCGATGTACCTTTGCCATCCGCGCCAGCTGGCACTGGCCGCCGAGGGAATCGTACGAATGCGGTAGACCGGGATAGACATGTAATTCGACGGGGACCCCGGCTCGCACGTGCTTCGACGCGTACTCGATCCCTTCCTGCACGAACATGTCGAGACTCCCGACTTCCAGGTATAATGCAGGCATGCCCTCGGCCGAGACGAGTCGGGACGGGGACGCGGTGTCCGGGATGCCATCGCCCTCCTCGTGGCCGTCGAGTACCTCGTGGCCGAGATACGACGACCACCCCGTCGCATTGTCCACGTGGTTCCACGACAGCAGCGGTGCCAGCCTCGGATCATGTCGCCCGACGTTGCGACAGTCGATCATCGGCGCCGTGAAGATCTGTTTCGCGATGGACAGCCCTCCTCCACGACGGCGTGCCAATATCGCCGTGGCCGCCCCGAGTCCCGCGCCCGCACTGCTCCCCATGATCGCGATCCGGGTCCGGTCGACGTGCAGGTCGTGCGCGCGAGCGTGCAGCCACGCCAGAGCGGCGTACACGTCGTGCAGGGCGGCGGGGTACCGGTGCTCCGGGGCCAGGCGGTACTCGACGGCGAGGAATGGGGTCCGTGTCATTGACACGAGCGATGCGACGAGGACGTCGTAGTCGTTAATCGTGCTGCAGATTAACCCGCCGCCGTGGATGTAAATCACGGCTGGCGACGACGACGATGATAAAGTGGCCGTGTGCGATCCGTTAACTGCCGTACTACGAGGACAGTACCACCTTAACAGGACGCGGTGGCCGTCCTCGCTGGAAGTGTAGTGGTCGGAGACGTCAACGCCGCTCGTGTCGACGGTAGGACGCGGTCTTCGCGACGATAAGTTCTTAAGCCGTTTCCGGCGCTGATCGACGTCGCCGGGCGGGAGCGGGGGTCCGCCAACGAACTCTTCGAGCCCGTTGGCTTTCAGGCATGCCTCGAAGTCGGCGTCCAGCGCGAACGGTGTGGCCATCGCCGTGAGCGGAAGGGCCTTTGAACGTCCACGTCTCTTCTCGGTCCAGAGAAGGGTCCGACTCGAACGTCTCACATCCTCAATCTCGCTTCATACGCATTGGCACCATCAGCCCGTCATTACTGGAAATGACAAACACACCCCTGGTGATCCCCTCGTCTTCGGCAGCCGGCAATCGGCAAGCTGCCCGTCAGTGGGACAGGACGGCGTTGGCATGCCTCGCGCTTCGGCAACCGGCTATCGTCGGTCTGGATGCCCAGCCCCGGCGGAGGATGTCCACTTCCTACCACCAGCAGCTGAGGCGCAAAGCCGAAGTGGGTGACTGTCTGGAGATCCCACCGAAGATGTCGTACCCGTCAGCCATGCCTCTTAACCATTCCATCGACGGTGTTCCTCGAGAAGCAGAGTCCCGGCGCAGACCGAGCAATAAGCATCGTTGGCAGGTGTTGACTGAGCTAGACCCGTAGTCTCAATGTCTCCTTCCGCCGTCATTCCTGAGGGCATTGCTGTCCTGGAGTCGGACGTGGGCAAGCACCTGTCCTCAGAGTACAAGTTGAATGGTCAGAAGGTGACCGAGATCGAAGTCACGAATCATGACGATTCGATAGCGGGTCCAGACTGCCATCCCTCGACTACGCCGCCCCAAATCCCACGGCTGGACATCTCGATACAATATCAGGTCAAGGAGCGGCCATTGGGATGGATCCGTCCGATCCGAATCATCTGTTTGGGTGCTGGTGCCAGCGGTGTCAATTTGGCGTATCAGGTTCAACAGCGATTGAAGAAGACCGAACTCGTGGTCTATGAGAAGAACCCCGCGATCGGAGGGACGTGGTATGAGAATCGGTATCCGGGTTGCAAGTGTGACATCCGTAAGTTGAAGGGAAGGAAAAGCGGCCCGTTTCACGAGCTGGAGCTGACCAGGCGCCACCAGCTTCTCACAACTACCAATTCTCATGGGAGCCCAACCCGGACTGGACGGAGATGTTCTCGACTTCGTCCGAGATTCGGGCGTATCTACAGAAATGCGTGGACAAGCACAACCTGGGGCAATATTTCAAACTGAGCCACAACGTCGTGGGCAGCAGATGGGAGGAGGCCACCGGCAAATGGCACATCAGTGTCCGCAACCACCTTACGAACGAGACCTTTGAAGACACGTGCGACTTTTTCGTCAACGCCGGCGGGATTCTCAACAATTGGAAGTGGCCAGACGTCCCCGGATTACACGACTTCAGAGGCCGGCTGGTTCACAGTGCGAACTGGCCGATGGACTGGGACTATGAAGGCTTGAAAGTTGCAGTGCTGGGGAACGGGTCGTCGGGCATTCAAATCGTGCCCACCATGCAGCCCCGTGTCAAGGAACTGGTCCATCTGGTCCGTTCGGCGACGTGGGTCACGCCCTCGGCACCCGCACGGTATGCGGCCTTGTTAGGACGGCCCATGCCCGATATCTTCTCGGATGAGCAAAAGGAGAGTTTCCGAAACGACCCAGAAGTCTACCTCCGGTTTCGAATCGAGATTGAGCGGGAGACGAACAAGCGATTCCCTCTCCTGCTGCAGAACAGCCAGAAACAACGAGATTCTACGCAAGCCAACTACCAGGCCATGCTCGACCGACTGGGACCCGAGGCCGCGGCGCGGTACGCGAAGGAGATCATCCCCGACTTTCCTGTCGGCTGTCGCCGGATCACTCCAGGCTTGGGGTATCTGGAATCATTTTCCCAGCCCAATGTGAGGGTGATTACGAACGCAAAAATTCAACGGGTCGACGAGAAAGGCATTCGACTGGAGAGCGGCGAGCATATCGAGGTGGACGCCATTGTGTGCGCCACTGGATTCGACGTCTCGTTTACCCCTCGATTCCCGATCACTGGCCGCGACGGTATCAGCTTGAAGGACGTCTGGTCGAAACCCAACATCCCTTTCGCTTACTTGTCGACATGTATTCCCAAGTTCCCCAATTACTTCGGTAGGTTCACGTGCACCATCGATCCCGTTACAATTCACTTCCGTGCCTTGCACTAACTCGCCGACGGCAGTTCTTCTCGGACCTAATGCTCCTATCGCCCACGGATCCGTCCTCGCGGTGACGGAGCACTGCTCCAAGTATCTGCTTCAAATGATCACCAAGGCCCAGACGGAAGGCATTCGGGCCATCGACGTCAAACAGTCGGCCTGCAACGACTTCATGACCCACGTCCATCACTTCATGCCTCGCACGACCTGGGCCGCCCAATGTCGCTCTTGGTTCAAAGGTGGCCAAGTGAGCGGGCCCGTGACCGCGATCCACCCGGGGAGTCGGGTGCATTGGTTCCACATGATGGAGAGACCCAAGTTTGAAGATTTCGACTACGACTACGAAGAGGACAATCGCTTTGCCTATTTGGGCAATGGGTTCTCGCGCCGGGAGATGGGCATTTACGACCCGGGGACGGTCGAAGGGTGGAATCCCGAGGAAGGGGATCTGGATGATCTGGACGATACTTGGTTTGTGACGGACACGAATTGGAAGTACCTCTACTATTGAGCGAGGCCGGCTTTTCTTGGGATTTTACATCAGGACGAGGTGTGGAGAAATCTGTGACGGCCATAGAGGAATCGGACGAGCGGCAATGGGACGTGCTGTCACACAAAAACTCATGACAGGAGATAGAGGGACCGGTACGAGAGACCTCACACAAGCTAATTAGACTCTGGCTCGTCTGGGGGCATTGAAACTGGTGAGACAAATGCCGTAGGGTCTTGGAGTGGATTGACGACAGTCGGCATTCGGTAATGCACAGCACAATAGCCTCGTCCCACCGCCTCGCACCCCCGTAGACCCGGTTATTTCCCCGTAATTCCCCCGCACCCACCCCCCCTTAACTCCCCCTGCTCGCTCGCCCCATTGCCGAACCCGCCGCCCGTCTTGCTCTTCTTCGCTAATCTCAACGGCTGTCCCTGCCGGTGGCCTCCCAATTGGGGCCCGTTACACTTCTTAACTCCGTACACTAGATTCTGGAGAGACCACTACTAGTAGGTGTTTATTTTAGACATGTGAACGGTGGGCGAGAAATCACACAACATCACCCACCTCCAATCCTCTTCCTGCCCTCCTCAAAAGACGACACGCGGACAACATGATCAAGCCACAAGAGACATACCGTCTCGTCTATCCCGATGTGCCTAACCCTTCGCCGACATATATCTCGTATGGACTGAACTACACCGACGCCTGTGCGCGGCACGTCGAAGGCACCTTCGACGCGAAACGAGTGTACATCATCGCGTCGACGACACTCTCGCACAAGACATCGTTTGTGTCGGATCTCGAAAAGGCCCTGGGGCCACGCCACGTCAAGACATGGCGCGGCATCCGGCCGCACTCGCCCTGGGACGACCTGGTCCCGATCATCAACGACATGCGCGCACTTAACCCGGACCTGCTGGTCACGCTGGGCGGCGGCTCGCTCGCCGACGGGGCCAAAGTGATTGTGTATGCGCTGGCGAACGGGGTCGGCAAGGTTGCCGACCTCGAAAAGATTCTGGCCTCGTCCGACGAGGATAAAGGCGCAGGGGGCGCGGCCGCGCACGTCCGCAACCGCACCGGCCAGGGCCACGACCCGACCGTGCCTATGGTGTTCATCCCCACGACCCTCTCGGCCGGCGAATACTCGTCGCTCGCCGGGTCCGCCAACCCGACGACGCACCATAAGCCCGTGATGAAGCACGACAAGACGTACGCGCGCCTGGTCATCCTCGATCCCGCGTTGACCACCACGACGCCCGAATGGGTCTGGCTCTCGACCGGCGTGCGCGCCATCGACCACTGCGTCGAGGCACTCTGCACTAAGGACTTACCCGCGATCGTCCGGACCGCCGCAGACACATCCCTGCCGACGCTCGTGACGACCCTGCTCCGGACGAAGAGCGACCCGACCCTGCTCCAACCCCGGCTCGACGCCATGGTCGCCGCGAGCCGAATCACCGTTAAGCTGATGTACGTCCCGCGCATCTTCAGCGGCTGCAGCCATGGGATCGGGCATCAGCTGGGTCCGCTGGGTGTCGGGCACGGTCACACTAGCTGCGTCCTGTTGCCGGCCGTGTTGAGGTTTAATCTCGCCGAGCCCGGGCAGCGCGAGAAGCAGGAGCACGTAAAGGACCTCATCTGGCGCGAGGGCGGCGATGAGGTCAGGCGCGTCTTGACCGACGCCGGGCTGGAAGAGTCCACGGCCGACGCGTCGAGTTCGTTGCGGGCCATTTTCGACGCCCTGGGCATGCCGAGCACATTGAAGGACGTCGGTGTTGGCCCCGAGCATTTCGACGCCCTCGCCGTGAACAGTCTCGATGACTTCTGTACCATGGCCAACCCGGTCAAGATTGTGGATAAGTCGCAGATCTTGGAGATCCTGAACATGGTGGCCGGATGAAGCCGGGAGACAGACACTCAGACAAATCCCAATGCCATATATTCCCTGCCTCCCCTTCCTGCGGATGGGCAGCAGAGCCAGGCTCAATAGCTATTCCACACTACACGGATTGCCGTTGTGCCAACCATGGCCCCCCAAAGAATTGCCAATGAAGTAATGCCATACATATCCCATCTCCCACCCTGTGACAATCTTGTAAATCCCGCCTCTCCCCAAACTCGTCAGCCGTTCCCACTTCTCCAGCACCATGACAGTTTTTTAACGAGAGAACATGACACTGATCGGCAGTAACGGGGCCCGTACCCGGCGAAGTTTGGATGTTCGGATTGTTCTCGTACGTCTGTTTCCCCCAGGCGGCCCACTCGCCCCCTTTGGGGGAGCCCCGGGAGACGGAGCGTCGGCAACACCGAAAACGTCTTTGACAACACCATCTTCTTGCCAAGATCGTACACACTTGTTCTGAAGCTTGACAAGTCTTCTTAGTGATACGTCGACTCGTCTGCCGGCCAGAGCATGCGTTGCCACTCCTGTGTGACGCCGACGAGGAAGTCGTCCGCATCGCGGAACAGCAGGCTCTGAGAAAATTGCCCGCTCTCGTCTCCCGCGCTGGGCCACTCAATGGGTTGTCCTTGAGGTGTCCGACAGCTCGTTCAAAGTCTTGGGAATCCTGAGTCGTTTCAGCGGCGTGCATAGACGCAACGATTGACATCCTCCACATACGTCTCGTAGTTCCGCAACCAGATGGTGGCACAGCAGCCGGGCCCAAGCTTCCCCCCAAAACCATCACAGCTCAGCGGACTGCTGTCTGAGAAGAACGGGCTCAGGTATTGCTGCGCTCAATATCACAAGTATGGACCCCCAAGGCGATGATTGCAGAACCCAGCTGTTGGATTGGGCCTCGACATCACGATTAGCAACTTTGTCCGTCCTGGTCCGGCACAGCACACTGGCCAAGGCGCTTGGGATTAGTACTTCAGAGTATGTATCTACTCCGGCTATGGCTTGATGATGGCGATCTCTGCGACTCGACTTGGTTAACAGTCGTGCTTGGTGAAAGAGTCTCCTGAAGATCACAAGATCGAACCTCGTGTAGGCGCAGCCTCAGCAAGCGAGTCCGATGGCTAAAGTGTTGGATAGCACTCCTAGCGTCATCAACAATATACAGAAGAACCGGATAAAAGCTTTGGTAGACATCGTTGTAACGGTAAGGTTCCGGGGTTAAAGGGCAAAGAGTGGGCTGTCTCGAGTTTGTTGGCTGGGCTTCTCTGTTGTGTACACGGACCAAGTTGAAGGCTCTGACTCTGATTCCTCACTGCTGAAGTCCGAAGACATCACCATAGATATATAGAACATCGAACCCCTACATAACACACTATCAGACGAGAAAAATTGCTGTACAGCACGACGCAGTCTCGGGCGAGAACGATGACTGCTGATGGATGTCCCCACGGGATCATCGCGCAAAACTCACTCTGAGGTCTTAGTGCTGGATCCATGCTAGTCTGTACACAGATGGATGCTGAGATTCGATCGCCCTACGATCCATTCACATCAAGCGGGGGCGTCTAGAGGAACAGGCCGGCAGGAACATCGAGCCCACGGTGTAAGCCCGTCGTGCCAGTAAGACGTGGAACAACAGACTCCGTCGTTGCAGACTATCTCACGGAGATTGCGCTGGTTACCCCCCCTCACACTTCCTCGGAAGGCGTCCGAAACAACACAAGTGTGGAGTATAAGCAATACAGGCACAGCGGTTGACTAGCTCGCACGTCCTGACACCGTCACATGGCGATATTCAGGCTGGTACAGCTAGAGACCTGTTCTTGGACCCACGGTGGAGTTGTTCTGGACATGACCAAGGTATATTCGAGTGACCTCTATGACACTTCATCCCATGTGACGGAGATCTCCCTGTGCTCCTGATCGAAGTTCCTGTAGACGCCTCCGCTAGAGTCTTACGCTGGAGCCGGAGCCGGGCACCTCGCACAGCTCCATATCAGCAAGACCATCAGAAGGGCTGATCTTGAATCGACATGTTCAAGGGGCAAGGCTTCTCTGACGGCCCATGCGGCTTTAGGGTGGCATGAACGGACCCATAGCTATACAGTGCGGTGAGCTCATCACCCGAGCATGCGGTATACGCAACGTGACGAAGGCGTAGTATTATGCGTGACAATCATACTAAAGCAAAAGGACCGGACGGTCTGTACCAGGATCTATCGATAGTTCAGAAAGACACAAACTCGCACGATGGCGCACGGAAACAACATGAACCGCGCTAACCGCCATCCCGTCAAAATCGAATCCAAATCTAAGTCTCTGGAAAGTTGACTTCTGTCCCCTCGCAAGGGCGTCCTTCGACCCCAACGAGCCCTACGACTTCCCACTCACACGTAGAACATCTTCTTCTTGAGGTTGTCGTGGACCTGCAGCTCGGGCCGATGTATGCTGTCGTCGTATCGGACTCTCCGGTCCGGCGCATTGTAGATCTTACGGGCATAGCATCGAGCGCGACCGGCTGCCAGGTCGGCATAATAGACGGGCGGACACACGCCGACAGAGCGTGTCGAGCGGCCAAAGAGGAAACATAGGTTGTGGGTCTGCGCAAGATGATTGAACGGTCAGTACGGCAGCACACCCATCACTCAACACCCACCAAAAGGTCAGAATTCAAAACTTCGACTTACCATTTCTGCAATCTCTCTGCGCGTGTGCTTGGTCTCGTTCCCCAGGATCACGTAGTGCGTCGGCCTGGCCGTGCCGATAATGGCCTTTTGGCTGATGAGGAAGAAGTCCTGGCCATCGCCGTAGGTGACCCCGTCCTCGATCAGCGTGCCGGGACGGGGGTTGTAGTTGTAATATCCCTCTTTATCCACGCCACCACAGTAAACACTGTCGTTCTTGATGGTGCTGTCTGCCGGGAAGAAGCGGGTATGGTTTCTCTTCACGGCGCAGACTAGGATGACTGCGGTGGCTGCATCTGGGAGCTCTGCGGCGTCGCCTCCGTTCTTCTTGACGTGTCCCTCGTGGCGGTGGCGTTTCAAGTTTTCGATGGCGCGCTTGATCTTGGGGAGTTCTTCATTCCTGCACATGTCAAATTGTCCCTCGGAGAGGCCGTCCCTGTAGATGATGATCTGGTCGGGCATGTCGTGGTTGTGCTCCCAGTAGTCGAGAAGTCGTTCGAACACCATGGCCTCGAGCTCGAGGACTTTCTCTCTGGCTTGTTTAGGGGCGTCGGTCGCGGTCGTGTCGGACCGCTTCGACTTGTCGATTGTCTCGGCCTTGCCTTTGCCTTTCCCCAGGCCGTCGTCATCCTCCTCTGGGCGAACCTCACTTTCTTCCACGTCCTGGACAGGATTGAGACGCAGACTCACAGGCCATTGCGCGAACTGGTCATCAACACTGCCGACCACGGCGGCGATACTAGGTGCACCTTTAAGAGCCGTCGAAGGTTTATGCGTGACATCGATACCAATGATCATGGTCTTTGCCGTAAGTATCGGAGCCCGATCAGCGAGTTGGTGGTTCACGGAGGTCGTGCTCGTTTTCAAATTCATCTTCATGGTCAAATTGGCAGCGAAGTTCTTGTTGAGCGTCCCGTTGGAGCTGAATCTGCCCTTCTTCAAGATGGAGCACACCGTGGGTATGCCCAGGATCTGGTCCCCTGCGATCTTAACGGCGCTGTAGGTGTCGACCTTTTGGTCCGGCAGGATGACGAGCAGGATATCAACCTCGCCCTCGAACTCCAGGAATTTCTGTCTGACGCTGCCGCACAACTTGTCGAAGCGTCGCTTCCTTGGGAAAGTGTCGAAGTCTGGAAGTGTCAGCAAGTAATTCGGCCAGTCTCTGAAGATAAAATTGGACATTCCAGCATCGTTAAGAGCATTCTGGAGGCCCGTTTGGAACCGGTTACCTTCACGTAAATCAAATCTTCGGCCGTTGTGCTCCTGGATTGCGAGGTAGGTCCACCGTCGCGGACCAGGCGACGTGCGTATGAAGTGCTGGCCTAACAGATTCCAACTGCCGTCTGAAGGTCCTTGGTCACGCGGAAGAGTTACGAGAAGCTCTGGATTGAAAGAGTTGCGGTACTGTACTCTTGGTAAGCTGAGCTGGATGAACGTGACCCGCAAGAGCTCTTTTGCGAGATCGAATCCGAACTGGACTGCACCTTTTGTGTCTGGAGTATTGCCGAAGAAAATGTCTCTGCCGGTGCCTAGAACACGATCTCGATTGTCATTGGGACGCCTGGTTGCGCCGAACGGAAGTTCTTTAGGATTCGTGTACCGCTGGCCTGGCATCACCGTCAGGCGATCAGCTGGGATGGTTTGCGCAGCGGCTTCTTCTCCAACAGTGACAACGTAGGTGTCTTCGCCGTCATCCGGGTACTGAATCCCATGATGATGCGAGAAGTACTCCGCCACCGTCATGCCAGGACGCTCTCGATCTTGGGGCCTCATTGCCGTGTTCCGGACTGTAGGAAGCACGCGACGCCCATTCTCATGGCACCCCGGCAGCTCAGTAACTCTATGGAAGAATCCATGATGGAGAGTCCTGACAGAGAGATTTGTGAGGAAGTCGGCTAACTCGTCAAAGTCAGTCCGAGTCCGAGGCTGTCTATGTTTGACCATCCAGAGGTCAATAAGATCCTGAACACGAGTAGGGTGGTAGAAAAGAGACGTCACCGAGTGGACGTTCAGGAGCAGCTTGACGTCGGTCGAGCGCACTGCTCGCACACTTCTGGCAAAACCAGGAACACTGTCGAGCCCGCCACCACCGCTGCTATTCCCATCTGCCAGCGTTGGACCCGTGGATGTCGTGGTACCAACACGGGGTTCAGTGGGAATTCCGAAGAATCTCTTCCCATTGGTCGTGGACATGTTAGGCAAAACATCCGGGTCAGCTCTGAAGCATTGTTGGAAGGGGCGGTAGCTGAAGATGACATTGAGGGCATCGAGGACAGGCTCCTTGAGGGCTTCTGCTGCCGCATCGGTACGAGGCGCCGTCGGGTGGAGACGGCCGAGGAAGGTTTCCAAAGGAAGCTCGACGGGTCCAGAGATAGTCACTGCGTATCGTTCCCGGTCGTCTGGTTCCTGAGTGTCTGGTTCTCGAGTGTCTTCACGAGAGTAAAATTCATCGGCGTAGACAATGTGGATGGTGCATTGACGACCATGTGTTTCGTCAATCTCGACTCTGCTTTGCGTGGCCTCGTCCAAAAAGTTCAACCTGGCCTCAGCGATGAGTTTCCGGTGGTAATCCGTCGCGATTGCGACCTTTGGACCAAAGTATCGGGCCTGTTGCGATTTTTGTAGCGCCATAGCAATCAATCTCCTCTTCTTCAAGCCAGGTATCCCAATTCGCTTCTTCTTCCCTTGGTTATTCGTGGTCCCAGGTTGCTGCGTGGCCCCTTGTGTGCCCCTTCCACTGTCCTTCTCCTCGACAGGCTTACCGTCTTTGTCCACTTGGACGATTGATATGTCATACTGGTAGAGCGTCCTGATGCCACCGACAGTGATGCGAAAGTAGTTTGCGAGCAAGTGTGTCACTTGTCCATATGGGAGTTGTGGTTGGCCCTGAGGCGCTTGGCCGTCAGTCAATGTCTTCGATCCTTGCCGGACTGCACTGCCGCGGCTCCAGGAACCACCCCTGCCACGATTGTAAGAACTGGAACCTCGGCTGTCCTGCTGACCCTGTTGGTAACCGTAGGCGCTGGAGCGGCGATTCTCGAAAGGTCCCAGAGGCTGGTAGCTGGTAGAGCGCTGATCGCCAGCTGGGCTGCGACCACGACCGAGACCACGACCGCGGCCAGAACCGTCGTTGGGAGGGTCTTGCCGGCTACCAGGACCATGAGGCAGGCCTATATTGCTGCTACGGTGGGGGCCGCTGGGGGTTTGGTTCTGAGGATTGCTGTGACCGGGAACGAAAGGGCGGGCTCGAGCATCAAGGGAAGGAACGTTGCCTTGACCTTGGAAATTCTGTTGTCCACGACCATAGCCAGAGTTGCTGCTGTCTCGTTGGTGGATGGTGCCTGCCCGGCCGAAATGTTGACCTTGTCCAGAGCCAATGCGAGCATTGCTACCGCGGCGTTGATTGGTCGACCAGCTGCTGCCACGACTGCCGCCACGACTTCGTTGTTGGTCACCCCTGCCGCCACCTGGGCCTCTCCCACGGCCAGAGCCGCGAGGAGGCTGTGAGGTATCTCGATTGTTGCTGTCCATGTTAGGCGAAGCAGAATAAGTTGTAGGGAGATGATGATGGTAAGAAAAGGAAAGAGAAGATCGCTCGCCTGGAGAACGTACGCATTAAATCAGAGCGCAGTGGTCGGTCCTGGAAAGATTGATCCGTTAGCCTAGTTGCGTTTGTCGCAGAAGCAAGCCGTCTTTGTGTTGCACCCGCTGCTGGTCCTGTTGGTTGAGCGTTGGGTATGGCGACCTGTAAGCTGTTTGTGAGCGTTTGTTGATTTTCAAAAGCAATGGCGTGGGGAGCTAGGGGAGCAATCAAAAAGCCACATCACAATGATACATCTGGCCCCTGCATGGAACGAACCACAGCGACTTGAAAAGACGTTGGCCTGCTGTAAAGATCAACATACCACCAGACAGAGAGGAATACTAGCGGCAGAGTAGCTGGTGGTCCCAAGGGCCAGCTTCAGTCGGAAATCATAACGTATAGATGGGCCGTAGCACACTGTCAAACCACCTTCACACCTCCCTCGACCCGTCTCTTCAATTCTCCATTAAACTTCTCCAACATGTTGACCAAATCTTTGACCATTTCCCGCGGCACAAACACCCCAAGCATGCCTTCCACGCGCTCACCGTGATGGAACATTGTTCTCTTCCCCCCGTCTTGCTCAACGAGTCTGAATGAATGGTTCCCCATAAGCAACCATCCCATCATTTCAGGCAGTGGACCCCCTTTCCATGCGAATTCATGGGCCTCTGGCTTCCAGGTCGTGATGCGTGCGGTGTATGTGCCTGGCTTGGCCTTGTCGGACATGCGATTTGTGAACGTGACCTGCGTTCCCAGTTGTGGTGACGTTGAGTGCGCGTGCATGGCTATGAACCATGTATTCCAGTCCGGCCAATGGTCGAAGTCGATAAGGACATCCCAGACTTGACGGGCAGGGGCGTCGATGGCGACCGAAGTGAGTGCTTGTGCTGGCATTGGAATGTGTGGCTCGGCTGACTTGACGCTTTGGATACGGGCGAGAAGTATCCCTGGAGCGTGTTAAGACAATAGTGTCAGACTGATGTGGTCTTAATTGCTCAAGGCTGCCAGGCATATTTTAGAAGATAGCACAGGGCCGGGGTGGGCGGTAGGAGCACCTTTTGAGCTCCAAGCTCTGGGCTGCTTGACATTTCGACGTATTCAAATGTAGACAGGAGGCTCCGCTCAGTCGCCATAGCACCAGAACTCCGCGCCGCTCAATCATGTGCACCAATCGTCCGCGGTCAACACTTACTGCTAATGGGAAAGCTGAAGGTGGAAAAGTGGGAGATGGAGAGATGTCGAGCCAAGAACAGCCGCCCTAAGTTTGGTCCGACATCGAAGAAGACCGGTCGAGTAGAATAACGCTGTTGCCTGGTTGAATGGCTAGGCCGATAGTATAGAATCCCGTGTCTGCTCTGGGATTGGAACCATGGCGACACTCTGCAGCAGGTAACAATTGTTGTCTTCTGTTCATACACATGCAAGTCGCCAGGGCCGGCGGCCTGCTTAAAATCAGCAGGCATCGACACGAACCGCCAGCTTTCCAAACAGGAACCATACAGTTTCAGATCTAGTGAGTTAGCATGAAACTCGCGCCTGTTCTCCTGGCTACCGCTTCGCCCTACGCATCTGTCTGGTCGTCCTTGCTGGTTGGTCAGATTGCTTCTGGGGTGGCGTACTTTTCTTTGCTGGGGTCGTCTTCTTGCTGCTTCCACCTTTCCCTCGCCCTCTTCTCGTAGCAGCGTTCTGCTTCTCCTTCAACGGCGGCGACCTTTCTTCCTTTTCTCCCGCTCCTGCATCACTTCCATTGACAGCGGCATCGTCATCTTCGTGCACGTCGACTTCATCCTCAACCTCCTGTTCTCCGGCTTCCAGGTCGAGAGACTTATTTTCTTCGTCGCTGGGTTCCTCATGCACCACTTCCGATTCTTGCCGCTTCACCTTTCTCTGTCGCTGCGCTACAGGACTGCTTGCGGTCTCATCTGCGTCTTCCATCTCCGCATCTTCATCTGAAGTGTCGGACTCTGCATAGGTCGTGACCCTAGAACTACGACCACTCTTTCGGGAAGGAAGTGTCGCGCTGCTAGGAGGTGCACTGCTCTTCCGCTTAAGTTTCGGTGTCTTCCGAATCGCAAGGGTGCCCTTCTTTGCTTTCTTGGCCGGCTTCTCTTCTTCTTCATCTTTGTCGCCTTCCAATCCAGAAGCGTTGCTTTTCCTCTTCTTGCCCGCTCCCGGAGCGCGCTTGGGTGGTTGTATGCCAGTTTTCAACTCCTTGATATATGATCTTATCATTTTCTCAAGGTCGACAGCCACATCCTCGGGTAAGTAGTTCTTTTCCGCAATTTCTTGTGCAGCCTCGTGGGAAGCTAATGGTTTGAAAAGAGCCTTTGGAAGCGTCACCTTACCAGGATATGTCTGAAGGTTGCTGGCTCCTTTGGAATGACCTGGCCCAATGTCGGCATAGTTCCGAACGACAGCCTGAGCCAAGTCGCTGAGAACATAAAGTCTTTCACTCGTCTCTTCGGTCCCAGTAATACCGTCTTTGACATCTTTTACACGCTGCGCGAAGTGGAAGATTAGTGACAAGTTGTCGTCGTTTGAGATGCTCCAAAGATAGAACACAATATATTTGGCAAAGTCCAGCAACTCCCCATCGGGGTCGTCGCTCTCCTGTGTCGGATAATCTGGGTGATGTGCTAGTATACTGATCAGGCGTGCGAAAATTGGTTCCAGGATGGGCTGCTGCTTCTTCTTTTCCTCGCTATTCGCTGATAATTGCTGCCGCTTGAACCACTGTGCGCGCGCTCGAAGCCATGTGATTGTCGACGAACGAAGTTCCACGTCCGGCTCGAAGGCAAGTAGGAAGAATGCTGTGAACCATCTGGGAGCTAGGTTCCTCCCGAGGTACTTTTTCAGCGAGTTGACGAAGCCAGTGCGTACTGGGTTGGGAGGATGTATCATGACCAGCGCGATCTGGTTGAACTCCTTTGCATCGATGTGGTCCTCGTACTTTCTGTCGTGATTACAAAGCTTCAAGATGAAGTGGACGGCTGTGAGCCGTAACCGGTTCTTCTGCGCCGGAGGTGTGTCAGCCGAGTGTGTAATTTCGCCCCCGTTCCTGATCAGCGCTGTGAGGTATCCAAAAGCCGCCTGTATCGACGATGCTGAGTCATCGCTTTCGGGATCTTCATTCGGCGCCCGGGCACGATTGACCAGGATCTTAAGTGCCAGTCCCTTCGACATTGTCTCCTCGTCGTCCTTATCGTCCCACGCATTCGAGTCGTCGGTCCGACTTGGGTGCCGATTTTTCAGCAGTATCTCTGAGACAGCCATGGTGCGAATTGCGTCGGCCTCGGCGTTCGCAGCGGCGGGCGCAAGCAGGCAAAGTTGTGCTATCGTAGCGAGGCGTGCAAGGAAATACGGAGTTTGTGCCTGCTGGTCTTGCAACGCCTTCGACAGTAGATCTCTTGCGTACATTTCCTTCTTGTCTGCGACCATCATGATAATCGACACTGCATGCTTAGCTGCTTGGGGCGATCTGGAAAACAAAGCGAATTGTGTCAAAACCGTCATGAACTTGCGCTCCTTGGGCAGATCCGAAGGATACTTGCGAGCATACCCTGCACATGCTTTGAGAGTGGCAGCAGCTCCATCTTTCTCCAGCTTCTTTGCTGTTGGCACATCTTCCTCGAGCTCTTTACACAGAGCTTGAATGTGGTACCTTAATACTTCTGGATTTCGCGCCGAAATTTGACTCAAGACTTCGTGGGCAACTTCTCCTAGGCCGTTCTCACCGGTACGAGATATTTCCATGATCGTCGGGATGTGACTGCGATTGTACGCAAGTAACGCACATCGATACAGGATCGGCTGAATGGTATCAACAAGAGAGTGCACATTCGCCGGTCCTTCGCGAATCCGCTTGTTGAGCTCCTTGATAGCCTTGGTGACTGTGCGGTACTCATTCTCCGGACCAGTGGCAAACCGTATCAGCTGATAGCAGCGGCGATCGTGCTGTTTGGCGAATTTCCACAGGTCATCGGACAGTGCACTTGGATTTGGAAAGGTTTTGGAGATTGTTTCGATCATGCGGGTGAGGCGGGTTTTAAGTTTTGCCTCGGAAGAGTCGTCTTCCACAACACCTCCATTGTATTCTTCGCATGTGTCCACAAAGACCTTCATTCCCTTGCTCAGCTGCACTTGGCGGTGCTGCATGCCGAAGAATACCTGACGCCGTTTCGCGTCCAGACTGTGCACCAGGGTGAGAATACGACGCGCCCTAATCGCATCCGGATCGAATACTTGCTCTTCCTGCGAGCTGCCATCTTTGTCCTTGGCTCGCTGCTTCTGGCTGTCGGCACGAGACGTGTGAACCTTTGAGGGAGGGAACGAAAGTGGTAGCAAGCTTTCGTAAAGAACCCTGTCGAGCACGGCAATGACATGTGGCTCATTCGTAAAGTAGGCACCGAAAAGGCGATTGGGAACCTCGCCTATCAAGCCTCTCACCACGTCATTTCCTTGTTCGATATCGCGCGAGGCAACACCCCAGATTCGAGCAAGGAGCTCCATTGCCGCTTCTCTAACATGATGTTTCTTATCTGTGACTCGATCGGCCAATGACGAAAATACAGTATCGCGTGCTGCAAGACCGGTGTCAGCGCCTAAGACGTTGATCAGGGTGTCGTATGTAAACATGTCCATGGCCACGACGGCTGCCAGGCGTACATGTTCCTCAACGTCGCGTAGCATCTGCGCAAAGCCGGCGAGGAGACTGCCAAGCTCTTCAGAGCTCATACCGATACCTCCAGCCGAGGTCCGTATAATTCGAGCAGCGGCCTTCGCCCAAGCTTCACGGACCAGATGTGACCTATCGTTCCGCCTTCCGAGGAAAGACTGATAAGCAGTGGCATGCACAGCCACGAAAGGTTTAGGAGACGCAGGGACTAGGATTGGATTCGTCGTCTGTGACGCAGATTCGTCTTGCTGGGTGATGGACGGCAACGGGTATGCAGCAGGGTCCAGGGGCACAGAAGGCGAAATCCCAGCAATGCCAATCCCAGCGGTCATGTCCCCGATGGTCTCGGTGGCCAGCTGACGAAGTGAGACGGAATCAGCGTTGAATTCAGCCTCGATCTGAGGGATGACATTGAGCAGGACATCTGGACAAGCCCTCCACAACTCTCGAAGTAACCTGTGAGCTTTGCGCAGATCTGCCACACTTTCTCTGTCCTCATCATCATCGAGTAATTCTGAGCCGCGACGCGTATGGCCTTTAGAGGCGCCATTAAGAGATGTGGCGGCAGTTGCATCAACAATGACCGTGCCAAAGTATTGTGTGATGTGAGCTGTCATCTTCTCCGGGCAAGTCGTGCAGAGGGACTTTGCCATATTGTACGCTGGTGGATAACCCTTGAGAAGGAGCGTTCCCTGTTTGCTGTCTTGACCATCGCGCTTCTTCCCTTTGGTGCCATGGTCTTGAAGATTTCGAGCATCTACGCGCATAAACTGCGAGATGATGATGTCCGTCACTTCTTGTGGGAGACTGACTTCGTCGACGACTGCGGCAAGTAGATTCTTAAGATGATATTCCACGCTCTTGGAAATCTCGACCCCTGAAGGATTGGCTCCTGAGGCGGACACGATGTCGAAGGCTGTGGTAAAGAGGGAGACGATCAGGTTCTCGTGGTTCGGGATATCGGTGACCAGGAGAATGCTCTGTGACTCGGCTAGGGAGCTGAGGATGTACACGTGTTGCGCATTGTAGGCATTCGTAGGGTCGACAAGAGCAGGTAGAATTGAGTTGATGATGACGGTGAAGATGTCCTACACTCAACGTAAGATGAGTCTGTTCCCTGCTGGTGGAGTTCAGCTGCTCACCTTCAACTGCCCCTCGATGAACGGCGCATCAGGGGCGCAGATCTTGAGTACATCCACGATGCACGATAGCGTCCATGCTCTCACACCCTTGTCCTTGTGTGCCAGAAGATTCGCGTTGGCCAGATCTTGCGACAGCGTGGTAAAAGCGCGCGAGTCGACTTGGTCCAAGTCGTAGTTGCGCAACTCGGTGGCGAGCTTTTGGAGTCGCGTCAACAGGTCGCCAACAGGAATCGCTTTGCCGGCGCGCCATGAGAGCGGCTCGTTGAACTGTAGGCCGGGGATGTCGTAGCGGTGTTCCTTTTGCGCAGCCTCCGCCGTTGCGGCATTGCGCAGCCGAGACGGCATTTTGCGATCGTGTCACGAGCTAGAGATCATGTCTGTGGAAGGACCAGGGGGTGACTGTGTCGTGAGTATGCAATGATCGTTTGCGCAGCGCGTAGGTTGAGCTGGGAGATGCTTGCTTGGTGGCGTGGTGGTGTTCGACTACGAGATGATGGCGGCGGGGGCAAAGGACGCGTCTTTTCCCGACGCGTCGAAATTCTCTGTTCACTCACTTTGTCTTCAGCAGACAAGATTTCGCATGAATGCAACTTTGGATTCGATTGCACGATGTCTATTAATCATCCTCCTACTGAATCTGTAATCCCTCGAATTTCACCACCAATTCGCCTTTCTCGCCATGCGGTGCTGGCTTAGCTCCATACACGCCGATCCACAGCTCTGTGTCCTTCGCCATATCACCCCACCAAGCGACTTCTCTCAAAGGTAACTTCTGTCCACCTTCACTGACAAGCCATATCCAGAGGCTCCCGTCGCTTGCATTCTCGACCTCGAGAATGGCGACTCCCTCGATACTCAGTGTCTCCGCCAGCAGGGGTCGGAGGCTCCAATCAGACCATTGATCCTTGGCTACCGTGCCTACCAACGGCACTCCGTCCAGAAACTCGATGCCTGTCTTTACCCAGCGAGGAGTGTCGGTCGTTTGGATACCCAAGAACAGACCACCTTGATCGTACTGGTCTTTCCAGGCAGCTGAGACAGTCACGCGGGCCGACTTGAATTTGCCCACTGTGCTGGTTCGGTAAATGATTGGTGCGTTGAAAGAATGGGTTGCTGGCGGCTTGTCCCAGATGTCCGTTCCAGCGGGGACTGTGATCTGAAATGCTCCCGAGAGATCAGGGATGTCATGCCCCAGATGGACCGACTTGAAATCAGATGTCATGGTGGGCGGGTGAATAATGGAGTGGGCTTGAGTTGCGTGCTTGTCGGTAAACACTGAGAGTAGGGCGATGTTCACACAATTTTATACAGCGTCGGAGTCGTCCTATTTACCTCTCGACGTCCGAACCCGGAACCAGATTTGGCAGCATGCCCGCCCTTGTAACCCCAGTTGGGGACGGTCCGCCGCGTTGGTTCGAACGTAGAACTGGCGGCTCATCCTCGGCGACGCGGGCCGGCCTCTTGGACACATTGACTCTACCACTGGGGACATGTGGTAAATGGATGTGAGTGTTCTGCGGGTATCAATCAGCAGTCTCGAGCCTAGCAAATGTCCTTCCTAGGCCGGAGCGCACCTCAACCTCCAGATACTACGTTTAGGATGGTTGCGGAATGCCCTCTCTTCCTTCCCTCCTCCATCTGAATGCCGAAAGTCCGGAAAAATTCATCCTGTTGCAACCATTTCAAAGCTAACCTTAAGAAACCAGAGAGTAGAAGCCGGCATCAGCTTCTCTAGTGATACATAATTGGACACTTGAAACAGGAGCGCGACCCAAGTCGATTCCGTACACGGCAGCATTCATCGTCCAGCTACCAATAACGGTCTAATGCAACCTACCCTCTACTCCTTCTATCTCTATGTATGCCACCCAGTCATTGCCGACACTTGTTGCCAACTCACTGCCCATCAGCTTTCTGCTTCAACAGATCGTCCCCAATCTTCCCAGCCTTCTTCTCGTCCTCCAAAACCGGTCGAGTAATCTCAAACCCATCAACAACCCTCGAGTAGGTGATACCTCCCAATCTCGCCACGGGCCTCAACACGGCCGGATCAATCAAGGTTCTGTCCTCATTGACTGCATCCTCTCTCACCCAGAATCTCACGCCCTCAATAATGGCCAACACGGCCGTCTTCTTCCCCGGCGTGTTTGGATTTTTGGACTCAAACTCCTGCGTGGACACCAGTTTCCCCTCCACAGCAAACACGCTCTCCTTGACCCGCGAGCACTTCACGACCTCGCACTCCGCGGGCGTCAGTCCGGACACAGCCCACTCACTCACCCCGTACGGCAAATCGATCGCGCTGGCGTTGGCCGCCTCGACGAAATCTTCACTGATCATATTGATCACGCACTCGCCACTCTCCCGCAGATTCCTCAGCGTGTCCTTTTCGTTGTCAAAGCCACCGGAAAACCCGACGCAGAAGATCGGCGGGTCGTGGTTGAACATCTGCGTGTAGCTGAAGGGGCTGAGGTTCGTGCTCGTGCCGTCCTTTGCGCGCGTGCTCAGGAATCCAATCGGCCGCGGGATGATGCCGCTGATCAGCAACTTGTAGTTCTGCACAGGTAATCTGCCCTCGCCGTACGGGTCGATGCTGACGTGCGGGGCGTCGGACTTGACGGTCGCCCCAGACCCGTACGTCCACTCCGTGTTGCGCGTCTTGGTGAAGTGCCATGAGCGGCCATTGTCCCAGTCCGGCCGCGAAGCCTGGACTTTGCCAAAGTCGCCGTGCGGGTTGCGTTTGACGGACGACTCGGCGTCGTGTTTGAGTTGCGATTCCTGCACCTGCCCGTCGGCTTCGCCTGCTGACATGTCGACGGTTGCGCGGAGTGGTCGGTACCAAGTGTGAAGGTGGTCAGTCCTTGGAGTCCAGATTTCAATTGCCGCGTCTATATTCACAGGACTTGTGAAAAGAGAGTCAGCATCGAGTAAGGTCAAGTACTGCAATGAGAGGCTTACCTAAGAACAGATAAGTAAACGTGAATGGTGCTCCGAGCTTAGAAGTCCCAATGTCGACGTCGCTGACCTAGGCCGCCGCACAGCACGTCAACGTCAAGCAAAGTGCGCGCTTTCCTGTTACTGTGGGCGAGTCAAGGCAACGTTTCTCGATCCGCACGAAGTGCCACCTCAAAATGCATGTAGACGACGAATCTGCATCTCGCTGATGCAGAAATCACTGGTGCTGCGCATCTCGACTACGTCATCCTGTGTTCATCCATTTTGGCGATTTCTCTCATACCAGGTAATTACCTACACGTCCACCCCCTGCGATGTCAGCATCACCACCGTCGCTTTCAGATGCCCAGACCGCGACAGTCGGACCACTGGAAATAACACCGTATTCAGGCCCTCGGTCGGGCTCGTCCGCGCTTCGTATACGAGGGACTGCATGTGGAGATGAGCGACCACTTTGCGGGGTCGTACTGTAGCTCGGGATGCGATGTCGTTGATGTGATATGTAGTCTATCGTCGCGAACATTGCTTGGTGTATTACATTCCAAACACCCTCGGTAAGACAGGACGGATAGCTGGACAATAGCACAGGTTGTCTCTTTTCACCTCAACTTGACATAGCCCGGGGACTATCTCGCGTTATTAGCTACCTTATCTACCAACACCAGTATCTATCACCGCGACATCCCCCATATTCTACCACCACAAACTCATCGACAATGTCGACCGACTACCAAACCTACCAACTAGGCGACTTCCCCCTCCAAAGCGGCGGCACCCTCCCCGCCGCCTTCATCGCCTACAAGACGTTCGGCTCCCCTTCGAGCCCTGCGGTGCTCTACCCATCATGGTACTCCGGGCTGATCTCGGACAACGAATGGCTGATCGGCGACGACAAGACCCTCAACCCAGCCACATACTTCGTCATCATCACCGCCCTGTTCGGCAACGGCCAGAGCACCAGCCCGAGCAATTCGCCCGACATCATCCCCTTCCCAGACGTGACCTTCTACGACAACGTCAAGGCCCAGCATCGCTTACTCACGGAGAAACTAGGCATTGACCACCTCCGCGCCGTGCTGGGCTGGTCGATGGGCGCGGCCCAGACGTTCCAATGGGCCACGCAGTTTCCGGACATGCTGGACATCGCGGTCCCGTTCTGCGGGTCGGCGCGCACGAGCATCCACAACCAGGTGTTTCTCGAGGGCGTCAAGTCCGCGCTGTTGGCCGCCAAGGGCGTCTCTAGCCGGGGGAGTACATTGGGACGAGTCGAGCCGGCGGGGAAGAAAAGCAGGACCTGGACGGACGAGGAGCGGGCCGTGGGTCTCAAGGCCTTCGGAAGGGGGTACGCGGGCTGGGGGTTCAGCCAGGCGTTTTACCGCGAGAAGTTGCATGAGAAGGCGTACGGTGGGTGAAAGCATGCCTGTGATGGGGGACGCCCCTGCCCCATCACGTGTTCCTAAGATGTGGCATCCACTGATCTCACTTGCTGTAATCGGCAATGTAGGCGCCAAATCGCTCGAAGACTTCATGACCTCCTTCTGGGAAGCCTGGGCCCTGTCCAAAGACCCCGAGAATTTGCTGGTCATGCTGCACACCTGGCAGGCCGGCGACGTGAGCAAGCAGGAACCCTACGACGGCAATTTCGAGAAAGCAATGGCGAGCATCAAGGCCAAGACGCTCGTCTTGCCGAGTAAAACCGATTTGTATTTTCCGTGGGTGTTCCACTTCTTTTCCCAGACAGAGGTTGGGGCCCTGTGCGTGTAGGCACGCACGCGCCCGCATGCAATACTGACTCGAGTCCCCACGTGACATGGTGCGCGCACGCCGCGCGTTACTGGTGTCACTGATGCTGACGCTGTGTTGAAAATAGGCCCGAAGACTCAGAATACGAAGTGGCCAACATGGCGGCCGGAGTAGGCACACTCGACGTCTACCCGTCCATTTGGGGACACTGGGCGGGCGGACCGCCTGGGAACATGGACGACGTGAAGTGGTTGGATGAGCGGTTGGCCAAGATCTTTGCAGAGGCGCCGCGTCGCGGGTGAGGTGTTGAGGTGGCGGAGCGGGCGCGTGCGTGAGATGACAAAGGGGGGGCGGAGGTGAAGTAGGCCGAGCTTTGAGAAATGACACTTCGGTCGACTCTGATTCTGAGTCTGAGTCTGGTGGATGGGAGAGCATTGTCCGATGGGATGGAGTCGAGGTATCCTTGTGACCATGTTCTGTTTGAGACGGAGTGGAAGCCGTGGAAACTCAAACCCACGTGTTAGTATGTCGATGTTGCTGAATCAATGTTCTTGCCAGCTTTGAATGTGTCGGGTCCTGAAATGGAATCAGAAGAGTGAGGATCACAATTTACAACGCAGAGCAGAATTGTTGTCAGCTTGGTGACATGTTCATATAACTTCAACGAGTGTATGTATGTACAGTATCCTAATCCTTGCGCAGCCTCAAGTCATCTCTCATCGAACATTCCGTGTCATTCGTAGATTTGCCATGAGCGAATCCCGAATGTTGAAGTTGTAACCCCTTTGCCCGAGAGTTATGTCGTCCTGAGTGAGCACAGACTTCCCTAGGTGATATTTCCAAGCTTGTAACGGTGTGAAGTACGCAAACTCGGTCTTTCTCATCGCCTCGGTGGCTCAAAATGAAGGCGATCGTCTCCACCAAATCTCATCCCTCATGATACGCTGTGGTGTCGTAGTTTTGTAGTGTTCTCGTTGCTCGGTCGAGGAAGCGAGTTTACGTCGCCCTGTCATTGACAATTTCCTCCATATCCACCACGGATGGCTAGAAGAACTTCCCCTTGACGTCAACGTGACTGCGAACCACGCCTTGCTCGTCGGAATAAACCTCCCTTTCACTCTCCCTACCGAGAGAATCTCGCCGGCCTCCAGCGACAGCAGCTCCTCCCGTATAGAACGCCGCGGTCGGCGCCGCCGGCTTGTCCAACGCATCAAATCTAGTTCCCCTGACCTTGGCGATGCACCACTGCACACTCAACCTGAGCGCAAACGCGCCTCCGGCCCACAGCAGTCCTCCAACAGGAGCGGCAACAAATGCGCCAAAGGCACTCCAATCATTGGCATACAGTCCCTGCTCCAGTAGCAGAAGATCCGCCGCTTGGCTGGCATCGCCGTGGTAGAAAACAAGCCCAAAGAGGAAAACCGTGAAGATGCCGCCCAGTCCGCCGACCACCACCTCGAACCCCCTCCACGCATAACATCTGTCACTCAGCCCGATGACCAACACGGGGATACTGCTCGCAGAGATCAAATCACTGATCAGATAGATCTGCAACACGCTCGGACTTTTCAATGCCACCACCACAACGGGTACGATGATGAGCACCACACAGCCCCTCAATACCCAAAGGTTGAGTTTGTTCCGGAAAATGTCGTTGGAGCCGGTGCTCACCATGGCGGATTGGAAACTGTCAAACGCAGCAGTGCTCAGGGCAATGGTCATTACCAGCACGATCCCCACAACCCACGCGGGGAGTTGTTCAAGCAACAAAAAGAACGCGATGGATGATTGTTCGGGCGGATCGCCTAGGGCACCGCTCCATCCTGCCAGCAAGCCTGTGACCCCGACGAGGGTGAGGATGATGGCCACAGCGACCGTGGCGATGGACACGCCAATCCAGAGGTCTCTGTCTGTCTTGGCGGCAAAGGTTCTCAACCAGAACCCCGAGATGAAAAAGTCGTTCGTCAGGATCGCGACGGGCAGGATATACATCAATTGCCAGCCCAACAGGCTTGCGTCGAGGTAGTTGCTTCTTTCAATCAAGTCGTGGGAGATCTCAGTCTCGACACCGACCGTGATGCACGCGATTATAATAAGACCCACGACCATGGCGCCTTGGACGTTGTCTGTAACAAAGGAGACCCTGAATCCGCCCAAGGAGGTGTAGATGGTTGTGACGGCACACTCGACTATGACAGCCGGGAGGCCATTGAGGCCGGTGAGGGCGGTGACGATCTGTTGGAGCGCCGAGAGTTCGGCGACCATGTAGAGGAAGATCGTGATCAGCCTACATACTCATTAGATGCCTAGTGAGTGAAGGGCAAGAAGGTGACCGTACGTCAGAGCCGAGAGATACAAAGCTGCAATGGCTCCATATCGCTGGCGGGTCCACTCTGTGAGGACGAATCCCTCGGGACATTTGTTCCTGATGATGGGCCCAAGAAAGGCGAAGACAAGAAGTGGCAATGCCGAGGACAGGGCGTAAACCACAAGGCCCTGAACACCCGCGATGGTGGAAATCTGAGGGTATGAAAACAAGACGCCTGAACCTAGAGCTGTGGACCACAAACAAATCCGTCCCTGTCAGTATGCCGGATCTTTTGGTGCAAGGGAGGAAGGGGGATAGGGGGTTTCAGGGAGGTTGGCAGCACGTTTCCCACGCAAGCATTAACTTGATCGAGTTTTGACGGTACATTCTCAGCATTGTGTTGTCGGCATTCCGGATCCGCTCATCTCTACTTCGAGAAGAAGCAGTTGGATGAGGCAGGGGAAACGGACTGACACAAGCGCCCGTAGTGCTGCGCATTGGTCCATGTGCTTCCGCATGAGGAAGTCTTCGTGCACGCGCCCTCGCACCAGCAAGGAGCATGGCCAAAGAGCTTTCATTGGCGGAGAAGCAACACGAACCAACGGCGTTGATGCAAGCGTACGAACCTCAGATATAGTCATGCGTAGGAGACCTGCCGCTCGGGCAAGGACGTCTTATAGTCAGGACTGGTAATTCCATCTCATGTCATCGAACCATTTCTGGATGCGACTCGATCTGTGCCAACCCTCGAAGTTGCCGCTTCAGGCTGCTGCTGCCCTTCTGAAAGCGCACTCACCCGAGGCGATGAAATTGAGGGCCAAAGGTATGCCTGGTAACTCGTCAGTCTCTCTCTTTCGGCAACGGCAGGTCCCTCAAGGATTGCTCCTGTGGCAGTACGGCTGTACCCTTCTGTGTCCGCAACGTGGCGAGGTATTCGCCCTTCGTTTGGTGCCGCAGCGTCCATGCGATGAACAGGCCAAAGGCTCTGGAGGATCATCATTAGCCTGCGCTACAGATCTTGACAGGGCGCAAAAATTTCATCTCGTACAAGAATGCGGCATAGGTCGTGTAGATGACGGCGTTGGACGCCTGCTGCGATGGAAGACCCATGTTTATCTGCTGTGGTCAGTTGGACGACGAGGAAGAGTCTCTCTGCTATCACCTTTTCAGCAGCAGAACCAGGTCTTTCGTGAACGGGGAAGAAGCAACATGAGAAATCTTCGCCAGCTCGTGTTCAATGTGGGGCAAGTAACTTTTGGTGATCCGATCGGTGGATGATCTCATTCTTCGTGAGCCTCGGGCTACAGAGAGCATCACGCCAGCAAGGAATCGAAGCTGTACCGCCCTTATCCATTGGCCGATAAACCTCCTGAGGCCACATGGAACCAGGGTCCTTGCTAGCACCTGTTACAGTGTAGCTACGTCGCCTGAGACCACTTAAACAAACTCCTTCCTCAATATCTCGAAGTCAATGCTAGAACTCCGCCAGTAGCCATGGATATCCAGCTCAAATACCGGTACAGAGCCTCTCCAGTAATATGCAAAATTCAGTCGCCGTCTCGGTCAAGGCATTTGAACAGCGGTCGAGATACCCCTGGAGTTGCCCAAGAATTTGCGGATTCGCCGCCTACTCATGGTGAAAATCGGTGGCTTTTGCACATGGATCTTCTGCAAATTCGATATGACATCCTTCCCAATCGTCACTGCGCATGAGGATACCCTTGAACTTGACAGCGTGGTCGATGTTGGCAAAGCGGAAGATGATGGTGCGTGTCTGTTCGAGCGGTCAGTCATGCAGCTAGTACCCGAGGATAACCGCGACAGCCATTGACTCACTCTGTTGTGGTATGTGTCATGGATAGCCTCCACTCGACGTGTTGCAGCCTTTCCTTGGGCGAGCTTGTTCAATGCCACAATTCCCCAGTCTTCGGCAGCATTGTTCACCTTGACAACCCGGGTAGCGCCACACTCGAGGTAGCCTTGCAGCATCCCGCTGACAACATCGACGCCGTCTCTCTTGTGGACAAGCACCGGCCATTTCTTGCCTTGGTGACGGATGTCGAAGCCATCGGGATATTTGTCGTAGTAGCGATCACAGGCGTCAGGACTGACGAAGGTGACGTGGGCAGAAAGAGACGGGTTTTCTGAGCTACCGCTGACCAGCCTCATACATTCAACCACGCCGCCATGGATGAATGACTGGACTAGGGCGAGGTCTGCACCGTGTGGAAGACCGGAAAGGATGATGGTACGTTGACGTGATCCTGAAGATATCAGGGGCTCGTCACTACACTTACTGGGGTTGTTACGGGCAGCCGGCGTGCCCCATGTCTTCAAACGAACAAGATTCCCTCGATCCTCTGCCATGTAGCCTCCTGCGACGCTGTCATCTGTGTCGGTATTGGCCGTAACCACAATGGTAGGCGATTGTGTGTGTTTGCAAACGGCGTCAGTTGCCTTGGGATCGTTCTCAACCATGACACCACCATCGGGGCTATCCAGCTCTTTGGTTGAGACCTCTGCAGCAGGGACTGCCTCGTCTTTCATGACAGTCTTGTTGGTTGTGGTATTTGGTTCCTGTGAGCCATGATCGGACAACTTCATATTATCCAGAGTGCTGATGATTGGAGTTTCGCCAAAGGTAGGCAAGCTCTCCAGTGGCTGCTTCTCCTGTTGCGCAGCTGAAGTATATGTCAGCACAGAATCAAGGTACCAGGGTAAACATGCTACCATTGCCTTGGCCTTCTGCCACTGGGGTGGTTGAGGGTGCAGTGGACGCCTTCTCCTCCTTGAGAGTAATGTGGTGAACTTCGGCGCTGATTGGGGTTTCGTCCATTTCCGGAAACGGGATGCTGCTGATTTCAGAGTCGCTGTCGTGCTTGACACCTAGCGAAAGGCATGAAAAATGGCGTACACAGCTGGTGAACATGGCTTACCTGATGACTCGGGTCCTTGGGCGTCGGCCTGCTTCGACGACACAATGGGTTGGCCAACCTTACGAAAGCCCTCGACCACGTTGTCCATGTAACCCTGAGCCTGTTGTTGCATCTCCGAAAGCTTCTTCTCGGTTAGATGCTCGACACCCGGTTTCTTCCCTTTGAGCAACCGATGCTGGGTAGGCGTCAGGTGCTTCCCACGAAAAGGAGCTTTCACGTTCGGTTGTTCGGGGGTCAGCACGTGTTCTTGAGGCACAGGAGTTGGAGCTGAAGCTTCGGTCACAAAGCCGTTTTCGTCTTGGACCAGGTCAACGCTGCCAGTGTCTTGCAGGCTCGATATCTGCGGGAAAGGAGGTGATGCTGGTGATTGCCAGCTTGGAGTAGAGCATGTTGGCTCCGACTGCTGGACGACAGGTTGACGAGCGGCATCTCCCATGTTTGCAATCTCTTCTTTGTCGTCGATAGGAAGGGATATGGGAACAATCTCCTACCGAAAAGTCAGTGATTTGAGTTTGAGGGGAATCTCATTGAAGGTCAGACACACCGCGCTCTCTGGGTTCAAGTTCGAGCTCGCACGTTCAGCACCAGGTCCGACATCGTCGACTGAGGATAAAGGACGGCAATGGACAACGTTCAAGAACTTGCTGATGAACTCCGGGTCGTCAAATCGTGACGGTGGTGCCATGACGGCGGTCCTTGCAGGTGGTAGAAGGAAGTAGAGTAGGCACAAAAGGAGATTTGAGAAAAGAGAAAATGCCAACGTGGAGTGGAGAAGCGAGAAAAGACTTACGAAGATGACAATGAAAGACATGAGGGGATGCTCTTGAGGCGCTTCACATTGAACAGTCACTGCTCACTCTGCCCTGTTGACGATGTCATCGTCGACTGGCACAAAACAGCCAGGGTTGTCGCGGTTTCATGAGCTGGGCTCAGCGCGCCAACCACAGATTGGCCGCGTAGTTAGTGCTTTGGAGGGTCAACAACGATGTTGAATTTAGGGAAGGACTTCCCACACGGAGGCACTGAGCTGGCTCGTTGTGAAAAGATTCGGAAGAGTTCTCGTCTTCATATTTGTCTTATGCTGCAGGAAATTCTCTCCAGCTCGGGTTCAAGACTGCGCCGCCCTGATAGCAGACACATTTCCCCGGTATGATAAGCATGCTTCCAGCTTGTAACTGTTGTTCCGGACGCCATCGCTATGCTCAACATAACTTCCAAAATCATAGAGCTCCTGAAGGGGCCGGCACGACTTCCCAGTTTCTTTCCCCTTCGTTAACATTTTCTTTGATCAAGGCCAACCCACGGCGACCACAAAATCCTGCATGTGAGGCTGTTCTCATCACCTGATGAAAGGAGCCATTGTTCGGTAGTGATTCGTCTGGAACCCAGACCGCCTCCTCGACTTGCTGCCACGGCTCCTCATGCCGCCGTGGATTGAATTTCGGCTTGCTTGTAGAGACGTCAATCAACCAGTGGATGGGTGTGTATAATCGTTCGAAACGTCGGGTGAAGCTCAGCCACGACAGTGTCGTAGAATCATAGGCAACTCGAACGAACGGATTCATGTAGATGCCTGAATTTCGTGGCTCCGGGCTCTGAATGTCCGCTTGAATGAGACAACATTCGGAAGCATCCCAGTATTGATCCTTCTCCGCACGGAACCGATAAGGCGCGGAGAGATTGCTTGGGCCTTGGTTCCCGGCGGTTACCAATTCGGCGTGACCGGGTCGTTTCTGGAAAAAGCGCGCGTCAAATGTAACCATCCCACCCCAACAGCTCTTGACCCGCACGGCATCCTTGCCTTCCAGCACATCATTGTGACTAGTTTCGTCACCACCTGCCGCAAACCAAGGGTAGAATGGCAACCCCATGCTGTACCCCTCAGCATCTCTGGTTGCAAAAGTGTCGTAGAATTTGAAAGGGTTGATGAAATCCACCGCACATGCCGCTCGATAGTCAGTCACTTCATTAGTGACAGTGTGTGTCGAAAATAGTAGTTGGGCTGCTTCAATAGGGTGAAAAACCACATCGTTTAGGTAGAGGAGTTTGTCGAACGTGGTGTCGACCGCGTCTAGTGGTGCCAGGGCTCGATTTCTAACTTCGGCCAGATATTCAATGCGCTTTACCCGTTCCTGCCCGTAGATGTGAATGTGAGGCAGGTTGTCAATGTTCAGGTGGTCTTGGAACACCAGTGCATGCTCGCACGGCACCCGTTGTTCCAGCCCTTCCAACGCCTCCTGCGCCTCCGGGCCTGAATCGTTGACGTATATCGACAGGAATGTGTTCTTGGGCCCCAATAACTCTATCAGATCCAGCACGTTCTGTGCCCAGTTTCCGCTGAGCAGTTTCCCGCCTTTATCGTATATGCTCGCTGCAATGAAAACCTTCTGATTATGTATGTTGGCCCGGCCTGGTTCCTGAGACGCCAGCGCTCTTTCTCTCAGTGCCTGGTAGTGGGGTGGAAGGTGAGTGTAGCCGGGGAAGAACACGCCGCCTACAATGACAATAGCGGCGATGCTGGTACAGAATACGTAACAAAGGAGAATGAAGGCTCGAAGGAGTGATCTCGGTGCGCGGCCATACCGTCGTGGAAGTCGATTCGATCCGGCTCGAGACCGCTGTAGACGAGGCTGCTTCCGCAGCCAGGCAGGGGCTAGGGCGATAGAGTGAGAGGAGATCGGCGGCTTGACCGCACTCGACACAGACTGGCCAGTAAGTAAATGGGTCTGAAAGTCATCGCGGTCGGCATCCTCGTCGTCATATGGTAACGAGTCTTCTATCTCGTCCGATGAGTACGCACTCGTCCTCGACAGCTCATACTCATTAGGTTGGCGATAGGAATAACTCATTGTCTGAAAAGGGAATAAGTGTGAAGAATAATAGAGAGGAACGTCGGTAAAGAGCTGTCGCCATAAAGCTTTATGGGAAGTCGGTCACGACTTCAAGAGAAATATACAGGATGAATAGAAAGTGAGGTGCAGATGACTCTGGTGTGAGAGGTGGTGGGCTGTGGGATGTTCAGGGCCAGGAAGAGGGCGAATAGAAATAACCATGGACGCGCAATCAGAACACTCAATATTACGAGGTAGGGTGAACAGCTGGTGAATGTCCAAGTGCCACCAGACACAGTCCATCACCAACGAGCTGATCTCGACTCACCCGAGCGTTGGAACGGTGTTGATTTCGGGAGCATAGCCACTGGAAAGGAAAGGGAACGTGTAAATTTTTGTGGACATCGGGTCGCATGGGCCCTGTGTTTGGCTGCCACTTGCCGGCCCCTTCCCCCTTCGGGAATCTGGCACGCGGCCTCGCATCGTGAGAACGGAGACCGACTTCAGTGCCAACATGCGAAGACCGGAGAGTGGAAAGATCCAACAGGCGACAACTTTTGTCCAGGGGCAGATCCCACGGCAGGCTCGCCGCTGCCTAACACGAGCCTAAGAGGTGGCCTATGGCCGGCTCACAGGTGCTTGAGGTTACTTATTATAGCTCCACCTTCCCCGAATTTTGGTGCAGCTGCTGATCTGTTTGAACGCAGCGGTCAAACTGAATTCCATTTCCTTCTACCACAGTAGGTCACAGGCTCATGATCAACCTGTGTAGCCCACATTTTAAGAAAGGTTAGGCTGCAGATTGCAATGCTTGTTTCTGGACCGAAAATCCAATCATCGATCCCTGCTCCATGACATTTGACGCAATTTAAGACAATTGTGACACCTTATGTGCGCCTCCCCTCTAACTGCCCATAAGCAATAATTACGGCCCTCGAGATTTTGCCCCTGATCATTTCAGTCATCCACAGACGTACCAGCCTCAGGCTCTCCAGATTGCGATGTCAGCAGCCGCACTATTTAAAGACACGTCAGGCCCAGCAGCGCCCCTTTCCAGAAGGCTGACGAGCGCGATGAGGCTGTTCCTGCGTTAATTACTGATCTCCAGACGCGCAGTGCGGTACGCGCACGGTCCGTGCTGCGCAGGCAGCATTATTTGCAAGCTGTGCGACATGTCGTGAGTTCTTCCAAGAATCACGACATCGTCCTGTCTGCCCGCTTCTTTCTACCCATCCCATATTTCTTACATCCCGCAGTGAAGAGTAGCTCCCGGACGCGGCCTGCCAACTGCAGTTAGAGATCCCTCTAGAATTTCAAGAGGTGCCAGGAGGTACCAGGAAGTGTAATCTGGTTCGATTGCACCGCGACAACCAATGCATCCCGCATGCATCCCGCCTACGGAATGACGACAGCCCCAGGTCTGGCCTCGGCTTTGTACGAGGTACAAGTAATGTTCATTCACAGATTTCCCGTATATTATGCATTCAGCTCGGTCAAAGATTGCTATCCAGAGCAAATCCGGTTCGGACTCTCCTGCCGCCTGCTCAGCGCATGACCATCCGCCGGAGGATCGTGCCTCCGATGTGGTTTCGTGAATACTGTAAACAGTCGCATCCTAGAGGCAAAGGCGCTGCCTCATACCGCACCGACTAGGATTTCGACGCTAGCCCAGCTCTGAACGAGTTACCACGAAGCTGGGGCGAGAGCTGAAATCCCGGCAGATCTATGAACTTTCCGACCGTGGTCTCCTAGGAATCTGATCTTGTCAGGCATTGGACAAGGGAGCTATTCAGCATAACAAGGATGAGCTGTCCTCTTTCCGGCTACACGCTTCCGGTTTTGACCGCATCACTCACAGCACAGAAGGCTCCGAAGGCTCATACATAACACGGCGGGGCCATATGAAACAGCGCAAGTGGATTGCAGGGAAGTGTCTTGAGATACAAGCTTGCGACAAAGCCCAAAGGATACCTCTAAGAACTGGAGATGGAGACATTGGAGGTAGAGAAGAAGCTGATTTGATCAGAGGTCACACCAGGAGGTGAGACCGAACTTCATGGTACAGTACTGTGAACTAAATGAGGGTCTCGTTAAGTTGCACGGATGGGAAAGAGCGGCACGAGCAGGTAAAGATAACATCTCATTAACATACTCGGATTGCTGACACCGTCATGTCCTTGTCCCTTGCTTGCTAAATTTTAGACAACACAATATGGATTGCATACATAAATGACAGAAAGGCATTCAGAGGTTGGCTGGACCGGATCAGCACAGGAAGGCGTGGCCGCGGCTCTTCAGAGTGCCCTACCCTCTTCCTACCGACCTTCTTCGCTAATGACGCCAAGCCCGAAATGGAAATATCGCTTCTTACACTCAAACAGCAAGCTTCTCTTTCTTTTGAGTTTAGCTTTCGAAGACACCGTTTCCTAAGCAGTCCCACTCCTCCTCTTACCACTCTGCGATCTTAGCGGGTCGTCCACCACCAACGGCGCCACGCCGTTACTGACGCCTCCTGCGTGGCCATGCAATGGCACGGTATGCGCGCGGTCCACGCTCTGCTGGTGCTTACCGGGAATGATCGTGTCAAAGTCCTTCATGATATCCGGCCACATTTGGAGTATGCTCCGCTCGAACGCGCCGAGCGGCTCTTCTGGAAGCTCAACCACGGCGGTTTTACCCTCCTTTTCGAAAATCTGGACTTTGCCCTTCTTCTCCCCGTTCTGCGAGGGCGGCTCGACGAGCTTTTCCTTGTAGACGTTCTTCTTCCAGACGACGTTCTTCATCTGCCCGACCGGACCCGGAGCACCCTGTGCAATGGGGGTGTCCGGGTTTGTCTCCATGCCGTGCATGACCCAGCCCTCCAGCGCTTCGGAATCATACTTGCCTTTGTCGTCGTAACCGCGGCCGTCCTTGCCCATGCGGATGCGAACGCTGCTGTGGATGGTTTCACAAGTACGCCTGAGTCGTGGGAGGGCATGGTGTCTATCTTCGAATGGCCTGACCACGCGATGGAAGATCTTCCAGAACATCCAGAAGAGTACGCCGTGCTGGGAGGCCAGTTCTTGTTCGCGGTATTCGCCGGGCGTGCGGGTGCGGGAGCCGCCCAGTCTGAAGAAGAACGACATGCTATTGTGGATCTTCCCAAGACCCCAGGGTCGAGGCTGAGGAACCGTATTCTGGACCATAGCCATACCGCCACTCTTCGTGAATGTCTGATGACGGCCTACGAGCCTCAGGTCGTCCTTTTGCATTGGCTTGATCCAGTCCATAAGGTAATCGTGGTCAATGGTAAGAATTGGGTCAAGGTTGCTGACCATCCAGGCCAGAGTGAGGTTTGCGAGGGCCGTGTCGTCGTAACTACCTCCGACATCGCTATGGACACCCGGGAACCAGCATTGCTTCAACTGCTTCAGATCGTGGTGTTCCACGTGCGGCCAGTCCCAGATCGTGGGGGAGAAGGACCGTCGATGTTCGTCCAGTGCCAACGCTTGGAAGGCATACTCAATATTTGACTCGACACGTGTGTCGACGAAGGCGAAATCTCTGCTGGGCGGTTGTGGCAGTAGTCCGATCATGGGGATGCCCAATCCACCCACGGTATCCCATACAGCCACGCATTTGACCTTGATTTTCGTCCTCGTCAAGCCTTTGTCGATGAGCTTCTGCTGATAGTCCGGGTCGACGGGCGGTTTGTGGCCCGCGAAAGGAAAGTCCGGCCACTTGGTCTTGAAGTCTTTCTTCTGCTGGTACTCCCAGTCTTCAAAGACCTGGACGAAGTATTCCAGACCGAGTGCGGTGAGTAGACCAGCAGCGTTGATCAAGCTTGAAATTGAACGAGCGGTAAAAGCGCCCCGGGAGAAACCGAGCAGGAAGATCTCGTCCCCATGGTTGTAGTTGAGACAGATGAAGCTGTACGCTTCACGAATATGCTCCGCAAGACCTTCGCCCGTGGCACCGCCAATGACCCGGTCGTACAAAGATGGAGAGCCCGTACCGATCCCGTTCTGATAGAATATGATCTGTGGTATTGGCTGGTGAGGGGTGACGGACTTGTCGACGCCGATGGGAGGAATGGCTCGAGCCACTCGAGTCACATTGCTCGGTGTTTGATAGTCACCATCCGAGTTGAGCCAGGTGCCGTCACAGCACACGACGATGCGCTTCCGGGGTCCTGGAGGTGCCATGCTGTCAAGCCGCTCTCTGGGTCGAAAGGTATACTGACGACTAGCTGGAGAGTCGATGTTGTCGTAAAATCTCCTGAAGCAAACTGGATGGGAAGTTACGACTATTATGGGCTTCAAGGCAGACTTATCCCCAGGGCGTGCTAGACGCCACACAACCGTCTCCGTCTTACAGCTTACAAGAGGCTGGTAGCACAAACATGCACACCGTCTCTTCACAGAGGTACGAAGCCCTTTCTTGGTGCCCTCCTTTGTCACAGAGCTGTGGTGGAAACGTTGTGGAGCTGAAACACGCCCATCACAGTCTTCAGCTGACACCCGGTGAGCCGTATTGTCGTGACCAGTCTCGCAGCATTGCCCCAGGCTTTTCCAGAATCGAGGGTTTGGGTTGCCTTTCGATCCGGGCCAGAACCGAGAGCCTGATGCACTCTTAACGGCTCGCCAACCAGAGCCGAAGCTCTCGCCAATGGTGTCTGAATTAGGAGCACTTGCCAATGCGCACGATGCACAATTTGTGGACAAGAAAGGCGCGGCAGGGGCTGATTGGCGGCCTTTGGGGGGAAAGCACAGGGGTCAAGTCAGCTGTGGTGGACATCGGGCCCTGGGCTGCCTGAAAAGAACGGTCATCTTGACCTCAACTCGACCTCAAAACGACCTCGTTTGACTCCACTTGACCCTCCACTGTAGTTCAGCCTCACCGGCCTGAGGCCAGACACCAAATGCCAGACGCCAAATGCAGTACACGGATATGTTTTGGGCGAGGTCCTGAGACCTCTAAATTGTATCTGTATTTCTTTGGTTTGCTGTCTGGCTGTATGATGTTGATGCACCAAGCGCCACCTGGTAAAATATGTACAAACTTGGCAATTCTAGGAGCGTGCTGGAAGCCCATGATCCCAATCACTCCAGCTTACCGAAGACGCATCTTCCACAAGACTTTAGTCTTCGTCCTTCCATCTGCGCGAGACTCTTTCCTAGGCCGCGGCTCCGGTCTGTGACCTTCGAAAGACATGCAGAGCAAATCCATGATACCGGTATCGATTTCCAACCACCGTTCATCTCAGCCCTGCCTGCGACTTCCATTGCTGCAGTGGAACACGGGTGCTCTGATGCTGTTCGTGCTGTGCTGTGCAAGGTTAGTCTTCTTATCAGGTCTGTTACCTCGTTTTGTTCAATCTCACAACGGAGCTGTGGCTACTTTCATTTCTTTTTGGCATTTCGGCGTTTTCACCTTTTTTTGGTGCTTCAGCGCAATTTTCTCCTTGAAGGATGTGCATGCAAGATCGCGATAGCAGAGGAGAGATCAACGCGACGGCGCAGCTAAACCTCGAATGATACCGAGGTTGGCCGTCAGAAGAGCAGTACTACGGTTAGCCCACGATATCGTCAGGCTGGTGTAGCAGCTGGTGTGGGTGTGGCGGTGGGTGTCATGAGTCGGGGTCGTTTCGCGGCAGCCTCGCCATTCGTTTGAGCGCCCTACGGTAGGAGGTTAGCGAGGTCATATCAAGGGAGGGGACGAACTTACCTCGACTTCGTTGATGCTTCGTCTTACCGGCTTTGTCTCTGTGTTCGCAGTCTTAACTACCTTCTTAACCGGCTTGCTCGGTCGGGTTTCCCCAGCCTTGGCATCAAAGAGGTCGTCAGGTAACTCCCAACTATAATGATCAGCGATATGTAAAATTGAACTGCTCAACAGGACCTTACCTCTTTGACACGGCGAGATTCAGGAAATGGACTTCGGGATTGTAATTGTTCCATCCCGAACAGATGGACTTGAACGCTTGGAAGGCGGGCACCAGATTTAGGCTGCCCTTCGCTTGGGTGTCGATGCCGATATAGTAGGTGTAAGTATACACTGTGTGCGTATCCACGCCCATTTCCCCGTCCTCGCCGTTCGATAGAGGCACTGGGGTGGCGTTTCCATTCGTCATCACCAACTGGGGATCTGTTGTCTCGACAGCCTTGGTCTCCTCTGTCTTGTACTTCAGGCTGCCCTTTTGTACCTCACGAATTTGTTCTTCGTTCCTGCACTTGTGGAGACGTTTGAATCCTTTGGTGAAGGGGCGAGCAAGGACAATGCTGTCTTTCATGTCTTCCAACCTCATGACCAGGTGACGAACCTTGGATTCAACAAGACCAGACCACTTCTTGGCAGCATCGGGATTGAATGCGCTCGCAATCACGGTCAGATAATACTTGTGGTCGGCCGTGAAGAAAGTATGCTGCTTGAACAAGTCACTCCACTGTGCCTTGCCTGCAAAGATGTTGCGGGTGATTTTACTAGCCCGTCTGATCTCGTTGATGATGACTTTCTTGGTCGACTCGGTAATGTTGTATGTCGCACACATGCTGGGGAATGCCGGGGTGATGATGGGCATGAGATTCGCCCTGTCTTGCTTGTAAATGGCAGGATTCCACACTTTGAAGCCCTGTGCAGTTTGTTTAGGCTCTGGCTGCTCGATGTCCTTCAGCATCACCGGAGTAGGCCAACCCCACTCGGTCATAATGTAGAAGAATCTGTCGACAAGTGTGGCACCCACTGCATGCGGGTAGAATTGGCAGACTCTCGCAACCATCAGGGCCCAAGCGATGCCTCCGGGATAGCCAACAATATTGGCATAGACTGCTCTTCGTTTCGCCCACAATTTGATTGCTCGCAGTGCCTGTCGGAAAGTCTTCGGTTCAGGGATCAGAGTAAGGAGTTCATCAGTGACACGCTACATCCGTCGAGTCAGTATGTTGCCAGAACAGGTACAAAGTAAGGGCGACTTACAGGACCGGTGATTGCACGGATGGAGGACTGGTCAAGACCCATCAAGAGGCTGTTGTCATTCAGGTCAAGCTTCGGCGGAATCGTTTGCAGAGTGGTGATAGAGGCAAAGATCAGATCAATCTCGATGCCGTTAAGGATGAGTTTGATGATGGGAACGAAGGTATCGGGGACTGGAACCAGCGAGGTAACTCCAGCGGTCAATTCTCTAACCGCGGGTTTCTCCTTTTCTCTTGTTTCCCTGGCTAACTCTTCCTCGGTCACTCGTCTGAGAACACCTGGGAAGTAGTCGAAGAAATCCTCGCGCTTAACGTGTCGAGGAGCGACGGCGAGTGTATCAATATCTGAGCCGGGACCGAAGACTCCGAGGCGATAGCTACCGTAGGGATAGACTTTGCCTCCGAACTGGTTGATTTGGGATGGAGGCAGTCCCTGCTTGCGACTAACCTCTCTGACGAATTCTTGAGTGGCTTTGCTCAGGACTTTGAGTGTTGCTATCCGCTTCTTCGTTCCCATCTCGTTCTCATAGTTCTTTTCCCTCTTCAACTCCTCAATTAGTTCACCATTCTTCTGCTCGTCCACGGGTTCAGGGAAAGCCAAGGACATCGGACCGGTCATGCCGTATTTCGCCTTCTCGGGCGCTTTGGAGTCGGCCATTATGGGCAAAGGAAAGCGTAGAAACAGAGGATCGTGCTCCTATATCTCGACGACACGACCTCGTAAGATGCTGGCTGAGAGGAATAGGGTAGGCAGCCAAGGACGGAGTCTTCGATAGACAACAGGGACGAGTTAGTTGGGCAAGAAGAGGAAAAGAAAGTGTGAAACAGGCAAAGACATCTTCACCCTCCCTGAACTCCAAACGAAAGATGAAAGTGAAATATGCAAGACAATATGACCAGGGCGGGTGAGGTTGAAGTGAATTTGCAAACAAAGTCGCAACAGAGCCGCGCAGACAGTGAGTGGCACGAGTGGCCAGGCCCGTCACTGCAGCGAAGAAGTGCTGCTCCGTAGTGTGCATACAGTGCAAACATCATGCCAAGACCGACTCACTCATTCCACACACGCCTCGCGCGCCCACTACACCTTCAACCACGTTTGACTTTGCTCGGTACTACCACATCTCGAACTTGAACATGGGCGAGATACTATTGCTATTTGAACCACGCTTTGTATAGCCCGCAGCACGCGTTGAAATACACGGCCAAGAGCGCCCTCTACGCCTTCCTAATTGACCTCCTGGAGCTCACCAGTCTTCAAATCAAACACGAATCCCTGGATGTTGGATTTCAGCTGCTCAGGGACCAAAGGAGACTCCTTTAAGAATGTGATGCTCTTCGTGACATTGGCAGCGAGAGATCTGATTTGACCACATTAACGACACAGCCTGAAGCATGCAGCGCAGACTTCGTTACTTACCCAGTGATCTCACCAAATGTCATGCTGTCGATCTCTGCGCCTGCATTTGGCGCCCGCTTCCTCAGCTCCTCTTTGACTACCGCATCTCTGAAGTGTGTTGCTCCACAATCTGCGCTTGATCAGCCATCTCAGCGGAATTATCAGTTGCTCCCGCTCACCTGTGTGCTGGACAATGATGACTTCCTTGAAATGGACGAGACTATCGATTGAGAGGAGATGGTTGAGCACGTATTGGGCATTTCCACCAGCAACCCGCAAGACAACGGCTTCTTCGCGGATCGTCAACTAAAGGCGTCCTCTCATGTAACCGTCCTACTTACCACCGGTTTGCAGCTTGAAGATGTGCTCAGGAATGCATCGGGGATCAGCGCAAGTGACTGCCACGGATGTCAGGAGGCAAACTCACAGCAGCACAGTACTCGAAATTGCTCAACTCACTTATGAGGATATTTGGGAGATCGTGTCCTTGCTGGACAATCTCCTCGAAGGTAGGGATAGACTGATGATCTTTGACGCTCGTCCTGCATATATCAGCAACTTTTTCGCGGGCGGGTTTGGCATTGACCCTACGTATGTCGGTCAATCAGAGCTTGAGCGTTCAGGGCCATTCTGGTGAGGGTAAAAGGTGCGGACTGAATAAAAGTGCTGATCTGCTTGCTAGTTCCTATTGAGTCTAAAGTCCAGTTTTCAATATTGTCTTGTGAGAACCTTTCCTCACAGGTTGAGATCAGTCATTATATACACCGTACACCACCTATGAGGCTGACTCAACGCCATCCGAACAGTCCACTCACTGCAATATACGCCAATGCCGTGTCTTGGCTGACCTGAACAATAAATGATGAATAATAACCGAACTACGACACGAGTGTAGTTCGGTAGGTCGCCTGGTCGAGAATGCCATTCAACCTACATGCACCGCTAGGCGCCCAACCTTTTGTAGACTCGATAACCTGCTCGATGAGGCTAGCCCGCTAGACTATGCTCTTTCTGGGCAGACGAACCCCGGTCAACCTGAACCACATTCGGTACTGCGCACCCTTGTCGTCACTCCCTCTCGCACAGTGCGGCCTCTTCGACTGTTGACACGACATAATCACCCCATACGCACCTTAGCTGACAAAGCCGTTCCCAACGATGATCCAATTCATCCACCAGGACCCGAAGCATCGCAGTTTGAGCGAGACAGACCGTCGGATTGTCCGGAAGGTGTCCAACATGGCGGCGGCAGCGACCCGAAAAGCCAGAGGGAAAGGGACAAAGGTGAATACCTTGCAAGTTCCAGATTTCCTAGTTGACGCAACCACGACCAATCCGGCCTCTGCCACTGCTGGCCAACATGGAAAGGACAAGCAAGAAGAAATAGTTGAAGCAGCAATAAGTGGTCGACGTCAGCCCGCAAAGAGGATCTTAGCCTCAGCTTGCGGGCGTTGGGTGCCCTCGTCTTCCGCAGAGCCGTCCACCAGATACCCTTGCGGCGCACCCATCAGGGCGGCATTGTCTCTCTGGCCAGACAACCGCAATTCCCCTGAATACGTATCCTTGCTAATGCAGCCGGGCTTGTCCCAAAAGCTCCTTATCGACGCCTCGACCGTGGACGTAAATTGTGACCCCAAACGATGGGTTAAGATATGTCGTTTGACATCTGTCTTGCAATTCTTGCCTCACATGATTGGCCATAGCAAGTGTCTGGACCGTGCAATCGATTGCCTTGCCGAGCGCGTCCGCCAGTGTTGCATTCAAGTCGCAGACATGGCATTCGCACAGACCCAGTTAGAAAAGCGCTATGGTTGTGCCCTCCAGGTTCTGCAGCAAGCCCTTAACTCTTCTGAGGGCATTGACTGGACTGTGTGGTACACCACGCTGTTACTTGCGTTGTTTGAGGTATGCTCGGACCGACGGTCACAAACAGGACGTGGCTGACCATGGGCACATACAGCTTCTCGAAACATCCAGTCACCAGGCATGGATCTTCCACTCGCAGGGCGCGAAGCATATCCTCTTGAGCCTAGGTCCGAACAACATCAAATCAGACTACGAGAAAATCCTGCTCGCCGCACAATGTCAAATCCTGGTAAGTAGATGAGTCTAAACTTGTTTTTCCTCCAATCCCGCCTTAATGATTCACCATGGCAGACAGTCGAAGCAACTTTCTTCAACAGAGACTGCTTCTTAAGCAGCCCGGCATGGCAGAAAGCTCTCCACACGACGATAACACATGACAGCAAGATTCCCGACCGATCCGAGCCCGTTGTCACAATGTGGGCCACTGCAGCCTGTGCACCAGAATTTTTCAAGAGAGCGACGAAAGCCATCCGTGACCATCACCAACCCGATCAAATCGCGGAGCTTAGCGACGACCTTTCCGCGCTGTTAGACAGGTGGTGCAAATGGCGAGAGAAATGGGAAGGAAGCCTTGTAGGCGATGACTTTCCTACCCTTCACGACACGACTCTCGCCACTGCAGGCCCTACCATCTACTCTCAGTTTCTAGCCTTTTGGGCTTTAACCAATCGATTTCTTCTAGCTATTCAACCTCACAGAGCCTCGGTCGCAGAGACGAACGCGGTAGATGCGGCTCGCCGAATCCTTGAGTTCGATCGATTGAGGCAGGCCGACTCGGTGATAGACCGGTGTCGCACGTTCTCGGTCAGCATTGCACGTTCTATTGAACAAACGACGACGGAGTGGACGATACAGCAGAACGTATCCCACGAGTGGAGAACAATCCAACCTGCCGTGTTTCTACGCTGGAACACTCTGCTCGGGAGGACGATACATGATGAAGCGCAAGACCTTCCGACCAACAAGATCAATATGGCCCAGGCGACGGCTCCTTGAAGGCGGACCGCCCCTCGTCGAATTGCCTCAGAAGACTGAGGCGTCTTCAACCCGCTGTCGCGCAGACTCCGGCTTGTGAGAGGCGCAAGCGCAACCTGCATTTGACTCACAGCAGAGGCGGGCAGGCTGGATGAGCTCCTTTCTTGCTCAACGGGGAGCAGCTTAGTCGAGAACCACCAAATAATACGTTTTAAATCGCTAAAAGACTCCATATATTGCACGACTGGGAAATCAATCTCTGACCTGGGGTGATGAGCATCGAACTTGGGAGCGGCAATTTTGGTTCGGCAGCTTTCTCTTCATGCCAATGTACATTTGCATGGACATGTGCATGTCTAGCCTGTATTTGAGGTACATCTACAAGTAGTGCCCGTACTGTTCTTGAAGCAGCTTGCACCTCCCAGTATTCAGCAACATCTGCAACTCAACTCGTTGGACTCAACAGTCACAGCCAGTCCGGTAGTAAGGCAATCTAACCACGCCGTTCACGAGATACAGACGATACAATATGTGGCTAGTCTCTAGTTCATTCACCCATCTCCAGAGGCCTAACCCATCTCTTTATCGTTATCTACAGTTACCTACCAAGTCATGGCCTTGCTAAGCCCATCCATTCAGGTACCAGGCGTATATGCTACGGTCCGCACTCACAACCGCGGTTTTACTGCCGCCGCCGCCGCAATCTCGGCCTTGACAGCCTCATCAACCAGGCCCATCACCCTGCACAACCACTCATCCCGCCCTCGCTGCGTCACGACCTGCACACTAAGCGGCGTGCCCAAGTAGACCCTCCGGTCCGTGACATGCTCATCCCACAGCTCGCGACACCTTACGTCCCAGGAGCTCAAGATATTGCCCGCAGCAAGAGGCCGGCCGAGCTCCAAATCGTCGGCCACGACGTCGCGCACCGGCACCGTGCCAGCCGGATAGTCGAACAGGACGAAACTACTGGTCATCCCGACGGCGTTGTACCCCTCGATAGGCGGCACCGGGTGAGGGGCCACGGGACAGACGATGGCGTCGAGGACTTGCCTCCGCCGCCCGAACTCATCCACGTCGCTCCACAGGGAGAGCATCTCGCGTTCCAGCGCCGACCGCTGGGCCTGCAGCTCGGCGACGCGCTCGAGAGGCTGCGCCTTGCCTGCCCGGAAGCGCGAGGCCATCCACGGCACGAGCGGCTCCTTGAAGTCCGTGATCAGTTGATTCATGACAGTGGCCCCATCCACGCCCATCAGCTTGCTCATCACGGACTGCGCCTTTGTCCACGCCGCCGGGGTGAGCAGTTCCTTCACTACCACGCGGCTGCTCGCCGACAGCGCGACGGCCACTTCGTTGAGCACGCGGGTGATGGGCGGGAGGAGCGTACAGTTGCCGTCGCTGCGCAGGATGCCGATGACGAGTTCGCCGTTGGGTCCGCTCCCCTTGAGGGCGGTTGTCAGCTGTGCTGACGGTGGCGGTAGCGTCCACGCACAAGGCATGCAGTCCTCCCCCCACGCCGTGGCCAGGGGTATGACGTGCGCGAGGAAGAAGTCCACATCCCGAACACTGCGCGCGATCGGCCCCGCCACGGCCTGCACGCTCGTACGGCTCGTGCCCTCCGCTCCTGTGAGCGCCTGCCCCCCGTACGGCAATCGCAGGTTGCTCGGCTTGAAGCCATACACGCCGTTACACATGGCCGGCACGCGAATGCTGCCGCCAATGTCGGTGCCAATTCCCACCATGGAGCCCTTCATGGCGACGAGCACGCCCTCGCCGCCGCTGGACCCACCCGCCGTGCAGAGCCGGTTGATCGGGTTCATGGTGCGGCCGAAGATGTTGTTCACGCTGTCCAGGCTGGCCAGCGTCTGGGGGATATTCGTCTTGGCCACCACCACGCACCCCAAACTAAGTAGAAGGTCCACGAGCGGCGCATTTCTTGCTGCGGGCTTATTACATAGGGCCGCGAGCCCGATCGACGTGTCCACGCCCTGCACGTCAAACGTGTCCTTCACGCTGATCGGCAGGCCATGTAAGGGCCCAAACGGCTGGCCGTGCGTGCTGAGGTAGTCGTCGAGGAATCTCGCGCGCGCGAGCGCTTTCTCGAACAGCGGCTCGGTCAGGCAGTTTGTCAGCTGCTGCGCGATGGCGGCGCGGTGGCAGAATGCGTCGGCGACTTCGACGCTGGTGAGTTTCCTTTCAGTGATCGCCGAGACGAGCGTCTCGACGGTGTATGCTTCTGTGATTTCAATCTCCGCGTGCGTGAGGAATTGGCGTGGGAGGTGCAGTACGTTCTGCGGCCCGTCGGCGAGGGTAGGAGGGTCTTTGGGGAGGGCCGATGTGGGAATGTGCCATTTCGAGGGGATCCGCGATGCTCGGTCACGTTGTTTCTGCGCCGCGATGGGTTTCCAGGGCGCGTCGTCGGCAGCAGCAGCAGGAGCCGTTGCGAGGGGCATCCTGTCGATACGGATGGCTTGGAATACGGAAGGAGGACGCCTTCAACAAGAAGACAACAGGGGAGGGGGGGAGGACGCCTTCAAGAAAGGACTACAAGTGTGAACGGCGGCACCCTCTACAAGGAGAAAACACGTCGGAAAAACGAGAAAGATGCTGCTGGGATGTTGTACGGCGTAGACCACGAGCTCAGCGGGTGTCTCCGCAAGAGTGAGGCCGCCCTACGCATCAAGTGTGGGGAAGCACCAGAGGTGCCTCGGTTCGCGATAAGATACGACCGTAGAGTGAAGTTTATCAGTGGATGCAGCCTTGCGGATCGTCTTTCTCAGCCTCGCGGAAAAGGGGGAAAGCGGAGAATGTTGTTCTTGGTGGTATACTGTAAGCCAAGGCGCTGCCGTAGGGTTGTGGGCATTGCTCAGCCTCCTCAACCCGAGGCGAGCTGGAGCCGAGCCAATTCTCAGGCTGGGGGCCTTCGTAGGAGCAAGAACATCCATCGCATTCCATGGTAGAGATCATCCTTTACTGACGACGCCAGTGTTTTTGGGACACGGCACTGATGACGCCTACGTCGATGTGAGTCTCGGCCGTCAGACGAAAGGGGTCTTGAGCGGTGTTTGGATTCGACGTGACCTGGAAAGAATACGTTGGCGCCGAGCAGGAAGGGCATGGGTACAAGGAACCCGAAGAGCTGGACGATATTGCACGGGTTCTCTCAACTATCGCTACTGCGTAGCATTCGTGAGTATTGAACCACTGATTAGTACGCTCCATACCTGTCCTGATCGTCTAAACGCTGCTCCATCTGTGCATGGATCCTGCCTTTTTGCCCAGACATGGTGGGGAGAGACGAGTCTATCTGTTGAAAGAGATCGCCGTTGGCCTCAAACTCCCTGTTGTCCATCCGTTGTATGAATAAAGAACACTACTCGCAGACAAACAGCAATAATCATGTAATGCGGACAGCTTCGAGGATGCGACGTCTTTGACTTCCATGCTTCCCTTTGGCCCTACTATGTATCTTTTCATCCCAGGCCATCTAGGTTCACGTCGTGGGCGTCATAGTCCGTGACAAAGCCACCACTGCTCAGAGAGGTACTCTTAATAGTGTCCTCGTGGCGGACGGGAAGTTGGCACCTAGATGCTGGCTCACCGCGTCCATTTCCTTCGCACGGATACCCCTAGTCGTTCATCTTCGCGGTCCTTGTCCCACAAACACAGTGAATAGTTGTCTTCGCGAGACCACCACGTCCCTTTATGCCCAGTGAGCAAACAGGCAGGACGAACAGCTTCTTCAAAATGTAGGCCGTAGTCTCTCGCACCTGTAGCCAGGTACTGGTCTCCAGACGCCGCGCGGTAGACTTTCCTGAGCCTAGACAGTTTTGTGAGATCTCCACACCATGTGGAGACGGACACAAGGCTTTCCCCCTGGACCCGAGGCCGGACACAACGACGGACGGTCGGACCAGGGCGCATGTCGACGTGGGAACGAACAGGCACAAAACCCGAGCAGGCCTGAAGTTGAGCAGCAAGGACGACGCCCTGCCCCTGATCCGAACAGTCCATACCCTGGCTCGCTCGTGAGGTATCCCGGCCAGCAAGACTCAGCGCATAACGTCGATCGTCGAGACGGGAGACCCTGGGAGGCTCGAGGGTTCTCGGTAGGCCAACAAGACGCAGCCCATAACACTGCCTGGGTGCTCCCTCGCAATCGACCAAGAGGCATGGACTCTAGCGCTGATCGTTTGCGCCAGCAGCAAGGAATTGTAAGCTCCTGAGCGTGCGATTAGTTGGATCTCTGTACTAACTGGCAGCAGGAAGGCAGCGACCAAGGTTCAGAGGAGAAATACCAAGGTACTTCTAATGATCCTGTCAGGGCCAGCGACAGTGGTGGGAGCAGTGCGTCGAACAATGACTCAGGGTCCAAAAAGAAGAGGCATAAATGGTACAAGCGGGGCGCGAAAGTCCTGGGATTGTCGGATGGCGGGAAACGAAAGGGAGGGGATCTTGACGATAGGGGAAGTGGCTCTGGCACGCGGACATGACAGAAGAGAGGATGAGAGAGTGACCGCAGGGGCTGCAAAGAGTGGAACATGGTAGAGGAGCTGGGACGCGACCAAAACGGCGACGTCGATAGCGACGTGTGCGGGATTGTAGGGCCGTGATATTCGGCCAGCCGCGTCAACCAGAGGATACACAGAAGCCAGGCGTTAGAGGTGGTTGTACTTCCACTCTGGCTGCGCCCGAGGGCTGGCGGCAAGGCAGCTTCTGTGTAACCCATAGTGTAACAACAGGGGCAGGTATTTGAACCTTCGACTTGGTGACTCGAAGCTGCCAGGATGCCTCTTCGTCTCCCTCGGGTTTGACCGTATGTCAGACGACCAGTGCCAGGTGGATATGCCTCTTGAGAGACCAGATATGGAGTCGAACGATTGCCAAATGACCCAGCCAAGGAATGGACTCCAGTCTCCTGCTCCTGGAACTCATGGGAGCTCCGACCCAGAAGCACAAGAGCCGAGACCCCAGCAGAAAGCATGGTTCGGAAATATGCTAGCACGCGCGCGTATGAAGAGCTTGAAATCTCCTGCTAAGACCTTATCAGACTGATGGGTAATTAGTTGGTACCGGGCCGTCTGGATGGCCTCGCATAGCAGCATTCGTGGACAGTGATTCCACCTTCAGGATATATCGGCGCTTCGGCTTTCTCAGAACTCGCCTGCTGCTATACCACCAAGATATCCTGGCAGAGATGGAGGCGAAGCTGGACTGGTTGGATCGCGATGATGCTCGCTCACCAGAAACGCAAAGGTATCTTTCCAGTAGGCGCGAGGATGGCTTGCGCAAGGGTTCTCCTCGCAAGGCCCTGTTCCAAGACATAGAGAGTCAGCTTGAGATATATGGTGAGTGCAAATGCGGTTGGCTGCAAATAGTCCTGAGTCCTGAGTAACGCTGTACAGATAGCCTCCTGCAACGCTCGGCGCAGATATACCAGCTCGAGGAGGCACCCAACAAGCATCGGCAGGCTGTTGTGAACCATATCTGGAGCGACGGCACCCTTAAGGAGCGAGACAGGGAGTATATCCAGCACGCGGACGACCTTGTCTACCTCAACGCCGACACCGAGGCCAGCTGGGTCCATTGGTTCGTCGGCTATCTGCTCTACTTTACCGGACCAGTATTGATGGTAATCATAGCCTGGCTGCTCATGTTCCAGCGCGAAGCTGACGGACTGGCTGTTGACAGAACAGATTTCGGACCGAAGTCCAAAGGATCAAGCTAAGAGGGGACAGGATGAGCATTTCCCTGTACGAGAAAAAGAGGTTCAACAAGTTCGTCAACGTGCTATTCACAATCATCATTGTGACGCTCGTCATGGGCCCGGTAATGGTTCTGTACACAATCCGCGATGCAAATGGGTACGTCCGTAACGCAACGGCGGTGATATTCACCGCATCATTTGCTCTGCTTTGCGCCACAGCGACAAACGCTAAAAGGCAAGAGGTGTTCGCAGTAACGGCGGCGTGAGTCCCAGCCCGTGTATCAAAATGCTTGATGGTTGACTGATTAGGTACTGCGCTGTGCTCGTCGTCTTTACCAGTCAAAACGCGACTAGCAAAGGACAATAGCTGAGGGTACCTAGAGTGCGGTGTTTAGATCAGGATCCGTGAGTGCTGAGATCCTAGATATTAGCTGCTGAACCCTGAGCATCAACATTTCGGAGGCGGTGTGGACTTCCTCACGGCTCTAGGTTCGAATTGCATCATTGGATCCTGCGTGGAAGTATGCGATGAGGCTTCGGTCCCGGAGTTTGGACATTGGTTCTTACACAATAGAAGCTCTGAACAGAACAATTGAAGGCGCCGGGTCCAGTACGCAAGCCGGAAATGCGCGGTGTCTTGAACGCTTCCGAACACGCCACTACTAGGGAAGGCGATCGGATTCCATTGAGGAAATACATGTATTCAGATCCTTGGATTTTGCACAACGGATGTAGTGATTGTCTAGCTGCATGATGAAGAGCTGCCTCGAAGCAGGTTGCGTCCACCCCAAATAGCCATCCAAAAGAGCGACATGAAGCCCTCGTATGTCACTGACCTGTGCTGGAGCCATCTGAGAGCATACCCTGGTGTCAGCCCATAAAAGAGGACGGTGTGCCTCTAGATGGTGTTTGGAATCATGCCCTCAGTCATTGCTTGTAGTAGGATCCCAGGCACACGGGGCATACGAGTCGGGAAAGTTGAGACTCTTCATGTCCTGGTCATCGAGCTCGAAGTCGTAGATGGCGGCATTCTCCTCGATCCTGGAAGGAGTCACGCTCTTCGGCAAGGGAACGTAACCTTTCTGCAGGCTCCATCTGAGCAAGATCTGCGACCACGTCTTGCCGTGCTTCTCAGCCAGCTGTTTGAGAACCGGTTCGTCGGCTCGCTGACCACGGACAATAGGACAGTATGCTTCGACGACAACGTTGCGTTGGCGGCACCATTGGACGATATCGTCACGCGGAAGCCAGGGATGCACCTCCCACTGGCCAACGTCGATGGTTCCTCCCACATCAGACGTCTTGATGTATTCTTCAAGCTCGTCTAGATGGTGGACGCCGTAGTTGGAGATGCCAATAGATCTGATCTTGCCGGCCTTTTGAGCTTCGGCAAGCGCCTTCCAGGCTCCGAGTCTGCCTTCTTTGCCACCGTACGGAGAATGAATGAGATAGAGGTCGATATAATCGAGACCGGTTTGGAAAAAGGACGACTCGATGGACTTCTTTGCCGCCTCGTAGCCCATACTCTTGGGCGGAACTTTACTGGTGAAGAAGATCTCCTCTCGCTTCAGGCCGGAGTTGCGAATTGCGTCGGCACAGGGCTGCTCATTGCGGTAGGCTCGAGCAGAGTCGACATGTCGGTAGCCCGTCTTGAATGCATGGAGTGTGACTTCTTCACACTGCGCTGCGGGAGTTTGGTAGACGCCATAGCCGAGCGCAGGGATCTCATAGCCTGAATTCATCCGGTACGTCGTGTTGATGTCAAATTTGGCTGGAGTTTGGGTGGCCATCGTTCTTTTCCGTCGGGTAAATGCAGCTACTGAGCTTCGGACTGGGCCTTGACTACGGGCTATGCCTCTACTAATCAGTGGCATCTGCGAGGTACGAGTCGTGGTGTACAGGTTTGATAGAATAGGGACAGGCACACGCAGTATGAGAAAGCAGATGTGCTGAGGATGATGAGATTGTCGAAGAGTGTCTACGATGTCGTCAATGCGCGGCTTGACAGGTAAATCCCGGGTGGCTTTAAGTCCGACCCTCCGGGGACACCTGGGATACGCGGACGAGGGCGAGTTGCTATCATCAGAAAGAACACTCCGTACTAGGTACATCACTCCACGGTGCAATCTGCATTGGTACCTAGGGTAATAAAGGCGGTTATCCACAGATATACACTTGCTTCGTCGACGTCTCCCACAGTGTCATGTAAAAGGTAACATCCAACCGCCAGGGACGAGCGATACCTGCATTTGATATGCAATGCTGCTCGCCAAACAAGGCGGCAGAATATGTGAGATGTCCTCCTTCCTCTCAGCGCCGAACTCGAGGCCGAAAGTGTACCTTAGGAGCTTGCGGAAGACGAGGTAAACCTTGGATGTCCTGTTGATCTTCCGCAACAAAGTCCAGCGACGCAGCTGTTGGCCTACAGCAAAGGCAACATGTTGAAAAGGTTGTCTCGAACCCATGGGTGTGTCGAGCAAGGCTGGAAGGATATTGTTTGGCAAGCAGTTGAGTACGAGAAGGTATGCTCAAGTAGCTGTGTTCATGGTAAGCCGACGTTAGACGTGGCTGCTTGCTGACTTCCTTTGCACGTTGTCCAGCGAGTCGAGATCGTAGACAAGACTTACATCTCGAGCAACACTGTGCAGCACGTTGAACGTTTATTCGGCGGCTCTTGGTGGCATTGCTGTAGGCTTTGTGGACAGCTTTAGCTCTGCCTCGTGGATGGTTCACTTTCTTCTAATTGCATGCTTTCACAATTGGTTCAAAAAGTCATCTTACAACCACTGATACAGCACATATGTGTACAGGTAAGAGGTCCACTATATTGTGTCCATCTCGAGAAATCAACCACGCCATTCGCCATCGCTGTTCAACACTCTCGACCCGGGACCGTCTAATTCCGGAACGTCGTCTTCCTCGTCAGCAAAAGCGTCATCCGCCAGCATGGGATCTTCTTCGGGTACTGCGCCCTTTGCAACTTTCTTTCCTTTGTCGTGATCTTGTAACGTGTCGTCCGCCGATATCGAGATGCCTCGTGCGCCCCAGCGAGTGACTTTTGGCTGTGGCAGCCGTTCACCAGCACCGGGCTCAACGTCTCCAGCCTCCGGGTCCTCCTCAGGCACTTGTCCATTCGGGTTCATGACCCTGTTGACTAGCCAACCTTTCCGCATATCGTCCGCATCCACTACTCCACCTCCTCTGAGCTTGACCCGTTGTCTCGTCCAATATACCCAGGCGAAGTCGATGTAGAATGCAGTTTGCACGATACCGAATATGACCGAGATGGCATCTGGTTTCCTTGAAGTGAAGGCTCGATAAATCCAGTTCAGGATGTAGAATGCTCGGTAGGAGCCAAGGGTCACGAGGTAGAAAGAATCAATAACGGTCGGGACAGTCGTCTGGCGGAGAAGCATCAGTTGTGGGAGGACGCAGACAGATTCGAGGATGATAGAGAATGTCCATAGCACTTCAGTGAGTGTGGTCCGTCTTGGGCCATTGAAGGTGAGGCACACCAGGGGCGCAGCCAGCATCGAAGCAGCCGTGGCGTAGGCACCCCATTTCCAGGCCTTTTCTCGCTCACGCGTTCGTGCAAAGACCCTGGTCATCAGGATGATGATATATATTGATGACCAGATATAGAAGTTCTTGAGGATGAAATTCCACCATGACGCTGTAGGAGGCACCCAAAAGAGATCAAGATAGCGGGTGACGAAGACGACGATGTAGAGGATCTGGGTCAGCAAGGAGACACCTGGCGAGTGGTCAGTTTCACGGTCCCAGGTCAGTTGCAGTGACGCGCCTACCTTCGGAGCTCTTGTTTGAATGGATTGCCCATATGAGGATGCATTTCGAGGCTGTGTGCGATACATCGCCCAGGATGCGGAAGATGTTCATATTCATTGTTGCTGCAGGGACATCACATGCGCCCACTGCGCTGCTTCTGAGCGATAGGTGAGGTGAGTTCAGGAGGATAGGTCTAACCGCGACGTGTTCACTTCAGGCAACATGCAAAGGACTTCAGCACCAAGCAGCCGGTCAAGTGAAACGCGGCTTGGCTCAAGGAACTGCGCAGCCTGATGAGGTGGTGAGCTGAGACTGAGTGAGGAGTGAGGAGGCTGCGATTCGCATATTATCTTGGCCTGCGCAACCTCGCGCGAACCCTTGCGACCCTTCTCCTGCATGAACGTTACGCCGATACTGACATCTGAACTTTTCTAATTCACCATAGTCATGCTTCAGATTTGCAGAGCGTTGGAATGAGTCATGCTCGGTGGATTGACAATACTAGCACAGAAATGCATGAAGCCAATATTGGCAAGCACCCTTGGCAGTTCATATTGGACGTCTTTCCCAGCGGTCATTGAGCAATGCTCAGGCCTAGTTGAAATGCTAACCGAGTTTTCTGCAGAGCTGCGGCGGGTGTTTGGGGGCGGAAGTTCCAAGAAGGGTATTCTCTGCAAGCAAGCAGATTGGGATGAGAGTAGACGCAAGACTGTGATATACCCCGAAGCACGCGAAGCGAGCAGTGACGGCTTGAATGTACCTGGTAATTAGTGCCGACCCGAAATGGTCTGCAATGAAGACGCTTACTGGGCAATTCTCGAACTGACATTATTGCCCATGCTCTCTGCAAGACTGCCATGTTGGAACACCGCAATCATAAACCGATAGTCTATGCGGAGGACGATCAGCTGTGATATCGACCTACGGAAAGGCCGTGACACCCGCCTTCTCCCCTCCCATACTGTGTACACCCCATTGGGGCTCAATAGTCGCATGAACGGCTGTTCTCATAGTCGACAGCGATCTGCTCCTCTGAGTAAAGCGCGGCCTGCAAAAGAAGCCTTCCGACCCCACGCATGGCCTGCCAGCGTGTGGCCGAAAGAAATCCATATTCGACAGCCTCCGGGGGGAGGCGGATGAGCCTCCTTTAGGGCCCCTATGCTTCTTTAGTGGCTGGGGCTCCGACTAAGAACGCGCCCCCAAACGTGGCAAGTTTGAAGGCGCAGGCCGTCACGGTTAAGCGACCTGGTCACGTCTGAGAGACGCGTCTCCACCGACATTTCCATCTTCTATCAACATCCTGCGACAGCGACGTGTGCTTCGACAACAGCGACAGCATCCTTGGTCTCAGTGAGCCTGCCATCACCGGAACGGAGAGAGAAACGAAACACTTTCGGCTGCCATTAACTGACTTCCCGTTGCTGCATTAGGACTAGGAACTAGAAGTCCGCCGCACCAACACAACCGCTTTCAAACAACAAGCCACTCCGAGGGTTACAGCATCTCCTCATCCTTGTTGCTCCACGCACCCTCACCCGCGATAGTAGCTTACAGGGCACGGTGCAGCGGAGAATTAATGCTGTCGAGCAATCAACAATGGCCAGTGTGCGGCATCCCCTGCGATGGGTGTTCCCATAGCGGATCGCTGTTCTTGGTCTTTGTTCCTCATCCAGCACAAACGTTTACAAGCTCGGCACGGTGTCGATAGTTAAGGGCGCCGTTGGTCGAATTCGTTCTCGAGACCCAGCTATCCGCCCGTTGGCTTCCCCAGCCCTGTCGAATTTGGCCCTGTCGTATGGCTTCGCAATGGCAATTAGCCGCCGGAGCTCGCTCTGGCGCTTGTTGGACCACAACGCCCTCGTTCTCATTCGCTCGCCGGACTCTTAAGGCATATTCGCAGCACGACACGGTACACTGTCCTCGAGATGGGCCAGTGCTCCATCTTGATTATCTCGGAACATTTTACATGTGCGTCAACGACACCATCAGTCGCCGGGTGGCTGAACTTTGACCACTACCGGATTCAAAGCAACCTTAGCCGTATGGCCAAGATATGGTAACAGTCTGAAAGAAATCGAGATCCCATCCCAATGTTTCCATCGTTCTCGTGTAGGAAATCGTCGTTCTCGTTTCCATCAGCTGCTCACTGAGAAGGGTGTTCCCGCTTGCTGCCCGGCCATCCGACGACATGCGGGAGCCTTCCCGAGGACTTCTTAACAGTCAGCCGAATGGTTCGGCTCGACGATCCCAGTCGCCAATACCCATGCTTGCATTTCTCACTACCTGCATGCTGAAGAGGGTCCAGTTGCCCTTGACCCCATATGCGAGCCACTTGACAACGGTACCGGCGGCTATTTCTCTCTCCAGAGTGATCGAAAATCGAACACCCACCTTGACCAGCCCAATAACTCCACTCTTACACGGTCTTTATCAGGTCGCATAATTGCAAAGCCGACATCGAATCTGCCTTCCCCAAACGCGAAGGCAGATTGTAGTTGCATTTCCGGTTCCGGTTGCCCTTATAATTGTTGAGAAAGTGCGGCTTGGGATGTCCGAGTTCCAGAGCAAGGCGAGCGAACTCTCTCCATCTTCGGCATCTGGGGTCACCACGGCGCCTTGCAGTATTGCTCCAATGCAAGCACAACTCTGTCGAGGAAGCTGGTCTACCATATAGAGCACCCGACGTTGTCCCTTTGCGGCCATACAACCAGCTGTGATGGCTTCGCCTGTCCTGCCTCTACCCACAGTCAAAGCAGCCTCACAATCCCGAGGCATCCAGAAGTCGCCCAAGCCATCGAGAAGAGACAAAGTTCGACAAGGAAAGCTTATACGATGCTGGAGCGACGAGGAGGTGCGCAACATCGTGCGTTTATTTCACCCCGCTGCTGACAAGGAATGAATAGGAAACTTTTTTATTCCAGAGTCGCACTCAAGGCCGGAAACTATCCTACAAGAACATTGCGCACCGCTTGGACAAGTCAGAGTTGGCTTGCCGACTCCATTATCACCATATGACGGTTGGGCGTAAAGGGCATGGCCAGCGGGCAGAGGATTTCGACGACGACAACCTCTCCGAGAACAGTGACGGTTCCTCCCTGTCAAGAGTCCCCTCCACCGGCGACACCCTTGCCAATACAGGCCTCGAGGATGTCCAAGAACGAAGAGATCTATCCATTGGCGACTCGCTCAGCCAACACAAGCTGCCGAACTTTCAGACCTTCCTGCAACACACATTCCACCATCAACGAAGCACGTCGATGCCTGGACCCTTGACAGAGAGCGAAATGACAAGCGTATCAAGAGAGCTACATCATAATGGTGCCAGGCCAGTACGCACAATGTCTGGAACATGGATCAAAGAGCATAGAGGCCCCGAGGCACGCTCTCCGCCCGGGACGCATTACTATACTGGAGCCCTTCATACATCCCAATCCGCAGCAATGTCAACCCCAATACCGCTGACACATTTTACGAAGGCGGCAGCAAATGGTCGACCTTACCCTTCCCCGTATGGAGGCAGGTATTGATGGGTACGACATTCTTTACCGTACGACGAGGCCAGAATGCTTCGTGTGTGGACTTCTTGTACATGACATTTATATATGGCTTTGGCAGCCAATGACCAGTCACGAGTCTCCTTTCTCCGTCTATACCAACTCTATCTGTGGAGTGTCTCTACCCGCAGCTGTTCCACTCATTCGAGGAAATTCAAGGACATGTGACCAATCTCGGTATCCCGGGCTGAACCGGTCGGAACTTGCATTGTTTGAATGCAGACGCCAAGGGTGGTATACCCTTGAAGTGTCCTCGATTACGAAAGATGGAGTCGTCGCCTACTACAGACGCGTGAGACCGGGCGCTCGGTGACATGCAAGACCTTTACCCAAACAAACGCACGTCTAGAGTTGCAGTACTACATCAGGCCAGTGACCCTTTGCCTGTCTGACCAGTCCATCTGGGAGGGAGGATACAGATTGTTCCACCACACGGGTGCTGGGCCCTTCTACAGTGCCTGTCTCATTTCAATGGCTCTCGGCGTTTCCAGGCTTGCCTTGGTCACAAACTCCACCAATTCGACCGTTGCAGAGACTTCTGGTCGCCTTGCACTCCGATGTTTCCGTGCTGCGCTCATCGTAGGCCTGAGAGACATTCAAATCCAGGAGTCCGAGTGACTGCGAATCATAGGCAGTAGATCGTGGTGCGAGATGAAGTTTGCCACTATGACAATGGGCAAGAAGCCCGCAATCGTGTTTCGACCTTCCGCTCGAATGTTGATTCTAACTTGCTCACCGCACGCGCAAATCTGTGCAATACCCGGTCGCGCACCGTGCTGATTACAAACAACTGCCAATGCGGACGAGACATGCAAAATCCCCGTGATTTAAAAGCAGGCCATTGACGAGTGCAGGACACCGGTCCTGTCAAGGGATTCGACGCTATAAGGGCATGGCGAGAATCAATTTCTTCGGTTTCGCCAGAGGCGGGATAGTACGCTTTGGTGACCCTGGGCAGCCTCGAGGGTGAAGCTTTCAACCTATGCAGACGCCGCTCGGCCCATCATAGACACACTCTGTCCTCATCTTCTGGAAAGTTTTTGATTACTGGGAGTCGACGCTCGCACGAAAGTCGGATGAATGAGTTGGACCGGGTACGGGCGAAATCGTTGAGATGGTTGAGGCTTCGTGAAGCTTCTGCCCCTCCAACCCCGCGGCAAGTGAGTCTAATAGGAGGACACGTTGACTGAAAACAGGACGGCGACCAACTACCGGAACGGAAAGTCTCGAAAACGTTACGGACTACAGGTTCTGTGGGTTTAATACCCCAAGGCGTCCAAAGAGAACTCGTGGCCCGTGCCCATGAGGAGTTTCGTGGCTGCGTAGATGACAAATCAGCCTTGCGGCACTTCATCGTAAGTCGAAGCAGACCAAGCACAACTTCATATCCCAAGGCCAGCGAGGTCACGGGTCATGTATGCGAGAACAGGACAATACCTTATGATTACACCTATGAACCATAGTTTGAGGCATCTACAATTGTTAAGGTGTGATATCGAAGGCTTGAGTCAAGTGCCATTGAATCAACTCTGCTGTCCACGTCACGTCCATCCATGTCTCGGAGTCTAGATTCTTTCAATTCTCCTTCCCCATTCAGTCTGATTCTGTCATCGGTTGTATGGCCGTGGTGCCCCTCCACATCGGTACATAAAGAGGCTGATATCATGATCTGAACTTCAAGTCGACTTCACTCTGGCTCAACTCCCACTCCGCCATTGTTCATTCACCAACTGATCAACCTGCCAACCACTGAATCACCCACCATGGCATCCCAGGGAATCAAAGTCGTTTTCGGCGCCGCCTCAATCGGCAATACCGAGCCATGGATCGAAAAAGAATACCTCGAAAAGGCATTCGACATTCTCCTCAAACACGGCGTGAACACCCTCGACTCCGCGCAGCTGTACGGAAAGTCTGAGGAACGTCTTGGTGAGGTCAACGCCGGCGATAAATTTGTCATCGATACAAAGTGGATGGGAGGATGGCAGCCTGGCTGGGCCACCAAGGAGAATATCGTCAACACGGCAAAGTCGAGCATTGAGAAGCTTAAGGTTAAACAGGTGAGTTGCTTGCGAGGCGCCTTCGTCAATGAGCGCATCCTCCTCTCGCGGTCGTACCAGCTAACCGTACTTACCATCGCCATGTAGGTCGACATCTTCTACATCCACTCTCCTGACGCCAAGGTCGATCTGGAGGAAACCCTTGCTGGCGTCAACGAAGTTTACAAGACCGGCGTCTTCAAGCGCTTCGGTCTGTCGAACTACTCTCCCCAGGATGTCCAGAAGGTCTACGACATCGCCAAGCAGAAGGGCTACGTGCTCCCGACCGTCTATCAAGGCAACTATTCCCCGGTGGCCCGTCGCCAGGAGAAGGAACTCTTCCCCGTGCTCCGAAAACTCGGCATTTCCTTCTACGCCTATTCTCCTTTGGCGGGCGGCTTCCTCACCAAGACCGCTCAGCAAATCAAAGATGGTGTCAGCCGTTTCTCCCCCGAAGCCCTTGGCGGCATGTATCGTGACATGTACATGAAACCATCATACCTGGACGCACTCTCCGTATGGGAAAGCATCGCCAACGAGGAGGGCGTTACCCGTGCCGAGCTCGCCTATCGCTGGGTCACCTATCACTCCCCGTTGAAGAAGGAACAGGGCGACGCTATCATTGTCGGTGCCAGCTCGACTGATCAGTTGGAGCAGTCACTTACAGGCATTGAAAAGGGGCCGTTGAGCCCCAAGGCCGTGCAGGGGGTCGATAAGGTGTGGGACCAGATCAAGCATGAGGCGCCGCTGGACAACTTCTCGCGATAAGAGGGGAGCGAGAGGGATGGACTCACCCCACGGGTGTGGCGGAAAGGCTTGACGATGCCCATGGCATGATTTGAATTGCTGTGATCCAGCCGAGCCGTCCAGATCGTCGATCACGTCAAGGTCGTATATCACAATGTCAACCTCAGGCAACCCGCCAGGGAGCAACTCCCGTAATGTTAGCCAATGCCAGCCTTAAGGCCGTTATACAACATTGATTACCTACATAGGACGCAGCATACGTGACAAATCAAAGTTACCACGACATGAATCTAGATTAAAAGGACAAGCAATCCGGGGAGACCAAGTGCCTTCAGACTTACTTCCAAGCTCATGACCACTCTGATGGCCTCGGTACTGTATGTGCCCAATATTGCAATCGCCATGCATCCGCGAATACAAACCACTGATAAGACCTCCAGCCTTGTTGTTCCTAATGCCGATCCCAGCCTCGCCGCAGTGCATTCATTCACTTCCACCTTCACCTTCACCTTCACCCTCAATCACATATCACATACATACTACCATGTCCTTCACTTTTCATGACGATATGATTTGAAAGTCCCGGAACCTTGCTGCAATTCCTCCCTGGCACAAGTCAGCTAGCACCGGCTAGAATGCATGCCGGAGACGAATCCTTGCGGCCACAAATACCGACCGGCCAGTCCTCGAGTTCGAATCCCATTGACCCCACCAACACCAACCACGACTCCGAACCAAAGCGAATTATGCAGTTTGCATACTTGACAAAGTCAAAAGTCAATCGGCGTTCATCTCAGGATGTGCGCGCATTGGGAGTAGACCGGCAGTCTGGGACCGGCCGGATATAGCCCGATCAGAGTGTGGCCTGCTGTTGCAGTAGCGTTGTGAACTCACCATGACCTCTAATATAGGGTTTGTGGAAGAGTTTTTGTCTTTTCACCCTTGTATTCTATAGGGGTTTCTACTTTATGGGTCAGCGGTACTTCCCTTCATTTCTCCGCTATTGATAAAAGACACTCGAGTAGAGATATATTTCGTGATTACACAGAGAGATTTATAGCTTCGTGAGATACTATTTCGCTTACACCTGTTCCTTCCCTTGCCTATTCTTAGTTGAGGATGTCCAGCTCCTTTCCTCGAGCCGAGGAATTAGTGCTTTCTCAACCCATTCGACATCAGTATCAGTCGTGTTCCTCGCCATGCGCGCTGGTCGACCGGGTGAAAGAAACATTCCAGCCATTAGTAGGATCAGTCGCTGTAAGGCAGCTCTTTCAAACAGCTGGAAGACAGGCTTTGCAACTCTTCTTCCCCAGGCTCAATTCCGCCGGTTTCAGCGAGAACCTGATTCTCACAGAGCTGGAAAGCGTGAACCATCGAGAAACCTATGGAGCTCATAAGTATATGACTGGGTGCAAGGTATGCAGAAGACGAGCGGTCAAGCATGGCAAGAGGGAATAACTGGTTGTTGCGGCTGCAGGGGCAATTGGCGAGGACACCAGTCAGGCATTGAGATAAACGTGGGGATCGAGGTCAGGTGGCATCGATAACGTGCTTTCTTGGCTCTGCACCCTCTGTTCCTTGCAGGCCATTCAAGCCATTCTGGACCTCGCGCTTACGGTTTGTCGACGTGAATCCCCGCAGTCACCACTGTCATTAGCTGGGTTGAGAAGCCTGGAATCCCTACTCTTGGGACTCGTTGGCCGCTCACGCCGAGAACACCATTGTCCTCCTGCGTCAGGTCTTCGCAAGAATGATCACAAGGCTCTTTTCTTGTGCCATCCCTCGTTGAGCTGATTGAGATGTGTTCCTACTCTGGCATCTCGAGTATTACTTCCTAGCCTCCACCCCGCCCCACGCCCGGCCGACCGACTCTCTTTATCCGACAATGCTTCACGAAGTCTTGAATCCACGATGCACGCTATAACCCTTTTCTATGCATTCTTCCACTGCGTCGGGCTTGTGATCAGTGGGACGATCGAAAGGAGCCAATATGGCCTTGAAAACACATTTGGGGTCGCCGGTCAGAGGGAGTTGACCCCGGACTCAAGAGGCGGAGGAAAGGCGTTGGAAACATGGACATCCAGGCTACCGCAAGCCCTCCGCGATATGCTGAACGCGCTGGAAGTCATGCAAGACTCATATTTCGACATCTTCACGGGCACCTGGCCGAACGCCATTGACTGGACATCAGCTGTCATGGGCACCCATATCTCTGCCACGCTAGCCAGCATTGTTTCCTCCTTGGATGCGTCTGCCATGTCTACCTGCTCGGATATGCTCTCGTGGCAGAACATCATAGATCGATACTACTCTCACACCACCGTCTTCTACTTTGGCGAGAATGCATTTGCACTTCGAAATCAAGCTTACGACGATATGCTGTGGGTTGTTCTCGGCTGGCTCGAGAACTTGAAATTTGCCGAAATGTACAGCTTAAAGCATTGGGATTTCATACAGTCTGGGCGACATCCTGATTCAGGCACTGGATGGCACGGTCTCCAAATTAGCCCTATGGCGGCTCACCGCGCTCGCATTTTTTACGACTTGGCGTCAGCGGGCTGGGATGAATCACTCTGTGGAGGTGGTATGACTTGGAATCCGTACCTGAATCCGTACAAGAACGCCATCACAAACGAGCTGTTTGCAGCAGCAAGCATTGCGATGTATCTTTACCACCCTGGCGACAACAGCACATCGCCATATCTGACGCAGGGTCCGGACGACTTCTCTAAGCCACATGACCCTTTGTACTTGGAGAACGCCATAAAGAGCTACAAATGGCTCATCCAAAGCCATATGCGGAGCTGGCGATCTGGACTCTACCAAGACGGCTTCCACGTCGCCGGATGGCACCGATATCCGAACGGAACCATCAACCCTGGGACGGGAAACTGCGATGAACTCGATTCGATGGTCTATACTTACAATCAGGGTGTTGTTCTTTCGGCCGGTCGGGGCCTTTGGCTCGCCACAGGGGCCAGGAGCTATCTGGATGACGGCCATGCTCTGGTGGAGGATGTGGTTCGGGCCACTGGGTGGCCCAACAGCGAGCCGACATGGAGGGGGCTTGGTCGAGCTGGAGTCTTGGAAGAGTTCTGCGACCACCGTGGTTGGTGCAGTCAAGACGGGCAGACGTTCAAAGGCATATTCTTCCATCATCTATCCGAGTTCTGTCGCCCGCTGTGGCCACAGGAGGAAGCTTTTGTCTCAACGGACAGAGGTGCCAGCTTCGACCGGAAGGTCTACCAGTACCACCTCGCCCGGTGTGCCGCATATGACAAATGGATCGCTCATAATGCCAATGCAGCCATTGCCACTCGAGATTCGGATGGTCACTTTGGCATGTGGTGGACGTTCGGAGAGTACGACGACGACAGGTTGGCCGAGATCGGCCAGAGTACCGTCCTTCCTCCTGGTGCAGAGGATTACCGCAACCCTAGACCGGAGGACTGGTCTTTGCGGTTAATCAATTCCACCGACAGCAATGATCGAGGCCGTGGCCGAACCGTCGAAACCCAGAGCGGAGGACTCGCAGTACTTCGAGCCAGATGGAACTGGCAGTTGCATTTACAAGAAGCTTGAGCAGGAAAACATTTCTGGCGCTCGTCATGGTCATTTGGGGTCACGTAGCTGGACTCTATGTACGGAGCGAGGAGTTATTTCTGCTCAACACATCTATGCCCCGGGTTCAGCGAATGCGCCGGGCTCTCTTTGGATTCGGAACGCTGGCATCGGTACTGGATCGAACACGGACTGAGCATCTTGTGCGCTGCACATCCAACATATGCAATATCTCGCCGAAAACCCTTGCCTATGGCAGGACATGCTCTGAGATATTGAGCCAGCTGAGTTCTATATCTGGGTGGCAATTGCGCTTTCTGGGACTCTGTTATGTACTTCCTCAGGTGGCCTTCCAACCGCGCGACTGCCAGACGACGCACGATCAAAAATTGACATGGTGATTATGGAGAACTGCGACCACTTCGGTTACCCCCAAGCTCATAAGATGTCGCAGAAGTATATTGCCCACCCGCATGGTGCTGAAAGTTGGCATAATAGCGGGAAGCTGGGGTTGAAGCATATGTATGAATGCATCCTTGACGTGCGCTCTGCGCCGATGTTCCGCAACTCTTTCCGCACATGCAACCGAGCATAATGATTTCAATGGCTCGACGGGCTTGAAGTTGAAGTGGAAGTGGGGTTTCATTGCTGGTCATGTATTGACCGACGAACACAGCATACTCCGACAACCACTTTATACATCCGCCCAGTTCGGAAGCGACAATAGGTCAGTCAGTCGGAACCGAAGGGCAGCGGCTTCGGCATTTGATTGGCCCATCCGTGGTTGGAGTCACCAAAGCAAGACGAAACGACCACGGCTTGTGCATCGGGGCTTTGAAAGTTAGCCTCTGACAGCGCTCGAAGATCTATAAGAAGACTGCGCTCCCTTTCTGCCGACAACCTTCACCTGGTAGGAAATCTAGCAAATATGACATCGCTTTCGCAGGTCCCCCAAGATTCACCTTTCACGATCGACAACATCCCTTTTGGCGTGTTCTCCACGAAAGACGATTCAACGCCACGATGCGCGACCGCGATCGGCGAGTATGCTCTAGATCTACGAGCGCTTAGCGGGGGAGGCTTCTTCTCAGACGCCTCGGTGACCGACGCTCTGGCCCAGGTACGGGAAGATGGTTTCGCAAAGTCCTTCTGTGGCGTTTGGCCGAGACTAATTGACAGAAGACATCTTTGAATGCATTCGCAGCACTTGAGTCCAAGTTTAGGACGGCGGCGCGCAACCAAATCATCTCGGTCATCAAGGATGGCAAGATTCCAGAGACATGCCTGCACCTGTTGGCTGACGTGGAGATGCACTTACCGGTTGCGATTTCGGAATATACCGACTTCTTTTGTTCGCTGGAACATTGTAGAAATGTGAGTCGTCACGCCGTGTGAGGTTCTGATGTCGGATGACGGCTGCTTGCTGACTCCGGCCCAGTGCGCGCCCATGATGAAAGACGGCATTCCCCAGAACTTCTTCCACGCACCTTCCGCGTATAACGGCCGGGCGTCTAGTGTTCTTCCATCGCCCTCCGTAATCCGTCGACCGCGCGGTGTCTTCTGGAAAACTGGACACGACGGCACGCGCGTGCCCACATATGGCGCTGAGGAGCATCTCGATTTCGAGCTCGAGGTAGGCTACATCGTCTCCAAGCCGGTGCCCTACGGGGAGACGATCAAGGTGGATGATGCCCCAGATCATATCTTCGGCTTCGTCCTGCTCAACGACTGGTCGAGCCGCGATCTGCAAGTCTTCGAAATGCCGCCTCTTGGCCCCTTCAGCTCCAAATCCTTCGGCACAACCATCTCCCCGTGGGTCATCACACTGGACGCCCTCAAGGCCTTTCGAACGGCTCCCAAGCACGAGACCACCCCGCTAGAGCACCTTCGGTACAAAGACTTCGCGCGCGGGACCTTCGACGTCAAGCTCGCAGCCCATCTGGAACGAGGGGGCAAGCGCCATCGACTCGCGACCAGCAATCTCAAATACCTGTACTGGACGCCCTATCAGCAGATCACGCACCACGCGTCCGCGAACTGCGGCCTCCGCACGGGCGATCTGATAGGCACGGGCACGGTTTCCGGCGATGGCGTGGACACTCAGGGCAACAAGTGCGAGCTAGGGTGTCTGTTTGAGGCGACGCTCCATGGCTCGCGGCCGGTGATGCTTGAGAGTGGTGGTGAACTGCGGTATTTGGAGGATGGCGATTCGGTCGTGCTCTCGGCGTGGTGTGAGGATTCCCGTGGGCGGAAGGTGCTCGGGTTTGGGGAGTGTCGGGGATTGATTATAGGGCCGGATGCGCCAATTCGATGAGGGTCCACGTGGATCGACTGGGAAGAGCGAGGGTTAGAGGCGTGAGTGTTGTGCGCTGTATGGACGTGGCGGAGGAATCTGCATACTGGATCTGAAGCCGATCGAACGATGAATAATTGGGGAATCTGAATGATGGATATGGGATTTGGTTCCTCAACCTCGGTGTATAAGCAGATGCTTGAACACATAGGGTATCGTGTAGCACGTAGGACGTGATACGGGCTGCTAGATCTGCTGTAGATGCTGCGTACTCCGTAGATTGTGTGACTATCTCACTTCGGGTGCCTGCGTGGTGAAAAGGGCGGAGGGGCTTGGTGGTTTTGGGGGGCCCCGGGGGGGGGGGGGGTAAAGCAAACAAACAGCGAGCATGAGAATGCCAGGATGATGGTTCGCACAATGGGTCTGTGGTCCACAGTAGAGATACTGAGGAGCAGCTTGGCGGACTCGCGGCGATGCTACGGTCAGCCAAATGAGGGACAGTTGTGAGTCAGTCACCACTACGGAGGAGTACAAAGTAGCTGGGTGCTCTGCATCACGGTTCCGTCCCCCAATGATGCTCTTTCCATCACATCACTACTGGAGTTACAGCTGAGATTCACATGCCGCTCATTCAGTTCGCTATGCTACCCCGGCTCCGCAAGCGCGCATCTTCTACTTCTGCACCAAGCCGCCAGCATGAATACCGGTGCGGGAAATGGGGAACAACAGCCCTACTACAATGCCGAGCAAGACACTGCCTAAGGGTTTGTCTGTATTGCTGGCTGCTATAATCTACTATTCCCCTCTAGATCCTGTCGCGGCGTCAAGCCGTTGGGCCGGATGTTGTCTTGCATGCATTCACCGGAGTCACAGTACCAACCACAGACAAACTCTACTGTCCCGCTGGGACCCTCTTTAAGGACAAGGGCGAGGGCAAGGCACCGCAGAAGTCCTCGAGAAATCTCCAGAACGCCTTTTCCCGCCACTCTTTGGCCTTCCACTCGTTCGCAGTGGCAGGGAACAGATCGACGACTCCCCGAATGGACGTATCGTGCGCGTAGATGAAGAAGATATTCTCCGCTGCATCCGCGCCTTGAACCTTCTTGATCGTCCGGATCGTCTCGGGGATATCATAACCGATGGCGGGGTCGAAGAAGGGCTCGTTCGCCTTGCGGCCTCGTGTCCCTTGGATGTGCTGGAAGGCTGAGCCGGGACATATGCACGCACAGCCAGGAGTCAGGCTCAGCGACGGTAGGTGTATTTGCGCAGGCAGAGGCATCATCTCGGACGGACGCAGCTCGCCGCCGTGGTGGCACAGGTCGCCGCCCATCATGACGAAGGTGTCAGGCGTGGTGCGGACTAGGCCGGCTAGATGGCCGATGGCGTGGCCAGGGGTGTCGAGGAGGTAGAACGATCCGTCGCCGAAGAGGTCGTAGGCGGGGAAAGGGCCGATTTGGAGGGCATTGGGTTCTGAGAAGGTAATTTCACGGAGGTTTCGGCCTCTGTCGGTAGGTCAGGACACTCCCCGAGAGCGCATGGACGCTGTCTGAACCGATTGACTCGACAGCTGACTTACGCAAAATCACTCTCCCTTACGGGAGAGTCTTGTCTGGCCGGCCAGCCTGGATAGAACGCCTCTTTGAACCCCGAACCGACGATCAGCTCTGTCGACGGAGGGAACGTGGACGGATCGCCTATATGATCGTAGTGCCAGTGACTTTGGGGCCGCGGCGGGAGGCATCGTCAATTCAGTGTCCATTTCAATCTCAAAGCCGACTACAACTTCAATACAACTTCGATGCTGATGCATAGACGAGGCACGGGTGAAGTAGGTACAGCGGCAGGCAGGCACAGCAAGACCGCTGACACGACATATCCACTCACCTCCAAATAATACTGTTAATGCTGGACAGATCAACGCCCTCCTCCGCCAGGATATCAGCCACGTGCTTCTCGCCTGAAGGCTCTCCCCAGCCTCGCGTCTGCAGCGGGGTGGCCACGACGGGCGAAAACTCTCTCCAATTCGGCGGGACGCCCAGGTCGAACAGCGCTTTGCGGCCAGTGTCACTCTCCACGAGGAACGACCACGTAGGCGCTTCGGGCAGGACGTCCATGCCCGGCATTGCTGGGGTCATGAGGTAGTCGAGGGGGAGGCCCTTGATCTTGGTGGTCGTGTCGATGATTCGTAGCCGCGCCACGGCGCCGTCTGGCACGGCGAACTTCTGGTCGGGAGGACGCATGTTTCGCGGCCAAGGAATCACATGGCATATGATATGACAGACGGGAGGGTTTGCGTTTGCAAGCGCTGGCCAGGTGCTCTTACTTACGGAGGACAGGCTACTACTGTAAGGAAGTTGGCATGCACCATGGGTTCATGACGGGTACAGTATGAATGAGGCTTGGGGGTTGCAGCCTCGCTTCCGGCCTCTCGGCTCTTACTGTGTACTTTGTCAGTCGGTTGAGGTTACACAATAGGTGTTTGAGCACGTGGAGGTGGATGCGACGGCATGCTTCCCCGACCTTCTCCCTTCTCTCCAAGCCTCGAGGCTGCCGAGCATTGGGGATAGGCCGGGGAGAGAGGCCGCTCCACGCTTCTCCACTGAGGCTCCGAGGCTCGGCGGACCGCCGATCGCGGTCAAACAAGTGAATCCAATCGCCGACAGAAACTCGCGACGTACTGTCGACATGATGAGTTGGGCACCGGCAAACCTGTTGGAGATGAGGCATTATCTGCGAGGCTCGACTTTCGGAGAATGAGATAAGATGCGCAGGCGTTGAGCGTCGAAGGCACGCATTTGACTGCACCGAACCGCACTACGCTGTACTCACCTAGTACGCTGCGGGAGGCATTGACTGACTGATTGACCGGCTTTCACCACCAGTGCGATTGTCAACCGTATACTTTATCGTGCACTGCCTACTCATCAGTCTTGGTCACGCATCATCTGTCGCGAATCATTTCGCTCTACCAAAATGCCCCACGCCGTCGATTACAGCCTCATCCAAGTCAAGGAGCTGCATCCCACCTTTGCCGCCGAGGTGTCTGGAGTTGACTTTTCGCGGCCCGTGCCTGAAGATGTTTTTCAAGAACTCTGGAAAGCCGTTAACCAGGTACGTGGCTGGCTCCAACTCGGGACTTTGCCATGATCGACCTGGTCGGATCATCGCGTGATCCCTCACCACTAACACACCCTCCACAGTACGGGGTCCTAGTATTCCGCCACGCCAAGCTAAACGACGAGCTGCACATCCAATTCTCCCGACGGCTGGGCGAACTCGACGACGTGCTCCCTCACATCCAAGCGGGCCGACCCTTCCGGTTCAAGCACAAAGAGTTGTTTGATGTGGGGAACATCGAGGAGGACGACGCGCTGGTCAAGCCCGGTAGCCACCGGTGGTATTACGGGAAGGTGAGTCTAACATATGGGATGTGTTGCGTGGATGTGCTCTACCATGGCTTGGCCTTGTTGCATTTAATCTGCCCTGCCTTGCTTTGCTTCATTCTGACCTGATATCCGTATCCACGCCCGCTATCATCGTATCATCCCGTCTGAGTGTCGTCAGGGCAACAACCTTTTCCACCACGACTCATCCTTCAACCCACGCCGCGCGGGCCTCTCGTTGCTCCGCGCCCACGAGATCCCACCCCCCGGCCACGGCCTCGGCGGCAACACGGACTTCGCGGACTGCCGCACCGCGTACGACGAGTTGCCGCCCGACCTGAAGCAACAGCTCGACGAGAACGACTACGTGGTCGCACACTCGCTCCTGCATTCGCGCCGCAAAGCCGCGCCCGAGTATTTCACCGACGTGGACCCCCACAAGGGCTACTTCTCCCGCCACAAGGTCGTGCAGACGCACGAACGCTCGGGCCGCAAGACGCTCTACATCGGCAACCACATGCATCATGTCGAGGGGCTGCCCGAGGCCGAAAGCACCGCGTTGATCAATCGGCTGCTCGACCATGCGTGTCGGGATAAATATGTCGTGAGCGTGGAGTGGCAGAACGAAGGGGATCTGGTGCTCTGGGATAATACGTCGGTCATGCACCGGGCGCATGGGGGCGCGTATGAGGGGAAGTATCGGCGGGATATGCGCCGGACGACGGTGCATGATGATTCGAGTTATGCGTGGGGGTTGAATGAGAGGACGAGTATGAGGGTTGGGTTGCCGTAGACCCGTAGGCTGTAGGCCCTGGGCCGTAGGACAGAGGGCTGTAGGACAGAGGGCTGTAGGACCGTAGGGTCTAGCTGGCGAGCCAGAGTGAGAGCAAGGCGGAGTGAAAGTGGAGGAGAGTGCGGTGGCGCTATATGGTGCGACATGCAAGATGCAAGACGCATGACGCGAGATGCAAGGTGCAAGGTGCAAGAATAGAGTAGTTAGTCACCTCGTAGCTTCATGTGCGCGGGATAATAGAGTCGAGCAGGGATGGAAAGTGTATGGTAGTGTAGTGAAGTGTATTAGGAGCGTTGAGGTACTGTGCGGGTTTGTGCGCATAGCTACGGAGTACATTGGCCACCCTATGTATATCCATGGCTGGCCCCAAGCTGCTATACTGTAATATGTGTTCAGAACAGTGATTCAACTCCAGCTTCTGGTGTGACATGGGCAAGAAAGTGCCTTCGTGTGGGTGGCTCCTATTCTTCAGAGTGACAACTGCACAAGAGGGCTTGCTAGTCGAGATCCAAATCATAGGGAGGGTCCTGTTCTTCATGCCTTGTGACTCGCCATCTCGTGTGCGCGCTCCCTAAGTACCCGTTCGGTTCTGTATTCATGCTTTTGAGGGTTACGTTTCTTGCGCACTGCTCATTCCTACTTCCTACTGTGGAAGTTGCTTGTGTACGCCATCTTCTTCGTGGCCAGGACCACGCGCAGTGTACCGATGCCGTACTATACGTAAGTCGAATACCGAAGGGGTATCCAACCAGACACCCAAGGCCGCACGCCATGCACCATCTATGAGTGGCTCAACCCCATGCACCAGCGGGTCTGGAGCTATAGACATGAAATGCTGATCTGATCTCCTACTTGTCATGGCTTATTCTTGACAATGTTGCCCGCACCCCAGTTCTTCAGGTAATCATCGGGCCGGACCCTGACGTCCACCACCACCGACATCTTCTCGTCTCTCACCAACCTGACGGCCTCCTCGAACTTTCCCTTCAGCTCGCTGCGCTTGCTGATCTGTGCACCCAGCGTCGTCAGGCCAAAGGACTCGGACATCCTCCCAATGTCAGGAAGTGGATCGTCCAGCCGCATACCAATCCATTTGTTCTCCACGGGTCTGCTGCGCGTGTTGGCCACCCTCTCCTGGTGGACCTCGTCGTTGTAGAAACTGCCATTGTTTGAAACGATGATCAACACGGGAATGCGGTACCGCGCGGCCGTCCAGATTGCGGAATTGCCCATCAGGAAATCCCCATCTCCTAGGATCGCCACCGGCACGTATTTCGTGCCCTTGAGCGCCAGGGCCGATCCAACGGCCTGTCCGGGACCAGAGCCGATACCTGCGCCGCCGTCCATGCCCAGGTACGCGAGCGGGTGCGTCGCCAGCAGATCGATCCCGCGGAAACTGAGCGGCAGGCGGATGATGCACATGTCGTTGGGGCTGATGGTCGCGTAGAGCGCCGACGCCAGGTCGGCCTGGAAGATGTCCTCGCCGTCGAGGTTTTGCGGCTTCTGCGACGACGAAGGCTGTGTGGTAGGCCATGCCGAGTTGGGCAGGCCCGTGAGCTTCGTGAATTCGAGCTCCGCAACGAGATCGGTGATGAATTTGTCGGGGTCGGCGAAGATGCTGATGTCGGCTGGAGGTGTCTCGAAGTGGTCCTTTGACCACCCGTTGTGGAGTTGTGTGTCGACGGTGACCTCGATCACCTTGGCTTTGGGCTCGATCAATTCGCCGTGGGCGGCGGTGAAGAAGCCCACCAGGTCGACCCAGTCAAAGGAGATGATTAGGTCGGCTTCTCGGATCATGCTGGCGGCTTCGGGGGCCAGGAACAGAGCAGGTGCGGCGGGGTGTAATCGGTGGGTGGTGGGGAAAGCGACTGGTTGTTTGATGTCGGCTGGAGATGAGACTGTCAGCAGGTGCGTATTGAGGACTGTACCTACGTATGTAGATCTTCACAGCAGTAACAGGAGTCGACCGTACTTATAACCTTTGCGTCAAACATCTCGGCTAATCTGATTCTCTCGTCCCAGCTCTTCTGCGTGCGGTTCATGCGGCCGAACATTATCAACGCCTTCTTGGACTCGCGCAAGGCTTGTGCCACTTTCTTGATATCTGCTTGGCTGGCTCCCGCGGATTGCTGGGTCAGGTATCTCTCCGTGTCGGGGTAGCGAACGTCTTTCTCATCGTACGGTGCCTCCTGCAGACCGACGTCCAGAACAACGTAGGTAGGGGCGCATGGCTTGACGGACGCCACGGCCGTGGCTTTGATGACGCTGCGGATGGCGGAATTGACGCTCGCGGGTTGATCGTCCCATTTGGTGTAGTTCCTCACCAGGGCTGCTTGGTCGACGGCCGTGTGTGTCGAGTCGATCCACGGCCGCCTTTTCGTCGTGTCAAACGGGCCCGCCGCGCCGAATATCACCATGGGGACGCGATCGATAAAGGCGTTGAAAATCGCCATCGACGCGTGCATCAGCCCGACATTGGCGTGCAGGCCACATGCCAGCGGCTTTTCCGTGACCTTGGCGTAGCCATGCGCAATGGCGATGGAGTGTTCTTCGTGCAGACAGACCACCATCTCCGGCGCCGCGTTACCATTCAGATTGACCAGACTGTCGTGCAGGCCGCGATAGGACGATCCGGGCACAAGGACGAAGTACGGGATGTGAACCTTTGCGAGTTGTTTCGCGATATAATCGGATCCCCAGCCTGGTTTGGGGGAGGCATCCCCATTTTGCGGGTTGGGAGCATCATTGGGAGACAGGCGGATGGGCAGCGACATGTTGGTCAATTGTTAGCGATCAAAATCCTGATATACTGGGTGAGGTCTCGCTCTCGCTTCTCTCAAGCTAGGCTTGAATGTTTATGTTTTGTTTCTTTTGAAAAATCTCGGTCGACGCGCCGTCGGGTGAGAACGATACTCCGTACACCATCCGATTCGGCTCTCCAGCTCTCTCCTAAGGGAATGCGCAGGAGACGGGTTACCCGGACACATTTAGTCTGAACAACCGAGACACGCTGCGTGGTCGACGGTTACTCCAACTGTGGTTGTTGAAGCCGGGCACAGCAGAGGGCTTCCCCAACTGCTCGACGGTGCCCCCGGTGAGGTTGATTGTCGATCTTTCGTCGTACTGGGTAGAGGGATGGCTGTCCGGAGAGTCGCCGGAAGCGTGTTCGCTAGCACATTATATTGATGGTCCACCCCTGCACCAATTGAGATCCTTCCCCCAGACTATGCCGAGTGCGGACCCTGCCTTGTCGTCCTTTTGGTGCCGACATTGCCGGTTGACCTTTCGAAAAGTATAAGTGAGGGAGGTGTCAGGGACTCATTGGTGTTGTAGATAGCCGCGTCTGCGGGGTCCAGGCCTGCATTATCATTGGGCGGCAACGCGCTTGGCATCGCATAGCTGTTCACGTGTCGGGTCCTTCCATAGGAACTTTCTTTCACCTAGAAGTCACCAGGTTCATAGGACAGTACAATGTATCAGAAGTCTGAAGGACACGTACACGAATTACACGAGCACCACGAGCCGTGTGCGTGCCGCGACTGAATGGACCTCCTCAGCTTAGCTAGTCACGCTCAGAGAACGATCGCCCCAGAAGAAGCAACCGGCCTTTCGTGGCTGAAGTTTGGATTGAGCTGCCGCCATTGAACAACTTCTTCTTTCTCCAACACGAGGCTTGGTTGTTGCCATGAGTCAAGCTTTACTCTTATCCGTTTGCTTAGCGAAACGAAGCCATGCTCCCCGAATATGTGCGACTCCCGACCCAGTCGTATTGGGGCAAAACGGAGAACTATGTACGTACCCCCGTATTGCTGCGGGACAAACTCTTTGATGACAGGTCCGTTCCGACCTTGCCGCGTTAGTTCACTATCATCCACATGATACCTGCCCTATGCGAGAAGCAGCGTGGAACGTGTGCATTCTGAGATTGATAGCCACTTGATGTTGGGGAATGCTCCTCGCCAAATCTAAGCGAATACTCCTGACCCATTCCATCTATCCCGGGCGGTCTCCAAAGCTCTGGGCTCCTATTTCTTGTTCAAGCCACGTGTTTGCTAAACCCTATCCCCACGGGGTTCGTGTTGTCGGCTCTCAAGAGACTTATTATTGTCTCTGCCTTTCCCTGATCCTCCGTCGAGACCTTCTCCATGTTCTCACGTAACTCCCAGCGAAGCCTCCTTTTTTAATCACCTTGGCTGTCTTCCTGTCGGCCCGGAGAAAAGTCGCAATGAGCGCCGCGCAACAGGCCCTCGACGATTTGAAGGGGAACGTACATCTGGAGGAAGTCGTCGGTGATGGCGAGAACGCACTCACTGAAGCTCAAAAGGCGTTCCTCAAAAAGGAGAAGCGAGTCGTCCGCAAACTTGACATGTACATTACGCCGGTCATGCTGCTTCTCATGCTGATCAGCTACCTGGACCGTGGCAATATTGGATTTGCAGCCACCCAAGGCATGACTAAGGACATTGGTCTCAAGGCCAATGAGCTAAGCGTGAGTACTCTATCAACTTGTCGAGAATCGGCTTCTAACGGTATTAGACCGCTGTATCGATCTTCTACCTCACGTACATTCTATCCGAGGTAAGCAGAACGCCGTCCGTCTCGTGATAGTCCCAGCTAACAGCAACGAGTTCCCGACGACGATGTATGTCAAGCGCCTCCAGTTCCAGAGGGTTATCCCTGTCCTCGTGTTCTCATGGGGTCTCGTGTGCATGTGCATGGGCTTCATCCAGAACTACGCAGGCCTGATCGTGTGCCGACTGTTGCTTGGCGCTTTTGAGGGCTGCCTGTTCCCTTCAATGACCATGTTCTTGCTGAACTGGTACAAACGCGAAGAAGTAGGTCAACGCGTCTGTTATCTTTACAGTACGTTGCTCCCTGGTGTCTTCATCTCGTCGCCTAACGCATGAATCTCAGTTGGTTCTGCTCTATCTGGAGCTTTCGGCGGCCTCATTGCGTTCGGAATTCTCTACATGGATGGGACTGCCGGGTACCCTGGGTGGCGATGGTGAGTGTCCACGTACCCAGTATGGCTAACTCTTGGCTGACAGTAATAGGCTTTATATCATCGAAGGCATTATTACGATTGTATTTGCATTTGTGTGCTACTTTCTTATTCCGAAATCTTATGCCACGGCATACTTCTTCGACGAGGAAGACAAGGCCGTGCAGAGGCAGCGTCTTGAGCTCATGGAAGCCTACAGTGGTGGCGATGGCAAGTACACAAGGATGGATGTCAAGAATGCTATGCTGGATGTGAAGACTTGGCTGCATGGTATCAACCAGATCCTCATGTCGACTATCATTTACGGTAAGCAACTGCGTCTGTTCTTCGGCGACTTCGGAGGTGCTAACTTGACGAACAGGTTTTGGAACTTTTCTTCCCATCATCCTTAGGGACGGTTTCAACTACTCGACGAAGCAGGCGCAATACTTCGTCATTCCCGGTACGTTTGCCGCCTATACTTGCTTCCCATTGCTGACTCGTTGCTCTAGTCCAAATCGTCGGTGCAGTCTGCTATTTCGTTGTCGCCGTTCTCTCCGACCGATACAAAGCCCGATTCGTGTCACTCGTGTGCGCAGCACCACTTGGAATCGCCGGCTACGCAGTCCTGCTTACAAAGCAACATGCGGCTGTCTGGTACGGTGCAACGTACCTCATCGCGGCCAGCTGCTATATCATCACCGGCACGAGCATTGCCTGGCACGGTATGAACATCGCGCCGGATGGTAAACGGGCAGCCGCCATGGGTGTCCATCTCGGACTCGCGAACATTGGCGGCATCATTGCCGGACAGATCTACAGGTCGACCTCTGCGCCCCGATTTCTTCTCGGCCACGGCTGGAGCTTGGCTTCCATTGGGCTTGGATTCTGCATCTGGTGGATTCTGTTCTTCATCTACAAGCACAGAGAGGCCAAGAAAGCGAGAATGGAGGCTGAAGGTATTGTTGTGCCGGACTCGCAATGGACGGATCGGTCTCCTGGATTCAAGTACCAGTTCTAAACACGAGAAGGCCACGAAGCAAGGAGGGTGGCAAGCCTTGTCTTGTGCGGTCATAGAAGATCTTTGAGAAAGCGAGTAACAACAATGATCTCCTTGCCTGCGTTCAATTGCCTGCGTAGAGATCCATATGCGTGAGTTGTCTTTTAAGGCACAGTTGAGAGTGCGAAGTGCTCCGCAGTATTCCGAAACCGTGGAGGCTTGGCATACGGAGGACGATTTGGGTGCTTACTGCAGGTACGGCGGAGTATTAACTCAGCCGGCAAGATTGAGGCTTGGCCCGCTTCCCAACATTCAACCACGGCCTCGACCATGCATCAGCCCTGGTCAGCTCCCTTCCCAGGCGAATCTTGCTGCCCTTCTCCAGTGGTGCTTCTATTTCAAGGCGTAGTCGGTTTCAAACTCCCCGGCCCTGAGCGGGCTATGACGACCACCACACCTTCCTGGTCCTGGATCTCCCGTCTTTCGATTTCACCCGGTGCACCAAAAGCCCGTGTCAGGTCCGTTGTCGAAGATCTTGTGGGTATCCATCCACTTGACTTGATGCTGCCCACGAGGCTATCAACCCTGCCTTGGATATACCATTCATCACCTGGCTCCTCTATTGTCTCATCCTTCCATATGGTGTCCGGACGGTGATGCTCAACTCCTTGATGAACGCGCCATCCAATTGTGCCATGCAAGAACCTGCGGGTCCCAACCCTCGACGGACACAATTCTCGAGTTGCGACGCATGTCGAAACTCGCGCCTCGCATGTGATGCCGCGCGGACCGGGTATGGTCCGGGAAAGCCAGGCTGGGTCGGATCTTGTTCTAGATGCATGCGTCGCAAGCGGCGATGCACGTTCGAGGTAGGACGGCCCACTTGTAGCAGTGTCTCCCTGTGATCAGCTTCCGCGGCCTTCGACTGAACATCTCTTTTACACCAGTGGATGAATGATGTCAAGAAGCCTGCGACTCGAAGACCACGGAAGAAACAATCATTATCTTTGACTACGGATTCGTCTCAACAGGACCCTTCATCCCGTGAGACTCTACATTCCAACGGGAACATTGATTCGTATGATACTCGACCTCAAACCGCCGCTCAGAATTCATCACAGCAGCCTCGGTGCGTCAGTATCCGGCTGTTGTTATTAGACGCTGACCGAGCCCCAGAAGTTTGTCCGTCGAGTCTCGCACATTGGTCTCGCCTTCCTCATCTTACAGCCCGCTGACCCCACCTGTTGACTGTGAAACAGCATCGGTGGGCGACTGGCTCGAACGCATCTACGAGAGCTGCTTCGAGAACGTCTTCGGCTTCTGGATGGGTCGACATTGTTGTGCCCTTGTCGCGGATAATACTTCGGCAATCATTCTGCCTCCTAGCCGGTACTTTCCCGAGTTGGACGACTCCATCTTCGGCAGCTGGCCACAACCAGAGACTAATCGAACAGACGTCGAGTCCAGTCAAAACGAGCAACAGGACGATCCAATAGCTCAATCTCTCAAGCATGCGAAGAGGTCGTTTGCCGCGCGCTGGTTTCATCTCATTCCGTCTGCGGAACGAGCAGGTGTGTTACCGGAGCATGTCGTGCGAGAGTTCTGGCGGAAGTCACGCAGAGATATGCTGAAGGTCATCAATCGTATCTCTTATCGATCTGCTCTTGCGCTGTTCTTGTTCAGCCTGACACCGGTCCCGGTCGGAATATCGGAAGAAGAGGAGATGGATGGCTTGACAGGTCAGCTCTGTGTTCAGGCAGGACTACAGCAGATCCAGCGACTGCGGGAGGGCCAGCGGAGTTGTCAATTCAGCGGGTCCCAAGTGCTACTAGCCTCCGATGCTCTAGCGACCCCGACAGGTGGCAGCTCGAAATTAACCAACAGTTTCCTTCGAACCGAAGCCCGCGCGTATTGGGCGGCCTTGACCTTTGACACCTCCTTATCACTGTCATTGAATTTCAGATCGACACTCACCTCAGGGCTGCACGGCGTCGAGACTGAGACGTGCTGGCGCACACTCAAGATGGGCGCGGGATCCTTTCACACGCGGACCGAGGGTTGGCGAAGGAATCCATTCGCCATGACTGAAGACGAGGTCTTGCAAGTCATTGCGGCGGCGCTCGCGTGTAAACTATATGTGTGGAAGATGATCTCGGTTGTGAAGGAGGCGTTGCGCGAGGGCTCCGAAGAAGACAAGGTACAACACGCTTGGTCTGCTTTCCTCGAGGCTATCGACATGTTTCGAGGCACCTTCCGGCCACTGCTCAATGATTGCCAAAGACGACTTCCGTTCCTTGGGCAGGTCGAGAGATTGAATTGGTACGAACTCATGCTTCACTATTATCTGGGCATCCTCATCTTACTCGACGCGATCGAGGCCGCAGAAAGGTCGGATTTGTTGTCGCAAGTTTCCGAGACAAGACTCGAGGCCGAGCACGAGCTTTTCAACACCTTGAAATTCGGTCTGGAAAGCCAGTATACCATCAACGGCGTATGTCGGCTCCCCGAATCGACATCAACTCTACCGAGCCTTGAGCGCAACTCTACAATTACGGCTTCTTTTATTGCCATCGATCCATATCCGCACCACATCGTTGCGGCCGCTCAACTTATGAACAAAGTCGTGAGCAGAGAGTACAGCCAGGGCAAGATCAAGCTAGAAGCATACAAGTATCTAAACAGGACGCTGCTCGAATGCCTGGAAAAGCTCCCACAGACCTCCAAGTCTGTGCAGGCGGCAAGGCAGCATCTCCGTGCTTCTATGGGGGAGACGTGAGAGTTCCTTGGATTCGAGAGGTTTCAGCCTATCGACGAAAAGAGCTGATTTGCGGCAGCTCAAGCGCAGCTCTGCTGGGGCATCGCAGGCTACACTTGATGATATATTCCTCCTGGCGGGCCGACGACGCTGTCGGATCCGGATCTCCGAAGCTGCCCTTTAGGCGAGGCTGAGTCAGCCGCCTCCACGACACGTGACCACTGCCTTTCCCAATCACGGCTGCTCGTTGGCCATTGGCCAAATGCCACGCAGCAGCTTCGAAACGCGAGATTGTCACAGTGATGTCATTGGTGGATCTACTACTCGTACCTCGACTTCCTGATTCTAACTCCGGATCTTCCGTCGAAACCATCATAGAGCGAGAGCACCAAGATTACTTTCCTCCCGTTGTCACATCGACGCGTTTGCTTGACCGCTCTAGAGTTTTTACGATTATCTCAGCTTCGATTGGTCCATCGTGGTGACCACCCAATTTCTCGCGCTCCGCCTGTCGTGTCAACGGGAAAACCCAATTTGGGCCCCATGTTGACGATGCCTTAGCACCTTCCGACGCCGGGTTAATCAGGGAAAAATCCAGCAGAAGCTGAGACGTGAAGGATCAGCTGCCGGCGCAATGCCCGCCGAGTCTATCTTTCCGGATTTTGTCCTCGGCCATCCAAGGCACCAGAAAAACAAGGTGAAAGATGTGCCATCGAGAAAAAAGCCCAAAGGAAGACCGCCAAAAGGCCTGAGAGACAGAGTGCCTTTCTATGGAAGATTGCCGCACTACACCGGCCCATATGAAGTGGGGGTTATTGATTTTGAGGTGCCCGCAAAAAGCCCTAGGACGTTCTCAGACATCACCCGCCACGGCGTCCACGTGCTTGCGTTGGAGACAGTATTGATGACAATCTACTACCCAGCCCATTTGAATGCCCGATACGATATCAACACACCCACCTCAGGTCAAAGGCATCGACCGACATGGCTGACCCGACCTAGAGATCAAACGAGTCGAGGCTACGCATATTTTGCAGGACTACCAGCATATTTGATGATTGCATGGTTCTTCTGTACGACTTGGTTCACGAAACTACCAGCCTACAAGAATGCAAGACTCGCGGAGCATTGGCCTCCATACGGGGAAGGCTGCACGAATCACCGCAAGGCTACTAAGAAAGCAGGCGATCCTCCGGCGACGGGACCAGAGAAACCGAAGTTTCCCCTCATTCTCTTCAGTCACGGGCTTGGAGGCACGAGGACATGCTACTCCTCTGTGTGTGGCGAGTTCGCGAGCCATGGGTTCGTCGTCGTTGCGCTTGAACATCGGGATGGCAGTGGCCCCAGGACGTTAGTAACGCACCCGGACTCCGGTCCTGCTAGTCGAAATTGCACGAAAGCCGAGGGTGGTGTGGAGCATGAGAAGAGCTCCATGAAAAGACCTTACGACAAAATCGATTTCATATTTCCGAAACACGACACGCATGATACAAGTCCCGGACACCAAATCGACCAAGAATTGCGGAACGCGCAAGTCGATCTGCGACTGGCTGAGATTGACGAAGCGTATCAGATCATGTTGGAAATATGTGCTGGGGATGGTGAGAAGGTTGCGGCAAGAAATCTCAGGGTCAATGGCGCGATTGGCGCGTCAAGAGCCGGTTTAACAGGTGTTGACTGGAAAGGCTGGCAAGACCGATTCCACACCAATGGCGTGACCATGGTTGGACATTCGTTCGGAGCCACGACGACCGTGGAAGTGCTGCGACAGAAACAAAGATTCAGTTACGTTACTCAAGGAATCATTTACGATGTCTGGGGCATGCCGATTCGACCAACGGCTGAGGAGCGCGACAGTCGGATACGTGTCCCGATGCTAGGAATCAACTCCGAAGCTTTCATGTACTGGAAAGATAACTTTGAAGTGGCCAAAAAGGTCACAATGGAGGCCCTGGAGACTGGCCACCCAGCTTGGTTGATGACCGTCCGCGGGACGGTGCACATTTCACAGTCCGACTTCTGCATCCTGTACCCGCACCTAGCGGGTTGGCTAATGAAGATGACCATCGATCCCATCCGGGCCATCGACCTGAACGTCGATGCATCGCTTGAATTTCTTTCACGTGTCATGCCCAAGGAGGTGCAGCATGAACAGCCTTTCCTCAGGAGGTTGGCCAAGAGAAAGCTACTAGACTCGCAAGTCTTGACCGATTTACCGACTGAGCACGCACCCGACGAGAACTACACCGCTGTTCGCCTGAAGATAGAGCATGAGACGCGAAAAAGGTTAACGCCAGGGGCAAAGAAGAAGTACTGGGACGAGATTCGGAAGTCCGACGCGGGCGAAACTTGGCTGCACATCAGCCCGGATAGCGCACCAGACATGGCGAGATGCCAGACTTGTGCCCTCCCGAGATGGGACGACGTCGAGAGGCCGACGAAGAGGGATTGAGCCACGCGATATGTACAATCGTGCTCAGTCTATGTTTATAAACCGTGGTCGGCTCTGTCACCGTGCCACGTTACAGCCCATCTTCACGAACGAGCACTGATCGGTTGAGGTGTTCCTTCGAAACCGATTTGATGCCAGCAAGATGTAAGGTCAGATCCAAGTCACCACAGAGAGCTCGAAGGATGTGAGTGACACCTTCTTCTCCGCCAAGGACCAGTCCATACGTGTATGGCCTTCCGACAAGAACCATCTTGGCTCCAAGCGCGACTGCTTTCGCAATGTCTGCCCCAGTGCGAATTCCGGAGTCGAAGAAGACTTCAAGCTTGTCCCCTACCGCGTCGACAATACCCGGCAGGACACTAAGCGAGCCAATCCCGCCATCCACTTGTCTACCTCCGTGGTTGCTCACAACGATCCCCTGGACGCCGAGCTCGGCTGCCTTCAGAGCATCCTGCGTTGACTGAATGCCTTTCAAGACAATCGGCCCGTCCCAGTGTTTCTGGAGGAACTTGACGTCGTCCCAAGAATGGCTCATCCCGGGAAATATAGTGCGAGTCCATTCGGCAGCGGCTTTGCCTTGATCTTCTTCGATTTCGACGCCGTGCTTGTCCTTGAATTGCTCCCGGAATCCTGGATCCGAGAAGCCGACCGCCACGCCTATCTGGTCAGAGCGGAGAAACGGGTTATATCTGGCCGCGGTCAGAATGCGGAGTGAAATATAGTAGTGGCCACCAACCTACCCGTTGTCCATGTCGCTCGGCCGCCAACCCAGCACGTACGTATCCAAGGTGACAAACAAGGCCGTAAACCCAGCCGCTTTCGCACGGTTCAGCATCGAAATGGTCGTACTATCACTCTCCCTGGAAGGCCAGTAAAGCTGAAACCACCGGACTCCGTCTCCGTTTGCCTTGGCCGCCTCCTCAATGCTCGTACTGCTGGCCGTACTCATGATATACGGAATCCGGCACTTCTCACAAGCCCTCGCGACCGCGACTTCTCCGTCGGGGTTGAAAATCCTCAACACGCCAACCGGTGCTGCAGCGATGGGGAAGGGGATCCTCTGTCCTCCCAGGACATTCACGCTCAGATTCGGGAACCCTTCAGTCCCAACCAATCGGCGCGGCACGATCGACCACTTCTCGAAGGCCTTTCTATTCTTGCGCGCCGTCTCGCCGACTCCCGCGCTCCCGACGACATACCCCGCGGACTCGGCGGACAGGCGCGCCATGGCCAGTTCTTCCCATTGTAGAGGTTGAAACGTGAAGGGCGGTTTCTCGTAGTGCAGGCCCTTCTGATACACTTCAGCCTCATAAGCGATGGGGTCGGGATCGGCGTGCTTAGAGATGCTAGGCCGGTGGACCACGTTATGGGAGGACATTGTTCTGTGACGAAGCAAATCTGCTTATCCTCTGTGATCCCTAAATAATAGTGTGCTGGTGGAGTAGTACAGTACGAGAGGAATTCATATGAGTACTCCGGAATAGTCGGAACAATCGATGACACCAGGTCGGTCGTCGGACGTCATGGCCTCGGATCTGGCCTTCCACGTGCGTACATGCTGCCGAACTGACCGGAGCTTGAGCTTCTCACGGGCTCCAACCAGATACCTGCTACTGCAGACAGACACTTCGAGACAAGCACCACAAGCACCACGCACGAAAAGCTTTTTCCATCGTCGTCAACTTGCCGGTTACATAACCTGGGTACCGAGGCCTGACGACGGGCCCGGACGAAGACAAGTACGGAGACCGGGCACGGGTATCCTTTCCGGCATCTCGGTTTGAGTGAATTTGATACCGTCCCTACAGTAAAAGGCACACAGAATGAGTACGGTGCGTGCGACAGTGTTGAATCCCTACGAGGCCGACACCCAGAAATCAAACCCTTTCAACATCGCACTGAATACGACTGTCAGGTTCTTTATGGTCGGTGTTAGGGATAAGAATGTGGTGGCGTGCTGGTCGATACTCTACTGTGTGTTGCGATGCGGGGCTCATGTTCTCGCATACACGGGTCCTGTCCGTGTAAGGTAATGTGGAGGTGCTCGACCCCGTACTGTACCTGGAACGGGTTTTCCCAGCACGACATTCTTACTAAGTAGGTACATTTGACCATTTACTTCCCACTGTGGTATTATCTTTTCCAGCCCTCGCGACCCATTGTCGTCGGAGTGCGTGGACCTCTGAAGTACTGCTAATCGACGCGCATTACTCCCCACCGCCACGCCACGCCACCATGACCGCCGCAACCACCGTCCAAGGCCACTGCGACGCCAAATTCTCGCGCGTCAGAGATCTGCTCCAAAAGTACACCACCTCGGGCGCCGAGCTCGGCGCATCCGTCACCGTGAACATCGACGGCAAAGACGTCGTCGACATCTGGGCCGGATACGCCGACGTGGACCGCACCCGCCCGTGGCAGAAAGACACCATCACAAACACCTTCTCGACCACCAAGACCGTCGTCGCGCTCGCCATCCTGGTCCTCGTCGACAGGGGCCTTCTCAGCGTGACCGACAAGGTGTGCAAGTATTGGCCCGCCTTCGCCGCGAATGGAAAACAAGACATCGAGATCCGCCATATCCTCTCGCACACGTCGGGCCTCCCTGGGTTCGACGCGCCCCTGACGGTCCCTGATGTCTGCGATGCGCCGAAACTCGCGGCCTTGCTCGCGGAGCAGGCGCCCTGGTGGACACCCGGGAGGGAGTCGGGCTACCACTCCTTCACGCAGGGGTATTTGCTCGGCGAGATCGTGCGGCGGGTCACGGGAAAGTCGCTGAAACAGTTCATCGCTGAGGAGATCGCGGGGCCGCTGGGCGCGGATTTTCAATTAGGGTGCGCTGAGCAAGATGAGCATCGAAGGTGTGATGTGGTTCCTCCGCCCCCGCGTGCGAGGAGCGCAACTCTCGATCCCACGTCCATCAGGGGGCGCGTGGTGACGAATCCAGGCATGAAGGCCGAGTTTGCCAACTCCGAGGCCTTTCGACGCGCCGAGATCGGGGCGGGGAACGGCCACAGTAACGCGCGAGGCGTGGCAAGGATCTTGTCGGTTCTTTCGCGGAATGGGCAGGTCGCCGCGAGCGAGAGTGCGAGAAAGAGTGCCGGTGAAAGCAAGAGCGAGAGCAAGCAATTCCTATCACCCGAAATCATCAACCTGATCTTCCAGGAACAGTACAAAGGGTTGGACCACGTGCTTGACACGGGCGGCAGGCCAATTCGGTGGGGGATCGGGTTCGGGTTGACCGGTCGCGACACGTGGATTGATTTCTTGCCGGAAGGGAGGGTGTGTACTTGGGGTGGGTATGGGGGAAGTATGGTCGTCGTGGATCTGGATCGGAAGCTGACGATCGGGTATGTGATGAATCGGATGGAGGAGGTGGGGTTGGGGAGTCCCAGGGCGAGGGAGTATATTGAGGCGGTGTATGAGGCGCTGAGGTAAGTTAGGGTATGGAGTTTCCTGGTTGTGTAGGACAGTATGTGGAGGTGTGAGAAAGGAAGCATAACTGGAAATGAGCTGAAGAGGTTGAAAGACACTGGGTTGAAGCTGAACTACAGCTGAAGACCCTGCCGAGTACGGTCGTCTGACTGTCTGCTTTTTAGTTTGGCGATATTTCCTCCGCCATCGACTGAGAGCCCTCCTGGAGTTTCAGATCATCTGCTTCGTAGCTTCGTCGCCCGGAAACCCGTCTGCGGGTTGTGTCGATCCATAAGCAGTCGACACAATCGGCAGAGGTACGCTAGTTGGGTCGAGGCCTGCCAGCACTGGAGTAGGGTGCTTGACGATTTTGAGAATACTTCTTGCGGGATGTTGCAACCTGTCGTTGCTAGGCCTGTCGAGCATGTGGACTGCCTAACAATCAGGGCCGGCGGAGGATAGCAGGAGAAAGCCATTGTCCGCACATCGTAAAACATAGGCGGCCAACGCAGTCACTGTTGTGGTGGGGTGATGGCCTGCATCCGCCTTGCTACAGTACGTACCATACATCTTCCAGACCAGGCTGTCGCTCAATAGAGTGCCCGATCATCAGGATGCGCCGTGTCTTTCGACCGCAACGGGCTCTTCAGCATCGAATTGTCCATCCTCCGATCGACATATCGCAACACCTCGGGATCCATATTATTAGTGTTAAGCCCCATGATATACTCCGCCCCGTCAGTAGGCGGGGGCCGAAGCGGCCACCAATAGCATCTATATTACACCGCATTAGGTCCCAGGCTTGTGAAAGAGTGAGGTCCAACTTGTCACTTACACGCATCCACAATTATCGCAGAAATTAAAGGATAGGTCTCGGTCTCCCCAGATGTACTGCTTCGTTATTGCGCCTGGCTTGGGTTCAACCTTGACCTCGTCGGGATGGTAGTAGCCCCATGCGGCGCCGTAGCGTCTGCATATGGTGCATTGGCAGAGATTGATATATTCGGGCAGTCGGGGGACCGTGACTGTGATGGCGCCGCAGTGACAGCTCGAGCGGATTGGAGTGGGAGGGGTTTTTGCCGCCATCTTTTAGTCTGTTCGTGCGAGGTCTGGGTTGTGAGGCGAGAAGATATTGTAGCTCGGACTTGTCGAAGGTGTCTGTTTCAACCGTCGTTGGCCTTGCAATCAATTAATTATTTCCCGTACGCGTGGATAAATAATCCGCGGCGTGAAAAATAGCGCGCGGCTTCCGCTCGGATATGACGTTTCGGAACTTGCCCTGAGCAAAGCATCGCCGCACCTTCATTTCCTGATCAATTGTGTCTTGCCCGACTTTCGTTTTCACGATGCCAACCATGTCATGATGTGACATATCTCTACTCTTGCAGGTCGAGTAGATCCCCGCGCTCTGCATATGGCTCTTTCGACCCGCTGGACAATTTCAAATGCTGTTTCTTCTCGTGCTGGCGAGCAACGCGTTCTAAACTGCTGCAAGTCTCACCTGGGCAGCTGGCATGACCCGACGGCTAACACTATTGGTACAGATAGTTATTCCTGACGCAGAGTGTCGCCCAGAGCAATTTGACTCACACTACCCTCGGCGCAGCGACGTTTCGGTCACTTCTTACTGAGCACTAAGCAAGCAATTCAGAGGCTTCTTCGGCTCGAAATATGCCGAGGCCAAGATGAGGGAGGCCAAGGCGCAATGCCCCTCCGGTCAAGCTTCTGCCTCGATCCTTCTTTGCAGCCGCACCAATGTGATCGCCTTGACAATCAATGATCGACGGAACATACAACCACTTTCGTCAAGGTAGCATCGCACAGGACGCTCACGATGGTACAACGATGCGGACGGTACAATGATGCGGGCGGACGCTCATATCCGTATCCCTCACTCTACCGCGGCAGTTCATGCCAGAAGACATTTGGTGGCTCGCTGCCTGGTAATCCAACCCGTGACACCACCCAAGGTGGCCACTTCCTCTGAAGCGAGCTTCCAGACCTTACACATCACGCCATGGAGGGCGAAACCAAGGACATCGAAACCGGCAAAGCGACTGACACCGCGGTTGACAAGCATCAAGATGTGGAAGACTTGAAAGAACACGTACGCGAAGATCGTAACGTCGGCACCCTTGAACGCCGTCTCAAGTCCCGCCATGTTCAGTTTCTTGCCCTCTCTGGCGCCATCGGGACAGGTCTCTTTGTCGGGAGCGGTCAAGCCCTCAGTCTCGCAGGACCTCTTTCAACGTTCCTGGCATACCTCATCACTGGCTTCAACCTCTACGCGGTGATCAACAGTCTCGGTGAGATGGCAACATACTTGCCGCTACCCGGTGCTGTCCCTGTGTATGCAGCGCGATTTGTTGATCCAGCTCTGGGGTTCACGCTCGGTATGTTGTAGCACCACCCACGCCCTCTTCGTTGTCTGACAAAGGGGAAAGGCTGGAATTATTGGTACCAATTCGCAATCGGAGTGCCCATTGAAATATCCGCAGCTGCAGTTGTCATCGATTACTGGCCGAACGCTGTCTCGAGTGTGGTATGGATCACTATCCTGCTAATTCCCATGGTGGTTGTCAATTGCCTTCCTGTTCGTATCTACGGAGAGGCGGAGTTTGTCTTTGGTGCTATCAAGCTCACAACCATCGTGGGACTAATCCTGCTCATGTTCATCATCACATTGGGAGGCGCACCAAACCACGACAGGATCGGATTTCGATATTGGGACAATCCAGGTCCCATGCTCGAGTACCTGGAGACTGGTGCACTAGGCCGCTTTCTGGCATTCTGGAAGGTCTTCATCCAAGCAACATTCAGCTACGGCGGCAGCGAGATGGTGGTGGTGGCAGCTGGAGAGTGTGAGAACCCTCGACGAAATATTCCAAAGGCTGTGCGACGAGTGTTTTGGCGGATCGCCATCTTCTACGTGCTTGCTCTGTTCCTAGTCAGCATGTGTGTCTCTGCGAAAGATCCGCGGCTGTTGAACGCCATCAGCAGCTCAGCTCCCGGTGCAGCAGCCAGTCCGTTCGTGATCGCAATTACCAATGGTGGGATATCAGTGCTTCCGTCCATCATCAATGCTGTCATTCTATCTTCGGCATGGTCGGCAGGAAACTCGTTCTTCTATGCTTCGACTCGTATACTGTACGCCACGGCGTTGGATCACCGCGCCCCGGCTTTCCTACGCTTTGAGAAGTTCGGTGTGCCCTACGCCTGCGTTGGAGCTACGACTCTGCTCTCTCTACTCGTCTACCTGAACGTTTCAGCCACGTCTGCGGAAGTCTTCTTCTGGATCTCGAATCTCTCGGCAGTGAGCACACTGATTGTGTGGGCGAGCGTCTGCATCACCTACATCCGGTTCTACCACGGACTGCAACACAACGGCATCCCGCGGTCGACGCTTCCGTACAAATCACCACTGCAGCCATTCCTGGCCTACTTTGCAGTCTGCTTCTGCACCATCGTGGCTATTTTCAATGGCTATGACTGTTTCTTCCCTGGGAGATTCAGTGCCAAGAGTTTCATCCCGCCGTACATCGACATTCCCATCTTTGCTACGCTCTTCATTGGCTACAAGGTGGTCAAGCGGACCAAGTTCGTCAAGCTGAGCGAGATGGACTTGTGGAGTGGCAAGGCCGAGGTTGACAGGTTGGAGGGGACCTGGCCGGAGGTGAAGGCGAGAAATCTCCTCGAGAGGATCTGGTACTGGATTGCCTGAGCGGTATTCAGATGGAGCAACCTTGGCACATACCTTGAGCTAGCCGTTCGTTTCGACACTGGCAAGTGCACCATGTACACAGCGGAAAACGATCGACTACCTGAGTCCTGCTATCATAACAAGGATCACGAATAGAGCAGGAGGAAAATCCACTCTGACAATTTCAATACCGTCACCATGCTGATCGTTCCCGAACTTGGGTCACTGTAGCTCGAGCACACCTGACTAGGCACGGACTGTAAGAAGCAGCACAAGCAATGTTATGTCTCACAGTCCATCATACAAATTGTTCCAGCGGCCAACAAAGTCCAGATGCATACCTCTATTGAACGTTATACTCCGTACAACAAAGAAGAACAACAATAACCAGCCTCATTAGCACCGTCAGCAATTTCCCGCTCGTTCATCCGTCGTGCAGTAAGTTGGCGCACACTTCCCACCCATCACAAAAACACCGCCAACTCCTTCTCCGTCCACTCCCACAGCCGACCCGCCAACCCTGCATCCCTCGCCACAGCAGTCTCCGGCGCCACCTTCTTCGCAATCGGCTCATAATACGCCCCATTCTCGAGGTTCTCCTTGGGCGTGGTGCCCGCCCACGTCTGATTATACGGCCCCTCCTCCACGGGCGTCCAGTGCCCCGCGGCCATGATGCGCACAGGCAGCGCCGTCATGAACGACACATTCGCGAACAGATCGGTCTTGATGTACCCCGGATGTATGGCCACGGAGGTGATCTCGGGATACCTCGTGGCCAATTCGCGCCCGTAGAGCATATTCGCCAATTTACTCTGCCCGTAGCGGCACCATTTCCCGCCGGGGAGCAACCCGCCCAGGCCGTCCTGTGGGGTTTTGAGGGTCTCAAACGCGATACCCTCACGGGATGGAGCTTGCTTGTACGCGACGGACGTGCTGATGATGATCCGCACGTCCGCGTCGTCGTGATTTTTGGCTGTCTGTTGCATCAGGGGGAGGAGTAATTTGATGAGCAGGGCGTGACCCATGTGATTCGTGCCGAATTGCAGCTCGTATCCGTCGCGCGTCGTGCCCGGTGGGAGGGCCATGATCCCTGCGTTGGCGAACAGGACGTCCAGGCGCTGGGTTTGCGTGAGGAGGTTTTGCGCTGCCGTCTTCACGGACGACAGGTCCGCCAGGTCGCATGGGATGAATGTCACAGGTACGTCTGGGTTAGTGCCCTTGACGCGCTCGATGACGGATTGTGCGTTGCGCGCGTTCCGGCCGGAGAAGTAGATGTGCGCGGGGCCGTGTTGGGCCAGGAGCGAGATCGTGCCGGCGCCGAGGCCGGCCGTGCCGCCTGTGATGAAGAAGACGCGGCCGGATAGCGAGGGGATGGACTGGGGGGTGAAGGACATGGTGGCCCGAATATATCTGAGGCTACGTTGGTGAGTACGCTTTGAAGTGGAAGTCAGTCAAGTTGCGTCGATCCTGGTGTTCGGATATAGTAGTTGTGTAGATTTATCAGGCTAAGGCGCGGATATCTTTGGACTGCGTTGGCGAGGGCGTGGTGAGGGTGGATATTATTGGAGTCGTATTGTTTAGGGCGCTTTGAAAGTCGGGATCTATCAAGCTGCGTTGGATCTTGGGGCTCTGAGAATACAGTGCGTACTGTGTAGATTTATCAGGGCCATGATGCTGGTTTCGTCCACTCTCTTCCTGGATATATACGTCTTTGCGCTTCTTTGCAGTGATATCATGATCGTCAGGGGTATCGGTTCACGGATTCAACACCGGGTTAATGTCCTTCCTAGCAGCCTCGTCGACTCACCTTTGCCGTTAGGATGGCTGTAATAACTCACCCTTGGTCGGGTATCTCGTGCGTAGCGGGCTTTCGAAGAGCGACGGCTAAAGCATATGATATGTTCGGAGGGGCTTTGAGCTCATTTTGGAGCTAGGGGCTACGTGCGGGTGTTGCGCGCGTGACGTTGAAGTACGGCCGTACCATCACATTGGTAGACTAAATGCCAACGGACATTTCGATGTGTTGGCGGACGAGGCTAGCATAGGATCGGTCTGAAAGGGGAAGCGGACCGCACACGTAGAGCTCAGTACGCCATACTTCAAGATATTCCGACGGGTGACAAGGTGGGTGAGGTGGTATGGCGTTGTAGAAAGTGATCGTCTGTCAAGTGTGGACTTGGAGCTGGTTGGCTCTTGCGGCTCCGCAGATCTGGCACTAAGCTCGACCGTAATTTGAGCGCCTGAGATGATGCCGCTCCACCGCAGTATTTAGCGCTTCAGATCGCGCTGCTCGACCGTGATTGGTCCCAGCTTCTGTAGGTCCTCAGCTGCCTCAACCAAACACATGTCCACCCCTCTTTGTTCAAATACCACAGTACCTGCTTGAACGCCCCTCCATCGTTCTTCCATCACTCTGCATCTTCTTGTTGTTGTTCGTGCCCTCCTACCTCACAGTGCTGCCGCAACTTCGACTCTTCCTCCAGGCGATAAGACCGGAAGACCCCAGGCAGCAAACCTGGCCATTCGAGCTTGCCTCGATGGACTGCCTTGGGCCTTCACCGGCAACAGATTACAGCTGTACGCATCTTCCAACAGTGACAGGGCAGATGAGTCATCGATCTCGAAATCCGACCCTGCACCGAATCTGCACGTCGGGGCAACTTGGATCCAACAAAACCACCCTTACAAAACAGAACAAGCTCACGTCGAGCTCCCGCCGGTGACAGCAGCGGCTGGCATCGCAACCTCCCAGCGACCGCCTCGACGAAGAAAAGGGGTCTTGTCTTGTTCGGCACTCCTCAGTCGGACAAGCAGCTCCACGGAGCGCCGTTGGTGGGAGCAGACATCGCTTGTATTCAGCTGTAGCACATCCTATGTGGGTCGTACTTGTTCGACGACGGAGGGGAGTGCGTCCAGCACAACCTCGCTCACACAGGCGCTTTTCTTTCTGGGCCCATGAAACGGGGTGCACCGCACCTTCGTTAGCACAACTACCTTTCACCGAGTTATCTACATTATCTTATCACATTACCTCTATATCAGGAACTGGGCCTGCAGAGAAAAGAGCGCCATGTCGCTGCTCGGACCACAAGCTCGACAAAACCGATGACAATGTCAACGAACTCGTATTTATCGACTTTGTCCGTCAGATATGCCTACCTCCCCTTCCTGTGGAGGAATGTTCCGCGCATTATCCGACTGAGAGGTCTGGGAAACCGATCCACGGAAAGCATGTCGGCTTTCCACCACCTATCGGACAAGCAGCTCCACCAGGGCTGCCTCCTGCTCCGGTACACGCAGGGGAAGACCTTGATGCAGGTTCCGAATCTACTTTACCCTTCATCACAATCACCAAAACAGTTATTTGCTGAAAGCGCAACCCGGGAACAAAGAAGTCACAAGGGAGGGCTCCTAGACATGGTTATACACCATCGGTATATATAACGATGACGGACGGGATCCGCCGACATACTTGAAGGGACGGGAACCACATACAATATATTCGCATACTATTATCCCACGACGTAATTCGTGCCCTATCGGGCAACGAATAAGCTGGCCCACCACCGAGACCAGCAACACGGCTCCGGTCGGCGTTGTGTATCAACGGACGTCTGTGTTACCAAGCATTATCATTTGCTGGGGACCGGATCAATGTGGTCATATATCGACACTGTTGATCGACACGCAGCATGAACAGAGTTAACTCCTAGTGGAGTATATGCTTAACTTGTACAGTCAGTGGTAATGGTGGTGATGGATAATATCGAATCACCGACACCGACACCAGCACCAGCACCGACACCAGCACCAGCACCGACACCAGCACCAGCACCGACACCAGCACCAGCACCGACACCAGCACCAGCACCGACACCAGCACCAGCGCCGACGCCGAATTACTAGACATCGGAGTCAGCAAACCGAGCTAATTATTATTACATCTTAGAGAGAGATTATGGGACCAGGGCCAAAACTTACATAGCTTACCAAAGAACAAATTATCAATTCAAACTCTATCAATCGCTTTCATCGCTCTCAGCTCTGAAAATACTTAAGTCATAGGCCGACGCTTCCCGTGTCAATTCATATCATTTCTGCTGAAGTTTATGCGATCGTATTGGTCGTCGTGAGAAGAATTTGAGCCCGGTTCACTAGCCGAGACATGCGAGGAGTTCGTACTCTACGCATCTGTGCCGAGCGGTCACCCTTGTATCCTCACTGTCCGAATCATGATGACTTCGCATCGCCATCTTCTTGAGCTGCTAGGTACGAGCCTTGCGCCCAGCCGCTTCATTGTGAAATCTCCCCATTCAATGGCCAAGATTGTCCTTTTGAATCTCCGGGTTCTTCCTCCCGTCTCACGAGCAATCATTCTCCCGTTCTGTCTCTGCCCGTGAACATACTCGCGTTCATAGCACACAGAGATGACCCTGAAACCGCCAAGACACATCGTTAAAGCTTCTGTTTCTCACCTCGACTCGTCTTCCCAAACATCCGATATCGCTACCGGAAGTCTGAGAAGGCTGTAATTATCCTCCGGATCGAGAACCTCCGAATGGAAAGACGAGTTCAAACTGGAGGGCATATTCTCCTTGCACAATTCGCAATGTGGCTGCCTAGGAAAGACGTGTACGTGGCTATTGCTCCTACCAGGCTATTATCGTCATCGACGCCGGATATCGGCTGCCTGCTCGGCGCACATGGATAATGCTTAGGAACGTCAACAGTACCATCTCTACCCAGGTATTTATCAATTGCATTACATCTCCCTCCAAGCCTTACCACTCTCCCGCAATGCAATCACGACCTCAATAGACTGATCCTCCCCTCCCATCATTCATCGCTCACCCACACCCCCACGCACAAGCACAATGCCCGTCACCGAAATCGGCTGCATGGGCGTCAAGCCCGGCCTCGACGTCATGGACGACACCACGGAAGCGGGCCAGATCCTGACGCGCGCATACAAGACCGTCATCACCGCATCAGGAGGACCCTACGGCGCGTACTGGGGCGTTGAGATCGAGGCCAATGCCAATGCCGACGATGAGACCGACGTCCGCGACGTCCGACCCACGGATCCGCAGAGACTCTGGGCCTTCTTCGACTTCGACAGCGTGGAACACCACGAGAAATTCGCGAACGGGTAAGTTGAGACGTGTAAGTCCGGGAGAAGCCCACAAAACCAGAACATGTGGGCTTATTCGTTGTTTCCTCCACTCGATTCTAGCCCCGGGCGCGACGCCGTCAAGGACCTGCCCAAGATCCTCACGCACAGCGAGTTCTCCAAACACGTCGTCGTGGCGCCATTCCCGCCTCTCGTACTCCTCTCCCCTGTCACGGAGGTGATGCTGGCTTATTTCCCCTCGGACATTTCGCGGACCGGCAAAGACGCGGCGAGTGCGCGATTCGAGCGGTTCGTCGACGTGGCGCTCAACCAGTGCGCGGCCGCAAAGGGTGTGGCATGTGGATGGGGGTTGGAGACGGATTTTCCGATCAGAGGAGCAGAGGCAGAGTCAGGTTCACTGGCAGAGGCAGAGGCAGGCCCAAAACCAGGCCGGCGGAAGGGAGCACTGTTCACCGCGTTTATTGGCTGGCCGAGCATTGCTGCGCATATGGCGTTTCAAAGGACCGGTGTATTCAAGGAGAATGTCCATCTGATCACGGGCATGGAAGGGGTGGTGAGCATCGTCATGTTCCATGTTAGGTGTCGGGGGATGGTGAGAGAGGAGGGGATGAGGACGGAGTAAGCAAGCAAGCATGCATGTATGTCGGCATGTGCTTAGACTAGGGATCCCACGTCGCGGTGAAATAGACCTGGAACTGAATATCTTCGGCGGTCCTACTAGCTACATCCCTACCTACTACCTACTACCTACTACCTACTACCTACTACCTACTACCTACTACCTACTACCTACCAACTACTTACTACCTACTACCTACTACGTAGCTGGCTGACTGGCTAGATTGGATTGGATCAGCCCTGTCGCGAAGCCGCGAGAACTTCATCCACAGCCCGTGTCTGCGTTGTGCTCCAGGTAGTTTCCGAAATACCTCAATAGCTCAGCAATTCCATTACGCGGCCAGCAAATAAGTTTGAGCATCGTGACATCTGGTAGCCCCGTCAAGACTGGAAGTAGACACACAGCAGGGCACCCCCCACTGCTCCGGATCCGCCACTGCATCACATGCCATCTCGCAACTTGCTCCGTTACCATCACTTCGTGCTTCACCTGTTTTCGGACCAATCTGAAGTATGAAGTCTTTGTCCGCCGGCATGACTCCCTACTCATACAACAGTTGGTAATCCCAGACTGCAATCGAATAGGTTCAGCGACCCGCAGCAGGGATGCGTGCGAGGCCGCCATCGGCAGTCTCGTGGCCAAAGTGGACCCGAGGCCCACTATCTCTCTGCTATGGAGTCCTGAAGGTATTCCAGCAGCGTACAGGACACATAAAGCCGTTGGATATTTCTGGATGTGTGAAGCCGAGGAACGACCCCGATTAACTCCAGATGGCTTGCCGTGGAAGGCTAGGACTGATTATGGCTATCACCTTCAGGAGTGGCTGAAGGCACCAGATTGACACTGAAGACGACCACGAAACTTGGCTGGACATCGCTTTGTTTTTTTCCGCGCGGGTGTGTTCGCTAGGCAGAGTTCCGTACGACTCTTCTACCCGGGATTCGTGCGTTCACAGCTTTTTGCCTGGATTCTGGTGGGAAAGAGTGTCCATGGCAAGCTCGTGTAGGCTTCCTTGCTCCCAGACTAGCTGGCGTCCGTCTGGACAACGGCGGGAATCGTAAAATGAAGAGGTTTCAGGGTGGTCGGTCTCACCATACTCGGGGACTGATGACGGGCCATAGTTGGAAGATGAGAGTCCATTAAACACAGATGACGTAGCGCGTTCTGAATGAAGTTACAGGACGGGAGTCGCTTAAGGGAAGTCAAACGGCGCTCTGCAAGGGAAGCCGGGCTCGGCGAGTGCATGCGCAAATATAAGGGAACCGGGTGTCCTGCCTGCCATTATGTCCGATCAAGTATGCTGATTAGACCTATGGTCCTGGGGTGGGCTCGAACGGTAGTGCTATTGACGGTGGTCGCTTGGTATGAGCCCTGGATTTGCTCTATGAGTGTCCCTAAATCCTCCGACGGGGATTCCCATCTGTGCCTGTCGAGAGTAGGGGCCTCCTTCGGGACAACTGAATTGATTTTTCAGCGACTGTCTTACTAGTCAAGGTCGTACACAAGGGTAATATATACCCTCTCCGGGCGACGCCAAGTCAGGTGAAGAGGACAGGTTCAACGAGGAACTCTTGCGTCTCAAAAGCATTGCTCATCTGGTAGTGTTCGCCTCGAATTGAAAGCAGCCTGTTCGTTTGTTAGCTTTGGCCGACACAACGGTCACTGGACCAAAAGAAATTCCGCGGTTTGAGAAGAGGCCGTATTGAGAAGAGGTCGTATTGAGAAGAGGTCGTATTGAGAAGAGGCCGTATTGAGACCATATCATTGAATGCCGTAGGCTTCGTCACAGAAAGCGGCGCCATAGTGCGCGGATTGCTCGACTTGTATGGCGCGCAGACGGCATTAGGAATTAAAGCTGGAGGTGCAGAGTGATGGTGTTTGTGGCAGTGACGGAATGGGCGCTGAACGGTGTGGTTCGTATGAATCATTCAAGCCCAGCGAGCTTTTTAGAGCACGCACACGGCGTGTTATAAACTTGAATGCAGAGGTTGGATGGCCCGGTGGATCAAAGAGGCTAGCAGGAGACTACGAGCCGACGAATTCAAAGGCAAAGAGACGGTAGACCCGACAGATTCCACTCTAGACTGCGAGTGAGACCTATGACTGTCAGAAAGCCTCTGCTGTAGATATGGACGCTTACACCCGGGGAAACCCTGTACAGTCGGGAAGCAAGCGCCAGTCCTCCGTCGAGCTCTCGAGACGTGGGGGAGAGTATGCTACAGTGGTCGGTAGGCCTGTCGTGGGCAGAGAGGTTGCCTCGGGAGGAGCAGTCCCCCTCTGCTCAGATAAATGCGACGAAAACCAGATGGTTGAAGCTGAGCGCAAGGTACCACAGGTATGCGTGCCGTGCGGAGTCAATATTTTGTTGCCTGAAGTTGTGTCTTATGTACAGCGATTCTTTCCCCCTTGGGCAACGCTCACCGAGCACAATACCAAACCCTTCCCTACACACCCTCTTGGCTCATCGGTACCAGTATTCTGGCTTGACAAAATCTGCCATGGTCTTGGGCTCTTCGAAGCCGTGGATGTGGTCGCCATGGTGGTCATCGTGCTGATCTGGAGGTCCGACATAGTCCATTCGGTACACGCTTCCGCACTCGAGGCAGCGCTCGAAAGGCCGTTTGCGGGACAGCTGTTGATTGATCGTTAGCCACAAATGCTACTTGCCGCTCTTACAAGCTCATCTGCAAGCAAGGAATGGCAGATAGAGGAAAGACATACCACGAGCCATTTGACGTTGTGTGAGTCGGCAGGTGAGCCTGTGCATCCGATTTGGTATTCGTTGCCAGCCGATTTTACAACAATTGGGTCATCGAATGTACCGACTCGGTCTGCCGGTAGAGGAGACATGTCAAAGATATCAATGCCTTGCATCTTTCCCAGGATTTCTAGACGTTCGAGACCGGTCGCCTGTTCGAGATCGGTGGGAACGGTTCCGCGGGCAGCCCCGGGAGGGATGAGATCTGCCTCAGTTTTGATTTCTGTAACGAGCGACCCAGCAATGTTAGCCCGCCGTTCTATGTACCTGCCAATCTGCAGCCAGCTCTTCCTAGATCATGAAGCTCACCTTCAAAAGGGAGAAGTTTTCCTTCCGGATCACCGGGCTTGACATCATATTTGCTTGCTCCTGCAGACATAGGTCAGTCAGCATGCCTCCAAGGCGTGGGTCACGCAGCGATAGGGTTCCCGGCGGTGTTGTCTGGAGCTTTGGAATTTCGATGGACGTACGACGACGAGCTGTGATGGTCGTGAATGTTCGGGGAGCAACACGAGCAGCTTGGAGAGGCGCACGCCTGACCAGCGAGAAGGCTGTGCGTGCGACCGACATGGCGATAGACCAGTGAGGGGAGAGGTTAAGCGGTGTTGACGGGTGTCGAATTGTGAGAGCAAAGGAGGTCAATGTTGCGTGAAACTGCGATTGAATTACAGAAGCCGCTGATTGGTCGGCGACCTGAGAGCTTCAACTCACACCACTTCTTACCAGCCACAAGTCAGACGCCACAGCTTGGTCACAGTACCGTTCAGACCGAGAACATTGCCATCGAGGTTCAAAGACGTCCGATGCGTGTTTTCAATGAAAGTCTCGATCTTGATCTCGCCTCATATCTGACGTTTCTATACTCAAGCCAGAAACAATAGACTTGTAGATACTCACAAATGCCAACCATGGGCAGGCGCTTTGGCCGTCAGCCATCACACTACTCGCACATCCCTCGACGTTCACAAGGGAGAGTCGAAGGAATCCAGCACTTTTAGTGCCTCCTCTACGAAGAGAAACTGTAAGTAGCAGAGGCCGAGCTTGATTCACCCCAAGGACGAGATCGACAATCCTATTGACACCTTGCAACGCTCTCCACATCGCTCAAAAGCAGCTTGGCAAAGACTTTACAAGAGAGCACGGAGGAGTACTCCGCAGACAGGTACTTTTGCAACCCAACTCAATCTATGGCAGAGGCCACATAGAATGCCTTCAAAAGCGGTGGATTGCCTGCGAGCGGCAGCCTTGCTGCAAGAAAGACAGCATGAAGCGGAGCTTCGACGGCATTGTTCGTAGGAAGGACGTCTTCATCAAGACGTTCATCTCCATGTGGCGGTAAGCTGTTCGACTCAAGATACATCTGATCAGAGAAGACCCGAGATCACCTCTGGTCATCGCTGCCTGATCACAGAAGACCCAGGATCCTTTCGGGTTACCTCTGCCGCTTGTTGATTCAGTGTTAAGGTTGTGAGCCACGACTTGAACGGCGTGTGAGTGAGCATGAAAGCCCTTCCGACTTGTCGGTACTCCCGGCGACCTGGAGTTTCCTTCGGTCCACTGATGTCTGGGAAATGAGTCGACGAGAACCCCAAGAGTGTTTGCCTACACCAACAAGTAATATTGCTGGTACGCTGTTGCTCGGACGGTATCGAGAACGAAATTATCCGGCCAGGGAGAGGTCTTTCTGGTGGATGACAAAGGAGTCGGACAGCTCCGCCAACTCTATTTGGGGCCCAGCCACCAACCATAAATCGAATCAGACATTCCTTTACGTACTCCTCTTGGCACCTTGGAGAACTTTACCTGATCGTCACCTTCGTTCTTGTTTCACTGCTGTTCCTTTCACTTACTGTTTGCTTGTCATTTGCTATGTGAACCTATTCATGCCCAACCCCTTGAATAGTCGCAGTGAACAGTGCATACTCACCAGATGAAAATAAGACTCCTCTTTCGATCCTTCATTCATACTGTTCATCTTCGACTCCCCAAATATTTCTCGCCTCGTCAAAGTCTCTGGCAACCTACCCGGAGGCACATCTGTTCATTCCCAGCCGGCACCATACCACGCTCCATTGTCGAAGCTTCCAAAGCCCGCAGCCAGGGGTGTGCGTATCTTTCGAATGATGCGGTCCATTGATACAGAACCTCAGAACGCTTTGGAATGAGTTAACAGTATGGTGAGGTTTCCTTTCGTTCGAGGGTAGGGTGTCGACGCTGAAGAAAATTTCACTCTGTTGCGTACGGAGATAACTTTCTCCGAGTCCGCTCCAGTGAATATCCCTGGGGAAAAAAATTGGGAATATAACCCGGTCGAGCAGAAAAACTCACAACAATCAGAAGACAAGTGCAGTGAACCCGGGTTGACCTCCGAAGTCATAGGACTTCACAGTTCTGTCATCTTCCGCAACCACTCCGCGATCTAACGAAGTACTGGGGATCAATCCTTGGGGAGGGCCTGTCTACGACGGCACGCTTCGATTTCGGGAAAAATGGTCAATGCAAGAAGATACAGTTCTGAACGAAGTAGCCGGAAGACCCCTCAGTAGCAGGTAAATCTTGTCAGCGGAAAAAACGGCTTCAATCAGTTTCCCTAACCTAGAACCTGCAAAACCCAGCTTCTGGGCATAGTTTTTGCACTTTTTGCAGCAGGTCGAGTTGGATTTCGACTTTTTGTGCCTGGGTGTTGCGAGAAGGCAGTTGTGAGTGTGTGGTGTTGGCCGTGTTGCGCACTTGGCTGCTAGTGCCACACCCTGAACAACACCCAAGTTGGTGCTGAAACCTCCCAAAGGCAATGACTGGATGCAAACTGGAAGTGCAGGATATGTCATGAAGCTGTGCTCCTCATTGCCCACACACTGATTCCGTCGGTGGTAATCTTCTTCATCTCAACCTCATGGAAGATGTTGAAGTTAGCATCTTTTCCTCTTCCTCGCCACAGGCCAGCAGAGTGCGTCTAACTGTCAAGATTGGACTAACCCCCGGACACTTACAAGCTCTTCTCACTAGCATGCCAATTCATTTCCAGGCTCGAGAACTGCTACGGACTAATTAGTGTATCGATGTGTTCTTTGCTACGCCTTCTCTGCCATTCATTACAAATTAAGGATAACCTTTCCCGCTCTAGGTTCGCGAGATATTGTTCAGCCTCGTGGCAGAGAAAGAATACGAATCTACACCTGACTAGGAACACATTTCTGTGCCCGAAACCTGTATCCGATCCATCCTCCTTATTCCCCAGGAAAACTGTGGACACATCCCCTCCCGCTTCTCTCCGCAGACGCAGAGTCCGTTCCTTGCATCGTCCTTCTCTCCTTCTGAAGTGCCGGTAACGATCCGCGTCACTGGGCTAAGCTCCGCTTCATGCGGGGAATCCCTCCGCAATCCGACCCGCAATCAAGATGTCATCAAGCAGATTTAGCTTCGACCTTCCCTCAAGCTCTCGAGCTTGTCTTTATTATGCAGCTTCAATACTCCTTCCGGCATAGTTGCTGGTCGTGAATCAGCCTATATTCATAACCATGGAGGAGATGCTCAGGAACAGACACCGACCGAAGGGCAGCTCCAACAACGCTTCGGCGGTTCGGTGCAATGATTCCCATGCTGGGAAGTACAGTAAAAGCTCCATCTCCGCCTCGAGCTTAAGGCCACCATGGTGAAACTGGAGGCCTTCCGGGCGCAGACACAATTCAAAACACATAACCTGTCGTCAATATGTGGACATCGCTAGTCTTCGCATTCAGCCTGTTGGGCTCAAGTCTGGGGACTATCGACGTCAAGGTCTCTACCACAAATCCCTTTGCACTCACTATTACCAGCCAAGGCATCATCGTCAACAACAAAGCCGTACTCACTGGCCCATTGAACACAACAGCCGTGCCAGTGTCCGCATCCAGCGATGGCGCGGTCGCCAACAGCGGAGGCATCATCGACTGGTCAATTATTCAGCCAAACGTCGTGAAGATCCAGTACAACTCGACGGCTGCGTTCACGGGAGCACAATTTGCAGCAGGGCCAAACGAAAATTTCTATGGCGTCTGGGAATATCCATGGAATGATTCGCTCACCAATAACGGCATCTCCTTTGACCTCAAAGGTGCTGGGAATATGCCAGGGTCGAACTGGGACAATGCACGAGCTCCGACATTCTACAGCAGCGAGGGTTATGGCGTGTATGCCGACACTCTGGATATGGGCTCGTTCCAGTTCAGCCCTAGTCAAGCGCAGTTCATCTTCAATACGAGCAGTTTGGTTTACTACATCATCCTGCCAACCGCTCCTGGTGACTACAAGTCAATCATCGAGACATACACCGGTCTGTCAGCACGGATCACGATGCCTCCAGACTCGGGATACGGCCCGACGTTCTGGTCTGATAACTTCGAGACCGACTTTCATGGCGATGTTAGCAATGCTCAAGAGAACTACTATGACGTGATCGATCACCTCTACTACAACCAGATTCACGGTAAGACGTCCCTGACTCATGCCCAAGCTGAGACTCTTGGCTGCATCTTTCTCGTCCGCACGAACTAACAAAAAGCAGCTTCATCCTTCTTCGCCGACCGCCCCTACGGCACAGGAAACTATTCATTCGGGAACTTTGACTTCGACCCGAAATACTACCCAACTCCCGAACAATTCATCGCCAATCTCTCTTCCTGGGGCTTTGACTTTCAAGTGTGGGTGGCGAACCGTGCCTTCTGGCATAACGAGCTTTTCAATGTGTCGGCCGCCAATGGATGGCTCTTCCCGGGCATCAATCCGGAGTTCTTTCTGGGTCCCGCGCTTAACCTCTCCATACCAGCGGCGTATGATTACTTCTTGCAGAAGCTGTCATACTTTCCCTCAGTTGGCGTCAAGGGTTACAAAATTGACCGCGGCGAAGAGGGAGAGATGCCAGGTAAGTTCACACCACATCCGACACGGAGGCAGACTAACGAAGCACAGTGTGGGAACAAAACATTCAGATGCAACTGTTTGAACAAATCTGTGAGACTTCTATGGCCACTAAATGGGGCAAGAACGGGTTCTACAACTTCGCTCGGTCAGCTGTCGATCGCTCTCGTGCTCTGACAAATATATGGAATGGTGATTCTCACGCCAACTTCACCGGACTCCAATATAGCATTGCGTCGGGCATTCGCGCAGGGTTACTCGGGTTCTCAACCTGGTCGTCAGATACGGGAGGCTACGTCCGCTCCCCTAACCTGGTGGCCGACCAACCTACACCGGAGGTCTGGGCCCGCTGGATGCACTTCTCAGCTTACTCCCCTGTCTACGAAATCATGGTCGGCACGAATCATACCCCGTGGTACCCCCCGTATCCATCACGCCTCGTCTCGATCCTGAAATCCACTGCAAACGAACACCACGCCCTCCTCCCGTACATCAAATCCTTCACATATCAAGCCAGTTTGACCGGCGTGCCCGTCATGCGTGCCCTCTTCCTCGAAGCCCCCAATGATCAGAAGGTTCTCGACACACCGGATGCATATTACTTTGGGGACAGCTTCTTCGTTGCTCCAATAGTGCAAGAGGGCGGCCGTCGCACAGTCTATTTCCCTAATGACACTGTGTCCGTGTACACCGACCGCGCCTATCTGGAATACCACAACAAGACGGAAGTTTACCAAGGCGGCTCTTCGACGAACGTGACATTGGAGTGGGAGTTCTCCCCTGTGTACGTGCGTGAAGGCTCCCTCGTCGTCAAGGGCGACATTTACCAGGGCAACAACAAGTGGACAAAGAACTGGGCGCCCAGTCTGACAATCGAGGCATTCCCAAGCTACAACTTCGGCACGTACGTGTTTCCTTACTACAACGGGGCTGAAGTGGTGAATATCACGTTGAGCAGTTCGACCGAATCGCAGACTGCAACTGTACAGTGGGATGGTGATCTGGGAGTCAACCACACGACAATCGTGTTCTACGGAAATGGTGGAGCGAAGAGTGTTTCCCCCTCCATAACCAGTACGGGAGGGTCGGCGCAGGTGTCGAGTTTCAGCAGTATCTTCGGATGAGGTGGGAAGCGGATTCTTTCCTCTGAGTGCGAGATGCAAGTTGCATGAGGGAAGACGGAGTGTGACTGTGGACCCGAAGCAAGTTACGGGGTGTTCTCGGCTTGCGTCGTGATCGATCGAGGGTCCCAAGGGAAAAACGATATAGCCGATTTGCACGAATCATGAATATCGAGAGAGTATCCCGACTCGTCTCTCTTTGCGAAAACGACCTGTAAAACCCGCTCATGGTAGATTCGACGCAGGTAGAAATGAATCGAACGCCAGTGTCGTGACTATGATACTGTGATACATACCACTCTGTAATCGGTGCCCCCATCATCGTCAGTAGTTACTGTGGCCCCGATTGCTGTCATAGCTGTGTACATCAGAGAAATCCTGGGGAGACGAAAGGGGGACCAATCACCACGCAGCACCGGTTTGTGGCCTGCCAAGGAAAATTCTGGAAGCGAGATTTCTAAGTCCAAGTCATCACGTGAAAGCTGCCAGCCGCAGCCCCCAGGCGCATTTCTTCGCCGTGTTTGTCCCCATAAACTTCGACAATTATCCAACTCCCATCCATTCCTCATCAAGATACCAAGGCCACAAATCTGCGCGCGTGAACAACACGATACGAGAATACTCGACCACTAATTCTCACAGTCCGAATTCCCACAGACGAACTCACATCCCTTCACCTTAGCCGCTCGCAATCTCACCCGCGCCACAATGGCCAACTACCTCGCCTCCATCTTCGGCACGGAACAAGACAAGGTCAACTGCTCCTTCTACTACAAGATCGGCGCCTGCCGGCACGGCGACCGCTGCTCCCGCAAACACGTCAAACCCTCGTACAGCCAGACGATCCTGCTGCCGAACCTGTACCAGAACCCGGCCTACGACCCGAAGAACAAGATGAACGCGTCCCAGCTCCAGAACCACTTTGACGCCTTCTACGAGGACTTTTGGTGCGAGATGTGCAAGTACGGCGAGCTCGAGGAGGTCGTGGTGTGCGACAACAACAACGACCACCTCATCGGCAACGTGTACGCGCGGTTCAAGTACGAGGACTCGGCGCAGGCGGCGTGCGACGCGTTGAATTCCCGCTGGTACGCGGCGCGGCCGATCTACTGCGAGTTGAGTCCCGTGACGGATTTCCGTGAGGCGTGCTGTCGGCTGAACAGTGGCGAGGGGTGCGTGAGGGGCGGGTTCTGCAACTTCATCCACAGAAAGGAGCCATCCCCGGAATTGGAGCGCGAGCTGGAACTGAGTACCAAGAAGTGGCTCAAGGAGCGGGGGAGGGATGAGAGGAGCATGTCGAGGAGTCCGAGCCCGGAGCCGACGAGGAAGAGATACTAGAGGGAGGCGGAAGCCCGCCGGAGGAGGTCCGGCCGAGGCTGAGAAACAGCTCGAATACCACCATCTGGTGCACAATGAAGAAAAGACCAACGTCATTGCACTGGTAAGAGACGCTTCGTGGGATTTGGAATTAGCGCAAGCCCGACGTCTACATGCATACAGTATGGGTCGTTCTCATGAAGCATTCGTCCCCGGAAGACGTCGAGCAGGCGCAGCGGGAATCGACATCGAAGCTCAAGGCAGGCTGCGACATTTGAGAACTTGCCACGCCCGCTGGTCCTACTCCTGCCAGACGCATCCGCATACGCATACGCAAACCCAATTGGCAATACCTGCCAGAGAGAGGAAAGGGACGTGAAGTCAGACGCACACGCAACTCACTTTGCGGCACCTGAGAGATGGTGGCAAAGGGAGGTGAAGCCCTGATACCTATCTTACAGTCACTGGACAGATACCGAAGATGGAGATGAGGCCTTGAGTTGGTAGCGTATCTTGCAGCCATTCACTGAGACCGGACCGCGAGCAATTCAACGCCAAGAGAGCAGCCAATTCATTGAATTTCTGGTCTGCCAGTTCCGGCATGGACATGAGTCCAGCACGAATCTTTCCAGCCACTTGGCCTTGTATCGGGAGTGTCACCTTTAACGCGGCAGTAGTGTAAGATAGGAACGAGGGATCTAGCTGGTGGATCACGTCGTGGCCTTGTCTCGAGCAGGGACTATTAGGCAGGAAACAAACAGCTTGAAGACTGCCACAGGCCGAAAAGTAGTTCGAAGACTGCACCTTCATCGTTGATGACAGGCCGACGTAGTGCTGGAATCACAACAAGCGCATTAACTCGGAGCCGGTAGAAAATAAATGTCTCAATGGATCCATTTTGAATCATTCGATTCTGTAGGTACCAAAGTCTAGCGTTCAGTCTATTGGTATCCTGAAAGGCCGGCAAGGGGCAAATGTGCCTCCCGGCTTTCGGTAGACATGTTTCTCGTGATCTTCGTGATAGTCCAAGCGGTTTCTGCATCCATTCGGTGCTTCGGCTCGTGGAGTCCTGCTTCCTTTGAGATGGACAATGTACAAGTCAAGCAATGTACAGATATCCCCCATCCACAAGCTGTTCTTGTAACGGCTGGCTTGGTTGGAGCTCGCTGACATATGATGGCTGCGAGAGAGCTTGGCCGGGTGAGGAGGCGGCGCTTTGTGGTGGGCGTGGGTACTCCGTATAGCCAGGTTGATACGTGATAAGATGTCGGCGGTAAGTGTATAGCTGTATGGATTTCTGCTTCCTCGGCATGGGTCGGCGTGCCTAGTGTATGTGGCCACAAGGCTGTGATAATGATACTGTATCCAGCGATCGCGCCGTGTCACGACCTGTCCTTGAAGGGTCCGACCTTCGAGAACCACAGCAAGGCGAGAACAATGGCAGCGATGACGATGAGGAATCCGAATGCAATAAGCCAGCCAAAGATTCGAGTGCGACGTTGTTTCTTTCGATTTCGTTCAAGCCACGATCCCCTGCGGCATGTGCGTCAGCATGCCACTCGCGATCAGTCACACCCCAACTTACGTATGTTTCAACTGCGGCCTCGACGATACAGTCGACAAGGACCCGCCATCCGACATGTTTGCCTTCTCTTCATCTTGCTGGTGTACGGCAACCGAAAATCGCTTCCAGAATGCCGGATCTTGAACGGCCGCCATTGCCGACACCCAACAAATCCAGCAGTGCTCTATGCTTGAGAGATCGTTCTCGAGTGTTCTGGCGTCCAAGGGTTTAAGGAAGTTCGGTTGTCGGGTATCTGTATCTCAATCGGAGAGATTGAAGGGTTGTCGCCAGTGTTTCGAGATAAAAAGAGACGCACAGAAGCACAGCAAGCAACGTGTGACACAAAAATGAGTGGACGATACTGAAGCACGAAGGAGTGAAGTGCAACAGATCTGGGACGACAGCGGTAAAGCCTGTGGCAGCGGGCAAAAGAAGCAGCAACGACTCACTCACATCCTCGGCGGGCAGGATTCAGGAAAGATGGAAGGAAAGAGCTGGTATAGATGCTGGAAAGCAAAGCCGGGTCCTGCAGCCGGACAAGCAGTTTGGATTTCCGCATTCAGGAGGCTTGAGGTTCCACAACCGGATTTGCTTCATTTCTTCCATGGTTGCCCAGCGCTTTCCCAAGAGCCTCGTCAAGCCTTATCGTTGATCACAGTGTCGCGTGGCCTTGTGGCGATCCATCCGATGGCTAGGCTCTTCCCTGTTGGGAACCGGTAGGCGTTCGGATGGGGCCCGGGACCGCCAATCATGGTAGTGGATGCCATGTCCCGCTCGAAGCGATAATCTCCTTACCGGATTGCGATAATGCTGGCAGCGGGAAGTGGCATTTACGAGGATGCAAGAATCGACTATTGATTGGGCTGATGCGGAGACGGTGCGAATCACGAGAAACAGGAGAGAAAAGAAAAGTGATTCAAGGTGGAGATGGCGGGAAATTACATTTGAACATTGCCGGCGTTCGCATGCGCTGCCGACGCGCCTCGGACGCGTCAACAATTTTCCATTCCGGCAACACGGGAGGGGTACCTTCAAAGTTAAATAGATCGGTGTCAGTCAGTTCGCATTGCGTCAGCTTTCCCGAGTACCAATACTCTATGGTAGATTAGTGTTATCTCAAGATGGTTTCCGGCATTGACAGACACGCTTCTAGGGAACAGAGGGATATCACCCCGGGCTACAAGAACCCATTGACGCCAGCTTCGTCATAAAGCTAACTCAATCGCCTGCGCAGTTTTGGATGTCCTAACCGTCTACGGTCCAAAGATGACATAGCGCATCATCGCAAGTGCGTTTCCCAGCAAGGTGAAGACAGTTCTTTTCTTTTTGTTCTCAAGCACCACTTCGGGAAACCTCTCCTCAGCGAAGATGGCATATGCCACTTCCTTTGTCAGAATGCCACCCGTTTGAGCAGTGTTTACAGCACCGACAGCCTGCAAGACCCGGACAAACCACAAGTTCAGAGGTAATTTCGGGGCTCCTGCTGCGCGACTCTCTTTGTCTCGCCGAATAAAGGTCTTGGCCAGCGATCGGTGGGTGATGGGCCCGCCGTCTGCGTCGTCGAGCATGGCTTGCAGCATATCTGGCTGAAAGGTATAATTGTCCCCTTGGTGGAAATCGAGGCGCGTGAATGAGGAGTCGTGCTCGATGACGTTGTGCCGCCGCGTGTCTACCAGGTCGAAGGTGCCGTCTTTGCGGAGAAGAGGAGGAAGACTGCTACAGAGCGACGCTGCGGCAAACCAGTCCATGTGCAAAGCAGTCTCTAGCGCGTGTTGGACTTGAGGAATGGTGAGGTTTCTCCCGTCTCGTGGTCTGTAATGCACACCAGTCAGTAGGTTTCCCTGGACTCTCTCTCGGAGTTGAGTTACAGCCAGCCTTGATTTGCCAACGCATTCAGCCCCGGACATGGTCCCCGATGCTCAGGATCCCCCTTGATGTACGTGTGATCATCTGCATTGTTCGCGAGTTTCGCTTGAGACGTCTTATCCAGATACCCTCCTGTCACGGCCGTCTTGACAATGCTGGTGAGAGTTAACTGCATGATGGATTACAGCGGGAGTGCAGGGAAGTAATAGCGAGGGCTGCCGCGAGGTTGTTGTGAGCGCTTCTCAGGGCGCGATCTGTCGGTAATGCTGGCTCAACATGAACAATTTTGAACTCATCCTCAACGGTCTGTCACATGCGACTCGTATAGATTCTTCTCAGCTCGCACCCGACTAAGCCACTCCGGTTTCATTCCTGGTGTAGATCTGCTACACAGCATGCGCAGCAGCTTCCTTGAAGAGGCAACCATTTGCGGGGTCGTAATCAGTGCAAACGCACATGAGCTGAGGGCCTAATACGAAAGCTGATGGGTGACTGCAGAAGAGCTGACTGCCTGGTGCCTGCCTGACGCTGCCGAGCCAGTCAGCCTCGCGGAATTTCTAATGGTGGCTTGGACTAAACGGATCGTCCACGGAAACTCGCAGCAGTCGACTTCCCGATTTCACCAATGCGATGAGCGCTATTCACCATGTCACATCTGCACCCATAAGGAAGCAGGATCGTTGCATAGGGCGTCGACTCAAGCAGCTGAGCCGCTATGGCACGAACATGTGATAAGCGCTGCCTCTTTAACATATCTCAACCGACCGTGTCTCTCATCATGGTGTCTCGGCGCACGATCTCGCCAGAACATCCTCAATTACCGCAGCCATGGACGAAGCAGTTCGACCAAGCTACAAGGCCGGCCTTTTCGACCGCTTGAACATCGCCCTGTTCCATTTCGTCAATAGGTTCATCCCATGGCACAAACTTCCCAGCTTGATCGGGGCTTTGAATCTGGAGGCTTTGCGCGTCGAGCTCCGACAGTACAATCTGCACGATACCTACCCTGATGGTACCTTTCAAGGCACACAGGCGACATGCCCCATGACCAGCACACGCTTCGAAAAGGCGCGCAACTCTGATGGCAAGTTCAATTCCACGGAGATGCCGCTGATGGGCTGCACCGGCATGCGCTTTGGCCGGAACTTCCCCAGAGCCTTCTGCCCAAAGCCGCACGAAGAGGACCTATGGAACCCGAACCCGAGAATGGTAAGTTCAACAGGGAGTCGTTGGCCTGGTTCCAGGTGAATGATATCGAGCTTTGATGTCTGCGCAAATCCATTGCTAGCCGTGGACCCCAAAAGCTGTAGATGGCTCTATGGCAAGAAACCAAGCTGACAGCACGATGTTGGTAATACCAGCTGAGCGAACGTTTCATGAAACGAGACAGGTTCATCCCCGCTACAACTCTGAATTTGTTGGCGGCGGCGTGGATTCAGTTTCAGACTCACGATTGGTTCAATCACGATACCGTAAGGCGACACTTGTCGGGTGATGCTGGCCATCAAGCTGACACAAGACAGACCGATGAGATGTACAACATCGAGCTCCCTCCTGGAGATTCATGGCAAGGCGGCAAGCCGATGCAGCTTGACAAGACGGGACCGGATGAGATCATCAGCGACACCGACCATAAATCTCCCGGTTACAAGAATCTCAACACGGCCTGGTGGGATAGCTCCCAGATTTACGGCTCCAGCGAAGCCGTTACACAATCATTGCGCAACATGGACAGCGACGGAAAGCTGACGCTCACCAAAGACGGCCGCGAGCAGTTCCTTCCTCGCGACGAGAACGGGTTGCCAAAGACCGGGTTCAACAACAACTGGTGGATAGGCATGGAGATCTTGCACACCCTGTTCGCACTGGAGCACAATTCCATCTGCGACATGCTGCGCCGCAGCTACCCAGACTGGACAGGCGACCAAATCTTCGACAAAGCCCGGCTGGTCAACTGCGCGCTCATGGCCAAGATCCACACCGTGGAATGGACGCCTGCTATCCTAGGGCACCCAACGCTCCAGATCGCCATGAATGCGAATTGGTGGGGTCTGGTCGGCGAGAAACTGACCAAATTACTCGGCCGTATCTCCAAGACCAGCGAGGTCGTCAGTGGTATACCCGGTAGCGGTGTCGATCACCAGGGCGTACCTTATTCCCTGACCGAGGAGTTCGTCTCCGTGTACCGCATGCACTCGCTCGTTCCGGACAAGATTGCCTTCTTTGATGCCCATGATGGCCACCATCGCAAGACCATCCCTGTGGAAGACATGCTCTTCACAAAGGCACAAGACCCGCTCGACCCACCCGAGGAACTCAGCTTCGCCGACGCCTTCTACTCCTTCGGCATCAACTACCCCGGCGCGATCACGAACAACAACTACCCGGCCTTCTTGCGGAACTTGAAGGTGCCAACCGACAATTTCACCCGCGACATGGGCACCGTCGACATTGTCCGCGACCGCGAACGTGGCGTGCCTCGGTACAACCAATTTCGCCGCCTATTGCGCATGCCTGCCATGAAGACCTTCGAGGAACTCACAGGCGGCAATAAAGCCCTCGCAGCGGAGTTGTCCGACGCGTACAACGGGGACATCGAACTCGTCGACACCCTGATCGGCAGTCATTCCGAACCTCTTCCCAAGGGCTTCGGCTTCTCCGATACGGCGTTCAGAATTTTCATACTTATGGCATCGCGTCGTCTCAAGAGTGACAGATTCATCGCCGGCCAGTGGAACGCAGACATGTACACCAAAGAGGGGCTAGCGTGGGTGCAGAACAGCACCATGAAGGATGTCCTCGGCCGTCATTTCCCGGAATTGAAACCCGTGCTGAAGAACAGCAAGAACGCGTTTGCGCCGTGGACCATGTTGGACAAGAGCAAGGCCTATGGGGGGATCGAGACCAATGCACCAGCGAAGTGAAAGAAAAGCGAGCACTGGAGCCACTTGGCATGGGACTGTGATGCGGCCTGCAGCAGTGAACTTGGACACTGTGCGCGGAAGTTTTGAACTACAAGCCTATACCCTGGGTACATCACCGAGCATGACAGATCGAGTTACTAGTGATATAGGCAGTGTTATTTATACAGCAAGCAAGCGTGCCTTTTCTAGCCGCACGCCGATTCTGAGCCACGCTGCTCGACGTTGTGGCCCGTCAGTCAACTGAAATGATCACATGCTGCGTAATACAAGTGCTTGCTTGCCATATCACTCCGGCGCATGCCCCCTTGTCCCCGTTTCCTTTGGCTTGGCCCCAGCCGCGACCTCCTCAATGGCCTGCCCCAAGATACTCAACCCCTTACTCATATCCTCCTTGGTAATGTTCAACGGCGGAATAAACCTCAGCGTATCATAGATACTCGTCGTCAAGATCAACATGTCCTTCTCCATACACTTGGCCTGGACTTTACTCGCGTACCCGTGTCCGCCGACAAACTCCATCGCCTGCATGAGTCCCAGCCCACGCACATCATACACGAGGTGGGGGAACTTCTGCTTGGCGTCACGCAACATGGCTGCCATTTCTTCCCCCCGCGCGTTGACGTTCTCGAGGACCTTTTCCTCACGAAACGCCTTGGCCACAGCGATGCCCGCGGCGCAGGAGACCGCGTTGCCGCCGTACGTCCCGCCCATGGACCCGGGGGGCTGGGTGTCCATCAGCTCCTTGCGGCTAGCGATGCCGCTTAGGGGGAACCCGTTCGCGATGCCCTTGGCCATGACGAGCACGTCCGGCCGCACGCCCCAGTGCTCGACGGCGAACATCTTGCCCGTGCGCCCGAAGCCGCTCTGCACCTCGTCCGCGACCAGCAAAATGCCGTGCTTGTCGCATATAGCCCGCACACGCTCGAGATACCCTTTGGGTACGGGGACGTAGCCGCCCTCGCCCAGCACGGGCTCGATCACGATCGCCGCGGTGTCTGACGGCGCGGACTCGCGCTGCAGAAGCAACTCCAGCTGCGTGACGGGGTCCATGCAGCAATTTTGGTGGTTACATTTCCCCCCCGTATGCGAGGAGATGGCGCAGTGCGCACAGTCCGGGAAGGGCACGGCAAACACGCCGCCCATCAGCGGCGCAAAGCCCGCGGAGTAGACCGTCTTGGAGCGCGTCATGGCCATGGTGCCCATCGTGCGGCCGTGGTAGGAGCCCTGCATGACGATGATGTTCTGCCGCTTCGTCGCGTGGCGGGCTAACTTGACGGCGGCCTCGACGGCCTCGCTGCCCGAGTTCCAGAAGAAGAACGTGTCGAGGCTAGGATCGGGCATCAGTGGGATCAACTGCTCGATCAGTTCGAGGTAGGGCCGCTGGAAGGCGATGTTGACTTGCGCGTGCACCACCTTGGCGGCTTGCGTTTGGGCGGCCCGCGTCACGCCCGGGTGGCAGTGGCCGAGGTTCGCGACGCCGATGCCGCAGGTGAAGTCGAGCATCTTTCGGCCCGACGCCATCGTCACGTACGAGCCGCTGCCGGACTCGATGACTTCGGTGGCGAGCCGGCCGATGCCGCGGGCGACGTGGCGGGTGCCGAACTCGGCGAGGTTGCGGATGGACATTGTGGTGGTGGTGCAAACAGCCAGGATCTTCTGCTACCGTCTGGCGTGTATGTATTTGAGCTCACTCGGGGACGAGCTCGTGAATACGGAGAACTGCCTTCGACACCACCCCTGCTTGGTGCTTGCGTGTGCCTGTCTGTAACTGTGACCGGTCAAGAGTTTCTGGGACGTCGAGGAGAAATTAGAAGTTCGTCAAGCTTGGGCCCTGCAGTACATCATGGCGGATCTGAATTCCTCGTACGGCGGTGCTGATTACGTTTATGCGCTACGTCATTGGTGGGTTGTTACCGGGATCGAGGTGCAAGCTTTGTCGGTGGAATGTCTGTTGCTTATCTTTGACCTTAGCGAGCTTCATGAACAGCTAGCAGCCATGTATCGCAGACAAGCAAGGTGCGGTGCTTTGCCCAGACCCTCGCTTGCAAAGACCCGTTATCTGAACATGATGGTATGCTTGTGGAGAGGATGGACCGTGAGGCCGATTTACACAGTAGATGCGGCCTCTGGTGAAGTATATTTCTACCTTCGTCTACTTGGTCAGTTCATGCTCAGAAGAACGCATCTCGGCTTGTTGCCCGGTACTAAGCTTTCTCCTGGTCAGCCTGGTTAACATGCTCAACCGTTGCCTCGACCTTTTCAGTCATCAGCTCCTTCACTCCTTTCAAGAACCAGACTCCCACGAGAGCAAGCACCACAAAGGGGATAATGCTCGCCCAGGCCATGCGGTACGCACGAGCATATGCCCAGTGGCTGGCATCCATGGTCTGTTCAATAATCGTAGCGTTGATTCCCGGTACGTCCGTAAGCCCAGCTCCGGAGGATAGTGCCGTGAGCAACGCAGGGACAGATGATGCGGGCAGACCGGCTTCGATGGCGGCACCGCCAACCTTGGCTGGATACGACTTCAGCTTTCCATTGATGATGGCATCGAGGACAGCCGATCCAAATGCGCCACCGATGGCACGAGCGGAGAATCCCAGACCAGTTGCGGTGGAGAGGAAGGCGTGAGGAGCCGTGAATTGGATCAGAGCCACGATGAGGGTGAGTGGACCAGATTGACCAATGCCTGAGAGCACGTTGATACCGTATTGCGCCTGGTTCCAGCTGGGTCTGACGGTTGAGTAGAGGATGCAGCTGGTTTCCATGTCAGTAAAGCCAGGCTCGAGGGGAGACGATATGACTCACACGACGAGGAACACTGTGAAAGTGACGATCAACGGAGTCTTGAGATCCTTGTACTTGGTTGCGTATAACCTGTGCGAGCTTGTCAGCTATTGCAAAGCGCTCACATTTGGTGCACCACTCACGTTATCGGGATAGACGCGACCAAGGTGACCAGACTGTAGGACAGTTGGCGGATGGAGATCTTCCACGCGTCGGTTTGGAAACCGAGATTCAGCACAATTTGAGGTGTCACGCTGTTCACCGCCGAGTAGAAGATCCATCCTTCGACTGCGAAGGAGAAGACAGACAAGGCGAAGTTGGGGGACCCCTTAAAGAAGACGTGAGCCACGATGCCGTCGTCTCGACCTTTCCACTCTGAAAGTAACGTTAGCACAATGGAAGAAGGAAAGCTGCCCAAGGGACCGTTTCATACCGTAAAGGCAAAAGAGGACCAGGAAACCACAACCAATGCCTAACGGAGCAGCAACATGGGCGTCCGACCATTCGTAGGCACCACCCGCCCAGTCCAGCGCGAGCAGAAGAAGGGTGCATGCCACGACGAAGAGGGAAGACCCAATAGGATCAATGGCCCAAACATACTGCCTGAAGGACATCTTAGGGTAATCGGAGCGTCGTGTGGGGTGGTAGAAGAAGAAAAGGCCCAGGAAGGTCGCCAGATGGAATGCTGCCTGCATCCAGAAGATGTCCCGCCAGCCGTCTGGACTTGCATTCGTGACGCCGCCCGCTCCAAGACCTCCAACGCTATAATGTGTTAGCAATATACGAGGTCAAGGCCTGGAGGGTTTAGCCTACAGTCCGCCTATCGCACCTCCCATGAAAGCGAAGCCATTGGCAAGCGCTCTGTACTTCAGCGGCAAGACCTCGCTCGGAATGGCTTGGACAATGGCAATGGTGCTCAGGGTTGTCCCGATTAGGATACCGCCTCCAATCAGCATGGACATTGAGGTTGCTTTGGCTGAAATGACAGCTCCTGCAAACGCGATCAATGGAGGGATTGAGGCCAGCCATTTGCGGTCCAGGACATCGCTCAGTCGACCCACAATTGGCGACAGCACAGACTGCATGAGTAGAGGGCCCTCTGTCAAGCAGCGGTTAGCCGGAATAATCACTCAGCTACCTCCGGTTCTGACTCACGAATAATCCAGCCAGCTATCGGAGCACCGCCAAGATCTCGAATGATAAATGCAATGACGGACCCGGCCGCCACGACCACAAAGACTTGAGCCATAATGGCGAAGCAGGTGACGAAGACGACGAGCCATGATCGCCAGCTCAGGTTGATATGCTCGGCCTCGTTGAGCTCCTGAACGTGTAGCGCAGGAGGTTCGAACTCCGCAGCATGTTGCCTCTGACGCTCACGTTCATCGGCGAGAGCGGCATTTTCGATCACCTCAGTGGTCTGTGAGATGTCCTTTTCGGCCATGTTTGCTGGCTAGACACGTTCTCTACACGTGCAAACTGAAAATGTCAGAGAAGCGAGAAAGCTGGGGATTGAAGCGAGGGAGTCATGTCCCGAAAGGCGCCTCTTCTGCGAGATATACATGGACCATCGGGCCGGTACGATAGCCATTCGCGTGCTCTGTCCATGGGTCTGGCCACCCCGTTCTACCCCGGCAGTTGGTCTGGAGACGCCCACCGGGCGGACTCCGTCAGTCTTCTCCGCAACAAGCGAGCGTCTCGAGCCCGAGGCTGGAGGAAATTGGAGAAACTAGTCGAGAAGAGGATAATGGGCAGAGAGAGAACTGCCAATCGTTTAGCAGTGGACTCAAAACCAAGGGGGTATTTTCCGGGTAGCCCATCGTTCTGCCGCCGCACGTGGTGATTTTCCAGCGCCGGCGGCAAGCTAGTCACAAGATCTGTGATCAAGGCGATAGGAAGGACGAGCCTGCCGGTTCTAGGTTTTGAGACGCAGGAGATCTTGCGGCTGCGAGACGAAAACGACTGGAAGTCAGAAGTGGGTAAAATCCCCCAGCCTCCCGCCCCAGCGATACGAGATGGAAGCGGTGGGATCCTGCGGAGAAGCTTGGGTGTGCTTGTGGAGTGCGAAGCCCCTAATTTAGACGACGTCCGACAATTTCTCTTCCTGGGTCATTTGCGTATCTCAGATGGGAGAAGTCCAAGGTTTGCTGCTGGAAGGTCCGTGGTGGCGCGGCTGTTTCAAGCACATTCATGTCCTGGACATTTATCTGCCTGAGTCGTGGCCGCTGCAGATACAGGCAACTACACCCGCGTCCAATCGAGCGTAGAAGGGAATACCAAGAACGATGTTGCCGGTACAAGCAAAACTTGGCCGCAGTCGCGATGTTCCGTCACCCAAGCACCGTGACCTCAGCTGAGCGAAAGGTGGAAGTGGCTGCTGCTACTCCAGAACCATGGAAACGATGCTCTGTCACGGAGCTTGAGTGGCAATGTCCCTTCAAGGACGTCTGAGCATGAAGACCACGGTAAGGATGAGGCAAAGATCGAAGTCTTGCTAAAGTGAAAGTCGGTGACTGTCTTCTCTCTGGTTGCCGGACCTGTCACAATGCTTGCTGCATTCACATCACTGCGACATCCTTCACTTTTCCATCTGACTGCCTTGACTCACTGCCTCTAGTGTCGCACATTCATCATTCCGGGAGACTCCCGGCATCCAAAACAAAGCGAAGACATTGGCCATACCCCACAATCGCGAACTAATAACCATGCAGAAATACACGACCAGAGAGGTCTTTGAGGCCGCACTCGCGGAACCATCCAAGTTGTCGTCCGCCACGACCAAACGTGTCCTTGAACAGTCCGAACAGGTCCCGCCCGGACTGCGCCCTGCACGGTTGGAAATGGAAACTCCCACACGGGTTCTGACTCGCGACCGCATATCGATGAACGCGCCACTAGGGAAGTCAACAGCCGTGGCTTTACCTAACCTCGAATCGTTTGTCAGTGCACCCCGGGCCAGATCCAGCGCTGTCGAGAAAGATTCGAAAGATTCGGCCGACATCGCACACGAACAAGACCAAAAGTTACAAGTCGCTACTACCTCACCACCCCCCCAGTCCTTGGGAAAGCGACGTGTCCCTCATACAAGCAAGGATGAGTGGGCTGATAGCAGTGCGGATGAGTTAACTGTCGGCGAGAAGGGCGGAAAACTCACCACAGGCGAATCCTTTCAGTCAGTCCCACTAGAAAGCACCGATGGCAAAGCACACAAGAAAGCCAAGAGAGTGGGTGCCAGGGGAGGTCCGCGGTACAATAGACTGGCGGGACCGACAAATGCATCTCCCAAAGCGCTGTCCATGTACGGTACGCTTTACCTAACGTATTGTCAAAGACGCGTGCTAACAAAGACTCCTAGAGAACGCTGTGGATGCTCGCGAGCGTCTGAAAATTGCGAAGTCCTACAAGGAGAAGATCTGCGCAATCATCGACACCGACATTCTTCAACGCGTCGATTCTGAGGGTGGCATCACGCCGGACGGAAGATTTTACAAGGCTATTCTTATGATGATGGATCGGATGGAAGCTCGGAGTCCCGATGATGTCGCGACGTGCAAGCGGAGAACCGAAAGTTGAGACAGATAATTGTGGACGCTTCGCAAGTTCTCGAGCACGCTTAGACACAATCTTTGGCATCCTGAGGAATCGGTCAACTTCTGTACATGAAGGCTAACGCGGGAGAGACATGACCTTGTACTTGGACTGATTGAACTGTTGAAGGGTGTATTTGGGCGTCAGACGTTAGGTGTTGATCATTTGCACCATGGGATGGTCTGACCGGGATCGTTCAAGGTGTTAACCAGGCTCAGCAAACGAACCCATGCAATCGTCCTCAAAGGTGTCCTCTAGTCTATTCAAGCGACCCTGTACCGTGACCTGAAAGCAATATGCTTCAAAGGATACCATACAACATTCTAACTTCGTCCCCACTCACAATCATAACTTTGCATCCCGACCTTTGCTGGAAAACACGGCCTTGTCATGTACACACGTAACGCACAACTTCCCCTCCTCATTGTACACCTTTCCCAGGATGTTCGCCGTATTCCGTCCCGCGCCATGGACCTCACAATCCACGATAACCTTGGCCCCCATGGGCACCGGCCGAAGATAACTCGTCGTAATCGTGCGACTGACATGTCCCTCGTCCATGAATCCCTCCTTGGCAATCGTCACTAGCGCCGTGGACGTCAAATTATCAAGCAACGTGGCAGCGGCGCCACCGTGCAGATTTCCACCCTTGTTGCAAAGCTCTCGCCCGATGGTAAGAGACCATTTCGTCCGGTTTGGCGTGGCTTCCAGGAGCTTGAGCGAGCAGTGTTTCAGCGCGTACGTGTCGAAGCCGAAGAAATTGGGATCGTCGGTTATCGACCGCTCGAGGGCCGTGACGCGCTCCTTGAGCGGCAGCTCCAAAAAGTTTCCGTAGTTCTTGAAGATGGCCTTGTGGGGATTCATGGGTTCTGGCTTTTTGGACATGGTGGTCGCCCTTTTGCGCTTTTGCTGTTGGCAGATTGGAGTCGGACTACGCTGAAGAGATGTGAAGCGCTATACATGTATTTCCGGGGACCGATAGCAAGTGTATGAGCCGGATCTATAGGACGAGAAGACTGTTTCTCGCGTCCATCATTCTCAGGAGTAAAATAATCAACTCTACGGCGAGGGCAAGGCCGAGAAGCAGCGAAGGAGCCTTGTGCCGAGGTCCATTCCAGGCTTCAGTCACGTTGAGATAAGCGATACGGGACGCGATAGCCCGTGCCACCACGGCCACTTCGGGGTCCGTGGTTGCATTGCGCCTTCGCAGCCTTGGGCTGAAGCAGGTAGAAAGCAGCTCGTCATTGGCCTATAAGCTGATCGCCGCAACTGCGTCGAGAAGGGTTGATTCCAAGTTCTTGCCCTGGCGGTTTGATGAACAGCGTACATCTCGATCAGTGACGGTGCCCATGATGCTTTTGAGACGCGTGCTGCAACTATACTCGCGCTCCGCCTGAAGTACTGACTACTGGCCCAACATTCCAATCGTTACCTGCGCTCCCCTCTCGCTTCTCACAGTATTGACATCCACACACTCTCTCCCCCTCGATCCACCTTGTTTCAGCCTTTGTACATCGCATTGCCGCTCTCAGTGTGCCCTCATCCCACCCGACCATGGTCTCGCTGGGGAGATATCCTTGCCATAGAGAAGATGGACGAGGATGACCGAGGCGACAGCGCCGTCTCACCAGAGAACAGCAAACATTCCAAGCGAGATCGGCTCAAGGGAGCCTTGGCCCGTACAAAGAGCAAGTTCAAGAAGGAGAACGAGAGACCCAGAGAACCAGACTTGCCAGACGATGTGAACGACTTTCTATCTGCTGGGAGAACATCGGTCTCAAGCGCAGGACATCCCTTGCCACAGCGTTCAAATGTCACGCCTACCGACGAGCAGTCAATCTCTCCCACCTCCACGAGACCATCCACCTCCGATTCCTCTACCAATCCCTTTGCCGCCCCACGATCTCCCAGAAAGATCTCCGTCCCTAAGATCGACGTTTCAAACGCCCAAAGATGGCCTCGAGCACAGTCAGTGGGAACAACGGGAACAACGGAGCAAGATATCAATAATTTCCTGCGACCTGAATACCAAGCCCGCAGCCAATCCGCGAGCTCATTTTCCGGCCAGCCAAAGAAGAACCGGCGAGGCAGGAAACTAAGTGTCTCGTTCAACGAAGCCCCTCCAGTCGTTATCGGCGAGGGTGGCGACGATGCACCCACACCTCCGGTCGAGATCGGAAAGGCCAGACAACGGGCGAGATCTGCTTCGCCAATGTCTGGTCGTGGTCAACATCTGCCAGAAGGGTCTATGAACGGTACAAATGGCAAACGACCCAGTCCGGTCCCTCCGCCCCCCAGCCAGGTGCATGCTCCTCCTGACGTCCTTCGGCCCCGGATGATGCGGCGCGTACAGACAGGCTTTGCTATCGACTCTGCTGGCATATCTGGGTTGGACAAGGAGTTTGAAATGACCCTTCGGGTGGGAGATACTGCCAGCAGAGGAGGCTCGACGTCAGACACACCAGAGATTATCGCTCCTAGACCCGTGCGGGTTGTGCAGCCGCCGCCTGCAGTATTTGAAGAGTCGGCCGAGTCCTCGACTGTCAAGAAAGAGCCCGCGAGTACAAATTTGCGCGGAAAGTTTCGCGAGGGCGACGCTCTTCGGATGCATCTCGATAAACAGGGACCGGACGTTGTTGATGACATTAGAGAGGGTAGACCTATGGGAAGAGGCACAGCCCAAAGCAAACAAGAGCCGTCGAACTGGCTATGACCTCTCCGTCGCCATCAAAGTTATCGTCTCGACAATGTGATAACGCATTCACATGTGGTGTATCGGAAATCTAGCCTGACGACCCGTCGACTTCGTTCAGTGCCTTGAAACCCTGGATAAGGTCATCAAGCAGGTCCTTCTCGTCCTCGATGCCGATACTGAATCTACAAAGGTCTCTTCCCACGGTCGAATCTGTCATCGCTCTCCATTCAACCAAGCTCTCAACTCCGCCCAAGCTCGTCGCGTGGTGGAAGAGATGCAGCTTGCTCGGTAATTTCCGTGCAAGCTCGGACGATTTGAAGACGACGGAGAAGACTGGCCCGTATCCATTGGGCATCTGCTTCTTGAGCCACGTCTTATAGTCCTGGGTTTGAAGACTGGCGTGGAGCACTTCTTTGACGACCGACTTGATGATTTCGGCGTCGGACTGTGAAAGCCCTGTGCCGACTGTGTGACCTGTCAGGGCGCCATCGAGGGCATCGACTATCCTCCCTGCAGACTCGCTTTGTCGCATGACGCGCAGCTCCAGCGTTCGAACACTCCTTACGCCGAGCCAGCCTTCCAAGCCTCCCATCACCGCGCCCAGGTATAGCCGATCATTGAGCATCTTGGGTATCCATTCCTTCTGCTTGACAGCCAACACACCGCACAACATATCTGAATGGCCACCGATATATTTTGTGCCCGAGTGCATCACCACATCTGCTCCGTGCTTGAACGGATCCTGCAATGGCGGCGGCGCAAAAGTGGCATCGACACTTAGATAAGCCCCTCTTGAATGTGCGATGTCTGCATAATGTTGGATGTTGAATGCTAACCCTGTGGGATTGACGGGAGTCTCGAGGTGTATCAGGTCACCCTTTTGGAGGTCTTCTGGGTTGCAGTCCAGGGGCAAGACCTTCAATCCAGAGAGGCGCTCGTGCAATTCCAACACGCCATGGCAGCCATGATACCCCGCTCCAATAGCGACTCTCTTCGGAGCCAGAAACGTTATCAGTGCATTGAACGAAGCTAGCCCGGACGAGTACGTCAAGCACTCGCCCTTCAACAGCACGCTCAGAATCTTTTCCAGCCGCGATGTGCTATGCGTGGTATGCCTTGAGTAGATATGTTCTCCCTGCGCGAAGATGGGTTCAGGCCTTTCATAATAGGGCCGCAGCTGAGAAGGGTCTTTAGAGTAGCGGAAGGTCGTCGAGACGTGGATCGGGGGTGCGACGTCGTCGACCAGGTTCAACGGGTCATCGGCATGGACTGCTTGCGTTGCGGGCGAGAGACTTGTCACATCCAATTCCCGTGACAGCTGCTCTTCCACTGAGTGACTGTGAGGATCGGGTGAGGCGCCATTGATCGGGTGCGCAGGCTGAGGGAGATCCGAAGGATCAGAACCCTCGATGGGTGGGTGGGCGCCGGTAGCCATGAAGGCTGTGTGTGAACTGACGACTTTTCGAATGGGATCAAGGAAGAATCGTTACTCCCTAATGCTGTAGCGAGAAAGATACCAACTCACGACCTAAGCTACGCAGTACAGGTGTGTTGATTACAATCCCATTTCGCCCTTCAACTGACATAGACAATCGGGTGCCGCAATTTTTCCATGGCACAATCATTGAATCACTGCGGACACTGCGGGCACTGCGGGGAGCCAGCGACAGCTCCGATTTCGCTTCCAGCTCCGTGTGGCTTGGAGGTGGCTTGCTTGGAACGGTTAGGCATGAGCGACAGGGCAGAGTACGAGGTACGGAGTACGTGGGAGTAATAACACCACTCGCGCCGAGTTTCATTTCGACCCTCACCTTTCTCCGGCCTTCGTTCCGCTCGACTATTCACAACCCCATACACACTCACAACTAATAAGGTAGTTAAACATGCTTCGGAACGCATCAAGACATAGCGACAGCGCATTGTCCAACCACCAATGGGAGCGGAGACGATAGGAAGTTCATTGATTATGCCGAACCGCCTGTACCACCAGGTTCGTCCATGTGTCAAAACGCTGAGCTGAGTATCTTACATCCGTACCTGAAATTCTTTCCGTCATTGTCTCGCAACCAGTGATCACCTCGACAGTCCTCGCTCTCTCTGCACTAGCCATTGCTGGGCACAAGCAAGACTATTAATTCTGCATGTTTGTCATCGGTCTTCGCTGCCACCAAAGAGCCTTCTCCTACACCAATATACACTATCCTCTTCCGAACCCACACCGCGCCGATCGCAACTCACCGAACTCGCAGGCTTAAGTCCAACTTCCAAGAGCGTCTTCTCCGCGTCCTGGCAGATCTTCCCATCCTGGACAACCTCCAGCTGCTTCCCACCTCTGACAACAATGACAACAGTCTTCGGCGTACTCTGAGCAATCTCCCACTTCTCTGCGGCGAACTTTGACAATGCCTGCAACATCTCCGTGACTGTCGCACCGTATTTCGCGGCCACAATGTACGGGTCTTGGCCCGCATTGACTTCTGAGACCATAAGCATGACCTCCAGCTCGTTCAGCGCACCGCCTGCAAATCGCTTCACTTGGAGCGCGGCTGAAATGTTGCTGAGAAAGTCCGAGTCGGGAGGATCTGGTGCAGGATGCCGCATATCTGTTTTTATTCGCTCCGCATACCCTTCGTCGTTGACGGGTCGGCTTGCTTCAGAGGCTTCTGTATCGATCCAGGCCTCTACGGCCATCTTGCGATAGTGCCTGGTCGTTGCTTGTGGATTTGCGGCTGTTCCGGTGCTGGAGTCTGATGAGAGGACAATGGCCTCTGATACAAGATTAATTATTGGGATAAGAAGGCACCAAGAAGTGGTGAGGCAAGAATGGACGTACCTTTATCGTTGTGTTTATCCATCTCGTCGAATGCGAAGGAAGCGATGGGGTGCCGATCTGAGAATAACAGTGCAGCACGGAGCGCTCTCCCTTTTTGGCGCTTTGGGTCTTCGGCACTGACAAGCACTGACAGGCTTGCTTCGTGTGACCCAAATTGATTTTGCTGTCGATCTGAGGTGGCCGGATAGAACGACCGATATATTTACGCCCTTATCTGGGGTGAAGTTGGGAGGGCAGTGTGCAGTTCCGGGGTATATCCGGAGGATCCTGGGTCAGTGAATGCCAGAATGCCCAAATCTGCCAGAATCGCAATTTCATCTTGAATGTGTCTATATAGCGGGGTGGGTTTGATTGAGCAATCCGGTTTGTGTATACACGGTGGACCTACCATAACAAGCGCAGCAGCAAACAAACGGCCCGTGGTGGGCTGAAAGCGCTTGTGTGCTTTTGAGTCTCGACAAGCTCTTCAAGGTAAAATTAGTTTCGAGACTCCTACTAAATGCTTGATCATCAGTCTTGGCTAGGGGGACTTGGAAACAGTATAAAAGGAACGAATCTCGAGAGCCGATTACTCATATATCTCATCATGGCGTGCTTGTTGCTTGCTGGGGAGGGCAAGACCAAGATCTTACGGGTGGTAGGGCACCGCAATATGTCTTAAATCTCTGATTGAGTCTATCTCTGGAGAGCTAGGCTCTCAGCTATGGATCATGGATTATGTTGCTCGTGCCTGCCTCGCATATGGCACGGGCTGGGAAGCACCAGAAAAAGAATGGGGGAGGAACAGGACTGCTCACCACATTACAGCTGTGTCTGAGAGCCTGATCCAAGTCGCCCACACTCCAGGGAGAAGAAAAATCAAGATTCGGAGCTACCTAGGCAGTGTCCTGATGTGTGGGACCTCCTACCAAGCTTGGTTCTGAGCCCCTCGATTCTGCTCGGTGAATGCAATTCCTGCCTTGCATGGCGAATGGTCAAGCCGCACACCGCTCTATCCGAACAACACTCAAGTCGAATCTGACTTTGTCGTGCTTCCGCGGCGCTGTCCCTGACGAGTAATGACCACGCTCCCATACTGCCATGAATTCACCGCACACCCGTGTCTTCAGCCGGCAAGCCCTGCGACTTCCAAGGGAGCCGAAATCTACTGCTCAGGTCCTGGCGGGGGGTCCAGATAGTCTCTCTTGGCGTACTTGGACGGGACGGAGTACTTCATCCCCTGCAGTATCTGCGCAGCTTCCAGTTCCTGCTTCTTGACTTGGCGGCTGTCGTGGATCGGCTCTGGCGCTGGGAGTGCGCTCCGCTTCTTGGCTGGGCGTGTGTCCTCGGTTGACTCTGGCTGTGCGCTCCGCTTCTTGACGTGGCGGGTGTCCTCGATCGGCTTTGGCTGTGCGCTCGGCCTGAACCCTGGTTTCCAGGCTCGTGCGCCCTCTTGAACATACCAAGGTTCGGCGAATTCCACATGATTGTTGGCAATTGCGTCGAGCTCGAGCCGTAGAAGATCGTTTAAAAGATTGGCTGTCGAAGTGGTGGCATTGGCGTTGTTGAGATTGTTCGTGGCCACCACTTGGCGAGTTTCTTCTCCAGCCAAGGCACCATCCACGGTGCTCGCATTGCCTGATCGTGCTGCGCGAGTGCAGGAAAGGGAGGCCTTGGGGATCCTGAACGGTGGTGGATCTATTCGAATGTGTCAGCTGCGTGATGAGTATGAGTACAGTGTGTTTTGACTCACTAAGAGAACTCTCCAGGGCATTGTATGATTGGAGACGTTCATCATTTTCCCACGTGAGGCGTTCATTCCGTTCATCAGTCCCTTTCCCCTCCCTTCCGGAAGCATGCGATCGCTGATCTGGCGCTGTTGGCGTGTCAGTAAAGGTCCCAGGCTGAATAGAGCCGCTCGAGCAGAAGGAATGTGGTCGAACTCACCTTGAAGCGGAGCGGAGCTCATGGGAGCAGTCTCCCGACGCTCATGTTCTGGTTTTCCCATGTTGTTGGTGGTGTATCAGGTGGTCGAGTATCGTGGCGCACTATGATTCAAGGAGAACCCAGGAAATGGCGAGGGAGAGGCCATCAGGTATATATATATATGATAATAATGACCGCGAAGTCTGGTGCCACGGATCACGTCGGATCACGTGCTATGTGAAAAGGTAAGACATTTCTGGGGTCGCGGATTTCTGGGGAGGCGCGAAGGTCTTATATAGATAGAAATCATGATGTGAAGGGCTGATCGTTGACAGACTTAACTGTGAGGGTGACGCGCTTCACAGCCAGAGGGGTGAATTTCATGGTCCAGACCGTGCACTATACCGTATTGTATCGTTTGTCACCCTATTTCAGAGTCAGAGGCCGTGACATTCATGGTCCGGAACAAGCACTATACCTGATGGCATCCTTCGTCACTGACAAACGTGAGATATAAGGGGAATTGAAGCTAAATGACTGATTTTAACCGTCACTCATCTCTGAATTGTGACTCCTGGTTGAGTGCAGGCGCAATTCTGCTGCTCAAACAACCAATGACATGCTGCTGCCGTGACAAATGATTCCCCTAAGTGAACATTGCTGCTATGATCTTCAAGCCAAGGACACTGAACCGGATCAGCTAGGAGTGCTGGTAGCTCCGTCACTCTCACCTGCTCTTGTGAGCCTTCACAACTTGAGCCACCCACTTTACGACATGTTGCAGTCCTAGGCAATGCAACTCTAAAGCACTGTTTGAGTGAAGGGCTTGAGAGAGCGCCTTCACCTAAAGCGTGGTCCAGGTCTTAGCACGTGGCGGTTCACGGTCAGGTCAGATGAATTAGGCAGGCTGGTGAACCTGATAATCATTACTTGGTAGTCATTCGGCGCTGGATTGGATTCCATAGTCACAAGAGGGAGTGGTCAGTCAGCCTCGCTTCACATAGGCAATCGCCCAGAAGAATGAAGAAGCTGCTTTCCAGGTAATGCCTCGTAGTCCGCTCTCCGCATACGTCTGCCAAGTGCCATTGAGGATTACCCACGGGCTGGGATACATCACTTCCTGAGCATGACATCGAAAATCCACTCATAGTGGGGATCATCAATCACTTCCATGTTTCGAGTTGGGAGCATCCCCATGTTCCGAGCAACGCACCAAGGGCCAAAAGATGCCAAGACCTCAGGGGTGCGCAGCCTCGCATCGTTGCAAACTGAGTAACAGCCTCGCATTCATTGGAAGCGAATATCTACACAGGCATGCATGCACTGTACCCCGGACAGCAGGGCACAATATACTCGCTGACGTGGGTCATTATTCCCGCGGAGTCGTCCTAAAGCAATGGAGACAGAGTTTCTGAAACCACTCTTGCAGCTCATACCGCAAGATTGTCAACCCAGGATTCCGCACCTCCGCCAAGGTTGACACGACAACATGAAGCTATTGGGCAGGGAGAGGTATTAGCAGATAGAGAAAATCTCTGAGCCTTGATGATCCGACAAAGCACCATCGAAGCGAGAATACTGAATTCTTTTCCGAGGCAACTTTGTACGCAAGAAATGAAGTCTTCTGCTTGGATTGCCCACATTGTTACTTGCAAACAAAGATGGCTTTCTTGGCGGACAAGAACCACTTAGCTTGAGCTTGCCCGTAGGTTTCAAGCATTCAGTGATAAGGGGAAATTGCTGTAAGTAAGGTGCATCGACTCGACCATGGGTAATCAAAATCCCTGACTTGGTGGAATGCTCGAGGTCAAGAAGAGTTCGCGAGGTCGGTACGTCATCCAAGACTTGGCACTAGCAGCAAAACAGCTAGTAAGTCGCGTTTGAACACGTGTGACCGCGACGCGAAGGAGCTCGCTCTCATTATATTGCTCCCTCGATTATCCCGTACTTCTCATTCACAGTTCACCAGCACCAGCGTAACCCTGTGGCATTTCTCTTTCTTTGAGATGGCGACCACCTTCTTTCGACAATGCCCCCGATCTCGCAAGGCGGCTGGACCACCCCACGTTGCGAGACTTGGATTTCACGCCAGGAAGCGTCACGACACAACTGGAGCAAGGCGTGGAGATTCTTCGTGGCTCGATGTACCAACGCTACATCCCCCTTCTTCGTTATTCCCCTTCGTTCTTGTGTACGCATAGCTTGTGTATTCGCTCCTTGTTCTGGGTAAGCTACTTGGTGAGTGAATGAACTCGTCTCGGCAGGATCAGTGCAGTTCCAGGGCAACCGAGTCCTTGGGTAGAGCCTGGGTGCGTCTTTCGGAGCCCGTCAGACGTGGATGTGAGGACAACAATTGGCTTAGTTTCGCAAAGGCTCATTGTCTTGCGTACTAAGAAAGATTATCGATCCTTTGTTTTGGTTGACTTCGGCCATCGAAATGCATACCAAGATGCTTAATTCAGGAAAACAGCCCTCTAAGAAAGTATCCCCGCCTATACGCTGCGTGCACTGCAACTCAAATGCGATGTATCTGTTTTTGTCAATCTGATGTGGAACGTGGCAGCGAGTCGAAATAGGGGCAAAGGAACAACTGCCTCAACCGCGACAGTCCGGCATTGAACTGCCTTTGGCCTCTGCCTCAAACAAACGCTTCTTATCTGAGAACTGCCTGGTGGCAATCTGATTGCGGCTGCCTTAGGTCGCGTCTTTCTCGAAGTCATTCGTCTTTGAACTGTCGCTCATCCCTCTCTTTCAACAATTCCTTCGCACAAATACTTCTACCTGATACCAATTTGTTCAATCCAGTGCTACTTTGTCAAACCGAAGTCAAGATCGCATTCCAGCATGTCGACAATTGTTCGAGTCAACGGCGATAGCAAAGCAATGTCGATGCTCCTACGTCGAAATTGTCAAAGGCTCTTTCGAAAATCGTTCCAGCCACCCAGCGTCGAGATGTCCATCAGGAAACAAAGAGCACCTCCAACCGGCAGGCAGGTTGAAGCTGTGATGAAGTATTTGGTGCTGAAAGAGGACTCGGATTGTCGCCAACCGCAGCCAACTATCCACGTAGCTACCGCAAGACGGGTCACAAACGCGCTCACAGCCAAGGAGATATATGACTCTGCCCTGGATCCAGCACTCGTCCCGCAACCGCTGACTTTGAGGGGCCAACACCGCAACGTGTCGGCGCCTGCCGCCCTCCAGACTACAAGATCAGACACTCCGCGATTTGCAGCTGTTTCAAAGGTCGTGACCGGAGATGACACCTCTCACACGTATTTTCGTAGCCGCCCCCGAAGTCACCAACACGCTCTTCTGGATACCTCGGCACGACTGATTGCTGGCGGAATCGGAGCAGCTGACGTCGCCCAATTTATGGGCCTCACTTTGCAAGAACTGGTCCACGAGATTGCGCGCTTCACCCTGGCAGCTCGAGACACGCCGAGTATTGTGGAGGAAGAGATCAGAACGTTCTATGCCTCAAATCCAGCATCCTTAGACAGCAGACTCCTCCGGAGTGGAGAAATTCCCCCAAACATTACCGATATGCATGTCACTGATACGCAAGGAGACCAGGTTCAGAACGAAGAAGCTCTCTATGATTCCCAGTCGGACGCAGCAGAGGAAGGTCCATGGACAAGCATCGAAGAAGTGGCCTCCGGAGAAGGGTCTGTGGAGGACGGGGCACACCAGCATGACGACGGAGTGTCCGTGTATCACGATACTCTCGAAAGTCTTGAGAAGGGTTCTGTACCGCATCAACAGCCGATACAACAGAGAGAGCATCATACGACTACTTGCTGCCGACGGCCTCCGTGGCTAGAATTTTGGCACCGCCATATCCCTGATGCGCTTCCTGCTCAAACCACTCAGGCCAGCCTCAGCAATACAACGGGATCATCATCATCACAGATAGCGCAACCATCCACGCTGGCACCACTTCTGATGGGTATCCGTACGACAATCTTCGCATCGCTGGCTATTATCATCGGCAGACTTCTTGGGATCTTATTGTCCGAACTGCAGACATTACTCGCGAACCAAGAGTACAGTCTAATCAATATTCTAGACACAGTTTCTGGGTGGGCAAGAGTGGTTGCTCTACTTCTCGCTATGGTACTGTGCGTACAACTCTACGCGAGGAAACGTTCATGAAAAGAAGCTGGTGAACCAATGGACTTTTCAATGTTGACAATGTTGCAGGTGAGAAGGATTTGTCAAGTAGTCACTTCGATTCAAAGGGCGAGCAGAACAACATCAGTGGCGCCAGGGTGAAAAGTCCGGAGAAAGTAGTTTACCAGGTATGTGTCCCGCAGTCATTCCTCATTCCTGCGATCCAAAGTCTGGAAATCCAGCATTGCCGGCTCGATAATGAGCAAACCACGAGGACTTACAGTCTAGGCTTATCGGCTCAATGCAAACGTACTACCACAGGACTCAGCGTTTGAAGTCTGCTTTTTTTCCCCTTCAGATATTAGTAGTTTCTCTTCTTATATAGCTCAGTCGCGACTGTGAGCCCGGCCTTGCTCCAGTCACGAATATGAGCATCAACACGCCTCTGGTGTGGTTATTACTTACTGACAGGCCCAAGGCCTCGAGCGAAGAGCTGATGAATTTAGCCGAATGTGGTCGAGAGATAGGTAGGTATCACAAAATCATGTCTCGCGAAGTCGTCTTCATAAGGACTGGTGACGGAGCAAGACATGCTTGAGTTGTCGGGTTGTCTGACAGCAGCACCAAATTCACTGGGCCGGAACTTGCAAGGCGATTCCAACTGTTGTTCTTTCCTCAGTAGTTCATCACTGATAACACATGAACACGGTGCGTTGTGCTATGTGGCTGGGATGTTTGACTGCTTCGAAGTGACAGTGGTTCACCATGGTCATAGTGACGCGCCTTAGGCAGTGAGCCAACTGCCTCTCACTGCCGGGTTAGCGCCAGGAAGCAGTGATATATTTCACCACTGCCTGGACAGGACCAACGCTTTCTTTGTCTCTCTTCTGAAGAGAACTGCGACTGTTCCAATCAAAACATCACTTTAGCAGGTCGATCGCCGTCTTCTACACCTCTGAAAAAGAAGTCCCATCTACGTCACAGCTCTTTCCATCCGCAGTATCCTGAACATCTGCTGTCTACTGCGGCACGATGGACTCCCCCGGGAACGCTCCTGAGCACGAGTTCCTTCCCGGAAGCGATGATTGCTCTCCAGAAGAGCCACTGCACAAATCCCGCTTTTCAAGCCCTCACGCCGCCGGGGAACCAGGACCTGCAGTCTCTACCCACACGGAAGGGGGTTTTGACAGTGAGGAACTAGAGTATTTCCGATCCCTCCCGGAACAAGCCCTGAAAGCAATCTACCCAGACGGAATCCGACCACCAGCGAACCTTGGCCCACACGCGCCTTTCGATAGATACGACAAGTTTCATCAAGCACTTCTCAATCTTGCAGCTGGAGTAAGCTTACGCGATGTCATCCGCTTTTACCACTTCGATATCGACGCGAAACAGTTCGTCAGGCACATGGCTATCTTCTGTGTCAAGTCTCTCGGCTACACCAACCATGACCTCTACCGACTTGATGTACATCTCTCTGAACTAGGCTATGCTGATGATGACGATGCGACAAGCATGTCGCAGTGCCCGAGTGGAGAAGCATTTGGCGATCTGTTTGAGGACCAACACGATAATGAGCAAGGGGATGTAGTCGAACTCGAAGGCACTACAGACCAACAATCACAAACTGGGGACAGCGAGCAGAGTCAACTCATACCCGATATTTCCCAAATAGTCGAACCAGCTGGAACCTCCTCGTCCAAGACTGATCCTTCAAACGAACGACTTCAGGAACACAAGCCGCTCAGCACCCGCGCCCGCGTAGGGAGAGTCGCTTTATCGACTTTCTTCAAGTTCGTGCTCGCCGCCTTGGGATACGCTGTTCCAATCATGATCATCTGCTTTTCCTACGAGACACTGGTGCGCCCTCATCTTGCGTCTTCCACAAATGCGGCCGGATGGGTTAAAGTCTGAGAATCTACGGTCGAATACTTGCGGTGCATGGCAGACTAGAAGACCCAGTTGTGGAACCGTCGTTGCAGGTCGAGAGAAGTAGCACACGTCCGATGCGATTATTATGATGGGAGAAGAGCGAAGACTATGGCCAGTCAGGGGATCGAGCAATGGCCGCGGAGAAACAGCGTTGAAGTCTGCTCGAGACAGAGGTGCTCTTCAAAAAATTCTTTCCGAGCCGGGGTGTAAGATGAAGATGTCGACATGAGGAATGTCACGAACCGCGTTGTCACGACTACTAATCTCCGGACTCGAGTGCTATGGGAGGAAGGGATCACAAGGCCAATAAGTTCAATACCTTGGATACAGCACTGATCAGCCCCGGGAGGTAGCCGGTCATGCTACGCTGACTTTGATGGAGAGTATTTGGCTTGCACAAGATATCACTGAAAGGCTTCCGATCTCGACTGGGTGCGTCCTGGAAAATTCATGTACCTATCCACAAGTCAAAATCACCAGGGTACTAAGTACTCTAGGATGAAGCCAACATCCTATCTCACATGGCGGAACATCCAAGTTCTTTAGGTTTTCATTCCCACAAGCATGGGCGGTTTGCTTTGTTAGTTGCAGAAACTCAGGTGCTCACGTTGAATAGAATCGGCGTCCAGCCTTACCCAGGCTTTCACGCAGGCAGTGGCCTTCGCCTAGATGCCGCATCATGGCAGTCCGCGGCGCAATGAGAGGTGTACGACCCTGTTCCTTCCTTATTTGGTAACGTTTCTGTGGCATCGGATGGGACAATGAATATCCGATCCGAGTCCCGTGGTAAAGTGACTCGGCTTCGCCGTCGCTTAACCATGAAACATTCAAGCTGACAATCCATGGACCTTGTTCATCATCCCTTCGCCATACCTATACGACCTCTATCACATATCCCGATGACATTGAAAGTATGGTTGGCACATGGGCGAGCATCCGGAGACCGTTCCTGAAGAAAGCGACCTTTCTCGGCCATCGGCTGTGCATTCGACTTGGTACCTCGGTAGATCGGTAGGTCGGACGCCGTTGTTAGGCTCAGAGCCGCCCCTGTACTTTTCTCCAAACGCCTAATCTTCACCTCGCTGGTGGGTTGCTGTATCCCACTTACGGTAAACAACATTGCTCTGTCCATCTTCATTTATGGTACTGCGATCTTACCATCACGAGAGCTAGGTCAGGACAATCAGGGCAGAAACTCGACCTTAGAAGAAGAGGAGGTGTCGCGCCTGCTGATACGCAATGGAAGCCGTACGGGTGCCCTCCATCATCGCTGACAAGCTCCGGCCGCACGCAAGAGCAACACTGGCCAACGTCAAGAAGTTCGTCGAGGAAGAATGTAGATCTACCCGTGCTACAGCATTCTCTGCTCATTCTGATCGCCGTCACAGGTATCCCTGCAGACGAGGTTTTCGAGGCTCAACTGGCTCTCCATCCGGATCAAAGATGGAATTCCATGCCTCCTATCCTCGAAGATCTCAAGAAGCGCGCTCGAGAGTTAGGGCTGTGGAATTTGTTTCTGCATTCCCACTTCCAAGAGGGACCCGGCTTTACGAATGTCGAATATACACTCATGTGCGAGACCATGGGACGTAGTCACGTCGCACCCGAGGCGATGAACTGCAGTGCTCCTGATACAGGGAACATGGAGGTTTGCCGTTCTGTCCCTTTATCGCTGCTCTCGCTGTAGGGGTATCACGCATACTGACTGCGGCTTCAAGTTACTCGCAAAATACGGAACCGAAGCGCAGAAAGAAAAGTGGCTGCAACCTCTTCTGGATGGGAAGATCAGGTCAGCCTATGTCATGACAGAAATCGATGTTGCTGCTTCCGACGCAAAAAATCTCGCCTTGGAGATGCGTCGAGAGGGAGACGAATACATCTTGAATGGCGTTGTAAGTACTTAATCCTCTCCTCGAACAGCGATTCTTCCACCTGACACTCCTCAAGAAATGGTGGATCAGCAGCGCCGGAGACCAGCGATGCCGGCTGTGAGTTCCGAGCTTCATGTCCTGTGTGCACACTCACATGTCTTTTTCTTTCAGCTATATCATTTTCGCGAGATCGAACCCGAACGACCCGAACCCAACAAAACGACATAGTATCATTTTAGTCGACTCCAAAACTCCCGGTATTGAGGTCATACGTCCTCTGCGCGTGTTTGGCTTTGACGGTCAGTTCTTGGGTCGCGGGGTGATTCTGCAAAATGTTGACCTAGCATAGACGCACCCACCGGCCACTGTGAGGTCCACTTCAATCAGGTCCGCGTGCCCGCATCCAACATCATCTTGGGCGAGGGGCGGGGATTCGAGATCATGCAAGGACGCATGGGCCCCGGCCGCATCCACCACTGCATGCGAGCCATAGGCTGTGCAGAACGAGGCCTGGAGTAAGCCACTTTCTACCTCCTCTTCCATTATTGCGGTCTCTCATCGTTCACAGCTATCTGATCGCCCGAGCAAACAAACGTATGGTGCACGAAGCTCCACTGGCCAACAAAGGTGTCGTTGCCGATTGGATTGCACGATCGCGTATCGAGATCGACGCTGCGCGACTCCTCGTTCTCAACGCCGCAGACAAGATCGATGCTGGGAACGCAAAGGACGCCATGTCCGAGATTGCCATGGCCAAGATCTACGTCCCCAACGTGGCGTTGGCGGTGCTGGACCGAGCGATCCAAACCCACGGCGCGGCTGGTCTCTGCCAAGATTTTCCTCTTGCCCGGATCTGGACCTATCTGAGGACGGTTCGGATTGCTGATGGTCCCGATGAGGCCCATGCCGCTCAGCTTGCTAGGACTGAGAACAAGCGCCATCACAACATGTATGTAGCGTCACATGGTCTCATCCGAACTCTGATACTGACAGCTCTTTGGCAGAATCGATGTTATCGCAATGCAAGAGGCCACAACTCGCGCGTTGATGGAAAAGTACAAGATCAATCCCCGGCCACGCTTGTAATGAGCTGGACGGCCAGCATCGACGGGGGAGTTCTAGAGGCTAGAACCCACTTCGGCTGAGTGGTTGATAGGGAATTAGAGGTGAAGAAACTCAGAAGCTTGTTGCAAAGAGTGCCTCTCGCCAATACATCTAATTGAGGGACCCAAACCAGGTAGTCGATGCTACAGGCGGCCCACCCTCTGCAATCTTCCCTTCCCAGCCACGTTCTCCCCTTTCGCTTTGAGGCCCCTTACTATTTGTAGCGCCGCTCGCGCGTAGGGAAACCGTTCGCGCCCCAGTATCAACGAGTCCTCCCCAGTCGCCTGCCGAACCGCGTGCCTGGCAGCTATGCCCTGCAGCATGACGCTCGTGCGAAAGATCATAAAAGCGTCGGCCCAGACGATATCATGGCTTGGGTCCCACCCTACCACATCGCGGTACCATTCCAGGCATTGCGCTTTGCTCGGCAGTCCCGGTGGACCGCCTGTAACATCAAACGCCGGGTGCGAGTGCTGCTTGATCTCCCTGGAACTCTGAGTAACGGTCCAAGGAAGCACGAGATTGCTGAGATCCGAAAGGGGGTGGCCTATGGTTGAGATCTCCCAGCTGTATGGCGAGCAGTCAGTCAGCATCGTCTGCGTCCGTCTGTGCGTTTAAAACATGTCAAGGGTGGGTGGCGCAACTCACTCCAATATCCCAATGATCACTGGCTTGGTCTTGTGAAACACCAGGTTATCGATCTTATAGTCCCCATGCACGATGGTGCCTCGGTCGTGCGGCTGCAGGGTTTCGTTTGCAAAGTACGCCAGCAGTTCGTCCGTGCCTGGGATATTACCCACCGGCTCGTCGGTCTCGACGTCCGTCACTTTCGCGTATGACTCGTGGAGATTCTTCAGCGTCCTGATCTGCCGACGATAGAAGCCGCGTGGTTTCCCGAAGTCCGCGAGCCCAATGGATGCCGGGTCGAGACGGTGAAGCCGCGCGAGCGTCTGGACCGCTTGTTTCCACCTTTTGCAAAGCCGTTCAATCAGCCTTAGTCAATCGAGCAGTTGAGCAGTGGTTCAGACGTGTCTGCCTGTAAATATGACACGCCGAACATCAAGGCAGAAAGAAACACCCCACATCCCGTGTGGGCGCACGTACTTACATTTCATTCCTCTCATCGCCAGAAACACCAGGCATGTACGCGTCCTGGAAGATTCGCCCGTCCAGAAACTCCATAATGTAGAACGGCGTGCCGAGCACGCTGCTGTCCTCGCACAGACAATAGACCTTGGGGACGGGGATATCTGTCCCACCCAGGGCCCGAATCACGCGATACTCGCGCTCGACTTGATGCGCGGCCCTCGTGAGCAGTTTCCCTGGTGGCTTTTTGCGGAGCACGAAGCGTTGACCCTGGCTGTCTGTCAACTTGTATGACGGGTTGGACTGGCCGAATTCGAACTGTGTGGTGGCAGACAAGATGACAGGTCAGCAGCAGACCGTATGTTATAACCTTTTATCGCGGGGTCTGTTGAGGCCTGATTATCCTACCTGCTGTATTTGAATGGGTACATGAATGGCGGGGACATGGTCTTTGAGAAAACGGTGCAGAGAATCTGTATCTATCGGCTGGCGCATGTTGTTGTGGATGTACGGAAGCCGTCCTGGTGCGGATGGGAGAAGCACAGATCGGATTGAACTTGGACCCAGAGGAGACCGATGAGCGCGATATATATACATGTCCTCATGCCAGCCCTGGGGCAATTTCCACCCCACACTAGGCGTGCCTCGGGTGCGATGTTACCGCCAGCGTCAGCGTGGGAGCGTTACACGCGCGAAATATCATATGGATTCACCATGTGGGTGGCAGGTACACTTGTTAGATGTGGCCTTGTCTCACTACCAGATGGCATGGTCTAAACCAACCCATTTGTGTACACGCATGTCCCGATAGACTACTGAGTATAGTATCGGCGCTACATTAACCCTCCGACAGATACACCTCCGTGCCTGAGCTTCAACGTCTACGGCCGCGGCTACTCGCAGCCTCAGAATTCGCAGTCTTCCGCCATCGTCGGCGACAGACGGCCCTACCGCGTCCTTTCAAAGTCTATTCGGGGGTGTCCTGGAGCTTTCCACATCCTCGGTGACAACGCCCGTGTTGGCCTTTTCCCCACTGCCATCATGAGTGATGATGGTGTGGGTGTTGTGGTCGATTTCAATATCACGTTGGTAGATGGCAACTTCGTCGGCGTCACCGAAGATGGCAGCGATTTCCTCAAGGGGCATGCCCTTGGTGTCCGGGAAGAAGAACAGCATGACGAGGCCGCCGATGGTTCCGGGAATGATGAAAGCGAGGTAGAACTTCCAACCGACGTTTCTATTCCAGTCAGCCACGGCGAAACTTCGACCACTCGGGACACTTACTCAAAGGCAGTTGGCGCGGCCTGGAGCCAGATGATGTTCATGAGGGAGATCATGGAGACGCCTAAACAGACGCCCTTGGCTCGGATGTGGCTGGGGAACAGCTCGTTGAGGTAACTGAATTGTGTACCTGTGGTTGCGCATGTCAGGGAGAAATTCAAATGCCTTGCAGGAAAGCTCGAGAACGTACCATCGAGACAGAAGCCGTAAAAGATCTGGAAGATGAAGAACATGGCCACAGCCGCGAGGAGGGCCGACTGATTGTTGGAAGGCACAAACTCGGCCACTAGCGCCGCTTCGATGATGAGGGTGACCATACAGCCCAGGACGCCGAAGGACATGTACCGATTCCGAGCGAACAGGTCAACGGTCGCCATGGCCATGATGTTGATTCCAAGAGTAAGAGTAAGCCATGCCGCGGGATAGAGGAGTTGTTTGACGGGGCTGAATCCAAGGTTCGCATAGAGTGTTGGTCCATAGTCTGGCGGTGGTCAGTCACTCCTCACCAAATGAAGCTTGAAAGGAAACTAACTGTTGATGACCAGCACGCCAGAGCATTGAATAATGGCCGTCGTACCAATCGCAAGCCAGCATCGCTTTCGGTAAGATGGCTTCCTGATCATGTGCATCCACGAATTGCCCAAAGTCTTGTCAATGGCGATCTGCTTCATGATCTGGAAGTACTCGGCATTGGCGAACTCATTGTCCGGATCCGTAGGGTCGGAGTGCAACTTGAACAGAACCTGCTTTGCTTCCTCGATACGGCCTTGCATGACAAGCCAGCGTGGCTATGGGCCCGTTAGCTGCGATCACCGAGACTGTGGACACGAAAAACGTACCGACTCTGGCACCCAGTAAAGGCCACAGAGAAGCAGGAGAGGCCAAGCGCATTGGAGAGCCAAAGGTGGGCGCCACGTGGCCGAGCCTCCATCCCAGAAGTAAAACCCAAAGCCGACCCAGCCTTGAACAGTGTAACCGAGGATAAGAAAGACGGCATGCACATCGACCAATGCTCCTCTCAAGTCAACAGGGACAACTTCAGACATCCAAATCTGTCCACAGTCAGCATAGAGCCACACGGCCAGGGGGTGGGAAGGGACAGACTGGTACGGCAGCGAGGATCATGAAAGCCGCAGCTCCAGCAAAGAATCGAAAGAGCAAGAACTCGGCGATATGCGTGCTCCCGGCTAAGAAGGCGCCCGAAACAACAGCAATGACGGCGGGCTGCAGACGCCACATGGTCAGCTTGGGCCACGGTACACCAGGGCTTTCTCAACACTGACCACCGCGATCGCCCATTTGCGACCCCATTTGTCTGCGACATATGGAAGCATCAGAGTCCCTAAAGTGCCGCCAGTCTGGAAGAGACCATTCATGGTGCTGATCAAGTCGGTCCCATTACTCCTGGTGGCGAGGTCGAAGTACGCGATGAAAGACGGCTGGCCTGTTTGTTGACACGTGGTCAGTCCTAGCGAGGAGGCGACGTAGCAGGACAATACGCACCTAGAGTGGTTCCAATAATTGAGGCGGTGTAGCCGTAGGTCATGGACCCCAGGCCGATAAAACACAGCAACAACACATTGTATGCGTTGATCTTTTGCTTCTTGACCCCTTCACGGTGTGGCATCTTGATGAACCCTGAGTAGCGAACGTTGGAGGGAATGCAGCGATCCCTTCCACGAGGCGGCTAAAGGTGCTCTTTAAAAGAATTTCCATAGCGCGACTTACCCGAGGTGTAGAAAGGCTGAGAGATTGGCGTGGGTATCCCCGGACAACCCGATTGCTCGATGCGGGGGAATTGAGGATCCCAGCCTCATTTGCCATGCCGGTCTTGGCCAAATTGTGGGGAGGGACGAGAGTTTCTGACTCGGTTTCCACGAGGCAGAAAGGTCAAGCACATGGCGAGTCGACCCAAATCTAGAACAATTGCGACGTCGGACCCTCCTGACTCGCTGCTCTTGGAGGGCACAATGCGCGTTGTTGGTGTAGAAATCGTTCCTGCCAGGTACAAAGAATGTGAGGGCGAGAAGGTGCAACGTCACCTTGTGGCCTTACAGTATCCTAATTCACAATGGCCGATCTTGGACTTCCGTCGTGGAAGGACCTGCCACGTGTAGAAGGGCTGCCTCATGGTTGCGCCTGGGGTTTGTTTGACAAAGACGGTGTCCGGGATGAAATTGGCACCTTGAATCTCCTTACGCCCGAAACGGTGGTTAAAGCCCGAGATGAGATACAGACGGGCAAAAGCGTCGTGCTGAAGTATGAGCTGCACCCTGGGTCCCAAAGCTGGCCGTTGATGGCAACCGGTTGACCCGCGCAGTTGGCCTATTGACCACGTCCACGAGCCAGGCTTCGGTCGCATCAAGCCCGCGATCAACATCACCGACTGGCGGGCAAAAGGATCCCCTTGGTATTCATATGATGATGAGATCAGTCTCAACACTCAATCCGGGAGCCAGTGGGACGGTCTAAGTATACTTATCCGACAAAGCGAGATACGGACCACCCGATCGCTGACATCTGCCTCCAGGACACTGGGGCCACAGCGGTACGGGCCTGTACTACAATCGCATACATCACGATGAGGTGCTGAAAACCGATCGTATTGGGATTGACCGTAAGTCATGTTTGAGCTCCTTTCTTCTGACCTGCGGTCTGACCATGGCCTCAGACTGGAGCAAACGCGGAGGCATCGTCGGGAGAGGCGTCCTCCTCGACTACGTCGCGTATGCAGCTCGACACAACATCCAGTACGACGCCATGACGCGGCACCGGATCACACTGGATGTTCTGAAGGACATTGCCAAAGAACAGAATGTGACTTTCCGTCCGGGAGACATTTTGCTCGTCAGGTCTGGGTGGATACGGTGGTACAACGAACACAGCGCGGAAGAGAGAGTCGCGAAGGTCAAGAATGGATCGGAATATGTGGGAGTGGACGGGTCAGAAGAAGTGGTAGAATGGCTCTGGAACAATCACTTTGCGGCTGTTGGTGGTGATGCCATTGGATTTGAGGCGTGGCCACCGCAATTGCCCTGGTGTAAGTCAATGGCTCCTCATTCTGTTGGCGAGATAGCCTTCTCTGACATGACTTCTCTTGCTCAGGTCTACACGACTATATCCTTGCTCTCTGGGGGATGCCTCTTGGGGAACTATGGGACTTGGAAGCCTTGGCGAAAGCGTGCGAGACGCACAAGAGATGGAGCTTTTTCATTACCAGTTCTCCTCTGAATACTCCAGGAGGGATTGCCAGTCCTCCAAACGCGATAGCGATATTTTAGGAACATTGACCTGTTACCCAACTTCCTCAATGCTGGCTCTCTCCAGTCCACGTCCTTGAGTGACGGGTTGGCTTGTGCAGCATCGGAATCCGTACCGATAGCTGTCGAACCTGATTCTGTGCGGGAATAAGCCTAGACTCATGATCAGGGCCGTGGCCGCACACATGCATGCTCAGAATATCCTCCACCATCTTAACACCCACGGAGTGGAGTAGCCACGGAGGTGGCGGGAGTCGACCCACCTTGTTTGAACTTGCAAAACTTGCTCACACAGTCCCGCTGAGGTGAGAACTGTTTTGCGCTCAGGGCGTTCTGACAGAAACCAAGCGAGAAAAGCAAACCTTTGCAGAATGCCGCTACTATGGCCACGCCACATCACAATCCCGAAGAGATGGCCCGGGTGTCCACCTACCCTACCCCAGGAGTTTTGACAGCATCACCCCATATCCTGTTTCTCGGGCTCCCACGTGGCTGCTAGGCTTGGCTTGGGTACTCCAGGAACCTCCCTCTGGAGGCGAAATGAGAGGCTAGGCCAGTCTAATGGCAAAGGCATACCCCGTCAGCGTGGAGCGAGTCAGACTCGCAGCAGACGGGAGTGGACGCCGAGACCCTTCGGTCCAGCTCTGCCGACCAGAAACCGAGGAACCAAAGTCCACGACCTTGCCCCTGGGTACTGCACTTCGCGGTCCACAACAACGACAACAATAACGACACCCTGGCATTACACGACTCCCTGTACATCAAGAACAGGTGCCACAATGTCGACGGTGACCACGCCCAAAAGACGCCTAGAACAGCTCACCGGGCAGATCGCCCAGCCCCCCATCATCGATGAAGGCACATACAAAGGAATGCCGCGCGTGGCTCGGCGGGCCGGCGATTCCGCAGCACAGTGAGTTGACTTGCGCAGAACGGAAGCCCGACACAAACATGTCCAGCATGGGAGTCCACGCACAGCATACAAGCATCCAGTCCCCTGAGACCATTGCAAACAAAGATGCATCATCGTGTCCAGTCCAGTCCAGTCCAGTTTCCCCCCTGTAACCATGCATCCCCCGTCATAGCCCTATCCATCCATGCAACCCACACACACACCAGTCCCAAGATCCTTGACGGATACGTCTATCTAACCCATTGGGCGATACCAGACGCGCCGTAGGCAAAGTCGTGATCATCACAGGCTGCAACTCGCCCCTGGGCATGGGCCGAGCCACGGCGCACCAATTCGCCCGGAACGGCGCCAGGGCAGTCTACATCTGCGACTACATCGACTCCCACCTGCACCTGCACGTCGAGGAGCTGAACGAACTGTACCCTACCGTACAGGTACACGCGCGGACATTCGACGCCGGCGACGAAGAAGGGGTCAAGGCCGTCGTGGCCCACGCCATGCAGACGTACGGTCGACTGGACGTTTTTTTCGCGAATGCCGCCAACTCGGGCACGTGGAAGGAGGTGTGGGATATGGGAGTTGACGAGTTTGAGAGGACGATTCGGACGAATTTGACTAGGTACGTACGCTGGAGTATTTCACTGTTTGAGACGTGGCGCTGCCACTGCCCTTGCGCCTGCTAACACATTTATTGCGTTCTAGCGTCTTCCTCGCAATCAAACACGCCGGCCCGGCCATGCAGGTGACGAGCCACGACAAACCGTACGCGAGCGGCTCGATCATCGCGACGTCCTCAACCGCCGGGCTGCGCTCCAATGGCGGCAGTACGGACTACAGCGCCGCCAAAGCAGGGGTGGTGAGCCTGGTCCAGACGGCGTGTTACCAGTACGCGGGTCGGAATATCAGATGCAATGCGATCGCGCCGGGCATGACGCATTCGGGGATGACGGAGCCGGTGTTTTACGGGCCAGCGCGAGAAAGGGGCACGCTGCATAAAGTCGGACAATTGTGTCCGTTGCGTCGCGGGGCGGTGGCGGACGAGATCGCGAGGGTTGCGCTATTCCTAGGCAGTGATGAGGCCAGCTATGTGAATGGTCAGGTATGGGCTGTGGATGGTGGGTTGAGCTCGGGCTTGCCTTATAAATTGGGCAGTATGGCGTGATAGAAGAACGTGGGGTCCGACGACGATGCAGCTCTTGTCAATTCTTTGTCTAGATCATACTAACCCATGCTCACCGATACGTCCGATCACAGCTTCTGTCGCGACGTGACCATACGCATTGCATCCCGCTTCGCCCATTCCTTCATGACCTTCCTCTGAATCTTGCCACTGGCCAGCCGAGGTACCTCTGGCACAAACGCAACGCCTCCAACTAGCCGCTTGTGCTTGGCTACTCGAGCATTCAACCATTCTTGGACCTCTGTCTCTGTGACTTTACCTCGTGCCTCTTCCTTCAGCGCCACGTATGCTCGAGGCCATTCATTGTCTTCCAAGGTGATCCCGACGACCCCAGCGTCGGCGATATCAGGATGCTCTATGAGTGAGGCTTCCACTTCCGCAGGCGACACTTGCAGCGCTTGGACCTTGATGAGTTCCTGGCAAAGATTCACTTGATTAGCTTGTGCTACGCTTGTGGCGTTGGACATCTCGTGCGGCATACCTTTTTTCTGTCGACGATCGATAACCATCCTTCGCGGCTCATCATGGCCACGTCGCCGGTCTTCAACCAGCGCTCGACAGGGTCAAACGACTCGAGCGTGGCTTGTTGGTTTCTCCAGTAGCCCAGACAGATCTGTGGGCCGCGGACGTAAAGTTCGCCAGGCTCCTCGACGCTTGCCTCCTTGCCGTCCTCGGTAATCATCTTCACCTCCGTGTTAGGCATGACCACTCCCACGGACCCGGTTCGGTGCTTCTCATAGTACGGCACTCCGGTTGCTGCGCACGTTGTCTCAGTCATGCCCCAACCTTGCGTGATGCGCACGTTGAATTTCCGCGACACGCTGGCCTCGAGCTCTTTCGAGAGGGGTGCAGCTCCACAAAGAATCTCCTTGACGCTGCTGAGATCGTAGTCGGCGGTCTCGGGTCGCTTGTTCAACATGATCAGAATTGGTGGGACGGTTTGGAGCCGTGTGATCTTGTGGTCCTGGATAATGCGAAGGTATTCGACGAAGTCGAACTTGCCGATCACGAGCATAGGAATGTGGTTAACAGTTGCCATGAGGATGGCGTAACACTGTCCATAGGCATGATACAGGGGCAGGAACCCGGCCCACTTTTCTGAAGGGTCAAAGTCATACAACGATTTAATCTGTTTGACGTTCGAGATGACATTGAAATGCGATACGCACACGCCTTTGGGTAACCCGGTGGTTCTAGGTTTTTGTCAGTCTCGTGTGCAGAAAATGACAAAATCAAGAAGCATACCCGGACGAGAAGTTGATGGCTGCGATCGTAGTCTGTGATTCCTCCGGACTGAGCTTCTTCCATTGCCACGTCTCACCCTGCTCGGGCGTTCCAAGAATGTCGTGCCAGTCCGGGAGTCCCTCCAATGCACCTGTCCTCCGGTCCGAGAAGACGTATAATCGCAGACCTGGAACGGCTGATTTGGCGGCAGCGGCCTTTGCAGTCGAGATCAGATTCGGGTGCACAAGCAGGATCTTGGGTTGTAGAGTCGTAATCTGATATTGCAATTCTGCATGAGGACGTCATCAGTCGTCAGTACCAGTACATCCTTCGCAGCTAACGCTGAGGGCTTTGTATACCCACCAGTCTCGGTAAAGGCTGGATTGGCTCCAGAGAAAGCAGCACCAGCACCCACGATCCCAAGGTACGATACCGGGACCATGATATGGTTGGGGGTGAAGAGCAAGCATCTATCCCCTGGCTGGACCCCTAAGCGTTGAAGCCCGAAACCGAGTCTCCTGGCCAGAGCCAAGGCACTCTTGGGGGACTGCCAGTGCGACGGGTCTCTGGCATCTATCCATAGCGGCTTGTCGGAGATACCTTGATCCGAAGGGAAGAGGAAGTCTAGAATACTGCATTTCTGCAAGGGTAAAGACGCGAGCTTTGAAACGAACGGCATTTTCGGCGCAATTTGAGACAGGGAATGAGTAAGTCGAACGCGTCGTTCAATACTCGCGGCTTGTAATGTCGCTCGCTTGATATGGAGGCTGCTTCAGTGGCGCCGAGCAGACATGATTGGCTGTGCATAAGGAGACTAGCCAAGAAGCACGACGTCGCAGGAGTCGACGTCGCGTTTTGTTTTGGCCGAGGTCAATCTCCACAACTGACTTGGTCGACACAGGTCCACGTTCTTGGGTCCACACCTAAGTAGTGTTGCTGTAGGCTGAACCCGGTCCATGCTTCAACCCGAGACCAACAGGTGGTTTCCTTGGTGGTGACTGTCATCAGTGCAAAACACCAACTGAGAAAGAACACCATGGGTGCCATTCCAGACCACCCGTCTTTACATCGGATCCCTCCAGGGTACAGGACAAAGCTGAGCTCGAAAGCAATTGAGATCATTGCACGAGTCCATGACTGGGTCGAGAATGAATGCATTCCAGCCGACCACATTGTCAAGGCTCAGCTGGAGAAGAACCGCTGGGCTATGCCGCCGTATATCAAGGAGTTGAGGAAGAAGGCCAAAGCAGCAGGCTTGTTCAACCTCTTCCTACCCAATCACTTCAAAGAAAGCCCTGGCCTTACGATCCTCGAGTACTCGTGTTGCTGCGAGCTTCTCGGACGAGTATATTGGGCTCCCATGGTACGTCGGAGCACACCAGGCGCACCCACACGTTTACTAAGGACAGTGTAGACGCTCAACTGCCACGCACCCGAGACTGGGAACATTGAGCTTTTGGCCAAGTATTGCACCGAGGAGCAGAAGAAGAAATGGATGCAGCCGCTTCTCGAGGGAGAGTGGTCTTCGGCGTATTCCATGACAGAACCGGATGTGGCAGCTTCGGATGCGACAAACATTGCGTGCAGGATCAGACGTGAGGGGAATGAATATGTAATCAACGGCCGGAAACTGTACGGAAACTGGATGGCGAATGAGGACGTAAAGTTCTATATCCTTATGGGCTGCTCTGACCCGGACAATCCAGATCCGTGGCGGCGGCATTCGACTGTGATCGTGCCCCGGGATACTCCAGGATTGAAGATGGTGCGACACATGACAATCATGGGCTACGACTGTGCTCCAGAAGGCCACGGCGAGTATCTGTATGAGAATGTGAGAATCCCTGTCGAGAACATCATCCTGGGAGAAGGGAGAGCCTTTGAGATCGCGCAGGGTCGGTTGGGTCCCGGCAGGATACACCACTGGTGAGTTCGTTGCATGCACTCCCCGCCCACGACTGAGTTATCGTCACAGCATGAGACTGCTTGGACAAGCCGAGCGCGCATATGAGCATGCCTTGATCAGAGCGACAGATGTGAGGAAGAAGCCTCGGGGCAAATTGATCGGTGAATTCGACAGCAACATCGAACGACTTGCCACCATGCGGATGGAGATAGATGCACTCCGACTGGTTGTCTTGAATGCCGCAGAAACCATGGACCTCCTGGGTAATGTCGCGGGGAGATATGCCATCGCGCAGTCCAAGATCATGGTGCCTTTGGGGGTGACCAAGATCATCGATGAATGCATGCAAATGTTTGGTGGCCAAGGGCTCACGCAGCACACCTTCCTCCCAGAAGCTGTAAGGTTTCCTTGTTTTGCAGCTTGTCTCGCCACCCCGAGCTAATCAGAATCTGTAGTGGACTTATGCCAGGTTTGTGCGAATCGCAGACGGGCCGGACGCCGCGCACAGGCATCAAGTCGGTCGAGATCAGTTGAAGACGGCCGCCCAAGTCAGGATGAAGCATCTTGGGTACAAGAAGCGATATCACCAGCTTGCCAAGGAATGGGGAGTGCCGGCGACCGAACGGTTCGAGTATGTTGAGCGACTGGAGAAGTTGTAGAACATGGGGGGCATAGAGTAGCACCTGGTAGCCTTGAAGAGGTCCCAGAGCAATTTGGAGGGCATTGAGGCATTGCTGGGAAATTATGTCGAGCCAAATGTTCAAGCTGTTACTCCCGCGACTTTCTGACTTGAAATTGAACGCGTCAGGACGCGTCTACCGTGGTCTCGCTCGGTACAGTACCTGCCCCTAGTATGGCCCCTAACACTGCCCGTGACTGCCTAGCTCCTGCCGCAGCTAGAGGCTTCCCCACTGCGACTGCCCCGGGGCGAGTACTCCGTCCCACAGTATGCATTCTCCGAGGCTCGGCAATCGCCCCCGCATCCTGTCCCAGATCCTCTCCAGACAATAGTGACCAAGACTGGATTGACACCTAGGATACCACTTAGTTATTCAGAAAATATATGGACAGATGTCATCCCGTCACTCATGACCATGGCGACCGTGACAACGCCCATCCATCTGCAGACGTCCAGCCACCGCCCAAGGCAAATCAGCGACAAGAGACGTGACAAGAAACGCGTGGCCGATCGACTATGCCAACGCCAGGCACGAGCCCGCACAAAGAACAAGATCGCCGAGCTGGAAGCATTAGTGGCGCACCTGACGAGCCAGTCCGGCAATGAAATCTACAAAGAGCTGAAGGACGAATTGGAAAAGTCTCGCGCGGAAAGCTCATCTCTCAGGCGCAAACTCGCAACCATCGCATCGATAGCTCGAATCGGCGACGAAGGCCCAGTAAAGGCAGCGTATCATACTCCTCGCAACGGTAGGTGTACTGGTCAGCTGCATTGCTGAGATTGGATACTCCTACTGACTGATACTCACGTGGCAGATGATGCCGATATTTCCCTCGAGCAAGACATTTCTATTTCCGCTGCCGATGATCTGGAAGTCCACGATGAATCTGCTGCTCACCAAGGTGGAAATGCATGTGAAATCCATGGGAATTTTGACACCAACTTCCCTGGCGCTGAGGGCTCGACTTTCAACTTCTTGGGCGGCATATTGGACGTGGACACGCTCAATCAGACCGGATTTGCTGCATCATTCCCATCACCATTGACGCCTCAAGCCGACACGTTCGGGAGCGCATCCAGCTTTGCCCCGCCAGCGACAACTTCAATCGACCTTTCCTTCCCCGAGAGTCGGTCGTCCTGCTCGTGCGTTCCTCGTACTGAATCCAATATGTGGTCGTCGATGAGCCAGACGTTGATGGACTGGAAGGACCAGCAGCGGCCCGGGCTGAAACCGGGCGAGAACCACGACGACATCGCCGTTCGAGCCGTAACGGAAGGTTGGGACGCCCCGTCTCTAGGCACATTGAGCGTCCCATGGCGCATCTTGTCGCAAGTCGATCGGAAAGTATGGGCCAACTGTCGCCCCGTAGATCGGTTGGCCGTTCTCAGCATCATGAATATGCTCCTACAGGTACGTGCAGGGCCATGGGATCTCTCTTGACATACAATTTCTGACTCCGATTCGGTGCAGTGCCATCTCAACCCGTCGGAAGAAAACCTATCAGGCCTACCTGCTTGGTACCGACCAAGGCACGGCTCCCTCCCATGCTCCTTCTCCCATACTTCTTGTTCCGCTTGTGGCTCCAATAATGCTGACCGGCGTTACACAGACCGTCTCAAATGGCCCAGAAACACGCCTATGCCATTGACTTCTTCGTGTGGTATGTGTCGCGCCATCCAAATGCTGACAGCTTCTGGGACAAATGTCTGATGTGGTTCGTCTCTGCGCAGGCCCGGCATCCGCGAAAGATTCATCTACCATCAGCACAAGTACTGTTCCGACAAGTTCTGGTCTCTCCTCGCCCAGCATTTCCGCTTCGTATGGCCCTACGACCTCCGCGATTGTTATGCACATAACCGATCGACCGGCCGATATCAGCTGTCTGACCTGTTCCGTCGTCATCTCAACGATCTCTCGTCCTTCACCTTCTGTCACGACATGTTCAACAGCTTCCCTGAGTTCGAATGCGATATACCGAAATACATGACGATTCCACGGAGCCTGGAATGTGATCCCCATGTTGAAATCGGCCGTGGTCCGGAAACACCATCTTTGGTTGGCACACGAGCCCAGTGGCCGTATTTCATACCAGGCGAAGTAGAACCTGACGATATGGCGGAAGGCAGCGGCCATACGATCGTGCCGTGGGCCCCGCAGCTCCAAGTGCCGAGTCGTCACTTCAGCTACTGAAATTGAAACATCAGAAGACGACCACTTCCCGAAAGTGAGCAGCAAGGCGTAAGAGGCGGCAATTGTGGAAGCGTGCCGTATATGTACGCAATGTATAACGGCATAACCGAGAACCATACGACTTGCTTCTGGACAAGGGCGCGAGGGTGCAGGTGGCGCATCGGTGAATGCACACGCGGCTTCTTGGGATGGCGCCGATAACAGTGAGCCAGGGAATGCCTCCTCATTATGAGGTAGAAGGGTTCAAAGTGATCGGTGCACCGAAGTCTCTCCCAGCCGAGCGTGCACTGACCTCGTTCTCTCCTCACGTATTCATCACCAGTAAGCTTTATCCCGAACTCTACAAGCCGGCCACCGAACATGTCGCTTTTTGAGCTTTCTCACCCATCCTCACCACTGCTGGATCCCACAGAAGTCTTCCCGATTTCACTATTCCACTATATCATCAGAACCACTCTCAGCCACCCTCTTTCGACAACATCCCATCGTTAGCCATTATCAAGACGCACCTCGAACCAGGTGACCACTACTCCAAAGTGCAATTATCCGGACCTGCCCAAAACCAGATTGACCGTCTGCCGCGGTACCACACAAGAAGCCATGATGGGACTTCTTACTCGCCTGAAGCACATTCTCATACCGCGCCAGCCACTATCATCTGCATCATCCTACACACCAGCTTTCGAAGATCTCTCACCGGCTGTCGACCCAGAGATGGTGGCGCTTCCAGGTCTAGCAAGGCTTCCGCCGGAACTGCTTCTCCAGATCATACAGTATCTAGCCGTCGAGTCAGCTACCGCAGTCGCCCTGATATCGAAATATCACTACGAGGCTTTAAAACCGTGGGCTCTTCCTGGTCTCAGTGACGCGGCTGGCAAGAAGCGCTTTCTTCATCTCCTTGAGGTGGACCTGCCAGAGTATATCGCTTGCCCCTGCTGCGATGTACTCTATCGATGGAAGGCGTGTGCGCAACAGTATTGATGTCCTCGACGATATGACCGTGGATTGTCGGCCGAACACACAATCGGGGAAGAGTACTGCCCTCAGCGTCATCCCTCCGACCTACCCCTCGGGACTGTCGCTGCCTTTCTGAGGGGATACGGGCGAGGCCCAGCCTACGGCCCACAACTTGAGGACCTTCGTCATAAATGCGATGCCGCAGACCCACTGCAGTGCCCGCGCCGCACCCCGGATTTGTCGAGGGAGACGGCGGCACGGGTTGTCAGTGGCAAACTATTCCTTCGAACATCCTACAGTCTGCAAATATGCTCGCCTTTGCAACAATCTTTGGTGGCAGCCCAGCTCGACCAGCTGAGATCCATCGGCTGCAGCCATTCCGCTAGCAGTCTTCCCGCTCTCGTCATGAACGCCATCGGCCACTACCACCACTTCGGCACCATCTCCACAGCCATGGCACCACGATGTTTCGATTATATCAATTGCGCGGAATGTGCGACCAATCTGCGTGTTGCAGTCGTATCTTCAGATAGAAAAAGTGATCAGACAGTAGCGCAAATAACAACGTGGCAATGCTTCGGAGGGCGTGACCTCGATCAATAAGACCGTGAAGTCCAAATGATGTTCGGCTTCAGTTTTGCTCGCAAGCGCGAAGACCCAAACTATCGCCTTGCGACCCCAAGCCGGAATCTGGAGATCACGTACAATGACGGCCTCGGTGATGGTGGGGGTGGCAGTGGCAGTCTTGTTACCAACGCGCCGCAACGATACCAACAACAACAACAACAGCGGCACGGATGGCTGCGTTGGTGGGATCGTAGCTATGCGTGGTATAGGGGCGCTCCGCATGTTTGCAGCTACATTGGTCCTGAGTGAAAGGATAGCTCTTCCATGGACGAGAAGGCATTCCGCGAAGCTCGGTGCCCAGGTTAACAGTTTTGAGTCGTGGCCGCGCAATCCTGATCCCGGCTTGGCAGTTTGTGAGGGTGTGCCCTGAGCATCGCAGCTCAAGGCGTAAGAGCTATGCAGGACCCATGATTTGGATCCAGGGTGCCAGGTTTGCATGTTTGACACACAGTTTGAGGCGGGTAATCTCCTGTAGTAAGGTATACCCCCCTCGCTCGGTCACTATGGCCAGGGCACTCTCAGGGTCACTTTTCTGGCGGCGTTGCTGCGTTTGAAGGACCGACCCCTGCCCGTTCGAGAGGGCCGACTTCGGTGCTATACTCCCGTGCGCGAACTACTGTTGCTAGAGCACTCTCAGGGTCGCATTTCTGGCTGCGATGATGGCTTGCAAGATGGACCTTTCCCTCGTAGTCAGGACGTGCGCTCTGCCCGAGTGATGCTTTAGGAGATATCTGTGATAATCACGGGTGACTATTATCGGTACTGTAGCTGTAGACATCCAGGCCCCTGATGCCGCCTTTGTAACAGGCCTAGCATGGTATAGCAGTTCATCTCTCTGACCACATCAACCCCCCGGCTATTGCTCAATCACGTTTCATGTCAACAACCCACGTTCATCATTCCGTCACTACAATGCCTGTAACCACCGCAGCCTATTCCTTTGGCCTGGCAGTCTCGATGTGCATCTCAACATCCTCCTTCTCGCCCATGGCCGTTGCCGTGCTCGGGTCGACATGCGCAACTTCATCTCCAAACACCTGGCCGATCTCTTCCAAGCTCATCTTCTTGGTCTAGAGAGATATCGATCAGTCTCTGCCCAAGGACAACAAGGATGAGTTTACTGTATCACTTACCTCTGGGAAATAGAAATACATGAAGATGACCATGACGGTGGTGACGGAGATGAAGACCAAGTAATATCGCCATCCAATGTTGGCGAAGCCGGCAGGGGCACTAGGGACAGTCAGCCTAAATTGTGCGCGAGACTGGAAAGCAGGGAGTCAAACAACGTACCCTTGCAAGATAGCCAACGAGGAGAGGAACAAGCCTGAGATAGAAATAGACAGGCCCTTCGCCCGGACTGGAGTGGGGAAGATTTCGGACGCGTAGATATATGTGGTGGCGTCGCTGGGTCATTGTTAGCGGGTGGCAGAAGGCATAGAATGAAAGGGACGAGGGCTTGGACTGAGTGGCTGGAACGTACATGAAGCTCGCGTAGAAGCCCACGAACAAGAAGAGGAAGAACACGGCGGCATTCGTGGCCGCTCGATTTGGGCCCTTCTCGAGTTGGGAAAGTGTGATGGCCTCGCCGACAAGGCATAGGACGCAGCCAATGATCCCAATTACTGTCCAGCGTCAGTGAACGTGAGCGAAAAATGAGGGTGGGTGTTGGGCATGATGGCTTACGCAGCATCCTCACTCGGCCCATCTTGTCGACGACCAGGCCGTTGAACCAGTTGCCAAAGGGTGAAAAGGTGATCCAACCACAACTCAGAAGGAGCTGTTCAAGAGTGTTGAAGCCGAGACTCTTGTACAGTTGGGAACCGTAGTCTAGGTCACTGGTTAGAGGAGGCAAAATACGGAGAGCGAACCGGCATACTGTAGATGATCTGAGTGCCCGTGACCTGAGGAGCGACCATGGTAACGAAACCGACAATCAGTCTCTTTCGGTAATGTGGCAGGCGGAAAAGATCCCAAAAGGACAATTGCTGTTGTTTCTCGAAAATGATCTGTTCGCGCAGAATGGCAAAGTCGGCACGGAGAGCTGCTTCGTCGTTCAAGAAGGCGTCAGAGGACTCGGCACGGACATGTTTGAAGGAGGCGAAAGCCTCTTCATATCGATCATGGTCGAGGACTGTATTCGATTGGTCAGCATAGGTGCCACTGCAATTGTGAGCTGAGAGACATACGCCATCTGGGCGTTTCTGGCAAGAAGAGAACTCCCGCTGAAAGCACTGCGGGCCAAACCGCCTGAATGGCGAGAGGGAGTCTCCATTGCGCGCCGCCAGCGTCGACGAAGTAGAATCCGAGCCCAACCCAGCTGGCGGCCGAGTAGCCCACGCACAGCATCACGCCATGCATAGCGACAAGGAAGCCTCGAATCTTAGGAGGAGCAATCTCGCTCTGGTAAAGAGGCACAAGTGTCACCAGAGCACCTGCCAAAGGGTTAGTGTCGCTTCAGGGAGATGGCTATGTCGTTTCTGAGCCAAATGGTCAACTTACCGATGCCGACACCCGTGAGGAATCGTGAAAAGATGTACATTCCAATGTTCACGCTGCCGGCTTGGAGGGCCCCACCAATGGTGGTGACTATGCCTGCGTAAAAGAGTGCCTTGCGGCGACCCAGCCAGTCGGCTGATTTTAAGCATGACAATGTGCCGAAGAAGCCACCAGTCTGGAAAAGGCCGAAGATGGAGCCGATCAGATCGGTAGCATTGTGCCGGGTGTCGAGTTCGAAGTAGGCAATGAAGGACGGCTGTGCGAGGGTCGTGCTAATGATCGAGGCGCAATAGCCGTATGTCGTGCTCCCCAGGGCCACGAAGATAACGATCTGTTGAGAAAAGTTAGAACGCGGCTTGCAAACGCGAGCTTTGGCGTGATGGCCTTACTAGGAGACGCAGAGTTGAGGCGGAAAGAGCCATTTTGTTTCAGGATCTCTCAACCACGAAGGACTTGGCTATACAGAAGGAGCGATCGCGGTGAAGGAGATCAGGATTCGAAAGCATACAGTTATATAACTGCATGAGACTGGTAAGCTCCGATATCTCAGATGTCTGGATCCCAGAGTGGATCCGGGGAAGGGAAAGGGGAGTATGCATAGTAGCTAGACGGGCTCCCTTGCATCCAATTGATATCTTCAGCCTCGCCAAAGCAATACGGGAAAGAATGAAACTTTCTCTTACCAAGGTTGGGGGCAGGTTGGGGATGCTCGGAGAAAGCTGAGCATCGCTCTTGAGTATTGAGTGGTTTCTAGCTGGTGAGACTGGGGTCAGTGTGTCCTGACTCGTATGAGCAACAAGAGCACCATGGTGACCCTGTTAGAGACACCAACAGGACGCCGTGGGGAAGCCGTTAGAGATGCGCCATTCTTGGAGAAGGAGTCTCGGGCAGGCTACCTCAAGGTAGCGAAGGCGGCCAGGCGTGCCAGACAAGAAAAGTGGCGGAACTCACGGGACGTGGTCGCATGGAGCTAGAGATGTATTCAGATGCAGCGAAAGACTTAGCCCGAGCAAAGTCGCGTACCGACCCATCACCCTGTCAAATCAGCCAATGCCAAGGCTGCGTACCGCCTTCCCAGGGTACTGGATGTACTAGTAGCTCCGCACAGACATCGAGAGACCACGAGGCTTGACGGACGAGGATGCAGGAAGGCCCATGTAGACGAGCGGGCATGCTTCTCGAGAGTCCGGGACAGGTCTGGCTCCTCCTTGGGTGCCACCCAGCAGCAAGGACCGGATGCCATTGGCATTGTTTGGGGAGGGCGTCAGAGGGTTGCGAAGAGGATCATGTTTGCCCAGAGGAATTGACGGGGTTGAGCGGGGACCCCACAGCAAGTGCCAAGAACAAGCTTTGACCCAACAGCTGAAATATTAAGTTACCGGTGGACATGACCAATGGTGCCGGTGGACGACTTCATCAATCACTCAACCACATGTGTTAGCCGATCAAGCATCGTCAGCCACTTCTGATTGCGCTCTTCCCCAGACACCACAGTACTCCGCATGAACTGTCCGTTTCTTTGTTATGGGATCGGTCAGTCACTTGGATTCATGCATTGGTATGCTTAACTCCGCACCCTGCAGGGTCTTGCCGTCGATGCTTTAAGCGAATTTTGGCTTCGACCGACTCGGGATGAAGGCATGAGTGGGTCGCGTCCAAAATCTTGGTGTTACTCCATACCCCGTACGGAGTACGGCGTACCTTAATCTACAGTGGTACGTTCCAGGACTCGTTGCGGGTCCAAGGCCAGCACGTGCAATAGCTGTACTGTGCCTACTCCCCTGCTTCCCCAATATTTCCTCCGAGATTGTACGGACGGAGGACGGAGTACAGTGCGCGATATATAGGTTGCGATGGCGATACTTCAATATTGTATGCAATACGGGACAATTCTCCATTTTGGTACACAGTGAACGACACATAGAGGCAGCATCCGCAATACCGGACTCACAATGTCTTTTCCAGTCTCTGGCAGAAATGCCATCGTCACAGGTGGCGCGTCAGGTACGCTCAAGTCCCAGGGATTTTGTGATTTTGCAAGCAATCTCAGAGGTCAAGCTAACTCGAGTTTGTGCATGGACAGGTATAAACCTTGCTTTTGTGAAACTGCTTGCAAGCAAAGGCGCCAACGTTATCGTGGGAGATATTCAAGAGTCCGCTGCATTCGAGGAATTCCAGAAAGAACCACGAGAGACCAAGGTTTTGTTCCAGAATACCGATGTGTCGAAATGGAGTGACCTGGAAGCCCTATTCGCACGTGCGAAGTCAGAATTGGGACCGATAGACATAGTATGCAACGGGGCTGGCGTATTCGAACCTGTATGTCTTGTCTCACCATTCCTGTCCGTTCTGTCAAGTCGTTGCTGACTGCGGTCTTCCGTTCCAAGTCATGGTCCAATTTCTGGAACGACACAGAAACCGAAAGCTACAAGTCATTGGACATCAACCTCACCGCGCTCATCAAAGGAACGCGCTTAGCCATCCGAGACCAAATCACAAGATCGAAGGGTCGCAAAGCGGGTGGCACAGTGGGAGTGATCCTCAACATCTCCTCCCTGGCCGCACAACGCATGCTCTTCAACCAACCAATCTACAGCGCCGCAAAGGCTGGAGTGTCGGCCATCGTAAGGTCTCTGGCTCCTCTACACCCAGAGTTCGGCATCAAAGTCGTCGCCGTCGCGCCGGGGATGGTATATACGCCGCTGTGGTCGAACAATCCCGACAAGCTGAAGGCTGCCCATGAGAAGGACATCTGGATCACCCCGGAGGAGCAGGCAGAGGTCATGCTAGAGGTGGTTGAGAATGGCGAATACGAAGGTGGCACGGTTCTGGAAACGCTCAAGGGGCGAACTAGGAGGGTATACATTGACAGCCCAATGCCTGAAGGTCCCGGATCCACCATGTCCAACATCGATCTGATTACCGAAGACACGATTGCGCTATTGGAGGAAGAGAGGAAGGGTGGTAAAGCGACAAACGGCGTGTAGCGCCCAATAGCTTAAGCGAAATGAGACTCAATGATCACCACAAGCTCTATCCGCTTCTCCAAACGACGTCCGCTTGGCCATGACGCTGCGATTGAGACTGGATGTCACGTTCCCCTAGAACAAACGCATGACGGCATGGTCGAGTAGTATGTCTGATACGGTCCATGCCTTTGGGGTATGCAGACGCTACAGTATGGCTGATCTGCTGCACTTGCGTGCCTTAGCGACCACGTGGAGCATGTGATATCGGTAAGTACAGTAGCTTCGAGGACGAACTGACCCTTGCCGAACAAACAGTCCAGGAAGAGGCTTCGCAGAAGGTTGATCCGTGTACGTCGGACCCTTGAGAGGCCCAAAGAGCGCCATGAGCGCGTAACGAATACCCCAATACTCGCTGGTCGTGAAGTGGTCAAACCGCCCCCAACGGACAAGTGGAAGAAGTTCGCGACTTCCCACCCGAGGTAAACCAATCAGAGTGATTTTCAGACCTGTTCTTGTCATTGGAGTTTAGCGTTCCAAAGTCACTACCACAGAGCTTCTCCAATGCTCCAGCTCCATCAACACCAGTGTCCCTTTCATGTGTCCCAGAGACACGGCACGCTCAACACGAAGAGTACGGGGAAGAGGTTGTCAGGTGCCTCTCGATAGACGTGCAGGCGAAGCGAGATTCCTGCTTAGCTCGGAGCTTGCCATGCGGAGAGCGGGGATAAGGTTTGGTCTATCCTATGAGATGGCGACTGGGAACGGACTAGGTCCAAGTTACGGTCCCAAGAAAACCGAGATCTAGATCTCAGGCTGGTTGGCGCGTGTATGACTACCTACAAACCAACGAGTCTGGCTAGTTGCAATGACCAGGGCAGATGAAGCCACAAGGAGTCGCGAGCTTTCCTCCTTGTCATGCTCATACGAGTATGGATCGTGGAATGAGGCTAGACGATTCGTGGGGTAGGCGCTATGGGCGGAAATGAGAGATCTGCCACAACTTTCCTCCGATGATGCAGACGGCCAGAGTGCTCTACCACTGGTAGGTGAAAGGATGGCCACCACGAGAGCCCGAGAGCAAGCGATAATAGAGGCCGTGCGAAGGATCGTCCAAGTCCGAAACGTCGACGGAGCGCAAGCAAGGTTGCTTGAAAATCAGGAACTGCAGCGCAGCTGCAGCTGCTGGCATCTTCCCCTTCACTTCATGAGCTTGTCGCCCTGTCCGTGGTGGTGTACTTTTGTATGCTATGATTGTAGTCTCTACCATAGATGGAGAAGTCAGAAGCAAGACTGGGGATAAAGGTCCAAGGGAATTCTGTGCGCAACAAGGCGAACCTTGGGACTCCGCTCAAGGATTCGCTGGTCACTGAAAGGTTCTTGAGACCTCTGGGGGCTAGTTAGGAACCACCCCAACGGTAGAGGGACGACACGGTATTCTAAGTGATGCCAGAGAAACAGAATTGTTGAGACACTTCGTTCCTTTGTTGAACAGAGGCTGTAGGCAACCAGCGACATTTTTACAGGAAATATTCAGAGGCTTCTGAAGAGAAGACTATACAGCTTGTCGGAGCAGAATTCCGATGAAGTAGCAGCATCAAGCGCCGTCAACCGACGCCACGGTGGGTAAGAAGAGTATGGAACGATGAGAACTGGAGTGACGAGCTCAGAAGGTTGGACTGACCCTGACACGCCTGACTGACGCGTCTCGCGTGTGGAAGTGGTAGTCAATGGTGAGAGCCTGGAGCTTTCCCCGCGCTGGCAAGGCTTGCAGGCAAGGCTGAAACAGCGCTGTGAGGGGTTGTCTCGGATAGGAACCCCGGCGAAATAAAAGTCCGCTACGCTTCCCGAGCCGACCAGTGTAACCGAAAGAGAACGGCAGTGATGATAATGGCACGCAAACCCTCTATCCGCCAGAGCTGCGTGAGCCTCCAATTCCAAAGTAACCTCCCCGTGTAGCACCCCTGATCAGCCTCCTGGCCTGTCCCTACCCAGGATAAGACGAGTACGTGGCCCTGGAGACAAAGCAGGTACGGAGTACTGTCATCCGTCCGGAGCCGAGCGGGCCCAAACTCGAGAGGAAAATCAGAAGCATACGTGGAACGGACCAACGACACTCGAGTAAGCTCGTGTATATGGCACTGCTCACCAAGCTTCGTCTTGAGTGACCATGTCTGAAACTTACGACTTCCTGGTCGGCACGTTCAACACTCCTCAGTTATACACCCTGCGCTTCACGCCGCCTTCATCATCAGCTCCGGACTCCGGTTCCCTCAAGATCCTCCATCGTGCTTCTGCCGTGGGTTCTCACTCCTGGCTTCATCTGAACCCGCCGAAGCCTAACAGCAGACGGAACCTCTATGCCACGGCATGGACGGAACCTCCCTCCGTGGTAGCATATGCAGTCAACTCCCCAACCGACATCCAACTCCTCGGGAGCGCGTTAACGAGATCGCGCAGTGGCTACGTCACAGCCAGTGATATAGCGCTATATTCGGCCGGCGGAGCGAGCGGAGAAGTATTCAGCCTGAACCCAGAGACCGGAAACATCGTCCCTCCGTGTGCCGCGAATGGAACGACAGCAACTCAGTCATCGCCGCAAGTTCGGCCTCTCCAGCTCCTCTCCTTCCTCGACGACAATGCTCAGCGCGATGATGGCAGCGTGATGGATTTCGGCGGTCTCCGTCACGGCGCCCACTCCGCAGATCTTTCACTCGATGGCAAAGCAGTATACATTGCGGATATAGGACGGAATTGTATTTGGACGTATTCCGTCGATCCGAAAACTGGGGCGTTGACACTTGGGGAGAAGCACATCTCACCGAGACCGACTGACGGACCGAGACACGTCTGGCCGCACCCGAGCGGGCAGTTCGTGTATTGCTTGCAAGAGCATACAAGCATAGTTGATGTCTTTTCTACGAGCAACGGAGGGGTGAAGCTGAAGCACGAGCAGGGCGTGCGGATCATCCCGGCAGAGGAGAAAGAAGGAGACTACTGGGCGGATGAAGTGCGGACGAGTCTGTCGCACGGAGACCAGCCGAAGTATTTGTACGCCAGTACGCGAGGCTTGAAGAACGGGAAGAATGGGTATGTGGCGGTGTATAAGTTGACCTGCGAGGGACGAATCGATACCTCAGTGACTCCGCACCATTCATACGCCAAAGGCGCCAGCAGCAGGTCCGAATCGAGCTTGTACGCCGGCCTGTTGTATATGTGGGAGTCACCGACAAGTGGGGGTTGGGCAAATGCTGTCCAACCTGGTCCGACTGTTGATGGAATAGAGTACCTCGCGCTGACGGATAGTGAGCAGGGCTTTGTATTCGTGATGAGCTGGGATGGGAAGGAGATGAAAGAGGTAGCAAGAACAAAACTGGACGACGATGCAGGCACGGCGACAGCGGTCTGGCTATGAAGAAGCCAACAGCCAGCGGACAGCAGCTAAGGTAGATGATTATGCTGTAAAGATTGATTCTGCGGCGAATGACAAGCTAGGCTTTTGTCGGAACATAGTCTTGCTTGTACTTTACTATACTACTAAACGGACCCCTACCGAAGTCAAACTATAGCTTGATCATCGGACCGTCTCACGGTTAGGACCTGTGGCGTGAGGAGCACATGACCATTCATTCGTAGTGGTGACATTGGTTGATTTCGACCGTGCTGCTTCATTGGGGTATGTATCATCGTACTAACAATTCTGTCATCCAGGACTCGGTGCGTATCAGATTTAATTCACGAGCGAATATGAGCCTGGTACATTAGAGGTCGGTGTGACCCCTTTGTGATCAATCAACGGTCAGTTTAAATGTGAAGCACGCAACGGTAAGCTGAAGGCAGTAGAAGTGGAAGGTCAACCGAGACGCGCTCCCTTGCGCGGATATTCAAGGGCTTGTCGTCCCATTAGCAGATGCGACATGGGACAGCAAAGTGAATCTTTCATTCATGGATCACAAGACACGATATCCTTATGCTGCGCTAGTTCGAGTGCAAGTCGACGCGATGTTCAAAGACACGATGCTCTCGCGATAGCAAGCATTGCAAACATTGCGATGAGTTGACGACAGATCCTTTCTGAACCGGGATTTGATCGTGAACATTCCGGATTCCCCTCTTGCTCAAGACTACTGCGCAATGCATCCTGCAAGTATGTCTCGCTCACCTTCTCCGCCTCCCAAGACTACCATCGACCGCCAAACCACCACGCCTTTCCTGCTGAATTTCTGCTATCGCGCATCCGCTTTCCACAGCCTAGCGGACTTTCCGGTGCCGACACCCTCGAATCCCCATCCACATCTACCGTCGCACCTGCAGATCTACACATGGATGAGCTGTACGTTACGGGAGCTCGCGCTTCTGCTGACACAAGCACTTCCAAGCATTTTACCTGACCCCGCCATTGGCACGAGGCTGAGCTTCAGATTGGTCTATCCTGACTTACATGCCGGCAGAGGCGGTGGAGGGAGACTTGAGAGTGAAGGAAGGGGTCGATATCTGAGCAAAGAGATGGGCAGTGTGGTGGTCGCGGTTCCGGAGAACCCCAACGACAATGGCCCTGGAGCCATTCGTTTGCAAGGCGAGGAGGCAGACAAAACGCTGGAAGAAGCGCGCTTTGTTATCGGCGACTTCATCGACTGCGCTGTCTTTCCTCCGCTGAGCGATGGCAGCGTGGTCTCTAGCGGAAGCGTTACTGCGAGGAGCGGCGCCAGAGAAAACGGCTACGGGAGGGTCAGAGGTGGTGGCTATGGACTGAGCAGTAGAGGCAGCTACATTGGGTATGGACCAAGAGGCGGCGATTTCGGAGGACCTGCCACAATACCAAGCGGTGAGTGGAGGCGAGGAGAGCGGCTACCCGAGCCCAGTGGCTTCCGAGGCGGAAGAGGCGCCAGACGAGGCTATTGATCCCAATGGTCGCATCTGACAAGATGAAGAGTTCGTCGTTCGCCGACACATCGAAGATGACCCCAGTCTTGGAGGCAGTGTCTGCAGAATGTGTACAACAAATTTGAAGCCATCAAGAGCAAGGCAGGACACGATTTCGGTGTCCTGAAATTTCCAGGATGTCAGCAGAGCAACACGCGGGCAGAAAGGTGACCGGGTGCACAATGTTGGCATCATCCGACATGAGCAAAATCTCAACTTGAAAGGAGCAACGTTCCCCAGGGAAGAGATGGAAATGTTACCCCAAAGGGAGATATACCCAAGGTCACTGTTGGGACTGAGACAAAGCATTGAGGCTACTGCTGCAAGTACCAGGCTTCCGTACGACGGCCAAAGGACTAAATTTCTTCGCGATGATCCAGACCGTGAAATGGCCGGTACAGAGGTTTAGAGGCGGGAATGTTACTAAGGAAGGACTACTTTAAGCATTGGAAAGCTGCCGATATTGCTCACCGCCATCTTACTTGTGGCATGCAGTGTCATTGCACGTGGTGCAGGTGAGGCGCTGCGAACAACAGGGCCAGAGTGGTTAATCGTATGACGTCGCGTGGCCAATGACGGAGCTTGAACCTGTTTCTGTGCTCCACTTTTGAGCTTTCCACCTTCCTGGTGCCCGTTGCTGTGTGGCGCCCTTCCCCAGCATCTTCCCGCCGTGGCCAATCGCTGCAGATCAATGCCCGATCTCTATTTTCCCCTCGAGCCCCTCCAAAAACAAAACTTATCAGTTTTCCATTCCGCCCTCCTTTTCTCAACCACAACAAGTTTCTTCTTCTTGCACCCTTCTTATAGACTTGTCGGCTCTCTTCTCTCACGTAATCCGTCTCACGTTCACTTACGAACACCGTCAAGATGGGCAAGGTTAGTTCGCTTCCCTTTCACCGGGTCCTCATCTGCCCCTCACCCGGCCCTGACCGCCATGGTTACACGAGCACAATCAACGCAATCTGTTGGGACGGGCAAGCTAATGGCTCATAGGTCAAGTACATCCTCCTCGACTGCGACAACACTCTCTGCTTGTCAGAGCGTCTCGCCTTCGAGGCTTGCACCGATCTCACCAATGAACTCCTCGAGAAGTACAACATCTCCGAACGCTACACCGTCGATGACCTCCTCGAAGCCTTCGTTGGCCAGAACTTCCGCGGCATGATGAATGGACTGCAGAAGAAGCACAACTTCGAGATGCCTGCAGACCAGCTTGAAGAATACGTCGGCAAGGAGTTGGGTGCCGTCACTGCCAAACTCAAGGCCAAATGCCAGCCGTGCCCTGGTGCACCTGAGGAGCTTGAGCGCTTGAAGCAGGCCGGCTATCCCATGTCTGTCGTCAGCACATCAGCTAAACCCCGTGTCGTCGCCTCCCTCGAGAAGACCGGAATCGACAAGTACTTCCCCAACGAGCACGTCTACAGCGCGGCCACTTCTCTTGACCCTCCTTCCAGCAAGCCCGATCCAAAGATCTACCTCTATGCCTGCGAGCAACTCGGCGTCAAGCCAGATGAGTGTGTTACTGTCGAGGACAGCAAGAGTGGTGCCACCGCCGCCATGCGTGCCGGTATTCCCTGCATTGGCTATGTCGGTGTCTACAAGTTGGAGGACGGCGAGGAGAAGATGAAGCAGATGGAGAAGACTCTCAGAGAGCAATGCAACTGCGTCGAGATCATGTACGACTGGAAGGAGTTCCCAGAGCTCTTGAAGAAGGTCGAGGCTCGCTCCTAGGCTGACAGTCAGCACCCACAGTCGTGACAATGAACAGCTGACGAAAACGAGGTGATCTTCTTGATCCCTATGCATGTACGAGGTGACGAGGCGCCGAGAAGCACATGCAATCAGCTCCAGCGAGACGGACAGCTGAGACGACGTGATCTTCTCGCTGCACATGATTCTCAAAAGCTTCCCAGGTCCGGGGTAAATCATCCTCTCCGCGGCTCAGAGCACTAGCACTGAGCATAGAATAGAAAATTGAAGAAACGTTCTCAAAGCGGTCCATCAGCTGTCCTTCCGTCTGAGTAGTGCCGTGAGTGGCCATCTCAAATTTATTTTCTATCAATGCCCTAAATTCTTCCCGAGCCCTGAACCCCCAGACTGTTGGTCACTAGATCTCGCGAAAGCATTTTGCGCCGGTATCACCAAAAATACGAGCTCTTCGAACGGGAGCCTGCGACACATCTCCAAACCAAAGTCTGCATGGACAACAACCTCTGCATTGCCGAGGTTCAAAGATATCTTTGCCGCCGTCGTGGCGAGGTCCCAAGTCGACTTTTTACTGTCGCGATAGGACGTCCATGCTTCGGTATCGGCATGACGCTTGGCGAAAAGAAGCAAGCAAGCCTCCAGGTAGGAGGTCTGGGTCTTTTGATTCAAATGGGGGATCGGAAGTAGGAGGTCCTGCAGAAGGAGCAGTCGGGAAAGACAGGTGCCAGCGACGAATTTGGAATACTGAGCATGATGGCTGATGGCTGGTGTTGATCGTGACGGGTCCGATGGAGCTCCCTACCCTACCCTGGTGTAACCTACCCTGGTGTACCCTACCGCTTCCCACTCCTCTCTCTCCTCCTGACCCTCTCGACAAGCCGCCCCACCATCTCTCTCATAACATGCTTCTCTCCCGAATAGTCCATATCGAACCAGTAATTCATGGCAATACACGGCGCGGGTGCTGACTCTCCGTCTTCATTCTCCCACTCTCCGCAATCTTGCGTCACGTGGTGGAACCACCCTGCGGGAAGGTAGAGGATCTGTCCTTCCTCCACCGTCACGGTTAGAGGGCGCGCGTGTTTGTAGTATGGGTATGTGGTCGATGTGGGCGGTGGGGGCTTGAAGGGATCGATGGGGATCCAGGGGATTTTGGCGGTATTGGGGTTCATCGAGGATGAGGGTGCGGGTGCGGGTGCGGGCACGGAGGATGAAGCTGAGGGTGAGGGCGGGGGCGAGGGCGAAGTCGCGTCCATATCCGAGGTGGATGTCGAGGTGTCATCCGCCAAAGAGTGTCGAGGGCCACAAGCGCTCAGATTTCCATCTTCAGCTTCAGTTCCAGCTTCAGCACCTTGAATACTCCCTTCTGGAGGGCCATCGTGCATACCCTTTTCCGTGTTCGTGTCCATGATGATCTCAAACCTCTTCGTCTTTTCGTCGAATGCCCACTGTCCGGTCCTCACCATCGTGGCGTGTAGGCAGATCTCCTCGATGGGAGGGTATAACACGAATTTCTTCCGCCCTTTGACAACCAGGTAGAGATTCTCGTAGGGATCTCGATGCGTGGAGGTCACGCTTTGGGCGCTGCCGATCCAGATATTCGTGGCGTCGGGGTCTCCTAGAACGGGAAGCGCGAATGGAGGTGGCGTTGCAGGGAGATGGCCTCTGAGCGGAGCCAGCTCCGGACGGGAGAGGTTCGAGTCCTGTGATTGGAGATAATAGACTGGTTTTGTGGGTGTGGTTGGAGATAGCGCAGACAGAGAAGATGATTCCGGAGGACATAGCTCATCAATCAGCTTGGATATCGTCATGCCGGTCGTGGCAGGTTGGAGGAAGACGTGCTCCGCTACGTCGTTCTCATCGCTGTTGTCCTGACCAGCTACGTCCTCGTGGCCGGAAAGCGGGCCGTGCTCGTTTTCGCTTGGAACACCCCTAGAGCTGATCTCCCCAATGCCTCTGGCTGAGGCGTCATGTTCCAGTGGACACCGTTTTGGGAGAAGATACAGCGAATCAGCCCGTCCATCTGGGGTGACAGCGACTTCTACCTCGCCCTGCGCAAGCGAGCAGAGCGTCTTCTTAGTCCATCGGAAGCACGGTGCACTGAGAATGGAACGCTGCTCATCTTCGAGATGTGCGCTCTTCCGGTCTCCGTTGGGGGAAGGCGCATAATGTCGCTTCGCTGGATGGTCAGTCTCGTTTCCACGACTCGCGCCATTCGGAATCTGTGCGCGCCTGGACGGATTGCCGAGGACGCCTCGATCAAGCTGATACACGCACGGTCTTCCGCGAGAGACTTGTTGGCCGAAGTTCAAATACGTCGGGTATGGATAGATTGGGACGGTCGTGTCGGGGTTGAAATCGTGGTAGTCTTGAATCAGAGCGATGAGCTCATCGAGCGCAAAATCTGCGTCTCTTGAACACATCTACGGGAAGATTGGAAAGCGACTTAAGTGGTAACGGCATTTGCTGTCATTGTAGTCGGTTGTGAGAATGCAACGGGAAGGCGATATGTCCAGACCTCTAGATAGATCCTTCCCGCGCTAGACGCGTGCTCTACTTCGCACTGGGGAATGGTTTGTGCACCGCCAAGGTGCAAGAAGAGTCAAATATTCGGCTTGGCAGTATAACTGTCAACGAGCTGGGAGGTGCTTACTTCGAAGCCTTTCCGTGGACGAACCAGGACGGGAAGAAAACTGGCTGCAGTCAGAGGCAAAGCCGAAGTCACTCTGCCGAAGTTAAGGGAAGCTGCGGGCGGAACCTGCGCCTTCAATCATCTGAGTACGCATACAACTTCTCTCTTCAGCGGGCACTTCTTCACTTTGACTTTGCCAACAAGTCCTGTGGCCTGCTATCCTACACAAATATTTGCAATGCGTTGTGTTGCACGTAATACTGCCAAGGTTCGAGGCGTCTGTCTATATGATTGGCTGATGGAGCGTCTATCCCTCTTCTCACCTTCCTTATTCTTAATTACCTGTTGATTATTGTCCACTTTGTAACACTCCCAGGCCCTCATAAAAGGGGCTCACGGAGCTACCTTGACTCTACCAGCTGAATGCTTACTTGTACAGAACCGAAATGCCCCACGTTATGTCTGCAAACTTTAACCCACCTGGCCGCTTTGCCATGCAGGCTTCGTGGGGTCATTCGTGTGGAGAAACAACTTCTTCTATTGAGTGATTATCACCTTTCGTAGACAAGAAGCCAATGTCGAGACAGTCCCTCAGACAGGAAGGGTACCTCCAAGCGAAATAAAATTGTTCAAATCCTTCGGCATGCCATCTTCGAGATCATGATATAAATCAGCGCTTGACAATATGGGATCAACGACCTCGGATCCGACCACAAGCTATCCGGTCGCCATCGTCGGAGGCGGTCCCACGGGGCTGTCGGCTTCTATTCTTCTGTCACAGTGCAATATCCCGCATGTCTTGTTCGAGAGGTACCCATCAACGTCCATCCACCCCAAAGCATGCGGTTACAATCACCGCACCGTAGAGATTTGGCGGCGCATGGGGATCGAAGACGAGTTGATCAAGAAGCGCGCCCCAGTGAACATGTTCAGTAGGACGGGGTGGTACACCAGCTTTGGACCGACCGGCCGGGAGATTGTCAGCCGAGACTCGTGGGGCGGTGGTGCATATGAGGAGGAATATGCGTCCGTCTCGCCCTGTCAGTATTCCATCCTGCCCCAAATCCGACTGGAACCTATCCTGCAGAAGCGAGCATTAGAGCTCAACCCCAGCGGCATCCTATACAACACGGAAGTCACCAAAGTCGAGGAAGCAGACGATCACGTTCTCATCAGCTATCAGCGCAAGGGCCACCCCTCCGAGACCCTGCGAGCGAAGTACTGCATTTGTGCGGATGGTGGGCGCGGACTGACTGAACAGCTCGGAATTGGCTGGGAAGGGGAACGCGATGTCATGAACATGGTGTCCGCACACATCCGCGCTCCTTTATCCTTTCACCACCCCGACATTCGAAACTTTATAACCTGGTTTGTCAATCCACGACTCGGCGGCACCATCGGTTCTGGCTACCTCTACCACCTGGGCCCGTACCCAATATCGCCCGATACCGAGGAGTGGGTCTTCGCGTGCGGGTTGGCCTCCGGCGAGAGAAGCATGGACGGACCGGCTGTGCTGAACAGGATGCACAAGACGCTGCAAATTCCAGACCTCAAGCCAGAACTTCTCTCCACCAGTTATTGGTACGTCAATGCACTGACCGCGAGGCGCTATCGCAGCAAGATTTCAACGGGACGGGTCTTCGTCGTCGGGGATGCAGCCCATCGGATTCCCCCATGGGGCGCTTTGGGGCTCAATACTGGCGTGCAAGACGTGGACAATCTCGTGTGGAAGTTGAATCTAGCAGTCAGTGGCATCACATCGTCTCTAGACCCTGGTGCAAATCTCAACGCATTGCTCGACACATACGATTCTGAGCGTCGACCAATCGGCCAACGCGTGCGCGACAGCGCATTACACAACCTCCGCTCGCACGGACTGGTCATGGACCACGCCATCGGCGTTTCTCCCTCCAACCCCCAAATTGCGAACGTTGCCAACATGAACTCTTTCCTGAATGCGTCAGCAGATGACCCTGAAGCCGTGGCCCGTCGCGAAGCAGTTGATCGCGCGCTGCAAACTCTCGACGCCGAGTTCCACGCACTAGGTGCGGAGGTCGGCTGGTTCTACCCTGATGTCGACGTCGACGGGGAGGGCAAGGCAACGAATCACGACGGCCAGCTTACCGAAGACGGACAACTAGACTCGGTGTATTATCATCCTTCGACCATTCCGGGACACCACTTGCCGCATGCTTGGCTGGAACAGGACGGGCGGAGGTTATCAACGAGGGATCTTGTCCGGTACGATGGATTCGCACTCTTTACGTCGCGGCCTGGACTGTGGAGCAAGGCCGTAGAGGAGGATGGCCACGGGTTAGTGAGCCTTGTGGAGATTATGGACAAGAATATGGGCTCGTCTGGTGGCCAGTCATCCGGATGGAAGGACGTTGACGGTGAATGGGCTACCGAGTGCGGTATTGGAAGCTCCGGCGCCGTGTTGGTTCGACCGGATGGGATCGTTGTCTGGCGGGCCAAGGAGTTCGACCAAGACAAACATTCTGGCCGCGGATGGCTCAGTAATGTACTCCGCAGGGCTTTGAGGCTTCCATAGATGGTGTAGACATGAAATATAGTTGTGGAAACTCGTCGTTGCCGCCTCCTCTTCACGGATGGCGGGCATGCGATTTGCCGGGTCAGGACGAACCTACGGGCAAGGACCCGCACACTTGGGACGCCGAGGACGTTGTCAGGATGGCCACCGTGCTCTGATGGATGAGAATTTTTAACGCTGGTCGCAAGGCTCGTTCACGTGTTGGCATCGCGGCGGGGACTGTGGTTCTGGTTCAAGCTACCTTAGTACGATCCTCCATCGCGTTGCAGTCTAAGACCGACCAGCCATTGTGCTGATTGATTCGGCTGGTGTATCACCTGTGGTTGAGATCAGAGCTGGTGCTGGAGACGCCGTACCTGCTCATTGTCATTCCTTCACAGCTGCGGCTACACGACGACTAAGCCCATTCGCAATTCATACCAGCAAGCGGCAATGCTTGAGGCAGAAGAACAGGGATACAGGACTGTAGATAACCCCGCACAAGGCTCGTAACTCGTCCTTTCCCCGGACCGATCTCACCGTGTCCGCCCTCCCGCCTTACTAATGCATCCCCGGTGTTCGACATCAGTGTGGGTGAGCACGTCATGACCACAGCAGCTTGGTGGCAGGAGGTTTCTACTTGCATTCAGGTATCTGTTTGTCAGTGCTTCGGCATCACCCAAATGCCTGCCTGACCTCCCGCAAGTACCTGCCTCAAGATGCAACTCGTCAACTACGCAGCTTGGATCCCCTCCGGAAAAGCACCCTTGGTCGTCGCAACAGCCCCATTCCCCGACCTAGCTCCCAACGAGCTGATTCTCAAGAACCACGCCGTGGCAATCAACCCTGTGGACTGGAAGATCCAAGCCTCGGGCGGCTTCGGCCTCTCTTACCCAGCCATCCTGGGAGAAGATGTCGCGGGTGAGGTTCTCGAGGTGGGCAAGGACGCCGAGGCCTTCAAAAAGGGCGATCGCGTCATCGCCCACGCGCTGGGGTTGGGGAGTGGGCCCCCCTACGGCGGCTTTCAACTATACCCCCGGGTGAAGGTGGCCACTGTGGCCCGGATTCCTGATGATCTGGAGTTCAAGCGCGCAGCGGTGTTGCCATTGAGCGTCAGCACCGCGGCGGCGGGGCTGTACCTCAAGGGGACTTTGGGGCTACGGTACCCACAGCTTGGAGGCGGCAGTAGTGCAATTCCTCGCTCCACGCCGCCGCCCCCACAGCCGACGACGAAGAAGAAGAAGATGAACGACGTGCTCCTCCTCTGGGGCGGATCCTCGTCCGTCGGATCCTCGGTGATCCAGCTGGCCGTGGCGTCGGGCTACGACGTCGTCACGACGGCATCACCGGCAAACTATGCCTACTGCAAAACCCTGGGCGCTTCTCTTGTCCTGGATTATCATAACCCCGACATCATACCGATCTTGATAGCGCTTCTGAAAGAGCACGGCAGTGCTGTGGTGGGTGCTTATGACGCCATTGGCGCGGACGCCACGGTCCGCCAGTGCGCCACTGTGCTGCATGCGTTTGGAGGTGGGACTGTCGCCAGCGTTGTCTCTGCGCCGGATGATCTACCCAAGGGAGTCAAGGTCGTGAGGGTAGGGAGCACGAATATCGTGAGCCAGGAAGATGGAACGGTGGCCAAGAAGATCTGGGGCGACTACCTGCCTGCTGCGCTGAAAGATGGGGCATTCAAGGCCGCGCCGGAGGAGCTTGTGGTCGGGAATGCGCTGTATTTCGTGCAGGGTGGGCTGGACAGACAGAGGAGCGGCGTCAGTGCTAGGAAGGTTGTGGTGACGCTCTGAGTTGGACGAAAGCAAATCAAATACTGCGTTGTCAGCGTCGAGGACTTTGTGGGATCCTACTGGTGCCAAAGAATCGGACACTCGCCTGCTCGTGATCCTGCAACGCCCAGATTTTACGGAATCACGGGAATGTACGGAGTACTTGCATGGACAGGGCCCTAGACAGTGAGCAGGGTGCATATGCGGAGTGATCACGAGGATATACTGAAGAATAATTACAGCTATCCGGTCACTGTCCACCACTGTGACTTAAGCCCGATGACGCCCACCAAACTCGTATACTTCCACGGGTTTGGCTTGATGCGTTCCGCATTGGCACGCCTTGATCAGCTCGCTATATGAATGGTACGGGTCGTATCAGTAAGTACAGAGCGATCTACACGAGCTGGAACTCCACATTGGAGATACATGCACCTAGTATACGATGCTAGACCAGCGACGGACGCCTTAGACTCAGACCGGCCATCTTCACGCATATCAGGCGGGGGATATATCTTTCCACAGTCATCCTACGTACACCATTCTTGCAGAGTGCGGTATAAATGGATTGAAATCAACTGAATGACTGAATGACTGACTGATTCACTGACTCACCGAGTCAACCAAGTATCCTCCACCTCTGTCGACGACATGTATCCACTATTGGCTTTCTTCGTCTTTGCGTCTGTTCTCGCATTGGCCTGGCGGTGGTTAACCAGAACAGACATACCCAAGATGAAAAACCTGCCTGAGCTTCCGGGCGTGCCTATCTCCAGGAGTCTGCTTCTCCTGGGCAAACACCACGAGAGGAACTGCGCCAGGCTAGCCAAGACATATGGCGACGTCTTCCAAGTCGTCTGCCGAACCGCGTAAGTGTGCCTTTGATTCTAGAGCCTTACAGAATCTGGCCAAATTGACGTGTAGTGGAGATTCACCTACGCCAACTCCTATGAAGCAGTCAAGGAACTGTGGACCAAGAATCGATCAGCACTGATCTCGCGGCCCAAGACGTGGTCTCCGAGACTCAGGGCGTGTACACGCTCGGCACGTCGCCGTGGAATGAGTCCGTCAAGAGGGTCCGCAAAGCCGCTGCCACAGCCCTGAATAGACAGGCCGTCCAGACGTACTTACCGTTCATCGACCTCGAGTCCACAAGCAGCCTGAACGAGCTGGCTCAGCAGGCGAAGCGAGGTTCCGACATCGACCCTAACGGGTATCTCCAGCGGTTCTCGCTCAACATCAGCTTGACGCTCAACTATGGGATCCGGATCCAGGGCGGCGTGCACGATCAGACGCTGAACGGGGTGGTTGCCGTGTGGAGAGAGCTCGCGAACATCCGCGGCGTCGCGCACGGCTGGCAGGACAATATCCTTCTGTTGCGACTGTGGCCGGGATACAAGAAGAACGCGATCCGCTTCCGAGCCCGACGGGATGAGTATATCTTGCGCTTCTTTGATGCTCTCAAGGAACGCATCGCGGCTGGGGCGGCCCACCCGTGCATTGCGGGTAATGTGCTCAAGGATCCAGAGGCGAGGCTGGCTGAAAGTTAGCATAACGAAGACGAGATACCTTCCCTTCCTCGTGTTTGTCCTCTCTTGGTCTGGTCTTCAACATGCCTATACGGCTTGCTGATACCCTGCAAACGAGTTAAAATCCATTTGTCTGACCATGGTGGCGGCCGGACTCGATACATTGCCCGGAAACATCAACATGACGATTGCGTACCTGTCGTCTCCTCACCGCCGGGAGATCCAGCAGCACATGTACAAGGAGATTATCGAGACCCATGCAAACGAAGATCCGTGGCACGGTTGTCTCCTTGAGGAGAAGTCCGCGTATGTCGTCTCCTTCGTCAAGGTACGTGTGCATTGCTCATCAGCCGAATCTTATTCCGCATTCGAACGGCTGACGAAGTCCAGCAGAGGAGGTACTCCGTTTCTGGTCGACGTTGAACCTGTCCTTCAATCGCCAGAGCGTCAAGGATATCTACTATAAAGCCGCGGTGATTCCGGCCGGGACGCCATTCCTGCTGGTGGGTTACACGTTCGTACCGGATAGTCGCGTCTTGCTATGCCTGAGTGTCTTCGTCACGCTGACCAACGGCTTGAGTGCACTGCGCAGAATATGTGGGCCGCCAACCACGACGAGACTATCTTCAAATCCCCGTTCGAATTCATTCCTGATCGGTTCGTCGGAGTCCCCAAGGCAGGGCGAGAACACAACATTTCGGCTACGGTGCTGGGACGCGCTCGTGCGCCGGTGTCCATCTGGTGAACCGCGAGCTATGCGTCATCTTCACGGGTCTGATCCTGGCGTTCCATATCAAGGAGACACAGTACGTCAACGAGAGGCCCATTTTCGATAGCATCGACTGCAGTTCGATACCGACCAGTATGGTGACTCAGCCCAAGCCGTTCAAGGTACGATTTGTTCCTCGTGATGGCACGGAGCTGGGCCAGTGGCTCCAGGAGAGTTTTGACGGGACAGCCTATCTTTGAGTGATTCGGACTTGCGGAGCGGTGAAGGCCGTTGCAGAGAGTAGAATCCAACTCTATAGCATGCTGAGGGTAGTGTCCCAACGAGCGGAACCAGTACCAAGCGATGGTCCCAGAGATGGCGCTATGCTCGGTCGGGCCACTTCTTTACTTGAGAGGTGGACGTGACATGCGAATTGTTCGGAGCACCGCTTAAGTTCAGCTGGACCCGGGGACAAGGAAGGGCCCGGTACCTGCCTCGGTGGCGCGCAGATGTGATGCATAACATAACTCTGACCATAGTACCCATGTCTGAAATCCGTTGCTGAAGAACGTAGCAATGCGTCAATGCGTACGCCTTGTGGCGTACCGAGGAGAGGGACGGACTCGTGTTTCATGAATCGAGATTGCAGCGTGTTCGGCTATCATACCCACCCGCCGATGAGCTCCTCACGCTGACAAGAGATGGTGCCGGCCATGATACAACGGGCAGCCGGAGACATCCAGCCCGGGCGGTGATTAGAGGCGTACTGCTGAAACACATCCGTAATCTTGCACCTCAACTGGCGGGCACCCAGGCCGGAGTGCACAGGAAGTACCGATGTGTATCTTCTCACGTCCTCCCATCAGCAAGCGAATGCTATGCTCAGTCCAAGCTGTTCCGAACGTTGAGGACCAGAGTACAGTGGCGGGGCTGGACGGATAGAGTCCCAAGATGGTCATCCAACATGCACATTTATATTCCGGTCGTTTCTAGCTCCTGTATCATCGGGATCTTATTTATGAAACGGTATCACAACTATATGGGTCAGGCCCCAATCTGTGCAGGACCGACCATGCCTGCTTTACTTGATGGTCAGACCGCTTCATCCTCTTCGTAATCTGCTCATTGACGGACAGAAGACGCGTGTTCTCTTGCTGCAGCTGTACCGTATCCATCCGGGCCGTAGAGAGCTCCCCTTCTAACCGTCTCGCCTTCGCTTCGGCCCCTTGACGAACCATGCGTTCCCTTCGAGTCTGGTCCTCAGAGAAGGAAATTTGGTCCGCTAGTTTCTCCAGTTCAGATTGAAGCCGACTGATTTGGGAGGTCAGGTCGAGGATTGATCTTAACACTTAGATACGCTGTATATATGTGCCTATTAACTGATAGACCTACCACTGCTGGGGTCTTCTACGGACCTTAAAGCGATGTTCTGGGAGTATACTTTCGAGGCCTGGATGCGGGATAGCTTCGATGGACGTACCGACTTCTCGACAAAGCTGCATGTATACGCTGGTGGAATGCTTACTCAACGGTCGGGTGAAAAGATGTTCCTTGTCCGGCTGTCGTATCCAGACGTACCCGTTATCTTCATGTGGCTATAATCGAACTTCGGCGGGCTCGATAGGTTTCCCTAATTTAGTGGCTCCCGGGCGTCAGTCAGGCACCGTGGGAACCCGGCATCGGCTTACTCAGGTACTGCGCTAAAATCTGCCGACACCATTCGGCACGCTGCACGTTTCCGCGTCGTTGGACGGGGATCCCCTCCATCTCCGAAAGGCTTTGTGCCTTGTAGGGCCCTAGATGACGATCGTAGACGAGAGTGATTGTCTCCGGCTTTAGTATCTCGTATAGTACCTGTTGGTCCGTAGAGACTGAAGGTGCTTGACATCAGCAAATTTACTAAGGTAAAGAAATCGAGAAAGACTGCTTCAATCTAAAAATAGACCCCAAGACTATTTCTGGTACCCCCAGGGTCCTATAACTGGGTCTAGAAGGGCACACATCTGGTCGCCCGGTGACCTTTCCCGAATCTCGCGTCAGCAAAGGATACCCATGCAAAGGTCTTCGAACGTGCTCCCAATCCTGTCTCCAGACTTCAGCATTTCTGCCTTCGAGTTTGATCCTGTCAGCGCAGGAGCAATCGACCGACCACTGCCTGAAGTGGTACGGTCGTGTTCGAACGTGTTCCCCTCCCTTGTACAACTCTTTATTCTTTGACTCTCTGACTTCTCCATCGCCGGTCAGCGGACATTTTCATAAACAAGTGTTGTGGTGCTTGCACCGTAATTTCCCGCACCCCAGTATCACGGGTAATTGTTTCGGTAGGGATCTCTGCAGAAGCTACCCATACAGTGAGAGGTAGTTTCAGCGTTCCTGCAGTAGCGCCTCGGAACTGCTCTCCGCCAGTCGATGTAGCGCGGCGTTCGGCACATGGAGGACAAGTGGTCGATTTTCGCATCCTTTGAGCGCGTGTTTTGGCTGTTCCGCTGCTGTCCCGCTGACTCCAGCGTCGCGGTTATTCAGAAGTGCTCGGAAGTGTTCGAAGCACCCTTTAATGCGCCGAGAACTACTTAGAGCAATGCTCCAGTGACGTTCCGCGTGACCATGACTCGGCAATTGGCATGTGTGATAGCCCGCTCAGAGGTAACATCACAGAGTCAGCGGAGAGACCAATCTCTGCAGCCCTTACTACAGTCGCGAACTCCGCTTATCTCACAGCGAACACTCTAGACCTCCCTATCCTGCAACCGGATCCCCCCTTTGATGTGCTGGGCGCGGAATCGGACTCTGTTCCCACGAGTACAATCACATCAACGTCCACCTTCTTACGCTGCTGACGGAGCCACGCAGGTACAAGAAGCATGCAAGCGACAGGAGGGAGAGGGAGATGTCGGCCATACTCGATTTCTAGCACAGGATCAATACCTGACGACGGCAACGAGCACGAGAATGGATGAAGCTCACACCTTTCCCGAAGACGGTGGTAGCGCCCGAGACTAAGTAAAGAGCGATCAGGGTGGGTGCCTAAGTTGCAGCACGACCATCAACAATATTGATCCACCATCAGGGGCTAGGATTTGCCGTAGTAGACCTTGAACCCATCGAAGCGACGACGGTTACCCACGTCCTGCCAGCTAAACCCGAGATGAGGTCGTGCACGGAGGCAATCTTCGCTCAACATCAATTATTCGAGATAGTCCCGGCCAGTCCCTCTGTCGTTCGAAAAAGCAGAAAGATATAGAGGCAGATTCGGAGATCGTTAAGGTAGAATCACTAAAGTGGCCAGATCTAGATCCCATCACGGGTAAGGTAATGTCCCCCTAAAGAAATTTTCTAATATGCGGAGAATCTACTAGGTAAGTACGCCTCTAAGACGTCTGAGATTCGATATCGGACCCGGCTCTTCTTTCACTTTGGAGGCCGGTGCGCTTTTTAACAGGTCGGGCAAGCCTTCTCCGCGATATGCCGTACGGATGTAACGGATTTCTCGACGACGGGAGCTCGCATTCGAGCGCTCGACCGGATTAACCTTGCTCACCTCGTTGAGCAGCGGGCACTTCTGGTGGCGTTGTAAGGAGAACGCGCTCGTCGATAGAAGCACGTCGGTAACCGGGGCAAACGTTAACCGGCTCGGGCCGCCCTACACGAGATGATGGCTTGCGTATACCCGGAGTTGGTAGTTAAAAGTCACGACTACACGAGCACGAAGAAGCGAGTGTAAAGGATGTTAGACGAAGGTCGTAATTGGTATATAGCGTATGAACGTTGCCCGAGCACACTGTGGATGTTTTATCCTAACATGTTAGAGAGAGCGTAAGTATTTCCTTTTCTTGATATGAGCGATATTGAATGGCTACAGCTTTCGACGGTTATCTAGCGATCTTGTATACGCATTCATTGACCTCCTCTATTAATATCGCGGTGATTTTCTCCGGCGCGTCGACGATTTGCTCGAGCAGCCAGTAGCCGAGTTTGTCGCCGGCAAACGTCCTGTACGGCCCACCCCCTTGGACAAGATGACAATGTCACAGATGAGAAGACAGCCAATGGACCCGGGCTTCTTCGTCAAGTCGGCTAATGGTGAGGAGTATGCGCTAACATGGCTGACTGGACGTCAGACATGTCCGTCCCGACACGACATGATTCGTGAATATGGCCAAGTAGGAAATGGTTGTTCTGCGGATTGTATTCAATAGCATGGCAAGATAGCAATGTTCAGTGGTGGCCATTGAGATGCCAGTAGAGGCTTCAATATGTGGCAGAAAGAAATAAAGGGGGCTGGTCATTCCCGCCTTTGAAAGGTGGGAACTTTGCTTCGTCTATCGCCCTTTGATGTCTTTGAGAACTCGATCATTAAGTTTTCGTCCACTTGCACGGCCCTCATCCTCGAGCTGAATCCACGCATCACCTTAGGGTCCAGTCTCGCTGCACACTGACTCTGAAATACTCCACACAAGACTCGGCCCATTAAGCCTTCCCCCCTGGAGCTACCTACTTCTGCCCATCCTAATCCAGTGAGGTATTCTTGCAAACTGAACAAATTCCCATGCAACGCGAAAGGATCATCCTTCATTCTCGTCAACACATCTAATCATGGCTCCGTCTCCATTCACACAAGCGAAAAGTCCCCGTTACGCGTCATGAGTGAGGCGTAGCTCCCTCCAATACACTATGGACGTCAGAGCACTCCCAGCCCCGATGCCGCTCTGCCAAACCGTATAGTCTTCCGTAGATATCGTGTCTCATGAGCTTGCTAGATACCGCATTCCGATGTGGGAATTACTTTGTGGGGGCAACGATGTCCAGTGGCCCGGTCTTGTTTGACGCGTTTGGAAACTCGGCGATTTCGACCTTGATTGGGGTGGACTTGACCTCGTGATTCATTTCTGCTGCAGGTTCAGCCTCGGCAGGCTTTAGTGAACTAGAGGTGCCCCAATGTTCATCAAGGTGGTCTTGGTTTGATTTGTGTTCATCTTGTTTACGCAGCTCGTCATCGTCAATGAACTTTGCCACGTCGATTGATCCTTCCTCAACCTCCTGAATTTGCAACATCAATTCAGCTGTAATGTATATCTCATACTTACCCAGAAAATGGATGATCTCTCGCCAGAAAGCTTTGAGGCGACCGCGTCTGTCGTAAGGATTGGCACGCTGCATCCAAGACGACCAAGACTGGACGACCCGGTCTGCGGTACTGACGCCAATCTTGAACCATTCGATATGAGATTGGCTATGAAAATTGCACCATCTCATCTCGTACCAACACCTTAACAACTCGAAATGAGTCAAACGCTCAACCCGTTCCGGGTGGCGAGCGTGATGGCGGAGTCGCAGGAGAGGAAGGCCATGGCCGCACTCAGCTAACTCATCCAAACGATGGCTGATGGGTCGGCTAGTGTATCCAATCTTGAGCATTCCCCGGAAGGCCTGGTCCGCGTAAGTGAAGCTGTACACGGACCCTATTGCGTTCTCCGAAGGATCGATCGTCGATAAAAGGGTCGAGACCAAAGTCTCCCCTTCCCAAACTGGATGTTTTTCGAACACCACTGGCCGTGGGAGATGTTGAGTGGGCTCATTGTGGAGCACTTGGTCGGAAGACAGGAGTTTTGTTTGAGAACGGCCGGAACCACAAGTTAGAGACGCCATTTTCTCTAGCTTAGTAGTTTGCACTACCTCGGGGATCGTGACAGATAAGGTCTGCCTTATCTCGCTCTGCCACCGAACCGCCAGACCCTCTGCCAGCCTGGTGCCCCAGATTTTGTTGCGATGATGATGTGTGCAGCAGCAGCGTTCGGCTATTTCAGCTAATGACTGAAGCGACCTTTCCTTGAAAGGGTTCCCCTGGCAGAGCTTTGTCGCGAGCTGGAGGACCAAGTCTCTCTCATTCTCCTGAATGCCAACTCTGCAACATCTCTCTTCGTTTGGCAAATACCAAATGCATCGACACCTTTCCTGTGCGAGCCTAGAGCAGGTCTCAGCAAAAGTGGGAAATTGATGCACGACAGGCAAGGTTGTCACTTGTCGATATGAGCGAGGCATGAAGATGGTGGTCGTCGCGGTGCGATCGATGGTTTGGGATATAGCTTCGAGGCGACTCGCTTCCGATTACGATCAGGCTGGTGTTCGTAAACAGGTACCAACCTGGCGACTTCGAGGAGGCAATAGGAATCTCAATATTGTACCGAGGGCGCAGATTCAAAACCAGTGAAGCAGAAACTTTACTGTAATAACGCACAATCAGGGTGAACGTCGAAGCTTGCGGGTGCAGGCAAGGTGGGTGTGCGGCTGTACCTTAGATGGCGATATAACAGCTTCCATCAGTTGCTGCCTCCGCAACATGTGATAACGACAGACTTTGGGCGCCTTGGCCTGCGGTAAGACTGCAGTCTTATGCATGCTTCGTCTCTGCCACCAGACAATGAGTGGTTCGAAGATCGTAGCCCTCGAAGAGCAGCGCTTCGCTGGACCAATCACCCAAGTTGTCACGGTTTCATTCTGTAGGGTCCTGATGACTTGTCAGATTCCGCTGCCTGACTACACGTCGCATCTGATCTCTTCCGTCCACCTTCACTTTTCATACATCGTCGAGCACCCAAAATGTCGCGGCAGAATCAGGCCCTGATCAACGTCAAGGAAAGTGAATACGTCTGCATTTCATGTGATGAGCGTGAATTTGACTCCGAACTACCGTTGCTCCAGCATTGTCAAAACGCGCGCTGTCACAAAGGTGAATGGTGCGACAGGTGCCAATGGCTGTTTATCTCTGCACAATCCTGCGAACAATCAAACCGTGACTCGCAAAATTATTGGGTCTGTTCGAAATACGGCGTCGACGAAACTGAAGAAAGCAATCTTCGCACTCACATGGAAACGAAGCATTCCTTCTGCTACGACTGTCAAGCAAGTTTTGCTGATATATCGGAACATCGCATCCTGCGGCACAATCGATGCTCCATATGTAACGAGGAATTCGAGAATGAAAATCAATTTCTAAGAATATGCTTGCGGGAAAGGAATATCGGAGCGAGACATGCTTAACTAACGCTCGTGAAGCACGCGAAGTTCTATGCGCCTCGTTAAGAGAAGTGCTATGGCTGCGAACGTAAATTCAACAGCCCCTCCGGCATCCTCATCCACCTCGAGTCGATGACCTGTGATTCAGAGGTTGCCCGAGTCGATATTGATCGATGGGCTTTCAACTGCCACTAACGCTACCTATACACCAACAGCTGGGACGATGAGCTCAGATACCGATGTCCCAGCTGTGATGAGAGCTTCCCAAAAGTCAGTGGATTGCGTCAGCATATTGAGACCGCGGCATGCGGTGCAGGTTATGGTGGCATTCTAGAGAAATTGAGGAGGTACATTAAGCAGCAGGTTCAAAATGTGTTGGAATGATAACGTAAATGAGGCAGGTCAACTGCTCAATGACTCCATCGGTATAGTACCAGTCAACACCTCCTGTGAGCCCGTCCGTCTGAGACTGAATTTGACGTAAGCTGAATCTGGGCTGGGTGGCCAATACGCCTACTTACAGGGGCTTCCAGCCTGCGGGTGCACCTCACACTGAATTCTATATATATTCGCACTCGTGGGCAGCCTTATATTGCTAGGGGTCCGCCGTTAGTCCCCCGGTGGTCGCAGCCTGGCGCAAGTATCCCATCGTTTCCTGTGGCATGCTATGGGCCTGGGAATCTTTCAGATTATGCATGGGAAGCTTGAACAGGGTCTGGAAACCTGTGTATTGGCTCCCAATAGTTATCCTTCACCCCAGGAACTGTTCTGGCTTCCATGTACGCCGAATTGATTCTCAAGGTGCTCAAGACCTGCCCATCGCTTTATATGATGACGGAAGATTAGGGATATTCCAAGAACGAGGAATGGGAGTCCTAGTGGTGGATGTGGAATGTCCCAATCAGGCGCAGCGATATGCAATAAGGGTTGGATCATACAACCAGAGGATCAAAATGGAAAGGTGAAACCGGCACGCCGTGACTGGACCCCAAGCCGTCCCAAGCCGTCCCTAAGTCAGACCACCGTGTAATCCACAACCGCGTACTGCAACAGCCCCGCATTTACGCGTCAAATCGCGTTCTTAATAACCCTCTCTCTTTCATATCACACCAGCACACTACAAACCTCTCTTATCTTGTTTATACTTGGCTAGCATGCCCTCCTATACCGAAGAAACCCTTCAGGAGGCAATCCGGGCCTTCTAGCGCGGCGATTACCCCTCGATTCGATCTGCAGCGATAGTATACCGCGTTAACTTAAGTATTATAAGTTATCGACTAAAAGGAGGCTAAACTCGATAATTAGTAAGAGAAGACTAATAGCTACTATCCTCTATATACGAGGATCTTCTTATTTAATAGATTATCGATCTTAATTACACTAGCGCCCCTTTAACCTTCTCTTAAGTACGCGAGTTTACTAGCCTTATCTTAAAGACCTCGGATAGCCTAACTTTAGTCGGTATAAACTAGGTAACACGCTTTCTTAATTATTATTTAGAAATAAAATTAAAGGTGGGAAGAAAGATTAAGTATCTACACGTTGAAAATACTAGTCTAGATACCTGTCAGGAACGCCTAGATGGGCTTAGCGCTCTAGGCCTATATAGCTTGCTCCTCGCATGCGAACCCTCCTCGTTCCGCATGCTTTGAGTCTTCGTCGATAGCTAGATAGATATTAGCTTATACACCCCTTTTTACATCTCGAGTACCGCCATTCCTGACAATACCCTTTAAACCTTCTTTACCCTTTTCCGCGCTATTATTACTCGTTATTAGATTAAACTAGCTAATATATAGAACTTTAATAAATCCGGACTAGCTATAGAGGTCTATACTAACTAAAGAGTTATTAGTATACCTAATAAGAGATATTTATATTATAAGACGCTTAAAAATCGTAACTAGGTTATTATAATTAAGGCTTACTTAGCGAAGGGTCGTTTTATTAATTCGCTAGTGCTTTTTAAAGGTAAAGACCTTTAGTTAATATAGTTCCCGTATAACTTACCCTTAAATTAGCACTATAAGTATATTAAGAACGCCTTTATAATAAATATAGTTAAGTTAAGCTAGTTATAAGAGATCTTCCTCCCTTAAACCGTAAATAGTATAGCACTTTAATTACTTCTTTATGTTACGAACCGGCCTTCATGCGGCCTGCCGGGCCTGGCACAGAAGGGAAGGTCAAGCGAGGAAGTCAGCCTCGCTGGCAAGGCTGACTCGGGTCACGTGATACCCTAAAAAGGAAATAAGCCGTTGCATATGTTGTATCGTTGCAGGGCATGGGGCCGCAACGGAAGCAACCATGCAACGCCTAGACTTTCCTAGATAGGAAAACTACCTGTGTATATAGTCACAGCTAGATACACTTCTATAGGAGGTGTAGTCAACTTCAGTTAACATTGCGCTCAAGGAGATACAGTATAAGTGCTGTATCCCGTCTGACGATCTGTTCGACATTGACCTCTGCTCTACCCCCGATACTCAAGAACCCCGAGGGTTACCTGTGTGCTCACGTGTCCTTATACACGCTGCGCGGAGGCAATTCTTAACACTTTAACTACCTCTTGACGGTATTATTGGACAATGTCGAAACTCGTTCGATCCCCCTCGCCGACAGGATCCGTCCGATCCTCGGCACCCAACCCAACTCCAGGACCTTCGTTATATAGCATTACTTAGGCAACAGGAGGATAAGGTAATAAGGACTATTATAAGGTTGATGCGTATTATGGAGACTGTACTAAGCTAGGTATATTTATTGCTTAACTTACGGCCTTCTTTAAGCTTCAACACACTAAGTACCCAACCTATAAGGACAAGGTCTTATACGCCGCTCTTAATATAAAGGGACTAGCGTTTTACTGGTTTAAACCTGTTATAATGGACTACCTAACCTCGCTAGACGGATAGAAGGAGGATGAGACTAAGGAGATCTTTAGGAGTTTTCTAACATTCATCGCTAAGCTTAAATAGATCTTTAGTACTCCTAGAGAGGAATAAGCAGCATCCTAAAGGATTTATTAAATTAAATAAACGGGATCCGTAGCGTAATACTTCGCCCTCTTTAAGCGGCTTTAAGTAAAGCTGGACTGGGAGGATAATGCGTTCGCGGTAGTATTCTATAATGGGTTAAAGGACAACATTAAATATGAACTAGGAGTTAAACGACCGACCGACTACTACGAGTTAGTCGACAGAGCCATTAAGATTAATAACTGGTTGTTTAAACGACGGCTGGATAAGTAAGGCTATCGAGGAAAAGCCGGGACTATATACTACTCAGGTAGAAGTGGGTATAGAAGGCAGTCCACTTATTAGCCGTAAGGGGATCCTATAGACCTGGACATGATAACGACTCGGACCTCACGTTATAAAGGAGGGTTCAAACGTTCAGGAGGACATGGAAGGAATAACGAGAAAGAGAGACGTAGACGCGAGAACCTATACTACACTTGCGGAAAAGCCGGATATCGTGTACGAGATTGTAAGTAAACGGCTCACGGACTGTATATAATAATAAGCGACGATATAGCCGGTATAAGAGAAATAAAGGCCGACACTCTTATTAGGGTTATAGTAGTCGCCGAGGACTAGGACTAGATAGTATAGAAGGGCTACTAGAATTCGGATATATAGGGCGTAGGTGAGCTAGGGAAGAAGGAGTTCTAATAACGAGGAACCGATCCTAATGAGGCAGGTTAAGCCTTAGATAAAGAAGCATATTAATAATAAGAAAAACCGATTAATTACGCAGCTGGATTTAAGTATCTAGACGCTGCGTACGAATATATAAAACTATCTTAGACTGCTTATTACGACGACTCTTACACCATCTACCTTTTCGAAAAGGAAGGAGCTAGATGGTTCCCTTAGAGGAAGAAGTCGAAGAATCGAAGGAGCAAGAAGAGTCGGGAATTTCAGGAGATTCTCGCTTAGGATGGGGACTTGCATAACGAACCGGGATTCTGGATGATAAATGCCTAGAACGACGATAAACTACGGTTTATAGTTACTAAATATACAGTAGAAAGGATCTAACTTATTACGCTATACTAGAAAAGTAAGGGTTATAACCCTAGCTATTAGGAAGGAACCTAGTGTACTTATATAGTGTTTAATGTAAACTAAGAAAGGGAAAAGACGCTATATATCCTGACGTTCCTAATCTGTTATAATGTAGAATGTAAAGAAACTAGGATGTATTTCTATTAAGGAAGTGATAAACGAATCGAACTTATCGAGATACCCGATACTAGCCTTAGAATGATGGGTACGGAAGAAGCCCTAGAAGAATAGAAACCGGACTAAAGGATCGAGTCCGAGGACGACGATGACGGCATACCGATGACAGACTAGAACGACTAAGTAAATCGAACAGCGGTCGTGCTGAGATGGTCGCTATACCATCTTATAATTATTACTAACCGGTGGTATAAGGAGTTATACTAACAGGACGATTATAAGGAAGAAACTCAACATTACCACCTTATATTCGATCTCGAAATAGAACCACGAAAGTATATAAAGAAGATCTAGTTTAGTTACTGTATAAATCCGGACTGTGAAGATAAAGAGAACTTTTATATACACTAAAGTGTATAGCTAACCACGGTACGGATTAAGCAACCCCCGGAGTAATTAGAACAGATCCTAGAAAGGCGCCGATAAGGAAATAGCATCAATATGATAGTAGAAACACTAGGCACTGTGGAAACTATAGTCGATGAGCGAGGCAACAACGAATATATTGCGGAATATTTTGCATGCTGCGACACTACTTATAAGCACTACTACACGGCACATACACACTTATTCAACATTAACCCGGAATACCTATATACAGCTATACCATTACATATATATAATAAGATAATATAACGAAACCTGATGTGTAAACGATAAGAATGTATATAGAGACGATATCTACACCTCTATTTCCCTAAGTAAGAACTTAATATAGTTACGGGACTGTTATATAACCCGGATATAGTTAAAGCCGTTGTGGATGAACGATTTACCGTAGACTATATCGCCGAATACTTTACGTGTAGCGATTATAGCTATAAATATAAAGAAGAAGCGCACCTTCACATCTATAATATTGACCTAGATTACAGCGACATCGCGCTGACACCAGATTAACACAGTTTATTACTAAACTGCGAGAATGGAGATTGTTAATAGGACCTATGGCCCCACCGACACCTACCAAAAAACTTATAGGCACTGACCTGAAGAGGCTAGATCAGTTACTAAAGTTGCCTCAGACAACCACTGGATTATACCTAATCCTGTCAGATATCCGGAAAGAGCATCTCGTCTTTAAGGCACAGCTCGCTGGAGTTAATATTAGGGTTATGATCGACAGTA